CGATCTATACAGGCGGACCGGCGATTCTCACACAGGATGGCCAGTGGCTCATTTCGACACTGGGCGAGGAGGTCCAAGTGACCGAGGTGGAGACTGGTCTGCCTGTTGCTCGTATTCGAGGTGTAAGTATCTTTGTATACCGCAGCTGATGTTAGGACACCACTGCCATCACCTCCCTCGCAATCTCTTACCATACCTCCCCACCAACCCTAATCACGGCGCACCAGTCCCAGACACTCCGCTTCTACCCACTCCCCGCTTCCATTCCGGATCATCCCCTGTCCCTCAGCTACACCCGCCAGCTTCCAAAAGCGCACTCAGCTAGCATCCTTGTCAGCTGCGTCTCGCCCGACAACACCCTGCTCGCTACCGGTTCGTCGGACGGGATCGTCAAAGTCTGGGATCTCGCGGGAGGCTATGTCACGCATCTCTTCCGAGGGCATGGCGGACCCGTATCAGCTCTGCGGTTCAACTTCCCCCAAGGCGAAGAAAGGCGGATGGAGCTGTTGACGGGATCGACGGATGGGCGGGTCAGGGTGTTTGACCTCAAAGATGCGTCGACTAGGGCCGGAGGAGGCGGAGCCAAGGCGAGGGCAGTGCTGGAGGGACATGTGAGCGTGGTACGAGGGATCGACGTGACGAGTGATGGTCGATGGGCCGTCACGGGCGGAAGGGACAAGGTTGTCCTTGTTTGGGATTTGCACGGAAAGGAGAGCAAGAAGGGAAAGGAGAAGGAGTCGCCCAAGCTCGTCCAGACCATCATTGCGGGAGAGCAGGTCGAGTCCGTCGGCTTGCTGCCTATGGACGGTGTGTTGGGTCTGCCAGCGGGACGGCTGAGGTGCTGGACCGGAGGAGAGAAGGGCGCGGTGAAGCTGTGGGATGTGTACAAGGGGGAAGAAGTGGGTCAAATGGGAATCGTGGAGGGCGTAGACGAGGCAGAGGTGGACGAGGACGAGCAGAGAGGGATCATCAACGTATTGTGAGTAGGGCTCTAGACTGTGCTGATTCAGACACGACGCATCCTCCTCCAGCCTGATCTCTATCCACGCCGACCAGAACATCATCTTCCACTTGCTCGAAACTGGTCTGCCCACCCGCCAGGTCATCGGCTTCAACGACGAAATCATCGACGCCACCTTCCTTACCCACCCTTCATCCGACGAGAGCCCTCACTCCCACCTCGCCCTCGCTACCAATTCCAACCTCATCCGCCTCTACTCCCTATCTACCTTTTCCGCGACCCTCCTCTCCGGCCACAAAGACATGGTGCTCTGCCTCGACAAGTCGCCAGACTACAGCCTCCTCGCGAGTGGGTCCAAAGACAATACCGCTCGTGTCTGGGCGCCATCGACAGAAGGCAAATGGCAGTGCATGGCGATCTGCGAAGGGCACGCCGAGTCTATCGGAGCTGTCGCCTTGTCGCGCAAATCCTCTTCTCCAAAATTCCTCGTCACTGCGAGTCAGGACCGGACGTTGAAGCTCTGGGACCTCACCTCTGCTACACCCGGAACGACGTCCAAGCCAAAGTCTCTAGGCACGATTCGGGCACACGAAAAGGACATCAACTCGCTCGACATCTCGCCGAACGACCGCTTTTTGGCGTCGGGCTCGCAGGATAAGCTCGTCAAGATCTACGCTATAGATTTTGACGAAAACAAAGCCGGAGCGACCGGCGCGCTCAAGCCGCTCGGGACGTGCAAGGGGCACAGGCGAGGTGTGTGGACCGTCAGATTCAGTAAGACGGACAGGGTGGTGGCGAGTGGAGCGGCGGATCGGACCGTCAAGCTTTGGAGTCTGGACGATTATACTTGTCTCAAGGTAAGCAGAAGGTTTGACCAAACTGACATCAGACGTTTGAGGGGCATACCAACGCTGTACTGCGGGTCGACTTCCTCTCGGCCGGCATGCAACTCGTCACTTCGGCATCGGACGGACTGGTCAAGCTCTGGAATATACGGGACGAGTCCTGCGTCAAGACCCTGGACAACCACGAGGACAAGGTGAGCTTGTACCTTATGCTCAGCTGACAACAGATCTGGTCTCTCGCTATCGCGTCTGACGAGTCCACCATCGTCTCTGCCGGAGCCGACTCCATTGCGACTTTCTGGGAAGACTCGTCCGAGGTGGAACAGCAGGAAAAGAATGATGCTTTGATTGCGAGCGTTCAAAGGTGAGCTACGAGTTTGTCAATCTCCTGATCAAGCTAACAGTCAGTGAACAAGACTTTACGAATTACCTCGCTCTGAAAAACTACCGCCAAGCGATCCTCCTCGCTCTTTCCATGTCCCAACCCAAACGTCTCCTCACACTCTTCACCGCCCTCCTCGCTGCCCCCTCCGACGCCTCCTCGCCCTCCTACTCTGGCTCTCCCGAAGTAGACCAGGTCCTCGCCACCCTCCCACCGCTAGACCTTGTCCGTCTCCTCAAGATGATCCGGGACTGGAACGCCAATGCGCGTACATCCCCCGTAGCCCAGGCTATCCTCTCTGCGATTCTCAGACTGCGCACCGCCGACGACCTCGTGGCGGCCTTTGAGAAGGCGACGGCTGTACCGGATCTTTTGGACGATTCGGTGGTCACCGATGAAGTGGAGGAGGCGGCCGAGGCGGGCAAGCAGCAGCAGCAGGGCGGGAGGCAGAGGAAGAAGGGAGAGACGACCGTCAGCTTGCCAGAGCTGATGGATGGGTTGATCCCGTATTCCGAGCGACACTTTGTCCGGCTGGAGAAGCTGGTACAGGAGAGCTATATGCTGGATTATATAGTGGGAGAGATGGACGGTGGAGTGTTAGGGACGGAGATCCTGGATCTTAGCTAGGTAGTCATCAGATGCAATATATTGGCTCCCCTTCGGAGCGGTCCTCTGGTCGTAAAATCAGTGATACATGTCTAGTGTCCGAAGAGTCAACATAGAAAACAGAACTCGAAAGAGATCGTAACTAGCCTGGGCTCCCATCTGCCCTCTCGCTCCGTCGCGTCCCCTGAGCAGACATGTCCCTCTGGACATGCACACAGTCCGCCCCATCCTGCATCTTCCCTCCGTCCGTGCCAATTCCTCACTCTCCCTACAAGGCCAACCCCGCACCGAGCACCGCTCCCACACCCATAATGCCCCAGCCCAACAATCCCGCCGATCCAGTCATCTGTGACGCCGCCCTTGGCTCTGCCGCCGCGCGCGAGACAGACGCCTGGGCCGACGCAAGGACGTTCGAGTTGACCGATGTCTGGTACTGGGGGTATTCCTGCACGGTGCCTTTCGGGACAATGACGGTGGCGACGTCCGGCGCCTTGGTGACGGATGCGGTCCAGGTCGCTTTGGTCCAGTATCCATTTCCGGTATCGTAGTCGTCTGACCATTAGCTCTGATATGGGTTTGAGGTAGATCTGAACTTACAGGTGGTGGTCCTCATCGGTGGGGGAAGAGCGGTGTCTTGGCCAACTCGGGGGGTGGTAGCGGTACCGGTCGCGGCTGCGGTGGTTGCTGTAGTCACGCGCGCCGTACTTCTAGATATCGAGGATGAGGACGAAGTTATCACGACAGCCGCCCGCGAGGAGCTGCTGCTGCTGCTCAAACCGACAACACCGCCTGGAACGGATGTAACCGCGCTAGCTCCGCCCGTGAGTGTTCGGCTACGAAATCAGCTTGATCCCCAACGAATTGACTTTGGTCGCGACGTACAGAGTCTGCGTGGTAGGTACCCCGAGCGCGTTCGTCCCTGTCGAGATGACGAGCGTGTCACCATCCTATACATCAGCGCGGCCCTAGCGGCGCGAACCGCGAAGACAACTTACGACATATGGCAAAGTGTAAGTTATAATCTGCGCCATGGTCACCCCCGCGAGCGCGAGGTGAGCGAGCACAAAGCTGAGTGTGGGCGAGCGCATTTTGGTGCGGGTAGGGTTCGGGAATGGGGGGAAGGTGGGTTGTGAAGGATGTCGCGAGTACCGAGCGGAGCGGCGATCGAAGATTGAATTAATCCGTTGTTCTAGGTGGTGGCGGGTTGAAATTTGAGTGAGTCTTTGGGATGTTTCGGTGGTGATTCTGCGAGAGGGAGGTGCGCGCTGTACTCTCTGTGGCGAGGAGTGGATGTATAGGTGTAGTATGGATGTCAACAGATGGTGGATTGACGGTCTTTGAGTGAAAGGTAAGTTGAGAGCCCCTGAGCTGTTTTCAGAGTTCGATGACGAGAGTCAAACAGAGCCAAGCCAAGCAAAGCACAGCCGCAAGGTGAAATAGGCGCGTCAGTCACAAGGGCCTATCTGGGCTGAGTCTAGTTAGGCCCACTGACCACCTCTAATGCCGGTATCTCCGGTCTGTGGCGGCCCCTTGCGTTTCAGCTCCTCCACCACTTTTGACCTCGCATCATATCCTTCCTACACCACTTACAGCTCAGTATCAACGCTTACACTCGCCACACGCCCCGACAGATACCTCCGCCAATGAAGATTGGCGGAGGTATCTGTCGGGGCGTGTGGCGAGTGTAAGCGTTGATACTGAGCTGTAAGTGGTGTAGGAAGGATATGATGCGAGGTCAAAAGTGGTGGAGGAGCTGAAACGCAAGGGGCCGCCACAGACCGGAGATACCGGCATTAGAGGTGGTCAGTGGGCCTAACTAGACTCAGCCCAGATAGGCCCTTGTGACTGACGCGCCTATTTCACCTTGCGGCTGTGCTTTGCTTGGCTTGGCTCTGTTTGACTCTCGTCATCGAACTCTGAAAACAGCTCAGGGGCTCTCAACTTACCTTTCACTCAAAGACCGTCAATCCACCATCTGTTGACATCCATACTACACCTATACATCCACTCCTCGCCACAGAGAGTACAGCGCGCACCTCCCTCTCGCAGAATCACCACCGAAACATCCCAAAGACTCACTCAAATTTCAACCCGCCACCACCTAGAACAACGGATTAATTCAATCTTCGATCGCCGCTCCGCTCGGTACTCGCGACATCCTTCACAACCCACCTTCCCCCCATTCCCGAACCCTACCCGCACCAAAATGCGCTCGCCCACACTCAGCTTTGTGCTCGCTCACCTCGCGCTCGCGGGGGTGACCATGGCGCAGATTATAACTTACACTTTGCCATATGTCGTAAGTTGTCTTCGCGGTTCGCGCCGCTAGGGCCGCGCTGATGTATAGGATGGTGACACGCTCGTCATCTCGACAGGGACGAACGCGCTCGGGGTACCTACCACGCAGACTCTGTACGTCGCGACCAAAGTCAATTCGTTGGGGATCAAGCTGATTTCGTAGCCGAACACTCACGGGCGGAGCTAGCGCGGTTACATCCGTTCCAGGCGGTGTTGTCGGTTTGAGCAGCAGCAGCAGCTCCTCGCGGGCGGCTGTCGTGATAACTTCGTCCTCATCCTCGATATCTAGAAGTACGGCGCGCGTGACTACAGCAACCACCGCAGCCGCGACCGGTACCGCTACCACCCCCCGAGTTGGCCAAGACACCGCTCTTCCCCCACCGATGAGGACCACCACCTGTAAGTTCAGATCTACCTCAAACCCATATCAGAGCTAATGGTCAGACGACTACGATACCGGAAATGGATACTGGACCAAAGCGACCTGGACCGCATCCGTCACCAAGGCGCCGGACGTCGCCACCGTCATTGTCCCGAAAGGCACCGTGCAGGAATACCCCCAGTACCAGACATCGGTCAACTCGAACGTCCTTGCGTCGGCCCAGGCGTCTGTCTCGCGCGCGGCGGCAGAGCCAAGGGCGGCGTCACAGATGACTGGATCGGCGGGATTGTTGGGCTGGGGCATTATGGGTGTGGGAGCGGTGCTCGGTGCGGGGTTGGCCTTGTAGGGAGAGTGAGGAATTGGCACGGACGGAGGGAAGATGCAGGATGGGGCGGACTGTGTGCATGTCCAGAGGGACATGTCTGCTCAGGGGACGCGACGGAGCGAGAGGGCAGATGGGAGCCCAGGCTAGTTACGATCTCTTTCGAGTTCTGTTTTCTATGTTGACTCTTCGGACACTAGACATGTATCACTGATTTTACGACCAGAGGACCGCTCCGAAGGGGAGCCAATATATTGCATCTGATGACTACCTAGCTAAGATCCAGGATCTCCGTCCCTAACACTCCACCGTCCATCTCTCCCACTATATAATCCAGCATATAGCTCTCCTGTACCAGCTTCTCCAGCCGGACAAAGTGTCGCTCGGAATACGGGATCAACCCATCCATCAGCTCTGGCAAGCTGACGGTCGTCTCTCCCTTCTTCCTCTGCCTCCCGCCCTGCTGCTGCTGCTTGCCCGCCTCGGCCGCCTCCTCCACTTCATCGGTGACCACCGAATCGTCCAAAAGATCCGGTACAGCCGTCGCCTTCTCAAAGGCCGCCACGAGGTCGTCGGCGGTGCGCAGTCTGAGAATCGCAGAGAGGATAGCCTGGGCTACGGGGGATGTACGCGCATTGGCGTTCCAGTCCCGGATCATCTTGAGGAGACGGACAAGGTCTAGCGGTGGGAGGGTGGCGAGGACCTGGTCTACTTCGGGAGAGCCAGAGTAGGAGGGCGAGGAGGCGTCGGAGGGGGCAGCGAGGAGGGCGGTGAAGAGTGTGAGGAGACGTTTGGGTTGGGACATGGAAAGAGCGAGGAGGATCGCTTGGCGGTAGTTTTTCAGAGCGAGGTAATTCGTAAAGTCTTGTTCACTGACTGTTAGCTTGATCAGGAGATTGACAAACTCGTAGCTCACCTTTGAACGCTCGCAATCAAAGCATCATTCTTTTCCTGCTGTTCCACCTCGGACGAGTCTTCCCAGAAAGTCGCAATGGAGTCGGCTCCGGCAGAGACGATGGTGGACTCGTCAGACGCGATAGCGAGAGACCAGATCTGTTGTCAGCTGAGCATAAGGTACAAGCTCACCTTGTCCTCGTGGTTGTCCAGGGTCTTGACGCAGGACTCGTCCCGTATATTCCAGAGCTTGACCAGTCCGTCCGATGCCGAAGTGACGAGTTGCATGCCGGCCGAGAGGAAGTCGACCCGCAGTACAGCGTTGGTATGCCCCTCAAACGTCTGATGTCAGTTTGGTCAAACCTTCTGCTTACCTTGAGACAAGTATAATCGTCCAGACTCCAAAGCTTGACGGTCCGATCCGCCGCTCCACTCGCCACCACCCTGTCCGTCTTACTGAATCTGACGGTCCACACACCTCGCCTGTGCCCCTTGCACGTCCCGAGCGGCTTGAGCGCGCCGGTCGCTCCGGCTTTGTTTTCGTCAAAATCTATAGCGTAGATCTTGACGAGCTTATCCTGCGAGCCCGACGCCAAAAAGCGGTCGTTCGGCGAGATGTCGAGCGAGTTGATGTCCTTTTCGTGTGCCCGAATCGTGCCTAGAGACTTTGGCTTGGACGTCGTTCCGGGTGTAGCAGAGGTGAGGTCCCAGAGCTTCAACGTCCGGTCCTGACTCGCAGTGACGAGGAATTTTGGAGAAGAGGATTTGCGCGACAAGGCGACAGCTCCGATAGACTCGGCGTGCCCTTCGCAGATCGCCATGCACTGCCATTTGCCTTCTGTCGATGGCGCCCAGACACGAGCGGTATTGTCTTTGGACCCACTCGCGAGGAGGCTGTAGTCTGGCGACTTGTCGAGGCAGAGCACCATGTCTTTGTGGCCGGAGAGGAGGGTCGCGGAAAAGGTAGATAGGGAGTAGAGGCGGATGAGGTTGGAATTGGTAGCGAGGGCGAGGTGGGAGTGAGGGCTCTCGTCGGATGAAGGGTGGGTAAGGAAGGTGGCGTCGATGATTTCGTCGTTGAAGCCGATGACCTGGCGGGTGGGCAGACCAGTTTCGAGCAAGTGGAAGATGATGTTCTGGTCGGCGTGGATAGAGATCAGGCTGGAGGAGGATGCGTCGTGTCTGAATCAGCACAGTCTAGAGCCCTACTCACAATACGTTGATGATCCCTCTCTGCTCGTCCTCGTCCACCTCTGCCTCGTCTACGCCCTCCACGATTCCCATTTGACCCACTTCTTCCCCCTTGTACACATCCCACAGCTTCACCGCGCCCTTCTCTCCTCCGGTCCAGCACCTCAGCCGTCCCGCTGGCAGACCCAACACACCGTCCATAGGCAGCAAGCCGACGGACTCGACCTGCTCTCCCGCAATGATGGTCTGGACGAGCTTGGGCGACTCCTTCTCCTTTCCCTTCTTGCTCTCCTTTCCGTGCAAATCCCAAACAAGGACAACCTTGTCCCTTCCGCCCGTGACGGCCCATCGACCATCACTCGTCACGTCGATCCCTCGTACCACGCTCACATGTCCCTCCAGCACTGCCCTCGCCTTGGCTCCGCCTCCTCCGGCCCTAGTCGACGCATCTTTGAGGTCAAACACCCTGACCCGCCCATCCGTCGATCCCGTCAACAGCTCCATCCGCCTTTCTTCGCCTTGGGGGAAGTTGAACCGCAGAGCTGATACGGGTCCGCCATGCCCTCGGAAGAGATGCGTGACATAGCCTCCCGCGAGATCCCAGACTTTGACGATCCCGTCCGACGAACCGGTAGCGAGCAGGGTGTTGTCGGGCGAGACGCAGCTGACAAGGATGCTAGCTGAGTGCGCTTTTGGAAGCTGGCGGGTGTAGCTGAGGGACAGGGGATGATCCGGAATGGAAGCGGGGAGTGGGTAGAAGCGGAGTGTCTGGGACTGGTGCGCCGTGATTAGGGTTGGTGGGGAGGTATGGTAAGAGATTGCGAGGGAGGTGATGGCAGTGGTGTCCTAACATCAGCTGCGGTATACAAAGATACTTACACCTCGAATACGAGCAACAGGCAGACCAGTCTCCACCTCGGTCACTTGGACCTCCTCGCCCAGTGTCGAAATGAGCCACTGGCCATCCTGTGTGAGAATCGCCGGTCCGCCTGTATAGATCGGTTTGAGTGACCGAGGGGAAGCTCGGAAGCTGATCGTCAGCTCTGCTTGATCCTCATCTAGCTCGCACCAGCTGACCTTGTCTTTAGACCTCGCTTTGAGCTGGAAGCGTTCATAGTGTATGGTATAGTAGGTGGTGGAGGTGGAAATCTTTGAGACAGGTTGAGCATTACGAGACTGACCACTGAGGGGCTCCACACAGCAGCCAGAAATTTAATTCCGCCTTTCAACCTCACCCTCAACTCAATCCCTCTCACCTTCCTCTTCTACTCATACCTACACCTATGATACACTGACTCTAGCAGACACCACACTCGCCATGCGCATCCACGAAGTCCTCGACGCGTGCATCGAGTATGTCGCGTATGAAGGTGTCTTGGGTAAGTTTATTGACAACCGCGCACTAGTCGAGGGTTCGAGCCCGGCTGTTGTGCGACAAAAGCACGCCCGACTCGAACGCTCGGTGGAGGTGGTCCAGTCGCGTCAGAATTTGGGCTGATCAACAGGGTCGGATGTGTTGAGGCTGCAGGAGCACCTGGCGAAGCGGGATTCATATCTCGACGCGACATCGTTTGCGTATATCTATACGTTGCTATGTCAGCACCCGTCCATCCGGATTGCCATCAGCACGTACCCGCTCGGGTCCACGGGCGAGTCGCTTCAACTCGGCTCGGCGCCTCTTCCGGCCGACTATTCCCCGCCCGAAGCTGCCGTCGAGGTGGACTTCAACCAGCTCTACAGCGAGGGCAAGCGGGGGCGGGAGATGGCATTTCATCTGGCGGGAGAGCAGCACAAGACCAGCAAGGAGGCGGTGGCTGTCAAGCGGGCGGATCAGGAGCGGAATCGCCTTGGGAAGAGAGCGGCGGCCCAAGGAGAGGATGCGAAAGGCAAAGGCAAGGGGGGGCAGAAAGGTCTGGACCAGATCAAGGGGGAAGACGGAACGGTTTTGTTCACATTTCTGGACGAAGATGATGCCGAGCTGGGAGGAGACCCGGTCGACAAGACGGATTTGGCGGGACTGGCGGCAAAGTGGGGTAGCAGATTGCGGATCAGGTGTACGGACGACGAGGTGTACTTTCGATTGACCGGGTCCCATCAAAAGGTGAGAACAGTCAAGGACGAAGCTGATTAGATCCCAAAACTCACCCTGCCTGTGCTACACATGCTCCAGCTCGCGGCTCGGTCCCGCGAGAAGGGCATCACCGCTATCGAGCTGGGTCCGATGGTCGGCGCGAGTCAGGGCTCCACGTTCTACTATATGAAGGTGTTGACTGATGCTGGGTTATGGTAAGTGATAATCAAGCTGGGCTGATGGTAGTGCCAAAGTACCCGCTGTACTCCACGGCTCCATTACCAACCTCCTCGTCTTCCACCCCTTCCTGGAGTTGAACGAAAACTATCGCGCCATCAAGAAGCTCGGCCCCCTTCCGGGATCTGCGCCAGCGCCGGCTCCAACATCCGATCCCGCTCCCGCCGAGGACGAGGACGATCCAGCCATCGACGACAATGGCGGAACAGGCTTGACCGGCTTTGACTTTCGCCCCATTACGGAGCCGGAACTGATGAACGGTCATATCGTCAAGGAGCGCCTGCTTCAGCTTTTGGATCATCCCGCCCTGCAGAACCATCTTCTAAAAGCTAGGAATCTGCTCGCTATGATTGTGAGTCTCGTCTTGACTTTGCTGACGACAGGGCTGGAATCATCAGACCTTGCTCCGCCACCGCCGAGCAATGACGCGAGTCCTCGCATCGCTAGTCATGAACGGTGTAGTCGAGCGCCTGGCGGTCGGCCCGAAACGCGTTGACTGCCTGCGGTTGACCAAGTTCAATCCCGACTACAAGGGTCCGCCCAAGCCGTCCGCCACAGTGCAGGAGGAAGTGGTTGTTTCTACGTATTCCCCGCAAGGTAGGTCATGGTTTGGCATAGCTGACTCCAGACTTTATCGAGCCGTACAGCTACGCCGGCGCCATTGCTATGACCCGCACACTCGAGCGGCAAATCATCGACGTTGTCGTGCAAGCCGGGCAAGAGGGCGTCACGTACTCGGTAAGTCCTCTATCAACCCAACTGACCTCAGGATATTCACGATGCGCTTCATGGTGTCTACAAACGAGTCATCGAGTTCTACTTTGTCCGAGGCGAGGACATGCGGCTCCCGCCGGCGATGCTGGAATCGGCCTACTGCTCGGTCATCGAGTTCGCCGGCAAGGAACGGCGGTTGCGGATGTTCACTGTCCCCGCCTATCGCACCTACATGCTCGCGAACGGGCAGCCCCTCGACGATGCCAAACATCCCCCTACCCCACCCGAGGCCGGACGCTGGGCATCCCTTAAATTTCGCAAGTTTGTCCCGGACGCAGAGACGTTCTGGCACGAAGCGGAGGAGACGCTCACTGCGATCGAGCGCGACTCAAAGATCGCCCACTTCTACCGGGAAGTCAAGCCCGCGAGGCGCAAGGACGCGGGGACGCGGAAGCCCCGCAAGTCGGACGGGAAACCGACCAAGCGTGCTCGAAGCCCCGACCTAGAAGCGGATCCCTCTGCCCCGCCGACAAAGGCCAAGAAGCAGACCCTCTACAATACCACCATACAGGTCCGCGGCCGGCCTCGAAAATACATCCACGTGGTCGATGAGGAGGGTACGGTCAAGCGCCTCATCATCGGCCAGGTCCTCCCCCATCCGTCGCTCCCGCCAGTGCTCATCTGGGTCAAGAGCGTCAAAAAGCTCGTGCCTGCCCCGGCCGAGTACTCTGGTCTCGGGAAGCCGCCTCCGGTCACTGCCGAGCAGCTGAAGCTAGGGCATACCCCGGCCTTCTATGACAAATTTGCCAGGGGCAAGTCGAGCAAGAAGAAGGGGAAGAAGGGGAGCAAGGGGAAAGAGGAGTCGGAGGAAGAGCTGGAGGAGGATGGAGACAAGGAGGAGTTGATGGAGTTGATTGGAGAGAAGGCGACAGAGGTGGATGAGCTGGATTCGCAGGCCGGCGAGGCAGATCGCGCGGAGGACGGTCCAAGCAGCGCGTCGGCACCGGTCGAGGCGGCAGTCCCGGCCGACGCACCGGCAAAGAAGGGGCGCCCACGGAAGCAGCCGTCAGCGTCGGTGGAGCCATCGGCAGCGCCATCAAGGCGGGGTCGACCTCGAAATCAATCCGCCTCGGTCGCTCCACAGCCAGAGGTGACGGACCCTGTGGCTTCGACAAGTCAACTCCCTACATCGGCCGTTGCGAACATTCCTGACGCACCTCCAAGGAGGCGAGGTCGCGGCCGGAAGAATCTAACCCCGGTCGCTCCCAGCGAGGCGCTCGGCGATGTCGCCTCCCCCTCTCAGACAACGAGGCCAAAGGAATCAACGGCGCCAGAAGCGGGCGACATGGATGATGTCGTCATGCTCGAGGTGGATCCATCAAAGAAGCGGGCTCGTTCAGCTGCAGCGTCGCCGCCAGCGAAACGAGCTCGGCGAGGAGGAAAGGAACAGGCAGAAGCTGCAAGCGGCTCAGGTCAACCTACGCAAAGCGAGTTTGTTGCTCCAAACCCGGCGTCACTTTGGAAGTCACTCGTCCCCGTCCCCATCGTCGCCGCCGCCACCCGTGCCCCCGCCTCACCCACCGTCCCCAAACGACGCGTCGACATGGGTCTAATCTCGCGCAGCAACGAGCTCGTCGAGGCCCTTCGGGCGTACGGTCCCGTCATGAGCGATACAAAGCTCCAATCCGCCCATCGGGAATGGACCTACGCGGTCGCCGGGACGGACGCGCCCTTTGCCCCCGCGCTCGGGTACAAGATGGACCGGCGCGTCTTCAAAGAAGGCATCCGGGCGCTAGAGACCGACGGGCGGATCAAAACCACCATGTGCTCGATCCCTACTACCACCGGTCGGTGGATCCAGCAGCAGGTGATCTGGCTGCCTGACACAGCCCAGACCGAGATCGACAACTACATCTCCAAGCTCTCGGACACTACCTCGGCGTCTTTGCAGTGGGTGCCGAAGAGGGCGCCACGGCGGCAGGTCGAGGAGCAGGCCTTCACCGAAGCCAAGGTGGCTGGTCAGGTGTCCATCAGCGCCAAAACTATAGTCATTCGGCGAGCTCTCAAGGACGATTCGCCCGCTACGCTCCGTCGGAACGCCCTTATCAAGCAGCCGGGCGTTGCTGCTACGCTGCTCGGGTACATTTCGGGTCGCTGGGTCCGGGTACGGCGCCTGTTCGAGGCGCTGGTCGAGACCATCCCGACATCCAGGTCGAGCATATCACACAACGTCTTCGCTCTGCCTCTCATCTTTGAGGATATTCCGGTCGGCACTTTCTACCAGTGCATCTTCTCAACCTCGTACGATGAGGACCTGGATCAATGGCTGTCGGAGCCGGAGAATACAAAGACCCGCCTCAAGGACGTCCCGCACAACTTTCGGCCGGTCAACGGGTTCGCCGGCGCCGGGACCAAGGCAAAATACCGCACCCTCCTCAACACCCTCTGCCTCTTTGGCCTCTTGTCGCCGCTGCGAGCGTGCGACGCGGAAGACGCGGACGTTACCGTTCCCGGTCCCATCAACCAGTACTTCAAGGTGCCGGACGCCGTTACTCAGGCGACTCACTTTGTCGTCCACAAACACGCCCCGGTGTATCACATCGCTGCGGACCCAGCCGGTCTCCTCGGTATGCTTCCAATCTCCACAGCCGCGGAGCGGGACATCTACTGGTCGGTCACGCGCGACGCCTGCGTCGAGCGAGACCCCAAGGCCCTCCCACCCCTCCAGTCCAACGTCGCTGTCGGCCTACCTCACACCGCCCGCATCACCAGCACCCTGGAGCCAGATACCGACACGCTCAGGCTGATGCGGTCGGGAGCGAGGTGGCGGAGTGATATCCGGATTCTTGAAGAGCAAAGGGCGGCGATCGACGCGCAGATCGACTGGCGTCGGGGCGTACCCAAGATCACCTCGGATGAGGACATCGAGGCGTTTGCGTACGAGAACGCCTTGTCGATTACCTTTGTTCGGGATGAGCTGGTTCGCCGGGCGCGGCAAGCGCAAGATCGGGCTACTCGGATAGCCCAACAAGAAGTGGTCACGGCCAAGGCGCTGCAGGAGCGACGGGCCAGGAATCAGCGGAGTCTGCGGGAAAAGCTCGCCGAGATGCGGACGACGACCAAGCGGGAGTGGGAGAATCGTATCTTGCAGGCTTGCGAGGTGGCTGGCGTGACCTGTACCTCGGACGTCATCAACTTTGTCACGCATCACACCCTTACGCTCCCGAATCGGTCCAATCTTAGCGACGCGGCGATCCAAGATGCGGTCAGGCTATCAACGAGAGTGAAGCCGGCGCAGGCGCGAGTGGAGAGGGAGGTGGCCGTAGCAGCGAAGAGGAAGGAACTGCAGGACAGGCAGCCGCCCAAGTCTCGTAAGTCTATAATTGGCTTGGCTGACTTAGTCCCCGTCAAAGGTCAGCGTCGACGCCACGAGTGGACGCCAAAAGAGGATGATCTTCTGCTCGACGTGGAGGCTATCGTCCGCGCCCGGTCTCGCGGTCGAGCCAGAGGACGTCAAGCCGTCCTCCAGGTCTTTCCGGATGTCGGCCATCAGACCTTTTTGCATCGCTTCAAAAAGATCATCGCGACTGCGGGGAAGCAACAGTACTTTGAGCGGCTGGAGCAGGCGTGGTATGATGTGTGGATGGCGCATAGGGGGATGGGCGAGTTGATTGACGAGGATCCCGACAGTACGGCCGACTTTGACCTCAAGCATCATGTCGAGTTTTTGCGGTCTCACATCAGGAAGCAGGATCTGTGAGTTTGGCTTTGGCAAGGCTGACTTTAGGCGTCTTGGTATCGTCGCTCGGCGCCCCGAGGTCAAAATACCGGACCTGCCCGCCAGTCACGCCGATGTGGTACAGCAGGAATGGACCCATGCCAAAGTCGAGCAGCCGACTCTGTACCATGTCAACGACGCTGGGACCAGCGACGAAACCAAACTCGCGGGGTTCGGTATGGTGCCGCTCAAGCATGAGCCAAAGGAGATGCGCTTGGGGTCAATGGATCGCTCTCGGGGATTGTTGAGGGCGTGTCTCAAGGTGAGCAAACGCTTGGCTGGGCTAATTCAGATGGTTGTCTCTACCCCAAACGAAATCTACGACCAACCCACCGCGACCGCCTTCCTCGCGTGCTATCCCACCCAATCGCGCATGTCCGAGGTCAACAATCTCGTAGACGAGAGAGCGTTCGTCAAGCAGAACAGTGCTAGCGCCACTTCGCGATACTTTGGCTACAGCAATACCTGGAACACCTATACCGACGGGCCCATGCCAGGCGAGATGTTCTCCGAGGCCAGGGCGATGGAGGAGAAGCTCGAGACCGAGGAGATGGAGTGGAGGGGGTTATGTTCGGCGGGAGAAATTGCTGCGCTTTTGGAAATGACGTCTGACGGAGTGGTGAGTGGACGCAAGGCTAAGCTGATATAAGGCGGATATCGACTTCGATTACAAGGAGTTCCGTCCTGTCCGGTACCTGCGGAGCACATACAACACTCGGCAGCTAGGTGAGTTCTAACTTGGACGTGCTGATGATAGATGATACCGCTTTCGAGTTTGACTATAACGTCGTCAAGGTCAAGGACGCGCCCTCCACGCAACTCGCCATCCTTCCCGTACCCCATCTCGGTCCTACCCTAGCCACTTGGCCCGATCAGTACGAGGATGTCCACGCCGAGGTAAACCACATTCTGGACCTCGTCCATACCGCCGGCCCAGACGGGCTCACTCGCGCCCAACTCGACGCCAACTACCCCTCTTCTACCCTCTTTGCGGTATGCGCATCGCTTGCGGCGGACTCGCCACCCGAGGTGTTTTGGGCAGGATACGACACCCCCAGGCTCATCTCGACCCAACATTGGGATGACTGGACACATGCGGTACCGCGCAAGAACATCCGGGTACGACCCAGGCGATGGGTGGATATCTTTGGGGAGATGCTCAAGGAGGACTGGGAGCGGTGCTTGAAGTGTGCGGTGGGGTATGTGATGGCTCGGCCTGGAGTACTCACCGTGGGTTTCTCTTGTTGGTTGTGGGGTATAGCTGATAGTCAGATGGACCTCCGCTCGAGGATGGGGATCGTGATGGATAGGATGGAGGTTAACGAGGTGCTGCAATACTTGGAGGAGAGGGGAAATCTGCGAAGAGCATGGATAGGAGGGGGAGGAGTCATACCTCCGATTGAAGCGATGAGCTCGGCAGAAGAGGGGATGGTGGGGTATTGGCCGGGGAGGACGTGGGGGATGGAGTTTTAGATGTTCTTTCGATTTCGCTAATTTGTTTATAGGTTGTGCTAGCTGTGAATTAGACGTTGTGTAGCAGAGACTTTGGCATGCCACAACATTACATGCGATCGGGGTTATCGCGGTCAACGAAATGCTGTAGGGGAGTGTGGGCAGAAGGAGAGAAGAGTAGGGAGGAGCGGCGAGTAAGGTGGTTGTGTATGGGTGCTGCCCAAAGAAACGGACAAGGAGAAAGGGTGTATGGAGGAGAGGGTAAGAGGGGGAAAAGGGGGAAGATGAGGGAAGAGGGGGGAGCACTGAGGAGGTAGAGGGGGAAGAGGAGGGAGAGGGGATGGGGAGGGAAGGAGTAGGAGAACAAGGGGAACTAAAGTTGGCGCAGCTGGAGGGAGATGAGGGAGAAGGCGGGGAAAGGAAGAGAGAGAGGATGGAGCGAGAGGTGAGCGCAGCGGTGTCCATGGGGTGAGCACACGTAAAACTGACGAAGGTGTCAGACAATTGGAGTTCCGTCAAAGATCAGCTGGCAATCCGATGAAGATTTGCATGCTAAATGTCACTTAGATTGTGGTAGAAATATCGTGCTTTACAAGCACGTGTAACCCCCGTCGATGGTGATCTCTGCCCCGGTTATGTACTTGCTGGCGTCCGACCCGAGGAGGATGACTGCGCCCTTCAAGTCGGAGGGGTCTGCCATTCGTCCCTAGGATATCAGCTCCCATCTGGCGCCAGGGGGAAGTACGCACCATGGGAATACGGTGAAGCCATTCGTCTCGGAGCTTGGTGTTGGCGTCGAGAATCACCTTGGTCAGGTTGGTCAGGGTATAACCGGGTCTGTAGATCAGTAGCGTCCGCGGAAGCTACACAGGAAACGTACGAGATGCAGTTCACGCGAATGTTTTGAGTGGCCCACTCGACAGCAAGCGATCTAGCCATGTGCCGCACAGCAGCTTTGGAGAAGTTGTATGGAGTTTGAGGTTGGGGAACGTTCACGACCTAACAGTCAGTCACAAGATCAACTACAAGGCGGGATGCTTACCGATCCAGACATGCTTCCGATCATGGTGATCGACCCCCCTTCTGGCATGAGCTTGGCGGCTTCCAGAGCGCAGAACCAAGTGCCTTTTGATCAGCTACACTACTACTGCGCGGGAGTCAGAAGACCAACCCATGATGTTGATGTCGAGCAGCTTGCGAATTTTGTCGGTCGGGTACTCGTGGGCGACAAAGTTCTCGACAATGCCAGCAGCAGTCACACAGGCCTGCCTTTTCAGCGTCATTTCAACCCTGCTTTTCTTTTACTGCCCGACCGCCTCAATTTCCGCATGTCCGACCCCCAACTCCTCCGCCTCTCCTGTCCAATACCGTCTTGGTGCAGCCTATACACGATTCTCCCCATCTATGCGTGCCATGCTCGCATTCCATCCTATTCGAGCAAAGAGTGAGAGAGAAGACTCACGTCAACGCGACCGAACTCTTCCTTAATCTTGGCGAAGGTAGCTTTGACGCTCGCTTCGCTAGACACGTCGCAGCCTAGACCAATCGCTTTGATCTCTCCCGGTTGGGCATCACCGTGCTCCACTTGAACATCAGCCGAGATACCGAATCAAGAGGACTTGACGTACCGAACCAGTCTGTCAGATCCTTCGCAGCAGCCTCGGCATCGGCCTGTTTGAGATCGATGAGCACGATAGCATCGGCACCGCTGCTGCGTTAGCGATTGCTTGACCGAAAGGGTGAGATGGCGTACCTCTCCACAAAGGTCCGTGCCATCATGTTTCCGAGACCTCTTGCCGCACCTGTCACGACGCAGACCTGACAGTCAGTGGCTTCTCTGAGTAGGACGAAAGAGAGGGCTGCTCACTTTGCCATCCATACTCAAACTGGCAAGAGTTCGCTTGGAGTGCTTACCGTGGCCGGGACCTTGGACATCGTGTCCGATGTCGTCGCCAGCTTTTGGTTGCTGTTCATCAGCTATCAGTCGCTCCATGCTAGCCCAGAGAGGTAGACAGATATCGCCACCATACAGAACAGGGGTTGAGATCCTCCACTCATGCCATCCAGCTTTGAGCCCGCTACCACGCTTGAAGCCTTGCCAAGCAGCTATGAGACATACCTTGTGTGCGAACTCAAACTCTCCACTGACGCCAGCAAGCTTCGGTGTCACCTCCTTGCGGTGCTTGTCGTAGCCTGCAGAGTACTGCCCGTCCTGGGGGCTCTGGGCGAGTGCTTTGGAATCGGCGAATCCGCGGAGGAGCAGAGGGAGTTGAGTGGGCCGGAGCGATAGAGAGGATCGTGAAACCGCTCGAGCAGTCATGGTGGTAGCGCGGATCATGCTCGCCATTGCGCACGAAGAGGTATGTTAAACGTATAGCTGTAGACGCTTTTTCAGGACAGGCAACAGAGATCGTCAGTGCTGTATCAAAGCCAACTTTGGCACAGTATACTGTACTAGCGCATCTCGGGTCTTCGGAGCGAAGCCGTCGGCCCGATGACGTAACAGCCAGCCGGAATACTTGCTTGTATGTATATGCAGTCTGTAGCCTCGAGTAGCTCTGAATGAGAGCTCCCCGGTGCTTGTTGCTCAGCTTTGCTTGGATTCAGGGCGCCACGAAGACCATCGTTCCATCCCACGCATGCATTGGTCTCGTCCATGCTGGCGCGGACAAGGGAGAATTGCAAGATCAAGGGTCACCTCGCGTCGAGGAATGAGGAGCTGGAATCCAGGCAAAGTGGCCGTCCACGACGACATACACTCGGCAAACCCGTGAGGACCCTTGAACCCTTCCGATGAACGGGCCGAGCGCCTGGGTTGATCCAGCTCTTGGCACTGTCGCCTATCGAGTGCGGATAAGTCCCCTACCCTGCCCTTTCTGTGCTGCTTATACCTAGTATACACCTGCGCGCAAGGCCTCCCCTCCGTTCCTATGGTATGTACATACTAAGATGTTTCTTTGTGTGTTTGCCTCGAATGACCTCGCATTGTACACACGTATCCTCTGGTGGTTGGAGAAAGCAGAATCTGTGCGCGGTGACTTAATGGGCGTGGGCGACGGAGTATAGAAGGGTGAGCGAACTAGTGGCTCCTGGAACCCAACCTTCAGCAACGAGGGCACAGCACTCGCGTTGTGGAGTAAAAGACGGTTTGGCTCTGCCTTTACAGTAGTGTACACAGTCTAGGTAGACAGCTAGCAACCGCTTACCAACATGCACTGCAGCTTGTCCCCCCTCTAGCACAGTTGCAAACACACCGGCTCCTCGACAGTTGACAATTTGTGACCCAGCACCTCTCCCTTATCGACACACATCCCTTCGCCACCGAGGCAGTCCACCCTGGTATCACCCAATCACTACCCCTCTCTCTCGTCATCAGCCCACGATCAACTCACTCACCACAGCGTTCCATAGAGGCTGCAACTCCTCCTCCTCCGGGTTCAGCATGCGAGGCTGATCTGTACGGACTCCATCGACGCCGGGGCGGACGGAGAGTAGTCGGTCTACCGTGGCGGCCCAGAGTTGCTGAGGATGATTCTTGGAAGCTTTTTTATACCGGACGATAGGAGGTATATCGAGGGTTGCGGGTTGGAGCTCGGCCACGGATGGGATGAAGGGGAGGTCGGCAAGGAGGTGATGGTATTCAACGAGTATGTCCGCGCTAGACCCGAGCTCGAGACCGAGATCGTCTAAGAATTCGGCGATATCTGGCACCGTCGAGGTGACGTATGGCTCGTTCAGAAGCTCGTGCGCGAACCTGAGCCGCCGATAGCCACGCTGGCTAGTCCGCGATGCCCCGTCCAGCGTGCAGTTCCGATGCTGTCCGTTCTGATCCGTGATCGCCGGCTGCGAACAATCGAGGCACCGCCGTATCTTGTGCAACGTCTTGGACGTTGCCGTTGCGAAGTACGCCGGGCTTGCGAGCTCCTGGAACGCCGCTCCGATGGTCCGAGTAGATGTCCAATTCTCCAGATTACGTTTGTGACCCGCGTTGGACCATAGACCAAGATGCTCATGGGCATAAGCCGTACCCGCATCACCTGTAAGCCCACGAGCTGGATGGCTCACAGCCGTGGCGGCTGCGCGGAACAGGTGCGTGCCCTTGGGGAGCGCCATCAACCACTGCTCCCTCGCCGACGCGTCGAAATCGGGAGGAAAGGGAGGACTCTGGCCAGAGATCCCGTTGACGCCCTCCTCTTCCAGCCGTACGAGTAGCTCTCCTAGCGAATTGTACTGAGCTCGGCGGGTGGGTAACTGCTTGTCGCCAAGTGCGTATATACCATGGGTAATGCGGAATGTAGCGGACGAGCGGAAGTTTGTTGATCGCTCTAGGGCGATCTAGGCTGTCAGCCGTGACTTTTATATAAGAGGAGAGCACTCACACCAGTGGAAATAGGCGTATCAGCACCAAGATCCAGCTCGACGTTCGGGGCAGACACCTGGAATGGCTCCTCGCTCTCGTCGCCCTTGTTGCCTGCATCGGCCCCTCCTCCACCTTGCTTGGCGCTTCCCGAGCCAGCTGCGTTATCTGCAGCTACCGCATGATCCTTCTTCCTCCGCTCCGCTTCCAGACCGTCTGCTCTCCTCCGCGGCTCATTTGAGTCTCGGCGCAAGGCAGAGTATACCTGCATGGCATCCCGAAGTTCCTTGTCGAGTCCGGCACTCTTCAGCTCGGCCTCGACGTGCTGGCGAAGATCGATAAGGCATGACCGGAGAGCGTCTTCCTCCCTGGGCCATTCCATGGACTTGGCCTTGGTGAGATCGGCTTCTTCCGCCGAGGCGGCAATGCGAGCGATGATTACGAGGATGGCTTCGAGCTCGAGCGCGACGGAGCTGTCATACTTGAGTATGCCAGCATGATACGAGGGTATCATGAGGGAGTATCGTCGCTTGTGTATGGGCCCGTACATGACGATCACCGGTTGACCAGCGAGTCGCTGCCAGTTCTCGTTCCAGCAGCAATCCCAATCCAGCTCGACAAAGGCGACTTGGACCAGGTCGACGAGCTGGATGGCATCAAACTGCTTGTCCCCGGAGAGAAAAATATTGAGCCGTTCGCGTGTGTCCGGCCGGTCGTCGAAGATTGACGCCATTGCTCCATCGCACAGAAGAGTGGCGACCCGAGAGTCGTGGACTCGAAGGATGATGGGGCAGAGGAGGAGGAGCATCCGAGCGGTGAGAAGGATGGCGAGTCACAGAGATTTGGTGGACAAGGTGCCCGAGAAGAGGTCGAATGTGGAGTGGTGGATCTCGGCAGGAGGTCTAGTAAACTCCCCGGTGGCGAGCCGCCAGTGTTGGTCGATCGAGTTGGGGCCTTGACCAGTATGCTGGTCATAGAACCCCAACTTCTCCCCGGGTTTGGCATTGAATGCTTCGACGGTGATATCCGACGCGATGCATGCGGAAAGGACCGGCGTTCCTGGGCTGTCGATGGTACGGACGCATGCCAGCGCAGCAACCGTGCTCGCTTGAGCCGCCTGAGTCATCTGGCCTTGACGGCCCTTGGACCGCGGGGTCCTGTCCGTGCTCTGAATACGCAAGTCGTCCCGCATGAGGGACGCGGCTTTGGCATTCAGCTCAGCGGTCCTGGGCTGGTTGGCCGGGTAATCGACGAAAGTCCACCCGGGATTGAGCTTGACGCTGGGGTGGGTACCGGAGACAAAGTTGAACTTGCCTCCGCTCGCCGAGTTGAGGCTGGGACCGAGGGACATGATAACGGCCTTTTCGCACTCCTGGACGCCTCGGTCAGATCGAATGGTCAGGGCGTCGACGGAGGCATCCAGGACGTGGGCGTAAATCGATACATTCCGGGAAAGAGGTAGTGAGGTGCCGAGACCGATATGGGTGTCTAAGGATCAGCCTAAATGACGGTGATAACTCACCGAGCCAGCGGGCCCAACGGCCTGTGCGGCTGCCCTTGAGATCCTCCTTGACCCTCAGTGCTGGATCTCTTGTGGTCATGCCAGCATAAGACATCCACAGTGGATCGGTGTAACCTTCTGCGGTCAACTGGGCGATGCGCTCCGAGACGACCGTTGTCCAACTGCCAAGGGGTGATGAGAGAAGGAAGGGAAAAAGGATGAGTAGGATTTCGATTCAATGTCACGCGACGCGACGCGACTGACGCATGACGTGGTATTTATGCACATAACAGGGAGAGCTGACAAGGCCATGGAAGACATGGTTATCCCGGTCGAATCGGATTTAGCATGAGTGGTAAAGAGAGGTAAGAGAACAGTGTGGTGTGGAGGTAGGATACTTGGCAGGATATATGTATTGTGTGTGGATGGCCCACTCCACAGCAAGCGATCTATACTCCAAGGTTCGCTTGAGAGCGGAGAGATCTCGACTTACCCCGCATTAACGGCAACCCCCGCGGGCCCCACTTTGCCATATCCATCTCGGCAGCCTCGGCTTCCCCACCACCCCCGTTTCATCTCGTGAGGGCGATACCGCCCGTTCCTGCGCTCAAGCCAAAGTTGAAATCTTCTTTGCTGCGGTCGTCATGCTGCGTCAGCCTCGATGGCGCCCCAACCGCGTCAAACTCTCTACTGACGCCAGCAAGCTTCGGTGTCACCTCCTTGCGGTGCTTGTCGTAGCCTGCAGAGTACTGCCCGTCCTGTGAACTCTGAGCGAGAGATCTAGACTCAGCGAAGCCGCGAAGGAGCGGGCTCAGCTGGGAAGGCCGAAGCGAAGGTGTTGAGCGCGAGAGAGCTCGGACCCGACGAGTAGAGGTGCGAATGATGCTTGCCATGGTGATATAGAGCGCAGAGGATGGGGGGGAGCTTTCTTGCTCGCGATGAGTCAAAGGGACAGACTGCAGGCTCACTAGACTTGCTGAGCCCCTCCAGCGCGCTGCCCAGCGCACCAGGCGCCCGGTGACTCCGGCCGGAGGAATGCTGCCGCATCAATGACGTAAGTTTGGCTTGACCCGCGCGCGAAGCTAGCTCGAGCTGCAGCTGTGTGCAGCTCACAGTGACGATATACGGGACTGACGAAAGTGATATTGCAGCTATAGAGGGCAGACGAGGAGTCAAGACCCTATACACGATGGTGCGTTCTGCGTAGAGATTGACTAAAACGAGAGTAAAGCCCCTTGAAAACCCAAAACGAAACAAAAAGACAGAAACACAAAAAGTTGAACAAACTGGGAATCGAACCCAGGCCCTTTCGGATTGCGATCCTAGACAGAAAAAGCTTTTAAGCTTGAATGCAACACCTTAACCGCTCGGTCATTTGTCCGCCAATATTACGCCTCCCCACATCGGCTGTCAATAATATATATTCAGCCATAGACCCGGTACCCCAGGTCAGCCATCCACTCAACCTTGTCACCCTCAGTAAACTCCTTTCATACTCATACGAACGATCCCTCGTATGATCTGCTTGTATATCTTAGTACTGAACAACTTCAGCCCTGGCCCTGACAATCTTGGTCGGGATCACTGACGACTGGTCATCACCGAATAGCCCATATTTCGCCGCCTTCCACGAAGACGTAGCATCAATGAAAGACCCATGCCGCGGACACTGCTCGATCTGTGGCGACTTGTGGCAAGACAATCCGCATCAGAATCAGTTAACTTACCGGACACTCGTACAGTGACTCAGTGGAATTGTCAATTACAATGGCTCGTATCATCTCGTATGATGTTTATATTATAGTCAGCCAGCGGAAGAGTCGAGTGCACGCAGATATCATAATCGCCATTCAAAAACCCCTTCCCTCCAACCATTCCTTCACCTGTGGGACCCACCTCCCCTTCACCTCCAGATGTTGATTTGTCGGTCGCACAGTGACGACGGGAGCCGGTAACAATGGGTCGATATGTGTTTGCTGGAAGAGCGCATTGAGGTCGGCTTGTAATGACTGCTAGGTCAGATGCTTTCAAGAACGTCGCTTCGGACTTACACCGACATCACCCTAGTCTGTCAGCTCATTCCTACTTCCCCATGTATAGTACCGGAAGGGAGAGGGGAACAGGGGAGCTCACCTCTACATTCCGCACCACCGTCTTCCACATATTCCCTCTTCTCAATTTGCTATACACTGGTAGTTCCCCGTTTGCTGTACGAGGTACCTTATACGCCTCCGCTACCGCTGATGATGAAGACGCTTCGGCATTTATTGGTGGAGGGGGCGTGGAGGATGAGTTGGAGGGGAGAGAAGGAGTTGTGAATGACCGGACGAGAGATCGGGATTGGCGAGTTATTGAGCGGATTGAGAGCGCCATCTTGATAGTGAGGGATTGTGGGAAGCCTCTGTTATGCGTGCGGTAGCCGTATTATACTATATATAGTATGAATGGGTGGGTAGATGGGGTAGGCAAAAGGGGAAGATAGAGGTGGATGTCGTAGATCTCAGCCGAAATTCTGCTCCCGTCTTCACCTACCCAAGCCACACCGAGCTTTCACTTGGCTTCCACTATGATCCTACGGTATATCTCCGCTCAGAAATGCATCCCCGTAGACTTTCGCCCAGGATCACCGCCTACAACATGCTCCTGCGGCCGTCCTAAAGCCTCTCAATCACCATCGCGCTCGCCGCACCACCACCGTTGCAGATCGCCGCCACACCCTTCTGTCCGGGCTTGAGCGCGTGGATGAGGGTGACAAGAATACGACAGCCGGAGGATCCGATGGGCTACCGTCAGCAAAGCCAAGTATAGACTCACGTGTCCCAAAGCCACAGCACCACCGCGGACATTGACAATGCTCCGGTCCAGCTTCAACACCTTTTCAGCCGCACAGGCGACAACCGAGAATGCCTCGTTGAACTCCCAGAGCGCAATGTCGTCCTGAGAGACACCGGCAGCCTTGAGAGCGGCGGGAACGGCGAGGGTGGGGGCGGTAGGGAAGTCGATAGGGGCGCATGCGGCATCGGCGAAGCCTGAATCAGCTCAGTCTTGCTTGTACTCACCTAGGATCTTGGCGATCGGCTTCAGGCCCTCCTTCTCCACCACGCTCCCTGAGGCCAGAACGACAGCGCTAGCACCGTCGTTCAAGCTGCTCGCGTTGGCAGGCGTGACGGTCCCCTCCTTGATGAAGACACTCTTCAATCCCCTGTACTTCTCCTTGATAAACTTCTTGTACTCTTCATCCTCCTTGACCACCACGTCGCCCTTCTTGCCCTTGATCGTCACAGGGGCGATCTCGTCGGCGAAGAGGCCTTGTCCCCAGGACTCGGCGGCGCGGGTGTAGGACGACAGGCAGTGGTCGTCTTGGTCCTCCCGGGAAATGCTGAGCTTGGACGCGGTGTGCTCGGCGCAGTTGCCCATGGCGAATTTGTTGTAGACGTCAAAGAGACCATCGGTGACGAGGGAGTCTTGCGCTTGGACGTGGCCAAAGGCGGGGTTGGTACGGGGGAGGAGGAATCTAATCAGCCCGGTTGGAGGTGAACTTACGGTGCGTTCGACATGCTCTCCATACCGCCAGCGACCATAACGCCGCGGACGCCGAGCTTGATGTTTTGGCTGGCCAGCATGACCGACTTGAGGCCGGAAGCGCAGACCTTGTTGATGGTGGTGGCGTCGACCGAGTCGGGCATTCTAGCGATCAGCGGTGAATGTGCTTTGACCTACCCAGCGCCAATCACAACCTGCCGGGCGGGACTCTGTCCAACCCCAGCCTGAACGACATTCCCGAGGTACACCTCCTCTACCCTGTCCGCCTTGATACCCGCGCGCTCGACCGCATGCTTGACTGCGGCAATACCAAGCTCTGGCGCTTTGACGGAAGCGAGCACCCCATTGATGCTGCCGATGGGCGTGCGCGAGGCGGCGAGAATAAAGACGGGCTCGATGGAAGACTAGAGTCAGCGCGGTCGACGCTAGGACGCACCATTTTTCTAATACCTGTTGTGACTGTAGATACTGAGCGAGTACGGATGATGGACAACATGGGTCGTACGAGGAAGAGATTTGAGCAAGGATTGGGGAATGCGGGGGTCCGCAATTTCAGGCGCGTCCTTTTATACCTGCAGCCGGCCGGGCCTTGTCCCGGCATTGATCCTCATTCCCGGTTATACCAGCCGGATGTCTCACTCTATGATCTATGGACATGCATGAGTGGTACCAGATAAGATAAGCAATTATATACAAAGAGGCAGAGAAGATTAGACTGATTGTCAGCTCCTTCCTAGCGCCGCCGCTATGCCCCTTGTCTAAAATCAAAGACTGACCGTATTTGCCAAAGAATGGAATCAAACTCTGGGCCAGAGTGTAAGAGAAGACAAGCTTGGGCCCAACGACCAGAATCTACCGTCAGCCAGCCCCAAGACACACTCACCTTTGGTGTCAACCCCTTGAAGAAACTCCCGAGACCCTCCTGCTTGACCATGTTCCGGATGATCGACATGCCGCCCTGCTGACTTTCAAAGTTGGCGTTTTGTATGCGGGTCTTGACGACGTCGAGAGGGGCAGCGACGGTGATCGAGGCGACCGCACCGGCGATGGATGCGACGAAGTCTGATTAGCCAAGCCTTGGTACGACTCACTTTGTCCCCATGTGGCGGAAGAATAGTCTGAAATCTTGAAAAAGTACTCCTTGGCTACTGCTGATCCTCCAAAGAGCTACGTCAGCTCATTCATGACTTTCACTCACTGCAAAGCTTCCCGGGGCGTTCCTAGCCATGGTCCATCCCCATCCTCGGTACAAACTCCCCAACCCCTCATCCGTCACCAGCTTGAAGAAACCTCGGCCCCGCAGCGCATCCGGGTTGGTCTGCATCTTGATCTTGAGCACATCCAAAGGCAAGAGCACGACCTCTCCAATACCCGTTAAACTACATCAGCCAAGTTCACTTCGAACTCACCTTCCAGCGGCAGCGTGCATCATCATCCCGCCCCACTTGGCGCCGAAGGTCCCCCTCCACCACCCACCACCCTGCTTATCGATCATATCCCTAAAGTAAGGCTGCCCGCCAAACTTGTACACCCTTTGGGCGACCTTGTACCCTGCGGCATAGCCGAGACCGGGGAAGAGCGAAAGGAATTTGGTGTGGATAGGCGAAGCGGCGTGGGCTTTGAAGAGAATGGTGGAGAGGTTGGCGCCGGATACTTGGCCCCTGTTCGACATGAGGCGCTTGGCGATGGTGTCCTGGGGTTAGTGGGGTCAGCGTGTGACCTACGATAGGGTGGAAGACCATCAGCTCGGCGATGCCTGGGGTCAGCGAGTTCAGAGGTGGATTTACCTGACGCTCCAGATCCCAAGATTCTAGCTGTTCCGCTCTCGCGCTTTCCGCCTGATGACATAGGGGGTGACATGTTGGTGATGGGGTGAAGGTGAAGAGAAGCAAAGATCAAAATTCCTCCCCCATATCTCGCCGTGCCTGAAAGATAGCCACGCGCGGATAGGACTGCTGACGGAATCAAATAAGCCACACCCGGAAAATCCCGCTCACACCACCTCTCACTATACATCACCTTCTATACCTCTACCTACCTCTAATACCCATCAGCATGTTCGCCTCATCAGTCAGACGATCGCTCGGGGGACTCATCCCGCCCAAGATTGCGACTCCAGGCGCGGTCGTACGTTGACTTCCCGCCGAGATAGGCCAGTTCGCTTCGCTGATCCCTAGTCATCCGGCGGTACATCTGCCCGGACCGCATCAGTCATCGAATTCTACTCGAAGCTTCCCAAGGGACCCAAGCCCGAGTCGGAGCGTCCAGGAGGTCTCCGAGGCCGTTACTTTGAGGGCAAGAACGCTAGCGGGTGAGTTGGTGAGGCGCGCGGAAGAAGCAGACGATTCGGCTCTGGCGTCAGCGCAGAGGCGATAGACCAAGGCGGAAGCGGACGGCGGACAACAGCCTGGGAGACTCTACGCCGAAGAATGACGATGGGACTTGTCTACAGAGTTTGGAGGGAATTGCTGAGCTGGGCGGAATGGCGGAGGGACAGCCACAATTAAAGGTGGACCAAGGAAGTGCGGCTGGAAACGTCGGGGCGGATTTTGTACCCTTCGAGCTGGGAGAATCCGATCAGGGAGTGGAAGGGCGATAGAGGAGACATGACTCGAGGGGGTATAAGGAGGAACACGTGCGGGCGAGTTTTGCGCAGGAGCGATTCCGCTCTCAGATTGATTGTTGCTGGTGCTCTGCTATCTGCTTGTCCACCTTCCCGGAGGTCTAGCTGACAGATCAGTGCCCCCTTCCTCGCCACAATTCTCATCCTTTTCGGTCTTGGCTACACTATCGACTACAACAGTGAGTTATCTCTCTAGCGATCACCAGAGGGCTTAGCTGACAACATAGTGCACTTGAAGCACCACAAGAACGGGCACCACTAGAGCGACAGAGATGCGATAGGGATGCATGTCGTTGCTGAGTATGAGTGCTATATGGCGGGGTAGCGGTCCTGATCGTCCGCGCGCTGCACCTCTTCCTTGCTCGATAAGTCCAAGTGGAATCGTGAGGTGCCGCACACGTCCCCACTTCAGTGCTTGTCCTTCTGCTCGGTTTGTATCGGCGAGCGTGCCGTCGGAGTCGAGTCCCCATATCTATCGTGACTTTGGGACTGCTGGGACATGCTGGTCGTCAGACAAGTTACGGCAATACGCGGGCGAGATGCAGGATCACCAGGTGATAAATCAAGCTCTCGCTACCTGTCTTTTCAGTCGTCAATCTGTCGAGTTCTGAAGTCTAGCCTCTCCTGCACAAGTATGACCGCGAGCACGCCGATCCGCTCCTCGGTCTGGCCTCGCAAGTCCAACACTCTGCTCGCGCATGGACGACCTTACCCCTTGCGTTTCAGAATCGAAGATAAGGTTCACGCTTGGACCTTTGCTCGGATCAGCTTTTCATCTGCATCTCATCCTCAGCTCAGCCCTCACCCAGCATGCCTGACTCAGCTCCTACAGTACTAATCCTTGGGGGCATCACCACCCTCGCTCGCCCTCTTGCGCTATACTTCCTCAACTCGTCCCCACCCCTAGCTTCATTCGTCCGAATCGCGGACCGTTTCACCATTTCGCCCCCATCGACCTATCTCGATCGACCCTTTCGCGAGCTCCTGCAGACAGACCAGCTAGAATATCAACAGATCAACCTGTCGAATGTAGCGAGACATGCCGAGCTTCTCACCCACGAGACGAAGGGGTTTGACGTGGTCTACGATCTGACGGGGGAGATGGGGTTTGACAAGTCCGAGATAGTAAGTTTAGCTTGGGCCAGCTGACCCAGACGCAAATCTCCAACACACACTCCCTTGCGCTCTCCCTCGCTACCTCCGCTCTGGAACCAGCAGTCCGACCCAAAGCGTACATCCGCCTCACCTACTCATACTACGAAATGAAGTCCCTCGCATCGTCCTCTGCGGGCCATACCGAGTCGGCCGACCTGAAGCCGGATGGGGTGCGAGGGAGATGGTGGCATGAGACTCTGCGGGGACTCGGGGCGCTCAGGGAGAAGGGGCTGAATGTGGGCGTGATCCGGGCGGGAGCATGGTACGGGCCCGGGATGTGGGGCGGGGAGGTCGTCCCGAGATTGGTTGCGGGGCAGGTGTACCAGTATTTGTGAGTCTGTGATAGACCGAGCTGATGGCAGAAAGGAAGAGATGAAGTTTCTGTACAAGTGAGTCTAGCTAGGACAAGCTGACCCAGTTCCGACCTCCGTATCAATACCATCCACACGACAGATCTCGCGCAATCCCTACACCTCTTATCGCTATACCTCCTCAAACCCAACCCCGCCCTCGTCAAGATCCCCTTCTCGTTCCCTCCACCTCCAGCCTCTTCGTTCCTGCTCAAGGATAAGCGCTCCTCGGTCAGCGATGTATGGAAGACCACCCCGCTCGTCGTCAACCCCGACGTCGAGGTCAGCCTGCCCCTGTTCAACGTGGTCGATAGTGCCAACTCGACGCAAGGGGACCTGGGGAAGGCCGTAGCGGAGGTATGGGGGATCAAGTATGGGTTTTTGAATGCTACGATGGCGATGCTGGTGCAGCAATTTGCAAAGGTGAGTTTAGGTCGAGCGAGCTGACGTAGACCGACTTTACAGAAATGATTGAGGACGTCAATGAAATGGTGCGTCCAGCTTTGGCGTAGCTGATGGTAGCATGTCGAAGCATGGTCTAAGATGTTAGCAGCTTCGGATCCGCCTATAGAGAGTACACCGATCACGCCGTTCCTGGATGAGCATGCCTTCAGGAGTAAGTCTTGGACCGTCAGAGCTGATTTAGAAATGGCAATCTGTCTAGATGGGTCCAGGGCGAGACTGCTGCTGGGTTTCAAGCCCGCACATCCCAGGGTGGAGGTGGCGGAGCTGAGAGCGATAGTGAAGGGCTTTCAGGAGGAGGGGATATGGTGAGTCAATGTCAGAATGAGCTGATGTCAGGCCGACGTTGTGATATGGACATTGTCTGAGGGTATAGGAGTAGGGAGTATCATAATGCATCTGGTCAACACGCCACCATGTTCCCCCGAATACTTCGAATCTCATGCGCTGCTAGGTCAGCGCTGAACGAATACTGATGGACAATACTCACAAAGCTACTGCCGGAAGCGGACACGATCCATCGCCAGGGACGAGCCTAGAGCCTCGAGACAGCGAGTCTCGAACGCTATAGACTGGTCCCGCGCGATCCACCGCCTCGGCCACCTCTCCAAAAACATCTTTGAATGTCTCCCCCATCATCTTCTCTCCGTCACCGGCAAGACCTCTTGGTCGGCGTAGCGATTGACCCGGCCGATGATCTGATGTTGATCATATGCCGACCATACGGGATCGAGGAGGACGATGTGATTCGCCTTGGTAAGGGTAATCGCCGTAGAGCCGATCGAGCTCATGAGGAGCACCCGAGCACCCTGGCCGGGACCCGGGCGGTATGTCCGCACGATCCCGTTGATCGTCTCCGTCACAGGGAGGACTTCTTGGTCCGTATCCTGCTGGAACGCTGCGATGATCCGAGTCTGCTCCGCGGGAGGGAAGATCGCCTTTTGTCGCTACACATAAGCCAAGGAAGCGCAACATGCACCGGTTCACCTGTACATCAATTTGCGTTCGAAAAAATGTAGATTTCAGTCCAACTCACGAGCGCGACCGCATGCTCCAGGAAGAGCTTTTCTGGTCGATGCCGCGTCTGACGCCGCGCCGAGGAGCGATGTCAGAACGTGTCTGCATCGCAGGGTACTGGCCAGACGCAGCTTGGTACGGCTATTTTGTCAGCTCATACTGCCGTCGGGCCAAATGCTGTTATTGGTCTCACCGGGGGTAGCTCTTTGCCGATGGAACGGACAGTCGGAGCAATCGATATCGTCTACCCGGTCAGCAGTTAGATCACTCTGAGCGATGAAGAGGTACTCACATCATCCTCTTCACTGTCACTGTCGACGACGATCGGGTTCTGATACCCAGCGCCTCGTAGTCAGAGTCTGGGTGTTCGTGGTACTGTATGCGAAAGTTGACAGCGGGGTGATTGTGCCGGGGACGGTAGATGCGGGATCGCAAGAGAGCGCGCTGGACAAAGTGTGACAAGGCACTGGACATCAGCTCCATCCCCATTACTACTCACAATCGACGTGTGTTTGCAGACTCGATCATACCCTCCCTAAGCATCATCATTCCCAGCTCTCTTCCGGTCCAACGTCTACCGGCCCCGGCACAATCACCTCGTTGTCGGCTCCCGCTATAGCCCACATAGGTCGCCATACCGCAGAGGCTCCGTGCGGACGAGCGCCGGCCGGGATAAAGAGATGGGTAAGATGATTTGATGAGGAAGGGGAATGGCAGAGGAGAGGACAGAGGGGAGAGAGAGGATGATATTGGGGCTGGCTGATCAGCTGGGGTCTGTACACGTCGACGAGCCATGAGCGAAAGCTGGCTTACATGCTCGATGAGAAGGGCAGGAAGAGCTTGAATTGGAATGTCGAAACGGGATGATGGGAGGTGGGAAGAACGAGTGAGGTGTAAGCGAGGGACCTCCTTATATGGCAGAGATCAAAGCGAAATTAAGGCGGGCGGAGCCAAAACGGGTGGACTGACAGGGGATGACTGTACACAAAAAGGGGTCTGGAGATCAGCATGCACACAAGTGGATGTGGAGAGAGCAACCTTATGGACGCCACTAACCCGATATCGGCGGATCTTGACTTTACCATGTTCGCCCTGACAGGCTCTTCCCCGTCGAGCGCTGGGAAGCAGCCAGCCGAATGAATGAGAACCTTACATGTCTGATGTGCCCTCGACACTTGTCCGAGACGATGGTAAGGTCACAAGGTGAACGTGGCAGAATCCCGCCCCCCTCGCACTGCGCCACATTCCTCGGACCTCCGCCACCTTGATTCAGGCACCGAGATGAAACATGGTTCCGTCCGTGCCTGTCACACGGGCAGTGCGCGTCAAATTCCCCGCTCGTCCGCCCCGTGTCCTCTCCTCTGCCCTGCCTTTAGCTTTGTTAGCTCCGTCGCCAAGAGACAATAAGACGTCACGGACTCATGCGTGTCGCTTTGACGTCATTTCACTGATAGAACCTCACACTGTCGCCACTGTCCTCCCCATATCCTCGTGTCCATCACTCACCCTCAGCCAACCCATAACATTCTGACTTGTTCATCACACTGACTGACATCTCCAACCCCATCACTCAGCTCAACACCAACCAATAGTCACCATGTTCGACCTTGAGTTGCCCGCTTGGACCAAGTGAAGTGCTTCGCGTCAGGGCCATTTCTCTTCACCTGAACCGGAACCGCCTGGACGTGCTCCGGCTGACGAGCAGGCTTCCGCCACAAGATTGACTCGCACTTTGCCGGCTCGCCGCACAAGCAGTCCCGCGCCGAGTTTATGCTCGTCACGGGTGCTACGCCCATTGAGAAGAAGGGGCACTTTACGAGGGAGGTCGTCGGTGCTGCTGCCGCCATGGAGGCTATGAAGGTGAGTGATGCTGTGATGGCGATAGAGGGATGAGAGGTAGTAAGGAAGGGCAGTAGGTATGAGGGGATCATTTCAATGGAGAACGCAGTAGGGTTTGCGAGGCGGGGGCGACCAAGGGCGCCTCGGGTGGCCAGAGAGACTTTGAGTCCGCCGGCACATCTCCGAAAGAGATCAATCACGTATATAGAGTCAGTACTGATGCAGCAGGCTTTCGAGAAGCACGAGATCCACACTGGGTCCAAGCCGACCCATCACCGAGCCAAGGAGGTCAGTACAAAGGTCATTAAAGCAGCACAGCAGCTGACGAATAGATCATTGCGGGCCTTGCATCGGGATACGCCAGCCGCATGGTCGAGGAGAAGGGTCTGCCCTTCAGTGAGTGTCCACCGCCGTGACCGAGACCCGTACTGATCCCAGGCTCCACTTCTGAAAAGACCCGCTTCATCGCCGATGCGCAGCGCGAGGCTATCCGGGATTCCAAGCGCGCTCTTCGCGAGTCGGGCCTGTATGAGGAGAGGGAGCTGGAGAAGATTGACAAGGACGAGATGCACGGGCATTTGATCTAAGGCGGTATAGTCGAGCGGTAGCCATTTCCAGGGTGGTTGAGAGCGGAGCGGAGCTTTGTCACGGTGGTAACGATGCAACTGAAAATGCCGGCATGCTATTCGCAGCAGTGGAGCCATCTCTCCGTTGTCTTCACTTGCCGTTGCATCTTATCCATACCATCTAATCTACAAAGTCAGCACAGCTTTCCCGTAAGCCCTGCAGAGAGAGCGAGAAGTACCAGTGAGTAGGTCCCAGGATGTCGATAAACATATGCCGGGCTGACTGTCTCAGAAAGCCTGCTCCTCATTCAGGGCGCGTTCCGTGACTGCGCAAAGTCTTCACCTTCATCCACGCATCGCTTCTACACCGCCCACCATGTCGGCGTCATTCAACAGCACAGCTGCCATCACCCAGTCCACATACGCCACCGTCCCGCCGCCCGTCTCCTCATTCACCTCCTACTACACCTCTCCCTCATCCACCGTCCGCGTAGCTGAAACTGCCTTTGGCTACAGCAATGCGCCTCTCTCTCGCTCGTCACAGGCAGTCGTCTCCTCCTACTCGCCCCTCAGTGTCGCCATGAGCTCCGCCATTCCCTCTCCCTCGTCAGGCGTCGGGTACCCGGTCCAATCGGTCCAGGCAGCGCAGGTGGACAATGCGGACACGCCTCCCGGCGGACTGCGCCTACCTGTTATCGTCGGAATCGTCATTACGAGCGTCTTCGTCATCGTCGCTCTTATCGTCGGGCGGTATTGGCTGCGGCACAGACGCGCCAAGGCGGGCAGGCAGGATGCGAGGCATATGAGGGAGATTGGGAGGGAGCAAGGCGGAGGCGAAGGCGGAGCATGGGCGTTCGAGACGGCGGTGCAGAGTGCGCCGCCCATGGTGGAACGCCATCTGGCGTTACCCACTGCATCGTCCCGAGGCAACTCTCACCGGGGCAGCACGTCCACCTGGGCGGACGACTCGGAGATGGACATGATGGCAACGGATGGATCTACCATCGCGCGGACCCTATCCACACGGTCTACCTCGTCGGTATCAACCATCCGCACCACCAACCGCGACACCCTTGATCATCCCGGATACACCTACCCCACTCGCTCGGCGTTTTCCACGCTTCCCTCTGTTGGCCGGTCCAACTCGTCTCGCTCCCCTCACACCCTCATCTCTCCCTTCTCCGACCCCTCTCCTACCAGCACCACCCTCTCCCCATTCGCCGACACCCACACCGCTTCCTCCTCTACCACCCTCCCCCGCGCCCCATCCCGCGTTTCCACGGTCTCGTCCGAAAATCCCTTCCAGGACCCTCTGCCGGTGTACTCGCTCGAGGCCCAGCGGCTGTCGGAAGTTCTTAGCCCCTTTGACGTGCCAATCATAGGGCAGGGCGGGCTGGAGAGGCAACTGCAGAGGCCTCCGCCGGCGTATGTCGAGAGGGACCGAGGGGCGAGGTAGCTAGTTCCCATCCTAGGTAGTTTATTTTGGGTTAGCAGTCAGCTCGTATTAAGATTGTAGTATGCTAGCTGTGTAATCATGGTACATCATTATGGAAGCTCGAAGCTGTTATACATGTCGTGCTTGGCCGGCTCATACCACCTGCTCGTCAGCTCCAGCCTCTTACCATTGAGAGCAAACTCACCTTGGTCGCCAAAGCCAAAACCTTGCTCCATCTCCCACCCGGCCCGCCTGCACCTCCCGGCAGATCTCTCAGCGCACTCGAAACAATCCCGTTCACCCGTGTCCCAATCATCTCCCCTTTGGGGTTCAGCAGCACACACGCCGAGTCGTCAAAGCTGCCATCAGCCCTGTCCATGCGAACACTCACTTGACATATCGCCCATCTGGCCGTAATTCCGATTTCCGCGTCCGGACCACTACTGCCCGCCTGATATCCCCTCTTCTAACTTTCTGGATATTTCCTGTGGTAGGACCGATAGATTCTGCCCGTAGTGCCGGTCTCGCCTTATTTATAACGCATACGATCTCATCGCCTGGATGTCAGCCGAGTTGGAAAAGCAGGACATACCGACAGTAGCGAATCCGGTCGACTTTTTCTTGGTCTTTACTTTCAAGACGTTGATGCACTCGGCGATGAGTGCGCCAGAATTGTCAATGACGTTCAGTCTACCCTTGAGGCCGATCATGATAGTGTATGCGATGAAGAGTAGATGCAAGAGAGATGATGATATCTCAGCCAAAATTTGGTCCCGATGCCTCCACCGCGCGAGCCAAGGTCCACCAGTCAACAACACTCAGCTCTAGCTTATACACCATGGCGCAGAGCGCAGAGTACACTCCCAGCCATCCGAGCCTGGTATGGCCCCGCTCAGACGGTACTAGCAGCAGCTGGCCCGGCCGAAACACCCCCGACCAGGCCGCGCAGAACGGCAAGTACTACGAGCCCGTGCCCGACCGGGACTCGCGATATCTGGCGTTCGAGGAGCGTGCGGGGGAGCACCTGGCTGCGGTACTAGGGCTCCCCAAGCGTCCAAGTGAGTCAACGCGCTGTGCGGGCTGACGTCAGGCGGAAAACCGCATCGTATACCCATGCCCTCGGGGTACAAGATCTTCGTCACCCGGCACAAGGGGAACACGTCGAAACGTGAAAGCTCCTACTGCTATGTAAGTTCAGGGGAGGTCCGAGCTCATCTCAGGGATCGAGCCAGGAGAAGCGCTTCAAGAACGTCAACGAATGGAAGCTACATGCCGAGTGGCTGTTCGATACGACTAAATCGCTTGAAAAGCACGCGTGGGAGGTGGGTCGAGGTCCAAGCTTGGCTGATGATAGTGCGGCTGCATGAAGCTGGCTCCTCACCAGCCTGGCATGCCTCCTCGGCAACCTATCGCGGCGGCTCGTCCGCCTATCATGGCTCCTCCGCCTGTTCACGGCATGGACATCGCGGACGACGTATCAGACTGCTCTACCGCCTCGACCGATCCCTCAGTCTGCGGAGGGCCCGCCTATGAGCCCAGACATCAATTCGCGTACCCTCCACCTAGACCCGTCGCTCCAGATCCGAAGAAGGAGGAGGACCCAAGTCCCAAAGAGGAGGTCAAGCCGAGGGAGCTGATTTCGAAAACTTCGGTCCCAGCGCCAAAGCCACGCGCTCCCCCCCTCGTCATCCCCAGGGCGGAACTTCCCCAAGTACCTAAAGCTGCTCGAGCGCCGTCCAGAGCGGTCGTCCCCGTCCCCATGCCCAAGGGAACATATACCAGGCCAATCTTGCCCGAGGCTGCTGCTCCAGATCGACCCCCTTCGCGATCAGCGGCGCCTACTCTCCGAGTAGCCGCACCGTCTCGAGCGGCCCCTCCCCCTCGAGCAGCCGCCCCTTCCCGAGCGGCGGCAAACCCCTCCATCCCCGCACCCACCTTCTCCGGCCACCTCAGGCGACAAATCGCCCAGTCCTCCCTCCCTCCAGACGCCCACCGCCCGGCCAAGCGACAACGGGGATCCTCCGAGTCGGACGAAGAGGTCGAACCCATGTACTCCAAGGATACAGGTCCGAGCGGCGTCGTCTATGATCGAGGATACGACCTCAAGTATCAGCGGCGTCATCGGCGGGGCGAGCTCGTCTGGGTCCAGATCGATCCCATCACCCCTTCGGCCCCTCCCTCCCGTCGGTGCGCGCTCTCGGATCGGTCTTTGTTACCTGAGATCACCCACTGGCCAGTGATCATTGCGGATATCCGTCTGAAGGTCACCGTCGCGCGAGATGGGGCTAACGAGCCTGGCGAAGTTACCCACAGCTGGACCTACCACCTCCGGCCGCTGGGAATGTTTTCGCCAAAGAGCGAGATTGTACGGGATCAGAGTGATTTGCTGCCGTGGGCGATGGGAACGGAGCTCTTGGCTGGGCCAGCAGGATGGCAGCAGCTCGCCCAGGAGGGGACCAGGGTGCTTGACGAGGCAAGCCACCAGTCAGCGCTGGATTGGGAGGAGGGGTTAGGTGGACGGATCAGATTTGAGGAGATGGACGAGGGGGAAGATGCGACCTTTAGATTGGGCGTTGCCATACGGACTGGCACAGTAAGTCTGATGTAAATCTAGCTGATGGCAGCAAATTGCCAACAATTGGTGTCAGACAGATCGGATCGACATCATGTCGGAAGTCGACCGCCGACTAGTCATCAATGAGGAGACGTACGCCTATCAAGGGCTATGGCTGGGCGGGGAGCGGATATGGGTGGATGATATCGTCCGGCTAAAGAAAAGTCGCGCGGATGTACCATTCCCGCTTTCGGCGGCGGAACAAGCGGGATCGGAAAAGAGGCCCGTATTCATGAGGATAAGGTGAGTTGCGTCATGACGTGGCTGATGACAGGTGGATCAAGGTGGAACAAGTGGCGGGCAAACCACGTTGCGTGATTCGAGGGGACATTGCCGAGCTGGCGCTCAAGGACGGCGAGGAGGAAGCGTGGCCCCAAGATGGAGCCTTCAAGCTGGCAGCGTCATACAAGGCTCCGATGGGCTATCGTTTCAAGCAGTTGAACGATGCTGCGACGGAAGCGATGTGTGATGTCTCTGGTGAGTTCCGGGTCAACAGCGCTGATGGTAGATATCGCGGGCAGACTCTATGTCGATCTACTGGATCATGACACCCAGACATGGCTATTCTCAACGGGCGCGGACGAGACGGGCCGACATCAACCCGGCAAGACGGCTTTGGCGCTGATTGGGCGGCTCCCAGGCACGCATGCGTACTCTGCTCCTGGGATATGGAAGGGTGAGTCTATACGCCGACGACACTAATGGGCAGATCACCTCTCTGCGATGATCGAAACGGCCTGCCACGATACCGAGAAGGCCGTCAAGGAGCACTATGAGCAGCGTGTCAGCGCGCGACCACGCCCAAAGAATCCCCTCCCTACCCCACCGACATCGGCAGATGGCGCTTCTAGCTCTTCACGCCAATCACCGGCCAAGTCGCTATCTGCCAATGTCGCTCCTAGTCCAGCTAGGCGGCAAGTGTCGGCCGTAGCTGCGTCGCCATCACGACCACGCGTGCGGCCGCCGTCGGCGGAGGTCATCGTCATTGAGGACTCGCCAGAGCCAGAGGCTGACGATGCGGACTGGGAGAACTGGGCGTGATCATTGTGGCTCTAAGTGGTATACCTACGTGATAATTGATATGGACAACACTACTGCTTGAGATTAAATCAGGAGATGCTCTGGCGGAGCGCTGAGCAAGGGCTTGGCTCAAAATTTTGAGGAATGCGGAGTTGGTCACGTTGGGCGGAAATCGGCTCGCACCAACGTTTGTATCGTCTACACATCATCTCATAGATACGCTTGACGCAATGAAGGCGGCCTCGGGCTGTATGCGCTGTCTCCGCCGGTCTCTGGCCTCGAGGTCGAGCACCCACGATACCGCTGGGAGTATAAGAGCAGCACGCTCGATCTTCTCCACCTCCACCCTCCGCTCCGACCTTCCACCGTCCGCATCTACAACCGAGCTGGAGCAGCAACGCCAAGCCGCAAAACAGCGCGCATGGTATCTTGATCCATCCGACTCGGCTCCCCCACCATCGCTGGCCCCATCCTCCAAACCCCGCTTTACCACATTCGACCCATCCTCCACCCTCCCCACTGCCGCCCCAGCCCTCCCTGCTCGTCCACTCCCCGACAACGCCCCTTCCCATTTCGCCCCTCTCCACCACTTCCTGACCACTCTGGAACTCCTCGAACCCTCCTCGGTCGTCTTTCTGCATACGCCCTCGTCCGGAAGTCTGCAGCGGGACGAGGAGGAGCTCGGGGTCGGCGGGATCGGGGCGCGCTGGGAATGGGTCGTTGTCGCAGTGGTCAGAGGGAGAGGGAAGGGCGTGGTCGGAAGAGCAGAGCGGGCAGTGAGATTATGGGTGAGTTTCAGCTAAAGACATTGGCTGATTGTGCAGCTCAAAGATAATCCTAGTCCAAAGTTGTCGACGAAGGCGGCGCCAAGGAGGATGCCTAGAGTAGAGGCGGATACGGACTGGTCGCTGGTGCCAATTGGACAGAGCAGAGCTTGTATCAACCTCTTCACGCAAGAGGGAAGGGACAGGTGGGACTTGGAGGATCTCTTTGCTGCTAAATGAAAATAATGCACATCATAGCTCCTCGTGGACCATAGTCTCCCTCACTTCGGCACCACCGCCGGAGCCAGCCTCCACCTCGGGCTGCGCATCCGCAACAACTCCCTCCGCCGGCGAGCTCCCCTGCAACATCTCCTCGTCCACCCCCTCTTCCGCCTCGGGCCTCGGCGCATTCTCCACCTTGCTCGCCTCCTCCCCTCCGGTCCCCGCTGCAGTCGCGCCTCCATTTGCCTTGGCTGCTAACTTCGCCCGCCTGATCTGGTCCCTCTTCTCTGCCTCCTCCATCTTTGCCCGGAGCTTGGCTTTCCGATCGATCTCGGCCTGGCGAGCCGACTTGGCATCGGCATCAGCGGTAGCGGGCGGTGTATCCGCTTGAACGGGTTTCTGAGCCTTGGAGTCCTCTTTGGGTGGAGGAGGCGGTGTCTTGCCGTCCATCAAGGCTTGGAGCCACTCCAAGAGCGCGTTGAACTTGAATGCGCCTATAGTCAGCTTTGGGATGGCGAGGACATACCGTCATATTCCACTATTTGACCTCGGGAGGCGCTCGCAGCCCAAAACACGGCACGTGTAGCATCTCGCGATGTGTCTGCGGGTTCATAGATACCGAGCGAAGTGAGCGTCTCGTGGGACGCCGAGTCCTTGACATAACCGACGTGCATCTGGTGGTCAGCTGGATCTCTGCCGAAACCAGGTCGGATCCTGCCAGCTCACCGTGCTGGATAAGCGCTGACCTAGAACTTTCCATAGGAACGGAATAGACGGTGTCGATGGATGTATCAGAAGCGCATGAGGCTGACTAGGTTTCTATCCGTCAGCACGCCCCCGACGCAGTACAAGCAGTACTGACCTCACCGAGAAACTTGCCCAGCGCCGTTTCGGCTCCCTCGTCCATCCTCAGCTTCTTGACGCGATCAGGGACCAGCCCCTTCGCGTAGTCGATCAAAGCGCCGCGCTTTCTCTCCCCCTGATAATCCCTCGCCGCCCCCTTCAGAGCCCTCGGGAATGCCTTGATGGTCGGGAACCCCTGGATCTGGTACTCTGCGCAGAGCCGTTTATTGCCTGCATCATCGCAGTCGACAGCGTAGAATGGGATGAGCGGGGACAGAGACGTTGCCGCAGCGGAGAACTCTGGGCCGAGGGATTTGCAGTGGCCACACCATGGTGCTACGAACGCTACCATCTAGGGTCAGCGCGGCGGCAAGTGTGGACGTACCGCTGCATGTTCCACGCTGAGAGCTTGCTTGAAGGTCTTCGCGTCCAGATTGACGACAGGCGCACTGTACATCCCCGCCAGCGCGCATGGCGCTAGGGTGGCCAAGATAGCCAAGGCTGTGAGCATTGTGAAGGTGTGGATGGACAAAGCAAGGAATGCGGAGTTGGCGCGGACCTCTGACGTGGAGGCGCACATACGCACGGACTGCTGGGCCGAGCGGATATCGCCGCCGTGACAGTTCTCCGAAACTCCGGTAATTTCCGGGAGTGTGGCACTTTCCTGTGATGGAAATTCGCTGCATGTGCATGACTTGACCACCTTCTTGTCGCTGTTTGTCCAGTCTATCCACTCAAAATGCCGTTCGTCAAGAGACAGAAGAACGACGCCTACTTCTCGTGAGCTTCACCGCTCGTAATCCGCCCAGGGCACAGCTCACACCACAGGCGGTTCCAGGTCAAGCCCAGGCGGAGAAGGGAGGGAAAGACCGACTACTATGCGAGGAAGCGGTTGATCGCCCAGGCCAAGAACAAGTACGCGTCCCCCAAGGTAAGCTTCCCCACTCGACTGCTGGAATCGCGCTGATCATTAGTACCGTCTTGTGGTCCGGATCACCAACAAGCAGATCATCTGCCAGATCATCTACGCCAAGCTCCAAGGCGACATTGTCTTCACCCAGGCCACCTCCAAGGAGCTTCCCCGTTACGGTATCAAGCACGGTCTCACCAACTGGTCCGCCTCATACGCTACCGGTCTTCTTGTCGCTCGTCGGGCTTTGACCAAGCTCGGTCTTGCCGACAAGTACGAGGGTGTCGAGGAGCCTACCGGAGAGTTGACCATGACCGAGGCTTGTAAGCTTCATCTCCCGCAGTGGCTGCGACAGCAGAGCTGACTTTTCAGTGGGAGAGGACGAGCCCCGGCCATTCAAGTGCTACCTTGACGTCGGTCTCCGCCGCACTTCCACCGGATCCCGTGTCTTTGGCGCCATGAAGGGTGCATCCGACGGCGGTATCTTCATCCCCCACAACGCCAAGCGTTTCCCCGGTTTCGACCCAGAGTCCAAGACCCTTGACGCCGAGGTCCTCCAGAAGTACATTCTCGGTGGACACGTCGCCGAGTACATGGAGTCGCTTGAGGAGGAAGACGACGAGCGGTGAGTATCCAGTCTACCTGAGGGGATTGCGCTTATGTCAGGTTCAAGAAGCAATTCGCGACCTACCTCGCCGACGACATTGGATCGGACGACATTGAGGAGGTCTACACTTCCGCCTACGCCGCCATCCGTGAGGACCCCAGCTTCACCGCTACCGAGAAGGACACGGAGAAGTGGAAGAAGGAGTCGCTCTCGCGCAAGCAGCACAAGCTCAACAGGGAGCAGAGGCGGTCGAGGGTCGAGGAGAAGATTGCCGCCTACAAGGCTGGCAAGCTTGCTGCCGCCGACTCGGACGACGAGTAGTTTGGCTGGTAGCTATGTATGCCGCTGGACTGGGAATTGCGGGGCAGCTTAAGCTTGGTGCTGGAAGGTTCGCTGACTGCGCTGCTGATGCCCCCTTTGCTGACCGCCTCGACTGACCCAGCACAGCTACCGTGATTGCGCGGGTTCAGCGATCTCTCCGGGTGCCTGGATTGAGCCCGCGATCGCGGAGGCATCGCCGCAGACGGGTCAGGCATTAGGCCTGCGGGCTGTGCATCAGGCGAGTCGGGGAAAATTTTGGCCGACGTCGACGTCGAGGATGTCTTTCGTTTTGAAGACTGCGGGTCTTTCAGATAGGTAGGCGCAGAGCTAAGCTGAGTGTCTATGCATTCGCAGTTCCTCTGAGCGACGCATGCTCCAGCGCGCCTAATTTGCTTCCGCGGGCGGATCATCCACCGGACATATTCCCAAAACAGGCACAAAAGAGGAATGAGGAGGTGGCGACGGCGATCAAGGAATTCGGTCCCCTTCACCTTCCTCGTTGTCCTCATAATCCTCTTGACTTATAGACAGAGTCATGCCCTACCAGGCTGATAATCCCGCCGTCGGACGTGCTCAAGACCGAGATGTCTTTTGGGAGCGCGTACTGCCGTTCGTCCACCGTTCATGGCCGGCACCTCTCTCGCGCCCCCTCCGTACGGCGCTCCGCCAGCCTGATTTGGCGAGTGTCTGTCGCGTCTCAAAGGTTCGTCTCTGAGTGCTGCAATGTTAGGGCATTGAGTAGGATGTCAGATGGCAAGCTGATCAGTCAGACGCTCCAACGGATTGCCACACCCCTCCTGTACCGCACCCTCGTCACCGACGACTTTCCTTCCCTGATCGCCAACATCGACCTCTCTCTCCGCACCTCCCCCCTTCGTCAGACCAGACACCTCTTCATCGAATACTCGAATAAAAAGACGGCTCCCAGCTACGTCGAGTTATGTCGCGACGGTCCCATCCTCTGGCTCGGGTGTGGCATGCTGACTCAGGAGCTGTCCAAGCTCCAGGTGGTCGACTGTCGCGTGGAATTGGAGCGGATGCTAGAGTGCGTGCTGCATCTCCGCGAGGTCGGCATCGCCAGAGTATTTCCTCGACTCAAGACTCTGGCGATTTCTTCCATCTACGGAAAGGCGGATGACTCGTATGCCCGCTACAGGCCCATGGCCCATGCAACACAAACGGCTGGCGCTGAGGGTTGCGCCTTTCTGTTCCAAATGGTCATGGATACCTCCCCCACTCTCTCACACATCTGCACCCGGCAGGTCCTTTCTCCGCTCAGCCCGCCCACGGGGGTGTTCCCGGACGTCCCACCGGGCAGGTTTGCTAGGACCATTCACTTCGGCGGGCTTTACGACGGCCAGCTCAAAGTGCGTGACGTTATCAATCTCCACGGTCCGGACATGGTCCTCACTCCGTACCAGCTCAACATCCCCCTGAATGATACGATCGTCGTCCCCCTCGGCTTACCCGTCCGCTTATATAGCGACTTTGAGTCCTCAAACAACTTCCAAGAGCTCGAATACTACGTTAAACAGACTATTCTCGGCTCCGTCGTTCCTGAGGCGCCAAACCCCAGTGAACATGCCCTGAACGTGGAGATCTACGGCTGAACTCCAGTATGGCACGCCACACAACCGCAACAGGACCTTTCCACCACCGTCCTGCACACCCTGGGCCTACCGAGCACCGAGGGCGGCTGCGACCAGCAATACGTCCTGTCGGCGGAACAGCAGCGGCTGCTGGCGGATATCAAGGGCAAGGCCCTTCAGAAGATGGAGAGGGACAAGGGCGGGGAACACCACTCTGTGCGCTGGTACACGTCCGGAGATGCCCCGCCCTGCATGGCGTGCGGCTCGGTCCCTCCAGTGTGAGCGTGCGGGGTGGAAAGGGAGGCGGGTGGTTGAGGTGGAGAGGGTGGAATCGGGGCGTGAGGGGGACAGGATGCAGCAGGGGATGGGTAGTAAGAGGGATTAAAGTAGAGAGGGAGGAAGGGAGGCGGAGTGCTGCGAGTCAGATGGGGAGGGATAGGATAGAGGCGAGAGGGCGGCTTGTGACAAAGGGGCGAGTCAAGGGCGCGGGACACAGGCGATGGCTGGAGATGGCAGCTGGGGAGGGGGGTGGTAAGGGGAGGAGGGGACAATGAGTTGCCCTCTAGCTGGGATAGAGGCGGGACAAACATATACGTGTGGTGTGGGGAGGTCAGAGAGGCGGGTCCGAACAAAGCGATTAGATCTATACAACAGGCACGATATCTGTAGGAGAATCAGTATCCGACCAATCATGTGTAGTATATGAGAAGTATGAGTAGGTAGCCCATAGCCAGACACCAGCCTCAGGAAGTGGCCCTTCGATGTGGTTCTAAGGGGTTCGGCAAGTCATGGGGTCAAAGGGTGATCCTAAGCTCCTTTGTGTAGTCGCTCAGGTCAGATCTGTTCAACCCACCCTCAAGACATGCGCTTATCTCATCGCCCTTACCCACCTACGTATAGCTCAGTCCCATATACGCCCATACTCCCCATCTGCGCTCCCCAAGCCACAATTTGCCCCGCCCGCAGCAACCCCGCGTAAGCTCGCCAGAGTAGCGGAATTCTGCACACCTCCATCTTGACGTCCTATCGATCAGCCGAGGTACGTCTGCCCGCTAACACTTGAGCTTACACCTGAGATGTCCCCCTCAAGCCCACTCCATCGCGAAGCCGTTCCCCTCCCAAAGATGGCGGTGGACCACGGCGTACAGGGGGTGTTCTGGTTTGCGGTGATCTTGTGGATTGGTGTCGAGCTAGGGAGGTGGGGATTGCAGGTGCGGAGGAGGGGGCGATGGTCAAAGTAGTACTGTATGGCTGGCTGAGTCGATGGGAGGATGTACCGCCTGATCTTGAGCTGCTCAGCTGGCTAGCCTTCCGCCGAGGCTTCAGCGGTGAACTCCTTCCCTCTCCTGACCCGTATAGGCCCCTTCAGCCCCGCCCTCTCGTCCAGCCCCCTAGGTATCCCTCCTTGGGTCACCTCCACCTTCCCTACAGCGACCTCATCCCATACAATGTCCCTCACGGGGTCCATCAATGCCCGCCAATCGGGGAACCGGGCAGGATGTAGCTCGTGCAGTTTCCGAGCGACTTGGGACGGGCAGATTGTCGAGTTTGCGCTTTTGAGCCGACCGAGATGGTCGTATAGTACAGGTAGGACAAGAGAGGATTCCAGGTTCTGACGTTCGGCGAGGGAAGGGTCTGGCCTAGGGTGCGAGTCGGAGGGAGATGATGGAGGGAGTCCGGCCTTCTTCTTTGCCTCTGTGCGAGCAGAAAGGGTGACAGTATTTTGTCGCGCAGCTCCGGCAACACTGGTGCGCTTCGTCTTCCGAGCAGCTCCACTGCGTGTAGCTGCGACCATCTTGCTGCAAGAGAAGCAAAGTAATAATAAAGCGGAAAGGTCAAGATACGAAAAACGAAACGCATTCAGATGCAGCAATCCGGCTCCGGAAATAGCAAACGCCCTGGAGTGTCCATCTGCTTCTCACTCGATACTACACTCTATACCTCAGCGCCGGATGATCCTCTGGAAGTTGTGGCCTTGAGACGGGCGAGAAGAGCATGTACGCTGCATCTAGATTCCCTCCTTAATCCATATACCCAGCCCCACCCTCCTCATCATCCGTCAACCCCTCATCACCCATCACATACCGCCCCCTGATCTCCCCAAGCTCCGCCGACCTCGCCGCCAGCTCCGGCGCCTGCAGTACCTGCGTCTCCCCCACAACCGGCTCGGGCAGCGCCCGGCGCGGGAAAGACCATCCATTCGACGCAGGCGGGATGAGAAGAGGGAAGAGGAGGGTGATGCGTGGATAGCCGGATGGGGCTATATTGAAGAATAAGAGGAGATTTTGTTTTCTGCCCATATTGTATGGGTTTAGGTAGATCTACATATCAGCTGAGTTGGCTAAGAGGGTATTTGTGTAACTGACCAGTCCCTCAGCTGAAGCTCTGTTGTCGAGATAGGCGTTATCGTGCGACTCGATCGAGGTTTCTCCCTTGGTGATCATGTGGATGTGCCATGACAAAAGGACGGGAACCGCGATGCCTGATGATCATTAGCAACGGTACTTGATCTGCATCGTCTCATCAGACTCACCCATAGCAATGCATAAGACGTAGATCAGCGTGAAGGCGATTCTTGGCGTGTATGCTGGCCACTGGCTTGTCAGCCTCGTCCTTGCCGTTTGAAAGCGGGCATACCTTTTGGTTATAGAGCAGAGACGACCAGAAGTGATCATAGCCTAGCGCAACGACACACCAGCAGGCTATCGATATCCAAGTCCTATGAGTCAGCTATGATCTGAGAACACCTTGCATTATATACAAAAAAATAGCTTACATGAAAAGCACGAAATGACGCTGGTTATAGATACCCACCTATCTTCATTGGTGAGCTACATCCCGAGCCAGTCAAGTGCGACTCACACATCCGTTTATCCCTATGCGTCAGCTGAGACCTAGCGTGCTAGAACTCGTGCCGACTCACAAGGACAATGATGATCCATCATCAGGATACACCGCTTGCATACCGAGCAATGGTGCGCCCGTTCAGGTTTTGGTCCATCGCACTTTCGGCACTTTTTGAGCCGCCTCCCGCCTACCTGAGGTCCGCTCGGACCAGCAGGCTCGGGCCCTCTCGTCAACACCCGCCCTCTGCGCCCTAGCCCCCACCGCTCTGGCCGCCAGAGCGAGCGCTGATCCCGCATGATCCACTGCTCCTCCTTTTTCGTGCTGATGGGCTTGTCGGGCGATAGCGCTATTGCGCGGGGCGAAGGATAGCCGGGTGGTACATGTGTGACCAGCCAGTATTGCCCGTAGAGATTGAGCGGTACGATGATGAGTATTGGCGAAAGGATGAGCGCTTGGATTAGCGAGAGGCTTCGGCCGACCACATCGACTGAGAGTCAGCTTGAGCGGTTCTTTGGACAGCAACATTCAACTGACAGAATGCTATGCCTCCTCCGATGATCAGGGTCCAGCATAGGAAGACGAAGACTGGGCCTGCGGCGCCCGTGATCCAGTCGGCGAAATGCTCGACGCGCTTGAAGCAGCGGATGACAAGCGCCGAGCAGCCTCGAAGGAGCGGCATCGCTAATTTGACAGCGGTTTCTTGCTCCAGTAGGCAGTCCTCAGCTTGGGTCGATCTGCGAGGTAGGCAGGCTGCTATATGAGTACAGCTACCTTGCACATTAAGAGGTGAAAGAGGGATAAAGGAGGAACTCCGACCTCAGCTAATTGTCGCGTTCAACTTTACGCACGGATACCGTATTGGCTGTCTCAGATTGGTCCCGCTTACCGTAATCGCAGCTCTCCAGCCAGGCCAGACGCGATCCTCTATATCCTCCTTCTGTCTTATCTTACTCCTTACACACTCTACAGCAGCTACTATCAAGCCCGCGATGGGCAAGTCAAAGAAAAACAATGCCGCAAAAGCGGCAGAGCAGAAAAAGAATGAGGGAGAAACAACGCCTTCCGCCCCGGGGACACCGCCAACACCAGCGGTCGAGCCGGAAGCCGCCGTTCTCGAGGCGCCTCCTGTGCCAGATGTGCAAGAGCCCGAGCCCGCACCAACCGTGGAAGCACCAGAAGCAGGTCCGTCATCGCCAAAACCTCCACCTGCCGAGGAGCCCTCACTTCTACCGACAGCCTCAGCGGAGCTCGCACCGGCTCCCGAGCGTCCATCGCTGGACAGCGGCCGCGGGGATGATAGAGATGCGATTGCGCATCTGGAGGCGGAGCTTTCGGTAGTGCGGAATGAGAAGGAAATCCTCAGTGGGCAGTATCGCGGACTGCTGGGCAAGTTGACGGCGATGCGGCAAAGCTTGGGAGATAAGCTCAGAGAGGATGCGGTGAGTTTGGCCTTCAGCGGGATGGGGCAGGCTGACTCTGTAGGAAGAGCTGGATAGACGGGAAACATCGATCAATTCCCTCAATGCCCAAGTAGAAAGCCTACAGGCCAATACATCGACTTTACAAGCCGAGCTCGAATCGGCATCCAGCGAGTCGGCGGCTTTGGCGGGACAGCTCGCGCAGATCCGGTCACAATCAGATTCGTCATCCTCGGATGTCTTGAGTCTGACGCGGGAGATGCGCGAGCTGCGAGGAGAGATGGAGCGGTTGCGGATGGAGACGGAGGAATGGGAGGGAGAGGCTGGAAGAGAAAGAGCGAGGAGAGAAGCGATGGAGGAGGAAATAAGGCAAATGGAGCGGAGAGAAAGGGATGCGAGGAGAGAAGCGGAAAGAGCGAGAGATGAAGCTGAGGGGGAGCGGACGAGGGGGAATAATCTGCAAGAGGTCCTAGCCGAGTTCCAAGCGGGTGAGTCGGGTCGCTGTATCGAGTCAACGCAGCTGATCAGCTAGCAAAAGATTCGGAATTGCATAGCGCAACATTCGACCTCGAGAAGCAGCTCCATGCGGCAGCGTCATCACTATCAGAGTTCAAGCTCAGAGCAGCCAATGCAGAGACGAGGTTAGGGGAGATGTCGGGGGATGCAGGCCGGTCAGCTCGGCTAGAGAAGGAGATCAAGGAGAAGGAGCGGTTGATTTCAAAGTTGCGGCATGACGGTACGTCCTCCGCATGATCGAGATGACTGGAGCTGATCATCAGCTGTCGTCAACAATGAACACCTCACTGAAGCCCTACGCCGGCTCCGCAAAAACACCTCATCCGAAAATGTCGATCGCAGACTAGTCACCAATATCCTCCTCTCCTTTCTGTCGACCTCTCGGGGTGATACCAAGCGATTCGAAATGCTCAATATCTTGTCTACCATCTTGTCTTGGGACGATACGGATAGAGAAAAGGCGGGACTGCAGCGGATGGGCTCCAAGGGGGAGAAGGAGCGGCCCAAGATTGGGCGGAAGGGGAGTGGGTTGCAAGATGGGCGGAGTGCGGAAGAGGAAGCGGCCATGAACGAGGTGAGCTAGCAGTGCTGCAGCTTCCGTTAGGTCGCGAGTCAAGCTCACTCTACAGTCCTTCTCCAACCTATTCGTCGAATACCTCCTGAAAGAGGCGGGCCAAAATCAACGCGCACAACGGTCCGACCCATCTTCTTCTGCTACACCCTCCTCGCCCATCTCACCTGTCCGAGGTCTGCCCGCGCCCTCCCTCCCCTCCTTCTCTCCTCCCCAATCCGGAGCTTCTACTCCTTTTGCGCGAGAACGGACATTCTCGAGCACATCGAGTATCAGCGGTATGATGAGCCCGCCCAGTGGAGGTATGGGGGGTTCCATATTGGGTTTGCCGTCTCTGGGGAGAAAACAGAGTCATAATCTTACGAGTGCGCTGAATGGGGAGAGATGAGAGGGAGGGGAGACGTGTATATTGTGCTCTGTCCAGTGGATGTGCACTTGACTTTTGGGATCTGACTGGGGGAAAGTTGAATCTGGCAGCATATCCCCCTCACCCTCCTGTTATAGCCATACCAATCCATGCGCAGAAGAATATACGCTATTGCCCATGCTGAATGAGCCCATGAGGGCAGCTCAAACTTTTTAAAACTCTCAAAATCCTTAGTCTGCTCCATCTCCCACTGTCCCTCCGCCGTCTTCCCCGTATCCTCCTTGACCCCCGTTCACATTGTCTCCGTGTCCCCAGTCATTACACCCCTCCCCCTCCTATGCCACCGCCTCGTACCATTGCCCAGATCCCATCTTCCCGCCGTATTACGGAACTAGTGGTCCTTGACCTTGTAGCCGACAATGTTGCGGCGGCCTATTATTTCGCCGAGGCAGAAGATACCGTATGCCTCGATGGACTATCATCAGCACAGGTCCCTTCTCAAGCTTGCAGTGACTCACGGCAATACCGAGACCAGCCCAAGCGCCCGTCTTGACGGTCTGCGTCCACCATTTCCCGCTGGTTGCTCGTGACCAGATCTGAGCGTAGGTGTGAACCCAAGTGTTGAGATCGGTGGGGAAAGAAAGCTTCTCGGCCTTGAAGACCTGCTTGAACATGGACGCAAAGGTCTTTACGCTGAATACGATGGGGCCTAGGATCAGTACCATCCGTCACATTAGGTCAGAAGACCCACCTCCGACCGAGTTCTGGACACGCTCTCCGACAGGTCCGGCGACTCGCTTAAGGGTGGCAGTGGTGGAGTTGAGAGCGTTCTGAGCAGACTGGACGGCCTTCTGGACGCTCTCGTTTTGCTGTGTGGGCGGTGTGGACGAGTTGGCTCGGCGAGCTGTGAGCCGCATAGAGCGGAGGACGGGGCGGAGACCAGCTTGCATTTTGGCGGGAGTGGGGGGATTTGGGTGGGATTCGGCAGGCGAGGAGAGCTGCTGGGAGGCTGCTGTTTACGAGCAGACAGGTGCTGTAGCTGTGGTAGGTATGAGAGGTAGTATAGAGGTATAGGTATAGGTTGAAAAGTGAGATCTATCGCTTGAGTGAGCCGGAGCAGGGCGGAGACCGGAAATTACCGGAATTATCCAAGAGTGGCGCCACGACTTCGATGACAATGACAGCGACCGCATACGGCCATCTCTATCTTTTCAGCCATCTCTTACCTTTACCCTATTACCACCTCACACAAAAGCAGGCAAGATGAACCCCGCATTCACCAACCTCGCTCTCTCCCTCGGCGCCATGCAGGGTGTGTTTTCAGCTCGAAGATCGGCTGGGGAACGGCCGAGTAATGGTCGATAAGTTGTGGCTGGCGAGCTGACGAGCAGTGACCAAGCGGTTGCCCATGGATGACCCGGTCTTTATCAACTACCTCCGTCTCGCCTACGTCTCGGCCCAGCTGCTGGTCTTCGGCATGTACTTCTACATCACCACCGTGGTATGTTTCTTGCATCCATCCGGGGCAACTCCTTTGCTTGAGCGTCTGGAGATGCTCTGGCATTCCCGACGTCATGCCGGGGTATGGACAGTCCCAGACTAAGGCCAGGAGCCGAAGGCTTTCGACGAGCTACGCGCCTGTCGCTCTCTCGTCCGACAATAGCTGATCCTTCAGATCCGCAAGAAGAATGACCTGACGGTGATTAAGTACGTCAGTCCCAAGTCGCCCATGGCTCCGGATGCGAAGGATGAACTGGTGAGTTGCTTGCCGATGTTCAAGCTCATCGAAAAGGTCACAACTACGGTCAAAGATTACGATCTTGCGCAGACCAGTTCGGCAATGAAGGGAATGTTCGTCGTAAGTCACTTTCCCCGGCTCCTTGTCACTGTCGCTGTGTCCGCTGCTTCCTGACGGGTTAGGGTATCGCTATGATGGCCGGAATGCATCTCTTCCTAAAGTACAGCGGTGAGTGCTGCAGGAAGCTCCCAGCTCGGCTCCAGTACCCCTGAATTCCGCCGCTTTGCTGATATCCCAGCCCCGCTCTTCCTGCAATCGATAATGGCCATCAAGTCCGCCCTCGAGTCCAACATGGCTGCCCTTCACCTCTTCGGCAAACCCGCGGAAGGCGCCCTCGCACGTCCCTTCAAGGCGGCCCCAGGCCTGATGGACCAGTTCATGGGAGGTGGGGGTGCTGCCCAGACCGACGCTGCGTCGATCAAGTCTGCCGAGAAGGTGACTGGCAAGAAGACGCAGTAGAGTCCCGGAGGGAGATGTGATAGGGGAGATGGCAATGATGGGTTGGAAGGCGAGGAAGGCGAGGACGGGTGGAGCGGGAGCTGAGGAGAGGGGGAACGGGGCGGATAGGGGTTAGTGGGCACGGACGATTGCCGACGTACCAATGCGCTTTTGCTGCTTCAGGGAGCGAGAGGGGGAGTATGGGAGTATGGGAGTGCTGTTGTGATACCCATTATATACATGCATATAGCTTACTCGTCTGACTCCTGCAAGTATAGTCCTCGGTGTATGCAAAGAGTGGGGAATGAGTAGGTGGACGGGATCAAAATGTCCTAGTCGAGTTTGAGATATTTCAGCTCAACCACCTGTTGTCAATCTACTACCAGCTACATTCACAATGCCCACCATCACCGTCGACAAGGCAGAGCTATACAAGCGGCTCGAGAGGGAATACTCGACAGAAGAGTTTGACGAGCTCTGCTTCACCTTTGGTGTCGAGCTGGACGAGGACGTACGTCTTTCACTTGACGTCTGGTTGACCAGCTGGCTGATGGCCAGACCACAAAGGATGTGCTCGCAGCTCGAGCCAAGAACCTGCCTACACCACCGCCTCAGCTCAAAATCGAGATACCTGCGAACCGGTATGACCTGCTGTGCGTCGAGGGGATCGCAAAGGCACTCAGGGTGTTCTTGGGGTTGGAGAAGACCACCCACTACACGTTGAGCAGCCCGGCCAAGATGGAGGAGCTCTACGTTGAGGCTTCGGTCAGTTTTGAGCTACACATGAATGGCCAAGCTGACTCTACAGACTTCACCGCTTCGACCCTTCGCTGCTGCTGCCATCTTGCGCTTAGCTCAACCTATGAGTCAAGCAGCGTACGATTCGTTCATCGACCTGCAGGACAAGCTGCATATGAATCTTTGCAGGCAGAGGCGACTGGTCAGTATGGGGACACACGATCTGGACACCATCGAGGGGCCGTTCCGGTGAGTACAGCTGTTCAGTCCTCGGGTCGAGCTGATTTTAGGTATGTGTGCGAAGACCCAAAAACCATCAAGTTTGCGCCTTTGAACAAGGACCAAGAGTACACTGGCGAGGAGTTGATGACTCTCTACGACGTGAGTATACTCTCGAGCTGAGCTCATAATCAGCAAGACCGCAATTTGAGCCGGTTCCTCAATATCATCCGAGACGCACCCGCCTACCCCGTCATCTACGACAAGAACAACCGTGTCTGCTCTCTTCCCCCGATCATCAACTCCCAACGTGAGTCCTATCTGTAGCTGGGCTGATTCCAGACTCCAAAATTGTCGCTGGCCGAACGGAAAACATTCTCCTGGAAATCACCGCGACCGACAAGACCAAGCTTGACATTGTCGTCAACATGCTCTCTACCATGTTTTCAGAGTACTGCAAGGTCCCGTTCGAGATTGAGCCGGTCCGGATCCACATGCCAGACGGATCGTCGCACATCTCCCCTCCTATCGCTCCGAGACGCACGACCGCCTCGTCCGCCTACATCAACGCCGCTACCGGATTGTCGCTCTCACGGGAAAAGATGTCGGAAATGCTCAACAAGATGTCGCTCGCGAGTCAGCCCTCGGCGGATGCGGATGTGCTGGATGTCGAGGTACCATGTACTCGTCCAGATATCCTGCACGAATGCGACATCATGGAGGATCTGGCGATCGCTTATGGGTACAATGATTTGCCAAAATCGCTTCCTACCACCAATACCGTCGCCAAGCCGTTCCCGGTCAACAGACTGGCGGATATTCTGCGGAAAGAGTGCGCCCAGGCGGGGTGGCTTGAAGCGTTGCCGTTGATCCTGGTAAGTCCGGCTCCGGCTTGGCTGACCGCAGTGCTCTCACGATGAGAACTTTGCCTGGCTGAACCGGCCTGATCCTGGAAACTACGCTGTCGCCCTTGCCAACCCCAAATCCCTCGAGTACCAAGTCGTCCGCACCTCGCTACTTCCCGGTATCCTTAAAACTGCTCGGGAAAACAAATCCCTCGCTCTCCCCATGAAGATCTTCGAGGTTTCGGATGTCGCCATCCAAGACCCCTCGGTTGAGCGCCAGGTCACCAACTACCGCCGAATGGTAGCGCTGTACATGGACAAGAAGGCGGGCTTTGAGATGGTGCATGGGTTGCTGGACCGGATGATGCAGATTCTCGGGGTGCCGTTCCTGCAGAGCGAGAAGAATGAGGCGGATTACGGATATTACATTGCTGGTGCAGAAGGTGGGTCATTGAAAGATTGAGCTGATTTAGATCCTACCTATCTCCCAGGTCGAGGCGCGCGAGTCTACCTCCGCCCCAAGCCATCCATCCCCGCGGCCGATCTCGCCAAACCCACTCCATCCGCCCCTGCCACCTCCAACCCCCTCCACACCATCGCCGAAACCCTCAAAGCTGCTCTGCCCGGCTCGGCCACCAAGTCCCGGGACATTGTTCTTGGGTCATTGGGTATACTTCACCCTTCCGTCCTCGGCAAGTTTGAGCTGAGCAGACCATGTTCCGTGCTCGAGGTAGATATAGAACCTTTGCTGTAGATAGATGCATCTCATCGGTCATGCCCGTTGCCTCCACATCGGGCCGGCAGGAAGCCGGAAATACAATCTCCCGATGAATCAGCAGAATTTGCCTTGTCTCTTTGTCTATTCTCGTAGGCAAGCTATAGCTAGCAAGACGCCGCAGCGGAGTACCGCCGCACCATCGACTGCCAGCGTAGCCTCTTGCTCGACGCTAGAATGTCGACACAGGCGGCTTTCCGCGCTTCAGCGCATATCCCCCTCATCGCAGAGTGCCCATGGCCGATACGTATCATCGCAAAGCACCGCGATCTCGACTTTACCACCTGCTTCGAGCACTTGGTGCTCCTGCCCGCGCCACTCCTGGTCGTATTGATCGCTGGGATCGCCCAGACCATCAGCATCTCGAGACGAAGGAAAAGGGGTCTGTCATGGATCGACCGGGGGACCGCGGGCGAGAAGGTCGGATGGGCAAAAATGGTAAGTCCATGAAAGATCTCGCTGATGACAGGCTGTACTAGGCATGTCGACTCTGCTTTCCGGCGCAGCCCTCGGCCTATCTCTTGGGACGCTTCGTAAATCCCCATCGTCATCTCTCCACTACGCCCTTTTATTCCTGGTCCTGCTCGTCTTTACCCATCTCACCTGGCTCAATCACCACACTTCTCGGCGGTCAGCCAATCTCATTCTCCTCTTCTGGCCCCTCTACATCCTCATCTCGGCAGTTCGCGTCAGGACCATGATCCTCACTGGGCAATTATCCCTCGACATCACCAACTCCGCCACTGGTCGAGTCACCCTCGCTCGCGAGTCGCTCTGGTTTGCCAGCGCCGGCTTTGGGTTGATCGAGTTCGTCCTGGAGCTTTACAGTCCCGAGAAGAGGTGGAAGTCGGGAGGGATCAAGTTGCCGGATGATGACGAGGATGAGGCAAGGGATACGGTGGATGGGTACCGGTCGATGGGGAAGAACGAATATGGAGACGTGGAGAGCCCAGTTGTGTCGGCCAACATCTATGAGCGATTGACATTCTCATGGCTGACTCGTAAGTCTGATTAAGGCATAGCTGACTCCAGCCCTGCTCTCGCTTGGTACACGCAAGTTCCTCGGCGAGGAGGACATGTGGTCTTTGCCCTCGGAAGACTCGGCCGAGGCCCTGTCGAACCGTCTCTCGTCAGCTTGGGACCGCCAGGTGCAGATGGTCAAGGATGGCAAGAAGAAGAAGGCGAATCTCAAGTTTGCCATTGCAAGGGCGTACGGTGGACCCTACCTCGTTGCGGGTATCCTCAAGGCGGGGTACGACTCGCTCTCCTTCCTCCAGCCCCAGATCCTGCGGCTCCTGCTGCGCTATGTCAACTCATACGGTACCGATCACCCCCTCCCTCCCGTTGCTGGCTTCTCCATCGCCATCCTCATGTTTGTCGTCGCCAACATCGCCACGGCAATGCTCCACCAATACTTTGACCGGTGCTTTACTACAGGTGAGTTTGAGCACGATCGGGCTGATGTAGCTATGCGAATCAAGAGCGGTCTCATCACTCTGATCTATCGCAAGTCTATCCGCCTCAGTAATGGCGAGAAGACGGGCCGGACATCTGGCGATATCGTCAACCTCCAAAGTGTGGACGCCGTCCGTATCGCCGATCTCTCCCAGTATGGCCACATCGCATGGTCCGGCCCGTTCCAGATCATCCTCGCGTTCATCTCGCTCTTCAACCTGGTCGGATGGCAGGCGTTGATGGGAATCGGAGTGATGGCGCTGAGTGTAAGTGTCATCAAAGCTTGGCTGACCCCAGCTTCCCATCAACACGATGATTGGCAAAATCAACAAGCGGTACCAGCGCAAACTCATGAAGATCAAGGATCTCCGGTCCCGCCTCATGACTGAGATCCTCAACAACATCAAATCAATCAAGCTCTACGGCTGGGAGCAGGCGTTCGCAGACAAGGTTCTCGACGCCAGGAACGAGCAGGAAATCCCCCTCCTCCGCACCATCAATATCCTCCAAAGCGTCAGCAACTTTTTCTGGCAATCCACCCCCTTCTTTGTCGCCTTTGCCACCTTTGCCACCTTTGCTGCCACTTCTGACCGGGCTCTAACCAGCGAGATCATCTTCCCCGCCATCTCCCTGTTCCAGCTCTTGGTAAGTTTTGTCACGACCCAGCTGATATAGTCTTTCCCCATGGCCGTCTTTGCCAACATTATCAACTCCATCATCGAAGCGTCGGTCTCGGTCGGACGTCTCGAGGACTTTTTGGCGGCGGACGAGCTGGACCCCAAAGCACGGAACCTCATCCTGCCATCTCAGGATCCGAATGGCGAGCCTCAGGTCGGGGACGAGGTGGTCACCATCAAAGGCGGCGAGTTTAGGTGGCTCGCTTCCTCTACCGAGGCCATCCTCCAGGATATCGACCTCAAGGTGCGCAAAGGCGACCTTCTTGCCATTATCGGGCGGGTCGGAGACGGCAAGTCATCACTCCTCGGCGCTCTCCTCGGCGAGATGACCCGGTCGGAAGGCAACGTCACACTCCGCGGAAACGTCGCATACTTTCCCCAGAACCCCTGGATCCTCTCTGCGACCGTCAAAGACAACATCATCTTTGGTCATCGATTCGACCCCGTCTTTTACGACAAGGTCCTGGACGCCTGCGCGCTTCGGCAGGATCTCGCGGTCCTCCCGTCCGGAGACATGACAGAGGTCGGCGAGAAGGGCGTATCCCTCAGCGGCGGGCAAAAGGCGCGTATCGGCCTCGCTCGTGCCTGCTACGCCCGCGCAGACATCTATCTCCTCGACGACCCCCTCAGCGCTGTCGACGCGCACGTAGGTCGTCACATCTTTGACCGCGTCATTGGTCCCAACGGTCTTCTCAAACAAAAGGCTCGGATCCTCTGCACCAACGCGGTCAACTTTTTGCCCCAGACCGACGACATCGTTATGCTGCGTCGGGGTATCATTCTCCAGCGCGGCACGTACGATGTCGCCATGCGGGACACCTCGTCCGAGCTGTACAAGCTCATCGCCGGGCTGGGCAAGCAGTCTGCGCGCAGCGAAGAAACGTCCGGCGCGGCGACGCCGGTGGACGTCGAGAGCGACAAGGAGGAGGACGGGGTGGTGGACACGGACTCGATGGAGAAGCGCCAAGTCATCAGGCGCTTGAGCTCGGGGATGCGACGGGCATCCACCGTCTCCATCCGCCAGTCCAAGCGGGACGCGCTCAAGGATCTCCGGGAAAGCGCCAAGCCAAAGGAACACTCTGAAAAGGGATCGGTCAAGATCGACGTCTACCGGAACTATATCAATGCGGCCTCGAAACTTGGCGTATCCCTCTTCCTCATCTTTATGATTGCCGGGCAGGGCTTATCGATCACGGTCAACTTTGTCCTCCGGGCATGGGCGCGACTCAACACCGGTCAGAGCGAGACCGTCCAGGTCGGCAAGTACCTCACCATCTACGCCTTGATCGGCACATCATCCTCGGTCTTTGCCGTCAGCTCGGTCGTCATCCTCAAGCTCTACTGCGGTCTTCGGTCCAGTCGTTTCCTCCACGACAAGGCATTCAGGGCGTTGATGAAGAGCCCGCTGAGCTTTTTCGAGCTGACCCCGACGGGGCGGGTCTTGAACCTCTTCTCGCGGGATGTGTTTGTGGTGGACGAGGTGATGGTGATGGCTTTGGCTGGTTTCGTCAGAACAGTGAGTTTGTCATTGACCAAGCTGATGTAGGCTGCATCGGTTGTCGCTACCGTGGTGGTCATTGCTGTTGGCGCGCCCACCGTGCTTCTGGTGTTTATTCCTCTTGGCTATCTCTACCGGCAGGTTCAGAAGTGAGTCACCTAGTCCACCAACACGTAACCGGAGGAGATTTGGGAATGAGACCCAGCCCCTGCCCTTCTCTTCCTGAGCGGGTCTAAGCGTAGCGGAGGGTCGGGAGGGAGCAGAGCAGTCTGATAACATCAAGACCAATGCTGACCCCAGATTCTACCTCGCCACTTCTCGAGAGCTCAAACGACTGGATGCGGTCTCTCGCTCCCCCGTCTTCTCCTTCTTTGGCGAGACTCTTGCTGGAGCTGGCGTCATCAGAGTAAGTCTGCGCTTGACCTAGCTGACCCCAGGGGTTCAACCAGCAACGCCGCTTTATCGCCAACAACGAAGCTCGGCTGGACCGCAATCAAGCCTGCTACATGCCCGCCATGACCATCAACCGTTGGCTCGCCGTCCGGCTTGAACTCCTCGGGTCATGCCTGATGTTCTCGACGGCACTGGTATCGGTCTACGCCCTCAAGGTCTCCAACAACATCGACTCTGGGCTCGTCGGTATCCTCATGACCTACACCATCTCGGTCACCGGCTCGCTCAACTGGCTGGTCCGGAGCGCGTCCGAGGTGGAGCAAAACATCGTCTCGGTGGAGCGTATCCTCAACTACTCGGAGCTGCCCGGCGAGGCAGCGGCAGAGGTTCCCGAGAACAAGCCTCCCCAGTCCTGGCCACAGAACGGGACGATCGAGTTTGAGTAAGTCCCTGCTAAACTAGGCTAATGTAGACACTTTGCTATGCGCTACCGGGCCGATTTGGACCTGGTCCTCAAAGACATCTGCCTCAAGATCGACGGCGGTCAACGGGTCGGCGTCTGTGGCCGTACAGGAGCGGGCAAATCTTCCCTCACCCTCGCCGTCTTCCGTATCCTCGAAGCGTCCGCCGGCAAAATCTCCATTGACGGCATCGACATCTCTACCATCGGACTGCACGATCTCCGCAGTATCGTCTCCATCATCCCCCAAGATCCTCAGCTCTTTGAGGGCACCATTCGGAGCAATATCGACCCTACCAATGCCGCGTCGGACGCCGAGATCTGGCAAGCCCTCACCCAGTCCTACCTCAAGGACCACATCATGTCCAACATGGGCGGTTCGCTGGACGCCGAGGTCTCTGAAGGCGGAAGCAACCTTTCGGCTGGCCAGCGTCAGCTGGTCTGCTTTGCTCGCGCGCTGCTGCGCAAGACCAAAATCCTCGTCCTGGACGAAGCGACCAGCTCGATCGATCTGGAGACGGACGAGGCGGTACAGCAGATTCTGCGCGGGCCGGACTTTAAGGGCGTCACTACTTTGACCATCGCCCACCGGATCAACACCATCATGGACAGTGATCGGGTGCTGGTCATGTCGGACGGCAAGGTGTCGGAGTTTGACACGCCAGAGAAGCTGTTGGGTGATACTGTGAGTTTGGGTCAAGGCACAGCTGATGACAGTCGTCGGTCTTCCACTCGCTTGTTGCGGAGGCGGGTCTATTGAAGGAATCTAGTTAGTATCAGATGTATGACTTGCGCGGAGATCGCCACAAGAGTTAGCGTTTCAGACTAGTCCCGATCTGTGATTGGCTGACCCTGAGAGGAACACGTTAGCACGGGGTCTCCAGTCAGACCGGTCCAGCAGTACCCATCTACACGCATGCATGTCGCCTCCAAGTCGTACAGTGCATAGCTATAGACATCATCAGAGCTGCAGGTAGAGCTCGCTATCACCTTGTAGCGATACTTGGCAGCGCCACTCCGAAGTACTGCCCAAATCTCGCCCGACAGCAGGGAATATCCGTCATCCCGCGGTTGGCTTGGCATTCCGCTATTTCGCTCATCTCTATTCGCGCATTCTACTGTGTCACCCATAGCTTATACGCTTCCACTTCCACGACATGTCGTCCACCGCTGGCACACCACCCTCGCCGATGGTGCATCTCCCGCCCCTCTCGCCGGAACAGCCAAAAACCGGGATCCTTATCAATCCAGACGAGCCCGCTAGGCGTCCCTCCCTCACTATCCCAACATCCCCCGTCCAGCCTTCCGCCCCTTCCCCTGGCGCAGCCCGGATCCGCTTTGCTCCCCTGCCAGATCCGCGTCCCCGGTCCCTCTCGACCGGGCGGAACATCGGCTGGACTTCCAGTGTCGATGACGACGGCAACGAGACGCGCCATATGGAGGTGCGGAACATCCCTCAATCTAGTCTCAGCTATGATACGGATGAAGCAATCAGCGATGGAGAGGACGATGACCGGCGGATGCGAGGCAGGAGCTGGAGTAGGGGCATGGAGAGTAGCTGGAAGATTAGCAAGAAGATTTTGACGGTGGGGATGTGGGATGACAAGGAGGAAAAGACGTACGAGGGCGGGATGCCGCTCAAGAAGAGTGTCAGCACGGGCGGGATGATTGGAAGGTGAGTCAAGGCCAGGATGCGCTGATGTAGCTCCCCTTTCCGTTGGTCAAGCACAGAAGACCGCAGGCAGTCCATGCAGGGCTTGCCTATCCCCGCCTCGACGTCCCACCGCCGCATGTCTTCCCTCGACCCGGCAACGTCTCCCCTGGCAACTTCGCCCACACCCGTCAAGGTCAAGCTTATGAACGGGCGGGTGTACGGTGCGCGTCGAGCCTCGGAGCTGGCAGAGCTGCAGAAGAAGCAGCGGGAAGCTGCCGAGCCGGAATTCGTCGAGTGGGGCAATGGAGGGCAAGGGGCGGTCGCGGCGGTCAAGTCGAGCGGGAGGGGACTACTGGGAGACGATGACGACGGGAGTGGGATGGAGTGGGTCAAGCGGAGGCGAGAGGAGCGACAGCGGCGGGAGGCGGAGAAGAAGCAAGAGGCTCCAAAGCTTCTGCACACCAACTCGTCACCGGAAGCCGAGTCGACCCTGACTCCCGCTCTAAGTCAAAGTCCTCTACCACCTACCCCAATCATTCAAATCTCCGAGCCTGTCTCACCCACGGCTACGGCTACCGGTCAGTCAGAGGCTATTGATATCCAGCCGAAAGCGCCTCAAGCTGGAGGAGATGTCTTTGAAGACGAGTCGGAGGAGGAGGACGATGGGGACTTTTCCGATGATGACGAAGAGGAGGAGGAAGCTGCTAGGTATGTGTGAGGTATGGCTGAGCTGATGCCAGAACTACATCGTCGGCGGCTGGGATCGAGATTATGTCTAGGCACCACCACTAGTTGGCGTCAAGCGGGGAGTTGTACTCGTATCTTTCGTTGGGTTAGAAGTTGTACTTATTTGTTTGCTTGTCGATGTAGAGGTTGGTCAGGACTCGCTGATGGTCAAATTCATGTTCTGACGTCGGTGCTTATTGACGATGGTGTACTGATCATGCAGACTTGCGCTTAGTGGTTCAACGATATACGGGCAGGCCTACCACATATCTTGTGGGTTGGGCTGTTTCTGTCTAACTTATATGGCCACCCATTCTTGAGACAAGTGGAGGCGCGGAAAAAGTCTGTCAGGGCTGCCCTGACCGGGAAGAGACTGGCCTTTCGGGTTCTGTGAGACCTCAGTCCGCCCCAACCTCTGTCAGGTTCTGCTTTGGCTCTAGAGGCGGATGTTCAGGAGGGCTAAGTGTATGTTAGACCTTCCGATAGTGATGGCCCGAGACTGATGCTGTCAAACTGAAAGGCTCCAAGATCCGAGTGGGCGGCTACACGAGTGTCCAACTTTCGGCAACGCAGCCAGGGGGAATCCCCCAGAAGGAGATGACGGAGATCGTTGTCCTGGCGTGGGAGCGGCCAGGGACGAGATCTATATCTCTCCGCGATTCGCTCTGATATTACACGTATCATACGTCTACGTTGTGCGAGTTGATCTGAACGAGAACAGAGTATGGTTCAATTTTAGCTTGTGGACACGCCTGTTTCGGGGATTCCCCGAGGGGTGAACATGGCGATCTGTCCAGCGCTAAAAACATTGTAGAAGTCGTGATGGGATGTCATGTTCCCCGCGATGGGTGTCTTGCCGTACCATCCACATACTTTTGTACGGTCTACATGCCCTGGGGTCACAAGGGTCCTGTCCTGCGCTTTCCGTGGTATGACGTTGCTGGCAGGAAGAGTGGACAATGTGGTGTTCCTTCCGAGATCCTTAGCTGATGCGGACTGGACGATCACTGCAGTGACTTGCGCGGGCGAGGCGGCGGAACGTGTCATGCCCGCCGCCGAGTTGTGACAGACTCAGCCTCGTTTTGCCACTTCCCCACTTTGCCCACTTTACTCCCCCCACTTCCCGCATTTCCGACACGCCACCCCTTGTTGCAACCGCTCCGCTGCTCCATACTTGGCCATGGGCGAGTTTGCGGTTTGTTCAGGCGTCTTGGCCTCGGTCGGAGCGTGTACTGAGTGGGACTTGTCTAGGCGAGCCAGAGAAATGGACGGGGACTCGCGGAGGAGTGTGGGACGAGGTATTCGCTTGCCTCATCCGGCGTATCTCACATCTCCCTCTGTTCTCTCTCGTCGCCTTTTGTTATCTCGACGTTCAACGATCACACTGGTACGGGCCGATCCATCACTGATCGGTCAAGCACTGTCAAGACTAAAAAGCGGGTGGAAAAAGGATGGCAAAGAGTTCGATCCCAGTGCAAAATGACGAAAGTGGGATTCGAACCCACGCCCTTTCGGACTGCGGTTTTGGGAGACTGTTTTTAACACACATTCCTGAACACAGCACCTTAACCACTCGGTCATTTCGCCTATTTTTTCGCTCTGAAGCGAGCACTCTTTTCAGCCTCGGCTTTTACCTATATAAACCCCGGTGACCCGACACGGCATATCAACCATCTCTCCTCGCTCTCTATACCCGCTACTGGCTTTTGGTACTGGGTGGTACCTCTTGTTTCTGGGGGTATATCGTGCTCGCACGATACCGTGGATGCGATGGGTACCTGGTTGTATCTTTTTGGTGGCTGACAGGTGTGACGGGTGGGGACAGGTCAATTCAAGACGGCTCTGACTGCAGGGCTTGCATCTCAGGAGGTGCTGTTGATCCTTTCAATCACAGCCTTGGTTACTTGTGCTGTCCCTGCGCTGCCGCCCAGGTCCCTCGCCTTGATGTATCGGCACCATACTTTGCTACTGCTTGGTTCAGTCACCTGAGACATCTATCGCCACTCGAATATTTCTCCGGTCTTCCCCATCCGACGTCAACCATCAATCTCTTTTACATTCCGCCTGCGGGTAACTCTTATGATTTCGTGGTACCACCTGTTATACAGAGATGGTATCTGACTGGTTCTTCCGGCCCATGGATGCCGTCGTTTTGCCCTGTCAAAGGCGCCAGACCACACTGGAGTACTTCTCGTCGCCATCGACAAGTCCAATAATCCTTAGAGAAGTCGAATGCTATATAGATACCGTGTGTGGTTACCCTCTACTCTACACCATGATCGCCCTCCCCACATTCGCACTCCGCCTGACCGTCTCAAAAATCCTAAACAAACTAAGCACCATGTTCCCCGCATACAATAACAGTGCAAACAGGCTCAGCGCGATACACCCGCTTTGTCTCCGACACACCTCCCTCGCCAGCGGCGCCTGGACAATCTGCTCTGGCAAGACAATCCCCAGCGTCGCCTTGATCAGATCCGCCCCAGTCACTCCCGACATGTCCCCTGACCCCGACAATTCCGCCAAGAGCTGAGAGTAGGATGATCGTAGGCCCGGTAGCCACCAGGGGTCGTCTCGGGTACATTCGAGCGGAGTGGAGATGTAGTCGTTGGCAGCGAGGGAGAGCGCTGATGACCAGAGGGCAACGAATAAGAGGTCAAGGCAGACCCACAGCATCTTGGAGCGAAGACCCCAGAGACCGATAGGCTTGCCAAAGTACTCCCGGTAGATGGCAGTGGCGGCGTGGAGGAGGGTAAAGGAAGCAAAGGCGATAGTGAGGGTGGTGGATGGACCGATCAGGCCAGGGAGGCGAAGGGTGATGAGCTCTTGACGGATGGACACGGATAACGCTGGGATTAGCTAAGCCTCACCTGAGCTCACCTAGTAGCGTAGCGACGACTGCTATATCCATGACCCGAAGCAAGATGGTCAGTCTCGCATCGAGAAACATCATCCGCTTCCACCGTACCTTCCAGTCTTCGCCTTGCCGCTTTGTCCGTCCCGTTTGGATTTTCCGTTTTGGCTTCTCCTCAATCCGCGTGGGGGACCGCTCGTCGCCTTCGGGAATGGTGCTACCGGTAGGCTGGGGCATGTGCTGAGAGGGGTTGGCCGTACCCGGGGAGGTCCAGTCAAATTCTGTCTGGTTCACCTTGCCCTCTTTCCACCGGCCCCCGGTCTCGTCCTGAGGACTGAAGCCCAGACCTTTTGGTGTAGGAGGGACAAGCGCTTGACGGTACCGCCTCGAGCGCCGCGCCTTTCGCCTCGATTCCCGCGGCGATACTGGTGGTTCCGCGACCAACGTCTCGCCCGAACGCTCCCTCTCCCTCTCCTCTTCCACCTTTGGCTCGTCATACCGCCCATACAATGCATCCTGCCAACTTCCGGCATGCGGCCATTGCGCAAAATGCTGCGTCCCCCGCTCCAGCTGCGCCTTGATCATGTGGCTGTTGAGCCGGCGCGGACGCGGCACCGAGCTGTCCAGCGGTTCCGCAGTACGAGGCGGCTGCGAGCGATGCGCGGTCTGCACTCGCCTAGGCTTTGGGACAGCTTCCGAGTCCGAGACGTGCCCGAGATCCGACCGCAGCTTGCGAAACCGCGGAAAGGACGGGGCGGTCATCTGTCGCTTGGCAGTGTGGCGGGAGAGGACTGGATCCGATTCGAGCGCGATTGGAACAGGCTCGGCGGTGGTCTTGGGGACAATCATGGAGGCGAGGGGGTGGGGAGTAAGACCGAGTGCGGCCGAGCCGGGGGCAGAGTTGCTCCGGGTGAATTCCCGGCGACGAGGGATTTCGGTGTCGCTGTGGACCTCGTCGGGGAGAGCAGATGAGCGGCGCCAGAGCGGAGCGAGGTTGGACCTCGGTCGACTACCCTCCGCTGGCGGCTTGACTGGGCTTGAGCCCCGCCTCGACTCCTTGCCCGAGTCATCCCTGCTGGACTTGCGCGACGGCACAAATCTCCGCCTAGTCTTGCCCTCCTTGCCAGCTTCTTCCTCTGGCTGTTTGCGCCGTATAGTCCGCTGACGCATCTTGATCATGCCCTTGTTGGTGAATGTCCACCACGGTACTTCGTCGTCCGAGCTGTTTGGCTCGTCCGATGAGCCAGACTCGCCAGAGGTGGAGTAGCGGATCCGAGGGCGGGGCCGCTTGGGTGTGGTGGGAGAGAGGGGATCAGGAAAGTCGTGCGGGGCAAGTGGAGGTGTAGGAGGGTCGTAGATGGCCGAAGCTGGGGTCAGCGCGGTTAACGAGACACTTACGAGGCATTGTTTTGACCTTTCTCTCCCCCGGGGGCGAGAGTGGGGACGCAAAGGGCATGTTGGGTCCAGCAGCCGCAGACCCATTACTCATGATCCGTAGCAAACCGTCCTTCTTGCCCTTCTTTGCCTTGACCGTACTGGAGGACGCTTCGTTGGCAAGGAACGGCATGATGAGAGGTGAAAGGAGGAATTGTGTTGGGTCCCGGAAAGGCGGTTGTTGGGTTGACCAGCCCCGTTTGGGTCAAGCACCGATCTTGGCTGGCCAGGTTCGAGGTGGTCGCTGATCGCTGCGATGGATGTGGAGGGACTACAGGTAGAAGGGTAGGGTCGGCGGCAAAAGTGTAGATGTTGTTGTTGACGCCAAAGGAGAGGTGGTGATCGCAAGCGGTTTGTTTTGTGCAAGCTTTTTGGTCTGGCCGTCTCAGGTGGGCTGCTGTCGTGGCGGTCGTGATGGTGTCGTTTACTAGAGGGTTTCTGGCTATACATGCAATGGATAAAGGCTGCAGAGGCAACTTTTGGTGATGACGGAAGGGATCTGGTGCCATGCCACCAGCAATCGGCGTCAGCGAACGCCCCACCCAAATCACCCTAAGTACCATACATCTGCATCTACCAGCAACTATTGACACTTTTGCATACACGTCAAGCCAGCCGGCTGCGTCGTAGCGCCCAGAAGCATCCACACTGCGAAATTGCGACTTGTCAACCGCTCCACGCCGTGCGATGATATAATGTCTTCTGACCCAGAAAAGCATGGGGAGAGCTGTAAGTACTCCTGCCGACTTTACTGACGACAGCTCGCTCTCCCGCCATAGAAGTATCATCATCAACCCCGCCACTCCCTCCTGCGGGCCACAATCCGCCGGCAGACAATTCGCCCGAGGCGATGGAGCAAGCTATCAATGCCATCTCTTCACCCCCTCCCGACTCTCAAGAGAATCTCGACACGGTACTCGACCTAGCACAAATGTCCGGACTATCCCCCTTTTCAGCGTCGAGACCTACGCTCCACTCGCGGGATTCGACAGCGCTGAGCTCGAGCTCGTCCGGGATGGCGAGTGTGACGAGCTCAGAGGGAGGGGATCATTTGGCCGAGGCGAGGGATCTTTTGATCCACAGCGGACCGTCAAGCCGGGAAAGTCCCGAGGAGGATGAGGTTCAATTCGATCTGACGGTGGTTGGCGCGACTCCGCCCATGGCAGCAGCAGATGAGGATCGGGGAAGGCGGCCAGACGTGGCAAGGGAGCAATCATGGGACAGTGTGGTGAGTAAGGGTAAAGCCGAGCTGACCATAGTGGCCCACACCAGATACGCTTGCTCGAGCAAATAGCTCGCTCGATACCAGCGCACGTTATCCTCTCGCCCCAGTGTCCCCCTTCGTTACCCCCTCCTTCTCGCCCGCCGTCTTTCCCTTCGCCTCGTCCTCCCGCGCTGCTCCTCCAGCGGTCAGGCGTTCGACGTCGCCGGCACGGCGGTCCGAATCGCCTCTCCGCCGACCCAGCCCTCTCACGGTCCACTCGGAAACGTTTGAATCACCCAGCTTCACCTTTGGTCGGCGCCAATCCATCACGGCGGATCGTCCTCCTCTTGCTCACCCCAGCATATCGGCGTCCAACATTACCATTTCCAAACATCAGCGCTCCTTTTCCTCCTCCTCCGACCTGTCGCCCAATTCCCGCAACTTTGGACGATCCAGTCCACCTTCCAGTCCAGGTAGACCGCCGGATCGGAAAAATACCGGTTCTACTTCTCGCCTATCGGACGTGGGCTCGCCCAAGTCGTTGCGGCCGCGCGGTCACTCCTTCACTATGCGGAATAGTCCCGGCGGAGCAGCGCGTCGTCCTCTCGACGACGACATCCCGCCGCTGGAGACGGGTCTCCCACCTGCAGTTGCGACATCGCCCTTGCTAGAGTCTCGCTTTCCGGAGGATGATGGGATCGGACGCCTCCCAGAAATACCTGCAAAACGCGCGCCGTCCCCCGTCTTCTCGCCAGTTGCTCGCCCGGTCGGTCTGCGGCGGGCATTGTCGGATTTTGACGCGCGCAAGCCGCGCAGCAGCTCGACGTCGTTGACGCGCTCGTCCAGCTTGTCCTCGGAGCTGGACCAGAGTCGAGATATCCCCCCAAAACCCATCTCGCCGGAACCTTTCGAAGACGAGGAGGAACCTCCAGTCGCCATGCACATGGGTGACGTCTCACTCGTCGACGAGGGGGATGTGCTTCCCCAGGAACAGGACCTGTATATCGACATTACGTTTGAAGACGAGGGTCTCAACACGCTGGAACGGATATTCCTCCTGTCCAAGTCGGACTTTGCCTTTCACCGCGCATACATTGCCCGGGTGATTGGCGACCTCCTCTATGACGTCGATCCGTGCGAGTCGGTCGAGTACGTTCTGCCGCTCATCAACTCGTTCATGCTGGATGATGATGAAGGGGTGCGCGAGGCGTTTGCGCAGGATCTGCACAGGATCATCTGGTACTATTACTCGGTGTGTAGGATCGGGCCGCCGGGGTCCGAGCCGCATGCTATGGAGTGGGAGGGGATGGCTGGCGAGGCGTACGCAGAGGATAGTGGAGAGGTCGTGGAAGGCGGTGAAGGCGGAGAGGAAGGCGGAGGCGGAGAGGAAGGCGGAGGCGGAGAGGAAGGCGGAGGCGGAGAGGAAGGCGGAGGCGGAGAGGAAGGCGGAGGCGAAGAGGAAAGCGAGGAGGGATACTTTGACCCGCCGCCCGTCCGCCGACGTAGCGTCCACCGGGACGATTCGGACCAGACCGTCACCATCACCTCGGAAGGCGTCGACATTGTCGACAAGCCCACCCCAGAGGAGATCAAGGCGGCTCCGCGAATGGCTTCTCCTCCTGCCTCCCTCCACAGCGGACCTACGAGCGATGCCTCGTCGTTGAGCCGGACCGCGTTGACCGCCTTCGACAGCGAGGGCGGCACCGGAACAACGGAATCCAGCGTCTCTCCGTCGTACCCGGTCGAGCCGTACTTGGTCAACCCCGAACAAGAGACGGAACCCGGACCCCTCGTCGATCGCCCCTCCCTCCCCGTCGACTTTTTCACTCCCCTCCTCGGCAGTCTCCTCCTCAACGTCAATACCGTCATCTCTGAATCTGCTCGATCCGGCATCGTCTACATCATTGCCCGACTCAAAGGCAAAGACAAGGCGGATTGGCCGCCTGATCGGTGGGGGACCTTCTCGCGCGATCCCAAAGACAAGGTGTCGTTTGGGAGTCAGGAGGGGCCACACTGCCACGAATTTCTGCCCATCCCCGACGACGAGCGGGATATGATTGAAAGGGAGCTACTGGAGGGAATTGTGGTGGGGGTGGGGTCATTGTCGACCGAGCTACCCGAGTACGACGACTTGACGTTGGAGGACGGTCAAGCGGCGCTGGATAATTATGCAGCATCGACGAGCTCGCTCGGCTCGGCGGCGGCCAAAGAGCGGGAGGCGTACCAGTACCAACTCAATGCCGAGGCGGAGACGGGGCGAGCTACCAGCGTGAACCTCATCGGGGCATTGTGTGACTTTTACACTGCCCCCGAGGTTCTCGCTTGGGGATTTATCGAGGAGGTTTTGCGGTGTCAAGATGGGGATTTGGCGATCAGAGCGGAAGGAGCGGTCGCGCTGAGCATGCTCGCCAAGGTTGCCCCGTCGGATCATATCGACAGCTTTGTAAGTTTACCTTGTGGCTATGCTGATAGATTCCCCTCTTCGAAGCACTCGCCAACGACGAGTCGCCCGAGGTCCGCCAGTCAGCCTGCCTCGTCATCGCCCCATTGTGTCGCAGGATACAAGATCACGCCGCCCGCCGGTCCTTTGCCATTGACGGGATGCACGCTTTGACAACATTCAACGCGGATGTCCGGTGCGCCGCCCTCGAGGCGCTCGGCGAGTTGATATATGTCTTTGCGGACGATCCGGAGGGACCGCCCGCGGAGTTGTTGCAGCTCTTTATGGATGAGGAGGATTTGCAGCGGGGCTTTTCGGATGATTGGGATACCGTGGCGAGCTTCAACGTGAGTTTAGGTTTGGCTGTGCTGATTTAGTTCCCCGGTGTCGCCCTTACTCTCGGTCCGGAGCGCTGGTCCCACATCCAGTCTTTATACCACCGCATGAATGAACGGGCGACTCAAAAGCCTCGGCGGACCCTCGCCGCCTCCCTGCACGAACTCGCCAAAATCCTCACACCCGAGCAATGCGCCCAGGACCTCATGCCGGTCTTTCGTACCTGCATCACCGGCGCCGACGAGAGTCGCGAGCTCGTCTTTGAGCACGTCGACGTATTCTTTGCCCATCTCCCCCTCCCCCTCGCTTGGTCCACCTACCTCGAGCTCGCCCGGGGCTGGAAGGCCAATACCCTCGGCGGATGGCGCGCTCGGGAACAGCTCGCCCTGCATATCCCGGCGTTCTTCAAAACCTTTCACTCGCTCATGGAGGATGAGATCTTGGGGATGCTTCAGGATGCGCTTCTGGACCCTTTTGCTGCGGTACGGGATGCCGCGACGAAAGGCATCCCCGAGAGCTACGAGATTTTGGGGGACGAGTCGGACATTGCGCGGCGTTTCAGGGATGATCTGCTGGACTTGGGGAGAAGTCCAAAGTTCAGGCAGCGGCAGACGTTTGTGCGGTGCTTGCGGGAGTTTGTCAAGCCCCCGCCAAATCGACAGGCCTTTGAGGACTTTTTCCTGCCTTTCCTGGCGAGTCTGAGCAAGGACGTGGTGGATGTGAGGCTGGGATTGGCGCAGACCGTGGCGGATCTTTTCGTAGTAGGTGAGTCATTGTCTGTTCGCCGCTGACAGCAGGTGCATTCTACGCAGACAAGACCCATGCACCGAAAGCCATTTACGATCTGGCCCGTCTCCTCGCCGAGGATGAGGCCATCGACGTACGGGACACCATCAAGCACGTCAATCTGGACCACCTCGAGACCAGTGATACGGTCCCGTACGAGGTCAAATCACCCCAGGCCGTCAAGCGGGCCGTCACACCTAGCGACCTGGTCCCGGACCACGCCCCCGTCCAGCCCATCCCCGAGCACACCCTGCGGAAACCCTCTCCAACCTTTGCCAACCCCCCTCTCCCCTCCAGTCAGCTCCGAGGCGACTCGTTCCGCCATCGTATCCGGATCGACCGCCATCCCTCTCCCGATGCCATTAGCGAGGCGCCGCGGTACAACCCGGCTCTTCTGACCCCCACCACTCCCGGTACCCCATCCCGTGGAACAAGAAGAAGACGGACAGAAGGAGGAGAGGGGCATTATCTATCCACACCATCCCCGAATGAGCCGCCCACTGGGACGGATCCGTTCAGCATGTCGTTTGGCGAGGCGACGCCAAATGTCAGTCCGGCGGTCAGTGTGAGAAGTTTAGAGTCGCCGGGAGGGAGTCCGGCCGAGAGATAGAGTGTAGATTTAGTATCGGGTAGGAGGCGCTGCGCCCTGCTCATTGTAGCAAACACATATTGGTGCATCTGGTCGGGCCAATCTGAGGCACTCATCGGGAGTATGCGGCACCGGTCCGGAGTAAGCGGAATATGATAACGCTATTTCCAGCCCCTACTTTGCCCATTCTTATGACCCAGTCATGCTCGTCTATCGTCCATCACATCGCCAGAGTTGGACAGTGAGGTCCTGGAATCAACATGAGCATCGCCGCCAAGTCCAATGCCTACCCAGCCGGTCATGCCGCCCCACGTATGTAACACCCCCACCTTCCCCCACCCTAAAGTTGACAATTCAGCGGAACGCAAAAGCGTCTACCGAATCGCTCAGATCGGAGCGGACGGTATCGGTCCCGAAGTCATCTCTGCCGGTGTGCAGGTCGTGCACGCAGCAGCCGAGAAGATCGGTACCTTTAGCGCCGACTTTACGGAGCTGGATTGGAGCTCGGATCGGTACAAGCGGACGGGGAGCTATGTCCCGGATGACTACATCGAGGTACTCAAGCAGCACGATGCCATCTTGTGAGTACTTTAGCTGGTACATATGCCTCGTAGCTGACCCTGAAGCTTTGGAGCGGTCGGAGCGCCCGATGTACCTGATCATATCTCGCTCTGGGGATTGCGGCTAGCTATCTGCCAGCCGTACATGTATGCGAATGTCCGGTGGGTCCTTTTCCCCAGAGCTGGCACTACCTTATTGACTTTACAGCCGTACGCGTATTCTTCCCGGTACTGAATCGCCGCTCCGCAACTGCAAGCCTGGAGATCTTGACTGGTGTATCGTGCGAGAGAATTCGGAAGGGGAGTATGCAGGACACGGGGGAAGATCTCACCGTGGACTGGAGCACGAGATTGGTACGGGTGAGTACATGATATGAATCTAGCTGATCGCAGAGGTCACCATCTTCACTCGGACAGGTATCAAGCGTATCGCTCGATATGCCTTCCAGCTGGCCCAATCTCGTCCCCGCAAGCTGCTCACCTATGTCACCAAGAGCAACGCGATGCGGAACGGGATGGTGTTGTGGGACGAGGTGATCAAGGAGGTCGCAAAGGAGTTTCCAGATGTCGTGAGTGCTTTTGCTGTCAGAGCTGACCTAGACCACCGACTTCATGCTTGTCGATGCCATGACGGTCCGGATGACCCTCAATCCCCGCTCGCTCGATACCATCCTGGCTACCAACCTCCATGCTGACATCCTCTCCGACCTTGCTGCCGCTCTCGCTGGCTCCATCGGTATCGCCCCTACAGCCAACATCGACCCTTCTCGCACCATGCCGTCCATGTTTGAGCCGATACACGGGTCTGCGTTCGATATTACCGGCAAGGGGCTCGCCAACCCGGTCGGGACGTTCTGGAGTGCGTGCGAGATGCTGCACTGGCTGGGAGAGCACGAAGCCGCCGAGCTCATTATGCGTGCGACCGAGCAGGCGTGTGCCGATGGGGTCAAGACGAGGGACCTGGGCGGTGATGCAGGGACAGCAGAAGTGACAAGGGCGGTGATTGAGAGGATCAACTGCAGTTCTTGATGGGAAGACGAGACTTTCGAGTGGCGATAGATGTCTCAGGTGACTGAACCAAGCAGTAGCAAAGTATGGTGCCGTGTACCAAGACGAGGGACCTGGGCGGCGGCGCAGGGACAGCACAAGTAACCAAGGCTGTGATTGAAAGGATCAACAGCACCTCCTGAGATGCAAGCTCTGCAGTCAAAGCCCTCTTGAACTGACCTGTCCCCACCCGTCACACCGGTCAGCCATCAAAAAGATACAACCAGGTACCCATCGCATCCACGGTATCATGCGAGCACGATATACCCCCAGAAACAAGAGGTACCATCCAGTACCAAGAGCCAGTAGCGGGTATAAAGAGCGAGGAGAGATGGTTGATATGCCATGTCGGATCACCGGGGTTTATATAGGTGAAAGCCGAGGCTGAAAAGAGTGCTCGCTTCAGAGCGAAAAAATAGGCGAAATGACCGAGTGGTTAAGGTGCTGTGTGAGGACCCGAGAAGAACAGTCGAATGGGCGTGGCTTCGGCGATTCGGGGACTGAGGGCGAGCTTGAACTCCGAAGGACCTAGGATGAGTGGACATCAATGAGCATCAGTCCGTCCTTCGGCCCCAGCTGTTGATGTTGGAGAAGGATAACATAGTCAACCTGTCACGGGTCAGAGCACAGCCCCGACATGTCCCCCATGCCTGAACCGCACCCCTCCCCACCCTGCCCTACGCCTATTCCTCATCATCGGCGGCCTCCTCCTCGTCCTCCTCCTCATCTTCCTCCTCCTCCTCCTCGGACGCCTCGGCACGCTCCGACTCCATCACAGCGGTGGCGATACGGTCCAAGTCACGCCTAAAATCAGCACTTCCCCTCCATCCCAAACAACTGCACTCACATCCCATCCTGGCTGATCTTCCTGCCTCCATCCTGTCCTGCCTCAAGCACACCAATCTTCTCGAGCGCCTGGACAACGTTCCTCTGCACACCGGTAGCGGCGTCGACGTGGTGGCCGGGCCGTGTTCCGCGACGCTTCTTGGAACCGTGGAGCTTGGCGAGTGCTCCGACACCGACAGACTTGCGGAGGTAGATGTGACGGGCGACGGCGGCTGGGATGTCAGCTGAGGACTAACCGCAAAGCGGGGCGACTTGCCAGCTCGGACGTAGTACCAGTCCGGGTCATAAGGAGCGAGCTCCTTGTGCCGACCAGTCTTGACGGTGTCGACCCATGTGGGGATTTCGAGCTTACCCGACCTCTTGAGGTGGGAAGCGTAGGCCTTGATGAAGCTCTCGGCTCTGGGGGTTAGTGAGGTCCTTGCCGCCTGTCCGCCATATCGTCTAATCCCTGCTCCGTCTCTCTCTGATGTCTCCGTCCATCTCCCTGCAGTTCCCCTCCTTCTGCTCCGCCTTTCCTCTGTCGAATCCGCTGTAATGTCCGCCGTATTGTCGCTCGACTCACGAGATATCTCTAACACCTGGCATTTTGAGTGATGGTTGAGGAGAAGAAGTCGACGGTCTGCCTCTATCTCTGGTGCTAGATCGCGCGCTCAGAGCCAACGGCAGCGTGCCAGCCAAAAGTCATCAGCGGAATCAGATTACGGCGATATAAGCGGGAATTTCACTTCAATTTGGTGTGGCACCGGAGTGGCAGCACCGGACTCGTGGCCAGATCTCCGTGTATATGCCGTCATTACTAGTCCGTGCCTGAAGTGAAGATCTTTCTGATCTCAGGTGGCAACAGCTGTCCACTCAGCCTCAACATGTAGGTCCAGCCGCAGCTCGACAAGGACGCAAGCTGACAGCAGGTCACGACTCATCTTCCGCAACATCCCTTCCGACCTCACACTCGACAAGCTCAAATCGCACCTCTCCACACCGCCATCGCTCAAAGACACAAATGTGACCGATACCAAGCTCGTCTCCAAGCGGCGCTTTGCCTTTGTCGGGTTCAAGGATGAACAGCAAGCAGCAAGAGTCAAGGAGTGGTTCGACGGGACGTATGCGTTTGGAGGTGGCAAGGTCAAGGTGGAGGTCGTCAGGGATGATGTGAGTGGACTCTTAATCTAGAGCTGATCTCAGCCATTGTCAGAGAAGCCTAGCAAGAAGCCAAGGCTGGACCGACAACAGGATACGGGATATGCCCCTCCGCCAGACGGACGAGATGGACCTGCAGAAGCTGGACCTTCCAAGCGGCTCAAGGAGTTTATGGACGTCATGAAGGGTGTGGATCCTACCGCACCGGAAGCTGCGCCGAAAGAGTTCGTACCCAGTCGGAAAGGCAAGGAGAAGTCTGTCGAGCCGGAGGTGGAAGAGGTGGATGATGATGCTGCTTGGTTGGCAAGGCGGACTGGCGCTTTGGCTACGGAAGAAGGAACTCAAGCAGTACGTCCACTAAATTACAGAGCTGATGTAGACCTCTGACCCTGACGAATCTCTGATCCTCTCCACTGGACGCCTGTTTGTCCGGAATCTCCCCTTCATCACTACCTCGGCGGATCTCTCCTCTCACTTTTCCACCTTCGGTACGGTCGAGCAAGTACACGTCCCGGTTACAAGCAAGGGCGAGCCGCTCGGGACTGCTTTCGTCCTCTTCTCAGAGCCCGCCGCGGCGGTGGCGGCATGGCGGGGATTGGACAAGAAGACATTCCAAGGGAGGTTACTGCATGTCTTGCCGGGTCGGGCGAGACCCGGAGACTCAGAGGGAGGGAAAGAGGGCAAGGGACCGCAGGGGCTGGGCGAGGGCAAGGGAGATGTTCTAGGCAAGACCAAGGAAGGCCGAGACGTGGTCAAAGGGAAGAAGGACGAGAAGCGCAAAGAGACCAATGCGAGGGGTGTCAACTGGGCCGCCCTGTACATGAACGTGAGTCCTCATATGACCGTGCTGACTGTAGAGTGACGCCGTTGCAGCCTCTGTAGCGGATCGCATGGGCGTATCCAAAGCGGACATCCTCAATGGCGAAGAAGGCAATGCGGCGGTCAAGCTCGCTCTTGCCGAAACCGCCGTGATCGCCGAAACAAAGCAATACTTTGAGGACGCCGGAATTGTACTCGCCGCGCTCGATCCCAAAGTCCCCCGCTCACCCACTGTCATCCTCGTCAAAAACATCCCATATGGCACCACCATCCATACCCTCACCGACCTCTTTTCACCTCACGGCAAGATGACCCGTATCCTCCTTCCTCCATCCGGTACCCTCGGCGTCGTCGAATACGAGCAAGCCGTCGAGGCCAGCTCGGCATTCAAGGCGTTGAGCTACAAGCGCCTCGGCAGCGCGGTGCTCTACCTCGAAAAGGGACCGCAGGGGATGTTCAAGGCGGGCCCCAAGGCGACCGAGGCGGAGAAGCAAAAGGAAGAGCTCGCAGCAAGGGTGGCAGAAGCGGACGTCTCTCTCCAGGACCAGCCCGCCCCCTCCGACGAAGCCGGCTCTACCGTCTTTCTCAAGAACCTATCATTCGGCACCAGTACCGCCCGCCTCGCTTCGGTCCTCTCCTCCCTTCCCGACTTTTCCTTTGCCCGCGTGCAAACCAAACCCGATCCCAAACGTCCCGGCGAGAAGCTCAGTATGGGCTACGGATTCATCGGGTTCAAGACCAAAGCTGGGGCACAGCGCGGTCTGCGTGCGTTGGAGGGATTCGAGGTGGATGGAAAGGTGCTGGAAGCCAAGTTGGCGCAGCGGGGTGCGGAGGAGGAGAAGGCCGAGCCCAAGAAGGGTGGGGCGGATCTGTCGGCCAAGACGAAAAGCACCAAGCTGCTCGTCAAGAACGTACCGTTCGAGGCGTCCCGGTCGGAGCTGCGCGAGCTGTTCTCGGCGTACGGCGCGCTCAAGTCGCTGCGCCTCCCTCGCAAGTCCGTCCTTACCACCACTGGAAACAAGTCGACGCGGGGTTTTGCCTTCTTGGAGTTTACGACCCATGCCGAGGCGGAACGGGCGATGGAGGCGCTCAAGCATACGCATTTGCTCGGACGGCATCTTGTTATTGAGTGGGCCAAGGAGGGCGAGGGGGTGGATGTGGATAGGCTCAGGGAGAAGGTCAGGGGGGAGGTCAAGGGGATGGAGGAGTGGGAGAAGAGGGCGAAGAGTAAGCGCAAGTTTGATGGTGGGGCGGAGAATGAGGAGAACGATGGGATGGAGCCGGATGTCTAGGCGATAGCCTAATAGCTTGTATGTATAGGAGGGGTATCTTTCTTTCAGCTTGGCCAAGGCGTTCCACTTTGGGCCGGAGCCAAATCACCGCAACACATTCCTCGAAATCTTTCTCCGTGCTTCGCTTCTCCTATCTCTCTCCTAGCAGCATGTCTGACCCCGCGCTCTCAGCGGTTATCGAGACATCCCCATCCCTCATGGCTGATACACGCAGCCCCGCTCGACTTGTCTATGACAATGGGCAGCTCCGCCGGGAGGTCATCAGCTATCTTCCAAATCAGGACTTGGCGCGGTTCATCAGGGTGGAACGGGGATGTCTTTGGGACATCGTGAGGGTGCTCTACCGCGAGATAAGAGTTGGGACTGGATGCCACCATGGCCCTGAAAGTGTGAGCTATCATAGCTGCTCGATAAGGAGATCACTAATTTGCAGGAGCGTCGAGCTACATATCGCGAAGCTGTGTTTGACCTGGATGCTCTCTCGATGGCACTGCCGCCGGAAACTCGTCCAGGCAGAGCTGCTCGTCCCTCCTACCTCGAGTATGGAGACAGCCACATCATACGCAGGGTCGTCCCGACTTTTCGACAAAAGTTGCCCAACTTGCGGACCATCCGCTTTGGCACGCGACGCAGCGCCGTGGAGCGTATCTCGTGCGAGATCAGGTTCGACGCGGCCAGACCTGCTGGAGCCAGCGCCGATGACGGAGACTCGGGTTCGATCAACTACTTTACCACGTGCCACCTTCTTCTGAAGGGACCGCCGTCGCGGCTGGAAACACCCCCATCGCCGGCGGGTTCGTATACGGTCAATCATCGGTGCGACTTGACCCTCATGCTTCTCCAACCTACAGCTCAGGACACACAGCGGTGGCTCGACGCTCTGCAGGACGGACCTGCCTTGGCCCGCTTGACCAAGCACGTCAAACTCGACGGGCTCAATACCTCCCTCCCGGTCCTCACCCGTCTATACGAGCGCCAAGCGGAAGCCGGATTCACGGACGGGCTCGCGACCATTTTCACCCCGCAGATGGCGCCTTTCGACATTGACGCGTTTCGCACGTTTGCAAGTGCGGCGTCGTCGCTTACCTCCCTCATCCTCGTCGGCGAGCGTCCGGCGGCGGGCGTGCCCATCGGACATACCACCTTTTCCGAGCTTCCGACACTTGTCGAGGTCATACGGCGCGACCTTCCACACCTCGTCAAGCTACACCTAGCCATCGGGGGCATCGGGACCGCCGGGGAAGACTGCAAGAGCTATCTCACTCCCGGCGGCCTGTGTCTGGAGGGGACCATCCAGGACCTACGGATCGATACGGGCGGCACAGACAAGCCACAGTTCAACCTCGTCCGGGCTATATCACCCATATGTACCTCAAAGGCGCGTCTGGCGATGCAGGGAGGGGCTGTCAAGACGTCTTGGAAGAAAGACGACCATGTCAAGTTTTTGCATTATCTCAGATCGTACGTCTCGACAAGGTAGAGCTGACAATTAGTCAACCTCAATCCAGGCGCATTCACCTCGCCATGGTCGATTTCGGTCGACTTGGTATTCACTACCCTCGTCAGGTACAGGACCTCACTTACGACGACGGCGGCCGGCCCCGAACCGTACAGGAGCAGATGCTACGTAACTGGTCCAGCAAAACGAGTCTTGGGCTCATTCGAGCAAGGGAGATGATGGGCAAGGTGGATGCGGGGCTGCAAGGCTGTGTCGAGGCATCCAGCAGCCTTGCAGGTATGTCGTCGGAAGCGAGCAAGGAGGATAGGTTGAAGGAGGCAGACAAGCTGTGGGAGGGGTTGGAAAGCGCCCAGGCTGCGGCAAAGGAGATGATAGCGGCATCGTGGAGGATGACCTGCTGAGGTATATGTACAGGCTCACAAGCGGTATATATGAGCGAGGTAGCCCCGTGAACATTAGTGTGTATGGCTTACAGGCCTGTCTATAAGGAGTACATAGGTGCTTGGGCCCCGCTGTAGGTCATGCATCTTGGAACCCCCGGGATTAATCATTATCGACATGCTCAAAAAACCCAGTCCGGACCGCTGCCAAAACCGGATTTTCATGCACCTCATTCCTCAATCCGCTCAGTCTCGTCAACCACCTTTATCACTTGACATTCTTGATTTCGCAAATATGACACCCCCCGCTCCTCAGACGGCCGTTCCAGACACCCAGAAATCTACAGCGTCTCTGCTGATCGCTCGTCACCCCGGTCGCACGGTCTACGACATCAATCCAATCAGGCGGGAAATCATCACACACCTCGAGCTGCCGGATCTGGCGCGCTTCATCAGGGTGGAGAAGGGGTGCTTCTGGGATGTAGCAAGGGTGCTGTATCACAGTATGACGTATGACCAGGCGGCAAAGGTGTCCAGTCCTGACGTTGTGAGTTCTCTTAGCGCGTCATTCCTTCCGGAGTAGCAGCTGATGGGAAGGCACGACAAGAGGCGTACCTCGGGGCTGTCATTGACATGGATGCCCTGTCCATGTCAATCACTAAGAAGAATACGTCCCACGTCGGCAAACGTCTTCCTATCCGTACGCTGGGATACGGTGACGTCGAGGTCATCCATTCGGTTGTCCCCGCCGTCCGCCAGCGATACCCTTACTTGCGCACTATCCGCTTCGGCACTCGGCCATCCTCAAGCTCGATACCAAGGGGGAGACCACGCTCAAACGCCCTAGACGAGCCGAAAGTCTCCTGCATCATCAACTTTCGGTCAGCCAAACGCCCAGAGGCTTCCGGCGAGCTTGGCGTCATCGGGACGATCGAATTCTTCACCACATGCATCGCACAGCTCAACGAGGTGCCACCCACGCACATACAGGCACCCACCTGTCCTCCAGGCACGTACGAAGTACATCATCGCTACGACGCAGTCCTTGGTGGCCAGTCAGACCGCTTCCGTCAGCAATGGCTAGATGCCTGCAGCAGGGCACTGGCTTCTCCAATCTCAATACACGCCTGGAAGTCGTCTGCTCGGGGATCACCCTCGACCACCTCACTCGTATCTATCAGCGCCAGATGGATGGCGGGTACGCGGAGCGACTCAAGTACATCACCGCCACACCACTTGCTCGATTCGACATGGGTCAATTTCGCACTTTCGCACGGACCGCTTCGGCCTCGCTTACCAGCCTTATCCTGGCTCGGGGCGATCGGGTCGCTTCCAATTCCTCTTTGGTAGCTCGCATTCGACTCGCGGATCTCGCAAGCTTCTCGTTGATTGTACGAGAGTACCTCCCCAATCTCACCCAGCTCTACATAGCCATGTCGGACATTGACGCGGCCGAGAGGCATTGCGGACGCCTGCTGTATCCTGGGGGCCTGTGCATCGGGGGATCCATCAGCGATCTCATGATTTATGCGGCAGGACGATCTTCCGACAATCTCTACAAACTCATTCGAGTCCTATCGACCATGTGTAAGGCAACGGCGGAGATCGATATTCGTGGCCAGCACTGGACGACGGCGGATCAGACTGCATATCTCCGGGTCCTTCGAGCGTAAGCCTGCTGTATTGAATGCGCTGATTGCAGTCAACCCCCGGCCCGTCGTATCCACCTCGCCACTGTCGACTTCAAAACGCTGAGTATCACCAAACCCGATCAAGTCACCAGACTGACGTACTACGATGACGGCCGACTCAAGTCTCTGCTGGACGGTTGGCGGGACTCGTCTACACTTGCCGTTCAACGGGCACCGGCGGCTGTCAAGACTCTACAGGCGGAACTGCGGCGATGCGCCAGGGCGGCTCGGCGTCTTAGTGCGGTCGAACCGGGAGCGACCGCAGGAGACAAGGTGGCCGCGGCTGAAAAGTTGTTGGATGCTGTGGAGGTGGCGAGGGCGGCTGCGGAGGCGGTATTAGGGTGGTGTGACTACCAGGGGGAGGATGATGTTCTCGACTACATTATAGCACTGCAGGCAGACCTTGTATAGTGAGACGACGAATCATCAGCGATAGACTAGCATGAAGTGGTATATAACAGACACCTCGGGCTGTCCCGCATGCTCTCGGACAAGACAGCAAAGCTACAGAGCCGCTGAGCCGTTGTACCAGGCAGCTGACCGCGTACTCGTCGTCCGTGCTAGACCCCTCCAGGACTATCTGATCGGTGGAGGCGGAAGGAAAGATAAGAAGCGTTAGCTGTGAAAGGGCAGTCAGTATAGGTCATCATTGCAAGCAGGAGAGGATAGGCCATTGACGATATTCATTTCTCTAGATAGCCACGAGGTAGCTCTTCTCCCCCTACACGACTCAAACCACAGAAAGAGGACTCATATTAGGGTAGTATTGTAAAACCGACAAGACTGGATACGTAGATGAAGAAAGGGGTATTATCCGGAACAGCATGAAGAACCTGAATGACCACTCTACTTCTTCTCCTTGTCTTTTGGCGAGAATGCCGACTTGATCTAGACCGTCAGCTTCGGTACTCCCCCATCAAAGGCTAGACTTACCTTGTGGAAGATGCTCGACTTGCGCTTCCTGACGTCCGATCCGCTGGTAGCTTCCTTGCCATGAGCAGCCTTGACGGGCGTTGTGGCGGGTGTGGTCTGAATGGAGGTGGGGGTGCCGGTCTGAGCGTTGGTAGTGGTGGCCTTGGTCGGCGTGGCGGGGGCAACGACTGGGGTAGGCTTGGACGCGGGAGGTGCGACAACCGGGGTGGGCTTGGACGCGGCAGGTGCCGCCGCAGCCGGAGCGGGAGCCACAGCGGCGACAGGAGCGGGCACGGGGATGGGTGCAGGGGTAGCCGCGTGTGGTGGTTCTGGGGCCTGGCCGGCGCTGGTGGTGGGGGCGGTGTGGATACCCGAGGTGTCCTTCTTGGGCGGGGCAGGTGCGGTAGGGTTGACGGACTTGGTGTTGGGGCTGACGGCGGCGCCACCGGCGGCGATCGGACCAGTCGCAGCGGGGCCGGTGACGGGGGAGGATGCGCTGGTACCGTTCACCTGGGCAGTGGTGGCGCCGGTCTTGCCTGGGTTGGTCTCGGCCTCGACCTTGGCGGCTTTAGCAGAGATGGAAGGGTCGGCGCCGATAGGCTTGGCAGCCGAGGAACCGTTCAAAGCGGCACCCTCGAGCGTCCGGTCCTTCTTGGGGTCCTTCTCCGAAACGGCAGTGATGACGGGCATGGGGACCTTTTTGTGGTTATCGGTGGTCTCGTTCTGGGCGGGAAGGTCGTTGGAGTGGTGCTCGGCTATCATCAGCTCATTCTACATAGGCACTCACGCTTAGGTGCGGTAGACGCGCTCCCGACCTTCAGGTCCTCGACCTTGCGAGCAAGATCATCAACAGCGGCAGATGGAGGCTTGGTGTTGACAGGCGACACCGTGTCAGTCTCACCATCCCGCTTCTGGATGGTGTTCAGGTCGACACCAGCAGCCTTCGCCTCGGCAATGGTCAACTAGATGTCAGCTGTAGCTCAGATGATGAGCGAAACACTAACAGGTTGGCCGTGGGTAAGATCAACACCGGTCGCCTTTTCAACGGCAACAGCAGCCGCCCCGACGTACGCCCCGATACCTGCGAGCGCAGTAGCGCCGAGATGCGAAGCCTTCTCGAGGTAGGTCTCCTCGTGGGGAGCTGTCGCCTCGCCGACGTTGGCGCGAGCAGCTGTCTTCTCGATCGCCTCAGCGGGCGTGACGGTCTGGGTAGTGGTGGCAGGCGCAGCGGGAGTGGGCGGGAGAGCGACCGCGGGAGGAGCGGACGGGGCGGTGGTCACGGGAGCGACGTGCGACGTGGAGGGTGCGGCGGTAGAAGCTGAGATGGGCTTGGACTCGACCTCGGCGACTGCCTTGGAAGTAGCAGCGGAATGAGCCGAAATAGGGGCGCCGAGACCGAGATCACCGAGGCGGGGCATGGAGCCGGATGAGGCGGGGGCCGGAGCGGAAGCAGCCATGAGGTTGGTAGGCTCGGCCTTGGCGATGGCCGGGACCGGCGCAGGCTCGGGAGCTCGCGAGACGGGCGAGCTCTCGCGCTTGGGCGCGACCGCGGCAGCGGCAGCAACGGGAGCAGCAGCAAGCGCGGCCGGGGCAGCGTGAGGGGGCTCGGTCTTGTGCTCGGCAGCAGGAGCGGGAGGAGCAGTGTAGACGTTGTTCATGTTTCCAGCAGCGTCTGCCTATTAGCCTTGCACCGCGCGGGGCGAAAGATACTCACCCCACTCCTTGGCCTCGTCCTCGCGAACCTTCCATTCTGCTCGTCAGCGACGTCCTTTTGATCGAGCCGAGTACCCACCACCATCAACGACATATTTGAAAGCTTGCTTCTCGCCCCATGGGAGAGCAACTTCGCCCTTGAAGGTGCCGTCGGCCTGCTTCTGCAAGGGCGAGGCCTTGTCGGACCAGCTGTTGAACCCGCCAGAGATGTGGACCTGTGAGTGAAGGAGTATAGGCAAGTAGAGTGGTGCGACAGAGGGATAATGGAGGAAAGAAGCAGGGTCAGCGCGTCCCATCTGCTGACGAGGAAGACTCACGGTCTGCGGTCCGGCTCCCCAAGTGAAAGTAGCGTGATGTTGACTCATAATTATGAGATGTGGATCGGTAAAAAGCGGTTGAAGGGTGTTTCGGGTCTTGGTATATGGGTTTCGGGATGATTCTGCACTATTTTGTAGCTGTCTAGCAGTGTCTAAGCTGTGTCTATAGCAGAGATAGAAGCAAAGGTGAGAGATGAAAACAAAGAGTGCGACAGCATGTGTAGTTTTGGCTGGGGAGCGGGGCAGGCACACAAAGTACAAAGGTTATTTAGATCCCGCTAATCGGTTTCGATTCAATGACGTACACGCTTTCATAAGCAAATAAGGCGCGACTAACTTGTATGCATCCAGCTAGATATCTACTCGTTCCACGCTATCACAGCCATGCAGAACACGCCAAATGCCATAGCAGCGTACTGGGCATAAGCTGACATCTCTATTGGAGGATGAAGCTCACCTCTTTGAGTGCCTGCGTTCCGCTTCTCGACTCGGCGAGCAGTTCTGGAATGACGCTGACGCTGGCAATGTACAGGAAGCCTTCTGTCAGCAAGGCCAATACACTGCTCACCTCCTGCTGTCATTGGTATGACCAGTTCACCCCCGCCCACACTTGTCCCAAAGAACCCCTGTCCCACCTTCAACACCTGATCCGCCTTGCCCGTCCCGCTCGTTTCTGCGATCCAGATCCCCAAGAACGTGCCTACAAACGCTCCGACAGCGGTAAAGAATTGACTTCCCATCGCTTGGCGCTTAGTGAAGCCGGACTTGATCAGGATAGAGTAGTCGGCAATCTAAATGAGCCATGTCAATGTCAAGCTCACCTCATGTGGGATCTCATGGCAGAATGTCGCTATGGTCGTGACAGCTCCCAGAGCTGGGCTCGAGTAGAATGAAGCGGCCATGGCTAGTCCGTCGGTGATGTTGTGCGTAAAGTCTCCAAAGAGGTTGAGGTAGGCAGAGAGGCGGAGTGACGGGTTGGGCTTCTCAGCAGGCGCAGCCGGAGTGATAGCAGTGACGTCTGACGGGGACTTGCGAGACCGCAGCTCTCCCTCTGACGCTTTGACCGCCGTGGATTTGGCGCTTGACTCGACTGGCGCGTGCGAGTGGGAATGGGAATGGCCGTGCGAGTCCTCGTTTCCTGCGGCGGCGTTTAGTACCCGCATAGTCTTGTCCAGGACGAAGAATGCGGCAAAGCCGAGAAAGATGGAGCCCCTGATATCAGCGAGGCCTACCACAGACGTACCCGATGACGATGTTCCGCTTGGGCTCGACCGCAATCGTCGAGTATCCACTTTCGCATCCTTCGCCAAAGAAGGCATGCGGGACCAGGTGAAGAAAGACATCGCCCAGGAGTCCGCCCGTAGCGAATGCGATCATCGTATTGAGAGATGATGGCTCGAGCGTGGCCGGCACGGCGAGCAGGATAAAGTTGGGGATACTGAAAGTCAGTCAACGCCAAAGGACGCGGGAGCAGCTCACGATGAGATGTAGAAAGTTGCAAGGACTGGAGGATCAGCTGACCCCATCATGTGGAGCTCTGAGCTTACTTGAGTTCCATGCTGGGCTCTCAAACGGGAAGAGCAGAGCGAACATCCGCTTCATGGAGGAGCTATGGTCATGTCCATGCCCGTGTCCCTTCTCGTCCAGCTCGGGGATGCCCTGTTGCTGCTCGTCAGCTGATTATTTCGCTAAGCTCACATGTGACAGCGCATAGGTCGCCGTAGCCCCGAGAACCAGGGCCAAGACCGCAAGATGAGCTGTTCTCGACTTGATCATGTCGGTGATGTTGAAAGTGGACAGCGAGAGATCTTGGTTCAGTCGCGTGCATCATTCCGTACCCGGGCCTATTAATCACGGCATCCGTTGTCTCCGCGCCTAACTTCCCTTTGTCTGACGTCATGATCTGAGACCGATCGACGAAGGCGGCGATGACGGCGACCCTTGCGACGTTCCAGACGGCCTTTTGGTCGACGACAAAGGTATAACTTCTGATCATACATATCACACCCAACATCTACACCTGATCTTATACACCCTACTTCCCAACCAAATCTACCAACATGTTCGGCTCCGTCTCACGCACACTCGGCTTCCTCGCTCGCACACCACTCATTCAGCCACCATCCGGTCCCGCCGCTATGGAGCTGAGCAACATGTCGGGTCCTTCCCGCAGACCACGAGCTGCCAGCCGGACCTTCTCCAACCTCAGCGTCCGGAGCGGATACAATGCGTATGCGATGGACGGACGGAGAGGCTATGCAAGCGACAAGGGGCGGCAGGAGCTGTACTCGGACGAGACGGGCAGTCTTGGTGCAGGCGTGAGTATCTCGGATTATTCGCCTGGATGCGGCTGATTGTCAGATTGACGACGTCGCACACACCGATGCTGCTTTCGACAAGAACCCCGACCCAGAATCATCGGCCAAGAAGATTGAAAAGGAGGTGAGCCCTTCCTAGTCCTCATCATTTGGTTCTTCTGCTGATTCAGTAGACTGGCAAAGACTTTACCAACAAATCATCTTCCAACCCAGACTACTCGAAGACCTCAGGCAAGCAGGGAGAGACGGGCGGCGAGAATGCGTTGAACACGTCCAAGTTTGGGGACAAGAAGTAGGACGTCTGCGATGACCCGATACCAACCATAGTTATAATCACCATACCGAAGTCTCTCAATCCATGTAGCCTATAATATTACCCAAGCTGAGACGAGCCTCCTCGAACGAAGTTTGAGGTATCAGAGATGATGCGCCCCTTCTTGACGAATAGGCGCGGACCGGACGACCATACCCTGCAGCACGTGGCACGCCAAGTTGCAAGTTGCTCTCGGGTCCCGCAAACGAGCCGCAAACGCAACGAGGCGGCGCATCGCCACAAGTCATCTACAATACTAGCGCGAGACCATCGATATCGCCTGCCATGCTAGCGCTAATTAATATGAGGGGCCTCCCCGTCCAGCGAGGTCTCCGTCTCCTCCTGACGGCCCGAGCACGGCCGCGGCCGCACCGGAACTTCGGCTTGACAGATCTGACATCAGCCGGTCCCGGCTCCGGGATGGGGTCCGGGCCGCGCCTTGTGCCGAAATGGGGACCGTCTGGGACCGTTCAGGATGGACGCAAACCCTATGCGCTAGCCGTTTTTGTCACTATTGGACCCAGCATGCCGGCCTTCGGCATACTTAGTTTGGGTTCATCTAGCTCCACAGAAGTTTTGGACAACGTGGATATGCTGTGCAGCGTCCCGCACCTGCAACGACATCCGCTCCACCACTTGTGACAAGGTATATTATAGGGACCATCCATGCTGACTGAATGATCTCCTTCATACCACCATCATGCTCACGTATCTACTCCTAGTCTTTGCCATTGCATCTGCCTGGGCCAATCCTCTCCCACAAGCGCCTTCTCGAGTCGCCTCGGCGATGACCCGGGCGGCGTCGGCCTCATCTGCCGTCCGGCCCTACGTTCCGTATTCTCAAGTCCCCTTCGGTCTGACGTTCAACGACACCCAAGGCGGGAAGCGTATCCACCGTAAGTCCCCCCTGAGGTCCCCACTGACGCCAGCTTTCCTCCGAGAAGACCTCTGCATTCAAGTCGTCAACAAGACCCTCGTCCCCGGCGCTCTCATCAATGTGTACGTCCCTCCACAACCCCGCTAATCCCAGTGCTCGCTGCTTGAACAACTCGGCCCCCCTCCCTGCCCAGCGAAACCTCTTCAATCTGACCACACTCAACGTTACTTCCAACTACACCGGCCTCATCGCTCCCGCCAACCAGACCGAGTTGTGCCTTTCGGGCAAATGGCACATCCCCAAAAACGCTACCGATTATGCCACACGGGCCGACCGGGAGATATCGCTGCAGAAGTGTAATGCGACCGACCCGAAGCAGATGTGGCGGTATGGCGTGGACGCGCGGGTCGTGAACGGGACGGGGAGGGCGTACAAGCTGTCACTGAATAATCAAGGTCGGTGGCGTTGTCAGCTCGTGAGATCCCGCCGCTGATCCCGCAGAGCAATGCGCGACGGTTCTCCGAGAGCAGTTGGGCTCGGTCACGACGCTCGTGCTGAGCATGATGCCGTGTCTAAGCAGTGTCGGGAGTCAAGTAAGTCTTTGTCACATCATTAGTAAGCTCAGCTTATGGTATAGCTCTTGGTCGTCGTGAACGGCACCAGTACTCCGAGAGAGAAGCTGCCTGACATCCCCTTGCCGGGGTGGAACTGAGGATTGAAGCGCGTCAGAAGTCATATAATACCACCAAGTGTAGCGTTAGGCCGAGGAAGCTAAGAATGTACTTGTGTTTGCTCCTTGCCTTGTCCCTCTTCCTGTCAGTGGAGATGTGAGTGGTCAGTGCCGCCTTCGTTACAGCCAAGTCTCACCGGTTTGAACGTGTAGTTCGCCCGCAGATAAGATACATACAAAGGCAACAAGAGCGAGACGAGGAATGCTGGACCTTGTCGCGCCGGGAAACGACAATAACCGGTCGACTCCTTCTTGACATTCATCATATTACCATGCCCCTCATCGAATACACCCAGCCCAGCCCCACGATCCACCTCCTCACGCTCAATGCGCCGCCGGACAATCGGCTGACCCCTCCGCTCCTGCGCGAATTGGGCGCGCACCTCGACACGATCGAGGCCAATTGGCGCAAGGCGGGCGGAGGTGAGATGGACAAGGCCAAGCGGGATGGGTTTGAGCACAAAGGCGCAGGCGCGGTGATTTTGACCAGCGGGTGCAAGGGATTCTTCTCGAATGGGCTGGACTATGCTCGGAGTCTCAAGGAGCCCAAGTTCTTCCAGGGTGAGTCGACGCAAAGATGGCGCTGATGGCAGAAATCTTTGATCCGGTCATGTACAGGCTATTGACGTTCCCGCTCGTGACGATTGCTGCTATCAACGGGCATGGTGAGTCTAGTGAAGGATGAGCTGACCACAGCGTTCGCGGGTGGCTTCATCATGGCCATGTCCTGCGACTTTAGGCTCATGACGTCGGGTCGAGGGTTGATGTGCATGAACGAGGTGAGTCCGCGCCTGACACCGCTAAACTCAGCTCACATTCTCTTCGCCCATGCCCAACTCGTTCGTCCCGCTACTTCGAGAGCGCATCCCCAACCCACGCGACTTCCGAGACACGATGATGGCCCGGCGTTGGACGCAGAAGGAGGGGTTGGCTATGGGGATCCTGGACGAGGTGATTGACGGGGAGAAGCTGATGGACCGGGCGATGGAGGTGGCATTGCGGGAGGCACCAAAGGTCGCTCCTGGTCCTTGGGGCTTTATCAAGGTGAGTCAAAGCAAGACAAAGCTGATCAAAGCAACAATCGTACCGCGAGTACATCCTGGCCAGCCAGTCCGACCGACCCATCATGTTCCCGCACATGGAAGCTCAGGCGTTCTGGAAGCGACACGGCGATGCCAAGTTGTAAGGTAGTTTGATGCATGTATGGTGACTAAAGCTACAATTGCCATTATATAGATATAGATGCTCTTCCCAAATCCTCCCCTACACCCCCTTCATCATCGGCGCGTTACTCGCGGTGCTCATCCGGGGAGTGGTGTCGACCACGGGACCGTTCCCCAAGTAGGCGTTCCCGATAGCAGTCTGAGTGGTGTCGATGGACTGTCCCCTGTTGCGTGCCTCCATCTCCCGCTGCATCGCCTCGGCCCGCTGCTCCGCCGTCATCCAGTTTTCAGGGTGTGTCTCGAACGCCTTGCGCCCGGTAAAGTCATCTCCCTCGCCGTGGCGCTCCTGCCATCGCGCCAAGCGACGCATGTACCGGGGCGAGCTCTTGCCAGCGGGCCAGAGGTCGGCGACGAGGGTGGCGAAGTAGAAGGTGAGGAGGAAAGCGATGGTCCACTCGAGGGCGGCGCAGGCAGACGTGATGTTCTCACATTGTGCTGCCGAGTAACGCGAAGTGGCGATAACATCACCGCCGCAGAGGGCATAAGTGACACCGAATGCGATGGCGCCGAGAACAGCGAGGAGGACAACGACGAGCTTGTAGATGGAGTTGCGGAAGAGGGAGCGGCGGTCTGGGTGATCTTTGTGGAGGGACCACTGAATGTCAGCAGGATCTTGTGGTGGACATACGATTTCAGCAGATTGGAAGATGCCTGAAAGAGCAACGCCAATGACGAAGACCAAAGCCATGGGCCAGTGGATGTTGGAGTGGTTGAAAGCGTCAAACTGGGGTCAGCTGTGTTTCGACGGATGACTCACGATTGAACAGAGGATCAATCCTGCTGAGCCAACAATGCAGAAAAAGATGGCGACCCAGTCAAAGATCTTCTCCCGCTTGCGCAAGTCGGTAGGGAGACGATCAATGTGGCGAAGCCAGCGCTCAGCAAAGAGACTCATAATGTACAGCCTAAAGTCAGCTCTAGCGACGACGCTACTCACCCCGAGGTCGAGCATGAGATCCCGATGAAGAGCTTCTTGTGCACTGCTCCAACGTCGCTGATATACACCACCGCGGCCTCGTCGCCTCGGTACCGTGGCTTGCCGGCGGTCACCCAGAGCAGCAGCATCGCGAGGATACCGCCGAGCCATACGAGCGTAGCGAGGATCGGGAACCACACGTAGGGTCCAAAGACTATTGTCAGCCCAACTCATCAACAAAAACTTACAAAGATGGGAATGGGGCGTGCGCGTGTTGAGCGTTCCCGGTAAGCGGGGCTTGCCATGCTTTTCGTGGGTGCTCGAGTATTGCTCGTTGGCTCTGGATGCAGCGTTCATCTTGACGGCGAGATGAAAGAGAGGTATGGAAGAAAGGTGAGCAGTTGACAGAGAGCAGAAGGGAACTCGTCGCTCGATTGGTTTATACTTGCCGGTGACATCCTTTTTCGACGAGGCGTTTCAGGCTGCGATTGACGTCATAACTCTGCCGTAAACAGCACACCGCCGCGTCCGGTGATCAGCAGAGCGACGAAGTTTCGGATCTTAAATCGCATCCGGTCGAGCCGTCTCAGCGCAGCAGCGTAGTATATAGAGCGCAGCGTAGCATGACGTACAATCAGTCCTACCAGTGACAAGGCAGCTCGTGGGCGCAGCTTCCGTGCGCCCGGCACCGAGCTGACTCGCAAAGTTTCTGGTGGATGAGAGACGGGGTATTCGGCCGAGCCAGACGGATATGCGTCATGAGAACGTGAGGGTCACTGCGTGCTGCATGCAGTCGAACGGGCCTGCATATGAGCGCTGAGCTCGATGACCATACTATAAGCAAGCCAAACCGCAACGAAGCGATGCCCGTCGGCCAGCTCGCGGACCTCTCGGAACGAGATCCCGGCGGCAACGTAACCGACTATGACGTAGTTCAAAAAGTCGGTATCGCAGTGAAACCTCCACCTCCACCTCCGTCTCCAATCCCCAATCGCCGCCCCGCATCACAGTCAGGCACTCAGATATAAACAGGAGCAATCACGCATCTCCCCCGTCAAATATCCACCAACCCACTCTTATAACCACATCTCTACATACCACCAAAATGTCTTCCAACCAGACCGAGCGTAAATTCGAAGGATGGGCGGCCATGGACGAGAATGCCGTCAAGGGCGGGATGAAGTGGACCGAGTACGAGCCCAAGGAGTTTGCCGAGGACGACGTTGAGCGTGAGTCTTCCAGGCCTGATGTGGACCATAGCTGACGTCTCAGTCGAGATCCAATACTGCGGTATCTGCGGTTCCGACCTGCACACCATGTCGAACGGCTGGGGAACCACAAAGGGAATGTACCCCCAGGTTGTCGGCCACGAGATCGTCGGCAAGGTCGTTCGGGTCGGCAAGGACGTCAAGCACCTCAAGGAAGGCGATGTCGCCGGTGTTGGCGCTCAGTGTGACTCGTGCCTGGAGTGCGTCAACTGCAAGAACGGTGAGTTGCTCCATTCTCGCCCAGAGTTACGCTGACATTCAGGCGAGGAAAACTACTGCAGCAAGGGCCTGACCGGTACCTACGGCGGCAAGTTTTCCCGCACTTCGGCCGGCTCCAAGTCGTACGGTGGATACGCCAACTACTGGCGCGGTCCCGCCCACTTCACCGTTCTCATCCCCGAGGGCGTCGACCCCGCCGAGGCCGCCCCTATGATGTGCGGTGGTACCACCGTCTTCACCCCGCTCAAGCAATACGGCGCCGGGACCACCGCGAAGGATGTCGGTATCGTGGGGATCGGTGGATTGGGGCACTTCGCCGTCCTCTTCGCTGCCGCCATGGGCGCCAACGTCACCGCCATTTCGCACTCGCACAAGAAGGACGAGGACGCCAAGAAGCTCGGCGCAAAGCAGGTCATTGTCACTGGCGATGACACCAAGGCCGCCTTCAAGGGTCACGAGCGCTCCTTGGACCTCATTATCGTCTCCTCCAGTACGTTCCTTTTGTCGACTTTGGGGCGCCGAGCTGATGATCAGATGCTCCTGACATGCCGTTCGACGCTTACCTTTCGCTTCTCCGTCCCCACGGTCACCTCGTCATCGTCGGTGTCGCAGAGGAGGGTTCTCTCCCCAACGTCCACCCCTTCAACCTGATCATGAGTGAGTTACCTCTCCGAGATCTTCTGGCAATCGCTGATATACAGGCAACGTTCACATCTCCGGTTCCGCCATTGGATCAGTCAAGGGCATGGAGGAGTGCTTGAAATTCGCTGGCGACAACAACATCAAGGCCTGGGTCAAGCGATACCCGATGAAGGAGGCTAACGAGGCGGTGAAGTCTATGAACGAGGGCGAGGCTCGGTACAGATACGTCCTTGTCAATGAGGAGCACGGCGGCAAGCTCAACGCCTAAGCTGTGGTCCCGGTCTTTGTAGTCAGCCAGTACTTCATGTAGCCCAGTCTTGATGAACCTGTTGAAGTTGAAGTTGGAAGTCTTGAGCTCAATCTACCCTTACGGAAGAGCATGCCCATCCACTCTGCAACGATCACACCCAGATCGCCACACCCACTCTTAGATAGGTCTGACGGACCAGAGCCTGGCCTCATCTACATCGCTTGTAGGGACCCCGGCTGTAGGTGCCATGGCGGCAGGGGCTCCTTAAAGCTTGTTAGACGATAAGAGGCGGCGTTCCAGCTGGCGTTCCCCTGTGTCTGTCTGCCCACAGCTGTTCCCTGTGCATTCAACAGCCACCAAAGAGCTCACTCAAGACAGTTTCAAGACTCGCTCAGACAAGAAAGCACACGCGCCCTGACGTCATCGGTATGACTGGCCGCCGGCGCCGTGTCCCTGAATGATCGTGTTCCTGCCTCCACCTCCACCGGCCACTCCTCGAATTTCGGAAAAAATGTTGATGATCAACCAAGCAGCTATCGCAGCTCAAAGACCGCAATCTACGTCCGAGATGATGCAGCTATATAAGACGCAGAAACATCTCCCTATCCCCCTCACACATACTCCCACTCAAAACCTTCTACACCACACTAAACACCATTTCAAAAATGTCCACCACACAGACACAGCGCAAGTTTGAGGGATGGGCGGCGATGGACGAGAACTCGGTCAAGGGTCAGATGAAGTGGACCGAGTACGAGCCCAAGGAGTTTGCGGACGATGATGTCGAGCGTGAGTGATCTGTGGTTTCCAGCTTGGTCCGCCACTGACCATCAGTCGAGGTCCAGTACTGTGGTATCTGCGGCTCTGATCTCCACACCATGTCCAACGGCTGGGGCAGCGCCAAGGACATGTACCCCCAAGTCGTCGGTCACGAGATCGTCGGCAAGGTCGTTCGGGTCGGCAAGGACGTCAAGCACCTCAAGGAAGGCGATGTCGCTGGCGTCGGCGCTCAGTGCGACTCTTGCCTCGAGTGCGACAGCTGCAAGAAGGGTGAGTCTTCGTTTGGTTTGGGGTTGGGATAGAGCTGACTGTCAGGCGAGGAGAACTACTGCTCTAAGGGCATCGTCGGTACCTACTGCGCCAAGTTCTCGCGCACGTCCTCCGGCTCCAAGTCGTACGGTGGCTACGCCAACTTCTGGCGCGGACCTGCTCACTTCACCCTCCCCATCCCCTCCAACATCGACCCCGCCGAGGCCGCGCCGATGATGTGCGGTGGTGTTACCGTCTTTGCCCCGCTCAAGCAGTACGGTGCCGGAACAACGTGAGTTGTGTGACCTTGATGTGTTCTGCTAGGGACGCTATCTGACGGGCCAGCGCAAAGGACGTAGGTGTCGTCGGTATCGGTGGATTGGGACACTTCGCCGTTCTCTTTGCGACCGCCATGGGCGCCAATGTGACCGCCATCTCGCACTCGCACAAGAAGGACGAGGACGCCAAGAAGCTCGGAGCTAAGAAGGTCATTGTTACCGGCGACGACGTCAAGGCGGCTTTCAAGGGCCACGAGCGTTCTTTGGACCTCATCATCGTCTCTTCCAGTAAGTCTGCTTGCTTCAGCATGGGTCTATGCTGATCGTCAGACGCCCCCAACATGCCTTTCGACGCCTACCTCTCGCTTCTCCGTCCCCACGGTCACCTCGTCATCGTCGGTGTCGCAGAGGAGGGTTCTCTCCCCAACGTCCACCCCTTCAACCTGATCATGAGTGAGTCCTTCCGTATCAGTTGTAGAAGCAGCTGACATGTAGGCAACGTGCACATCTCGGGCTCCCTCATCGGCTCCGTCAAGGACATCGCCGAGTGCCTCAAGTTCGCTGGCGACCACAACATCAAGGCTTGGGTCAAGCGGTACCCCATGAAGGACGCGAACGAGGCGGTTGTCAGTATGAAGGCGGGAGACGCTCGCTACCGTTATGTGCTTGTCAACGAGGAGCACGGTGGTAAGATGAACGCCTAGGTGTAGGTGAGGGTATCAATCATAGAAATTAGAAGTTGAATAGAATTAGATGCATTGTCATCAGCAGTACATCTGGTATCAGTAGCCCCAGATACGCCGAGGATCGTCAGCTGTTTATCGTCCATCAGTACATAGCAGTGCAAGTGGATGAGGAGCAAGAGAACACCATCATGGCTGGACCCACCAAGCAGCCGAAATCCGATGCCGTAACCGCCGGCAACGTTCAACCGGTCTGACCAGCAGTACAGAGCTCCTTCTGAAGTGTCGCTCAGTCACCTTGAGCTCGTTCTACACTAATCATATCTGTGCATAACAGCTCAGGCAAAGCTCAGGAATTCCTTTCGCTGATTCTACAACTTCGCTTCAACAAGAAAGCGCGCTCAGACTTTGAGCGAGACTAGCAGAATGTCTTCCGCTCCGAAACAGCGCAAGTTCGAGGGATGGGCGGCGATGGACTCGAATGCCATCAAAGGGGAGATGAAGTGGACAGAGTACCGGCCGAAGGAGTTCTTTGATGATGATGTCGAGCGTGAGTACCGCTGCTGCGTCTGATACTCTTCACATTACTGACCCCCTAGTCGAGATCCAATATTGCGGGATCTGCGGGTCCGATTTGCACACCATGTCCGATGGCTGGGGCTCTACAAAAGGGATGTATCCTCAGGTGGTGGGACACGAGATAGTGGGCAAGGTGGTACGCGTCGGGAAGGACGTCAAGCATCTGAAAGAGGGAGACATTGCGGGGGTAGGAGCGCAGTGCGATTCCTGTATGGAGTGTGTGAACTGCAAGAATGGTACGTCCTCTACTCGATATAGCTGACTCTAGGCGAGGAGAACTACTGTAGCAAGGGCCAGACTGGAACATACTGCGGTAAATTCAGGCGCACTGCCAAAGGGTCCAAATCGTACGGCGGGTATGCCAATTACTGGCGTGGTCCCGCCCACTTCACCATCCCCATCCCCGACAATCTCGATCCCGCGGAAGCTGCACCGATGATGTGCGGCGGCGTGACCGTGTATACTCCGCTGAAACAATACGGGGCCGGAACGACGTGAGCTGCATAGCCTTGATACGTTGATTGAATCGACCTGAGCTGAATCCTTCTAAGTGCGAAATCCGTTGGGGTCGTAGGTCTGGGAGGATTGGGACACTTTGCCGTCCTCTTCGCTACCGCGATGGGAGCAGATGTGACGGCTATCACACATTCGCACAAGAAGACCGAGGACGCAAAAAAGCTGGGCGCAAAGCAGGTGATTGTTACCGGAGATGATATCAAGGCAGCCTTCAAGGGGTACAGGCGGAGCTTGGACCTAATCATCGTTTCTTCTAGTAAGTCCTTGTTGTTACAGAGCTGACTCTAGACGCCCCCAACATGCCCTTCAATGCGTACCTCTCTCTGCTCAGACCGCATGGCCACCTCGTGATCGTCGGAGCGCCAGAGGAAGGCACTATCCCCAACGTCAGCCCGTTCAACCTCATCGGCAGTGAGTATCTCATCGACAAGCCCAGTCCGAGCTGATCCCAGGCAACGTGCACATCTCCGGCTCCGCTATCGGGTCCGTCAAAGGGATCGCCGAATGCCTCAAATTCGCAGGTGATCATAATATCAAAGCCTGGGTCAAGCGATATACCATGAAGGATGCGAACGAGGCGGTGGTCAGTATGGAAGAGGGAGCGGCAAGGTATAGATATGTGTTGGTAAATGAGGCGAATGGTGGAAAGATGAGTAAGTTAAGTGATTATGTACAAAGTTGGAGCTGATGAGACAGGAAGCGGCTTGACCAGTCGTTTATAGGATACAGTCTGTCAGTATGTATCAGCTGGGCTTGACATCATGGCCGGCGTGTAAGGTGGGGGATGCATGATAAGCTAAGACCTCTTCTTGCCGGCTGTACTTGACCTGTCAGCTCCGGATAGGAATAAGGGTCCCTCTCCCCAGCCTCCAGGCGCATCCCCCAACTGCCACCCGCCTACACCACCTATACCGGTCCAAACCCACTCGATACCACCCCGGATCCTCCCTGGTATCGAGGCAGGGTAGTGCAGCGGGACGTGTTCGGTTATAGCAAAGTGTGCTGCCCCGGCGATGAGGCCAACGAGGTAGCCGACCGTTATTTGATACGCAGAGTGGTAGTGCAGGTGATACCTGAGCAATCAGCTGGCGCCCACGAGTAGTTCTGATAGCTGTGAGACTGGCAAAGGTAGACTTACCGAGAATAAGCGACCAGGAGAGACCACAGAACCAGCCCAAACAGGCAAACCGCCGTGCGGATCGTCCTGACCGTCTGTACCCCTGGCCTTGTATCTACCGCCCTCCCAGTCTTTCTCGCCTCCATGTCCCTCCGCTTCTCCATGCTCAGCGCATATCCCATCCCCCAAGCAACCAAGAAGCCCGCCGCTTGGGCATGACTGCTCGGCATCCCATATCCCTCGCCCACATCCCCCAGCCCCAGCAGCCCCTTGTATGGCCTGTCCCCTTTCCACCATCGCTTGAGGATCAAGCTGAGTGCTTCATTCGCTACCGAGCCTAGAGCGAGTAGAAGGATCGTCAATCGGCGAGTGAAGACTGCGAGCGTAAAGTACGCGACGAAGAGGAAGATTGGTGTGAGGGAGAGCAAGGTGAGCGGGATGGAGAGTGGGTGCAGCGGGTCGTATAGGATGTGCGTGAGGGCAAAAGGCTTGAGCGAGGGCAGCGCTCTAGTCGGATCGAGTGACATGGCGTGGACTCTATAGACTGGTCGAGCCATGTATAGTCGCAACAGGCTCTGAGCGACTTTCCAACCTCACGAGCGAGCTGAAGGAGAAGGATACGCACGGGCATGCGGATGTTGTCCCAATCTCCGCCCTAGTGAAAAAGTGCCACACTGAAATCCGAAATTCCGCCACCCGTTCCCCCTCGGCGGCGTTATTTTCTCAATTTGGCCCCGCGTGCGTCTTGCTGGTGTACCAAAGATCTTCGCGCAAACGGTCTCTCTCTGCATCCATCAAGATAAGCACGAGCAAAAATGGTAAGGCTAGCATGCTGATGATGAAGTGTGCAGAGCTGACATCCACAGTCTAAGGTCAGTTGTAGTCCGGTTCTCATCGCCCCTCTCGGAGCTACGCAGGCGGGGGAAACATAGCTGACGGAAGGTCCCTCCTTGGTTGATCTGGTCACTTTGCTATACAGGGTACACCTTCGTTGTGAGTATTGTCTTTCAAGACGCAAGGGGACTAGGAGGCGTATAAGGCGAAGACGACGGTATGGGGAGAGAAGAACAGGCGGACTTTGGAGATATAGGGAGAGGATAGACCTCAGGGGGAATTGCTGTCAATTTTGCTCAGAACACCTCGCTGACTTGTCTTCAGCGGTAAAAGGCATTCCAAGTCGCACACTCTGTGCCGTCGTTGCTCCAAGCGCTCCTTCCACATCCAAAAGAAGGGTACGTTGCCCTCGAAATCTGAAGCGGATCAGTACAGAAATGGAGGAGAACGGACTATCGAGTCTCGTGCTGACGTTTCAGTCTGCTCCTCATGCGGTTTCCCTGCTGCCAAGATGCGCAGCTACAACTGGGCTGAGAAGGCGAAGCGGAGGACGACCACGTGAGTGTACCGACATTAGGGTTGGGGTCAAGGGATCACCTCGGCCCTCCTCTTCCTAACGATAGGGCGGAGCTGACTAGCCAGCGGTACCGGCCGTATGGCTCACCTCAAAGACGTCAACCGTCGGTTCAAGAACGGCTTCCGGGAGGGTGGTGCCGCGACCAAGCGCACCAAGACTGCTTCTTCTGCTTAAGCGGGGGTTTGAGGGATTGGAGGTCTGTGGGAGGCGGAATGGGGAATGGCAGAGACGGGGCATGCATACCGCCTGCCTGAATCCTGGATGACCTGGATGTTGAGGCGATGGTGTGCTGGGCGTGAGAGGAAGGACAACGGGGAGGCGTTCTTTCTACCTCCAGAGCTTTCCTGTCTCAATCTCGACGCCGATTCTGTGCTCGTTGCTCTTGTTCATCTGGGCGTCCCCGCTGCTGCTGGAAGATCTGTACGATTGAGATCTATGCGGCTGGCGCTCAGGCCATCCACTTCTTGTCGATCCCAAATTTGAGTTCGGCGCAGCAGCCATCGCATTTTAGTGCTCGTTTCGTCCCTGCTTTGCGCTTTGGTGTCTCAGCTCGGTCTCCACCAGTCAAGCATCGCCCGAGCGCCCATCCTTCCTCGACTCCAAATCGCCATGATTTGATTGACCCTCGCATCGCACAATGCGCATTCCCTTGTGCTTTTCTTCCAAGCCAACAACGACGGATGAGCCGATCCGCCCTCCGCCTCGATCGATAGCTCACGCTCGGACCGCCAGCACAGCGGATATTTACCATCCCTGGGTCGAGCCAGATCCTACAACGCTGAAGAAAGCGGGGTGCATCTTTTGTGATGTGTCCAAGGAGAAGGGGTTTGCGGTGGTGCACGAGGATGAAGAGTTGATCGCTTTCCGGGATCGGTACGTCTGCTCCTTGGTAGCCGGGAACTGGGCTGACAGGAAGATCGCCGAGGGCCAAGGTGCATCTGTTGATTATACCGCGGTACCACATCGGTAAGTATTGCGTATCTTACAAGGATCAAGAGACGTGCTAACGATGGGCAGCGGACTCTGTGAAGAGCTTGACTTCTGACCATGTACCGCTTTGTAAGTTTGATGATATCTCCGGCTGACTCGTAGTGGATCGCATGATCTCCCTTGCCGACACCCTCATCCTCTCCTCAGATCCATCCTCGCCGGACCCAGTCTCGGCGTCAGCGAGGCCCAAGCTAGGCTTTCATATCCCGCCATTCTCCTCGGTCCCGCATCTCCACCTGCACGTCCTCGTACCGCCATATACCTTCCTCGGCAAACTGAAGTATCCCATCTCTCACCGGTCCGGAGGTACATCTACGAACACGTTCCCGGAAGACGGGAAGGGCATAGGAAAGAGGGGTAGTGGGAAAGGGTGGAGCTGGTTCGTCGAAGCTCGGCAGGCGAGGGGTATTCTGGAGCGGGGCGGTAGCGTCAAGATCGGCCGATCATAGATGATGTACATCTTATCTTTTGGTTATATAGGTGGCACAGATCCCCAATCTACACCATCATCCCATGTATCCAGCCCCGAACGGACCAGTTTGGCAGGCACACCCACCCACAGCTCATTCTTTCCCGTCGAGCGGGTCAGAACTGCCCCTGCCCCAATGACACACCCGTCCCCTATCTCCACTCCGCCCAGCACAGTCACGTTCCCGCCTAGCCAGACATTCGAGCCGATCTTGACAGGTCGGCTAAGCTCAGGGCTGTGGCTACCACGAAGACGAGGATTGAGGGGATGTGTGACCGTCGAAAGGGTGCAGGAGGGGCCAATCATCGTGTAGTCACCGATCGTCACTGACATTAGGGTCAGATGAGTCAAGTTATTTCGTGAAGAAACTCACCTCCTCCGGTATCTTGTATATTAATACCTGTGCCCAGATATACTCCGCGGCCAAGGACGGTATGGCTGCCCCACTCAACCCATAGTGGGGGGATGACCGTACATTCCTCACCAATCCCGCCCAACAAGGCCCGCAACGCCGCATCCCGCTCTGAACCCGCAAGCGAGTCGTTGAAAGCCCGGAGCAGAGGCTCGGTGTTGTCTGCCTCAGCAAGGATGTAAGGTGTAAAGTAATTGTAGGGTCGGCCTGAGCCGAGGAGAGGGTAGTGCGCGTCCGAGGAAGGGTGCGTTTCGGGGTCGAACGAGGGGTTGGGATGTGGTCGATCTGCAAGAGATGCTGGGGTTTTGTTAGAGGACATGACCGAGGCCGAGCTCTCCGGAGGACCTGGAGGGGAGACTGCGGGGTTCGGCATGGCGGCACTATCTCACGTCAGGAGGAAGAGCGGAAAGCAAAGAACGCGCAAACTTTTCAGCTGAAAGCTGAAACGTGCTGGTCGATTACGCGAATGCAGGTCGACCAAGCGCATCCCGGCCACCGCTCAACACAGTGCGCATACGGTTTGCGGAGGGCTCTCTTTGCACGACCGCAGAGCTACCTCTCCGAGGCTTTATAACGGCAGGACCGCAGCTGTCCTCACCAGACCCATCCCGGATGCAATGGAGCCATCCCAGATCTGACTTATGAAACGCGTCAACTTACCCCATTCGGCAATTCCCTATGCGACCGGTGACTTCTATTCCCGCGGTGCTCAGATCGGATCCGCTGTCATAAATAGCATCCTTGACCTCACTCCATTGTCTTACACAGCCTCTCATCGCTGTCGCAGCGCCGGAGCGGAGCGGCTATGTACGTCACTGTGTCTTCAACGGGAAACGGGGTACGGCGCAGCGGGGAGTGACAGTCACGCAAAGGGAGTCGTTGGGCAACACCTCGCAACCTATAAGAAGCCGATCCTACCTTGCCCTTCTCCCTCTTCCCATCAGACTCAACATCAACCACCTTCCAGCCTCACCTCAATCTCACATACGCCAACGATCAAAATGGGACTCTTCGACTTCTTCGAGAACGGCAACTCTCAGCGGGACCAGGTGTACAACATCGACCCCGAGAACGACGAGCACAAGTCTAAGCTCTCGCACGAGCTCATCGGCGGTGCGGCCGGCTTTGAGGCCATGAAGGCCTACGAGCAGCACTGCGAGAGGAACGGGAAGCCCGAGAGCGTGAGTCACCTGCTATCCTCCTGGCTGTTCTGGCGAAGGGATGTGAACTGATCCTGCAGCACAAGATGGCCAAGGAGCTCCTTGCTGGGTTCGCCGCGGCAGAGGTTGACAAGCTCTTCGAGACCAAGGGTGAGTCACGGTACCGCTTCCCTATACATGCCTACGCCCTTTCATCTTATCTGTGCCCTTCGCCTTGGAACATAGCTGACTTTCAGGTCTCGACGCGTACGACCGAGAGGAGGCCAAGCGTCACGCCAAGCGCCAGGCAGAGCAGGCTCTCAACCAGTCTGGCGAGTACTAGGCGGTGGGACGGAATGACATCACGAAGGGAACACGATAGACTGGAGATGATGCAATGAAGTAAAGAAGCCTATACTGTACGCGACACCAGCTGTCAATTTGAGCCATCACAGATAACTTTCCGGGTCACGAGGCGGTGCTGAGGTACATGTCATAGCTGTGCAGCCGTGCGGAAAAGTTTACCAGGCTAGTAAGCCTTGACCACGCTCATCGCGATCGTTCAAGATGCAGGCATCCCTTCAGACTGATGGAAGGGCCTCGCTCAGGGAAGACATCTCACACAGGCTCGGTAACGCGGCAGGAGTTCGGCGTCCCGGAATGGACCTCAGAACGTATGAATCACCCGCGGACAGCAGTCAAAGGGGGTGAGGCTCGTCAAAGCTTCGTAGCGAGGCAACGGTACCCTTCTCCTCGTCCTCGTCATAGCGCTACCACCGCCTTCCTAGGCGTATAAGAAGAACGCCCGCCCGACCAATTCTCAGCATCGCCCCTCGTTTACCACGCTCCCTCTCGAACATATACCCACTCCACCCCTCACTGTCCACTATGGACAGCCTCCTCAGCTACTTCAACTCCGATACTTCGGGCCGCGACCAGGTCTTCAACCTCAACCCCGAGGGCCAGGAGAACATGGGAAGCCTCTTCCATAAGCTAGCTCATCGGAGGTACGGCGGAGCTCGAGGCGATGAAGGCATACATGGACACTGAGGCAGAACGGCCAGCCTGAGAATGTAAGTACCTGGCTCTCATGATGGCTGATAAATGGCATAAGCTCGCTGGCTGGGTTTGCGGCCGCCGGGGTCGGTAGGCTGTTCGAGATCAAGGGTGAGTCTGTCCCTCCTATTCCGCCTGGATCTCGTCATATGCATTTCGCATCATTGTTGCTCCTGTTGACATCAGGTCTCGACGTGTACGACCGCGAGGAGGCCAAGCGTCAAGCCAAGGAACAGGCTGTCCAGGCGCTCAACCAGTCTGGCCGGTACTAGAGGGGATATCTAGTGTCAGTAGCGTCAGAGCTTGAGATAGTCGGATGCAGCTACGCTTGCTATGTTCGGTCTGTCAGTCTAGTAGAAGCTGCAAGATACATCTATCACCTCTGCTCAACGTACTATACACCTTCGCCTCGCGCTCATTTCTGCCTATACTCCGCCTTGAATTGCAACGTCTTCGCCTCCACCTTGACAGTCACCAGCGCAATCAAAGACATGAAGACCTTCTGATTCCGCTCCTTCAGCTCCGGCGTCGGTGGGCTCATGATCTTCGGCTTGAATGCCAGGATGACCTCGTTCATGAGCACACGGTCCGACGGGCGACTGCGGAACCAGTCGATGATCTCGTCCTTGGTGATCATGCCCTGGAATGGCTCCATGTCCTCTGGCGCTGGCGTGGGGGTATTGCTGCCCTTCTTCTTCTTGCGAGGAGGATCGCCAGCGCCGGGTGCGGGAGAGGGTTTGCGCTTGGAATTACCGGCATTGGGGGAGGGAACAGGGGAGGCGGTACCGCTAGGGGCGACGGAGGGGTTTTTGATCTTGATTCTGGGTACAGCAGTCGCGCTGGGAGACCCCTCGCGCGAGGCGACGGCCGGGGACGGCGCACGACCGGGAGCAGACATGGCGGGAGAGCCGGCCCGACTCCTTGACGCGCCAGTAGCATCCGGGCTGCCGGCACGGGGACTGGTATGCCGGCTCCGACTGGCAGGGGAGACGCCTCGACCCGTTGCACGCTGAGCAATGAAGGATGCGCCGGATACGGGAGGGGCGGTAGAGGACTTGCCCTTTGTAGGAGTGGGCGATAGGTGTCGGTTGGCATTGCCGGGGGAAGTGACTCCGCGCTCGGATCGATTGGGGCCGGGGCCAGCGCGAGACGGCGGACGAGATGGGCGGTCCGCCGATCCTGGCGGTTGCACCTCCTTGCTCTTCCCCTTATCCGCCTCCTTCTCCTTCTCCTTCTTCTTGTCAGGGGTTTCTCCGTCCGACTCGTCAGAATCCTGCTGATAAGCTGAGTCCTATCGGTATTGATTGCCTACTCACATCATCAGACATGTCAAACAGGTCCTCGCTTCCCCGCCGCTTCCGCATCATCTTCCGCAGCTTGCGCCCATCCCTCGTCAACTCCTTGTCACCAAACAGGTCCAGCTCATCTTCCAGCTCGTCCTCAATCTGCGGCCGATCTCCGACGGTAGCATTGGCGATACGATACTCCTTCTTGAGTCGGTCCTGCCTATCAGCCTTGTCCTAGCCAAAACTGAAGACTCACCTCGGTAGCCTTAGCTTCCTCCTCTTCATCCTGATCCCGGTAGAAGGTATTGACATCGTCGTCGTCCTGGAAGTCGTCCTTCTCATCATAATCTAGCTCCTCGCCAGCACCACCTTCGAGCCCCTGGGTCTTAGCTCGCATCCCTGGAGCAAGCAGACTCCACTCACAACGTTCAAACCCCGTCCCTCCCTCTTCAGGTCATCATCGAACCGCTCCACCTTGGCCTTCCTCTGTCCTTGCCCACTCTGCAGCTTGATGCGCTGCTCCATCGCCCTCGCCCTAGCTTCTCCGCGTAGATCGTGCCCCACCTCCCGCTTGACTTGCTGTGCTGCCCCTCCACTTGATTGCCCTGCGATCGGGACATGCGCGCTCGCCCGTCCGCCTTCTCGCTGAGCCCACCGGTCATGAACCTTGAACTTGGTCTGATGCTCATACTACCGGTCAGCTAGTATGCACCGCCTCACTGCGTGACCTACCAGCTTGTGAGACGCATCCGGGTCCAACACCTTGAATGGCCGTTCCGGCTCGAACTTGTATGTCCGCCCCAAGGGTATTACCTGGAACCCCTCGCTCTGTCCATCGTTGACAAACAGCACCGTCGGGAGCGAGTGTGGGTCGACGTATCTCCCCACCCAATGCTCTGGCAGCTTTCCCCCTGCCGGCTCTTGCGCCTCATCCCTCGGATTCCCCGTTTCCAATATCCACGGCGTAGCCTCCTCCCTCCTGAGCCGCATCACCTCCTTCTCCTGATGATACACCTCCTTGATCGCCTTCTTCCGCACCTTCTTCTGCTCCGATCCCCCTATAAGTGACAAATCCGCCTTCTCCTTGATATCAATCACCTGCAGCCCATTCTCCCCCATAACAGGCTTCCCTTCTTCATCGTATTTGTACTTTCCGATGATTCCGCCGTCTTCGTCAAAAGCAAAGGTGGGTGGTGCGCGCGGACCGGGTTGTTTGCGATTGAGAAGGATGGGACGGGGAATATTGGTCGGGTCATAGTCGCGTGCGTAGTTGAGCTTCATGAGATTGTACCGGGTGTCACGCAGGGCGGAGGGGGGCGCCGAGAACAGCTTGATTTCCACGAGGCTGGAAGTATCGGTAGGGGCAGCATTGTGCTCGGCCTTGGGCGCAGTCGCAGGTGGGAGGTGCTGAGACGGACCCGGATTCGAAGGACCTGCGACACCTGCAGCTGCTGATCCGCCGTTCGCCGGAAAGCGCGAGATGACCGGGCGCTTATCCTTGCGCTTTCGCAGGAAGGCAGATGCGGATGCTGCAGACATCCCCGGAAGATGATGTGCAGGTACAACGCCTTAAGAAGCAGAGGCTGGGAACCTAGAGAACACAGCACCAGCGGTGAGCGCACGGAGGTAGCTTACCGGCAACGTAAGGCAGGCACGAGAGTGGCGGTTTTGCCACCGGCCAGCTTGCGGCCCTCAAGGCCTCTAGCTTCAAGGCCTCAGCTTGCAAGAAAGCTTGTGCATGACGTTCACCGCCACCTATCGGCAAGCTCGTGTGTTATATTCGCAATCGCGTTCCTACACCACCTCAGATCTCCTGATCCCGTTTCCAAGGTCTGACCATTATCTGGTCAATTCTATTTCTCGTGTGACACCTGGTGGACGTAGATAGCGATTATCGCTCCCCTGTGGTCAGCCCCTGTCTTCAGGCAGATCTTCGCTCTCTTCTCGCCAGCAGACCTCTGCGCACGCCTTCAGTGGCGCAATTGATGGGTAACATACGCACATATATTCACATTGACCGAGCGCTAGCGGAGTGTACAATATGCACAGGTGTTGTGTTCATGATCGCGCGCCATGATATGTACACATATAGCCTGTATCCTCGCATCCCTTGTCCAAATTGCGGCGCGCCACTCACAGGTCACAGTTTGACCCCGCCGAAGAAGGCGGTGTCTTTAATGCCGAAAGAGATGCGACGCGTTGACGATCTCGTACAGAAGTTGGTCAGCGGCAACCGCAGCTTCCTGCTCCTTGATCCCGACCCGAGTTGCAGGATTCTGAGCCCTGCTGAAGCGCAATCCACCGGTGGGAGTTCGCAGTTGAGTGATCGCAGCCTCGGTGATACCTGACTCCCTCGCCATCGCAAGGGTATCAATGAGGGCCTTCCAAGACTCGATGCAGACCGTATGTTTCGTTTGGATTCTGGTCGCGAGCGCTCGGAAGCCCGGCTCCCACTGCTCGGGCACATCCTTCGGGATAGTAGCAACCGCTCCCATCATCAGGCCCAAGGCGTACGTGGCTCTCCAGTAGATCTCGTCCGAGCGCGCCGACCCCCCGTGCAGCTCCTCCCGACCGAGGTACACATCGATCAGACTTTGAGTCTGAGGCGATCAGCCCGAAGGCATTTCATCGAAGCCTGCGGAGAGCGCATCAACGAGAAAAACGATGACTCACCAGCTTGCCAAAGGAGGACGACTGAATGTGTTCCAGCTCCTTCCAGGCGCCATCACCGATCGTTGGCAAGTACCCCTCAGAGCCCTTGATGAATTGGCGAATGGGGTATTGAAGCTGGGATTGACCAATGCTCACCAGCTCCTCCAAGTCCGGTACACCGTAAGCGACTGGAGCCATCATGGTCTGTTCGTCAACTGTCGATCCAGCGGTACCGCGCTCAGCCAGCAACGCCTCGGCACTTTGGATCCGGTAAAGAGCCAGTCGGATTGTCTCCAAACACTTCTGCAGCTCTCTGCGGGTACCCGCCAACGCGGCCACGACCGAGACATCCTGGTCAGTATCTTTCGAATCGCCCATCTCTGTTGCTGGCGGCGTGGGCGATCCCCCGCGAGAGGTACCAGCAGTGGTTGTAGCAATCTCCACGCGCGACTGGGTCGGGGCATGCTGCCCCTTCTGAGCCGGTGTGAGAGGTGGATCGTAGGCGCCCGTGGGGTCGCCTTGAACGCTTGTACGAGCACTGGTCGCGTACGGCTGTAGGTCCTGGCCTCCTCTGGGGAAGAGCTCAGAAACACCGATCGTGGAAGGGGAGTCCATGATGGGTGGTCTGCGGAAGTGTACGACCGGTCTTGGGTAATAGCGGGACGGTGCTTGTGGGGAGGCTGAGTTGCCACCGGGAGGGGAGTGAGGGAGTGGAGATATGAGGCTGTGATTTGAGCAGTGGTATCCAAGTCAAGTACGGTGGATGGGAGGGTAGCCGTAGAATAGGAGATATATGTGCAACTGGAGCTGAATCAGGGGCAGGATGGCATGCCTTTATACCCCCAAATGGGTTCGAAGGTTGGCACACGATCGAGTAGGAGAGCCCACCTAAAGGATCGCATGAGGACTCTGTCGTGATAGCACGAAATACGTTGACGATCTCAAGGGGAAGATATGACAAAGGGTGTGCACAATTTAGAAACGGCGTCCAGCGGTGGGTCATACGCGTTTGACTACGCAAGTGCCGGAGCTGATGTAGAAAGGGTCATAGCTCGCAATGAGCAAGAAGCGAGCAGCACTACGGGCAATAAGATCTCCTCAGAGACTACAGGCAGTAGGGAGGTTCTCAGCAGGCGAGAATTCGAATATGTCCAGTGATGGCAAATACCCAGTATCTGCCACACGCAAGAACTGCCCACTCAAGATAAGCTGGATCGCCTCGGCGACTGTGCTTGGCCTGCCTAGACTGGCAGTGAAATGTCATCATCCTCCCTCTGGCCCCCATGTCTATCTTCCCATAGAGCCCACATCGCAGATCAAGGGCTTTGTAATGCTGCACCACGGAGTCTTTTGCCATCCTCAGACCACCTACCGCCACTGACACGGCCTGCGGCGACCGCCGCCATTCTTGCCCCCTTTCTCATCAACGGTTAGTACAGTCCTCGCCTACCTCCATCATCCGTACTTTGTCTCTACCCATCCAGTGGTCTTCATCATGTCCACTCTCGACGCAGTACTCAACAAGAATGCCGCAGATCTCAACAAAGAGCTCGAGGTGAGTCCCTTTCTTCAAGGAGTGGCGAGCCATGATCCGGTATTGACACCTCCAGGTTCAGCGTGTGATGCGAGCGTTCAAGCTAAAGTAAGTCTCTCCTCTTCTCACTCCACCCCCGAACTAGCTGACATCTAGCCCATATGATGTCCTGGATGTACCATTCGGAGCGACCGAGACGGAAGTGAAGCGGAAATTCCGAAAGACATCACTAATGATTCATCCCGACAAGTTCAAGCATGAGAATGGACCTGAGGTGAGCTCTTCCCATATACCGTGTAAGGTCATATGCTGATCAGCCCTCCTCGGAGGGTTATAGGCTTTTGATTTACTTAAAAAGGTTAGCCATCCTGAACCTTGAACCAACCCATATTGCTGAACTGACGTTAACCTACAGGCTGAGAGTCAACTTTCCGATGCTGCTGCGAGACGAGAAATTGACGCCATCATGACTCACGCACGTACTTTGGTACTGAAAAAGTGAGTCCTCCTTCTGGGTCGACACGACCGTCCAGCTCTTGCGGTCACGACATTCGTCAATCGCGGATACACTAGCTGACCCTGCAGTCTTATTCCAGTTGGGTACGCAACTGTCACAGATACCGATCCGAGATTAGCAAATCTGAAGCCTTCGTACGATGTACAGATCAGGACTAAGGCAAAGCAGATCTTGCTGGAAGATGCGATGGCTCGGGAAAGGTGAGCTATCTCCCTCCCGCCACTGATGCGAGAGCAGAGCTGACATGCTAGGAAGACAAAAATTGCATTCGCGAATGAAGGAGCAGAGAAGGCCAAGCTTGACGAGGCGGTCGCTAAGCGGAAGAGGGAGGCGGAAGATAAAGTCAAATGGGAGGGTGAGTCTTGCTCTGCTTAATACCCCTTTCGTCCAGATTCGGCCAGATAGGCGTTTCTTACGGTCTTTACAGGCTTCTCGAACTACCACATCCAATTCCGGGCATCTGTCGACGTCTTCTTCCTCACCCGCCCCCTTCAACCAATTGGAGTGAATAAGCGCTGACACTAGATTTCCCCTCGACTCCTATCGACTTTCATTCTGCCATTCACCCTCCTCCATTTGCGTATTCTGATATGCAGAGCACCGAGAACAACGGGTCAACAATTGGCGAGAGTACGCCAGCACTGGCGGCAAACCGAAAAAGGCGAAGAAGAACAGTCATGTTCTCGGATGACGCTCGGTCGCCTGACAGACTCCGCACGAACACCTGGTTCCGAAGTCGACGGTATGGACGAGCTGGCATGAGAGAGTGGGCGGGGATGTTTCTTGTACGATTACTAAAAGATCTCTAGCTGTTCATTTTTTCGCTACATTTCACTTCCTCATAGTGTTGTAATAGTATGAAACCCAGTTCATGATGATTACACTCGCGGCCGAGGAGAGCTCTACATGAACTATTACTAAGCTTATCGCTTGATGCTGTCGTACAGGTCACATCCCCTCTGTCCTCGCTCTTGGCCCTTTCCCCAGACCTGGCCTAGTCTGCCCCTTCGTTTGCGCTTGCCCCTGCGCCGGCAGTCCAGTCCCTTTGGCGAGCCCGGACGTGGGCATCGGGCTCGCACTCCTCGTCCCAGCAACTTTAGCCTTCTTGCTCATGCCGGCCCCCTGACCCTCATACACCCGCTTCACACCTCCAGGCTGGGCCGATCCCGGTGTCTTCTGTCCCGCTGTACCAGCCCAAGAAGGCGTACCGGGCCGACTAGCAGCACCGGCAGGCCTGAACCCCGCAGAGCCTGATCCTTGAGCAGAGGACGGACCGCCTGGCCCATAGCTGGCTCGCGCAGGATTCAATGGAGGAGGTCGGGACGTCCCAATTCCCGATGTGCTATCTTGGCGGCGATGAGCAAAGCCGTTCATCCCGGCTCGGGATGGAGGGGCGACAGGCAGAAGAGGTGTACCGGGCGCAGACATCGGATTGGGGGTGAGCGGGTTGGACGTATCGCTTGGCAGGACGAGTGGGGTGGGAAGAAGAGCTTTGGCTTTGGCTTCTCGTTTACGCTAGACGATCAGCTACTGCTACGCAGGACGACACCTCGTACCACGCAGCTGGAATAGACGCTCACCCGGCGTTTCTCCTCTGCCTTTCGGACACCCTCCTTCTCACCACCTTTGTACTGTCTCATCAGCTCACTGTCTCCAATCCTGGGAAAGTATGGCGGAACTTACACCAGACTGACTTCCCACCTCTAAGCGGGCGACGCTCCACTTATCCACCGGCCAGACCTCTATCGGTCCATCCCAGAGCTCCGGAGGTGGACCTGACGGCTGATATGTGAGATCCTGGATCAGAGGGACGAGACTCGGTGCTGCTTTATTGCCATTTGGGACCGGATCTGCCTGTCAGCTTGTACTTCCACATCGAGGAGGCTCTACGTACCGATACAGTCATCCAACAGACCCATATACCCCCTCTCTAGCTTCCTCACTGCTCCACCTCCAGCGCCCCGTTTCTTGCCTTGTCCGCCGAGCCCAGCAGACATCGGTACATCCCCATCCTCATCCACATCTCCAGCTCCGCCGGGGTTCGGTTCTTCGTCAATGCCTGATGCGTATGGGCGGACGTAGGTATTATACAGGGAGGCGAGGGAGAGGAGGGATATGAGATCATGTGAAGGATGGAGGGGTTTGGGCGGTGGGACTGGCTTGTCAGCTCAAGCTTTGGCTATGATCTGGGTGGGGTAGACTTACTGTCCCACTCGGGTAGTATCAAGCGACTCTTAGCTATGCCATCCGCGCCGAGCTGCGTCTCGGACCGGTCTGCTTCTTGCCCTTGTCCCTGTCCATCTCCGCCTCCGGTTGAGCCGGCAGCTCCGTGACTATGCTCTGCTTGAAGAAGCCTTCGAGGAGACGTCGACCTCCGCGCAGGCGACCGGCTAGACTCGCCATTCTGCACTGGCTCCATAGCGTTGATAGTGAGCCCGACAGGGCAAACAATATGAACAAAGGCAAACGAGACGCATCTGTTCCAGGCAAAGTAGCCCCGGTGGATTGCCCCCGGAACCTTCAGATCCCGCAACGGCTTTCTTGCCTGCATTCTCTTGCGCAACTGTCGTCCAGCTCAAACAGCATCAACCGCTGGGCCGAGAGCCTTGCTAGGTGTCATGAGCGCCCCGCCAGTAGGTCTAGAAGCATACTGTTCTATTTATATACATCAAAATGGCTCAACAGCTGACGATGTTCCTACAGATCCTGATCTATGTAACCTAATCAGAGGAGCCTGGACGGGCAAGGGATTTTCTTCGACATCAACATGGTTCTCTATGACTTGACTTGACATGGCTGTACTCACAGTTCAGTCATCAAGCGAACAGCGGCGGGGGCGCCTCGTAGCAAAACTCATTGTCCAGCTGACTTTCCGAGTACCTCTTGAAGAATTTCTGAAAGTCCGCCTTTGTCATCATCCCCTGCGCCCTGAGACTGTCCATGCTCCCCACATCCCCCATATAGTCCAGAATTCGATCATTGTACATCCACACCACCTCAAATTGCTTCACATCGAGCGGCTTCTTGTCTTTGCGCGCGACGATGCAGCTCCCGACGCGGGACTGCCACGGGGCAGGAGCGAACCCGTCGTGCAGCGCGATCATGACGAAGGTGGCGATCTGGTTGTCGAGGTAGTGGTTGGGAGTGGAGGCGGGGTGCTTTTGGGTGCGGTAGACGACGACGGGGAAGCCGACAAGTGCAGAGATGGGCGCAGGGGGGAGGTCGAAGCAGGGGTGGTCGAGGGGGATGGTGGTTTGATGGAAGGACCGTCCACCTTCGCCCACGCAAGGGAGGTCTACAGCATAGACGTGGCCTTCAGGAAGGGGGATTGATGCTTTGGCCATGATGGACGTCAGGTGATGGTTGACTGAGAAACGTGCGGGAATCCCAGCTGATATGCTGAGTAAAGTTGAGTGATGAGGAATGTGTTGCGCGGGAGCAGATCTATGCCGGCACGGTCTCGGACCTCCTCCTTGATCTTTGCTTCTCACACCTTACCTGCAGTCGCGAGGAAGAACAGCTACGCCGACCCTTTCACAGTATACTCATCTATAGTTCTCTCTACCATGTCCAGTGAGCTGGGTGATTCGTTGCCGTTGAGCGGAGTCTTCAGCTCATCCCACAAGACTTCGCCACTTATCTTCCCCCCTCCGCGGGTCTCCTGCCCTACTGGTACCTCTTCACCGCAGCCGCCGGAATATACAACTCTGCCCAGAATATGGCAGTCACCTGGCAGACCAAAGAGATCTACTCGAAGCGCGCAGATGAAGGTATGTCCAGCTCCCGAGATCTTGCCTGTGTTCCCAAGCGGACCAGAATCAGCTAGAGCTGATCATGCAGTGACACCGCTGGCTTGTAGATTGGCCGCTACGTGGACGGGCCTTACTGGGATCGTCAGATTACTGGCAGCTTACAATCTGAACGACCCGACGTAAGTGCAGCAATCGTGGTCGAAATAGGATCAACTATCAGCCTGTATCTGCTCGCTAACATACGCAGCGTGTACAAGATGGGACAATCCACCTTCCTGATCGCCCTCATCCACTTCGCCTCCGAGCTCTTCATCTTTCAATCGATCAAGCTGAACCGAGCGAGCATCTCACCGCTCATCATTGCTCGTGAGTCCCGCATAGCGTTTTCCCTCATGACTACGGCGACCTTGCGCTGACTTCATCAGCCATGAGTCTGCTCTGGACCATACTGCAGCGAGACTTCTACAGCAAGTCATGAGATCGATCGACAGCCAGAGGAAACTAGGGCAAGGCAATCGCATGTATTCATTCACTTCGCACAACTATTTCCGACGAGACAAAAAAAAGCAGTATCAAACACCTGCCCAGACCTACAGTCTTTCCGAAAGGTAAAAGAACCCTACAAAGGACTGGGGTCCAATAAATTAAATGGTTTGGTATATATTAGAAGGGGGAAGGGGGAGTGTGCAAACAAACAAGGGGGCTAGCGAAGAACTAGTCATCGGCTAAAAGGTCAGTCAGCTACAGAGATTAATGATGATTTGGGGGATGGGGATGGGGGTGTTGGCTCTCGATCGCCCGCCTTGGTCGACATGCCGCACGCCGGTCGCCTACTTCTTCAAGCTCTCGGTGAACTTGGAGATGAAGCCGCCCTTCTTCTCGTCGGGGGTTTCAGGCATGGCGTCGGGTCCGGCAGAGTCGGTTCCCGGAGCGTGGGGGACTTCGCCGAGCATGGCATCCGCCTCCTCCTTGCTGCCGAGGTCCTTGCCGTGGTGGCTGGACGCCTTGGTGTGGGTGCTTTGGGCCTTGCCACCGTGGGTGCTGGGAGCCTTGACGCTGGCATTGTCACCGACGGTGTGGGTCGTGTCGGTCGAGTGGGGCGTGCCGGAGGCGGGGATCGAGGCGCCGAGAGCGGGGGCGGAGCGGGAGGAAAGTTCCTCACCGGTTGTTGGCTCCTCCTTTGCGGGAGCCTTCTCCTCGCGACGGGTCAGGGGCTTGTCTGCGCCTTCGGGCTTCTCCTTCTTTTCGAGCTGAACGTCAGCAAAGTCTAGACAGCAACGGAAAACACTCACAGCATAGCCGTTGGGGCCGACCTCGACACCGGAAGACTCGGCATTGTCGTGCGAGTAGGCGGGGACGTCCTCGTGCTCCTGGTCGGCGTGGTCGTCACCGGCAACGAGGTGGCTGGCGTCATGCTCGACGTGCTCGTCGTCCTCAGCCTCGACGGAGGAACCCTCCTCGTCGTCCTCCTCCTCCTCGTCTTCCTCTTCCTCCTCGTCGGAGCGGTATCTGTCTATCAGCGAAATCCTGATACCAGCTTGAATAGACTTACCCAACGGAGCGGACGGCCTGGGCAACGGGACCCTCCCTCTCCATCTGCTCGCTAGCAACGAGGTACCTGGCGACGAGCATCCTCAAGTCGTTCCAGACCTCCATCATCTCCTCGTGGCTCCTTGCGCGGAAGGTGAAAGCAGTCTCGCTTGCACCGCCAAACAGCTTGCCGCTGGGGGTCTTGCCGATGGACGAGGTTCCGTCCTTGCGGCCCTCGATGTGGAACTTGTGGCTCTTGGCGGTCGACGCGCTGGACGGGGGGCCGAGAGTGCACGCGGGCAGGAAGAGGGACCAGACCGGGTGGGTAGCGGTCGACGGGTCCGAGCTGGCGTACTCGTGGAGGTAGCCGGCGGGGGTAAGGACATAGAATCCCTCCTTGTACGACTTGGTGAAGCGCTTCTTGCGCTCGAGCAGACCGGTGTGGACGGGAAGGACCGACGGGTCGTTCTTGCCCGGGTAGTCGATGTTGTCCGGGTTGCGGAGGGGGGTCTCGGGGTCGAGAAGGTGGTCCGAGCGAGCGGCGAACGAGATCCACTCGCGGTCGGGCATGAGCTGAGCCATGTTGACGCCGAGGTGGCGCCAAGTCTCCTGGACCGAGGTGGACATGCGCGACTGCCACTCGTCAAAGGTCTGCCAAGCAGACTGGATGGAGCGGACAATGCCCTCCTCAAAGTGGGCAGAGTTCTGCTGCATGATGACGATCGACTTTTGGAGGGCGTTCTCCTCGGCAACCTGAACGTCAGCTAGGTCTGGGCTACCTTCGTAAACTGCTCACCTGCTTCTGGAGCTGCTTCATGACGGCCATGTTGACCGCGAAGGGGTCCTCCTTGGCACCGACCTGCATGGGGGTGTGGTTGACCGAGCTGATCGCGCGGGCGAGGTCAGCGATGGACTTGGTGGACATCTCGCGCTCCCGGGCGACCGAGGCGGCGAGCTTGCCAGTGTCGTTCTGGACGTTCTTGATGTGGGCCTTGATCTCGGTGCGGAGCTTCTGGAGGTGCTGGACGATGGACGACTCGATGGTCCGGGCGAGGGACGAGTGCGAGTCGGCAATGAGCCTGGTCTTGTCGCGGATGGTGTAGAAGACATCCTGAAAGATAAGCTCGGTCCGGCCCGGAAAAGCCGGAAAACTCACCTGCATACCGCCCTCGCCGAGGAACTGGTTTCCGGGCCTGAAGGGGACCTGGATGACCGCGCCGAGCTTGGTGAGCTCCTTGGAGGTGTTGGCCTCGATGTCGGCGACGCCCTCAAAGTAGGCTGCGGGTCAGCGGGCATCTCAACTGATAAGTGATTAACGTACAGATGAGCATCTTGACAATCTGCTTCCAGGCGGTGAACCGCTCGATGAGAATGTCGGAGGGCTTGAGCTCATGAGGAGCAGTGTTCTTCTTGATCTGAAGGGTTAGTGCTGACACGATGGGAACCTCAGTATTGTCCCTGCCAGCCTCTCCGCCGAGATATCATCCACCTTCCCTTATTGTCCAGCTCCATCTTTACGAGCAGCACTGCCTCTGCGCCTAGCATGCCCCTTACTCGCTCTTTAGGTCTCGCCCGCAGCCAGACCCCAGACGCCAAAGAAAGCAACTCACCAAGCTCTGGTTCCTCGACAGGGTCGAGCCAGCCTTGCTGTCCGTCCTCGAGACGGTATCGAAGCGGGACATCTTGATTGGATGTCTTGGTGATAGTTGGGTGGGTAAGGGTAGACGTGGATGTCTGAGATGGGGAAGAGATACCAGCTGTGTCAGAAGGTATGTATATAGGCAGAAGAGAGAGAGAGAGAGAGAGAGAGAAAGCGGACGAATGTGGGTGGATCTGCGCTGCTCGCTGTAACGGGTGGACGGTTCAGGGAAGTCTACCTGATCCGGGCGGGGGCTGTGGCTGTGAGAGGCAAGGGAAGACGTACTGATGCTGTCAGACTTGCTCTTCTCGGACCAACAAGGAAGGGATAACAGGAGCCGTAGCTTACCCGAATCAGGTTATCCATCGCTCAAAGTGGCAGTTCGCGGGACCGGAATGACGTCAGTGACGATACCGATCACCGGATTTACGGCGAGTGTGGCACTTCTGCGACGCCGCATTCAGTTCATAGTCGACGCCGCTTCAGCTCATGTCAGTCCTGCATTGAGCAGTCCGGAGGGTAGTGGTACCACAGAAGGCGTGAGCATAGCGTGCATGACAACAGCGGAACAAAGCATAGTACACATTGAGGTATGAAAGGATGGAACAAATGATACAGCGCGAATCCGGATCCACTGCCACCTCCCTTCCGCACTCCATTCCCCATGACGTCGACCTGGCCCCGCCCTGGAGACCCCAGGTGACTACCACCGACCATCTAGGCATCAAGCCCACAGCTTAGTGATTCCCCCAGCCCACTGGCCTCCCCCTGCTACTAATCCCGCCAGCAGCTCCTTGTGCGGCACAATCACGTCACCCGCGTCGTCTTCTGGCCCAGTCCGCATGGGGGCAAAGTAGAAGCCCATCACTAGCACAATGTATCTGATTGATCAGCTTTATCGTGGTGCATGCGAAGCGAGCGAGCGAGCAAGCTCACGCTAGTACGAGGATACTCCCTCGGTGGTAGTTGCTCCGAGCTTCGATGTACGTGTACGTCAAGAGGAAGATACTGAGGATAATGGCGATCACGTCCCACCTTGGGAAGATCAGGCTGCGGAGTCAGCTTCTCACTCGTGTCGGTGGACAAGATGACGCTCACGTGAAGGTGTCGACCACCTGACCCATCTTGCCCGGATCATAGAATGCCGAAAAGGCTACCATAGCCGGGATCTGGAGCAGGCACACCTGCAAAGCGTACGCCGAGCCAATCTCCATACTGCATCATCAGCTGTGCTCCGCATATGCACCAGACCAACTAGCTCACCTGAGCGCAATATTCCCATTCAGCGCAAACGACATGGCGTTCATAAACTCCGTCGTATTGGGCACGAGCGCAAACAGCGTGAGACCGAGGAACTTCTCGTCAATCTTGATACCGTGCAGAACGACATCCACCACGTCGACCAAGATTTCTGCTATTTCAGCATCTGTCTCTCCTGAACGAAGACCAGCCGACTCACCCGCAATGATAGCATAGAGCAGCGTGCAGGAGAGCAACACCCCCGCACTGACCCCTCTTGTCCACTCCGGCGCCTCGTGTCCGCCTCCCTCGCCCTCTCCATCCCCATGCGCACCTTCCTGCTCCTCCCCGCCCGTCTTCTTCGGGTGTGGCATCATCAAGCTCGCCGGGCGATCTTTCCTCCCGGATCCGTGTACACCGCCAATGACGCTCCCTTGGTGCCGCAGCGCAGAGACCGTCGCGACCGCAACGGCCCGCGTAAAGTCTTCGGTCGTAAGCGAGCTCGGAAGGCGGATAGGCGTGAGGCGTTCATGGTTAGGGTTGAGAGCGGATCCGGACCCGGATGTCGAAGCCCGGACGTGCGACAGCCCATCGAGGAGAGGAGTGTACCCCGATCCCGAGGGGATATTGTACGTCGCCGAGGACGCCCTTTTCCCTTCCGCCTGTTCTCCATCCTTCGCTCCGTCACCCGCTAGCTCTGCTACCTTTGGCAGCTTGAGCGTAGCGTGCAGTCCTGACCCCCGCGGCCCTTCGCCGATGTGCGGGAACGCCGCCTGACTAGCCTGCGTCGGCGTATTGGGGGCAGTATCGTACCCCAGTCCCCGGGCGAGCTGGGCCGACGCCGAAGCAGCGAGCTTGTTGTCCTTGTGTAGGGGTAGGATATGCTGCATGACCGCCTGGGGCGTCATGCGCTGGCTGAGGCTCGCCTTCATTGCGGGGTGGAGGGAGCTGAGGACGTCGTCGGGCTTGAGCAGCTGTTGCGGGTTTTGCCAGATCTGAGACGCGTGCGTCCGGAGCGAGAACCACAGGCCGATAAGGTAGGACTAACGTCAGCTCCACTTTTAAAAGAGACTTACGAAAAGCAGGATGCCCGCACAGCAGTACATCAACGTCTTGACCTGATCCTGGTAGAACGGATCGTCGACCGGGTCGGGATGCTCATAGTAGCACTGGGAGCACTTCCAGCTATCCAGCGTCGTCATTTCGCCCTTGATCGGTGGACACCCATCGCAATGGAGTTCAAACTGAGATCAGCCCCACTCCAAACGAAACACTCACAGTCCCATAAGTCTGATAAAACATGGTCGGCGTCAACGTCCCAATAATCGCCATGATCAACATCGTACTCGTCACCCCCGCCGATTTCGCATTAAACTTCTGCTCCTTCCGCTTGAAGGCGCCACTGCACATCGACGCGCCAGGCATAAGCAGCACGCCGGCGAGGATACTGCCGACAATACTGCCCTCGACGAGGCGGCCCTTGCCTTGCGTGAGCGCGACGCTGTAGAGGATGATCTCGATGATGGAGCCGAAAGTTGCGTTGATAACGGCGCCCATGCCGATGGACGATTGGGCCGAGATGGACGCGACGGCCATGCCGATAAAGTACGACAATGGGATGACGGACGCGAGCGAGAGGACAAAGATAAGCGCCTGCGAAGCGACGACAGCCAGGAAGGGCGAGACGTGCCGTCCGGCGTGTTCGTCCCGCTCCACCGCGGGGAGGAGGACGAATGCGTCAAAGATCGTAAAGAAGACGAGGGGGAGGAGGTTGATGAACATGATATTCACCCCGCCGACCGTGTACTTGTAGTACTGCATCCCGAAGGCGCGGTATGTGCAGAGCAGAACGGTCGACGTGGGGCCGGATGTAGGGGCGACTTGCCCCGCTTTGAGTTGGGCGGTCCGGTACCGGAATCCGCCGGACGGGGACGTCTCATTCAACGTAGTTGAGCCCGATTCCGCTCCATCCTCCTCGCCGTCCGCACCGAGTGAAGGCGATGGGACCGCCGGGACAGGGACGAGCGTCTTGGGCGCGGACCGGAAGTTGATCTCGAGCGGGCGGGACCAGAGCAAGTGGAGCAAAGCCCAGTTGAGCTTGGCCATCGGGATGGTAAAGACGCAGAACCAGCAGATGGTACAGATGCAGAGCATGATCGGGGCGAGGATGAGGAGGAAGAGCGGCCAGTAGACGATCCGACCGAGCATCTTGGCCTTCTTGTTCCGGGGACGGCGGAATCCCTTTTTGGTACCGGTGAGAAGAGGGGCGCGCTCGTCCTCGTCGTACGAGCTCCGCTTGATGTGTGACTGCGAAGGGAGGTCCGCAGTAGCGGCGAACGAGACGGTAGCCTCACGCCTACCAGCTCTGGGCTCATCCGGTAGCCCATCGTCGAGGTTGTGCGCTGGCGCCCGGGTTTGGGTCTGCCGAATCGTAAGGTTACTAGCTGCGCCGTCACTGGCTTCACGGCGCCGGTGCCGGGTAGGCGTATCATCCATGCCCCCATACCCACTCTCCGCATCCTCCACGCCAGGCGTATCATCCCCATCCGCGTCGCCCTCCTCGGGCGCTCCTTCCCCTTCGACGTACTTGCCAAAAGGCCAGCCAATGTACCAGGCCAGACCGCGCAGGGTCTTGCCGTATCCGCCTCGGCCGCCCCCGCAGACCTCTGCGCCAGAGACGAGCATCGCGACGATGAAGCAGGTGATGGCGAGCCACCAGCCGAATAGCAGCACCCAGGCTAGGTTGCCGGGCAGGAGGTGTCGCTCGGCCGCTGCGGATGGGATAGAGTGGAGAGCGGACTCGGCGTTCCGAGTGACGGACCGGGACTTGCGGTAGAGAGCAGGTTTCCAAATGGGCAGACCGAATGGGTGCTCAATGTTGATAGCCTGAAGTCAGCTCAGCCCTTCGGTGCGACTCACATCCTGCCTGTCCCGCAAGGTCACACCCTCCTCACTCGACCCCTCATCTCCGTCTTCCCCTTCCTCCTCTTCAGACTCGTTATCGCTGTTGCCCCCATCGACCGTCGCCTCCTCCACCACATCCGCTACGACATCCTCAATCTCGCGCTCCATATCCCTCTCTTCCTCCTCATCCTCGTCCGCCGCGCTCGAATAGATGCTCGCTGGCCGGAGCGCCGCACGCGGACTAAGCAGGTCCCCGCCCTGTTGCATGGGCGTCTCAGAGCCTGCCACACTACCGGCATACGACGCAAAGTACCCTTCGCTTGCCTCCCTCCTTCCGCCCCGAGTGGCGCTTGGTGCTCTGTTTCTGGATACCGAGCGGCCCGCCGCTGGACCGAGGGATCGCTGTTGCTGCTGCTGGAAGCTGTCTTCTTGATTTCCGCTCATCGGTCCGCCTAGACCAGCCGAGTCGAGCGGCTCGCCAGCGACGAAGCGCCTCTCCCGCTCCTTCTTTCTCCGAGCCTGCTTCCGCTCCGCCTGACGACGGCGGATCAGGTCCTCTCCGCGATCCACGATCGGCTCGTCCTCCTCGTCGAGCCCCCCTTTGGCCTGACGTGAAAGCGTAGCCACTTGAAAGGCGGTGTTTTGGGTCGATAACGCCGGACGGGCGCGTGAGGTAGACCGAGAGGTTGATCCATAGCCATGCGTCGAAGCATTTGGGTTGACGGGGTAGGAAAGGGGATGACCCGAGGTAGAGTGGTTTCTCGGCAGCCTGGACGGCCGGGGTGCGGATCCGCCGACAGATTGCTGCGTCTGCGGCGAGCCGAAGGAGGAGCCCATAGATGTCGCAGGGGGAAGACCGCGCTGACTTCCCGCACCGACCCGAGGGGTTTGGTCGCCCATGGACGACATGCCGTATCGCGGTGCAGCGGTCTTTGGGCGAAGGTCAGGCGAGTAGAGGTCGTCGTCTGTAGAGTACTCTGAGAAGCGACTTGGCGAGATACCGCGATGTACAGATGGTGAAAGGGGTGCTGGGTATAGACGCTACTCTGTCAGTATATGTTACAAACCCCCGAAATGAATGAAGCAAGGGCCGTGCCCCTAAAATGAAACAATCAACACACCTCTTCTCTCCCCGGCCGACCTTTTCCTAATTCCTCTTGACTAGCGCGCGTGTCTGACTTTCGCCGCGCTTCTGCAATAGCAGCAATGGTGCTTGGTCCGCCTTCGCCCGGATTTGAATCGCTCGAACCCGAAGTGAGGGATCGATTGAATGGCGGAATAGTAGATGTCGATACGTTGCGGACCGTGGGTGTGGGTGATGAGGCCAGGTCAGACAGCTGCGGCGAGCCAGAGGGGCGAGGGGAAGGGGACATGGTGGGTAGGACGCGTATCGCGTATGCCTCGATCGGAATGGCAGGCAGGGTGTCTCGGAAGGGGGTTGTTTCACCTTGCGAGGTGGAAGGAGAGGGAAGGTTGAGGGTTGGGGAGTTCGGGTTTCAACCTGTGTCAGGACTCAGGACATGGAGATGGTCGGGTGCTGTAGGATATGGCGATAGAGGATGTATATAGCTAGATAGACAAAGCAAAGGTAGCCGCTAGCTATTGACTGTGCAGTGTGTGCAAGGTTCGTTGCGCGTCCGGGGCCGAGCTTAAATTCCGGTCATTTACGTAAATGGCTGTCAGGCACGGACCCAATCCGGAAATCCGGATCATCCAATGTCGTCACAGCTCACAGCTTGACCATCATCAACAAATCCATCTCACCTTCACCTCATTTCACTTGCTTACACACCTGAAAGCTCACACTCACTCACCATGGTCACAGGCTACAGAATCGAGGTCGCACCAACAGCTAGAGCGGGCTGTAATGGTGAGTAAAGCTTGTCATCACCAACCTTCGGAGTCAAGCTGATGAGTGTGAAGGGCCCAAGCCGTGCAAAACTACCAAGATCCAGAAGGGGGAACTGAGACTTGGGACGTGGGTCGAGATCCAGGGCCATGGAACTTTTAAGTGGAGACACTGGGGCTGTAGGTCAAGTCGTTGCCGAGAGGACAGGGGCCCGGCGCTGATAGCGGTCAGGCGCGACAGACAAGGTGATAAGCAATCTGAAAGGGTTGTTTGAAAAGACGGATGAGATAGATGGGTATGACGAGCTGCCGTATGTCCAATCCAGTAGCGTCTGGGATAGGCTCTCATATACTGACTGTCTAGGGAATCGTACAAGGAGAAACTGGACACCGCCTGGGAAGTCGGACATGGTACGTCCTCCCTCACCTCCGTTGGAGTCATAGCTGATCATGTAGTTGCCGATGAAGATATCCCAGAGTCAGCTCGTCTTCCGACGCCTCCGCCAAAAGGATCAGACGAGGAGTCCGCAGAGCCGACCCCAAAGAAGAAGAAGCCGGCTGCGAAGCGGAAGCCCAAGGTCAAGAAGGAGGAGGATGGTGAGGGAGAAGACGGAGAAGAGGGAGCCAAGGATGAAGAGGAGGAGGATGTGAAGCCAAAGCCAAAGGTGCGCTGGAATAAGCACACATGTCTGGGAAGGGCTGACTCCCAGGCCAAGGGAGCAAAGAAGGTGAAGGAAGAGGAAGGAGACGAGGAAGAAGGGGACGGCGAGAAGGTCGAAGAGGAAGAGGAAGAGGAGGAGAAGCCAAAGCCAAAGGTGAGCTCTAGAGTTCTTACAGGTGGTATATGGAGCTGATGTTAGGCAAAGCGAGCGAAGAAGGTCAAGAAGGAGGAAGCCGACGATGTAGCAAACGAGGAGGACTCGCCTGAGCCAAAGGCAAAGAGAGCCCGGAAGGTGAGCTTGCTGATGTTTGTCTTTGCGCAAACCAAAAGCTGATCGATCAGACACCAGTCAAGAAGGAGCCGTCAGCGAGTGAGGAGGATGAAAAGCCAGTGAAGCCGAAAGCCAAGGCTGCGAAGAGGAAGGTATGCCCTCTCTCCGTCCCCGCCAGGAGCTGCGACTGACCAGCTAGTCTGCGGTCAAGAAGGAGGCGTCGGGAAGTGAATCGGACGAGAAACCAGATGTCGCAGCCAAGGCACCAGCTAGACCAGTACGTCATTGATCGTCAAGTTACCGTGAGGCCGCGCAAGCTGACCCCATCAGAAGCGTGCTTCAGCTGCCAAGCGGAAGACTGTCGAGCCAGACTCTGCGTCCTCAGAGCTGTCAGAGGAGGACATCAAGCCGGAGCAGGAAGACGAGGAGGAAATGGAGGACGTGAAGGTGAGCTGCAAGTGCCCTTGCAAGGGCAGCCGAGGAGGAGCTGACCATTCAGCCCGCTAAGAAGAAGCCCGCCCCGAAAGCCAAGCGCGCGGCCAAGGCGAAGAAGGAGTAGCCACGAGACCTACATACATGACGACATACAACACGACGAAGAGAGTCCGGGCGGTCGCAGTCGACCGAGTGGAGGCACAAAAGTATATTATCGGACGGGAATCATGCGGAAGTTGGGATTGGACCAGCTATTGGACCTCCATTTGATCTGGGAGACAGTCAGAGGAGGCGGATCAGTGCTTACCACCACTGCGGAGATCGGGGCGGAAGACATGTCTATAATGCCCTCTTATGCAAATCATCATGCCACTTTGCTTTCCCCGCCCTTGCGCTCGCCACCACCTTGATCGCTCAGCGCATAGCCAAGGCGGCCGTACCGGGTATATCCGCCCATTAGCCGACAATCCTCGGTCTTGTCAAGCCAAGCATTTCGCTCCGCATTCCTCAGCGCTCAGCACCTCATCGTCATCCTTGTCTCTCACTCATTGCATCTTGTAGCGTATCACCTATACTAGAGTCTCTGCACTGACACCGTGAGCAGAGGCAGAGAGTACAAAGATCCGACCCACCTCAAGTGGCTCCTGTCAGCTCGTCATGTCGTCCGCCACCGCACCACCTCTTGACCGTCGCCTCCGCCTCCCTTCTCTCCCGCCCGTGACGCAAGCCCGGGCGCGGGAGCAGCTCCAGAGCTTGCTTGCTGCGTATCTCCGATATCGGCCTCTGGTCCAGCGAGGCCTGACGGGCGGCTTTGTGCTGTACTGCATCGGGACGACATATCTCAGTATGACGGGGAGGGGGGTGAAGGCGGGCAGGGAGAGTAGCGCTTCGACGAAGAAGAGGGGAAAGGGTAAGTGTTCCTCTTCAGCTTTCTCACGCTCAATACCGATATTGCCTCCTCTGAAACGCTATACATAGCGAATGAGCAAAGGTAACTCTGTAGAAGCCAAGAAGTATCGCGGAAGCGTCAACGACCCGCTCTTCTTCGCTCGACTGAAGAAGCTCATCCGGATCGTCATCCCCAGTTTGCGAAGTCGAGAAGCGTCTATGCTCGCTTTACACTCGGCGTTTCTGCTCGCTCGGACAGCATTGAGTCTTTATGTGGCAGATCTAGACGGGAGGTGCGTCTTTCCTGTAGGACCCCGGGCATCCGCTGATCTCTCAGAATCGTATCATCACTCGTCACAGCCCAGCCCGCTCTCTTCCTCTCCAACCTCTCACGCTGGCTCGCCATCGCCATTCCCGCAACCTACACCAACTCCATGCTAGAGTACCTCCAATCCGAGCTGGGTCTGGCTTATCGGACGCGCCTCACCCGGCACGCGTTGGGGACGTACCTTGATCCGCCTGCTCATGGAACAGGCGGCCGGCTCAGCGAGAAGGATCTTGGAGGGACGGGGGACGATGGGAAGGGCGAGCAATTGTTCTACAAGCTGGCTAATCTGGATGATCGGATCAAGAATGCGGATCAGGTGAGCTCTGTGCTGAGGGTCGACAGTGAAGCGCTATTGCGATGATGGTGAGCTGAGCAGGACAGTACCTCACTGTCGACATACAACAGTTCAGCAATAAGCTCGCTGAGATCTACTCAAACATCGCCAAGCCGGTCTTGGACGTCATGTGAGCTAGTCGTCGTGGTGAAGAGAATGTGCGAAAGCGCCCTCAGCTAATCCTGCTAGCTTGTACAACTATCAGCTGTCTCGGAACGTCGGTGCAGAGGGTCTCGTCATCCTGACAATTCTTGTCCAGGCGAGCGCGGGACTATGTGAGCTAGCCATTTGGAAGACCAGCCTGTAGCTGACTCCCCAGTGAAAGCAGTCACTCCCCCATTCGGCGCTTACGCAGCACACGAAGGTAAGCGCGTCTCTCTTGTCTCTCACCGCGTATGCTGACGATCAGCAACACTAGAGGGCGAGCTCCGCTTCACGCACTCTCGACTCCTCGAGTCCGGCGAAGAAGTGGCGCTATACCATGGCGAAGAGTTCGAAAAGAATGTCATTGAACGCGGATACTTTGCGCTCGTCAAGCATGTGAACCGGGTGCTGCGGATAAGGGTCTGGCATGGGATGGCAGAGGAGGGGATTATAAAGTGGTTATGGGGCGCCTTGGGGCTGGGGATCTGCGCGATACCTGTGTTCGGCGGGGAGGTTTTGGGTTTGGCAGGGGGTGCGGGGACCTTAGGGACGAGGACGGAGGGTGAGTCTGCCTGGAAACGTGGACGGAACGAAGCTGACTGAAAAGGTTTCGTCACCAACCGACGGCTGCTGCTTTCTGCAAGCGACGCGTTCGGGCGGGTCATGTACTCGTACAAGGAGTTGGCGGAGCTCGCTGGTTACACGTCCCGGGTGGCCGATCTGCTGGATACGATGGATGATGTCAAGGCGGGGAGGTATCAGAAGAAGCTGGTCAGCAGCTCCAGTGTGGAGGGGAATGCCAAGAGTGAGTTCGGACTTGCGACCGGGAAGACAAGAGTGCTGTGCTGAGTGGCAGTGTTGGAAGGCAGAGGGCAGATCATCGAGTCTGATGAGATCCGGTTCGATAATGTCCCGCTCATCAGCCCGAACGGAGATGTCCTAGTCAAGTCCATGAGCTTCAATGTCCAGCCAGGAGTAAGCTAGCCGTACTGATGAGACGTCATATCACGCGCACAGCTGATTCCGCAGAAACACCTCCTCGTAGTCGGTCCCAATGGATGCGGTAAATCCTCCCTCTTCCGGATCCTAGGCGGTCTTTGGCCAGTGTACGGCGGAACCGTGTACAAACCCCCCGCGCGTGAATTCACCTATATCCCACAACGCCCATACCTCTGTACCGGCACCCTCCGGGATCAGCTCATCTATCCGCATGATGCGGCCATGATGCGCGTGCGGGGCGTGAGCGATGATGATCTGATGCGGATCCTGGATGTGCTGGAGATGGGTCATATGGTGGAGAGGGAGGGAGGGTGGGATGCCGTGCGGGAGTGGAGAGATGCGTTGAGTGGCGGGGACAAGCAGAGGATTGCGATGGCAAGGTTGTTCTATCATCGGCCAAAAGTGAGTATACATACCCAGAATCTCGCGCAGAACCAGCTGAGACGTGCGCGCGTGCCCGGTATCGTGGGAGGCACATGAGCTGATACTGCAGTATGCGATCCTGGACGAATGCACCAGCGCTGTGACGCTCGAGATCGAGAAGGTCATGTACGACCACGCGACTTGTGAGTATCACCAGCTTACACGGCCCCAGGCTGGACGCTTAGCTGATCATCAGCCCTTGGCATCACACTCATGACTGTCTCCCATCGGCCTTCTTTATGGAAATACCACTCCATGGTGCTCCAGTACGATGGTCAGGGCGGCTATGTATTGTAAGGATTTCCCTTACTTTCGATGTACCAAGCTGATAGACATCAGTACTGAGCTTGATGCGGAGAAGCGGCTGGCATTGCAAGAGGAGAAGCAGGATTTGGAGCACCGGTTGTTGGAGGTGCCGAAGATGCGGGCGAGGCTGGAGGAGCTTCGTGCTGTAAAGGCGGAAAGGGAGCGGCAGCGCAGTGCGTAAAGCGAGTCACCGGCGAGGCTGTCTTGTGTGTACTATATGCACCTAGTTGTAAGGGCTTTCCATGGTCAGCGGCAGTCAGCATCGTTACGTGTTATTTTCGGCTTGGTCCCGTCGTTTGACCGAACCCCGCTCATCTCAGATCCTTCAATTCATAGCAGCAAAACAGAAGAATGGGTGTAGTGGTGTATGTCGATCTAGGTGTGTATGCCTACAAAGAGTATTATCGAAGCAAGGGGGATATGCGGGCGTCGTTCATCCTGTCCAGTCAGCTCTGTACCCTTTGTCTGCGGAAGACAGCTTACAATCATCGCCTCATGGCCTTCTCCATGATGGCGTCCTTGGTGACCTCGCTAAAGTCGGTAGCCTGGAGCTCGATGTGGATACCGTCGAATCGGCGGCGGAGGGCGTCTTTGGAGGAGGCGAAGATCATCTTTGACTTGACGCTGGCATCATCGGGCGACCTAGGGGTTCAGCTTTTGTCTTCCTAGCGTCTACGCAACACATCGATCCATTGACCTCCTGGCCCATGCCCAGCCCAGTATCAATCCCGGCTATACCGCTCGCCCATTCTCTTCAGTCGCCATATGTTTCCCCTCGAGCCAGACACGCAACTCACCACATGATAAAGGCCAGCTTATTCCTAATCCCCTCTCCGCCCGGCAGAGTGTACTCAAAGTCATACACCGCCCACCTGCAGTCCTTCTCCGGGAGCTCGCCCACAAACTTGTCATAGTCCTTCTCCTCGGACGTCTTGAGGACGACAATCGACTTCTTGTCGTCCGACAGGCCGTAGATGACGTAGGTGAGCTTCTTGCCCGTCTTCAGTTCCTGGAACTTTTCGAGGCACTCGGAGGTCTGTTGGGTGACGCCAGGGAGAGTATGGGAGGGGCGATATGAGATAGAGGGTGTGGGCGAGATATAGGAAGGAGGGGCAGAGTCCGGACGGGAGGTTGTGAGGCACGGTCGAGGAGGAAGCACGGCGTCGTGATGATGAGAAGGCAGGAGATTAGGCATAGGTCAGAGCGGGAGGATGGAGAAGAGCCTAGATCAGCTGTGACTCGTGGACATCAATAGGAAGCTGCGATTACGCACAGGTTGGACACCGGACGCGGACTACGCTGTCAGCTCTTGCCTCCATCGCGCATCAATCGCGTTGGGCAGACAGCTCACCATGATGACACAGATGCTATGTGTGAGGTATGGGCGGAGAGTAGCTGTATTTGAAGGATGACAATAACAACAACAGATGGTGATGGATGGGGTGAGTGAGTGGCTGCGGGGGGACGACGAGCTGCATGTCACTGGCTGAGTTGACCCTGAAACAAGCGGAATCAAACCCGCGACTGATTTCAAGTGTGGCACTTGCCAGGAGGGAGACATTGCATCAACCGCGATGCTGGTCCGAACGACTGAGAAGACACAGCTGAGCGCGACAGGATCGAGAGACAGCATTTTCTAGTGCGTGTTCGCATATCAAGTACAGACAGAACAAAAACAGCTAATCCCGCCCAAGCGTTGTTTCGAGGAAAGTGTGGTCTGATGTCAGCAGGTTCGCCTGGATCTCTGGACCGGCCACAAAGCTCACAATCCAGCCCAATGGGATCCTCAGTCTTTGGCATATTGTCGCACAAGAAGCGTATCGTCTCTCGGGGCAAATGTGCCTGTTGAAAGTCGAGCTCGGTCACGTACGGCTACTGATCAGCTCTTGCCCTATCCTCACCTCAAGGGATAGGCAGCTCACCTTATCGCCAGCCATACTTCTGAAAGCCTCGCGAAGCTGCTCAGACGAGGAAGAGTCGTCTTTTGTGATGTCCACCTGATGAATTAGACGAGGCAAGATAGCTGTCAGAAGCTGACGGCTTACCAGTAATGCCAGCCAAGCTTCATAGGTGACAGCTCCATATTCTCGCTCCAGGTCTGCGTAGATTGCCTGCAGCTCTTCGTCCTGGGTCTCTGTCAGCTACGAGGCCATGCTCTCGGTGCAAAGCAGACTCACGGCATATACAATTCCCAGACTAGCGAGTGCAGAATGCATTTCCCAGACCATGAGTGTCTAGTGCATCAGCTTGTTCATAGTGGGCGGAGGGTGTGCCAGCTCACATTCGTGTCATCCTTGTCAAAGTGCTTGAAGGTCGCCTCAAACTCCTCCAACTTGGCGGGTGTCAGATTCGTGTGTTGAGCAGAGATCATCTGCCTGGTCAGCTTCTCCAACTCGTAGTACCGAATGCTTGGGCATTCTGACCTGATTCTCTACAAACGCAATCTTGGCTCGAATGCCTCGCTCCGCCGACTCCAGCTCGTACTCGAGATCATCATACGTCAAGACGGTATAGTCGTTCTCCTCAATTTTGGCCTCTTGACACCGGTCATGTACGGCCAAGATGTCCGCTTGGAGGGTCTTTCGTAGTATCGCCGGGATTTGAGCGAGCTTGAGCAGAGTCGTCTTTTGGTCCTGGACGAAATCAGCTGAGCCCAATGGACGGTCAATCTGCAGGGGACGACTCGCCGCTAATGCTCCGGACAGGCTTCCGATGCCCAGCTCAATCTGACGTAGCTTGCCCATAAAGTCGTCTGCCTTCTGGGCGAACTGTTTCCGCAGTTCCTCCTTGATCCTAGCAGGTCAGCCATTATGTCACTTCTCGATGAACTAAAAGCTCACTCTCTTATCCTGGCGTTGATTGCGCGACTCCGCTTCCCCTCGTCGACCAAGAAGCCCGCCCACTCCCGTTCCAGATCTCCCAACCTCATCCCCTGCGCCGGTTCCCAGCTGTTCAGCCCATACGTCCTCAGCTTGGTCTGTATATTCGAATACAGCGCGCCCAGCTCCTGCTTCTCTCTCCCCCATTGTCGCTTCGACGTCTTCTTGTATTCGGCAAATTCGGACAAGGAGGAAATGGCCGATTTGTAGTCCGGCTGTGGCTGAGCTGCAGCCCATGAGCGCTGGGTCGAGGAGACGGCAGAGAGGAGAAGGGCGAGCCGCCGCTCAAAGTCGGTTTGCCAAGTGAGGATAGAGGAGATGAGATCGACGAATTTCTGCACTCGGCGGGCGCCCGTTTCCATCTTATCTGCTGATCAGCTGACTCTTGGGGAGACTCACCTTCTTGTGAGAAGCGATGGAAGAATTCAGCGACGTAGGTCATGACACTGCGCTCGTCTGGTACTTGAACGTCGCAGAAGTCCTTGACTTCGAGGAGTGGCTGCGGGTCAATCTCTGCGCATCGCCTTCCAGGAAGTACTCACTGGTATGCCAAGTTCCTTCTCGGCGACCCGCAGGGCGAGCTCGGTATTCCCTCTTCTATCCGACTTGTCCAGTTTGTCATAGTCGAGCAGCTCTGGCCGATGGCGGTGAATCAGAGCACATCTGCAGCGTCAGCGACTGGTGCGTCATTGTTGCTGAAGAAGACGTACAAGGCGAGACCGTCTGCAAAGCTGCTTTTAAAATTCTGGACGTCTACTTCTCGGTAAGGTTGGGTCTTGCGCTGACACCAAAGCAGGAGGCCATCCTTGGCGGAAAGTCCCTCTTCACTATGTTGTCAGCCTCTACAACGTTCCAGAGACAGAGGATGACTCACGTGATACCAGCGATAGTGAAGCGTAGAATAAGTGTCCAGATCTGGATGTCAGCACACGTCCAGGTTTCTGAACAGGAAGGATCCTCACCATGCCGAGTATGAGCTTTAGATTCCCATCCACGATGTCCTCTGGGCCTGCCGGAGTCAGCCCACGTCGCCGCTATCACTCTCTGCGAGTCTGCTTACCGATGTTGGTGAGCTTGACACCGCTATCTCGGATGAACTGCAAGGCCTTTGCAGCGTTCTGACCAGTCAGCAAAGGGCAAACCATGGTGGTACTCATATCCCACTCACCTCAGCCTTCTGAACCCGCATCATTGGCTTCTTGTTATATTTCCCCAAGCTCTGGTCGGACATCACTTCCTGCCTCATCAGTAGGAGCACGAACATAAGTCCCTTCTTGCGAGCGGCAAGATCAAGAAGGGTGGAAATGGCGGATATCGACTGGGCTTACCAGGATCCAAAACATCAGCTCAGTCTTTCATGAGATTGCTTGAGTGGTGGAGCAAAGCACCCCCCCACGAGACTCACCTGGATGAGTTTCACACCGTTCGAGAAGTCCTTGACGAGATCCGTCATTGGCTCCAGATCCGCAGCTTCCAGCTTGGTGTTGAGCCTGTCCACGAATTAGGTGGGGCTCATATTGGTATCGATGTCATGCTCACCACCTGCAGAAGGTTCTGAAAGGTCAGCGATCGTATGACAGCGGGAAGTTTATCGAGGAAGACAGACTTACCTTGCTTGAATGTCGCTCCATTCCCCCTCGCGTCCAAATCCCAAACTGCCCGCCGGACTCATCGGTGCACTCAACATGCTCGGCGAGAGAGCAGACTTTCCTCTACTTGCCGCGGGACTCATTGGCACACTCCCCATCCCGCCGCCTCCTGCCAGTCCACCGCCTGTCTGCTGCCGGTCCAGACCGATGCCGCCACCGTTCAGGTTCAGTCCATTGAGGCCGTTTAGCGTCCCAAGAGATCTCGAGTGTCTGTGCGACGATGACGAGGGGGTGGAAGGCTGCGTGGAGCCTCTGCGTTCCATTCTGAAGGTAGTGTCTGTTGGTAGCAGTAAGCTGCTTTCTTATAATAGCCTCCGAAGCGAAAAGTATGATGAGAAGGGGGATGCAAAGTCGAAACGCAACCTGAACGAGATGAAACAGGCTCGTCTTCGTCATTCCTGGCGCGTCGCGTGCTCGCTCTGATGTCCGATGAAGCTTCGCATTCACTTTCAAGCAGACTACCACAGTGCTTGCAAGGAACCACGGACGGAACCGTGCTCCGACATAGTAATACGATGCGCTACCGTTTGCTCATGGACGCTGTACATGGTACCTGGTATACATCACTCTTTCTGACAGCTTTCCTTTCTACGAAAAGATCCGATGCACAGGAGCAGGTCGTCCTACTTCTTCAAGATCGAGAAACGGAAGGCGGATATCAGAGCTAGCAGCGGAGTCAGCTTCCGAGCCGGCGGCATCGCTGAGATGGGATGAGCGGGACGGGGAAGCTGGGGAACGCAAGCAAGGAGGTCAGACTGATCAGACAGCAGCCGAAGTTGTCGGATTCGGCGCGTCCAGAGGTTTACGTCATGTACCTGGACGCGTCCAAACTCGAGGAATGCGGCCGTAGTGGCGCCCGGCGGCTCTGCCGGTCCTTCGCTGATCGATGATCTCCAAAGTTGAAGCCTTTCGACATTACGGTCCTCAGGCGTCGCTACCTGCTGCAGCTCTCGGTGAGATACCCCCTCCATACTCGCATTAGGAACCGACTCTATGGAATGTACCAAGCGGCATTGCTCGAGGAATGCGTGCCTGACTTGTGCCTGACGTGGCTCCCATGCCGAGATAACCACTTCGGACTAAATCCGGAAGAATCCGAATGCTCCGATGACGCTCACTCGCTGACACACGCTGACTTTGTAAAGTCTAAATTCGGCAGTGGGGGCCGTCTCACGCTCCTCTAATGACAAGGAGTAGCGCAAGGAGGTAGCGGAGGGGGATGATGTAGCTCACATCATATGGGTCAACAGATATAAGGCGACAGAGAAGCTTTTCATCGCCATTCATCTCTCTTTCCCACATATCACTCCACTGTAGACCGCTCATTACTGACTCGCTTCGCTGTTCTCGCTGCGCAATGAGTGTAAGTCGATCGAGCGGCTTCGTCAACAAACCGCCTGCCTGTTCAGCACTAACTTGCAGGACTCATCAGCAAGCACAATCGTTAACGACGTCTCGCCTGTCACGAGCAAGACGTCCAAGCCCGCAGCGGCCTACACACTAAAGACGCGGCCATGGCGACCCTACGTCACCCCTTTTGAGTCTTTGCTCGCCTCAAAGTACCCCGGAAAGGGAACCGAGGAATCGCCCTATATTGTCGACTGGATCAACGATGATCCAGAGGATCCGCAACGATGGCCAGGCGGATGGAAATGGTTTACTATCTTGATGGTCAGTATGACCACACTGGCAGTCGCGCTGGCATCATCCGCCTACAGTGGTGGCATCAAAAGTCTGGTGGAGGAATTCGGAGCGAGCACGGAGCTGTTGACAGCGGGTATATCGCTGTTTGTCGTTGGCTTTGCGTTCGGGCCTCTGTAAGCCTCCTCTCGTCCATCGCATGCAAAGCTGATATCCAGCTTCTGGGCACCCCTCAGCGAGGTCTATGGTCGCCGAAACATCTTCATCGTCTCCTACTTCTTCCTTACCATTTGGCTCATGGCTGTCGCGCTCTCCAACTCGGTCGCCCAGATCCTGGTCTTCCGATTCCTCGCCGGCTTCTTTGGCTCGTCACCGCTGTCCAACGCTGGAGGTGTCATTTCGGATGTCCTAGATGCCAACCAACGTGGTCTGGGTATGGCCTTGTTCGCGGCTGCTCCATTTTTGGGTGAGTCACATATCAGGATGCTTCGGACTGTACTGACCCTTAGGTCCCGCTCTCGGTCCCATCACTGGCGGCTTCATCGGCCTCACGTCCGGCTGGCGTTGGGTCAGCGGTTTCCTTGCCATCTTCTCTGGCGTCATCTTCTTTGCCCTTATCATCGGATGCTCCGAGACCTACGCGCCCACCCTCCTTCGTCGGCGAGCCGCTATGATGTCCGAGGCCACCGGCAAGGTCTACCGCTTCCGTGCCGACGCCAAGCAGCCCCTCCAGATTAAGGTGCTATTCAAGACATCTCTCATTCGCCCTTGGAAGTTCCTCATCTTTGAGCCGATCGTCACTATCCTCACTATCTACACCGCGGTCATCTACGGTATCCTCTATCTCAACTTCGCTGCGTACCCTATCGTCTTCCAGCAGATCAGGGGGTGGAACACTGGTGTTGGGGGCCTGGCGTTCTTGGGTATTCTCGTGGGGACTGTGCTCTCCATCATCATCTCAGTCGTAAGTCTTCCGCGCTAAGGCAAAAGCCTTGCTGATGCCCAGGTGTACATCCAGCCACAATACCTCAAGGCCGCCAAGAAGAGGGGCGGTATGGCTACTCCCGAAGACCGTCTCCCGCCTGCGATCTGGGGCGGTGTGCTCATCGTCATCGGTCTCGCTGGTTTCGCTGCTACCAACGGTCCCGAAGTCCACTGGATCGCTCCGATCATCTTTGGTGTTCCGTTCGGTCTCGGTACGATCGTCATGTTGTAAGTCAACACCCTTGCAAGGAGAGGAGGTAACAGCTTACACCCAGCTTGTCCGTCATGGGCTACCTCGTGGACTCGTACACCATCTATGCGGCTTCTGTGCTCGCTGCCAACTCGGTTCTCCGATCCCTCTTCGGGGCCGCCTTCCCCCTCTTCACTTCTTACATGTAAGTCTACTCTCATCCACTTTAGCCACAAGCTAACAGACAGGTACCAACGCCTCGGTATCCACTGGGCGGCTGCTCTTCCCGGTTTCATCGCTCTCGCTTGCATCCCCTTCACCGTCATCTTCTACAAGTACGGTGCTCGTATCCGCGCCAAGTGCAAGTACGCTGCGGACGCCGAGCGCCAGATGGCCATGATTATGGCATCGCGCAAGAAGCAGGCCGAGGGCGCGGACCCGGAGAAGAATGTCGGATCGGAGCAGGAGGGAGACGGTGCTACGGGCGGAGAAGAGACCAGGCGGACACGGACCAACTCGCAACCCCCCGCCAACTCTCGCGTCCGGTCATCCTCCCGCGCAACGTCTCGCGCAGACCGGGACGACATGGCCTCACTCCACCGTTCCTGCTCGCACAATGCTGTCCCCATGGACCCCATGCACCGTCACAACCATGAATGGACCATGTACGAGGCGCTGGCGGATAGGGACGAGGTGGATTTGGATGATGAAGAGCGGATTCACCTGGCTGAACTGCACGAGCGGTTCGACTATGCCAAGGCGAAGAAGGCTAAGCCGGTGGTCGGGAAGTCGGGCGGTGGACCCTCATCCCCCGTCAATAGGTTCAAGCCGGCTCTACCAGCGGCGGAGGAGCACGAGCATGAGCATGAGCATGCGGAGGGGGCTGTGCCGGATCTGGGGCTGGGCAAGCCAATCTAGATGAGCTCACATAGATGATCTTGGCGTGTCGAAATATAGATTTTATAATGCATAGATACAAGGGTTCAGCCAAAGTTGAGAGCATCTGTAGGCAGACCGAACAGCATTCCAAAATCCATTCCGGTGTTGTCAAACTGCAAGAAGCTCGCCAAGTCGAACTCGGAGTTGTTGTCTATCAGAGGGAGACCCGCGTCGTTCCAGAACTGCAACTGGGATGGGGACCTGTGTGTTAGCTAGAATCGGCAGCCAGACCTACTCTTCGCTGGCCCGAGGAGGTATGGCAATCCCTGCTACCCCGCTTAGGTCTCGGCAGATCCGTCCCACATACGTCGAGTTCTTGGTCTCTGACAGTTCCGTGTCCTCGAGGAGCTCAATAGCGGTCCGGAGGTAGTAGGCAATGACCGCTCGGTCCACCGGGATGTCGCATGTGGTCGAGTGCAGCCGAATGAGAAAGACTGCCGCTTGACCCAGGGCGATGGTGATGTACTGGTCGTTAGCTGTTAACTTCCCACGATGAAGCACTACTCACGTCAAACGAATAGCTCAGGTACATGTCCTCCTTGACCGCGTCCGCATGAGCCTGAACAGTATTGATCGCCGCCTCGGTCGCCTTCTGGATGTACGACGCCATGAGGGCCGACTCGGGGGAGCCGTCATTCTTGACCAATCCGGGCTTGAGGGCGAGCGAGTTGAGACACAGTCGGATGTGCTCGCTCTGGAGTTTGGCAAGACGACCGCTTGTCCCGAGGTGGATCGCAGAAAGGGAGCCTGCAAATTAGCTTGAGACTCCTAGACAGGACCTACCGTTCCATGTCCAGCGCGTCGTCCACTCATCTAGCCGCTTGTTGAGCTCTCCCAACATCGCTCCGACCGAATAGTCCTGTCCGTCCTGCGTGAGCGGCGCCCGGGAGATATCCGCTTGCCAGTCTGTCAAGAGCTGAATCCAGCTGATCAGATCGCCTCCGATCTACCCTTGTCAGCTCAAGATCCCAGCGAACGGCGAGAACTCACCTTGGTCAGCTGGACCATACTGGCGATATACAGGTCCATGCGCATCTCGCTTCCACTCGCACTGCTTGCGCCGAGCTGCAAGAACGCCTGCTCGTCGATGCCCGCGAAGCCTTGAGACTGAGGACGACCAAAGCCCAAGCTGAGAAAGCCGTCGAAGCTGCGGGGTCAGCCAGATCCCCTGGAGCACTCACTGATACCACGCGAGCCAGGTTCTTGACTGAAGGAGCTGCTTTTCCGCTTGCTCCGGCGTGGTGGGCAATGGACCTGGTCGGTGCAGACCCAACCTCTGCGCCAGCCGCGCACAATGCCCAGTGACCAGCCACGGATCTGGACCGCCTCCTCCCGATTGTAAGCCCCAGCCCGCGAGCAGGAGGGTCGCCTGCACATCCGCTAATTGGTGCTGTTTCCGGAAAAGACTAGCGGCAAGGTGCGAGTATGCCAGTCGAGCGATCGCCGCGGGGGTAGCAGGAGCGATGGTAGGTAAGACGCCATGCCGAGCGCAGTGTTTAAGGTAGAATCGGGAGCCGATGGCGATGATAGTGGTGAAGAGGAAACCGCAGCGTCGGCGTATATCATTGAAAGGGCTAGCATCTGCCGATGTGACGATGGGGAGGAAGGGATGGCATTTCGCAAAAAAGCTAAAGTCAGCCAAGCCAGAGAGGTACTCACAAGTCAAAAAGCGTTTCTGCTTGCGCCATATCCACCAGTTCTAGCGTCACGGGATCATCCCTCGGCCCCGCCTTTGCCTCGAATGCGGGCCAGCCTTCATCCCTACTTGCTGCGCCGGGCTGTGGACTGCTCCGTCGAGACTGTTCCCGGTTCTCCCACACCCCCGGATGGTACGTCAACGCCTGGAACGGTGCGCTGTAGCCCTGACCCGCGAGCGAGGCCACAGCGAGCCGGTTCTGAGGAGACTCCTTGTTTTTCCGCTTGTCCGAGGTGACAGATCCGGCCGACGCGCCTGTTTGCGAGTCGGTAGGGGAGGGACCAAAGTGAACCGTTCGCTGGGGGAGATGAGAGGAAGGACCGAATATGGGATCCGAGCGGGGTAGTTGGAAGGGAAGGAGTGGGTCATTCGAGTTGTAGGCCGAGGGCATGGAGCCGCTGCCAGGAAGTAGATCGGTAGAGCTAGCCAGCGTGCCCAGAGCAGCGGGGCTGACCTGAGATGGAGGGTATTGGGGGAGCGCTGAGGTCGTTGGTGCCGAAGGACGGAGGCTTGATAGGTCAGACAGCAGACTAGCCACCGTCTGCTCGAGCTGAGCGATCCGTGAGCCGGGCTGGACCTCTCCCTCGGACCTATCATGACCATCCCCGTTTGGTCGCTTCCCGAAATCGCACTTCTCTTGTGCGCGCAGGCACTTTGCGCATGGACAGCCTCCTGTACATCGAAGCTTCTTCCGCCTGCACCTCAGACAAGCTTGCGGGGCCCTCTGCCACCGCGTCTCGTCCTCCTCCCGACGTCTGGGTTGGGAGCCGCTCCCTTCACCACCCGAGTCCTGGGCCGGGCGCTGGTTTGACGGGCCGGAGGCTGTGTCGGCTTGTGCTGAAACATCCGAGTCTCGCCGAGCTTCCATGGTGTTTCACGGGGTTAGCGCCTGTAAGAGTAGGTCAGAGCAGTGAAGGATGGACCGAAAGATGCTTGCTGGGGATTGGCATCGCCTATCAGTCACCCGGGATGGAATCCACCTTCCCGGCCTCGGACCATCCGGCGCCGGGCGACACCAAACTCTACGGTACTGCAGGTCGAGCTTCTTGATGGCGTCATACCCCACCCCCCCACTCAGCTGACCTGCTGTTCTCGGGCCGTGCCAAGCCGAGAAGTGGCCGCTCAATTCGCGACTGGTCGGTTGTACTCCGTGAAGTCCACTGGCAAGAGCAAGCTATCACCATGGCTACTGCTACTCCGTGCTTCGCATCTCTACTCACCAGATCATCTTTAGCACTATGGTGAGTCGACCAAGGGGAAGCTGGACTGTGCTGACCACCAGTCTGAAATCACCATCACTGGCTTTACCATCCGCGATGTCCGCTTCCCGACATCGCTCAGCAACATCGGGAGCGACCCCATGAATTCGGCTGGGGAGAACGCGCTCGGTCACATCACCTACCATACCAACAAGGACCTTGTCGGATCGGGCTTCTCCTTCTCCAACGGTCAAGGCAATGAGTGAGTAACAGAAAGGACAGAGCTGATTCTAGGGTTCTCTGCGCAGGTCTCAAAGCGCTTGCTCCTCGCTTTGTCGGACGTACCCTCGCCTCCATCACCGAGAACTTCGCCAAGACCCACCGCAACCTCGTCTCGGGACAGATCCGCTTCATGTCTCCCGAACGAGGCGTCATGCAGCTCGCGACTTGCGCCATCCTCAACGCCCTCTGGGATCTCTGGGCCAAGTCCGAGGGGAAGCCCCTCTGGCGCTTGGTTGTCGACATGTCGCCCGAAGAGTTCGTCCGCTGCATCGACTTCAGGTACATCACCGACGAAATCACCCCGGAGCAGGCGGTCAAGATGCTGCAGGAGAAGGAGGCGGGGAAGAAGGAGAGGTTGCAGGCGGCGCTGGACAATGAGGCTGTCCCCGGGTACAACACCTCTGTCGGATGGTTGGGATACTGTGAGTCTATCCAGGGATATAGCTGATCGGTAGCGGACGAGCAAGTGACCGACCTGCTCAACAAGGCCATCTCGGAAGGCTTCAAGCACTTCAAGCTCAAAGTCGGCCTGGGGCTCGAGGCGGATCGCAGGAGGCTGGGTCTTGTGCGCAAGGTCGCCGGTCCGGACGCTGTCATCATGGTGAGCTCGTCCATCATGCTTTGCTAACTTTCAGACCGATGTCAACCAAGTCTGGGACGTCGACGAGGCGATCGAGTACATGCCCAAGCTCGCCGACCTTGACCTGCTGTTCATCGAAGAGCCCACCTCGCCGGACGACATCCTCGGTCACGCTCGCATCCGCAAGGCGCTCAAGCCACACGGTATGGGCGTGGCGACCGGCGAGCACGTCAACAACCGGGTCATGTTCAAGCAGCTCCTCCAGGCCGAGGCTATCGACGCGCTTCAGCTCGACGCGTGCAGGTTGTCCGGCATGAACGAGATCTTGAGTGTCCTACTGCTAGCGACCAAGTTTGGCGTTCCCATCGTTCCGCACTCAGGGTGAGTACTGTCCATCGTCTCAAGACCTCGGCTGACATTACAGTGGCGCTGGGATGACTGAGCTCTGCGCGCATATCAGCACCATCGACTACGTCTCTGTGTCTGGCAAGAAGAGTATCCTCGAGTACACGGACCATCTCCACGGTACGTCTTGCTCTCGTCTTGTCGAATGTCGAGCTGATGGTTGCAGAGATCTTCCTCGCCCCCGCTGGCATGGGCAAGACTGGTTTCCACACCTCGCCCACCGTTCCTGGCTACTCGGCGGATATCAAGGAGGAGGTCTTTGCCGAGTTTGAGTGCCCAGGCGGGTCGTTCTGGAAAGGCGAGCAGGGGCAGAAGATGCTCAACGACCCGTGGAGGGGTGTGGCTGGGGAGCAGACTAGCTAGTCGAGGCCAGGTATAGCGGCTGTCGTAGTGGAAGTGAATGCAATATGTACAATTCTGGCTCAATCGACTTGCGCCGACCTGCCACTTCCTGCGTGAGATGGCATGACCGCGACTTCGTTCTGATGTCACGAGCTCTGCCGAACTCTTGCTTGAAGTCTTCAGGATGCTGTCAGGCGCAAGCTAGAGTTCCACGTCAAGTGCTCTGGCCCCATGAGCGAGCTCTTAGCTTGACCTGCAGATCAAAGCTTGTGGTTGCGGCCACGTAGCATCTTCTAAATCAGATACATTCTGCTTCTCTGCCATCACAAGATCCACCATCTATCTAGGGCATGCCAACCCTCCAATCCGCACCATCACCATTGAGCCCATACCGAGTCGAGCTCATGTCCTTGACAGTCGTCCGCCTCATATCCCTTGGATACTTGCCCTCGTAGCTCCCGCCAGTCCCGCGGTGCATGACGCTCGTACTGCAACATTAGCTTCGCCCGCACATTTGAGACCGGATTACTCACTTGTCCCAGATGATGAGATCCCCATCCTGCTCCCACGGGATGACCTGCCTATACTTGTCCTTGTAGATGTGCTCTGTAAGCTCCTTGAGGATCTTGTCAGACTCCTCCTTGGGCATACCGTCCAGATGGTGCACGTAGGACGCAATGTAAAGGTTCTGAAATCAGCTCAGAACCGGACCTGTACTCACCATGCGGTCGCTCCATTCATGCTTCTGGGCCAAGAGGTGCTTGCTCATCGGCATCTTGGTGACGTCCATGTCCTTGAAATACTCGGGCATGGCGGTCTTGCGAGAGTGGAAGAGCGAGTGGTTGGCGACGGCGCCGTCGATACGAGCCTTCATCTCGGGCGAGAGATCGTCGTAGGCCGTACGGGAGTCGGAGAACTGCAAAGTCAGCGCCAGCAAACAGATCAGACGGGTAGAACTCACCTCGGTGGCACCGCCAGTACCGGGAGGAGGAAGCTTGTGAGCCTTCAAGAGCGAGTGACCAGCTCTACGAGCGTTGAAGGACGAGTCGACATGGAAGAGGAGGTTCCCCTGGAGATCAGCTCGACTCAATCCAAGATGCAATAGGACTCACCTTGTTTCCAATGACGGTGGCGTCGGTCATAGCAGCGACATCGCCCGTCTTGCTGTACAGTCAGCGCGAGCCCTACAGGAAGCAGTCGAAGGAGGACTTACGGGTCAATGTTTCCAGCATCAAAGAGATACTTGGATGGCAGTCGGTGAGTCCGCCCAGCCTGCTGATAAGGCGTCACGTCGTCCAGATCACCAAAGTACCGCGAGAAGTCGATATGGGCATCGTCGGTCAGGCCGGTGTTGCGCAAGACGACCACGCCATACTGCAGTGTCAGCATCTGTCCACCGTCACGGTGGCAGTGGCAACTCACCTTGTCGACAACGGCTCTGATCTCCTTGTAGAGCTCGGGCGTGATCGGCTGGGAGAAGTCTACGCCGGCGATCTCGGCGGCGAAAGTGGGGTGCAGGGGCTTGACTTGGAGGGTAGCGTTGACCATGATGCTGAGTTGAGTGTTGGCAGTGAGGACAGTGGGGAGTTAGTCTGTATCGATGGACTTATTCTTCTCTGGCTGGATGGCATATATGTGTGCTCGTCAGAGCTCCAAGCCACTCCAGAAGAGGGCTCCACTGCCCCAGACCGGGCCGGGTCTCTCATGTCCGGGGTCAGTGAGCCAGTGAGGTGGAGGTATCTTGCGGGCCGAGAGCCGAGAGGGAGGGTCGGATCAACTTGGCAATTCAGCGCTTCAGCCTGAGCTTGGTCATCGGACATCTTGTTCGGGCCGGCGACTTGACAGGCAACAGAAGATGGAGGGGCAGCAGACGGCAGCGCGCCAGGGGCAAGGGAGGAATGTACGCGATGACGTACTCGTCCGCTAAGCTTATAAGCTATAAGCTCGGACCGTCCCGAGGATGCCGAGCTCTCCATCTTGCTCCATCATCTCTCCTCGGATATCGGATGGACCAGGGGCATGTGAGCAAATGATGGCCGAGGTCTACGCGGGGGAGGAGGGGCTCCGATACCAAACCCGAGGATCTGCGGTCTCAAGGTCTACATATAGCCATCTCAGCAGCGCCGGCGCCCACTACTTACCACTGAGTACCACTCATCATGTCGCACTCCTTCTCCGCCATCCCCAGTGAGCTAGCTCGTGCCGTGCTTGGTGGAGTGGCCATATGTGCTGACAGGGCTAGACAATACGAATGAGCTATGGTGGAAAGACCAGGGGATCAGGAAGAATGTGTTCCATTGCTTTGGGCTCTGTCTTTGCGTGTTCTACCTAGTACGTCCGCCTCGAGTGCCCTGTACCGGAACCTAGCTGACACTGTAGGGCTGTGAGTCGAAGTGGTTCTCGCTGCGATATCACGAGCTAATCCTCAGATGACCAGTCGCTCCTCACGGGTCTTCAGGCGCTCCCTCGCTGGAACGCGTGAGTTCCCCACGACCCCTTCGCGCCTGTCGCTAATGATCAGCTACTTTGGCTCCCCCACAGGCAACACCCTCGGTCTTATCGCCTCCAGTATCTTCCTACCATCTATCATCACCGCTTTCGCAGGCGACTACATCGCAGCTCACTACGGCCGCAAGATCGCCGTCTGGATCGGATCGGTCATCATCATCGCCGGAGCCATCCTCAACGCCGCCGCTCAGAACACTGGACAATTCGTCGGCGGGAGAATCCTCCTGGGGTCGGGCGGAGCCATCACCAAGGTCGGCGCCCCGGCGCTACTCCACGAGATCGCCCATCCCAGATTGAGAGGGATCATCGGTGGATGCTACTACGTGAGTCCGGTCTCCTGTGCCGTGGCTAGAGCTAACATCACAGGGCTTCTACTACTTTGGATCGTTCACGAGCGCCTGGCTGACTTGTGAGCTATTCCAGTATCCGAAAGACTAGGCTGACTCTTCAGTTGCTGGCCTTTACATGTCAGTTGCTACCCAACAGTCACGAGCCCTTGCTGACTCTCTAGCCAAAGCGACTGGTCCTGGCGCATGCCTTGCGTCTTCCAGGTCGTCGGTCCCTCTCTTGTACTGCTCATCACCTGTACCGCCCCTGAGTCTCCTCGTTTCCTCATCGACCACGACCGCAATGAGCGCGCGCTCCAGATCCTCGCCAAGTACCACGCCAACGGGGACGAGAGCGACGCGCTGGTCCAGTGGGAGTACCAGGAGATTTGCTCCGCCATCGCCAAGGAGCGCGAGATGAAGAAGACCTCCTACCTCGACTTCTTCCGCACCAAGGGTAACCGCAAGCGGCTCTTCGTCCTCTGCACGCTCAGTGTGGCCACCAATTGGGCAGGAAACGGTATCATATCCTAGTAAGTCCTCTCGTTTCACAGGAATGCCTTGGCTGACGCTCAGCTACCTCGCACCGGTCCTTCGTCAAGTCGGAGTGACTGACCCGAGTCAGATCACCGGTATTAATGGAGGTCTGGCAGGATACAACTTGGTGCTCGCGCTCGCCGCTGGACTGAACGTCGAGCGCGTGGGAAGACGCCCATTGTTTGTCAGTCCAAACCTTCCTCTTCGTGATTCCGTCGCTGACAGTAAAAGTTTGCTGGATTCATCGGGATGTTCTTCTCATACTGCTTTGTCATGGGCTTGTCAGCTGGATATGCCAACACCGGCAACTCCAGCATGGGCATTGCGGTCATCCCGTTCTTGTGGTTCTTCGTGAGCCCTCTCCCCCTCCTGCAGGGTTCGCGCTGACGTTGTAGTATGGCTTCTATGATATCAGTCTTACTCCCCTACCTTGTGAGTCATACAGCAATAATACAGGGACTGCACTGATACTACAGACCACTACACTAGTGAAATCCTGCCCTACGCCCTCCGCTCCAAGGGTCTGGCCATTTTCACAAGTGTGCAAAATTGCGCCAATGCGTTGAGTGAGTCGCCTTACCCTCCCGCATTCTCAAGGTTGCTCCTGACGCCGCAGACCAATGGGTAAATCCCATAGCGTTGGCTGCTAGTAAGTCCATTCAGTCTCGTCTTGGATGCGCTGACAGACAGTTACCTGGCGGTAGTGAGTTTCTTCAGGTTCACTCTGGACGCGCTGACCGTCAGTTACGCAGTCTACCTCGTGATTCTCCTCTTCCTGATCGCCTTCACATATTTCTTCATCGTTGAGACTCGAGGGTGAGTGTATCGTGTACTATAAGCCGAGGTGGCCTGCTGACTCCTAGACTTTCGCTCGAGGAGATCTCATTGGTAATGGATTATGGTCGCAAGGAAGGGCGAGAGAAGGCGAAGGAATTGGGCGCTCACAATGCCCACGTCGAGGCGAAGGATGGGATGGACGGAGCAAGTCAGCACGGGGACAAGGCGGTGGCTGGACATGTGGAGCGCGTTTAGGGTGTATCTCGTACTGGGCATTTGATGATTGGAGCGCTGTCTTCTGCAATGTATTCATGCTACCAAGTCTTTCTTCTACCTACCCGTAAAACTGCAAGCAAGCGTCGAGATTAGGCTGTACCGTCAGCCCTAACTTGGAGCAGGAAGAAGGGGGTGCTCACCGTTGACGTTCATCTTGGCCTCTCCCTTGTCGTGCTGCAGGTTCCCCTTGGTCTGCTGGGCCTTGTCGCCAGTGATGGCGCCGACGATAGAGTCCTTCTTGCCCTCGAGACGGTCTCCGGCACTGATGGCGTGAGCTCCTGCCTGTATCAATGGGTCTGTTTCCGAGCTCACCCCTCGACGTAACCCTGAGCCTGAGCGGCCTTGATCTCGGCCTCGCCCTTGGCGTGCTGCTCCTTGCCGGCGGTGGTCCAGGAAGAGGGCTCCTTGGACCCGGTGGCGTACTCGATACCGGAACCGACGAGCTCCTTGGCCTGGCCGAGCATGGAGTTGACCTGGGTGTTAGTGCCTGCAATGCCTGAAAGACCAAACAAGAGAGTTCAGGAAGACCGTGGATATAGGTAGGACTGTAGCAGGTAGGATGAGTGGGGTGGCGAAGGTCTTTGGAGAAACGTGTGATGGCGAGATAAGAGAGATTAATGAAACACACCTGGCCGTTGGCCTTGGAGGGCTCGTTGTAAGACATCTTGATTGATAGGGGTGAGTTGTTGGAGTTTTGTTGGTTGAGTATTGGTGGTGCTGATGATAAGTATGGATGGAAGAGGGGGAAGAGGGAGGTGATGGCGCTATATATGGGGCATGCGACGTGTCCGAGCGCCCGCGCTCCCAAGGCTCCGGCCGCCGCCACCTCATACCTTGATCCGGAACCAAATATCGGTCATGACGTCATCAAATCAAAGTCGCGTCGCGCGTCGCGTACACGTCAAACGGGCCTGGGTGACTGTACTTTCACCCTGTTGAACTCCCATGCGATCCCATGCGACACTGATAGCTCCTCAAGTTCATCTACTCACTTCTGTAAGCTGACTTCTGGGCTTCGCTCTCAGTAAGTACGTACTGACCTTCCAGTTGATAGACATTCGTCCGAGACTGGTCGGGCAGGTCGAAAGCCTCATCTCAGCTGCACATCTTGCACTACTCTCGTCTCAACATCAAGCGACAAGGGCCATTCATCCTCAAGTACAATCGCTGCCGTCGGGCGACCAGTAAAACCAGCGATCCAGCCCCTCGGATATCGAGCAAAAAGCGCCGAGGTCATTGATAAGGAGACCTCCATCATGACAACGGCTCCCACCACCTCTTCGGCGCCGGCAATTACTGTCAGTGCTACGGCTCAAGAGGTCGACGCAGGCGGGTCTGCCAATGTGTTGTTCAACAGTGAGTCTCCTCCTTGTATCGCTGAGATCCTTGGCTGACGATTTACAGGAGAGGCATATCAGGCTTGCCTGAAAGTCGCAGAGGACCTGGTGAAAAGGCATATGGCTCAGTGCGTTGCCTGCTCCTGACTGTTTCCGATGAACGTCTCTGCCTTCAAATAGCAGGCCACTGATACTGCAGGTACGACCCTTCACACGACTGGGCACACGGTAAGCGGATGATACCCCACTGTCATCGATACGGCTGATACTGCCTAGTCGAGCGAGTCCGCAATACCGCCGTACGGATCGCTGCTGGACTTCCTGGCGTCGATATGAAGGTAGTGGAGCTTGCTGCTTTGTTCCACGACGTGGCAGGTGAGCTTGATTTCCCATCAGAACCATCCGTAAAATGGTGCGAGGCTGACCCTGTTCAGATTGTGCGTTGTTCTGATCGGACCGAACCGAGGTCTGTTCAGACCGGGCCTTGCTGACTATCTAGCCAAATATACCTCATCCTCCACACTCAGAGACACCCTTGCTCCCTTTCTCAATCACCCCCTCACAGCTGCCTCCCTCACCCACGCTCAAGTCTTCAACATCCTCGATATCGTCCCCTGCGTCTCCTGGACGGCCGAAAAGACTCTCCGGGCCAAGAACGAGTGGACAGAACGCCATGGCGCCTGGCTCGAGCTGCACGCTGTACAGGATGCGGACAGGCTGGATGCTATAGGCGCAATAGGGATCATGAGGTGCTCGGCTTTTGGGGCGGTCAAGGGGAGGCTTTTGGTGGATGATGGGGAAGGAGAGGGGTCATCCGAGGCGCATTTCGAGGAGAAGCTGTTCCTGATCAAGGATAGGATGAAGGTGGGTCTGTTCATACTCATTACGGTCGGGACCATTGCTGAGCTATAGACCGACTTCGGGAAGGCCGAAGCTGAGAGGCGGCATTCGACTGTATGTGCATCTTTCAGGCTCAATTGTCGCAGGAGTACGTCTAGCTAATGATCCAGATGAAAGCTTGGATGGAGGCTCTGCAGGCAGAAAAACAGGTCTGCACGACGATGGAGTAAGCTTTGGTGATTGTCGCCGGGGAGAAGCCCTGAGCATGACCTTCGAGCTTAATCCGGCCTCGACACAACTCACTGACCTTCTGAGACTTTCTTACTGGCCGAATGACTTGCTGGCGGGTCTTGCCTTTGTATACGTTAACAGACTGACCACGATGACCGGCGCAGGTCTGTGCTTTATCAGGCGTGACAACAGCACGCTAGGAGCGATGGTCCGAGCGCAACCGGCAATTTCAAGGTTCACAAAGCTCAACAAACCGGACGAGGGTACTCTGTGCTCAGTCCTTTTGATCATCCTTCCTTCAACCATTGCTCATCCAACAAGTATTGCGTTTTTGTCATCCCAACATATTTCTGCGATACCACCATTAGACCGTCGGGGCCAGCACAGCATGCGGTGAGTCACCGTAGACACTTTTCAAGAACGCGCATCGCTGACAATCAGGGGCCCAACTCTCAGGCAATTATATCCCATAAATGAGAACGACCAGCCCTTCACTGTTTGCGACGACTGTGACCCACCACAAGAGCTAAACGTGAGCAGCTTGCGCCGGCACAGCAAGTCAGCGAAACATCTACGAGCGGTTGCCGAGAGGGACCGCCGTATCGCCGAAAGGAGGGAGGCGGATAAGAAGAAGAAGCGCCAGGACGAAGCAGCACGGGAGAAGGAGGCCAAAGCAGCAGCTAAGCGCAAAGCGGAACAAGAGGAAGGTAAGCACCCGTTTCACCTAGCGATTGATCGCGGCCATGCTTAGCAGACAGAAGTACAGGTCAAGAAGGTCCGCGGTGACTGCATGGCGGCAGCCGAGAGCCTGATCAAACAGCACCTGAGCAGGTTCGTGGAGGCAGCTGGGGATCTCGTCGAAGTAGGCGCTGATCAGGCAGTCAATGCAAAGCAGGGGAATGGACACAGGGTTAGCAGTGTTTCTACCTTCCCAGAGAGGTCCTTGACGTACCAGTCGACCGAGTCCGGAGGAATGCCCTTGGCATTGCCGACTCTTGTGACGGCGTCGATATGGAGGTCGTGGAGCTTGCTGCGCTCCTGTATCGTCTTGGAGGTGAGTTAAGTGATGGGTGCACCGTGGTATTCGGCTGATTTCTTCTCCAGATGGTTCGTCTTATGCTACCTCACTCATCCGGTCAGCTCAGACGACAGCAGCTGATCCTGTCAGGAAAGCCGGAACGATCGGCTTCTGACCTCAAGACCGTCCTCGGAGCTTTCCTTACATCCACGTCAACCCGCGCCGCTCTTCACCACGCACAGGTCACTTTCTTGCTCGAGATCATCCCCGCCATCCCATGGTGTCAAGTGGAGGCCACTCTGCGGGAGAAGGGAGAATGGACGGCGTGGCATGACACCTGCATTGAGCTACATGCTGTACAGGACGCCATCGCCATCGATCAGCTCGGAGCTATGGCCATCGCACGCTTCTGTGCGGAGAAGATCAAAGCCCTGTCTAAGGGAGATAACGAGCGACATCTGGCCGAGGAGGTATTCAGAGGGATACTGGCGGAGGCCGAAGCAAGTACCAAGTGTAAAGTGAGTGGTCAAGTGCGTTGAGCCGCAGGTGCCTAGGAATATCCGCTGAGTCTTCAGACTGTCCGTGGGGACATTGAAGCGAAAGAGCGTCTGAAAAAGGTGATTCCACTAACTTGCGTCGACCGAAGCTTTGACGCTGAACCTCACAGATGCGCGACTACCTGGATGGCTTGGCGCACGAGGATTGGCCGGACTTGAAGACAGTACCGTCGGAGTGTTCGAGCGAGTCCTCGTCCACCCCTTCATAGTCCGCCATCAGCCTATGTTTTCCATACTCACGACAGAGAGAAACCCAATGTATGTGGCGAGCTAGCCCAGAATTGACTGCGCATGTACGTGCTGCAGGCAAAAGACGCGATCTGATTCAGCAAGTCTGCCGCTGATTGTAACCGTTCTGCCAAACGCCCACCCACACAAGCCCATCTGATATCATGGGCGAAACCCTATGACAGGTGTACATGCATACTGACTGTAGCTGATGACATCAGATCCAGCTGCATGCATCGCGGACGACGCTGCAGTAGGTCCGAGCGCTGGACACCCCTGATAGAGGTTGTTTCAGGTCCTGCGCTCGGACCATTCCGCCACGTCTAGGCTATTTCCTTCTGCCTTCCTTCCTGTCCTCTTCCTTCTCGATCTATACTTCGTACAACTCACTTCCGTCTCATCTGCACTTCTCCGTTTATTACCCAGTGTCCTTCTCACCATATCAAAACAGGTCGACCTGCAACGCCACCATGAAGACCGTCATCGTACCGCCCGGTACGTCATCCTTCCCTGCTTCATATCAGCTCTCTGACCACTCACAGGCTTCGTTCCCTCCCCTAACACCTGTACCGACCCCATCGAAGCCAAGAAAACCTTGTACAAGTGCACGATCTGCCCCCGCGACCCCATCATCTTCGAGACTGGCCTCAAGGCGCACACCCAGCGAGTGGGACACAAGAAGGCTCTCGAGATCAAGACCACCGGCCACGCCGCCCCTCAAACGACGACGTCCATCTCTAGCGGCAAGAAGACGTCTCGACCCTCCGCCAGCAAGCCGGTCATGCCGACCCCTCCGCGCTCCGATGCTTCCAGCGACGTGGTCATCGTTCAGAAGAAGAAGATCGCCCGACCAGAGATAGAAGATGCGACAGCGCTACCGGTGGCGAAGGACCCGGCGGAGTTGAAGCGAGACCGGGGTACGCCTTCTCGGTCACTTGAACTGCCTTCCTTATCGCTGACTCGTACTCAGGGAGGCAGGCTGCCGAAGCTTATCGAGGCTGCCGCGAAGTCGCCGAGAACCTAGTCAAAGGGCTTGTAGCCGAGTGAGTGCTCTACCACTGGGCCGGCAGCGTGAGCCAGAACATAGATCGAGGCTGACACTACACAGGATGGGCCCTTCTCGAAACTGGGATCACAGTGAGCAGCTCATACATGCTTACGATCAGACCACTAACGATCTCAGTCAGGAGGGTGCGGAACCTAGCCATGCGCATGGCCCACGAGGAGACGCCGGAAGTGGACCTCAAGGTCGTGGAGTTTCTAGCGCTCTTTCACGAGGTGGCAGGTCAGTCCGCAATCCGCGCTGCTCGAGTCAGTGTATCAGGGCTGACAGCAGAAGCCTGTAAGCTTGGCCGCGTGTCCTCAAGCCCCCGCTGATCTCCACAGCGTCCACTCCTTCGGCTCTCACCACTATCCTCGCCCCCTTCCTCAATCACAAGTTGACCGCCCAAGTGCTCACCGGAGACCATATCGCGGTGATAATGTACCTGCTTCCCTTCGTGCCCTGGACGGTCGAGGCCGACATGCGCAAGCGTGATGTCTGGCCGGCGCACCACGATGCCTCCCTGGCGCTCTGCGCCGTTCAAGACGCGGATCGGCTCGATGGGATGGGCGTAGAGGGGATAGTGCGGTTTGCTCAGGCGATGGCTGTGGAGGATGGTGTGGGTATGGAGGCCGAGATCGAGGACGGCGAGACCAAGAAGAACTCCGTCCAGGCTGTGCTTGGGGCCATGATTAAGCGCTCCGAGGGTATGAAAGTGAGTAATGATGGCTTCAAGCGACTTGTTGCTCGCTGAACATTTAGACTGACTCGGGCAAGCTCCAGGCGGAGCAGCGCTGCAAGACGGTGGGCACGTCTCCCTCATGGACCGGACGCCATAACTGATGAACAGGTGAAAGCCATGCTGGAAGGCCGCAAGCAGGAGAGGCGAGCTGCGGGGCCCTACCGAGCGGCAGTCTGACAAGCATGAGATCAGGCCAGGATGAGACGTACTCAAGCTGAATAGAGTCAGAAGTAAGCAGATGAGTGTTTATACTGCCATGTACATACTGCTATGCCTCGCACCGGTATGAGATCCTGTGTATACAACGCGACGCCCGGGCCTCCATGTGCTTTACGATCCCTGGCAGGCAAGATAATGCTTCGGGTGAGTCCGCGGGCCTCCTTCTACAATGTGGCCGAGATGACATATCTGCTTGGGTCAGCAAAGCTTTTACCGATTCTGAAGCCATATGACTCACCCCCTGTCCTTGACTACGTTCCTCGCTTTTGACAGCACCGTGTAGCCCAAGACCCACTTGACCTGCACGCCCGGTTGTACCGATGATGGCGATGCCAGATCATATTTGAGCTGATCGGCGCGGAGGGGGATGAGGTCCGAGATGGATTTGAGACCGAGAGGTGAGGCGAATTCTTGAAGCAGATTGTGGAGCTCTGCATCTGGTAAGGGGTCTGATACGATCAGCTCGAATCCGAGAGCCGCTGACATGGGAGCTCACCTGCACCCTCTCCCCCTCCACCCGCCCACAACTCCACTGCATGCTCCTTCGCAAACCCCGAGTACTCCTTCGGAAGATGATGGCAATCGGGCGTATCCAGCATGTTAATTTCCGGCTTCTGCACCTTGCCATTGCCCGTCGTCAGACGCTGCAGCACCCCGAGCGGGAGGTACATTGTCCCAAGCCGCTTCACCCTTTGCTCCCCCTCCCCCTTCAGTGCCTCCACGATTCGTCCCCAACTATCCCTGACCTCCTCCTCGACCTCCTCTGACGCTTCCGCACCGCCTCCACCTTCCAGCCCCTCCGCCCCGCATCCAAAGAACTCGCTCACTGCCGTCTTCTTGCCCTTATAATCCACTCCTTTCCACCCTACCAGAAGAGTGTCCACCGAGCCCGCGCCGAGACCCTTGTACGTCGACAAGGTGGATAGCGCCTCGTCGACCCATCGTGTCCGCTCCTCGGCGCTGCTTGAGCCGACCAGGTGGAGCTTGAGCGTGAGCTCCATGTCCCCCTCCGAGTGAACAGCGTCATTGACGACGTTGGTATCGGCGTGATTGACGGCTTCTGAAGGAGGAGTAGGAGTGCGGCTTGAGGGTGGGAGGTCGTGCTTGACCATACTGTCCGGGTGAGGAAGGATCAGACAGCCCTGATCCACCTGGAAGCCTGGCGCCGAGGTGTCCCCGTTTGAGTCAGACCCGTCGGCCGGCTTGGCATCGAGCGCGTTGTGGAGCGTACGGTGGACCAAGGGAGGGATGACGAAGCGAGGCTTGTGGGGATGGGGGTAGCGAGTAGGGAGGGGCGCTTGGGAGGAGGTGAAGAGGAGGAGCGAGCTGGGCTGGGCGGAAGACGACATGGCAAAGCGGGATTGCGAGTCAGGGAGAGTACGGATCGGGGGGAGTATATTTGACCGCGCAGAAGGCTACAGCAGCGGCCTGGCAGTAGCTGGTGCCAAAGGACTAGCTCCTGATAATGTCTGATGGAAGAAGCAACAACATATTGCCCAGCCAACTTTTGGCTGACTTTCGATTTGTCATCCAGCCGCGATGACGACGGAAGCGGATAAGATCGCTTGCTTGGTTCCGGGGGCGAGACAACCACAAGGTATGAGCTCTCGAGCCTGGATGCATCACTTCATTACCAATCCCGCGGCCGACTCTCGCCTACCTGTCTTCCTCCTATACTACAGCAATAACAGATCAAGATCATCCTCCTACTCGGCTTCACAGTTTGCTATATTGCCCACTCAAGCCTGCGCCGGACCCTTGTCTCTACGTTCCAGAGCCAAAACCTCCCGAACCCCCTGGTCTTGGCGTATCAGGCATCTCTGGCGTCCCCCAGCTCATCATCACCGGCAAATCACCGAACCTCGTGTCCCGGTACGCCTCCGTCCCCAGCATCGTCCGATGTCCGGGGGTCATCATCCCCAGGCCAGCGAGCGGGGCGAAAACGGGTGAGACGGCTTCCGGCGCGGGTGCCGTAGTGGATGAGGATGAGGTCGGGGCAGTCGACGCCGCCGAGGCGGGTTCGGCGGGTGTGTCTTGGGGTATGAAGGCAAAGTCGACCACCTTGGTAAGGTTGGACCTGGGCGTGGGTCCCGTATTCTTGGAGGGGAAGGGAAGGGTGGAGAAGCGGGACTCGGTGATGGATGGGGATGGACTCAGGCGGGGCGGCTCGCTGATCTCCCGCGTGAGCTCGGGACCCAGCAGCGGTGATTGATGGGGGTTGGAAGGAGGCGATACGGAGAGAGGAGGAGGTCGGCCCTTTTGGCTGGACAGAGCGGCAAAGCTCGCCCCTGCCGAAGATGCGGGGACCGAATCCTCCGTGACCGTCGATAGCTCCATGTGGGCGTGCGAGACGGTCCGAGTGGGTCGCCGACCGGGCGTCAGCATCAGACCGCCTGGCTGAGCCGACAATGCCCTTCCACGCCGAGCGGACGATGGCGGGGCATCCGTGGTTGGACTGGTAGGTGCAGCTGGCCGAGGAGTAGTAGCGAAGAGCGGGAAGGGGAGAGTGACCTCGACGCTACGGCCGCGACCGGTAGCTGAGGCTACGGGAGGTAGATCCGCAAAGTAGCTAGCATCCGCGGAGAATGCAGGAGTGGCCGAGTTGTCCGGGAGCGTACCCTGATGGCCAGGTGAGGGGGTGCGAGGATGGCGTTGCTTCATGAGTGAAGCGGGCAGCTCGGGGGTCTTGAAGACTCCCTGAGAAGAAGACTTTCCGGGTGAGGGCGTGCGAGGTGATTTGGTAGGGCTAGCCGAGCGTCTAGCCAGGGCCATGAGGTGTTCTCGAGTGGACGGCGAGGCCGTATGATCCGTCCGAGCCCGCTTGGAGGGCGATGTAGAACCATCCAAGGCGAAGCCACGTGGCTCGACGACTTCCTCCCTTTCGCGCCTCTTCCCCAACGCCGTTGCGGACAGACCTTGTGGTCCCTCGCTTGCTCTTGACCCGCGCCCGGTCCCGCTACCCTCCCCGATCTTCCCCTCCAACACCCGGAACCTCTCCGCCCAGACGGCCTCGGCTGTGCTGAGCTTGGCCGCCCATCCAGCTTCCACCTCCTTCACCCTCGTCTCCCATGGCTGTTCCGGCGCGCCTGTTGTTTGAACCCCTGAAGATCGGATAGACGCTATGTCCGCATCGAGACGCGAAACCTCTGCGCGGAGAGAAGCGATCTCGCCTGAGACCGTAGTCAGGGGGGTGACTGTTAAGCTCGACTCGATGTCTTGGACGCGGTCCGAAAGGACACCGACGCGACGGAGGAGGGAGTCGTTGGGAACGGGAAGCTGGGCTGACTTGGCTGGGATTGGCCGTTCTGCAATGTCAGCTTGGTCTAGGTATAAGAGAAGACAAAACTCACCCCTTCTTGGCCCAGATGCCTCACTGGCAGCGTCTTCCGCAGTCACAGCTGCCCTCCCGGCCCTCTCCGGTGCCATGGCCGCCGCCTTGGTAGGCGACTTGCGCGTAACTGGCCGGAGTGGAGGCGCCCGCGGCGCCACCTGAGCCTGGATAGGCTTGAGCTGCCGCGAGTGCGTTGGGATCACCACTGACGGGATAGGATTGGTAGAGCGTTGGAGCTTATTGGGGGAGCCAGGCGGGATGGCCTTGTAGGTCGGAGAGATGAAGTACTCTTCGAGCGAGTCGATAAGCGCGTCGGATTTCTGGTTGGCGCCTTTAAGACCGTGGATCTGGGACTGTCAGCCATCTGTTCCCCTATCTCCAGCGAAATCTCAGTTCTCACCTTGTAAAGGTTCTGAAGGTCTCCGCGCCGAAGCGTCTCGAGCTCCTTGCGCGTGTAGGGTCTAGTACGCGCCATGCTGACCAAACGCGCGCGGAATGTTTAGGGAATGGGTTGAGAGGGTCGATCGGCTTGCGTTAACGGCCAGTTTACGGTAAATGAAGTCTCTGGCTAGCCCTGTGTATTTTGAGAGAGGCCGGGTAGGTAGTACTAAGCAGAGAAGCAGAGTATAGAAGCGGAGAGCTGAAGGTTTGTTTTTGTTGTTGTTGACCTGTTGTCGTGGGCGGCGATGGAATTTCAGGCATCCTTTCTATAACGCCGTAGAATCCCGACTTGAACGCTCTTAGGGGTATCATCTATCCTTCGCGCGGGCAATGTCGACGGCCTGTTGTGACTTTGCGCTCGATAATGGACGACAACAGTGAGGATGGCCCCGGTTGCCACACTCAGGCGAGTGGATCGCTACCCACAGTGGGCCCTCGCCACTCTGGCCGTGATCAGCCGGCTCATCCCCTGGGCGCTACTTCGCCTATTGAGCTCTCTTCCGGCTTTCGACTCCTCCGCCCAGCTGCTCTCCGGTAGAGAATCGTCTACGAGTCTGCGATGGGATGCGATCCACTTCGCATCGATAGCCAAGGATGGCTACCGATACGAGCAGCATATTGCTTTCCAGCCGGGATGGCCTCTCCTGCTTCGGGCGCTAAGCTCGGTCATTCCTGGCCAGACGACAGGGGTAGATGAGGTGGGAAGGATAGCGCAAATGGGCGAGCTCCTAGCTTGTGGGAGCTATGTCGGCGCGACAATCATGCTGTACAGGTATGCTACCTCGCCCATACTTAGACCAAGAGAGCTGAGCTGAGCTGACAGTGCAGGCTGACTTGCCGAATCTCGACTCCTCCCTTCGCCTTGACGGCGTCGCTACTCTACCTCCTCCCGCCCGCGCCAGGTGTGCTGTCTTCGTCAATGAGCGAGCCGCTATTCGCCCTGCTCACCTTCACCGGCTTCTACCTAGCGGTCCGGCGGAGATTCTGGCTCTCAGCTCAGGTCCTGGCAGGGGCGACCTCTGTTCGTGCGACTGGCGTTTTGGCGGTGGGGCCGGTGGCGTGGATCATGATGTTCGGAGAGGAGCCGATTCTGCGGACATTGAGGAGACCCGTGGTGAGTTCAGTGCACATATAGCCGGTAGACGAGCTAAGGTCTTAGCGCTTGGCACGGAGATGCATATCGTGCATTCCGCCGGTCGCTATCATCATCGCACCCTTCGTCACGTCCCAGACATACTTCTACTATGCGCTCTGTCAAGGTGGGGAACGGGAGGAATGGTGCAGTAATGCTCTTCCCCTTGCTTACAGCCATGTTCAGGAGAAATACTGGTATGTCCCGTTCCGAAAGAGCTAGATCTCAGCTTATGATGCAGGAACGTCGGGATGCTCAACTACTGGAGCCCCGCTCAAATCCCAAACATCCTGCTCGCCCTGCCAGTCCTCCTCGTCTCCCTGTTGGGATCCTATCACTTCTTCCTGTCCTATACCGCCGGATCAACCGGTACCTCTCCTTTGAAAGGCCACGGTCCCCTAAGTCTCGTGCCGTACGTCTCCACCGCCACTCGTCAGACCAATCTGCACATCCTCCTCCCGTTCTATATCCACTCTCTCGCCCTTACGCTCCTCCTCCTCTTCTCGGCGCACACGCAGATTGCCCTCCGGGTATGCGTGACGGATCCGGTCATTTGGTGGAGCCTTGCGGGGCTGGCTTTCAGGTGGAAAGGGTCATCGCGGTCGTTCGGGGCAGCGTCGACGGATACGGAGGGAAAGGAAGATGACATGACCCGGATGAGCAAGGTATGGGTATGGTGGACGATCATATATGGGGCCATCAGCATTGTCTTGTGGGCAGGTCACTATCCGCCCGCATAGACCTCATGATCATCATCCGATAGTGTTGTATATAGCTGAGCCAATGCATAGGGCATACCGAGATACTATTTAACGAGACGATAATCTGCGGCCGAAAGCCATCCTCATCCCAATCCCTACCGCCGCCCCTTCTTGGTCCCGGTCCGAGAAACTCCACCTGCCGTCCCCATCTGCCTCTGCTGGACCTCCGCGTCCCGCAGCCGCTGCACTTCCTTCTGCCAATGCAGAACCCCATCCGCCACCTTTCTTCTCCGCTCGCGATTCCTCTCCTCCTCCGCCCCGCCCAAACTCATGATGACCGCCGGTACCGACCCCCCGCCGAACGTCCTGGACACGGACCCGTTCGATGGCATTGCCATACTGAGCGCCTTCCTAGCCCTGTCCATCCGCCCTCCTCCCTTTTTGGCTGGCGTGACGGGCTCTGGAGTATGGGCTATGGACGAGGACGACGCAGTGCTGCTGTGTGGAGCTATATCGGTGAGACGGCGCGCCTCATCCCGTGCGCTCTCGAGGCATGCGAGCGCGTGAGGGAGGGTACCGGGGACGAGGCCGAGGATGTGGACCGCCTTGGTAGGGACCGCAAAGTGGGGACGGGAGTTCTCGGACTCGGCGGAGGATGAGCGTGTGCGGAGCTTGGAGGAGATGTGGGCGCTGGGGTTGGCGGAAGATTCAGAGGGGGTAGTAGGGCGGGAGTGGGGCGGGTGGGTAGATTGAGAGTCTGAGGGTCAGCTGTGGCCAGGCGGGTGCGAAGGTGGAGATAGCTATGGGCAAGGGACGCAAAGTTGAATGAGGCGATGACTCACCAGAAAGACCATCCATCTCGTCAAAGGACATGTAGCCGTCGCTGTACAGGTCCTCCTGCTCGGCTCGGACAAGCTCTACCGCACCGTATCGTCCAGCGACAGTCTCGATCATGGTGAGGATGAGGTAGGATGGAAGATGGAATGAAGAGCTGATGGTAGATGAGGTAGTGCTAGTTGAAAGGAGCTAGTGTAGTTGAAAGGCGGTGGCGACTGTCAATAAAGGGTTGTGGAGCGGATAAGGTTGTAGGTAGATCGTTTGCCTTGCTTGGGAAGGATGTGTGGAAAGGTCGAGAGGTGGGGCGATCTGGTCGGAGAGGAAGAGCGAGAAGAAGGATGTAGCGAGCTTTAAGGACTTCCTTGACAACGGTTGGTTGGGGGAGCGCCAGGTACGCACGCGTCGAGGGGAGGTCGACCGGAACGCGGAGGAACGCGGAGGTCGCTATGAAACTCGGAGCCGCTGTTTCTGGGCTGACGAAAGGCACGCAAAGGGGGGTGGTGCAGCTACGAGACAGGCTAGTAAGCGAGATGTGCGTTTCTGTACGGTGTGCAGGGTGGTGGGGTGAGAGGGGAAGAGACCATGAATGGCTTGCCCCCTCTTCCTTAAGTAAAGGACGAAGCTGTGACGCGTCGCTGTACTTGTTTCATATACCAAAGGCTGTCAGAACAACGCTGAAAGGATGGTGCACAGCAAGTGAGGCGAGCGAGCCCGAGGGGAGAGCAGACAACGCCGCGACACGCGGAGGTGACAACAAGGCAAAAAGGGGGCGAAATCTGAAACACGGTACGTTTCAGATCTCTCGAGTAGTGGGGGACAAGGAGGTGGTTCCCGAAACTTGGGTCGTCCGTGCTTCATGATCGAGATGGAGACTTCAGCTCTTTGTCGCAAGCGTAGCGGGAGCTCTGCGGTGTAGCTTGGCAGAAGGAAAGGTCAGAAGGGGGTTCATAGGGGTTGGGACGCTTCTGCATTCCTCGCCACAGCAGGACACCCACGGCCGAAGGTCCTTTGCTCTACTCAGCAATGGGTGTGCATTGTAATACAGGCTCCAAACATGTGCTATATAGTAACAGCTGCCGCTCTCCCGAGCACGATAGGGTGGTGGCACTGATTCCCGAACCGCTACGCATACTGACTGATCAGAAACTATCCTTCCGCCATCCCTTACTAGTGTCCTCCTGACTGCCTCTCCCTTGCACACGTCAGCATTACAAGCCGGCTAGATAGTGAGAGAGAACAAGCGTCCTATATTACTCAGACATGGAAAAACTTGCCACGAAGGCAGGCTTGGTATGACGATGAGGGGAGGTCGATAGCATCCGAGACCCATCTCCTGGCCGTCTGTTTACGAGCCGCCCAAGAGGGGCCGGAGTCCGGTGTTCAGTGCAGAAGGGGAAGACATAGTATCATGACTAAGTCCGGCAACTTAGGGGGGAGTCTTCCGGAGTTCCACACTAGGAGGCGAGGCATGGAGAGGGCGGACGGGAGGGGAACGTCCACCGGCTTTTCCGGTCACTTTAGTGCTCCGCGAGATCTCTCTCCTCGCCGGTGGGGTTTGTCGCGCTCCCTGACAGCTAGAGGTGGGGATCTGCTATTACTCGTACTCGTCACTAGGCGGTGTCAGTAGGGTTTCAATGTGCGATGCGGATGAGGGACTGATGAGGGTCAGTATCGTTGCCAGCAGGCGGACCTCAAAATGTTTCATATTTTTCGCTTACGACATCCAAATTCCTCTCGTTCACTCATATCACTCATATCACCCAATATCCTTCTATACACCCTGCTTGGTACAGCATGAGCACGTCCGCTGCCCCTGTGCCGGATCCACATACTGCCGAAGGAGCTTCCAAGCCCCAAGCTCCTCGGCCTCCATCTCGATACCAGCAAAACCTCAAGAAATACGGCAACCCCCTCCCCCTCCGGCTGTTGGACGCTCCCCTCGAAGGCCCTGCCCCTTCCCCGTCTTACCTCACCTCCATCACCCCCTCGTTCCTCCGGCACCGACGCATCGACGTGCCGAGCTGTACTGGGACGTATGACGCCCTGACGCGTTCAGTATGGGTGACGAAGCGGGACGATATGGAGATGCTGTTTTGTCGTGGATTCTTTGGGAAGGGGACGTTGAGTCGGTCCGAGGCGACGTGGAAGGACAGGCGGGTGGATATGGTCAAAGGCGGAAACTGTGAGCATAAGAATCACCTTGGAAGGTACAGAGCTGACAGTATAGCTGTACTGGCAGAGCAAATCCGGGCGAAACGGCGTCTCGACCGAAAACAGTTCAAAGTGGACCGAGCGGCCGCCATGCTCGACGCTGCCAAAGCTGCCGAGGCGGTTCTTACGCAAGGTCAGACACCCGGGGACGAATCAGCAGAGCAGGCAGAAGGGAGTCAAGCGTCCGGGATCGACGTGACGACCCTCACGGCGCAGACCTTCCTCGTTAGGCCGACTCGGCCGGATGCGAACCGGAATAGAGGGAGGAAGCCGTTCAAGCGGCGGCCACCTGTGCCTGCTGGACAGGCTGGAGCGGTGGACTCGAGCGCAAAGCCACAGCCGAGGGTGTATGTGCCTCCGCCAGCGCCAGTGGAGGAGGACGACGACGGAAGCGAGGAGGACCCGTTCGATGAGGATCTGGTGCCGGAGATGGAGCATCTGCAATTGGGGCTGGAGGAGGCTTGGTTCCTCGCTGCCGGGCTGGGTGTGCTGAAAATACTGGATCCACAAACAGTGAGTAGCTGTCAGGCCGTTGTATCGGAGAAACAGCTGACTGTCTAGCAAACATATCCACCCCTGCCCACCCTCCTTGCCCTCTTCCTCACTCCTCCAACCCCGTCACTCCGCTCGCCCACCCTCTCCACACCACTACACGTGGATGACCCCTTCCTCGTCTCCTACGTCGCATACCACCACTTCCGCTCCCTCGGCTGGGTCGTTAAACCCGGTATCAAGTTCTGCTGCGACTGGCTCCTGTACAAGCGCGGTCCCGTATTCTCCCATTCGGCCTTCTCAATCGCACTCGTCCCCGTCTATGGTGATCTGGAGGATAAGGAGACGTCGCCATATGGCGGCGAGGACTGGTATGAAGAGAGGCAGAGCTGGAAGTGGATCAACACGGTCATGAGGGTCAACTCGCTCGTCCAGAAGGTGAGTAGTAGACAAGGCCGGAGCTGATAAAAGACGGTGATCATGGTATATGTCACTATTCCCGCCAAGAGCTCCATCCCGGCCAGGCTGACATTGGTGGATGGGTCGATCGATCCAGTCAAGGTGAATACGCGGATGCTATTGGAGATGTACTCGATCCGGGAGGTCTCGCTGGTAAGTGTGGTGATGATCGAGCAAAGTTGGATGTGCTGACCTCCAGACCCGCTTCAGTGCCGCTCGTCGCAGGGACTGATGCTGTCTAGAAGATGTGCGAGCGGATCCACAATTATAGCATAATGTACTGCACTATCCAAGTCCATCGTTTTCCACTTCTCGTCCCGCACCGCACCCCTCGTTACTAGACCAGTCCGGCTGGATCCCCAGGCGCACTACTCTACTGTATCGGTCGGACTTTCAGCATTGGTCGTAACTGCATGATCAGCTCCGCCATTCAGGCCAACTCTGACTGTACTCACCATCTCCACAAACACCGGCCTAAGCTCCTCGATCGCCTCAATCTTCGGATGCTCCATCAACTCGTGGACCCTCTTATCATGTCTCCGCTTCTGCTTTGGCGGTCTGGGCGGGTGATGCGGATGTTGCGGCTGGGCCTGCATCGGCGCCTGTGCCGCCGGCTGTTGCTCCCCGTGATGCTTGCGACCAAAGATCCCGCTCTTCCCTCCCGAGCTACTCCCTGTCCTCTCCTTCTCCTTATCATCCGGCTTGACGAGGAATGGCGACGCCTTCTCATCCAGCGGAGTCTCGAGCTGTCCCCGTCCATGTATCGCACCCTGGACCTGACTCGCCCCTCCCCTCTGACCCGCCACTTCCAGATCCTCCAAATAATCCTCCTCATCCAGGTCATCATCCCCCTCCTCTTCATCCGCCTCGACTGCGTCGCCCAGCGCAGTCTCATCCAGGCTCAAACTCGCCATGACCGAATCGAGCAACGCGGCCTCTTCCTCCCCGGCCGCTTCTTGGCGGAACCGCCGCCGGATCTTCTCCTCGTGCGCCACCTTGAGGCGGTAGTGGTACTGCGCCACAGCGTCCACTTCGGCCATGATCCGCTGCCGATCGGGTCCGGGGGCGGGAAGGAGGAACTCGAGATCCAGGGGCTGGGCGAGTCCGACGCGAGCATAGTTGAGGAAGAGCTCAATCCAGCCCATGAGGCTGTCAAAGAGGCCTTGGCCTTTCGAGTGGACGTTGTGGACAAAGGTGTAGAAGGCTTGCTCGTGCCGTTGGACCAGGTCGATGAAGGTTTGAACGGTCCGACCGGGGTTTTCTTGCGATACTGAGGTCAGCAGAGTCGCAGACAGGCTTACATTCTTCCACCTGCTCAACCGTCCGGATCATGTCATTGAGGAAATTCTGCAGGTCGCCTAGGGAATCGGCGATACTGGCCGCCTTGTACACCTGCGCGAGAGGCGAGTAGAAGATGGTGATGATATCCTTGAGAAGTTCCGCTGTAACGCCCTGCCTCAGCTCCGTCCGCTGCATCACTCACTTCAAAGATCAGAGCCAAGAGCTGCTCCTTTTCCCGTTTACGCCCCCAGAGCCTCAAGAGCGTATTGAGATCTTCAAACAACCACGCATCCTCATCCTCCGGTCCAAGATCGTCGTCTGAATCTTCCAGATCCTCCTGTGCTCGCTTGTATGCGCGATAAGACCGAGCGGCCTTGAAGACACGCTGAAATTGCGGCTTGGAGAGTGTGGGCGGATCAGGTGCGCGCAAGATCACCACGAGCAGGTCGAGCTTTTCCGTTGCTGAAATCAGCTCAGCCTGGACCGGTACCTACCTGCATCTTTCCGGTACATCTCCTGTATCTCGAATGGGGCCATCGCGTACTGCTCGATCTTTTGGCAGAGCACAGGATCGTCAATCTTGTCAGAGACAGCGACAATGTCCTCGGAGATGGCTCGGACGTCGTCTGTAAGGTTCGCCGAGAACATTCTGGTATCAGCAGTGTCAGACCAATGCTCACCTTTGTAGGAGTGACTGTCCGCCGAACGGCCTAGCGAGGAAGAGATCCAGTACACCTCGGATCATCGCCATGGGATTACTAATTTTCAATATCCCCTTGAGGACAAAGTAAGGCATGAGCCCGTGGATCCGCTTGAGGGCGTATATCTGATCACTGGCCGTGTCGCTCGCGACAAAGAGCTGGAAGATGGTCGCAGCGAGTCTATCAGCGTGGTCTGTGTGTCAACTCACGAGATCCGTCCCCATTCCACCACGCTCGCTTCTGCTCGTGGCAGATCCTCCACCCGCTCTACTCGCCTGACCACCTCAAACACCTTCTTCAATCCTCCCTCGGTACTCAGTACATCCCCCTTGAACTGATTCAGTCCCTCCCTTAGCGCCTCGATCCGTTTCTCCGCCTCCTCCCTGAATCGCTTACGCCCTTCTTCTCTGACCGCATCGGCGTCGAGGCGGCGCTGATTGTCCGCTACTTCCGCTGAAGTGAGGCTAGTAGGCGAGGAGAGGAGGAAAGACCGGACGATAGGCGAGTTGATGACGAATGGGAAGGAGAGGAGGTTCTGGAGGTATGCACGAAGGGTGAGGCGGTTCTTCTCCCGGCTGAGGGGTGTGGCTGGTGGAGCCTCAGCCTCGAATGTGGAAGACGTGGATGGGGTGGAGGGGTTGGAGCCGTAGTACATTCTCAATGGGTTGTAGTAGGAGTATTGCGCCGGCTGGACCGCGGCCGCTTGGATCGACTTATCTTTGACAGGGGGCGAGGGAAGGGGGTAGTCGGGGAACGCGAGTCGAAGCTATATCAGCAAAGCTTTGGGCGAACTCACTTCATCGGCCAAGCGCTTAAAGTCGCCGTAACGCCTGGCGACGTGGACATCGTTTGCGCCTGTTCTCCGAGTCCGGACTAGGAATTCCTACCATCAGCCCAGCCTTCCTCTTACTCACATCGTGGCTCTTGCTCCTGACTCGCCCCTTCTCGATGACCGTTCGCACACCGACGACATTCACGTCAAATGAGATCCCGCCGCCCATATCCAGCTCCTTTTGCCTCTGCTCCATCCATCGCTTCCGCCTAATCTCTTGCTGCTCTTCCAGACGGCGCAGGTCCTGCTGACCTATCCGTACGACCTCTTCCCCGCCTACCACCTTGACTCCCACGCCGACCATCAACGCCGAGTGCTTCTCCATCTTGGTCCACAGCTTGTCTCGCTCTTCCTGCTCATGCCTCTCCTCCGCACTCATCATCTCCCGCATCATCGCCTGGTCCTCGGGTGAGACCGTCGCATGGGCGGCAACACCGGTCGTTGATAAGAACGACGAAACGAAGGGCTGGACCTTGGCGGACCAGAATGTGGGTGGAGCGGACGCAAGGAACGGGAAGGGGAGGACGAATTGGTGGAAGAGGAATCGGATGAAGGGGAGGTCACTCCCTACACCTCCTCCAGACTCTGCGACTCGCGCGAGAGCCTCCTTGCGCGCCGCATCCGGGAGGACGAACGGATCGCCGAGCAGACCCAAGGCATTCGCGCCTAGGACTGGGTCGGTAATGAGCTTGAGCTCATGCGCGACTTGGATGTTCACCAGGCTCTTCTTGAGGTAGTGTGCGCGCAGAGGGGTGAGGGTGTCGGGTATAGCAGTGGGAATGGACGAGACGTGGGGGTGGAGATGCTGCGGTGCTTTGCCGGTGGGTATTGGAGGGGGCGGCGGCGAGGCATAATTTTGGTCCGCCTCGAGATGCTGGACCGCCTCGACATTTTCGGTGTCGATAGGGGGAGGAGGGAGGGGCTTGGACGGCGCCTTGCGCTGCCTGGGTTGATACGGGACAGACATGGTAGATGTCGATGCAAAAGGACGACGAAACGTTTGAGAGGAGAGCAGATCAGGATGACTCTGCCGTGACCACCACTGACGTCAGGCACGCACCGCTTGGAATAGCTCGGCGCTTGGTATATCGGTAGCGGATACATGGGGGATCACATCATACAACGAAGCTTCTTCTTATATACAGACTGCCACCTTCCACTGTCCATAGACCTGGTGTGCCACCTTCCACTGTCCATAGACCTGGTGCCGATGCTATGCCTGAGCAATCTTGGTGGTGGATGTTCGTTCCCTCTCCAGCCGCTCCTTGTTGGCCTGGAACGCCGCATCCCGGCACGCCTGCATCCCCGTACTGAGACATCAGTGAGACACTCGGCGTTTCATCTTGGTCTAGTGCAAACTCACCAGTGATGTGCTTCGGGCGTGCGGTGGGCAGAGCAAAACACCTTGGTACAATGGGGGCAGTCCCCGGCGACCCGCAGCGCTGCCGAGGGGCACTGGGTGGGATTGGCGGTCATCTCGGGCTTGATGGCGTCGCCGTTGGCATCGGAGATGGGGGAGGAGGGAACGGGGATGTTGAAGACGACACGGTAGGCGCAGCGTTTCTTGGCGGGCCTGCGGAGTCAGTCGTGTGCGCTATTGGGTGGGCAAAGGAGGGAGGTGGGCGATGCTTGCGCAACAGGCTCTCAGACGGAGATATGCTCTGCGCACACCTGCGATGCTCATGCAGGACGGAGGAATAAGGAGGGTGTGGACTCACATGATGGGTATAGTCGCTGATGTGGGTGGCAAGTGAAGTAACGGGACTAGGAGGTGTGTCGATGTATCGAGGTGCTCTATTTCTATGTTCTATGTGAACGAGGCGGTGTACCCCTGAGACTGAAGCGATGCGAGATGGAGGCGGTATAAGCTGTGTGAAGTGTGTGTTGTGTAAAGTTGAAGTATGAAAGGAAGATAGATGGGCTACCTTATACAAGGCGGTGAGCGAGTCCGTCGTGCTTATCGAGCAGCTGTGCATGGCCCGCCGATTGCGGGGAAACTGATTAGGACGGGGTCTCGGATAAGCCCGATTACTAATACAAACGCTGGCGTGTGCGTCGGGAAGTTTGCTTCCGCTGATCAAATTGGTGTCAGAAGGAGGTGGAACATTCTGGGGCGGCTATGGACTCGATTCATACAGCTTCGGTGAAGGGGCGGGCGCTTCCTAAGAACAGCTTGATGAACGATGGTTCAAGACGTGGTCTTCGCCGGGAGCAGGGAGATCGCGCTGACTGGCAGCATTGTCGAATCAGCTTGATAAGCCCAGATCGGGCGTACGACTGATGAGCAGATGAGCAGCTGGGGCCTCGGCGGCTGTCATAGCCATGACTCAGCCACACTGGTACTCGCTGGCTCCAGAACAGACCCTCCTCTGCTGTCAGATGTCCAACACGAGGTGCAAGCCACCTCTCGCGGAGGTGGCAAAAGCGAGACATGGGTGGCGAATCGCCACATTGACGAATTACCCAATCGAGGTTGATTTTTCAATTTGCGTCATCACGCTGCTGGAGCGAATTTCGACAACAACCTTGCTCGTTTGCTCTTTATCTATACTTACTCACCCATCCCTAACATCATGGCACCCAAATCAAGCACCAAAGCAGGCAAGAAGACCGCTTCTGCCCCTGCCTCCAAAAAGGCATCTTCCTCCGCCAAGCCCGCCGCGGCCGGGTCGAGCATCACGTCCACGCTCCAGTCCGCTGCCGCTGCCGCGTCCGACTTTGTCGCGGACATTGCTGCCGCTGTCGACCTCGCGGGCGATATCGTTCTCGACGACGGGGAGAAGACACCCGCGTCGCTCGGGACCGCGTTGGAGGATGGGCTCGGTCTGCCCGTCAAGAAGGGCAAGAAGGCCGCAAAGGAGGCCAAGGACGCGGCTGCGGAGAAGGTAGAGGAGGTCGCCGAGGTGGCCACCAAGAAGGGGAAGAAGGCGGCCAAGGACGCACAGGACGGCGCCAAGGAGGTCGCTTCCAAAGCTGGCAAGAAGGCCGGCAAAGTTGCCGAAGAGGCGGAAGCGGTCGTTACCAACCCGAAAAAGCGCAAGCAGGCCGAGGACATGTTTACTTCCACCGGGAAGACTGTGCTCGGCTCGGTCACCGCTATCGCCGAGACCGTCGGACATGCTGTCGAGGGCGCCATCGAAAGCTTTGGCGCGGCCAGCGGTTTGACGGCGGATGTCGAGGGAGTCAAGGGCAAGGGCAAGGAGGTCGCGGAGCCAGCCAAGAAGAAGGCCAAGAAGGGAGTCGAGGCGGCTGATGAGAAAACGGAGGAAGTGAAGGGTGCTGCGAAGAAGGGGAAGAAGGCCGCGGGGGATAAGGCGGAGGAGGTGAAGGAGACGGCGACAAAGAAGGGGAAGAAGGCATCTGCGGCCGCCGAGGACAAGGCGGAGGAGGTCAAGGAGACGGCGACGAAGAAGGGGAAGAAGGCTACTGAAGCTGCTGGGGATAAGGCGGAGGAAGTCAAGGACACTGCCACAAAGAAGGGCAAAAAGGCGGCAAAGGACGCAGGGGATGCCGTTGGGGAGGTGAAGGAGACCGCAGCGAAGAAGGGGAAGAAGGCTGCAAAGGACGCCGGTGATGCGGCTGAGGAGGTCAAAGAGACTGCTACCAAGAAGGGCAAGAAGGCGGTAAAGGAAGCAGAGGATACCGTCGAGGAGGTCAAGGAGACCGCCACCAAGAAGGGCAAGAAGGCGTCCCAGGCAGCTGGCGAGACTGTCGACGAGGTCAAGGAGGTAGCAGGGAAGAAGAGCAAGGAGGCTGCCAAGAAGGCGGACGAGACCAAGGAGGTCGCTGTCAAGAAGGGGAAGCAGGCGTCCAAGGCGGTCGAGTCGACCGCGGAGGAGGTCACCAAGAAGGGCAAGAAGGCTGCCGCCGGGGCCAAGGAGGAAGTGGTCAAGAAGGGCAAGAAGGCGGCGGAGGTGGCCGAGTCGACCAAGGAGACTGGCAAGCGGAAAGCCAAGGACGCCGCCAAAGCCACCGAACCCGCCCAAAAAAAGGTCAAGGAGACCGCCGAGGCCGCTCAATCCAACCTCGAAGCCGCCGCCGAGACCGCCCAATCCGCTCTTGACGCCACCGTCGAGGCTGTCGAGCCCGTCGTCACCAAGGGCAAGGAGGTCGTCGCTGCTGCCGTCGGCGCGACCACTGCGGCTGCCAAGAAGGGGACCAAGATCGCGAAAGCTGCTGCCGCAGCTGCGGTCGAGGCTGCCCAGGAGGATGAGGAGATGCCTTCGGATGATGAGGAGGCGCACGGCTACTCTTCCTCGGACGGAGAGGCTGACTCGTCCGACGACGAATCAGATGGCGAAGACGTGGCGGTTCGCGAGGCAGGGAGGAAGATTGACATGAAGGGTCTCCCGATGGTAGCCAAGGACGACAAGAGCGTCGCTGCCAGGCTCAAGAAGGCCAACAAGAAGAAGGTGAGTAATTGTTGCAAGCAGGACTGATATCAGGACGATGCCAAGGGCACCCTCTACCTCGGCAGAATACCGCACGGTTTCTACGAGGACGAGATGAAGGAGTACTTTGGTCAATTCGGCGAGGTCTCCCGCTTGAGATTGGCTCGGAACCGTCAGGTATGTTTCTGGATTGAGCAAGCTGACATCAGACCGGCGCGTCCAAGCACTACGCCTACATTGAAATGTCTTCCGGCTCTGTCGCTCAAATCGTCGCCGAGACGATGAACAACTACCTGCTCATGGGACATCTCCTCAAGTGCCACGTGAGTCCTGACTTGGTCATCGCTGATAGCAGGTTCTTCCCGCGGACGATATCCACCCCGAGCTTTGGGCCGGAGCCAACAAGAAGTTCCGCGTCATTCCCCGTGCCCGGCTAGAGAAGGCTCGGCAAGACAAGGTGAGTCAAGCTGTCTTTGGCTTATTCGGTAGCCTAGCTGATAAACTCAGCCTCGTACACAGGAGCAGAAGGACAAGTCAAACCAGAACGTTCTGAAGAAGCAGGAGAGCCGGAAGAAGAAGATCCAGGAGAAGGGGATCGATTACGAGTTTGAAGGACATGTGAGTTGACTCCCGTAGCGAGCGGAGACCGAAAGCTAACCTGGCAGAAGGCCTAGACGTGGAACAACACTTTGCTGTGGGGAGGTGTGTGGGTATGATGACGTAGCGTAAGGTAGCGTGGCAGCTGGATGACGATCTGCAAACTACTTGTCACATCTACTTTGTCATTTTCCTGCTCCTCGGCAGCGGGATAGGACCCCACACAAGCCGTCCCTCTGCCGCATATCGTGCCTGGCTCCCGAGGCTCTCTGTGTGCTGAGGAAAGCTTAGCCCAAAAGTCTGGTAAGGGCACACCTCCGCGTCCCCCGCGGAATGTTTCACCCGGATGCACATCCGGCGCCGGATGAGGCTAAATTCTGCATCCCTTCACCTCCACTTTCCCTCACTTCTGTTTCACCTTCTCCTTCGCCCATCTCTCCTCATCTTTGGGTCCTATTGTACATATGGCGCCCCACCCAGGCTCGGAGGTTAGGCATGGGCGGGCAGATCAGGCACTTCTCCTTGACGAGGACACTGACGGCGCCGAGCACTCGCGCCGAGACACTACACGGACCTTCGGCGGACGTTTCATCATGGATCGTCCAATATTTTCCAGCCGTCATGAGCAGGTTGCTGAAAGGGTGAAAACTGATATATGGGGAGACGGGTCGATGAGCTGACTATGCTAACCCTTCAATCCCGCCCACACCTCACGATCCCACTCGCCCCTCTTCCACCCTCAGAATGCCCTCCCTCACTCGCTGGCTCGCCCTCACCTTCCTCCTCCTCTCCTCCACCGCCTACGCCCAATGCGTCGCCCCTTACATCACTTCTCCTCTCCGTGGCCTGGTCACCACAGCCGACTTCACCCTGTCCGGGGTGGTCAGCCGGGACAACGGGTGTGACGAGGGATTGGTGCGGATCATGCGATCGGGATCTGGCGAGATCTTTCTGTCTTCGGTCAACGCAGATGGCACCTTCAGCGTGGACCTCTCACACCAACCCTGGGGACCACAGATATACTATCTTCTTCTGCGGGAGGATACCACGGACTCCCGCCCCAGCGGTCCAGTCGAGGTAACGGTGGTCTGCCAAACGCCCATCATCCAACGGCCTAGCAACAACGTCAACGACCCCGACTAGGATGACGACGCGGACGTCCCCATCTACGACAACCGGCCAACTTTCTCCGGGTCGACCGACTGCCCGTACGTCACCTTGACATTGGCGTCGGTCGACCCCATCGTCGCCAGGACCAACGAGCAAGGATTTTACGAGATCCGCTCCCAGGCGCTCGCGGACGGCCGTTACACCTTGGTCGCTACCGCCTCGTCGGACGAGTCTGGTTCAAACTCGGCCTCATCGCGGCCGAGGAACTTTGTGGTGTCTTCCACGCAGTCTGGCTCACGAGATGAGGTGAGCCGCGCTTCCCCTCGCGCTGGTAACCATTTGCTGACCCTCAGTGCTACGCTCCCACCCTCACCGGCCCCGGCGTCCGATCCGACTTCCGTCGCTCTACCATCGCTGGATACACCGCCACCGGCACCCTCTGCGACGACGGTCTTGTCCGTCTCATGACGGAAGAGACCGGGGAGGTCGCCGTCATTGGTCTTGACGGCGCCGGCGCGTTCAACGTCCCGGTCCTTCATCCTCAGTATGGCGTCCTGCACTACTACCTCCTTCACACCTCGGATACGGCGGGCCTCCTCCGGAGCAACACCGTCGAGGTCACGGTCACGTGCGACGTCCCCATCATCCTCGAACCCCTCGGCCAGACCTGGCAGCCAAACTACAACGAGTACGACCCGGTCTACATCTACAACCGGCGTCCTCCTATGGGCGGCAACACGGGTCAATGCCGCTTTGCCACCATCGAAATCACCGGTCGGCCGACTGTCACTGTCTCGTCGGACGCACAGGGCTACTTCAAGGTACCGCCCTCGGTCTATGAGAATGGTGCCTACGCCCTCATCGTCACTGGAACGCCGGACGGTACCGCGGAAAGCCTTTCTGGGCCGGTTGCCAAGCGGTCCAACCAGCGCAACTTCATCATTGACTCTACCGAGCCTATGCCTAGCACCGTGAGTCTTCTTCGCTTTTCTTTCAGATCGAGCTGACTCTCCAAGGTCGGCTCAAGGCGTCGGAGTATCAAGCCAAGGTGTAAGGCGGATGAGGAGCTGTGCCGTTTCATCGGCGTCAACAACAGGATGTCTATACAGTACAGGGTGAGCTTGCCGCTCCTCCCTTGCAAGAGTATCGCTGATCATCAGTGCTATCCTGACCTCTCTACCAATCTCAACCGGTGTGGCTCGTGCGATGGACCCGACTGTGCGGATCTGCTCAATGTCGACGGCGTGATGTGCTTGGAAGGGCGGTGTCAAAGTGAGTTATCTGCTTCGAACTGCAGATGATGGGACCAAGCTGATATCTATAGTCCAAACGTGTGAGAAAGGTTACATACTGCGCGACAATGCTTGCGTCAAACGATAGATGCCGGATGCGCCATCGGACTGGGTTGAACCATTAGATCTACTCGTACATCCCAACATTTATAGTCATAGTTCTCATTAACTCCACGCGAGCCTCCTCACAGATATTCATACCGGCCTACATCTTTATAGTCATTGTAGTATAATGCCTTCATGTCAATCAGACTCTTTCATGCTCCCCAGCGCTGTTCGATATCGGAAGAGCAGCAGATACATATGTCAACGCAGACATCACAGCAAGAACTCCTGGATGTCCTTCCGCATCTCCTCTGGCCCCACTCGTCTATGCCGCGCCCGCTGCTCAACCCATAATGGCAGCTCGGCCTCTGTCTCCCCGTCCTCTGCTGGTGGCTTCTTGGCTGTATGGGTGTGTGGCGTCAAGGTCGTCAGGCAGGCATAGCAGAGCAGTGGCTCAAGCGTCGAGTCTTGCTGCTCTGGTACGACAGGCTCGGCTCGATGTATGGGTTCCGTCTTGTCCGGCAGCGAGGTGAGTGCGGTCCGTGACTTCCAGGCCTGAGCGGAAGGTTCAGCCGGCCTGACGATCAGCCATATACTTATACCTGGACGTAGAGCTCAGACTCACATCTGACACAATGGACACAGCTCTGCGGATTGGGCGTTCCCAGAGAATACGAGCTTGTCGCCCGTCTTGTTGATGGTCGATACGGTGGATGGATGAGTTACGCTGAGGCCCAAGATGAACTCTGATATAGTCAGCTCATGATCTGCAGGGAAAAGGCGGACTTACGCTCGGTAAGCATCTCCAAACTCGTACTGCCCTTCCCTCTCCCGCCGGACGAGCGGCCATCTACCCATCGACGCTGATTGACGGTAGGTAGTCTCCGAAGGTGACAGTAGACCGCCGCCTCTTTCAGACTGATATCCTTCATTGGCTTGAGGCGGATGATGGGTGAGGGGTCTACGGTGGACGAAGGGCGGAGGGAGAGTGTATTGGCGAGCTCGAGCGGGAGGGCCCATCCTCTGCCGGAAGCGGTGGCGGAGATGACGCGCTGGGCTTCGCGGGTGCTCGTCTCTCCGAGTAGGAGCTGAGAGACATTTGGCAGAGAGTGGGCGACGAGGGTGAGGAGGTGATCGAGTATGAGCTGGAGGAGAGAGGGCCGGGAGGTGGGCGGTAGGGACGAGAGAAGGGTGCGGAGCCGGGTGAGGTTGTCCTGGGACGTGTTCGAGCTAGACGATGACCCTGAGAAGTCAGCTCGAGTCGGGATGACATGCCACTGGCGATATGTGTGAGTATCTCACAGAGACTTAAGGCCCTGATGGGCCAAGCCGGTCCAAGTCATAGGATGAAAGGCAGAGGTGGTCAAGGCAAACTGAACATACCATGAAGACCGCTCGATTGACCTTGCCCACATTTTCCCCGCAACCGCCTCTCCAGCCCCTCATCATACACATCCTCCGCCCTGACACCCACAAATCCCAATCCCTGGCTCTTCGCCACCTCCTCCATCTCCTCCATCCTGGCGCTCATCCCCGTCACCCAGGCAAACTCCACATAAACCACTGTCCCACTCTCCCATACCACTTCCTTTTCCCCCTTTGTCTTATCCGCCCGAGCTCCATCCCCACTTCCTATCAGTCCCAGGTCCGTCATCTGGTCCAGCATCGCCATAGACCCCGCGCCTCCGGAGAGCGCCACGAGGACCTGACCGTCTTGGATCGGCGGGCGGGTGACATTCTTCCGGACTGTGGGTGGTCTGAGGGGTTGATAGATTCTGCGTGTGAAGCGCAGTTGGACCGAAGGGAAGAAGCAGTCTTTGCAGTGGGGCTGAGAACGGAGGATGAAGGCGCCTCGGGCGGTATGGCATCGAAAGCAAGATTTTGGATCGGTCCGGGGTAGAATCCGCCGTTCTGCTTGGTCAGCTCCCCTAGAGCGATGTGAGCGCTTGAAGAAGGCTCACTAGGCATAAGGACCTCGCCCTCTTCAGCTGTATTGCCTGGACCGTTCCCGCACGACATGATGGCACTGTGTATAGTGGAGTGAGAAGCATAGAGAGGTCGCTTTGTAAATCCTCCTCGTCAACAGAAATGGAGTTGAGATGAATCTCCTTGTCCCCTTTGGCCTTACCGAGCTCACAACAACACTCATCGCTTTGCTCCATCTATCCCATATATACACTTTTGACATGGAAGCTCAGACGCTAGCTGAGGCTGGAGCATCGCAGCCGCCTCTAGCAGCCGTCGTAGAATCAGACAACAACGAAGGGTCTAGCTCGCCAAAAAGACGGCGGAAGACGGTTTGTTCATCCCTTCGCGTCTACCAACGTCGCTGACGAGGCAGAGAGCGTGCGATAGGTGTCACCGAAGCGGTATCAAGGTCAGCAGGACGATAGTCTACCACGGAACACAGCTGATGTCCAGTGTTCCGCTGGTACAGTCCCAGAAGCCTGTGGACCATGCGCGACCTACGGTGCGAACTGTACTTACGACCGACCTGTCAAGCGCCGAGGTGTAGGTCTGCTGTATGATCAGAGCTCATCTCTAGCCTCCTCCAAAGAATATAGAACCACATCGCCGGACTCCGCTACCTCAGGGAGCCGATCATGGCCACGCCGGCCGAGATTGGGCCTACCAAACGGTCGCGCCGCACCATGTCATCGAGGAGCTCATCGCGTTCTACGCGGCCGCCATCTATCCAATGTACGCGTCTTCGTTGCTGAATGTGTCAGGAGACGATCTGATGTCCTAGACAAGCGTACTATCATCTCCCGACGCTCATCGATCGCGTCCAAGTCGCAGACTACGTCCACTCTCGCCCGTTCTTCGTGGACCTCATGTCCCTGTGCGCTCTCACGGCCGCTAGAATACGAGATGGCGCTAGTCTGCCCTCCCATCCGATCACAAAATACATGACGAGTGTGCCTTCGGAGGTCTTCAACCAAGCGGTAAGTCAAGTCGCTTCCCATCTAGACTACAAGCTGATCTTCAGGCACAAGACGCATTCCCTACCGACCTGGGCGCGGCGACAGAGTTCGAGTACAAGCGTGCCAAGAGCAACATGGCCTTGCTGTGCATTCAGTACGGGGATACGAGGGGTCTGCAGCGGCACCTGGGGGACTACTGCACGCTAAGTGCGATGGACGGGTTTCATCTTGAGAGTCGGTGGCCTGCGGGATTGAGTATGATCGAAGTGCAGGAGCGGAGAAGACTGGTAAGTTTCCCGATTCCCAGGTGATGATCTGCGCTGACGATCAGTTCTGGGCGACCTACCAACTGGACGTGTACAATTCTTGCACCTGGGGCGCGACTGTCCGGCATCGCGAATCCGAAACGACCGTCCTCTACCCTGCTGAAATCATCTCGGATGACGACGTCACGGTCGACACCGTCCGCCTACCCCCTTCTGCCGCTCAGTCCAGCAGCAACAGACCAGGCGGAGTCGTGTCGTGGGTCCACGGCTGGAATTTTGTCTCTGATCTCTATCGCATCCTCGAGCACGCAATCGAGCGGGTACGGATACGGCGTAATGGATCTGGCGGGGCGGCGGTCGGTCCGGATGAAGATGGGGGGACGGGCATGCGGGGACAAGGCGGACCTGTATCGGCATTGTATGAGAGGGGAGTGGGGCCGGCGCAGACGGAGATACTGGATTTGGTCAGGAAGATGTACGCCGAGTTGCCAGAGGAGTTGAGGGTGGCGGCGCCGCTGGGAGACGATGACAACAGGAATAGGCTAGGCTTCCAGTGTAAGTCACCTTCTGATGAGCTGGGATTAGCTGATGAGATAGCCACGAACATCATCATCACCCTGCAAACGCTCAAAATGGTTGTTGCGGGTAGTGGAGAAAACAGCATCAGTCAACGCTGCGGTATCGCCGGAGACCTCCTTGATGCCATATCCAACGTTCCTACAGCCTACATCTACGCGTGCAGCGCTCCTATTGTGAGTCTCGCTGAACACACCCGAGAATCTCAGTTGATAGACAGCTGCACCACCTAGCTGGAATAGGCCACCTCCTCATCCCCCTCTCCCAAGAACCTCGATCTCGTACCCTCAACCAGTGGGCCTATCTCCAGGTCCGGAACTGCCTCTTATCCATGGCCGAGATGCTGTCGGGCCTCGAGTCGGTGCTGTCGCGTACGGCTGGCATAGCGGATCGGCTCCGAGCGCACATCGAGCGGATCGACCGGGTGATGGAGGAAGCTGCCAAGGAAAGAGAGGGGAGAGGCGTCGTCCATGCACTGCGGCGGACAGGCAGTAGGGCGGAGGAGGCTGGGCGACCTGGCGGGGACGGAAGGGGCGCGAAACGTGGGGAAGCGGGGCGGCGAGGAATGTCGGAGCGGCAAGGGGAGAGTGCGACAAGGAGTACGACAACACCATTACCGCCGGCATCGGCCTCGGCTACGGCATCCACCTCTTTCCATCCCGACACCTCATTCCATCCCAACTCCACTGCAGGCTTCGACCTCTCCTCCATCGACTTTGATGCACTCCAGCCTGCACATAACGCTCCATACGCTGGTCCACCCATCGACCCGGTTCTCCTCGCTACCCTCGCCAGCGCCGCCACCGGGCATACCTCCGAGCAGCTTGGCGGAGATCCCAGCGCGAACGGTAATGCCTCCGGGCAGGTGCAGTACCCGGGCGAGATGCTCCAGGGCGAGGAAGACCTCTTTGCCGGCTGGCCTTTCAATCTCGGCAATGCGTTCGAGTTCCTAGGATCCGAATAATCGGTAATGCGCCGGAAGAGGAAGATGTCTCACTGAAGTGCGGGGTCGAATGGGGGATGCTCGGATGTTTCATGAGAGTGGGGGATGCAGCCTGGTTGTGGCAATAAGTAGGTGTATCAGGTTGTAGATGGATAGCGGTCCTGGTCCATCCCGTGTTTGATGGAGAAAGCATTGCATCGGGAGGTGATTTCGGGATGTGGTGTGTTTCATCGATTTGACACAGTCGTCATATTCGTGTTACTCGCAGATCGCGTCTCACTTGGTCTCATACTTCCCGCCCAGTCCGAGTCTGCTGATTAGATTGAGACTCAAGCTGTGTTGTTCTGCTCGATCGCGCTGACGGTGGCGCAGAACAAAGGCGCAGACGTTGAGCCAAAGGGAGCTCTAGATGCGTTCTCTGTGCGCAAAGAAAGAAGCAAAGAGACGCGACTGCAGACAGCATGAAGACCGTGAGATGCATATAAAATCATACTAAGATCGTACCCCCCGCGTCCCCTCCCGACATGAAAGGATTATGAACCAAAAGAATATGAAAAGGGTGTAGTTGTTTAGAGGGCCATGTACAAAAGGAGAAGTCTATCCGAGTCTAGCATCTACCAGGGGTAGTTTCCACCGCAGGCACGGTTGTAGCAAGCCTGGCTGGGGGCGGCGGAGGCGGCGGCGGAGGAGGAGGAGATGGCCTGGCCAGGGCGCTGACGAGCCTCGAGGACCTCGACGACGGGTTCGGGAGCACGCTCGACGATGGCCTCGACGACGGGCTCGGGGGCACGCTCGACGACGTCCTTCTTCCACGGGTAGTTACCACCGCCTGTATGTCAGCATGAGTCCAGATGGGCTGACGCGAGAAGGAGAGAAGAAGACTTACAGGCACGGTTGTAGCAAGCCTGGGACGGGGCAGCCGAGGCAGCGGCCGAAGAGGAGGAGATGGCCTGGCCCGGGCGCTGGGGAGCGGGGGCGGCGATGGCGAGACCGGCAAGAGCGAAGAGGGCGAAGAACTTCATTGTGGTAGTGAGGTGTGGGTGGGTGGTGGTGGTATGTGGAGGGTTGGAGAGGGTGGGTGGAGGATGGATGGGGTAAGTGAAGGCTTGGACTGGTTGGATAGTGGTGGGAGTGAGACTAGTGTGAGATCGACAAGGGAATGGGAAGGGGGAATGGGCTGGGTTATATACGTCGCGAGGAGGAAAGGTGGACGGAGCTCGGGCAAGTAACAAGGTTGCAGTAGCGCCGAGATGGTGCCTGGTGGCTTGGACGATCCCGATAGGCACAGAAGGATAATTACGGGGTGCAACCAGAGGAATGACGATGAACTATAGACAACAACGAGGCTCGGTGATCCAATGCGATGTCGTGCCTTGAAGCGATGTAATAAGTGGCGTACAGGAACAAGGTGATGCTGCTGAGATGAGATGAGATGCGAGCGGGGGAGAAAGGAATTGTGCGAGCCAAGCCGTTGTTTCAGGCTGTGGGGGCGTGCGGCACAGGGTGCAACGGGGCTGGTAACTGAAGCAGCCACCGTTCTGCGCTTGACATGACCCTCTCTCCGGCCCCGTAGCCGGACAACTGCGTTGGGGCTCTGCATGCCAGGCCTCCTCTCTGCTGTGCTGAGCAAGGGAAGCTCGAGGAGGAGGTGACTGCACCGGGACGCGTCCATGCGGGTTGTGCGGGGGGGCGTAGGGTTAGAGTTTAGCGCTAGTCAGAAGGCACTCGGAGCTCCTCTTCCCTTGCTCCCCCACCCTGTGACGGGGACGGGGACCGCCTTCCTTTGATTTCTGTGGAGCGCTGGGCGCCGAGATTGACCGAGATGAGCATGAGTGCAGGCCAAATTTGCTTCTCTTGCCTTAGCGTGAACCTAATTAGTCAGCAGCACACTCAACACAATTGCTTATTTACCCTTTTGCCTCCGCCCCCTGACGCGCTTGAGAGTGACGCATGCGGCAATTTAGGAGTCTCGGCCGTATTCCGAAACTTTGACTTCCAGCTGAGACGTTTCAGCATCTGTTTCACACGCTGTTCAGTGGTGAAGCAGCCAAGTCGCATGTAGATGGTCTCTCTGCAGCAGTCAAGCGCCTGGGAGTGTCTGCCAGCAACAGACAGCTGAAAGTCTAGCAGACTGATCGCATACATCAAGCTTCAGGCACAACTCGGAGGCTGCCGCCACTTTCCGCCGGCGTCGCTCAGGCACAGTGGCGTCCGCCACTGATCGAGCCGTCTCTAAAGAACAAGGATAAAGTCAAAAGCGCGCCTCATGTGGATCTTGCGGTACGTTCAAAGTCACGCCGAGAACCCTCCGCCGGTCCGCTGCAGGCGCTGCTGCGCAGTGCATACGATCGATGCGTTGCCCGCGAGCAGAGCCACTGACGCATCGCCCGTCGCCACTGCATCACCCAAGTATCTGACGCCCCTCAACGAACATAGAGCTTGAGATCCGGAGATCTCATGACTTGAGCACTATTAGGCACTGATGCGCGATACGCTGACGAACGTTGACGTAGGGGGCTTTGGCTGGCTCTGCATACCGTTGCGCAGTGCGGAACGCAGATCCGTGGCGCACATACCGGCGGCAGGCACGTCACGAGCGTCGCTATCCAACACCATGACGATCGCCGTGACGTCGGTGGCCCCAGTGAGCCTCAGTGGTGGTGGCTCTTATCACTGACGAGCATCACGCGCATTCCAAGAGCCCGCGCATTTTCGGTGTGGCAAGCACGACCGGTAAGCGGAAAGGGGGTAGGCACGGGTCGAACCTGGACGAGCTTTCCCCCTTGGCAGTTTGCTGCCGATTTTGCCGACTCCGATCAAAGCTGGTCGATTGGCTGGGGAGCGAGACAGCCCATGCAAGGTTCAGATGGCACTTCGCCACAGCTTCGCCACGCATCTACAGTTCGCGTCCCCTTCACCTCCCACCTGATACCGACAAGATGGCTGGGAAGTAGTGCGAACCTAGTCTCGCATCCATACCCTACTTCATGGAGAGATAAGGAGGCAAAAGAGAGGGGCAGCACCAGAGAGTTCTCTAGCGACTGTCTTACCTACTCGGAGCTGTAATTGTCTGCGGTCGAGACTCGTGCGAACCCAAATGACTGAACTGGCATTGTCTAATATTAACAAAGTGATAATCTACACCCCAAGATCCCGCAAAATCCTTGCCTATACAACGAACCCCAAACGGGGAGATACTACAGAATACACACGCACTCGGGAACAGGCTCAGGTCGTCCAGCTCGTTGGCCCGAAACCCTCGTCGGGCGCGGTAAGATACGGGATACCAGTCCAATCACCAGCTGATGGGAGTCAGTATCGACCCATGCCATACAAGAGGTGGCAGGCTCACTGGCTATATGGACTTCGGTACCCCACCAATTGATATTGAGATTGGGTAGGCGGAGGATGAGGAAGATGAATAATCCGGAGAGGGCAGTCCCAACGTCGAGAGCAGCAGAGAGGACATAGTTGTACTGTGATATCAGCTCTGACACCGCACATGGGCAACCCAGCCAATAACAAAGCTCACCTTGGACCACCATGCGAATCTCTGCCGCCTGAGCCAGAACTGGAATACAAAGCCCGTGACCAGCCAGCTGGCATAGTTGATACCTGTTGCCGGTGGGATACCGAGGGGACCATTGAACAAGACGGGGAGGTTGAGATTGCGGAAGATGGAGCGGGGGTGGCGGCGGACCCAGTACCAGAGAGGGATAGGGAGGACGGCGCCGACGAGTACCGCCCAGACTTGGGGACCGTACATTGCGCCTCGGGAAAAGAGACGAGCGGGCCCAATTAGACCCCTGGATATCAGCCGAGGTCTTGCTGACAGAGACGGGACTTACCAGATGATGCTGCTAGTGAAGAATACCTTGGTGCTGTTACATGTCAAGAGGTCCTTCTGGTTGGAGGCGCACATGTCGGGCACGACGGCAAAGAGGACGTTCTTGGTACCGATCTGGACGAGGCACGAGACGACCATGGCAGTCGTCTGGGCGACAAAGGTAGACCGGGGTGGAACCTTCATGTAATGACCGAGCTTCATGTTTTGAGTGAATGTGACAGCCTCAGAGACCGTCTGCATCGAGAAGCACTTGAACAGCTGCTGTCAGCCATAGCCTTTCGCTAGACTCACCATGCACGGAATAGGTTTCCCCGGGAAAAGATACCCCGGTATCAACTCGGCGATGAGGTTGATGGCGACGAGCTGGTTGGTCATGGCAAAGATGAAGGCGGCGGGGAGGATATAGATGGCCGGGATGAGGATGGACAAGAAGTATCCCCAGACTGGTAGACCCGTATGGTACACCTCGATCGCGACGATTCCAAAGACGATCCCAAACACCGCGAGAAGGACGAGGAACCACCAGTCCGGTACCTCGGGATATTGCTTCATGAGCTTGGCGTGGATATCGTCCGCCTCGGTCTTGACGTTGATCATCGTCCGGTACATACGCGGACCGTGATGGAGGGCGGTATGCACGACGAGGGCCGACGTGAGCGCAAAGGCCAGCATGAATGTCATGCTGAATGCGGCCGAGAGGTACGGTGGCGAGTACTCTGCATATGCGGTGGTGTTGAGGGTAAAGTCGTCGAAATTGATAATGTTGCCAACATTAAAGGGTGTGCTGAAGCGGTCGATGACTTGGATGGCGCTGATGGGCATGTATGCAAACTCCCAGACCTGCTTGTCAGCGACGTCTCGTTAGGTCGCGGAAAACTTACATTGGTAAAGTAGAGAACAGGCACGATGATCCAGTAGCACAGCACGAACCCAATCCCCACATTGACAATCGCCCACCAGGGAATGACCAGCGGCGAGCCGATCCAGGCGATTTGGGACCAGTCGAATGTGAGGATGCCCATCCCGAGACCCGTGTTGACGCCGAAAAGGTTGTTGATGGTTGGGTTGGCAGGTGCGATCCAGCAGACCCACGAAAAGTAGGAGAGGGCGGTAAAGAGGTAGCCTGAAATCAGCTCTGCCCTGTTTGTCGCACGAGATACTCACCTGGAAGAAAGTACCACATGAAAGCCCCCGCTCCAGCGTACATCAAGAACCTGAACCTGCTCATCGACCCCTGGAAACCCTCCTCTTCGGCGTGAAGCGTGTTCAAGTTGGTCGAGATGACCAGCACTCCTGGCCAGATCATGCTCGCCGGCCATACGACGAACCGCCGACATAGACCCGCAAAGGCGAAACCGGTGACCTGGGTGGTGAAGAGGAAGAGGATGTTGAAGCCGATACCGAAGGGGCGCATGTAGTACAGCTCAGAGGAGACGACGACCCAGAGGCCATAGGCGGGACCGACTGCCACGCTGGACATCATGGTGATGATGGCGTGTTCCTTGATGTTGAATGGACCGGGATTGAACGACCAAGCCGCACCGCCGAGCCAGCGTGGATTGTGGAATACGCGGATAGGTAGGCACCAGGCAGCCATCTTGCCAGCAGGATAGGCGATCACTCTGCCCATTAGCAGTGGTCATATTCGAGACGTACTGTACGATGAGAGGCGCAATGTATGGAGACGGTGTTCGAAAGTAGAAGAACGTGTTGATGGCCGCGCCAAGAATCGCAAAGAGTAGCCCTAAAAACCAAGCCCGGAATGTCAAGGCTGGCATCAGCGAAGCCTTATCTCTGACTTACAAGGCATTTCCACATCGTCCAAATTGCTTACTGACGCCCTGACTTCCGGATACGGGCTATCCTCCTCGGACAGATCATACGCAGAAACTGGTATATCCTCTCCCTGCTCGCTGATATCCTTCATGGCGCCTCCTGACCCATCTCCCCACGTCACTTTGCCATCCGGAATGGTCATGTCCCCCGTCATCTCGGTCATCCCGTACGACCCACGACTGAAGCCCCGACTGGTCGCCCCGTCCGAAGAGGAGAAGGCCGAGCCGGCCGTCGAAGGAATGAGTGGCGCGCCGGACCGCATCCGCCTGGGCTGTCGCTGTCCGCCGTCCGTGGATGCACCATCCTCGTCCGAGTGCATCGATTCGCGCGACTGCGACGCATCCGTAGTTCCGCTGATGCCCGTCGACCCCGTCATTTGGGTCGAAGCCGTGTTGCCGTTCCGACGCCTCATCCGATCAAACATGCTTGGCTTGCCCGGTGCAGAAGGCGCCCTCGAGCCTCGAGACGAGACCGAAAAGGCAAACGCCGAATTGTTGAGGTTGTTTTTGCCGGAAAAGATGGTCTCATAGTCGTACCTCAACTCCGGTAGTCGGCCGCCCGCGTCAACGTTACCGGCTGACAGGTCCGCCGGGGTCTTGACGCTGCTTGGACCCGCTCCCGATGCTTCTCCGGTGAAGCGCGAATCGGCGGTGAGAGGTGGGTTGGATGTAAAGTGCGTCGTGGCAGTACCTGGGGCAGAAGTACCGTATTCTGACCCGCTGAGGTTTGCCCTGGGTACCGCGCCCGTCTGAGGCCGCGCGAACGCAAATACGCCTTCCTCCTCTGGCTCCTCATCCTCATAATCCTCTTCCTCCTCGTCAAACCCATCATCCTCCGGAAAAAATTGCTGGTCCGGCAGCTCGTCCGCCGTGATACCGCTTGCCGAGGTGTCTGGGCGTGATGTAGCCGGACGAGAGGCGCCTGTACGGGGGCGACGGGTGCTCCGTGGTCGCGATGCGCCGGGGCCAGCACTTGTAGGTGGTCTATCCGCCATTTTGTGGGTTCTGGGAGATGAGCAATTGCGCGTGTAGATGTAATGATGGAACCAATCTACTCACCAGGAACGGAATCGCCCTCGCTGATCTGGGTGCACAGAGCAACCTTGAGGTGCCCGTCGAATGGAGGTTGCGAGACAAAATCGCCAGGTTGACTGAAACTTTGGACGAGGCGTGTTATATTCGATCCGGCGGTACTCGTTTGATAGTGCCGGTTCCTGTACACGGTTTCCGAGAAATGGTGAAATTTCACCCAACAAAGGCAGTACAGGGCAGTATACCGAGATTGCGGTTGTTATATAGGGAGATGTCGACTAGATGCGCCTTTGCGCGATTGGGGAGGCCTGCTAAGCAACTATGATAGAGGGGTATGTAGGAGAGACCTGTGAAGCGAAGCAGCCTGCGCAGCAGGAAGGTGTGGGTGTTGTTTGTGATAAGGTTTATTGTTCATGAGATCCAGTCAATCCAGGGACAATCTCAGGGGAGAATAACGGCATATCCCATTCACAGTCCGAAAGCGGCCTAGTGCACGTCGTGTCCAGCGAGCAATCCTCTCGCCTTCCCCCTCGCTTAGCCTCACTCCGCTTCGGAGAAGCTTTCATCCAGGGCCGATACTGATCGGGCCCGACGACTCGACTGAACGTGCCCAAAGCCTGGAATCTGCTGATATGAGAGAAGGGGTCCTCCTTGGATCATCTTAACTCGTTGCCCAGCTGTATCGCTCGCATGCATTCGCTCAACAACCAGTGAAGCCGAAAGATTTCGCTTTGTACCTCATCCGGACAGGTGCAAGCGGATGCAAACATACTGTACAATATTCCCATACGCCGGTACGCCGGCGGTGCAATCGATGTCAGCCGGACTCTGTCGTTTGTCGTCCGAGAATATGATTGACGCGAAACGCGGCGCGGATGCCAAGGTCATACCTCCACCGGGCTGGTTTCTGGATCAACCGGGATCGGCGGTCGTATCCAGCTTTGTATCCTCGTGTTGCCGCCTGGAGATGAAGGGAGCCCATGTATTTTACAGCTTCAATGGTCGCGCGATCGATTGACCCTTGTTCCTGGTCTGTATGGAGGTATTCGTGCCGCATACGGAGCTCGTACGCTGCGCTTTATGAGACTGCTCGATCTGTGATTGGCATCAGGCGGACTGCTGCCCGGACTGCAAACAGGCGGGCAGTCACTCCATTTCCAATCCCCAGATCTCTTGCCCCAAGTCGGTGCCTGAACTCCACATTCCTTAAGTGTTGCAACACGTACTAGCGCACGGATTGTTGACCCGCTCGTTAGCTGCGAGCCTGCTGACAAGCTTCTCCTTAATGTACCTTTCATAGCAAAAGTCTCCTCAAGCTGCAAAGCGTCGGACGGCTAGCCAATTAATCGAGGCACACGAGTCTGGATACCCCCTTGGATCTCGCGCGATGTCCCCGAAGGAAATTAGAGAGGATGAGATCGAGACATTCCTCACCAAGTTGAGGGCAGCAGGTATGTTCAGCCATACCGTGATGCAGAATCGTCATTGACCAGTCAGATACCGACAAGAGGGTTGATCAGATCCAGTTCTTCGGTCTCAAGCTAGAAGACGCTTCCTCGGTAGGTGTCCTCAGGCTCGAGGTCAGCTTAATTGCTGATCGCGCAGCTACCCGAAGCGACGCTCGATGCCATCACTCAATCTCTGACCCCGCTCATCCGATCCTCATCTCAGCTACTGGTCACTTCAGTACTCAGCCATTTCCTGACCCTCTACATCCCACTCCTCCCTCTCGCGCCGCCTCGACATCTTCAGCTCGTCCTCGTCCAGCTTCTCCCAGCCCTTCTGGAAAAGCTCAACGATCCGAAAGAGCGCGTCCATTCCGCTGCTGCGGCGTGCATAGCGATCCTCGGGAAACGATGCTACGAGGCTGAAGCAGGTGCGGGATTGAGCGGGCTGGCGAGCTCCGCCTCGGCCAAGGGAAAGGAGAAGGAGGGACTGGTGGGCACGTGGGAGCGGAGCATGAAGGAGGTACTGGCGGGCAAGGGAACAAGAGGGAAGCTCGAGTCTATGAAGCTCCTCGCCAGCATGAGGGGCGAAGAGGGTACAAGACTACCGCTCAAGCCATGGTTGGCACCGTTGGTGGAATTGCTGGAAGACGGGGATGGACCGGTACGGGAACAGGCGCGAGAGGTAGGCTTTCTGCCGGGACTCTTTGGGTACTAGCTGATATCAGATCCTCGTCGTCATGCTTTCGCCAGCCTCAACTGCGCCAGCGGCACGGTCGGAGCTCAAGAAGCTACTCGCGGCTCGAAACGTCCGAAAGACCATCGCAGATCCGATCATGAATCGGATCTTCAGCGGACCTGTCCAGCCTACACCGCGCGTCGGAGAAGAGACATCTATAGGAGAGGAAGCGGCGGCTGCAGAGCAAAAGACAGGGGGTACGCCTGTCGGGGAGGAGATTGCTGTCGTTCATGTGAGCCATGGCCACTCTATGCGGTGGCTGTATCCGAACTGATATTCCAGATAGCCAGTCCAAGAGATCTAGAGGGGGAATTCGCCAAGATGTTCCCGCACTTCGAAGTGAGTACTCATGCCGACTGTCCTGCTCAGTGGGCTGACCTGGCAGGGCCGAGAAACCGAGCAGAATTGGCTACTTCGCGAGAAGTCAGTCATGCGTGTTCGAGGAATGCTCAAGGGGAATGCCCACCAGCAGTACCGGGAAGGCTTTCTGGCGGGGCTTCGGGCGGGAATGTGGGAGGGTCTCCTCAAAACTGCATGTCTTTATCGTCTGAACCCGCGACTGAGCTGACTTGCAGATCTTGAGTTTGCGGACGACTGTTTCTCAGCAATGTTGTGCCCTCATGCAGGAGCTGCCGGAACATCTGGGCTCGTCCTTCGACCCGTTCGTCGAGAGCGCATTGCCTATACTTGGAAAGATGGCGTAAGTCTCTCACCTATCCGGATGATTCCGCTGACGAGATAGCGGCCTAACCAAGAAAATCACCGCGGACAAATCTCAGCGAGCCCTGGTTGCCATAATCATCCACACTACCTGCCATCCCCGGCTGCTCATCGCTCATCTATCGGCCGGGATCGGAGACAAAAACGTCCAATGTCGCCATTATGCCGCGTCCCACCTCAAAGTCTTCCTGGACGTTCAAGGTCAACGGACCAAGTCAGCGATGGAGTCCACGACGGGTTTACTGGACATGCTGGATGGCGCAATCAAGCGTGGCCTGGCAGACGTCAATCCAGCGGTACGGGACTTGGCTCGCGCTGCATTCTGGTCGATGCACTCCATCTGGCCAGTGCGGGCCAAGGGTATCATGGAGGGTCTGGAGGGGTCAGCGAGAAAGCAGTTGGAGAAGGCCAATCCTGGAGAGGCGAGCGCGGTGGTACAAGAGGTAGCGGCAGCTCGGCCGACTGTGCCAAAGCGGCAAAGCGCGATCTCGGCCCTGCTGGCGGAGAAGCGCCGGGCTGCAAAGGCAGCCCAGACGGCCACCACCAACGCGGACCATATGGGCTCGCCCAGAATCGTCTCCAATCCCATACCGAGCTCGCCCGCTGTCCAGCAGGGCGGTACACCACGGGCAGCTTCGTCGACGTACGCCACACCGCTCAAAGGTCGGATGACGAGGACTCTGCCATCGCCCGCCGCATCCACGTCGTCTTCACCTCGCAATACTACTCCGTCCAGAGCATCCTCAAGCGCAGCCGTAACCACCCCAAAGCTCGGCGCAAAAGCGGGTCTAGCGTCGCCGAGAGGCGACTCGTCCAGATCCCGCTCGTCCAGCTTGGCGAGGACAGTGTCGCAATCCCCTCCACCTCCCACCTCCCCGAGCGCAAAGTCTAGCCTTAGGCCGAGCCACTCGTCCACCCGCTCAAGCAGCGCTGCGACGATGGACAGTCTCCGTACTCCCACTCTCAAACGTCGACCTATCCCCTCATATGCGACCAACGAGAATATCGGTCTCGGAATCTCGCACTCGCCAGCCCCGAACGGGCAGGGTAAATCACCTGATCGCAGTCCATCCGTCGGTCCCGCACAAGACGTGGTGGATGATGCACTGCGGGCACAGGCGAATCAGGCGATCTCGGCGGCTCAGCAGTTACTGGACTTTGAGGAACCGTCTCCTTCCACGCCGGCTAGGGCGTCGCTGTTTCCTCAAAGGAATGGCAGCGACCTGCTGAGGACCCCTGTTAATGGGATAAAGAACGGGAATGCATGGGAAGACTCGCCAAGAAATCAAGCGGTCACGCCGATGTTCCTGGAGAAGCTCAAGGGGAGGAGGTATGAGCGGAGCTGGTGGGCGCGGCAACAACAGTGTAAGTTTGCAATTCAAGGTCGGGTATCGGGCTAACGATACAGTATTGGAAAAGGCCTCACCGCTCAAGCAGACCGGAGCAGCGGCAACTTCGGCCTCTCAACTCCAGCCAGATCTGGAAGCTCTACAAAGCGGTCAGCCGGGCATCCGGAACCTGCAGAAGCTTCTGCTCTACTCGTCAGAACATCCTATACCTGCTCTCGGACCGAATGTGGACGAGGATGATGTAGAGGATGCCAAGAAGATCTGGGAGGAGGATAGGCTGTTTGAGCGGATCTTTGACGGGTTGATGGCGTTCTTGAGTCCTGATCAGGTGAGCTTCCTCCTCTGGACTGATCGAGATGCAAGCTGACGGTACAGTCGGAGAGCCTGCTGGAGCAGGCACTGGTACTGCTTTGGGAAATGGTACAGCATCAGTGGGCGCTATTTGAGGATAGAGAAGCTAGTCTTGTCGATGCCTTGTTCCGCTTGAGGGCTTGCGCAAGTCATACGGTAAGTTCGGAGCGGACTTTTGCGTCAGGCAGCCAAGCTGATGTCCAGATTCTGGAATCTACCTACTCCCTCTTATCTCTCCTCACATCAGTGACGGACCATCTCATCCTCCTCGGCGTCATCCGCTCTTCCCTCGATACCTTCCTAGCCCACCATCCCGCACCTCCACCTTCCGAATCCGCGGTCGACCTGGCCGACTCCACTTCAGCTCCCCCTCCTTCCGCTCAAACACAAATCCGTACCTCTGGGTACATCTTCGCGCTGAACGGCCTGGGGATGTGCATCCTCCGGCTCCCCGCGCCCGTCGTGCTCGTCGAAGCTTCCCGGCTCGAATCGCTCGTCATGACCGCTCTCTCCAGCTCGGCCATCACCGTCCGCCAAGCTGCCAATACCCTCATCCTCGCCGTGCAATGTGTATTGGGGGATTCGTCCGCTACTCTTGCGCTGTTCCCGCAGATGAGCGCAACGCAGCGGAATCTGGCGACGTACTTGATGGAGACGAATGGACTGCAACTACGCCCTGTTGCGAAGAGAGCGGGCGCGGCTGAGACCAACGGAGATGAGGACAAGGGAGGAAACGAGGAGAGGAAGGAGAAGGTATTAGGGGAGATGGACGCTTTGATGCTTCGGTCGATGAATTAGCTAGCAATGTAGAAGGGAAAGATGCGATGCTCTTGCAAGGGTCTGTCAAGCGAAACTGAGTGGCCCCACCAGAGAAAAATCACAGCAATGCTTCAAGCCCCATACCAATGTCATCCTCGTATATTTAGTGGACTATATACACTTTCCATCATCCCTAGAGGTATCGTGGTTCGACGTGTCCCCCTCCTATGCGCTTCCCTTTGCCTGATCAGACTACGCCATGACTTGTCTCAGAGCGGCCATCCATTCCGCCCGGGACTCGGCAGTGTCGGCAACGTACGAGAATGTCTGAGCAGGCTGCAATGTCAGCTTTCGCCTCCTATGCGGACGTCGGAAAAAACGCACAGTCTGAACAGTGAATCCCCGCTGACCCTTCTCCAGAACCTCCATGACCCTGCTCTGACCTCCGCCCGCCCCCCCCGCCCCACCTTCTCCGGCCCAGAACACACACTCATTCTTGACGCTCAGACTGGCCTGGCTCGCGGCCGACAGACTAGCCGCCGAGTGGATGGCCGATCCAGGCGACTCTTCCTTGACTGTAAAGAGGCGAGGGAGGTCGGTGAGGATCAATTGACGCCGTTTGGAGCTTCCGGGTGACAGGAATGCCGGGAGGAGGGAAGAGGTGGGCGTGCGAATAGAGATAGGAGAAGTGTGGACAATGGCCTCGTTGGTGAGAAGAAGTTGGTTCCTAGAGATCAGTCCAGCTTCTACAAGTCACAGACGACAAGCTTACCATCGGGAATTGTCTGACCTATATCCAGAGTCGTCCCGCCGGTCCATCTGTACTCGCTGGACTGGTCCGCTCTGCCCAGGCGAACCCTTCGCACCCATACCCTGCGTCACCCTAGCCTCCGTGCCCTCCTTCAGACTTCCACTGGCCCGGCTCGTTCGCCCGCTGACCCCTCCGGACCCATTCGACCCTACAATCCCCATCGTCTCGAGCAGCCCCGTCAAAGCCGTCCTGTTCCCGCCAGACGAGCTGCTGCTTGTACGCGCAGACGACCCCTTGCTCAACGCCCGCAGCTTGCGCTGGCCCGGCTCCATCCAAGCAGGCTTGGGAGGTTCCAGGTCCTCCTGATCCGTGCCGGCGGCACGAGAATCGGGTGCGTCAACGGCCCATACCGCATCGGCAGCGGCTCGGCGGTCGTAGCGCGGCTCCGTGCCCCCAGGTCCTGGTGCGGATGGGCTCTCCAAAGCAGGTGAGGGGAGCTCGGAATCGCCATTGTCTGACATTTCGTCCTCAAACACCGCCCACATGTCCGAGGCAGGATCGATCGTCGCGAGCGTGGCTACGGGCGGGGTGATTCCTGTCGACATGGGCGGAGCGGGGATCTGCCAGACGGTGTTCCAGTTGATAGAGGCGAAGAAGGGATGGGATTTCATCTCGGACGGGGTAGGTCGAGCTGCAGGATCCAGGTTCTGGGGATTAGCGGATTTCTGGCGACGAATGGTGCTGTACTTACCAGGATGAGATCCACGAGTGCTTGAGCCTCCTCGTCGAATCCGTCAGGAGTCACCATCTCCCGCTTCAAGATCTTTTGGAAGGTGAGGTAATCCGTCGCACCCCGGAATGGCGGTTTGCCCACAATAAGCTGGTAGACGATACACCCAAAGGCCCAGACATCCGAACTATCAGGTCAGCTTGGTACTTCCTACCTCGGCGGTGCTGGTATAGACTCACGCAGCAAGTGCAGGCTCATTCCTGAGCACTTCGGGCGAAACAAAGTCCGCCGAACCGACAAACGAGCGCTTGGTACTCCTTCCACCCGGTCCAGCATCCCCCGCTTGATCTTTCGGATCTTTGCCATCCTTATCGAGCAGCTTGGCCGAGCCAAAGTCAGTGACCTTTAGGCGCATATCGTCGTCCAGAAGGATACTGTCAGATGAGCTCGGGTCACTGAAAAAGAAGAAGCTTAAGTGCTCACTTTTCCGGCTTGAGGTCGCGGTGGACTACTCCGCGCTCATGCATGAACTCCATGGTATCGAGGAGTAGAGCGGCGTAGTATCTTGCTGATTCGATATCGAGGGAACCATACTACTTCCATCAGCTTCCTGTACTCTCGGGTAGCAGCCGACCCAATAAGAATTCACCTTGCGGAGATAAGTCAACAGCTCGCCCTTGCTCGCCAGGTCCAGCACGAAATCTGCCCATCAGCTCCACTCCACGCCTCTCTCCGGCCCGATCAACTCACACAAGCTCGTAGCGTCATTGAACGTCGAATACAGCCTGATCACACCTGGATGCGCCCCCTTCCCCGCCCCACTCCTGCGACTCCGATCCCGACTCGCCTCCTTACTCGTCCTAGGCACTGACGTCCCATCCGCCTTCTCTGCTCTCTGACCCCTCTCTCCCCCTTCTGTTCCTGGCGTGTACCCCATCGTCTGCCTGATCTGACTAGGCGGAGTGGACTGCGGATCCCGACTCGGACTCTCTTCCTTGACTGGCGATGGCGGCCGAGACTTGATTATGCCTGTCACGCCCATAGGTAGATCGTGCCCGTCCTCCGAACGCTCAGGGACGACCTCTGGTGGATCGGCGGATCTGCTCGGACGCCGCCCTGCTCGACCGCCCATCATGCTGAAATCGAGTGTTGAGCTTGATGTAGATGCCGAGCTGGACAGAGCCGGAGAAGGCATAGGGGCCAGCGATGAAGAGGAGGGTATGTCTCCAGGCATGGTGGTGGTACTGTCTCTCCGCTCTGACGACCCAACGGGGGCATCGGCGGTACTCGTCCGACTCCGCTGCCCGGCGGGCGTCGCTGCACTGGAACCGGATGGCACTCGCCGATGGCCTTTGCCTGATGGTCCGCCAATAGCAGGTGCGCCGCGGGGTGCGCCGAGCCGAACGAGCGCGTCTCGCTCGATCATGGCGTATTTCGTCTTGCGCTCTTGGATGAGGTGCGCTTGATTGATGATTTTGACGGCGTACTGCTTGGGAGGTCGACTCGGGGAGATGGGCGAGCCCGGGAGAGTGGAAGAGGTAGAGGCTCGAACGGCGTGGACGACCTGTGTTATCAGTCAGAAGTACAAGCTCAACATGGACCGAAGAACGTGCAGTGCTGTAGCTCCCCCGGCCCAACTCTTCCCCAAACACATAATCCGCCGTCGTCTCCCTCGCTGCTCTTGGTGCTCCTCCGCCTGTAGTACTGCCCACAGTCGTCCCGCTTCTCGCACTAGCCACGCTCTGCCTCCTCTCCCTCTCTCTTTCCCATGCCTCTGCTGGCCCGCCAGAGCTCATCGCCCGGGCCTTGTTGTATGGCGAGAGGGGTATCCCAGCGCTCTTGCCCGCTCCGAACGGCCCGTCCTCGTCCTCCTCCATCCCTGTCGGACGAGTGAAGAACCGCCCAGCACGGGGCGTGGTAGGCGAGATCCCCGACGCCCCCGAGACTACCGAGACCCCCGAAGGGACATAGCTCGAGTTTGGCCTGGCGGAGGGTGGCGGATCATCCGTATCGTCCGTGATGATCGCTGGTAGTCTGCGATTCGGGGCCGACTGGGACGCAGGCAGCCCAGTCCCGCCGCTAGCAGCGGAAGACCGAGGTCCGTTTCTCTGAAAGCCCCGCCCGCCGTATATCCCCTCGGGTGGGGAAGTATGATACCCCCTCCCAGCTCCCTGCCCGGGGGAAGGAGCAACGAGGTCGCTGGAGCTAGAGCTGCTGCTATCGTTCGACCCGAGAGCGCCTGACGCGGCCGTCCGCGTTTCCTTGGGCGGCGGGCGCATCTCTACAGCGACGAGGCTGGAGGTGGTACTCGACTGGGTGGTGGTGGAGCGGGAAGAGGAGGTCGAGGCATTGCGTTCGAGTGGGGTTGATTCGCGCAGCCTGGAGAGGGCGGGGTAGGGGGGGAGTGGGGAGGGGAGGGGGGAGTACGTGGTAGTAGCCATGATGCCTGGTAATTTGCGAATGAGATGGCAGAGAATCTACTGAAAGTGTGACGAACGATCTCGAGGACGGCGGGATACCTCGGTGAGTCCGTAGTGTAAAGCGACTCGAATGTTTCGGTTCTGTTTGGACGATCACCGGACAGTCTCACGTCGAGCTGGGGGGCCGTATTAGGGTGATAGGTTTATAGTATGCCAGGCATGGTGCTGCCTATACGAAGAAAGAGACAAGATACGCTGGCGAAGTAAAGCAGGATAGGTGTCAACATCAAGTGCCGATCGGAGGTGGAGCAAGGTTTATTCACTCGGACACACCACTCCGCAGTCATCGGCGCTCGGACCTTGGGCCTTGGGTCCAGATCTGAGATCCCAGACTAGACCGAAGCAATCTCGGGCCTGTATCGCATATAGCAACAAGTCGTGGATCTCTCAGTCTTTGTGCTATAGGGGTCTTCTCTTAGCCGGTTCAAGCCGATTGTAGAGATAGTTCATTTGCATCATCTATCCAACATTCGCCCCCATTCCTCTTCCACCCCATAGCCCTAAGATCGGAGTTTACGAGTTGAAGACGAACGACGCGCCGACCTTGTGCGCGGCCTGGCCAGCGGAGGCTGGTTGTCAGTTGGAGTAGAATTAGCAACTCGGAGGAGAGCTTACGGTCGTTGAGGCGCGAGGTGTCGAGACCGAGACCGAACGAAGCTAATTGTCAGCTACTCATCCATGTACCATGATACGGATCAAAGAGCTCACCCTTCACACCGGGGCGGAGAGCCTGGGTGTAGCCGAGGCAGAGGATACCAGCGTTGTTGATCTTGGCCTTGACGAACGCAGCGTTGTCCTAAGGATTTAGCGGATGCTCTCGGTGGTCTTGCTTTGGCGCAAAGGGGTCCCTCCTTTGCGTCCTTGCTGCTTCTCGGCGGGGACCCCTCTGCTCCAGCATCTACTCACAAGGTAAGTCTTCGCGCCGACCTCGAGCGAGACACCGCCGGTGGTGCTCTTGGTGTCGTAGACAGCCTTGGCACCCGCCTCGACGTCCTTGGACACCTTGTGGTAGTAGCTAGCGGCGAAGGTCGAGAGGTTGCCGAGACCGTGGAGGGTGATGGCGTACTCGGGAGCCGAGAAGCCAACGGCACCAGCGTACCGGGTGATGGCACCCGAGGTGACATCGTAGGTCGCCTCGGCACCGACAAGGAAGCCGTCACGGCCGACAACGGTGTCAGCAGTGAAGCTGGGACCCTGGATGTCAGCTCAGTCTAGTCTGGGTCGGGGAGATCTTGCCCACCTTGAAGAGGTCGACGGTGGCGCGGGTGTGGAGGGAAGGCTGCTTGTAGATGGCAGTCAAAATGGCGGCCTTCTGCGACTTGGCCGGGTTAAGAGCGGTCGAGAGGTCGAACTTGAGACCCTTGGCGATCTGGTTCTCGAGCTCGAGCTGCGAGCGGAGCAGGTTGGTGGTGGTCCAGGCCTGGATGTTAGCGAAGCACGGGTGGATGCATTTCAAAGGCGAGAAGCGAATCGATGACGGGTGACCGATTCCTTCGGCCATGGACGGAACCAGGTGCCTGCACCACGCAGCGAGCCAGACAGTACCGCCGTCACCTTTGGCGTCTCCGGGCCGACATTGCCAGACGGTCCGTGCACGTTTCGCCTTCCATCCTCGTCCACCGCTATTTCCCTTATCGGCCCCATATCGGTTTTCACTATTCCGATCCGCAGTGCTTGATCGCCTTGCTTGATCACAACTCACCTGGGTGAAGATCAAGCCGTTCTTGAAGTCGACATACTTGCCCTCGATATCACCAGCGATGGCGTTGGTGTTCGAATCCTTCTGGCCGGCGACCTTGAAGGTGACGTTGGACGGGGTGAGGGTCTTGACCTCGAGCGACGTGCCCTGGATGGGGTAGTCTTTGAGGAGGAGGTCCGAGGCGGACTTTCCGAGGTCCTGTATTGTTCAGCTTGGGTCCGGGGACGCGTTTCGGAAGGGAGGTAGGAACGGACCTTCCAGGATGGGGGAACGGGCTGGGACATTTCTGTTTGTCAGCTGTTTTTCACTTTCGGACGAGCGGACGAATATAGCGGGCATGATGGACGTACTGAATATGAATTGAGTGGGTAGAGTAGGGGTAGAGCTATACAGATAGATTGATGGGTGAAGCAAGGGGGGTACGCTCCGGCTCGGCTCTTGGTGGTGGCGGCAAAAGTCACTCTCGGAACGCAGCCAGCTGCTGCTGGCGAGGAACGGCTCAACGCGCCGATATTTCCGAGTGTGGCACATGCAGCCATTGGGTGGCAAATAGCGAGGCTTGGAATACTGATTACAACCTTTGATCCCGCTAATGAATTACATCATAGTGTGTTTCACCCAATCCCTTTGTTTACATCCGATCTCTAAGGAAAAAGCAAAACATGCCTCTGCGTTCATCCATGCATGCTCCCTTCGTCTGTGCGAGCCAACTGGTACATACACTACCGCTTATGCTATGTATGACCATGACATCCACATCGGCGAGTCGTGCGGAGAGTCTCTTTGACTTCTCACTCCAGAAATCACACGCGTCCATGCTCGTTAGCGTCCGCAGTCAAAATACGGCATCCCTGGAATTCCGCAGCAGCAGCAGCTGTTGGGTGGGGGAGCTAGCGTTTTGAGTGAAGGTGTCTCTGTCTCACTGGCTCAACTCGAGTCCACACTACCATTCTCGCAGCAGAGCTAGCCCGCTGAGAGGGAGTCATCTATATAACATCCCTTACAGCTACTTCCCACTTTCCCCAGCTCTATCCATCCTCCCGCTCATACCGCCAAAACAGCTATCTTTGGCTGCGGAAATTTCGGCTGCGACCTTGACTCTTCCTCACACCTCCTTGTTTACGCCAACAACACCCAACTATGAGCTCTCAGCGAGCTCCCTCCTGGCCGGTAGCTGGACCAAGCGCCCCCCGGTCCCGCTCGGGAAGCACCACCGCCCCCACTTCTACCAATTCGAGCAGCCGGGCCTCGCTGCAGGTTGACGATTCAACAGAGAGCGAAGCAGAGAGCAGCTACCACGGATGGTCAGATAACGGCTGGTATGTCTAGCGTCAAACCATGCGAGCTCAGCTGACATCTAGGCGCTCAGAGATCCCCTCTCGCTCGTCAGACGAGTACGCTCCCGTCCACCCTGTGACTACTCCCCCCCACGCACAGACCCCCGGGTCCATCCCTGAAATATCGGTTTCAGCAGGCGGCGTGAGCATGAGCACGAGCACCTCTGGGCGCAACGTCTCGTTTTCACAAGGTACCGTCCCACATCGGCGGATGACACATACTATTCGCCCGTCCCTCCATACCGCCGGCTCCAACATTTCGCTCGATACCCTCACCCCCACCACCTCTGGCAGCGGCTACTCGTCCATCCTCAACGGGCAGGAAACTACCTCCCCCTCTGCCATCACCGCCACTCCTACCATCGGCAACTCGTCTGGCTATGCGTCGCCCGCACCTCCCTACGTCGGACCGGGTATCGGCGACAACTATGCCCACCCCCGTATTCGCCGGAAATCCCTCTCGCACGTCCCCGTCTCCAACCCTACTGAATCAGATACGTCGGCGGATGATCCGTACATCCTCGCAGGCGGAGGCGGGGTCACGACCAAAGGCAAGAAGAAGCGGAACAGGGACGGCTCGTTCTCGTTCCTCCCTACCCACCGGAGAAGGCGGATGAGCAACGCCTCGTCCGTTTGGCCACGGTGGCTTGGCGGCGGACACGTTGCGCGGCGGTACGAAGTGGAAGTACCGACGAGAAAGAGAAACATCCTCTACCTCGTCGGCTTCATCTTTGCCTTCATCACCTTTTGGGAATGGAAGAAGCGGTACGACCTCAAAATTCAGATATACCCCCGTACGGGTCGGCTGGCCGAGACGGAACCCATCCAACCCCTCAAAGGCTGCTTTGACCCCAAAAACATCAATCCCGAATACAATGCCACCCTCCATGTTCCTAAACGCCAACTCTTATCCCCCGGCATCGCCCTCACTCGCGGTCAGACCTGCTACGACTTTGCAGCGACGATACAGCCTTTAACGGAGGATCAGCTCGAACCGCTCACGTACCACACGTACTGGCGGGCCGATCTTCTCGCGTTTGGCGAAAGGCAAATGGCTACCGTGCTCGCTTTCCTCGCTACGCAACCACTGTCCCACTCGAAACTTATCGTATGGACGAACGGGGCCGACCGGGTCAAGCGGTCGGAACATATTAAAACGCTCCTGTCGCGCTGGGGAAACAATATCGAGGTGCGGCAGGTGGATATGCCGGCGTTGACAAGGGGGACGGAGCTGGAGGGGATACTAGGCGGGAGTGGAGGAACTGGGCTGTTTGACGAGCGGGCATGGGTCGATGGGGATGCGGTCAGGCTGTTGGTGCTGTGGCAGTTTGGAGGAGTGTGGATGGACATGGACCAGATCTTGACGAGAGATCTGCATCCTTTGGCGGAGAGCGAATTCGTCATGCAGTGGGACTGCTTTGGCGAGTCTTCGCCTTTCCACGATTATCATCCTGGTAAGTCTTCTGCTTCCTATCTGAGGATATCGCTGATGGCCAGACCAACCATTCTTCATCCTAAACGGAGCGCTGATGCACTTCCGACGACACTCGTCCTACCTGTGCGAAGCCTTCCACATCATGGCGTCCTCCCCCCTCCCCCGCCCCAACTCCTTCACATGGGGCTCACACCTCTACTCGAGGCTACACCGCCGCCTCCTCGCTGCGCGCATCACACCCTTCACCGTCCTTCCCTGGTGCTTCGCCGACCCCCGGAACTGCGACCACGAAGTCGCCTTCCCGGATCCGTTCGAGGCGGATCCCGCAGCGTGGGGCGGGCGCGCATGGGACGGGAAGGGCGAAATCGGGAAGAGCGGGAAAGAGATGCTCGAGGAGAGATTGGGACATGTGTGGACGGTCCATCTGCACAATCAGTGGGGCAAGGCGTTTCCCCCGGGCGGCTGGGTCGAGGGGATGTTGGATCGGTATAGAAGGAAAGTGGGGTTGTTGACGGGTGGAGCGGGCGGTTCGGGCGGGTTTGAGCCGGATGGAGGGGAGCCAGTGCAGGATGCGTCGGGTAGGAAGAGGGTGGAAGAGGAGGAAGAGGGGGAGGTTGTATTGGAGGAAGAGGAAGGAGTAATATAGTGTTTTGAATCGTTGCATTATAGTTGTCGCTTGGCTGTTATCTTCCCCAGGCTGGTCCGTGACGTTTGAACCACTAGCCGCTCATTGGATCTTTGGGCGTTCTCGAGGCTGGTTTACCCTCGGGTGAACGACACCGTAGAAAGAACGGCTGGAGATTCGGATCTACTGGTTCGTACCGCTGCAGCTGGAAAGGAATCAAGGAGGGTAGGCAAAGTGGAGGTGGAGGCAAGTCTTGTTGTTGCATCCTTACCTTTCACCCCACAGACGCAAAGCTAGCAGACCTCTAATCTTGATCGCCCTGCCAGTCTTTGCAATCAACGCAGAGCCCAACAGTAGCTCAACTGTCAGCTTTCGAACATACATAATCCTGCCCCACTTGGCGACAGACCTCACCCAACGAACCGAGTTCGATGTCGCTCCCCACTCCCGACCCGTCCGTCCCGGACCTCGCCTCCTCCCCACCCGCTCTTCCATCCCGCACATCCTACTCCCTACCCAGCGGCAAACACCCCCACTCGCTCTCCCAGCCCGGCTCGGGTATCGCTGAAGGATGGACCTCCCCACTCACCCCCACGTCCTTCACTTCGCTCTTACCGCTCGTGGATGGATCATTGGCCACTTTGGCGGGATTGGCCGGGTCTGATAAAGGAATAGACGGGGAGGAAGCGGGAAAGGCTGTTGTCGGTACCGTCAGTCCACTGATTTCCTTTGATGCACTTTGAGGGAAAGCGGAGCTGATAGGACAGGCGAGGGAACTGTTTAGGACATTAGAAGGGATGAAGGCCTCGGCGCTGGATCTGCCAGGTGGACACCTCACCACGAGACGGATAGAGGAGCTAGAGAGGATAATGCAGGGTGATGTGGACAAGAGGCGGTGAGTTTCTTTTGCCATAGCGAGGGGTCAAGTGAAGAGGGCGAGCAAGGAGGAAAGTCCAGCTGATTCAGTAGGGAAACGCTAAGAAAATTGGCAGAGGTGGAGATGCCTACTGCGGACCGGATACGAAAGGCAGGAGAAGGAGCGGGTGGGGAGCTGGTCGATGGGGAAAGAATAGCAACAGCGGGCACGGAGCCTGCAGAATGAACCTAGAGATATGGTACATAGTAGCAGCCAGGCCAGACTTATCGACCTGTAAATGCGCTTGAGATGCCCTGTATAATGATGTATTCAATATTTCCATCGCTTCCTCTGCTGTCTATGGAGTCTGCTCAGCCAGTCCCTCCAATCTACGCCGCTCTCTCCGTCTGGATTGAGACAGTTCAGCGTCCCACGAGCTGTTTTCTCGATATCTCCGCTCTACTCGTCGGCCGCGCTGTCCTCCTCTCCCGCAGGCTTTACGCGTGAGATGACACGCATGGTCACTGACGGTCAGCTAGTGTCCTTGGTGGCTACCTAAGACGGTCGACAAGAGAGCAGGTAACATACGATGCCGAAGTAATGCGCGGTCATGCTGGGTCTGACCATCGCTGGATTGGGTAGGACGCATCTCCAGGTCCGCCTCTACGTACACAGAGGATCTAAGAATGAGTCAGCTGGGCTCCATGACAACTCTATCGGATGTCTGAACACGAAAGCTCACCCCTTGCCCACGCGTGCGAGACCGGCGTGCGATCCCTCATTGAAGGCAAAGACGGTGTGCCACACTGTCGAGGGAGCGGGCGTTCCTAGCCGATCAGCTACGCACTACACAATGGATTGTGACCCGGATAACTTACTGCCTTCTTCTTCCTTGGGCGGTCCGGTAGAGGTAGCCACATTGTATCTGTGTCACGTCAGCCGACCGCTCACTTCGCACAGTCGATCCTGGAAATGGCTGACGAGTAGTATGGTTTGCCCGAGGAAGTCTATATGGTCAGCTTCACGCTCATGAGGTCATCACAAAATTTTCAGCTTACAGTGCGAAGGACGGGGTCATTACCTAGACGACCGAGCAGGACGACCTTTGACAAGTCCAGCTTGCGGGCTGAGGAGGCGAAGCCCTGTTTCATGTGAGCTTACGATTCTGGGTATGGGCAGAGGCATGGACTGACGCGGGATTTGGCGGCCGAGGCGGTCTGAAGGAGACTGGAGCGGGTAGAGGCAAGCATTGTGAGTGGTTTAGTTTTTAGTTATCAGTACAGGTGAGTGGAAGAGAACAAAAAGCAGACTAGAGGTGGGGGAAGGGGAACGCGTCGCGTGTCTCCCACACACGCCGAGCGAGGAATGCGAGTTGAGAAGACGCGACGGTGGCGGATCAGAATTATCTAGTCACTCCCTCCATTTAAGATTTGGTTATTGACTTTTGGCCACCCAGTCATCCATCTCTTCTTTCTACCTTCTTCTCTGCATCGCTGCTCAATCTCAGATGATTGTCCCCTCATTGGAGCAATAGCCCAGGCTAGTCGCCAGCCCACGACTGGCCATTGTTCGCCTTTCTTAATCTTGCAAACCTACCACAGCAGCAGCAGTACCGGCAACATGTCCGGTGCTGATATGTGTGTGGAATGCGGGCCTTGGGATACGGAGGGCGGGGAAGTCGCATGTCAGGTCTGCGGGACCGTCGATCTGGCGAAGAGCGCGGCTCTCAACCTGCGCGACACTGTTGATGGGTATACGGTTGGAGGCGGGTTTAGGCCGTTTGGGAACTCGGGGACGGCGAAGGATCAGCAGCGTGAGGCTGCCGAGCGCCGCTTCAAGGTAAGCCCATCTCACAGCTACTCTAGCTGGTAGTTGAGCTGACAGTCAGGATCTCATGGGGCGCAAAGCCATCGACTGGCTCTTCACCCAACCCAACATCCTCGGGCTCCCGTCACGGAACAACCCCCTCGGCGAGGCCGACCCCTCCAACCCCTTCGTCAAGTCTGTCATGGCATTTTACTTTCAGATCCGGAAAGCCGACAGCTTGCAAGCCGAAGCCGATGGCAAACAGCACACTGGCGAGACCGTCAACGCCGACACCAAGCGGGTCGGCTATCACCTCGCAGTAGCGATTCGGTTTGCGGCGATTCAGAATAATCTGAGGTTGGCGTATAATAAGCTGGGGAATGCGGGGAAGGAGACTTTGCCTAAGGCTATAGAAGGTGTGAGGCCGGCGGTGGATATGGTGATACCCATACCATACCCCAAGGACATGATTGTAAGTCTTTCTCGCAGGACCAAAAGGCCACAGCTGATTAGCCAGGCAAATATGCTGTCGTCCAATCCCGAACACATCAACCCTATTGGCGATGTCAAGGTCTTGTTGCGGGTCTACAGGACCCACATACGGCTGCTCAAACGCCCCTCGGACCCGCTCTACCTCAACCTGTCAAATTTCCTCCTCGTCATCCAGCGCCTCCGGGCCATCGTCGACGCCAAAACACACGAAGACCGGCGGCCCATGCTTTGCTACAAGCAAAAGTCCAACAAGCTCTACCGTGTGTGGGACCCCGACGACTTTGACTACTTTAAGGAGGACGCCCTGGCGACCGACAAGGGATGGGACGAGGTCTTCCTTGTCAGCTACAATCTTTATCGCGCTGGCCAGTGCGTCGGAATCCTCAACAGCAAGACGTCCTACCTCTACGCCATTCCCCTCGTCTTTACCGCCGTATCGGGCGTCGTCGGTTCCATCTACCCCTACATGATGCCGCTCTTCGCCGAGCTGTGCGCGCAATACGGCGGTTCCGGTCATTGGACCTCGCAAAAGGCCCTTCATTCGATGAAGCGTATGATCATTGCTTGGTCAACGTCCTTCCAGGACGCCGGGGTGCAAGTCCCTTCGCTGAACCTGCCCAACCGGGGGCTGGTCGGGAAAGGGACAACGGGATGGAATGGGGATGCCAGGCGGGGCGTGCCAGAGCTGGAGATGTGGGTGGTAGCGATCAAGACGGTCGCGTATAATTGGAAGGCGATCTATAAGGCTCGCCTTCGGACCCGGCACGGTGCAATAGCGTACAGCGTTGAGGTAGCAATGGCTCAAAAGCTGTTTGCAGGCGTGACGGGTGATCTGCGTGTCAAGGGGCGATCAGATACTGGGTTGTCGGCGCGCGCCAAGTTGCTCAAGCAGTATGCGGACCAGGCGGCGGCAAGGGAGAGGAGCCAGGAGACCTCGGGGACGACCACACCCAGCACCGGTCACAACTCGGACGACGCGGAAATGAGCTTGGTCAATGAGCGAGAGCCACACCGCGACCCATCTTCGAATGCGGAAGATATGGATAGGCGGTACGAGGAGCTGGAGAGGCGGCGGGAATCGACTGGAGTCGCGCAGTGGATCGAGGGAGAGCAGTCGTCTGATGAGGAGAACGCGTATGACTCGGACGATGACTGCATCCAGCCCGCGCTTCGGCTCAAGGGGATGGGGGGTAAGACTGCCCCCGCGTACTTCGGCGGCTTCACGGTCGGACCGAGCGGACTTGTCCGGGAGGCCATCGACGCGCCGAGGGACGAGTACCTCTACAACGTGGACGACTACTCGCCGATGATGTCTCGCAGCGGATCCCAAACGTCCAGTATCGGGTCGGTATCGACCGCGGATCGCCACATGCGCAGAGGCAAGAGCACGAGTATCCCTCCTGTCGCTCGTCTCGACATACCCCGGGCGAATCGATTCCACTCTCCCGCCGTCTCGGTCTCTACGCTACATTCTATGGGCTCCGTACCCGGTAGCACCTTTGCGTCTACTCGTCGAAGCAGTACCGACTCGCTCTCCACCCTCGCCGAGGACGACCTCCCCGTCCCAATCGTCAAAGGCAAAATGCCAAACTTCGTGCCTAGACCGTCCCGGCCGGTATCGGACATGGATCCCGCCCGGGCACATATCGGGATGCTCATTCGGGAGCTGGTGGAATATGCACCAGAAGGGCCGCGCGATGAGCGGCGATCAGGGAAGATGGTCTCGCGCGCTGTCGAGGAGTATGTCAATGAGTGGGTGGAAAGGGAGATGGCCAAGGAGACTATTCCGCGCAAGATCACTCCGGCGTACCTCGCGTCTATCGGTCTCAAGGGGAAGAATCCTCTCCTCGATCCGCTCTCCTCCTGGATATCTGCGCAGGAACATCGGTGGTCCCCCCTCGAGTGCGTCCTTCGGGCGGGCATTCACATTCGACAACTCCCAACCTGGATGGTTCCTCACTCCAAACTCGGCGTCATGCGGATGCTTCAGCACCAGCCCAAACTCCCCGCTTTCGACGCCATCCCAGAATGTCCGCCCATCCCCGACCGGTACAAAGCTGCACCTCAGACCTTTGACAAGGAGATCCGTGCGCTGAAGGATCAGTGGGACGGGGACGTGGCGGATGGGTTCCCCATCTTCTTCCCTGCGCACGAAATGTTTGCGGTCGGGGCGGACGCGGACGAGCTGTTTAGCGATGGCGAGATGGACATGTACCTGGCGGACGAGGCGGAGGTGGCGGAACGTCAAGCCGACAAGGACTTTATGGACCTTATTGGCGCGATGGACGAGGGCGCTGAGAGTCCGCGCGGGCGGAACCTCGAGTTGAAGCGCAAGAAGAGGCAGACGAAAAAGGAGCTTGCTGCGTCGATGACTGCCGTCTCGAGCGAGTTTTTGGGGTATCAGCGGGCGATGCAAGGAGGGGACGAGGAGTGGGCGGATACGGGGATGCAGATGGATATGGACATGGATATGGATATGGGCAGCGACGTGGAGCTGCAGGAGGGGGAAGAGGAGGATGAGCAGATGGAGGATAGCGATGATGATGATGACGGGGTGGATTGGTTTGATGAGAGTATTAATTGGGCGGCGGTGGCTAGGAAGAAGGCAAAGAAGAGGGCGGCGGAGGAGGCGGAGCGGTGGCCGGCAAAGAGGCGCAAGAAGGCCACGAAGGCCACGGTCAGCGTGATTGCGACAGCTAAGCCGGTGCCGACGTACCGCCAACCTATCACTGCGCCGGCTACCATCCACGAGTTCGAGCGGCAGGCGGCCACATACGGTACTGGCGGTAATCCTACCTACCAGCCTGGCTCCCCCATGCCAGCGACTATCCAGGACTTCCTCGATCGGGTTGGAAACCAATCTGCGCAGTACGGCCCTCATCTTCCTCCAAGCATCCAGTCCAGCGTCACTCTCCCTCCCACTGTCCAGCCGAGCTTGTCTCAGCGGAGCCCGGCTTCTTCCAGCTCGCAAGCGGCATCACGGTCCAGCTCCACCGTGCCGAATGTCTCCCAGGCCAGCGTCGATCTTCCACCCACCATCCAGTTGAGGCCACCTCAGCGCGGCGGCCTTTCTCCGGGCGGATCAACGGGAGCGGCATCACGCTCCAGCTCCACCGTGCGAGACGACACCTACATGGACTCGCCGGCCATCCCAAATCCGTCCCCGTTGATCGCACCGAGGAGCATGCTGCACCTTCTCAACCCCGTCGACTCTCCTTCTACCGTCCAAGTTCCCCTTCCCAGCGTCCCCTTACGAACTCAACCCAACGCCTCTGCCGGAGCTTCTCGCGCGGCGACACCGCTCGTCCAGCGCGCGATGTCCAGTAACCCATCGCGGACCCCAGCCAACGCCGTCGCGGGTCCCTCGCGCGCACCTTCCAGTACTTTGGCCACGACTGGCAAGAAGACTGCCGCCACGACCGCGGCATCCGGCCCTGCCAAAGCCCCGGCCAAGACCACCTCCACAGCCACTCGTCCCTCCCCTCCCCCACGCAACATCCCCTGCGTCCAGACCCGGCTCATGGAGCTCGATACCCGTCGCCTCAATGCCAACCGGCGAGAAATTGTCCTCATCCAGGTCAGATGGATGTCGCTGCGCCTGGACATGCTTAAGGGGCGGCCGGCCTCTACTGTGGAGACGGCCAGTATGCGAGGGTCGGATCGGCGCGAAATTGACCCCGAGATTCTCAGGAACGACGTGAATGTGCTCAAGGCGGAACGGGACAGGCTGGTGGCTGAGATCCCGGCGCTCAAGGCGGAAACCAAGCAGATGAAGCCTGACTACAAGGCGGTCCAGGTAGAGGTGGAGGCTTGGGCGAGCAAACTTCGGATCCCTCGCCGGGATCTGGGGTATGATTACGAGTGGAAGACGCCCAAGGGGGAGTTTGGGCCTACCGGGATCGAGGCGGCGTGCAAGTGGGCAAGAAGAAAGACCAATTAGTAGACGAAGGGACAAGGCCAAAGTGAGTAGGTCCGCCAAGAGATGCTGTCCATCCGCTGATCGACTCAGGCATCTGTAACAGGTATTCGTGATCATACGGTTGTAGCATTTTTTCGATTTTTGTTTGTAGAGCTCAAGCGGCGGTGAACGGGGGGCAACATGGCTTCTTTTGTAGCTCTTTATAGTAGTAGTAGCAGTAGATAGATAGTATCAGTCAATAGCATGGTCCGGGTGCAAATGCTCATGTATGGTCTGTCCTTGTACCCTGCAGGCATAGTCACTCGCTGCACTACCAATTATATGAGCTACGATCCTGATATGCCTCTCGCATGGAGAGAGCCCAGCTTGATGGTGACCTCCGTGTCCCCTCTCGCACCCTCCCCTCTTCTCCTTGTCCCTTGTCCCCACCTAATCCTCGCGCCTTCAAAAAGGGCAGACCGTGTAATCTCGACACCAGATGCTTATAGTAATTACCCGAAGAGGAAGAGGTATACTGTAATGGTGAGTCCCGAAGAGGAAATTCTATAAGGTAGGATCTGGTGTCGAGATTACAGACCATGGCCAAACGCTGGCTCCACATTCCTCAACGCACGGACCACCTTCGTTTCCCAGCAGCTCCAGCTGAAATTGCTAACTGCAACTTGACGATCCCCTCTTCGCTTTACCCTGCATATTCTCTTCCACAGCTAAATCGATAACAGTATGGCGCATCAGCCTACAGTTCTGAAGATGTAAGCTATCTCTTGATCCACAGAATTGGACCCCGCTGACCGCCGTCTCTTCCCTTTCCCTAAACCCCCTGTTCGAATCCTTCTTCCTATACTATCAGCCTGGCCTTCGGTTCCCCGCGCTCGGAACTCTCGATCCTCCAGTCCAAGATCACGAGCATCAATGCGAAGCATGGCCCTTTCGATGCGTGTGTCATTGTGGGAGATTTGTTCAAGGAGGGGAGCGACGGAAGCGAGTTAGAAGGGATCAGTCGTAAGTTGATCTTCTGCGGGGAAGGAAGCCCGACTTCGGCTCCAACGAGCAAACCAACGAGCAAAGTAGAAGGGCAGGCCAAGCTGATCAGCAGTGCCTATCCCTACTTACTTTACCATTGGGCAGAATGGTCTCCCGGAGAAGGTGAAGGAGCAGCTCCAGACCGGGGCAGGGGAAGTAGCTGCGAATCTCGTATTTCTTGGTGAGCTACGTTCGTCGGTCAGTATGGAGCAGCCAGCTCACTCTAAAAAGGGTCGAGCTCTGTCTTTACTACCGCTCAGGGGTTAAAGATCGGCTGTATAGGCGGCAAGTACGATGTCGACCACTATGTCACTGCCGAAGCGGTACGTGCCTCTCGCTCTTCAAGTGTAAATCCTGCTGATCGGCAAGGACCCACTCTCTCCCTACCTGACCAAGACCTCTGCTTCCCAGCTCCTCTCACACCCTCTCCTCTCGCCTCAAGGCCGAAACCCTACATCACTCGCTGATGCGCGTACCACACCTTTGCCGTCCGCTTTCCAGGGGCTGGACTTGCTCCTTCTTCCTTCCGCTCCGCCAGGCATCTCCCTCCTGTCCCCCTCTTTCACTGCTTCTGGCGTGAGTATCGGACAATCTGCTCTCGAGCTCGCGGAGATCGTTCGGAAGGCAAGGCCGAGGTATACGTTCTGGGCGCATGGAGAGGGGTTCTGGGAGCGGGAGCCGTTTGGCTGGGCAGCTCCAGCAGGAGGGGAAGAGAGGTGGACTAGGGCTGTGAAGCTGGGCCAGCTCGGAGGAGAAGGTACGGGAAAGAAAGCAAGGGTAAGCTCGCCCGTAGATAAGAAATCCGAATCAGCTGATCAGCAAGGCTTTCTACGCATTCACACTTCCCGCTCAGATGCCGACGACCACCTTGCCCACCCCCCCAGCCAACTCGACGCCTAACCCCTTTACTCTGCCCGCTAAGCCAGCAGCTGCCGAGGAGCCCGAGTCCAACATCTCAAAAGGCAAGAAACGGGCGGCGCTGGACGATCAGGAAGGTGCATTTGGTGACGAGAGGTCCAAGAGCCAGCGGACTGGTGAGTATGATATCCTGCTAGGCTGATGATAGACCGTGGACCGCCTCCTGACAATTATGTCTGTACGATCTGCAACATCCCGGGCGTAAGTCTTTCCTGTGTGCATGCGTACGAGGCTGATGTGCAGCACTGGCTTCCTGATTGTCCGCAGAAAGCTGCAGGTCAGGGACCTCACCCTCCAGAGGGATACAAGTGCAAGATATGCCAAAGTGTAAGTCAGCTGACACATCTAGTTTGATGCAAATAAGCTGACCAGCCAGCCTGACCATTACATCCGCGAGTGTCCGAACAAGGAGACAGCCGATAGAGCTCGGAACGGTCCGCGCCCGCCACCTAAGGGCTATACCTGCCGCGCATGCGGTGTCGTCGAGCAGCACTTTCTCAAGGACTGTCCGGTTGTCAAGGAGCGGAATGAAATGCGAAACAAGAAGAAGGAGTTGGGTCCTGCGGAATGTGAGCAGCTCTATAAGACTGGGCTGATGATAGGCTGGTTCTGCCTGTCCAACCCGAAAGTCACCAAGCACCTGGTCGTTGCTATCGGATCCGAGACCTATGTGACGTTGCCGAAGGGACAGCTCATTCCGACTATCCCCAAGCATGTCGCGCAGGGCGGGTCAAAGCCGCTGGTTCCGGGCGGTGGACATGTTCTGGTACGCTATTATGCGCCGCTCCGCGTCACTAGCTTACCAATAGATCATCCCCATCGCTCATCACCCCACTCTCCTCTCGATCCCCGCCGAAGACGCTCTCCCCATCATCTCCGAGGTCGAATCGACCAAGTCTGCCCTTACTCGCTGCTACGAAAAGTACAACGCCGTTCCCGTCATGTGGGAAGTTGGGCGGCTGAGCGGGCGAGGCGGTCACGCCCATGTCCAAGTCGTGCCCATCCCGAAGGAGCTGGCGGAGAAGGTAGAAGACGCGTTCAGAAAGGCTGGGGAGAGTCAGGGGTTGGACTGGGAGGACGAGCCGGAGAAGGCTTTGGCTCGGGCGGGCAAGGCTGGGAATTACTTCAAGGTGGAGTTGCCGGGTGGAGGGAAGATGGTGCACCTTCTCAAAGGCAACTTTGATCTGCAGTTCGGACGGTCAGTTTTCCGACCGGTTTGCTGAGTACCGCTGATGAACAGAATGGTCCTCGCCGGGCTGCTCGGACTCCACCACCGGGTCGACTGGAAGGACTGTTACCAGACCGAGGAGGAGGAGAAGGACGACGCTGTCAAGTTCAAGAAGGCCTTCGCCGCCTTCCAGAGCTGAGCTTTGGGTAAGGGTAATCCCGGCTCCCTACTTCCAAATTCCACTACCCACGCTCCCTTTCCTCTCCAGATACTCCAGATACGATGTGAGGGGATAACCGCGGGTGGAGGTGAGAGGAGTAGGGAGACAGAGGCAGTGTATGCGATCAATCAAATCAGCAAAGTTATGTATATGGTAGATGCAATGATACAAGATCCAGCTACCGTTACACCCGCCAAACCTACCGAACCTGACATCCGTCCAACACAGCCTTCATTTTCCATCCTGACTCGCCTCCTCTGCTTCTCCTCTTGAGATAGACCTAGGCCCGCGTCAATGAGAACGCGGATGAGGAGGGAAGAGGTCTAGTGGGATACCCTATTAACCTGATACGTTATTACAACGATACATGCGGTGCTACATCAGACCCTTCGCCTTTAGCACCGACTCTATCCGCGCATCTACTATCCGCTCAACCATGGCGTTGATTCTCTCCTCACTTCCCAATATATACTTGCCGACACAATCCACCTCGATATTGACCACATCCCCCTCCGTCTTATCCGTCAACACCACCTTCTCCTGCGAATGCGCAATCAGCGCAATCGCAAACTTCCTCTCTGCATCCTCCACCATCGTCAGAGTGAGGGACGTTCCGTCGACGGTCACATACCCCTTCTCGACAAGATAGGGCATGAGTGCCGCCCGATCCGCCGGGAACTGGAAGGTGTACCGTATAGAATCGCCGTCCGGGACACGGCCGACGATGGTGGCGGTAGAGTCGACGTGACCTTGGACCATATGTCCGCCGAAGCGAGTGTGCGCCGACATGGCCCGCTCGCAGTTGACCTTGGAGCCAGCTTGGACCGTACCTTCGGTCAGCTTGGGAAGTAAGAGGGGCATACCTAGATTTGTACGCTGAAGGGTTTCGTTCGCCAGTCCCACGCGAAAGAAGCCGCCATCGTCCTTCCCAAACTCGGTGACTGTCAAGCAGGCGCCATTGATGCAGATAGAGTCACCGATCTGGACGTCGTTGAGGATAGGTGCGGCGTCAGAAAAGATCATATCGTATCCCGACTCGGCACGATTGTCGATCTTGGACACCGTAGCAATGTGTTCCACCTTGACAGTCAGCGATGGTTATTCCTGGGCCTTTCTAGCCAAGATTTGAGCACGGCATCGACTCACTAAACCTGTGAACATGTTGAGAGAGTGTCTAAGGGTAGATGAGGAGGTGTAGAGTAATAAAGAGTATCAGAGCAGACGATTTAGCTTCTCGCGAGGCGATGTAGGAGGGATAGGGAGGGGATGGGGAAATGGAAATCAGGGGGTTCTGGCTGTGAGCGGGACAGGATGAGAGAAGGGCTGGAGCACCCGCGCTTCACACTCAATGGTCGCTCGCGAGTAGATCAGAGCCAAATCCCATTACGTACAGCAACAACTGGCTTGAGGCACGCGTCAATAGTCCAATTTCTCTTCTCTACTTTACACCTACCATACCATCCAGCCCGTAGACGGAGCACAGATGAGCACGCCGACAAGCTACTACCCACCAGTATCTTCTCAATCCACGCGGAATCGCGGCAGCGCGACTCCGATAGGAACGCGTAGGTTGCCTCCCTTTCTCAACTGACAAAACAGCAGGACAACCGGTTCTCTCCCTCAATCAGGACCTCCTCGCTCCGGCTCCTACTCGCACTGGCAATCCCATCGGTCGGCCGTCCAACGCGCTTCTCGCTGCTCGGCAGCAACAAGCCGAGATGGCCATCCAGCAGGGCCTGCCCCCGCCACAGCATCATACGGCGCGGACAATGCCCCGGGCCTCTATGACTCGGCAGTCCTCCACACCCGTTCCTCCTGCTCCAGCGCCCATGCCGACGCAGATGAAAGTGTACCATCGGATCAATGCTCTGCCGGAGGGGCCGTTGCCGCTATACACTACGCCGCCGGGCCAGCCGACCTACGACTCGAGCTTGCTCGCTCCAGCTCGGTCGCAGGCAATGTACTCGACATACCCGTCGAGACTTCGCACAGGTGTGACCTCCATGGTGCAGCCGGAGATCATCACGGGTGGGCCGAGGGAGCGAGAGGCGTTCTTGGCGGAGTACGAGAGGGAGATGGGCGGCAAGCCGGGCTCGGGAGTCAGTACGCCGCGTTTCGACTCGCCCGCTCCGCGCTCGACATTCCGGCCTGCTGTCACAGGTCGGCGCGGACGGACCGTCAACTACGTCGATAAGGGGTCAGACGAGGACTCGGACTCGTCCCTGTCCGAGCTGGGAAGTGAGGATGAGGATAGCGGGAAGCGGGCGAGGAAGCGGGATCAGCCGCTGGATGTGCAGTCTATGCAGAGGCTTAGCCGGCTGAAGCGGAAGAAGGACGAGATGGACAAGGGCTGGACGTGGCTGGGCGATCGGACACCGGCGGATAAAGTCAGCTCGAGCTATGTAAAGGGACCGAAGCATAGGTACTAGTGAGTCTGAAGCTCGACGTCCGCTGATGTAGCTCCGAGGAACAACTGGAACAGGCCAACCAGCCAGAGGTGCTCATTCCCATCACGATTGATCTGGATGTTGCCGGTCGGAATGCGGAGCAGGGAAACATCAAGATCAGGGATAGGTTCTTGTGGAACGTAAATGGTAGGTCTGGCGTCGACTTTGGCTAATTAGATACCCTCCTCGACCCGCAGGCCTTTGCAGCGACTTTTGTCAGCGACCTCACCATCCCCTCTGAAAACACTGGAATCATCGCCGAACTTATTCGAACCCAAATTGAAGAGGCGCAGTCGCTCGTCTCGGTCAATATCGCGGACAAGGAGGCGTCTGAGGCGGAGATTACGTTTCAGGAGGAGGACGAAGATAAGGATGAGGGTGTGGCAGAAGATGAGGCGATAGACTGGAAGGAGGCGGATTGTCGGGTCATCCTGAATGTGAGTGACATCGACGTCTCTGAAGTGGCGGGGTGAGGTGACCTGTCGACTTCTCACCGCCCGGGAAGGGTCTCGTGCGCAGATGCTCCAGGACGACTCTGCGGTTCTGGTGGGCGATGAAGAGGGCGAAGGGACAAGAACTGCGCTAATTCCAGCTCGACCTCCAAATCTCGACCCAGATCCTACGGGACCGCATCGAGTGGGACCTCTCATCCACCCTCCCTCCATCTCAATTCGCAGCCGCCTACGCCCGCGACCTCGGCCTGTCAGGCGAAGCCATCCCTCTCATCGCTCATGCCATCACCGAGGAAATCCACCGGCACAAAAAGGACGCTCTGGACTTGCGTCTCTTCCGCGCGACCCACCCCACCGAGCAGGCCAAGTGGGAGAAGTCGCTCGGGGGTGTGCCGAGGGTCAATAATAGGACGGGGGCGAAGGAGCTCAAGGGGGTATGGAGGGACTGGTTTGAGCGGGAAGAGTTTGGGCCGGTATTGATGGATCTGTCGCTGGAGGAGATGGAGAGGAGGGAGGTGGAGCGGAATAGGGAGCAGAGGAGGATCATGCGCGGGATGCTGGGGAAGAGGAGGAGGTAGTGAACAAGCAAAGAGTCTGAGTAGTGAATCCAGGTCACATGTTTACAATGGAAGAATATGGTTTAGCGTGTATGGTCTCTAGTGATCTAGCGAGTCAGCCAGGCGCAAGGGGAGACGCAAGGGGAGACGCAAGGGGAGAGGGATATGAGCTCACACAGTCTTGTATAGTGCTCTGTTATCCTCCTTGCCTGGCTGTGTGTATTGCCATTACCCTGTTCGCCTAATCCTCCCTCTATCGCTCCTCGCCGGTATACGACGTATCGTCCCCTCCAAGCCCATACGCCATCAAGCCAAGGAAAGCGATAAGGAGGATAGGGCCGGCTATAGATCCCACAACGACAAGAGCGACCTTCCGTCTATCTCTCGTCTTCCCTGCTTCGTCAGCTCATCGCCTCTTCACTGTCTTGCTTTCCAGACTCACGCCTCTCTTCATCTCCCGGAGCATCCCTCACGGTCACCCGTATCCTGCTTGGCGGCTTCCGCTTGAACTGCGGCCATGCCTCATCCATGACTTTGGCCCATTCCGTCCGTGGTGGAGGATACTGCTGAGGCCCCGCCGGCGTCGAGCTGGAAGGTGCGATGTCCGAGACCTCGAAGGCAATCCGACCGGCGGGATACTTGGCTAATGTTGGAAAGGCTCTCTGAACCATATCGACCGTTTCCTATCAAGTCAGCTTATGCTCCGGATCCACTTCAGTGCTCCGGCTATAAGGACGTACATCCTTGTCCCTCCCCAGTACGCCTACAATCTGCTCCTCTCTTCCTGGTACCGGCCATTCGGGGGCGAACACGTAGGTAACATTCACTCGGTCCCCATCGTCCCCCGAGCGGAACGCGGAGAAATCGTCATCTTCTCGATTGACGAGCGGCGCTGATTCAGCAGCTTCGACGTCGTACTCTGGCGCTGAGCGGAATAAGCTCGACATAGCGGCGATGGCAGTCAAGAGAGAGATGGTATCATATAGTACCCACCACTTGCATTGCCTCGGAGACGTGGAGGTGATTTACGGCATGATCGTCATCGCCACTTGTGTAGCAGCTGTACATGTGTGGCGGTCAAGTGGCGGTAAAGTAGGGCGTACTCTACTGGTCTCGACCGCAGACGTCTACGGCAATGGGAAGGTGAGGCAGTCGCGGGAGAGATGCTCCATTTTTTGCCTCCCCATCTCTCCATGAAGTCGGGTCTGGATGCGAGCCTGACCAGGGTGGCAAATTGGTGAAACACACCAGTACTGTCCTTGTGTGTCAGAGACAAAGAGCCCGATGTGCCTTCGCACACAGGTCATCCATCAATCTCCGCAGTAGCCTGGCTTCTTTTGTGATTGGATGGGGGGGATTGATAGGTTCCCATCACCCCGTGACCTGTCAACTATTGTCGTCTGACTTCTCGCTTGACTGACTTTTCCTTACCACTGCAATGCGCGACAAAGCCATCCTTCCCGATGAGATTCCTCAGGATCATCCCTGTCGAAAGGAGCCGGAGAGTTACAGCAAGAAGGCGATCGATCAAGTCAGCCGCTACCCTTACATGGTCCCATCAAAGTACGAGGAGAAGTATGGGGTACTTGTACGGTATCAGTCGGACGAGAACAGGGGGACGAAGAATACCAACAAGAGCTTGTTCTACATATCGTAAGCTCATCAGTCCTGATGTGGGCATCTCATGCTGATGATCAGGGTCCCAGGTCTCGGCTGCGGGAGAGATCGCGAGGGTGATGCTGATCTCGTCCGAGTCAAGTGGGATCCCGAGACAGACTGCCTGTTCAACGAGGCCAAATGCAACTATCACACTACCGCCGGAAAGACGTGTCGAGTCATGAAAATCAACATTCATCCTCTCAGAGCCGGCCAGCAATGCCCCGATCTGACGGACACCAAAGGAGAGCGGATCCACTACCCCAAGGCCACTCCAGATGCAGCGGACAACGAAGCAGACATTGTGCCAGTGAGTCCAGGGGAAGTAGTGCTGATATATGCCTTCTCAACCCCTCATCGCCCGTCCCGCTTCTACTCGCAGTCCGCGAAGGGGTCTTGGACGCGGGGCGGCTATGCGGTCCAGGCGCCCTAGTGTCGAGACCTTCTGTGAAGACAAGACATCGAGCTCGGACGACGAATACCAAGCGAACAAAAGGAAGCGTCCGGCTGGGAAGAGGAGCAGGGCATCGAAGAAAGCTCCAGGTCCGTCATGGTTCTAACTTTGCCCATGGCCATCAGCTGACGGTCAGGGGTTGCCATCGCCGATGCTGCCGTGCTGGATGACGTCGGAGAACACGAGCAGCGATCAAGTGAGTGGTATATCCCTGTTCACTACTTCAGGGAATGCACTGAGCCTCACAGCTAACGCTGCGGAGGGGCCGTCAGCACGGTCCGCGCCAGTCAGCCAGACGATCCAGGCAAGCCGATTCTTCGATCCTTGACATGACAGCAGGCTGATTTGAGTAGGTTGTGAATGAGCGCAGTCAGGTCAACCCTAGTACCAGTGACTTTAGTGCTAGAGCGACTGCGGACTCGGAGGTGAGCTCGATCCCCGGGGTTCAGGCTGAGTTCACCTGCTGACTTTAGTCCTCGCTCTTCCTTCAGAAGCAGCTCGAAACTCTGCAGACGGAACACCTCGAGCTCCAAGCGGAAGTCGCCCGCTATCGCACTGCTCAGAGTCAAAGCGCCGACGACCGAGCGTCGATGCTCCAGCGCGTCCACGTTGCCGCCAAACTCAAAGACCTCCGCATCGCCCAACTTAAGCAGATCGCTGCTTCCGCCGGTGCGGACGTCTCTGGCTCGCTTCGCATCGACTTTGGGGTCCCGGCCGATACCCCTCGTCAGCTGTCTCTGGCGGAGGATGCGGCGTATATCGAGTTGAGCATGATGCAGGGTCTTTAGCGTTAGCTTGCAGTATTGAGTAGGATAGGCAGATCTGGGATAGGCAGAGAGCACGTTTCATCAGGTCGGAATGAAGTTTCATTATTACATCCACCTCCATTCCGCATCTCGCCCTCTCCCCGTCGCTAGTTTTGGTTGTTCGGCCTTCCGTCCCAGTCGTGCCGCCCCTCAGAGATAGCATGCCCGCACAATTTCCCGCTCAATCTGCCTCCTTCAATCCACCGAATCAATGCCCATCGTGCTGGCGACTCCTATCAGCCCTGCTCTCAGACCCCCTCGGCTCGCAAGAACACAAGAGGCTCCTCCTTGCCATCTGCCCCTATCTCCGGTCGGTCTACGCTGAGAGCCACACCTGGCTGCAGCTGGACGTCGGGAACCCGGGCAGAGAACGGGTCATCTGGGTATCCCACCACCCATTGGATCTGGCGAAGCGTATCGTACCGCTTGAACAGCGCCCGCAACCTGCGTTGGGAGATGTGGGATGGGGCCTCGACCTCTCCGCTCGGCGTATCGTCTGGTCCGACCGCGAGACGGTTTTGGTGTTTTGCTGAAGGAAGAACGAAGGTTATGTGTTGCAAAGCGGGAAGCGAGGGATTCTTGTGTAGCTGTCGTGGTCAGCCCTGTCCCAGACCATCCAGCGGATGAGACCCACCCAAGTAGTGTCGAGAAGAGGATAACAATGAGTCATACCTTGCGCCACCTCGGCTTCTAGGGAGAGCATGGTGACGCTGCATAGGGCTTGCTGGAATTTTGGAGTTTGCTGGATCTCTTGGACTGAGGTCAAGATGTACGCGGCCAAAGGACCGTAGAGGGCGAGATTGGTTGCGGTGTAGTAGTAGGAGAGCGAGCGAGCGATCACCGCGGGCCATGTGGTTTTGTATTTGGCGCGTTGCCCGGGGAAGGTGTAGCCGGGGAAGTAGATGATGAGTTCGCGGAGTGCAGGGAAGCGAGGGAGGATGGCCACAGCATCGCGGATGGTCTGCCAGCCGCCCACTAGAGTGAAGCGTGTCAAGTGAGGCATGCTGGGGATATATGTGCCGGGGCCGGTCCACGTAGCGTGGACATCGTCGTCCGACCAGTGCGTCCCGAGCGAGAGTTCCCTCAACTCGCTGATGTACTCCGAGAGTGATTGAAGATGTTGGAATACGCGCGAAGTCGCGGAGAGGGAGAGTTTCCGAAGGGCGTTGGGGACGCTGGTTCCGTAGTTGCAGGGCCAGTATCCGCCGCCGAGGGACTTTTCACAATCCCAGAGGTCGCCGCCATCCCCGGGATTCTCCGTGTCAATATCGTCGTGATCGCACACGTCCATGTCAGACCAGCTGCCGTCAAAGACGTGCACGTTGAGCTCCTCCAGCTGGTTCATGAGTCGATCTAGCTGCCGCCAGGTGATGTCCACGGTCTGGTCGTTGACCTCAATGGTGAGTTTGCGCAGGTGCTCCGAGGACGGCGGGTACGCCTTGAGATGCCGCTCGAAGCGCTGGGACGTCTGATCGAGCTGAGAGAGGCGGGTCTTAGCGGCCTTGTCGTCGAGGGCGCGGATGCTGGTGAAGCCTGCAGCGTCAGAACCTTCTTGAGCGGACAGGCGCCGAGCTCACGTGATTTCATCATGGGTGGCTCGACAACGACCGTCTTTGAAGCCAGATGCGGCCGCAAAGCCGCCTCCGCCGCCTCCCTCCACCTCCGACACGTTCCCATCATCACCCGAACCGTCTTCTCATCGCCCGATAAGGCCGCGAAGCGCCCGATGAGCTCGGCCGGGAGCCGACATACCGCAGCGAGCTGAGGCGCAGTCGCTTCAGCATCAGTTTGGGTAGACATCCTGATTCTGCGATGGCAACAGGAGGAGTCGAGGAGTGTCGAGGAATCGAGACCGGGCTAAAATGCAAAGGGAGGAAGTGAAAGTTTTCAGCCACCTACAGCAAGGAATGTGGAGTTCATCTACGGGAGGGATCATTTATAGCCCCCACAGACAGCCTACCAACAAGCTGCCAAGGATCAGAAGAAGACGCCAGGTGTAGGCCCACAATGGCATACATGATAAAGCAGGACTGTCCTTGCGCCCTACGCTGGATGCCCACACCCTCGGCGTAGCCCTGAAAGTATCCTCCTTTCAGCGGGGCGTCAACATGAGGGACCCTCGATCGCTGTGTCCAACGATCACGCCTTCGACCTCGCATGAGCGCAATATGACCACCTGTGATCGGGAACGCAACAGCGCTTAGCAGTAGTTCACGCTGTGATGATCTCAGACACAGACCCCCAAGATCTTGCTCGTGCGACAGGGAATCCCGCCACGATTGCGTGCGTTTTGCCGCCCCATTGCCGCAGGTTTCGTACAACTCACCCCTATTATTGCTCTCTGCTTACTCACTCGATCGCTGCACATTTCCAGTCCTCTTACTCATGTCAGGTAGCTAAGACTGTGCGAAAACCAGCAAGCAGCCCACACAGCTGGAGTGCTGGGTGAAGGAGCTTGCACGGGCCTCCAATTACTGTAGGCATGAGTCACACACGCCTCGTTGCTTCAGTGTTGTGTCTGCCCGAATCTCACCGGAGAACGAAGATCAGATCCAGCTTGGATTGGTGAGTCATGACTGTGCCAATACCGAATTCGCCCGGACTTGCTTCTACGGCCTCGAGGGACCCTTGAGCGCCACCTCGCTGCAGAATGTGCGGGACTGGGAGCGAGGCGGGAACAGCTACCGCCAGATCAGTCTCACTTGCAACGGCGGAGTTTCGGAGGCCAGCAATCCTGTCTGCGCCGCTCAGTCGATGCCTTGGAACCGCAGCCGCGAGGGTCAGTGTGGCGCAGACGGAGCGGTGAAGTGGTCTGTGAAGAGGAAGTTCGACACGTACACATTATGCCTCACAATCGGGGTGTCGGAAGCTTAGCAGATTGCACGGTGTATGAGGTTTGGGTCAGACGAGGGTCTTACGCGAGGCATTGTCAGTGCGATTTTGATCTTAAGCATTGGATGCACTTTTGACTTGCACCATGAGCGAAGTGTCAGCGCTTTGGCGCAAGGCGGCGGTACCCTGGTAGAGCACTGTACCGTGTTCCATGACTAGCATTCGAAGTAGCATTCTCATAGCTGGGCGGACCGAGCAGGGGCGTCCTAAGTGATCAGATCGGACACATACTCTCAAGCCCGGGGACCAGCTCACTCTGACCATCAAACTGATCCTATGGCCAGGCTCGAGTTTCTTGCCCTGCCAAGCAGACCCCGTATCATCGTATGGCAGGATTGAGTGGTCGTATTGATATCGTACTGTGTCGCTGTTCCGTCAGCACTTCTCTGGGGATGGCGGAGATCCTAGACTCACCGCTGGATATAGAGACTCCCGCTCGGTAGTCGAATGTCCCAACCCTCCTCGCCGCCCTTCTCCTTCAAGCGTAGTATCCGCTCCGCGCCCAAAGAGGTACCGATGATGACACTGCCTGAAGCTTCCAGGTTGTCGACATGTGGCAGGATGGCACCATGAGGAGCCAGATGGAGGAGGTGTGTTGATGTGCCTCTTGGAGTTTGCTCATGCGTGCCTCGGACGGCTCCTGTCTGAGTGTACGATCCCCCGGGCTCGCTGACAGGAAGGAGGTCGTAGATCCGCTTCATGAGCGCGGAGAGGTCTGGCCAAGCCTTATCTGGTGGCGGGAAACTTGAAAGCAGCGTCTCTCGATATTGATGTATGACCGAGTCGTAGTGGCCCTAGCTATCTATCAGCGAAGTCTACAGGACATAAGAGCGGACTGACCTCCTCAAACCCATACTCGCCATGGAACAGCGACTGCAACCCCGCCCCACCTGCCTCGGACTCCTCCCAGAGTCCCTTGTTCCGTCTTCTGCGCCGAGTGCTGTCCACTCGATCCAGCTTCCATAGCGCCATTGCTAGGAGTTGCCTGGATTCCTCTTCCCCAAAGAAGTCGGGATAGAGCTGAAAGTCTGTCCCGATTGACGAGGGCCGGCTTGGCCCGGCAACAGCGTTTGGGCTGAGAGGGCGAATGAAGGCTGATGGGCGGGTTAGGACATGAGGCTCTCCCAGCGTTCGTTGAGCTGCTGTAGAGAGCTGTCTGAGCAGCTGGCTGGTCTTCATAGTTGCGATATAGATGGATGCAGTCGACAGTAGATCGAGCGGCGCCATTATTTTGTCGCTTGAATTGCTTGGCCGATGACCGAACCATCTTCTATCTTGCTCTTGCAACAATACATCATCAGACTTACAACAAGCCTACACAATCTCATAACGAAGCCCACAGAGCAGGTGCAGCCTATAGACCTCGTACAGAATAACAAAAATCGGATAGGTATACCCACGAGTTAAGGCGGCACGATGGCAAGCTCGACATCCCCTCCTCCACGCCCGCAAGCCGAGATGGCTCCTGCTTTCCGAGAGCACAGACCGATGATTGTCGGCGGCGATCAACCAGAGGAGCCTTTTCCCATGCTCCTCGAAGGCGTCGTCACAAGAGGATTCGGGCGAGGTGCTCGCTTCCTCGGTATCCCAACAGGTAGATCTTGCCGTTCCCGGAGGGCTGCGCTTTGCTGACGACCCAGCCAACCTGCCCGACTCCTCCCTCGCACCCCTCAACGACCTCCAAATGACAGGCATCTACTATGGCTTTGCCCGCGTCCTCCCTTCCACCTCGACCCCACATGCTACTGCCCCATCTACCCCATCTTTATCGGATACACACCACTCCTCCCCCTTATCGGCATCGACGATCCAGTCAATGCCGGCGGCAACGGCGCCATACCCGCCCGATAGTGTGGAAGGGGATATAACAAGTCCGAAGAGGTTGGATAAGGAGGATGGGAGGGTATGGCCGATGGTCATGAGCGTGGGCTGGAACCCGTACTTTAAGAATGAGAAGATCACAGCGGTACGTCCATCGCTATTTGGCAGAATTCGTGCTGACGATGTAGGAGGTCCACATCATCCACCCCTTCTCTCATGACTTTTACGGGCACGACATGTCCGTACTGGTACTGGGATACATAAGACCAGAGTTGGACTATACGTCAAAAGGTGTGTCCGGGCGAATGAGTATAGAGGTGAAGCTGATCAGCAGATGCTCTGGTCCAGGACATTCAGACGGACGTCAAGGTCGCGCTGAACTCACTGGCCCGGCCCAGTTATGCCAAGTTGGCGCTGGACCCGAGGCTCACGGGGGGACCAGCCCACAGGTGGGACCTGTCGTGATGTCACGAAGCCCTGCAGGTATAGTTGCGGCGGGAAGAGGGGTATGGTCCTGGATAGAAGCTGGGTGCGGAAGCGAGCTACTCTTTTGATCGAAGCACGTTGCATCCTACACATGATCAGGAGAACTTGCACATTTTCTGTCTACCTAGGTCGCTCACTCTCCACCTCCACCCCCGCCCGTCAGGCTTTTGGCTTCTCCTTCTTCGGGCTCGGACTCCTACTCCTCGTCACACTCCTCATACTGACGCTCCGCACACTCTCGCTCTTCTTCCGCCTGACCGGACTCCTACTCCTGCTCGCGGACGGACTCCTCTTCCGCCTCGCCACCGGGCTCCTCGACCGCGAGCGCGATATGCTCCGACTGGGACTGCGCTTCTTTTTCGACTTGCGAGGGGGCGATCTCGACCTGGAGCGAGACCGAGAACGGGAGAGGGAGCGAGAGTAGGATGCTTTACGGCCTTTTCGAGGGGATCTCGATCGGGACCGAGACGGCGAGCGGGATCTCGACCTGGACCTGGACCGAGAGTATGACGGTGATCGTCTCCGGCCGTATGGGGAACGAGGGCGCCGAGCGGGCGATCTCGACCGGGAGCGGTATCGTCCGCCAGAAGGTCCGGGTGCACCACCCCCATATCCTCCACGACCCCTATTTCCGTATCCGCCCGGCCCGCTGGGTCCTCCTCGTCCTCCGTATCCTCCTCCGTATCCTCCCCTCCCGCCATACCCATTATCTCTCCCTCCTCGCGCTCCGCCAGGGATGTACACATCGCGTCCGCCAAATCCACCCCTGTCGCCACCTCCGGACCGACGAGGAGGTGATCTCGACCGCGAGTAGGACCGTTTCCGCCCGTATCCTGCGCCTCGCTTCCGACCGGGGCTGGGCGAGCGTGAGTACGATGGCGAGCGCCGGTGACGGTTGATGGGGGAGCGGGAGCGGGAATTGGAGTATCGTCTCCGTCCGGTTGTGGGTGCGGGATTGGGAGAGGCGGGCTGAGGCGCGGGAAGGGGGTGTTCGGAGATCTGCCTAGTCAGCTTCGACTGTTATACGCCGCAGTCAGGTTAGCTTACTTGTACAGTCAAAGCTGCGCCATCAAGCTGGCCACCCTCCATATGCTTGACCGCCATCTCGGCGTCGGCTGACTTCTCGAATTCGATAGCTGCTTTTCCACGGTTCAGTCCAGCTGCAGACATCAGCTGAGCACATGAAAATACTGGCGAGCAGTACGTACAGACTTTGAACAGAGGCAAATCCAGCCCCGTAATCTTCCCGTACTCCCCAAAAATCTCCTCCAGGTGCCCCTTGTGCACATTCTTCGTCAATCCACTGACAACGATGACCTTGAAAGCCTTCTCTTCCGCCTCCGCGCCTTCCGTAGAGCCTGCGGCAGGCTTCATTTCGACATCGTCGGGAACTTTGGACGACTCGGCGGCGTCCTTTCCAGTCTTTTTTGGGGAGGCGGCTGATGGCGACCGAGTCAGCCGTTTTGGCGAGCGTGAGCGGCCTCTGTCTGACATGGCGTATATAGAAGGGTAAGGGGTGGGATGATGTATCAAGCTCAGAAGAAGTAGATGCGTTAATTCGACGCGCAGCAAAGGAGAGCAAGGTGGAGGCGGAGATAGCCGGCATTACGTCCATGTGGCTCCGCCGGACGTGGCGGGGGGATACTCAAGTGTCTCAGAGAGGGATTATGCGTGATGCATAGCCTTCCCAGCCCAGCCTATGAGAGAGAAAAAGAGGAGGGAAAGGGGAAGGCTATTCATGTGCGGCATCATCCCGCACCTTCCACTTCAAAACCTCCAGAGTCGCCTTGGCGTCTTCGGCAGAGCTGTGACCCGTGGAAGTGGCCTGTTGTTGGATGAAGTAGCCGAGTTTTTCCTTGACCCTGCTCGCGTCAGCTGTCAACGTTCAACTCTCAACTGCATAAGTGGAGACTTACAGATCGCGGAGTGCTCGACGGAATGGTGCGCCCTTATGATGAGGGATGAGCTGAGGGTCAGCTCGTTCGCAAGGCTCTAATGGAGTCCCCGAAAGGAGCGAGTTGAGCTTTGAGGTGTAGCTCATTGTTTGTCTTTGCGAGAGTTCCTGAGCGGAGCCAGTCGAGGTTTAAGATACGAACCCATCCGCAGAAAAGAACAATCACACTTACAACAGCTGTATCGATTACCTTGTCGTGCAGAAGCCGCATTGCCCTCAGGTCGTTCTCCAGTCTGTTTTTGTCAGTATAGACTCGCCAACTTGACGTTACCTACGAACCGGGGAAAGAAGTGAGAAAAATCGAACTCACCCATGTCCGACAATGATGGTTTCCGGTCCGATGAACATGCAAGCGGCAGCGCGGACCGCCTTGATGTCCATCACAGCCCCATCGAGGTTGTCCTGAGTGATACCGGAAAAGCGAGTATTGAGATCTCTGCAGGGATCAGCTCTGCAACACAGAAATGCTGCGCTTAGACATACAAGATGGTTGCAGTCTGCCGGACTAGCTCGTCAAAGATCGTTTCGCCCTTCTCGTCGACTATCGTTGCCCGCGCTAGCGAATATCCTGCCGTGGTATCTAGCATCAGGCCTGCTCGCTCATGCTGACTCACAGATCATCTCGCAGTCCATCCCCACTACCTCCGCAAAAGCCTCTACCCTCCCGGACGCCCTATTCTCCTCCACCTGATCCTTGACCAGCTTGAACCCCACCCGACTTGCAAGCTTCACATCGTCTTCCCTCTCATTGAAGATATGTACCCCCTTGTAACACCCCACTGCCCCCCTTTCTTTCTGACAGCACGAGTATAGCCACATCTTCTTCCCGTCTCTCTTCTCCGGCAACAGCCTGCCGAAATGGTAGACGCATTCCCCCATCCTCTCCTTCAGGTTCGCCGACGAGACCACAAAGTCCACCCCGCATCGGTCGCACTTTTGAGTACTGCCGAGTCCGTCGGGCTCGGTATCGCCTTGTATTAGGGCAGGATCGTTAGGCTCGGGGTACCGCCAGGTGGGAAAAGCGGAGACAGGAAGGAGGTACCGCTTGCACCGCTCGAACGTGAGCCGGGACGCTGCCTCTTTCTCGACCTTCAGCGTGGCCTCGCGTGAGACACGAACGGTACCGACGGACGGATGCGCGAGGGCGTCTGGAGGGGCACGGCGGGAGACGGATACGGCGGCGTGGTGGATGGCTCGCTTATATGCTGAGAGGTCGGTCGAGGAAGCGGAAATGTCGAGCTCCTCAGCGATTGAGCAGCGTGAAGCGAGATCCGGATCCAGAGTGGAGATGCCGGTGTACTTTGCGTCAGCTGATTGTGATATCAGGAGCAATATCAAGCTCACGAGCTTGGTGTATTGGGTGAATAGGGTTTGTACTGATGCATCAGCCTTAAACAAAACGTTCCATTCGCGGTGGGGCCTATACTCACAAGCTTTCTGTCGGTCCGCATATGGCTGCTTGGACATTTTCATATCCTTTGCATCTCTGGATATGCTAGGAGCGCCATTGACCTGAGGTCGTGCTGCAGCAGCGGGCCGAGGCTAAAGGTCAGCTTCGCCGGACGAGGTCCCGGCTGATTCGACCCACCGTGACAGTTGGTAAGCGTGACGATGAAGCTGATGCAATAGCCGTGGGAGGCCTCGCAGCGACTCCAGGCCTTGTAGAAGTTGACACCCGAGCTCCTGAAGTCGACGGAGCAACGCCATCCCCTGTCACCCTCGCTTTCGCTGGGCTCTTAATTCCCTCCGTCCCGCTCACCCGAGCTGGTGTCGCAGCCTTGGGGACCCCTTCCGCCCCCTTCAGCCTGCTGACACCAGATTTGATTTCCACTTCGAGTGGCTTGACAGAGCTCTTATCATCCACTTTCCTCTTCTTGAGAGCAGGCTCTCCCTTGCCAGTAACGCCGACCGGAAGTCGAGAAGGTCCCGCCGCCGCCGTAGCTTGCGTATGCGCAAAGAAGCAGTATGGCCGGAGACACGGCTCGTCGGGACATCTTGAGGTCTGTAGTAGACCCAGAGATTTGAACATTCTGTATGTAAGCGTAAAGTAGGGCGGAGTATAGAGAAGTGGCTGATCCAACGTTGAATCTTTCCATCTGCAGCAGCTCAGCTTTGTTTTGACGCACGGAGCGTTGTGCGTTACGTCATACTGCCAACTCCACATTCCTCGCGATCTCACCAGTAAATCAAGGTCCAACAAATTTCCATTCATCTCACACTGTCACCGCTCCGTTATCGCCTACCAGACCGCTCCAGACTCAACCGAGATGCAGCGAACATCAATATCGAGCAGTAGACGGACGGTCCTTGAGATGGTGAGCCGTACGCGGTGTCGAGCGGCATCGTCCTCGATCCGTCCTCGTCCACAAAACCGGTCTTACGCAGATTCGCCTACTATCGCAGGCGGCAAGCTCGCCCAGATCATTCGAGACTCCATCAGAGTGTGTCATCTCTCCAGGTTTCTTGTTCTGTACTGATTTACAGGCGACAGGCCCGATACCAATCTCGCGGTATATGCAATTCTGCCTCTCGCACCCTACCGAGGGCTACTACTCGAAAGGAGATGTCTTTGGACGACAGGGTGATTTTATCACATCTCCAGAAATAAGTCAGATATTTGGAGAGCTGGTGGGAGTCTACTTCCTTACACGGTATCTGGCCAAAGGCGGGAAGGGACCTGTTCGGGTCATAGAGCTTGGTCCTGGGCGGGGGACGTTGATGGATGATGTTTTACGGGTGAGTGTTTACTGGTCAAAGCAGGAACGCTGCTAAATTAGTAGACCTTATTAAACTTTCCGACGATAGCGGACAAGATCAAGGAGGTGCATCTGGTGGAGAACAGCTTGAAGATGCAAAAGCTGCAGGGTGAAAAGCTAGCGGCGAGAATAGATGGGAGGGGGATCGATCTGAAGTGGAGCGACATGGTGGATGGGATCGAAGACTGTGAGTTACAGACGATCGGGATCTGACCTTCCTCAGGCGTGAGAGCTGATCGTCGCAGCGGACGCGTTCACGATGGTTGTAGCGCACGAGTTCTTCGATGCTATGCCGATCAACCTCTTCGAGGTGTGTCTAGCCTTTGCCCATTCCACGAAGCCCCGCTGATACCATAGAAACGGGAAGACGGGTACAGAGAAGTCCAGGTCGACTCGGATCCGCACTATGCCCCAGGGCATGCCCTCTCCCCTACCCCGAAACCCCCGAAGCTGATGTTTTCAGCCTTTCAACCTCAAAGAATGCCGGTCTCCGACTGGCCATCTCCCGCACACCCACACCTCTATCCACCGTCCTCCCTGCCACATCACCCCGCTTTGCCAAGCTGCCCATAGGCAGCCGCATCGAAATAGCCCAAGAATCATTCAAGATCACGCGGCGCCTTGGGGAGATCATCAGCGCAAAGGGCGGTGGAGGCGGGGCGGGGCTCATAGTGGATTATGGAGGAGATAGGGCATATGGGCAGAGCTTCAGGGTGAGCAGAAAGATATCAAGTATGTCGAAAGGAATGAGCTGATCATAGGCGTTCCGAGATCACAAGATCGTTGATGTATTTGATGAACCTGGATCTTCAGATTTAACCGCCAACGTGGACTTTGCGTACCTTCGAGAATCGCTCAAAGGTGTCGGTAAGTCCATTCTACCGCCGAGGACAGCCAAGCTCACGCTCCAGCCCGACCACTATCCCCTATCCCTCAATCCCAATTCCTCCTTTCCCTGGGTCTGCAAGCCCGCCTAACATCCCTCCTCGCTTCAGCACCGAATGACGCGAGGAGAGAAGATATGAGGAAAGGTGCAAAGCGGCTCATCGATTCGACGGGAATGGGGTCAGAATACCAGGTTATGGGAATTGAGCCGCTTGGTGCTGCGGGCGAGGCAGAGGAGGAGGTGTATCCGTTCCCTGCGCGGGCGGAGGTGTTGTCGGAGCCTGTAGATGTCCAGTCGGGCGTTGACATCCCTGTAGGATGATGCGTTATGCTACATCGGCGGGTGATGCCCATATGCCAGCATCCACATGTTCCTCCGGTATATATACTTCCCACGCTTTTTACTTCGTCGTTCGGTAGGCCTCGCAGCATCGACAGGACAAGTCCAGCGCGTGTCCTCACAGTGAAAGTCTGACGAAGAGATATTGTTTGTAGACTTAGCGCGGATTCCAAGGCCGATGGTCAGAATATAGTGAGAGATAGACCTCAATCCAGCTAGTATAGACATGACAAAGCGTTGGCAGCCAAGATGAATGATCCAGATTCGTCCTCCACTTGGCACTCAAGATTCCCCATTCAACCTCGCCAGTCTTCCCTCGAGATCCTTCATCCGCTTCTCCACCGCCGCCCAATTCCCCAGCGCCTTTCTGCCGCTCTCCTCCACCCCTTCTTGCACACACTGAACCACCGCCTTAAGCTCCTTGACTTCCTCCCCTCTCCTCGCTCCCTCCCCTTCTAGCTTCTTCAGATCCTCCACCACCCTGCCTGCCTGTGTATGCAAGCCCGCCAGACTCCGCAGTCTCGCCATCAGTGGGGGGAGTATAGGGAGGAGCGGGTCAAGCCGAGGTAAAAGGGCGAAGAGGGTCTGCAGCTGGGCATGTTCCGGAGCCGATAGGGCGAGGGAGGAAGGAGGAGCGGCGGCATTTTGTATGTGAGAGGAAGGTGTCCGCCTAGAAGACGCAGCGGCGCGGTCTAGGTCGACGAGGAGGAGCTTCAGGCGGCGGGATATAAGGTCGAGATGGCGTGGATGGGAGAGGACGGAGAGGAGGTGGTCCAGCTTGGACAAGGAGGGCAGGAGGGGTGTACCGGGCGACTGCTAGTCAGCGAGGTCCGGGCAGACACTACCGGAGACATACCTGATCCAAGCCTTCTCCACTCGTACCGATCATCTCCTCCAGACTGGCCAGCCTTTTGTCCAGGTCTGACGCACTCGCTCCGCCTCCAGCATCGTGTCCGTTCACCTCATCAACACCGTCGCCAGACTCTTCCGCTTCCCCTCCATCTGCAGCTTTGCCCACCGTCAACCGCCTGAGCCGGTCTTCTATACCTCCAGAGCTCGTTCCTTCCACTTTACTCCCTCCATCTTCCTGATCGAGCACCTCGAGCCGCTTCCTCAGTCCCGCCAGCTCGCCGACCAGATCCATCCCCTTCCTAGGTGGCAGCACGGACTTTCGCTTTGCCGGCAATTTGCTCGTGCTGGCGCCTGATGCCGAGCCCTCTTCTTCCCCGGCGAATTTCTCGATTGCGGAGGCCGATACCTCCTTCTCGACCTCTTCGAGCTCCGCTTTGAGCCGGCGTATACGCGCAGCGGGCGTTTCACGGGGACGGGAAGACGAGGGTCCTTCGGATGACGAGGAGCTGGATGAGCGAGATAGAGGTGGGAGGCCGAGCTGATACGACCCATCTACGCATGTAAGCATCTGCCGTCAGACACCTTACATAGTAGACTACCCCGGTCAAGACTCACCTTTTCTCCTCGTTCGGCCAAACGCCTTTTCCACGCCACGACGACCCGGGAGGGCTGACTGATCGATACCCTCTGACACTGCTCTCGGTACATCGTCGTCGTTCGCGCCGTCTTGAGACTAGAGCTACGTCAACACACGTCGCACTGTACGACCCAAGGGGGAATCAGCTGGGTTGATCGCAACTTACCTGCCGAAGGGACGCCTCGGGCCCATCCGCCGTTTCAAACACGTCCGGCGCGGTATCCTGCCTCGAGTCAGCTCCGGGCTCCGATTCCAGCTCACGCAGCTCACTATGTCGGGTAGGCCGTGGTACTTGCTCATCGCTTCAGCTATGTGAGAGGATGTGATCGACGCCAAATAGAGGCGCGAAGATGGTCCAAACGCGCGACGTGTTTCAGGTTGAATTGCTGACGTAACTACAAGTCGCGCTTTGACTTTCGACGGCCCCGAAAAGGTCCATCCTCTCATGCGTTTGTACTTGTTCCTTCCCGTATCCTGCAATAGCAAGGCTTGCTACAATATGCCGGTGGATGAGGTTACCTGTGAGCTAGAGTGTCACCTGAGGTGACATTAAGCTGACCCATAGTCCCCGCTGAGCGTCTCGTGATCTCGCAGGTCGCGGCGCCCACCAACGCACTCGCAAAGGCCATCAAGTGGAAGCCCCTGTAAGCCTTCTTCCTGCCTTATTATACCTCAGATACAGCATATCTGACCAAGTAGTGATGGTAGCTATGAGATGAGCCTCTCGACCGCAGCCAACAAGCTGAGGCTGCAGTTGAACAAGGGCGGAAAGCCGGTCGTAAGTCATGTCAAGCTGAAGCAAGTGAAGCTGACTCTTAAGATCACCGCCGTCTTTCACAAGCTTACGCCTCTCCAGAAGAAGGCCTCTCATGCGCCGCGGCTTCAGCATGCCACTAACAGGATGTCCTTCCGCTACCCCTCGTCCCCGCATATGGACAACGGCGTGAGTGCGAATAGCCTGTCCCTGCGACTGAGCTGACCCGATAGCTGTCTGAGAGGTTCCAGATCAGTCTTCAGTCATTCTCGTCCGTCCAAGATGCCGTACGACTCCTCGGTCCCTTCTTCTGCGTCATGCCATCTTCTTCGGCGTCGCAGTCGCAATCGCAATCCCAGTCACAGTCGCAAAGCAGCAACCCTACTCCGGCGGTCGAGACAAAGAAGAAGCGCAAGCTCCCGGAAGAGACGCCCTCCAGCGCGAAGAAGGCGAAGGAGACCGCTCCGGACGATTCTCCCACCGAGCCTAGCGGTCCCATCAATGAGTCAGCTTCATCAAGCGACAAGGTACAGGGCGGAACCCTTCAACCTCAGCTTTCGGTCCTTCCTCAAACGCCCGTTCTACCGATGCCCGACCCACCAGCTGCATTGAAGAGCGAATCTCAGCGCAGCGGAGCGACCGAAACACTTCAAGACACACAATCCGCGGATCCGCATCCTCGACCGGAAACTTTTTCTATCGATCAAGTGAGAGTCGATCTTCTTCCTCGCAGTCCTCTCGTCGACATTGCGACTCCTCCTCCCTTGCCGGTCGGTGCTTCAACTTTGTCCCTCGAGCGCGGTACTCTCATGGACATCTGCGACCTCGCTTTCGGTAGCGGCTTCGAGGAGATTGAGGCATTGAACATGCAGTACCAGCCGATGATGACGGACATTGAGGAGAGGATCGAGGCGGCGAGGATTCAAGCGGATGAGGAGGAGTTTGGGGATGGAGGAGATGTGAGTGACGGGCTGGCTAGACTTTGACGGAGCTGACGGCTAGGTTTCGGCCGAGCTCCAGGCGATCTGGGACGGTGCCCCAGCGCACGGCGGGCTGGGGCATCTCACGGGGGCGACCGATCAGGAGCTACTGGATTGGATGGAGAGTGGGGAGCTGGATGAGGACACTATCCGCCTCGTAAGTTTATTTACTGGTGAAAAGTTCTGGGTGCACATCTGACTTCTAGTGCCATCGCATAGTCGCTGTCGACCATTACCGCCACCAGCGCCAACAGCCCTACCCGTCACCTCCTTACGAAGGCACTGCGCCTTATTATCAAGCATACCAGCACCTTCAAGCCCCCGGCCCGAGTAATGCCAGCTACGGTCACGACCCCGTCCGCACCGCTCATCAATACGACTCGTCCCTCACCCACTTGCACCCGGCCGCATCACAGCAATTCTACGACCCTCATCAAGACGGCCAACACTACTACGCTCAGGAAGACATCGACGATATCGACGACTGAATTGTATACACCTGTAGTATAGCACGAGAACGATGTTGGCAGTCCATATCATGACATGTTATATAGTGTATAGATCCAATCTGGAGGGCGACATACTCTCATAGGGCTACAATGCGCTTCTATCTTTCCCGACGGCGATCCCTTGATTCTCGTCGAGGTGATCTGGATCTTGACTGAGCCCGCCTGTCCTCTTTCTCCCTGTCTCTTCTTCGGTCCCGTCTCCCAACATCCTCCTCGCTGTCCCCTTCAACCCCCTCTGGCTGCGGCTTGTACCTCAACTTCCCCTCACACCGCCCACACAGCCTGACCTTCACCAACGCCTCCCTTCTCTCCCCCGCCTCCTCATACGCGAACGGCAGCTCGAAAGCTCGCAGACTCGGCGGTGGTCGCTCTTTTCGCCGCCGTTTCCGTCCGTCCCGGCTCCGATCTCGCTCGTCAGATTCGTCGTCTGAGCAATCCTCCCTGGACGCAGCTGGACGGTGGTGGCGACATCGTAATGAGCCGCATGTGTCTTCTCCGATACCCTCGACGACTTCAGGGGCGGTCCTCCAGCGTAAAGCAAGCCGTTTTGATTTGTAGTGCTTCAGGTCTATCTGAGTGTATCAGCCGCGTTACAGCCTCCGTAGCAGGCATAAACGTACCAGGGCGAATTCTTTGAACAGCTTGGACTCGTACGCTCTCGCAAGGCGCTCTTCCCATGAGACGTCCCCGGCGGTCTCGTCGTCACGGATGAAGCTGCCAAGTCAGATTCGACGCAGACTCGGCCTACTTTAGCAACTCACCAATGATTCTCCTTCAGTACATCCCACTCTGTCCTCTTCTCTCCTCCGCCTCCGTCGGCATACGCATCGCCATACCGAGCAACGACCTGTCGCTCCCGCTGGAAGACGTTCATGCCCCCGTTGTTCGGCCGCAGCCGGTCGACGAGACGAGCGGACGAGCCGGAGCTGGGCCCGGCCGAAGAGCCCGCGTCTCCGTTCCGATGACCTGATAGGGTCGGAGGGCCAGATACGAGCGTCCCGGAGCGTTTCCAGCTCATCTTGAAGCTCTTAGATATGGAGGTGGATTAGCCATGAAGATCAATGGTGGACAGCACTGAAGGAGCGAGCTGGTCGCGGTGATGAATTCGAGGTTGGGTGGCAAATTACGTACATCGGTCACGCTAGCGTTTTTTCAGTGCAAAATTGAACCAGCCTTTGTGACCATCATCCGTCCATCGACAAGCCTCGCTGACACCCATCTGACAACACAAGCATCTTGACGCACTTCAAAGCGTAAATCACCGATACATCCAAAGCAGACCTTCACATCTATCAGACAAAATGGGCCGTCTGCGTCGCTCCAGGTCAGCCAGCGGCCCCCCTTCGTTTGCCCTAGTCTACAGGGTTACATTCGGGCTAGCGCTGACTAGCAGGACTCACCACGCTCGTCGAGATGTGCAGCGTGCTGCTCGGACCAGAGTGAGGACGAAGGATCTGGATCAGATCCAGGATGATCTGAGGATGAGCAACCGGGTCAAGTTGGAGAGCCAGCCGATCGATGAGGATAAGCCGGGATTGGGGCAGCACGTAAGTCATCATCCTGGCTCTGCACACTAGTCACAGGTCGAGATAGAGGGGCAAGGTGGAGCAGACATACTGGTGAACTTTATCTGCTTGGTAGCAAAGGATATGCTGCTGCTTCGGCACGACTATGGGGAAATCCGCTGACAGCTCAGTACTGTGTTGAATGTGCCAAGTGAGTTGATCCACATTCTGACCTGATCGTGAAGCCGCTTGATCGCTTTACCGAAGATTTGGAGTTGTGTGCTGATCAAAACAGGTATTACGAAACAGATCTGGCTGTGAAGAACCACTTGAAGAGCAAAGTGCACAAGTGAGTCAGACGTTCATCATTCATATCCCTCTTGTATGCCTACAACCAGTCCACCATTTTCATAATCCATATCCCCCTTTCCATCCGCTCAGGACAGTCTCCTGCCCCTGCCTGACTTCACCCTGCTGACTACCAGGCGCCGCCTCAAGGAGCTCCGAGACCCCGCCTACACCGTCGCCGAGTCCAAAGCTGGCCAGGGTGTCGACAACAAGCAGAGGGGCGTTGAGGAGGTCGTCAAAAAGATAGAAACGATGGGTGGGATGGAGGAGGACAAGGCTTGAGCGCTGTTCGTTTCGAGCAGTTCCGTTTCAGGGTAGACAGTCGGTGTTGTATAGTATGTACGAGGTGTTTATGGCTGGTAATTGAATGGGATATCGCGGTGTCTGGTCCTGAGGGGAGGTGAGATCGTTTATTCACGTAGCTACGAGGCGTAGAAAAATACTCTGGTCGTGTGGAAGGGAGTGGGATATGTAGCGAGGGGCCTATGGTCGGGAAACAGTGGTAGAGCAAGTAAGAGGAGGTGTTAGGGTATCGGAGCGGGTAGGGCGTGGATTCAGAACAACCACACATATCACCAACCCCTTGTGAAGTCAGCGAGGCTCGGACATGACAGTATCGGTCCTGGAAGCAAAGGGACTGGATCTGCTCACCCGATGCCCTGCCGGCAGTCCATCGACCTTCTCCAAAGAACACCCAGGCCGACTTTGGTAAGGGGTCGTGTGGATAAGGCTAGTCACAAGGTCGATGAGCGGCTGTATGAGCGGGGCACAGTGCAGATGTGGTACATAGGCGAGCTACGCCTCCATTCTGTTCGGCTCGAGAGGAAGAAGACGTCCATACAGCCAGTCTGGCCGCTAAGAGGGACTTTTGGGGCCGGTCTGGCCGTCGAGCCTTCCACTGGCTGACCATGATGTATACTCGACCCCTCGACCCCCACAGCCGCTTGAGAGTCACAGGAGCATGAAGGGGTGTCTTCAGGGTCATCGGGGACCGTCACAGACGTAATATAACGGCAAACAGCGCCGAGAGGGGCAAAAAAATGGCCCAAATACTAAATCCTTCATATCTCCGTCAGCTTTGCTCCGATTTCATTGCCGTTTGGACAGCAAATAGCGACCCATTGGTAAAGGGGTATTATATATCCTTCGGGCTTCGCCGCTCGCTTCTGTCGAAGTTACTGGATATGGCCCGCGTTCGAGTCGCGGATGGGTCCATTTTTGGCTTTTGAACATGTTTTTCTCCTCGACGGCGGCGAATCCCGCCTTTTTTTCGACAGATTCTTGAAGCCCTGCATCTCCTGCGTCTGCCAGATACCATTTGTGCATGGGTTTCATGGTGCGTTCCGACGGTATGAGGCAAAATGTCCAGGGAGGTATGAGGTGAAGATGGAAAGTATGTCGAGGGGGCTGGACCGGGTGTGGCTGGCTCGATGGCTGTTTTATCACCTCCAGACTGTTCATATGGGTTCAATGCATACGCAAAATGACTTTGGGGAGGCACACGCATGTCCTTTCGGCCTCCCCGGAGGGACAAAGAAGCCTTGGGTGTGCCGCCGCGCAAGGGATGAAAAGGCGGACGAAAAGCCACTTGTGCCGTAATTTTACGTTACGCCACATTCCTGCATTTCACAGTCCTTTCACCTGCCGCTATCAACTTGAGGGTTGGTCAGGCCTTGCCTTAGCCCCAGTATGCCAGAGGTAGCGCTGAGAGAGCATATTGAGCAACCCGGGGAAGCCCCAGAAGCCTCAGAGAGATGACAGTATGATGATCTGTCACGGAGTGTGGTGCAGGGGCCACAGGGACCTCTGGCTAGGCCGTTCGGCCATCCCCGCCCACTGCCTTGAATCAGTATTTTGAATGGGTATACATGCTCTTGATCCGATGCGACAGTACCGTCTGACAGCTAAGAGCATACGCTGAGACCTCGCCACCCGCCGCCACCCATGGCGCCACTTTGAAACCCCTGGCTCGCGTTTCAGGTCACGGAAGCAAAATGGGTGAGCCGTTGCTCCTTGCCACTGATTGCGAGCGCGAAACCGTATCGTTTCTCCATCATCCCTGCGCATCGCACATACAGCTATAGCTATGTCAGAGCAGCACTCCGAAGCCATGATCCCACTCCCCATCGACAAGTCACTCCCTCTCGTCGTCATGGACTGCATCATCCAACACGCAGTCCGGGAGGCCGACAAGCCGACCGACATCCTCCTGGTCAACAAGGTAAGGCCTTCCTTCCTTCCCCATGCTTCTCCCCTGTCCTCTCAGGGATAAATAGAGCTGATCATAATCAGGGGTTCTTCCCTGTAGCCGCCCGCGTCCTCTACCACTCCCCTGTCATCATCACCAGACCCGACTCCTTCTTCGAGCACGGCGGTCGCGTACCACCCCCGGGATTCCGGAACATGACGACCTCAGACCTCGTCGAGCGAGGCTATTTCAAGTACGCCGCCCTTCGAGCTGTGCGCAGTGTCAGCATCGTCGACCCTGCGACCCTTACCTCCTTCGACCGGTACTCCTCATACATCTTCCCCTCGTACGCGACATACCCTCTCTCCTCAGCCGCGACCATGGCGACCATGCTTCGATCGCGCAGGCTCAACGAACCCTTGTACCAGCTCTACCGTTGTCCAGACGCTATACCCTCCGGAGTCATGCCAAACCTATCGACGGTACGGATAGTTGCCAGCGACTGCGCCAGCGGCTGGAGCAGGGACGCCTACCAAAGTCAGCGCACGGGCCTCGTGATTGAGCTTTACAACAAGCTATTGAAGCGGACGCAAGCTCAATCATGGTGTGTGTCCCCCGCTAGGATCACGATCTCACACACATGATAGATTGGAGCGGTCAAGTCCGTCGACCCCCCTTCGTTCCGCCGGTTCTTCACCTTCATGAAGACTTCGCGCGCTCCGCCCCATACAAATTTTCGCTTCGTATCATTCCAGGCGGCACCACGTTCATTCACCTTCACAGCACGGACCTCGGTGTAAGCGGATCTCTCACCACGGAAGAGCTGTCGATGGCCTTCCGGATGCTCGGGTTTAGCATCGGGAACTCGTTTATCAGTCACAACTACTACGATCCCTCGCCTACCGAACAGCGGGCCAGGATGGACCGTACTCGCATTACCATCAACGCCCCGCTGCCCTCGCTTGCAACATCGTCGACGGCCTGCGAGGTGCGCCGAGAAATGCAGGGGGCTTTAATCCGCGGGATGATAGAGGACTCCGCTTGTCGGGATGAGGAGATGTACTTGCGGGTCGGGGTGGAGGTGAGGCTTGGCCCTGAAGGCGATGCCTGTCAGGTCTGCCTGGGATGTGTGTAGAAGGTGAGTCATCCTGAGTGGCTCTCGATTGGCAGCAGCACGAGCTGACCTAATACAGCTTCGATAAACACGTTCAGTCCCTCGAAAATTATCAAGTAGTGTACGCGCAATCATGGTCGGCTCACGGGCGTTAATAAGGGAAGCTGAAGAAGGCGGCAGTAGCGTCAGAAGAGCATCATCATGTCCGATGTATAAAGTATATGCAGACTGAGTGAGTAGATAGTCCACATGCACGTACGTAGCTGCTACCCCTGACTTGGTGACTCGACGACGCTGCCTGGACCTCTGCAAGTTCTGTCTACCACGTGTTCGGAGCTGATCTCGTGTCGCATCAGCTCATTGCCCCATATCGTATACTGATATGTTCGTCCATGCTATACGCTGAGAGGAAGCCCAGCGCAGCCGCCCAACATACTGGAGGAACAAGCTTGCTCGCTGGAAGTCGGACCTGCGCACGGATCACCGGCTTTAGCGGGCCGGAGAGCGGGCCGGTGCAGCTTAAGCTTGCGGGGAGCTGCGTGGGGAACCTTGAGAGTGCAACTTCAACACAAAGATCGATTTTGCCTCGCTGCAGACTCACAGAAGTAGGAGCACCGCTCGCTCAGTTACGGAGCACGATGGACTACCGCCCGCCCTACTTCAATACGATCCTCCGCCAGCCATATCCCGGCAGCGCCGGAGGAAGCGATCAGACCCCTTCGAACGCCTCGGTTCAAGCAGGACAACATCCCAGCTTCTCACCCCTTCCTAGGATCTACAATGGTCCATCAAGCCTGGATCGCATACTCCAGTCGTCTCCAGGCACCCAACAAGGGGCGTACGGGACGGATCACGGTGGAGCGGGGTCTACAGTCTCGCCAAAGGTTGAGGAGGGGTCTGGACAGGCGTCAGGGAGTCAACCGCCAAAGCGAGGGAGCAAGGCTTGTGTAGCTTGTGAGTTGTAGCCGCAGAAGCTCTACCAGTAATGCTGATTTACAGGTCGGAGAGGCAAGAACAGATGCGAAGGGGATCCGACCGGCCAAAGTAAAGCCTGCAAGCGATGCCTCGCGAACGGCCTGTCCTGCGTGTTTGAGAAAGCGTCCGACAAGCCCAGTGCTCGTGGTCGGGTGGCTAGCATAGGCGCTACCGAGATAGTGCCAAGCGAGGCGGAGGGGTGAGCACCTGCAACGACTCTGCTGACATTAGACGGGTTCAACGATTAGAGCAGACCGTCAATGATCTTGCGCATGGGCAACATGCTATTCACGGAGCTGTATGTACCTGCTTGGACCAAGGCTGATATACAGCTCAATCGTATCCTCTCCATGCTGCCTAATTCGAACGCCATGATACCTAACGACGGAGCAGTGTCGACAGCGAGCATCTTCAACTCGGTGTCACCGCCATCAGTATTTGGCTCTTTTGGTCCTGTCTCGCCTCAAAACCATGCTCGCGGTCGAGCTTCGTCCTCCTCGTCGCGACCTGTAGCACCTCAGCAGTTTCCAAAGCTTCCTGGCTTCAAGCCTCCGGTAAGCCTCTCCTCCACGCTTACGGCCAATGCTGATGAGCGAGAACCACGAGTTTGGTACCTACGGTATAATCCCCCTCTCCTCCGCGCCAGGCTCGCCTACCCACTCCCGTCACTCTCGTTCCTCCTCCTCCCACTCTGTCGGATCGACAGATGCACTCCCTCAGGGCTCGTTGACCGCGCCCATCCAAGCCCTCGAGACGCTCGCGGATGCTGCCAAGCACGCCGCTGGGCTCGCCGCGCAAGGTATCGACGATGCTCCGCTCGCTATGGACGTTGAGATGGGATCACAGGCGGAGGGGTCCAAGAAGCGCAAGCAGGTCAACTTTGACAAGCACATCCACCTTCGAGTGCGGAAGAAGACCAAGCCTGATCCGACCCCGCGCAACCCGTTCCCGGACGTGGTCACGAAGGGTCTGGTCTCAGATACTGAGGCGCGGGAGCTGTGGGATATGTGAGTCTACCTAGGGATTGAGCTGACTGTAGATTCTTCACTGGATGTCACTACTTTGTTCCGCTCTGGGACAAGACATACGACACGTACGAGACCTATATCGAGCGGACTCCTTTCTCAACGAACGGTCTCCTCGCCGTCGCTGCCAAGATCCGATCTGGAAACGGTCGCCTCTCGCAGACGTTTCACGCCTGTCTGGAGGAGGCCCAGGGGATCGCTCGGAGCACATTATTCGGGCCGATCGTGCGGAAGGAAGCTGCGATGGCGATGTTGATTCTGAGCGTGTGGTCCCAGAATGGCTGGCTACCTTCAGGGTGAGTGTAGACCGAGGTCACGCTGACGATAGACACGCACTGCGAATGGCGCTGGACATGAACCTACATAAAGCGCTGGATAAAATGGCGGATGGGACGGATACGAGGACTGAAGTAGAGGAGCGCGATCTGGGTGAGTCTGGAATGTGGGCAGGACTGATCGCCAGTGGTATCTGCGAGGATCTGGATGAATTGCTATCTCAATGACCATCTGTGAGTACAGGTCGAGGCTGCTCTGACGATGTAGTGTCAGTCTTGGTACCGGAAAGCCACTATTACTGCGCGATGACTCGTCTGTCAAGCACGCTAGGATCTTGTTGTGAGTCACGCTGTAGGCTTTATTGACGTCAGAAATCATCGGATGGCATCGGACACGGATATCCGCTTGGTCGCCAGCATCGAGCTTGTCACTCTTCGAGGTAAGCTCAGGGGTGCGTCGCTAGAGCCAAGCTGACCACCAGTCCGAGTCGTCGAACATCTCAATCCCCTCCACGGCAAAGTCGACACCCAAACAATCTCTTTTGTCCGTCGCATCTTCGCCGATCTGCAAGGGTGGCAACGCGAATGGCTCGCGGCCCACCGACAACGGTATGACGAAACGCACGTCCTGGTCAAGCTGCTCGAAGCGGAGATGGTGCATGCTCAGCTATGGACGGTGTGTGTGGCACTGAGGGGTGTTCAGTGGGACAATCTGGCTGGCGACTCGAGAGAGTTGGCGTTTCAGGCGAAAGATGCGGCGCAGAGGTGTTTGGAGATCTATCTCCGTTCTCAGAACTTCCGGCAGCATCTGAAGTGTGAGTACAAGTACAAAATGAGCTGATAATAGTCGCGACGCATGATCAGCTCGTCTCGGTGGCTTTTGCGGCTATCTTTCTGCTGAAAATGTGAGTCCTTCCACCAGCCGGGCTGATATCCAGGGCACTGCTATACCCCGACTCCGTCTCAATGCCCACCCTCATCGCCGAAGTCTCGGAGGTCTCGCACATGCTCGCCAACGAGTGCTTCGCTGAGCGCTACGCTCTGACCCTCCGCCTCATGCTCGCCAGTCTCCGCCGCAAGACAGGCGCCATGTCCACCGTTCCTGGAACACCTCGACTCGCTCCCAGCCAATCGGGCGACAACCTACCATACGACCCGAATGGCTTCGCACTCCTTAATAGCGGAGCTGGCGGGCTGGACAGTCTACTGACTATGCCTCGGGAAGCATCGGGGGATGGAGCAGACTTTGGCGCGGGAGGGAGCGGGTGGAACTTTGATCAGGAGCTGGAGAACTTTTCTTGGCCTACCGAGTTCAGTCCGAGTAATCTGCCAGTATGGCTCCAGGATGGCGTGAGTTGGTTTCCCATGCGGTGCGAATTGTGCTGATAGGGAAGAATTGTGCGGATCTAGGTTTGCCGCCAGACGGCTCGGACTCGCTCTTCCTGCCTCCTGAGTAAGTGTTCTTCCTCTGTCAAGCAGAGCGCTAGCTGATGCGCCAGGCTCGCCAACATGTTCTTGCCTTCCGGATCCTATGGCGCAAATCAGTTTAGCCTCCCGGACTCGGCGGACGTTGGAGCCGAAGCTTGGTGAATGAGGATATGGTGACGACTGTTGCTGTGCGGATTGCTGGTGAGGCTTCATGCAGATGACTTTTGTGACATAGTTGTGCCGCTCATCGTGTTACCATTGCGAGCTCTTCCATGTACACTGCGAGCATCGAAGGAGCTGAAGATGAGGAGAGACATTACAGGCTACGTCTATCATTAATACCTTATAATCGCTCGCGCAAGATCTAGATCGATCAGTAAGCGTTAGTAGTGACCTCCGTGCGCGGGAATAATGAGTGGACCGCCCAGTGACGTATGGTACGAAGCAGCGAGGTCCATTTCAGCCTCATGCCATGGCCACTGGCCAGCACTACTGGCCAGGCTGACTCCGTGGAGCTCCTCATACCGCGGAATGCGGGGCCGAGGTAAATCTCGATCGCCGAGCCATCTCGGCATCTCGGCATCTCTCCGATTCGCCACTATTCGCCACCCAAATACGGCCGAGCCTGCATCGCTCCAGTCTAAAATTCCAAGCCTTCCAAGACGACGATGAGATCACCAAGCAAAGGTGCGCGTCACTCGGCGACGAAGACGTATATAGGCTCAATATGCTCATACGATCTAACCACCGCCTCTCAACATACCATCACAGTCTCAAACTTATCACTGAAAGACAACCACAATGACCAGCCAGACACGACGCGAGTCAGATATCACCATCGCAGAGCTAGCTCGTGTGCCCGCTTCTCGGGCCTCTGTCGCTGCCCCTACTGCCACACAGACAGAAGGACCTCCGCCTATGGTTCTTCATCTCGATCGGCTTCGGCGGAACCGGATGCCGGAGAGCGAGGTCCAAGCTGAACCTCATCGGCCCAGGCGATCCTCCCGGTGGTCCGTCCTATCGACCACACCTACGGTCGTCGAGCCCACTGCAGCTGCAGCTCCGGCCGCTCCAGAAAGGACGGAGCCTCGGCGCCCCACCATCAAGGAGGTCGTACGCAAGCATCCTCGGAATATCACCTATGCGTCGATCCTCGCGGCGGCATTCATCGGGATGGTGGCGGGCTGGGCGGTGTATCTGAGCGTGAAGCGGACAGGCGATGCGCGGCAGGACGCATATCGGGGAAGTTTGGTGGTGAACGGGCTCTTTGTTGTCGTGTGAGTGACATCGTTGATGCTGAGGGCAAAGCTGACTGTCAGCCTCATCATCCTCTTTATGCTCAGCGGGCGGCAATTCCTCTTCATCTACCGTCTTTTCCGTCCATTAGCACCCCACCAATCCCCCTCACTCCCTCCATGGCTTGTCGGCCGCCCTCCTACCTACCGTGAGGCGCTACGTACAGGCGGAAGAGGAACGGGCGATGTGGAGGATGGGATCATTGCGCAGAACGAGTCGCTGCCAAAGTATGGGGAGACGATCGGGTCAACCTTGTTGGCGAGGAGTCAGAGCAGGGGCGGGGCGGTCGAGATGGCGCAGGTTGAGAGGGCGCCGAGCGCGGAGGCGACTGTACAGGAGGGGCAGGTTGCTATTCCCGTACAAGTCGTGGATGAGCCGGTCGCTCCGCAGGCGGATGTGGGGTCTCAGCGGGAAGCGGAGGCAAGGCAGATCGAGGAGGCGCGGAGGTTGCAGGCGGATGTCCCGGGGTGCAGTGTGGCGAATCGAACGTTACCAAGCGGAAACGAGCAGGAGCAGTGGGAGGACGTTGCGCTGGATAGGAAGGTCAGGGATGAAGAATCTAGATAGTATAGCTGTCGTAGCATCATGTAGCCTTGTACTGATTGATTACAGATTCAGAATCTAACGATGTGGTTTATACCTCCTGCATGATCCTCCTAACGCCCTGTCGCAGGAATGTCAGATTGTACTCAATACCTCCTCTTCTACTTTGCCAAGTATCTGTCCGGAGCAGAACGACTAGTGCGACATCTCTGCTGGATCAGCGACGTCCTTCACTCGCAGATGAAGTACTGACGGTGTGAATTGCCACAATGACAGGGTAGTGTTCGGCGACAGCTTTGTCGCTTGGGTCATCCACTGCTCTGAGGGATCTTCCCTGTCCCACCATTCCAGGTCTTCTCCGTCCGCATCGGCTGTTGGTGGCTCATTGCCTGTCTGCTCTGAGGCTTGTCTCAGTTGTCTGAGGGTCAGCTCGGGTGACAGGACAGACCCACTTGTAGAGATGGCGGAACTGTAAGAATCTGCTCAGATATTCGGTGACCTGTTCCAGCGTCGCATCATTCCGATGTCTGTTGTCGGTAGCGAGTACCACCCCAGAACGTATATCGAAGAGATACGAGTTGTCCATGCCGGATGTCTGCCATCAGCAGGGTACACGACGTAAAGGACAAAGACTCACCTCAGTAAAGTTTAACAATAAGCTTTCTACCGCCGGCAGCATCTCCATACACCCCTGCAGAACCTTACTCCACGCGTCCCTCAAACTGACATCGTGGATACTAGTCATCTCGAAGCGCGTCTCGCCCATGAGGTGGTTCGTGATTGCCTGCGTGACAGACTGGTCGGAAAAGTTGGTGTTGGGGTCGAGGGATTGGAGGGTGTGATAGGGAAAGTCTTCGAGGTCTTCTTGGACTGTCCGCTGGATCTCGGCGTAGTTTTCTGGTCTCAGCAGATCCCAGGGGTAGACTTACCTCCTCTATAGTCCTCGGACAGCATTTCAGCTTTGTGAATGAAGACAGCAAACTTCATGCCAGGATTGGCAATGTATGCCTTCAGCATGATAGTGACGAAACGATAGAGCGCTTCGTGATAGGTGTCGTCTTGCTGGCGGGTCAGTCTCGTCCGGCTTAGCAATACCCTCGTCTTACCTGCATATCGATGACATAAACTAGTGTCGAGAAGGACTTGAGCCCGCCTTCCAGCTGGTCCACATCAAAGTTTGGCGGTGTATCCCATACTTGCAGCTGGACTATCGAGCTGTCATGAGCTAGACTCGTGAGAATAGCCTCACTTGTAGTTGATCTTCTCCACCTTTTGTGTCACTCCAAAGAACGGTACGTCCTTGACAGGCACCTGCTGGAAAACTGTCTTGATACAGCTCGACTTGCCGGATCTGCCACATGAGCTCGGTCGAAAGGAATGAGGTGCTCCGGCCTACTTTCTCGAGCCGAGAACAAGGATATTTCGCCTGTGTGGTGCCCCTTCCTCCGCTGCTGGCTGAACCGAGCGTGGCTTGGATGACTCGCCTCTTGACTCCATGCTAAACAAGGGGTGTCTTGGGTGATAAGGAGAGGTTGAGGGGGCAAGGGCGGTATGATGGTGGTGAGACATGTGCTGATGTCAAATCGCTGACGTAAATGGCTAGATTAGGCTCTGGCCCACGGCCAGGCACGACCCCAATCGATGACCCTGAATCTGAATCTCCCTCACAGTCACACTCCTCACACTCTCGCTATAACTACAGCTCCTTTATACCCCTCAACGGCTCCAGCAACGGCTATTCCCCTCTACTGGACACTACCAGCGACACTGGGAGGACTTGGGCCGTCCAACTGAGCCAATCCTGCGAAATATCGCACCAAATCTATCGCGAGGAACCCAAAATCCCCCCGTTTGCCGCCCCAAGCGCTGATTGCGGCTGGGTGGCTGGGCACCCTGCTGGGACCTAGCAGGCCGATCTGCGCCGAACACAATCTACAATATCATGCTTAAGACCTACCCACAAGGTTCATCTGGACGCGCGGGTCATCAATAAGGTCAGTGGTCAGAGTTTCAAGGCGTGGGGATACCAGAGCTGAATCAACAGGTTTTTGCGGTCCCCCTGGCGGGCAAGGTCACCCAGACGGCGTACATCATCTTGATATCCTGCTGGATCAGATAGTACAACTCCAAGATCTGCCCATGTGGCGAGATGTCGACGGGAATCTTTGACCTCGACGAGGACCGAGAGCAAACGCCCACCGCAACATCCCATGCGGTGAGCAGTGATGCTGCGACCGTACCATCGCGACCGGCGTCTCCGACCTCGCCGTCCGGAACCGACTCAACTCCTACACGTACCCCTTCGACCACTTTACAACTCCCCCAATCATTCCCATCTATTCCTGGCCATCGCCGGCAAACCGCGTCGTTCGCAGCCACTACCCCCTCCTTCCCCTCTCCGCTCGCTCAGGCCATCACGGTCCCTCATAACTCGGATACCTCGTCCTCCAGCTCTCACTCGGATGACGATGAGCGAGATGCGGGGACAGGGCAGGACTCGCCAGCTTCTGGCGGGAGCGGTACACCTAGATTACGGGCGGGAATGATCGACCGACCTCGGACGGTCAGTCCCAATCCCAGCCGCCAGAACAGCAGAGGCGGATCGCCCTCGTCTACGGAGAAGTCGGTCTCGCGTCCGCCATCGCCCTCTATGAACCGCCCTTCCAACGCCCTCACACCCGGATCCCTGCTCAACAAGGCCAGACGGTCGACAAGCGGCAGCTTGGCACCGCAAGCCATAGCGGGCAGTCAGCCAACCAATATCCCATCTCCCCTGCGTGATTCACCACCCCGTATGGGTCAGCCTATCAAGAATGTATCGGCGCCCACGCGGAGAATGGAGGACCTGTCTCGCTCGCAGAGTAAGGGCCACTACCGCGGTCGAAGTGGGTCGGGCTCATCGTCCGTTGCGCCGGGCTCGGGCGTCAGCGCCACCGGGTCCAGTCCGCGGAACAGTGACTCGCCTGAGCTTTACCCCATCGATACCTCAAGCCATAGCCGGTCAGGCACTGGCTCGCCAACGGACACCAGGGGGAACACGCTCGGGCTTGGGTTGGGATGGGGAAACTGGGATGGGTCGTCGGGGTCAGGATCGTCGTTTGGCAGTAATGCGCATCATGGCGGCAGGGAGGAGTTCTCGAGGAGTCCCAGGAAGGATCATGAGAGGAGTCAGACCTCAGCCGCCAGCAGGTGAGTCTAAAAAGGAGCAAAGCTGACGTTAGTCCTCAACGACAAAGGCGCCCATCCGAGTTTCTCAACACCGCCACATCTGCGAAACCCATCAGCGGGCGACAGTCTCTCGGTGCTGTCCCCGTCGCCAATCTGTCCACCTCGGCTTCGATGATTTCCCCCTTGAACCCTCTCCCCTCACCCTGGACTTCCACCAGCTCGGACTCATCCGCCTTCGGCTCACCCAATCAGCCCGAATCCTCCTCGGCCGCTTCTGCAACCAGCAATGGTGCTATGCGGCTGAATCGAGTCCCGACATCGGTCAAGCTGGCCACGGAGCTGATGAAGAGCCAGTCCATGGCAACTTCCAGCCCAGCCACGCACTCGGTCGACCTGCCGCACACGCCGGCCCAGTCGGCGCCGCAGCCAAAACGGGATACGTCCTCCATGCCTCCTCCTCCTCTACCACATCCCAGTGTACTGGATCTGGGCAAAGGCAAAGCTACACTCTCAGTGCCGAGCACACCCGGTGCCGCAGCGGCTACCCATTCCCTCGACACCCCCGCATCCACCCTCGGTCCAGACTCGGCGCGTCTGGCTCAACAATCTCGAGTCCCTGCTGAACAAGTCTCGGCGGAGCCATTCTTGACCGTCGGAGCGCGACACAATCGGTACCGGACATCCATGCACGAATCCATCTCACAACCTATGGTCCTCGACGAAATCACCAAATCTCCTCCCCAGTGGACTCCGCCGACGGCGAGCGCGGCCACTCTTGGACGGTCGTCCCCGTACGGCCTCGGTCTCGATCTACCCTCTTCCCGGCTGCTGCAGCCTCCTGCAAATCTCAGCGGCAGTCAGACACCCACCGGCGGACTTCCCTCGGGTCGGCAGCGGCTACGGTCAAAGACGGACAAGACTTTGCAGATGGATCTGGCTGGCTTAATCCAGCTCGGCGACGCTGCAAGTCATGCCAATATGATCATGCAAAGTCGGCAGGCCAAGCTCCAGCGGTGGCGGCCGAACTCTGCAGGGAATGCGACGGGTTCAACCGAGAAGCTCGTTCCGCCTCCATTTGTCCGCTCGACCACCTCTGCCTCCCCGGCTATGCTCGCGGCGCCACGCGAGGATAGACACGCGGCATGGGATGTCGAACAACCAGCTCGGGCGTCATCGTTCGGCGAGGACCTACCTCATTTCCCCGCGGCGATGGGCGGGTTGGGCAGTCCTCATTCAGTGTCTACTGGTTCAGCAAAGACAGGCCTGCCAACTCTGGGCGGGATGGGCATGGAACGGCAGAACAGTGCCGGAGGAACCATAGGAGGAATAGAATGGGTGGACTGGTACGACTGCTACAAGCGGTACAAGGACCAAAAGATCCGGGCCGAGGCGCAGGCGATGCGGGAGCAGAACCGGATCCCGGAGGATCGTCCGGTCGAACATTCGGACGTCTCTGCTCTACCGTCCAATTCGGTCAGCCCCACCACCAGCGTGATGGAGGGACCCCCTCGGTTGCTCGGGCCTCCGCCACAAGAGTCAGCCATCGCACTCACGCCCACTACCAGTCGGGATGATCAGGCGGAGCGGTCGTATCAGGGGCAGCGTAAGCGGAGCTTGTCCCTCCGCTCCTCCTTGTCGGTCGCGGATGTCAGATCTGCTCAGCGCAAATCGAGCATTTTCGAGCGGCCTCGCCAAGCTTCTGGCGGATCGACGCGATCAAACGATACCGGCAACACCGCCGCGGTCAAGCGCAAGAAGAATCTCGTCAACAAGATGGAGGGGTGGTGGAACGCCGTGAAGTCCAACTTTGTCCCCGAATCTCAGCATCCACCACCGTATCGGTCGTCCAACCTCGCTCGGGATCGAGGACGGAGAAACCCCTCCGCACCGGCCAGTCGTCGGGGTAGCGGTACAAGCCCCATCAGCCAACCCGCTCCCGTCATGCTCGCTCCGGAACCGATACGGGAGGCGCAGCCTGTGTTGCGGAACGCCGCTTCGCACGCCGAGTTCAGGCCGCGGGCGGAGAGGGAATCGCCAATGCTGGTGTCGACGTCGGCGGATCTCGCTCGGGTCGCTCGGAAGGCTATGCTACCTACACTCCCGGCGCTCACACCGGAGGAGGAGCCTACATCGAGGGAGAGCCTGGATTCTCGAAGGCGTCAGCCCAATCTCAGGCTCGATCTCGACTCGAACGTCCTGTCCAGGCCACCGGCTCGGATGCCGGCCAATTCTCGCAGCGGTTCCGAGAACAATACGTCTACTCAGCGGCCGAGTGAACGGACGTCCAGATCGTCTTCTTACGGCCCGCTCTACGGTCCCGGTCTCACTCCAGGCATCCCAAAGTGGGATCTCACTCCTTCACCCATCGTTGCGGTCGGCTCGTTTACCGACGATCAGCTGGAGAATCGGCCGGTCGCACCGGGGGCAGAGTTGACGGTTGCGTCAGTGCGCCGGCACGTCCGGCGTCGTCTCAACGCGGCCAAGGAGGTGTGCGACTACAAGTTGCGGGAAATGATTGCGACGATCACCAAGTTTGCCGAGGAGCAAAAGGGGACAGTTGGAAGGCCTTACGAGGACTCGGAGGACTACTTTGAGTCGATCAGCGACAGCGCATTGGTGGATGCGGAGGAGAGCGATGGGGAGTTTGCCGAGACTTTTGATGGGCTCGGTCCAAGAACAGGTGAGTTCTTTCTTGTACCAAGCTGATGATAGTTTCGTCGTCCCGTGGGCCTAGTCGCAGAGCGTCTATCTCCCGGCCGGTCGGTACCAGCCCTAATCGCCGCATGAGTATGTTGCCGAGCAGCCCCAGTCGACCCAGGCGCCGCACCAGCACCGTGCCGAAATCTGTCAATCAGCGGGAGCGGATGCGGTTCGACTTTGCGGGTCGCGTGCACTCAGCGTCCAGCTCGCGGTCTACATCCCGGTCTCGCTCGCCCATGCCCGCCACGCGACCGTCCCCATCGGACCGGCAGTTCCTCGGTGCTCTGCAGGAGCTGATCGTGCTTGCTACGGACGTACTCGAGGCATCCATCAATCAGCTCATCGCCAAGCCAACCATGTGCTCGGATGTCATCCAAAAGGCGCAAAAGGTCGGGCGGAAATGGGACGACAATGATAGCTGGCCTGGGCGGAGCTGGTACCTGAGCATCCTCATGGAAGTTGCCAAGCTCTCCCAGGTACTAGACTGGTGGGAGGCCGAGAAGGGGTTCTGGAATTTTGACGCCGAGGAGGTGGAGAATGAGCCGCTGCTCTTCGTCATGAAGCCGCATCAGGAGGGACAGGAGTCTCGAGCCGCCGCTATGCTCAGCCCGCTCTCGCAGCCTCAGTCATCGCCTCTGACATCGACGCTGCAAGTACCGGACGCGCCACCAGAGCTCATGCTCGAGGTGGCTAGCCCAACATCGCCCTCCGTCCCGCCTATCACGGAAACGCCGACCCAACAAGCGGCGGAGAATCTCAAGATTTTGGCGGATCACGCAAAGAGCGTCAATATCGTCATGGAACTGAGTCTGCAAGGGGAGGAGGTCCAGTATATCAACGACGCCATTATGGAGGTCACTGGGTACGTCTAAAGTATGGCTAAGCTAACAGTAGTCGTGATCCCGATGATGTACTCTTCCGTCCCATTACCGACATTCTCGCACCGGCCGACGCGTCTACCTTTGCCGAGGCGACCCAGAAACTGCTCGAGGATGACAACAATACGGTCCAGCTGCGGGTGCGGCTGGAGCTGCACGAGCCGCCAGACGATCGGAGTCAGACCCGCGCCCCCGGGCCCATGTACATTGAGCTCGAGGGCGTCGGTATGCTCATGCGCGAGCTGGACGCTCCGTCGCACACCATGTGGGTGCTCAAGCCCGTGCCCGCCACCCAGACCGAGATGGCCGAAACTGCCTTCCCCAAAGACGGGCGGATCGCTATCGAGGGGATCCTCTGCCGGATCTGCGAGCGAGATATCGCAACCTGGTTTTTCGAGAAACACAACGAAACCTGCGATGCGGTGCATCGGCTCGAGGCGGAAATCACCGAGGCGGACGAGTGTCTGCACGATCTTCGCAAGACCGTGCTCAAGCTTAACGCGCAGCTGGGCGGTCCGGACGACGCGGCGGCGGAATATCAAGGCGTATTGTTTCTGGCACTCCCAGAGTCAATTTTGGCGGGTGATAATGGCTTGCCGGCGCAGCTTCAGCTGGTCGAGCGGAGAAAGGTCACCCGACAGCATCTTGTGGATGTTGCCGAGATCCTCCAGGCGGCGGTGCAAATCGAGTCTCCTTCAGTTCGGGAGGAGGAGACCGATCTTCCCTTCAATCTGCAGCGGTACCTGGATCGCGAGTCAGAGGACAAGCTATCTCGGATCACCCGCTGGCAGCGTCCGCCCACTACCGACCACGCATTGGCGTTGTTGTTCAATCACGTCGAGGATCAGCTTCGGCGGAAACACAAGGCGGTCGCTCGGATGCAGAGTACAATCCGGTATTCGGAGAAGACAAGGCACGAGTGGGAGGACAAGGTCAATCAAGTACTGGGCGAGCAGGAGACTAGCGGGTCGGATAGCGGGTCGGATACTCCTGCACAGGCGGATGTCTCCATCGCCACGGTCACCGAGGCCGATCCAGGGGACTCGCCACCTAGTCATCGGAAGATAGCCCCGCAGGCTCGTCTACCCGTCACTTTGGGTCATTCGGGGCGGCCCAACACCTCGCACGGCGAGTCCGGCATTGGCACGGTCCCACCTACTCCTCTCCATCGCTCGGACCCTCCCACACCCGCTGATCCGCCCATGTCGGCTCCTCTTCAGCCACAACCCCATCCTCCGCCGACTCTGCTCAAAGTCGACCGCATATCACCCCGCATCAGCCCTACCGAGGGAGTCCGCTCCCACGCCCGCCGCCCATCCAAGGCGTTCCGCGACATGCCGCTCTCCCCTCGTATCCCCTCGGCGGCGCTCAATCGCGGCGCACCGCCATCGATCAAAGATTTCGAAATTATCAAGCCCATCTCGCGCGGTGCTTTCGGATCGGTCTATCTCGCCAAGAAAGTCGCCACTGGTGATTACTTTGCAATCAAGGCGCTTAAAAAGTCCGACATGATTGCAAAGAACCAGATCACCAATGTCAAGGCGGAGCGGACAATCTTGATGAACCAGGCGACCTCCCCCTACGTCGTCAAGCTCTTCTTCTCGTTCCAGAGCAAGGAGTACTTGTACCTGGTCATGGAGTATCTGAACGGAGGGGATTGTGCTGCGCTGGTCAAGACGCTGGGCGGATTGCCTGAAGACTGGGCGAGAAACTATATCGCAGAAGTAGTTCTGGGATTAGAGTACCTGCATGCGAGGAACATCGTCCATCGGTGAGTCTGACGGCCGACCTAGCTGACTTTAGTGATATCAAACCGGATAACCTCCTCATCGACTCGAAGGGCCATCTCAAGCTCACGGATTTTGGTCTTTCGCGCATCGGTCTTCTCAACCGTCAGGTCGCCGGACCTCGCCCAGCATACCTCCGCGGTACCTCCTTGCGCGCGCAGGGGCGTCCATATAGCGCACGCACCCAATCCATGTCCTCGACTAATTCCCCCGCCATGTCTCCGGATATCCCTACGCAGGCCCGTCAAGGCTACTTTACCTCACTCAACGACTCTGGCTCGGCCGACGAGTCCAGCGGCTCCGAGTCGGTCAACGTCATACCCAAGCATATTCGGCAAATGTCCAAAATCTCCTCCAATCTCGACACCCCCTCCGTCAGCAGCCGGGAGCCACCCAAGGTCGTAGGAACGCCAGACTATCTCGCTCCCGAAAGTATCCTCGGTATCGGGAATGATGACCGGACGGTCGATTGGTGGGCGCTAGGCGTCGTGCTCTACGAGTTCATCTACGGTGTTCCCCCCTTCCATGCCGAAACTCCCACTCAGGTGTTTGACAACATCGTGTCTCGGCGGATCGACTGGCACGAGGACGAGATCGAACTCTCGGCTGAGGCGCGGGATCTTATGGACCGCCTCATGTGCTCCAATCCGGAAGATCGGCTCGGCTCGCGAGGCGCCGAGGAGGTCAAGAAGCACGCCTTCTTTGCCGAGCTGGACTGGGCATCTCTTACCGAGGGCGAAGCTAGCTTCATCCCGCAGGTTACGGACCCGGAGTCGACCGATTACTTTGACGCTCGGGGCGCTGTACATGGCTTCCACGATGAGGATGCTCCGCAAGTCCTCAAGGTGGAGAAGGCGGAGGTCTCCCCATTGGCGCTGGAGGCGATGGAGCAGGTAGCGGAAGACATTGCGGCGCAAGAGGACTTTGGGATGTTCAACTTCAAGAACCTGCCTGTTCTCAAGCAGGCTAACGACGACATGATCCGGAAACTACGGGTCGACTCGATGGTCCCCATCGGCCAAGCGCTGGATGCTGCACTCGCGGTCAATCCTAAGCGGCTCTCGAAATCCCGAGCCAAGCGGAAGACGTCGGATCTGGGCGGCTCACAAGGTCCTCCTTCACCTACCACATCCAACTCGTCCGCCGCGTCCACTCCGTCCCGCTCGTCTCCCGCGCCGACCACTCCATCCAGTATTCCCCCCGTCCCCCTCATGCCCCATCACCTCCGTCGTCCTTCCGAGCTCAACGCTCTCGACCGGGTCAAATCGTCGGAGGATGGCGATCTGTCCCGCCGAGCTTCCGCTCCTTCCCGCCTCAGAGCTGGATCCAATGCTAGCGTCGTCAGTGACCGCAGTACAAGCATGGAGCTCTGGCGGCAACGGCGGCAGGTCTCTCTCCAGTCGGACCATTCCCAGACGGGCTCGGGTTCCGGCTCGCAACCCAACAGCTCGTCCCCCTTTGACAGCCCCGATGTCAAGGGGCATCGGGACGCGGTGGTCATGGACAGGACGCTTGATGTCCTCATCGCGGAGGATAATCCGATCTCGCAAAAGATCCTGGAGACGCTGTTGACGAGGATGGGGTGCCGGTGTATTTGTGTGGAGGATGGGCCTCAGGCGCTGGCGGCAACGATGGGGAGTATACGTGAGTCTTGCCTCCCCTAGATATCATGAGCTTGGCTGACTTCCAGGTTTCGACGTCATCATCTGCGATATACATATGCCGGTGGTGAATGGAGAGCAAGTGGCGCGTATGATCCGGTCAACCAATAACCACAACCAAAACACACCCAGTAAGCCACTTTTCGCGGTATGAAGTATAGATCTAGCTGACCCTGCAGTCATCGCAGCCACGTCCTATGAGCAATACCAAGCTATATCTGAAGAGGGCACACTATTTTCCGCCGTCCTCGCCAAACCCGTCACCAAGACCGACCTTACCCGCTGCCTTGCCAAACTCGGTTTTGTCCTTTCTTCCGGTAACGCTCAGACTGATACGTCTTCTGGATCTCAGTGATTTCGCCTCTCATCAACCTTTTGATTTCTCGGTATACATCTGGTTCTCATCATGAAATGTAGCATAGTCCATACTTTTTTTTCTACCTGTTGTTATATAGTAATGCACATGATTCACGGATGATAGACTAGATGGGAAACGAGAGGGAAGTGGTGATGATGTACAGTCTTTGCTAATTTCACGCGCAAGCCCGCCTGCTGCCTGAGCTACACATGATATACATTCGTGCCATATACAAGATTCGATCGGGAAGCAAATCGCAGCAAGAGCAAGCAAGCAGCAGAATAGTCCGTCTGTGCACACGCAATCCAATCCACGCCCTCCCCTATAATACTCCTTCAGCCGCCCGCTACTTTGCAAACGAAGCCGTCTTGGATCCCAATAATTTCGCCGTATTTGGACCACCTGCCCTTGGGCCTCCGCCAGACTTGCGCGCCCCATACTTCTGATCCCCCTTGCTTAACTTTGACGCAGGTATAGCGTGATTGACAACTGACATCTTCTGTCCGATGCCGACGCCCCGCCGTTCCGTCGCGGACTCGGCTGCAAAGATCAGAGCGGCCTCGGCCTGGGATCGGCGATTTGCGGACGGGCCATATTGCGAGTCCTGGTCATCAGCGACGAGCCCTGACTAGCAACTGGAAGCAAAAGACTCACCTCGTCCAGGACAGTAGAGGCAGTCTTACGGATGGGGCGGCTGATAGTGAACGCGGATTCTGGCTTGTCGACGTCGATAACGTCGTCGTCGAACGAGTAGAACTTGCGCGAGCCAGACTTTGCAGATACGTCAAGCTCGTCCTCTTCCTCATCGCTCTGCTCAGCCTGAAGATCAGCTATACTCGATACGTGAGCCATAGAACCTACCCTGCGCCGAGCGCCACCGGCCCTCTGCAGCATCTCTTTCTTCTCCTTGTACGACCTGGCCGGCTCGGGCGAGCGGTAGGCGGGCGTTTCGTCCTTCTCGTCCAGCTCGTCGTCGGGCTCCGAGTCGAGTCCTTCAACGTACCCCCTGACGAAGGCGTTCTGCTCTCCAGCTGGCAAATTAGCGTCAATCTCAAGGGATATTCCGATAGCGACTCACGCAGTACTGCCACACCGTCTTCACGCAGCTCCATCCGCCTAGCTCGTCTTGCCTTCTTGCTCAGATGCCTTCGCCCGCCCTCCTCATCCGCCTCATCGTCAGAGATAAAGTCCTTGCCATGCCGCCGGCGAGTCCTGTGCTTTCCCTCGGTGACACCTCGGGCCGCTGCTTCCCTCTTCGCGTCATCCGCCTTCTCGACCTCCCTGGATAATCAGTATGATCCCCGAAGTATGAAACACCAACTTACCGTCTCTTCTCCTCTGCCAAAGCATCTTGCTTCCTCCGAGTCTCCTCATCGACAGCTTGATCATCCACCAATCCCTCGACGTAACCGTTCTCATTCTCCCCTTCATCCTCCTCTGGCCCTCCCGCAAGTTTACCTCCCCATCCGTCATCTTCGTCACTCTCCTCCGCCTGCTCCTCGACCAGCATAGACTTGACAGGCTTTGATTTCGGTCTCGGGGATTGACGGCGGGTTTCCATGAGGCGCGTGAAAGCGTTTTCTTTCGGGGCGGGTGGAGTGCTGCGCTGCGTGGGTTCCAAAGTAAAGGACTCGTCTGGCACGTCATCTGACGCTCGACGGCGGAGACGGCGAAGTGGAGAGGAGGGGTTCGGCAGGGGCTCGTCAATGCCAGACTCATCCGCGGCGTCCGGAGCTTCGCTGCCAGCTTCATCCTCTGCATCGCTGGGGTCGAGACCGAGGCCGGAGAGGATGCTCATACTGGATGAGCCAGCGAGCTGGAGCCGAGCTTGAGTTGGGAATTGGGAGGAAGGCTTGGTCTGGGTGAAGAAGCTGACAATTAGCAACGATCTTGCTTCGCAGCTGGCGGACCTACCCAGCATCGTTCAGATACCGCTTTGCCGGCTGAGTCCGAGGGCGCTCAACAGGCATCATCGCCTCCTCCATCTCCCTCGCCAGCAGCTCCTCATCCCTTTCCGCCTGAGTGGCAGTGACATGATTCTTGGGCAAGATGGCGTGAGCCTGGAGGAGCGGAGCCGGTTCTTGCCGAAGTACAGCGAATCCATCCTGATCATCAGCTCACGCATGTACATCCTATACTGATTACTCACACCTGAGCCGGAAGGGGTGTTGAGCTGTGTCGGGTCGAACAGCTGAGAGAAGCCGCCACCGAAATCGTCGTCCCCACCAAAGCCAGCCAAATCCAGCTCGACTCCAAAGCCATGAGCGGCGATCTGGCTCGGACCGAGCTCTCCAACAGGCACGACGACCGGATCGGACGCAGGAATAGCCATCTTGTACGGCTCCTCCTCATCATCCGAAGCGAAGGCGACTCGGGCGGGGTGACGGCGAGGTTTCCGGATCTTGACGGGCGAGAATGTCTCCTCGTCAACTTCGGCAGGGACTGGCGAGGTGGCCGTGACGGGCTCGTCCACCTCCATCGCGTCATCGCCTTCAGGCGCTTCGGCTCCTTCATCCCCGCTACCCGCCTCGTCATCCTCCTCCCCGCTAAGTGCAAAGTCACCATCCTCCGGATCCTCGTCCTCATCTTCCACGTCCTGCAACTCCGCCCGCTTCCTATTGGCCTCTGCCAGCTCCTCATAGTTCACCTCGACCTTACCAGGCAGCGTCTTGGTCCGACCATAATCCTGCTCCTTCTTGGCCCGTACCGTCTGCGCCTGGGCGGTATGTTTCCGAGCGAGCATGGCGTCCAGCTCATTCTGCCCGAGAGGCCGATCCCGACCCGCCTTCTTCCCAGCCGGCTTCGACCCGGCATTCTGACTCCGAAGATTCTGATGACCGAACTTGGCCGCATAATCGACATACGTGTCGGACGCGTCGTCCGCTTTCGAGCGGTGCGACTTGCCCGCCATGGACAAGATCCGCATGCGGTTCTTGGTGTTGGCGGGGACCGATTTGGGATCGCGATTGTTGACTGCCTTGGCGTCGGGACCAGCATGACGCTTGACGGCCTGCGCAGTCGCTTGCGGCTTGAAGGGCTGTATGATGAAGTCATCTTCCTCATCAGAGTCCTTTTGAGCGGGAACTCTGGCCTTCTGCTGGGCGAGTGCGTCCGCCTTCCTCCTCGCCGTCTCCGCCTGTCGTCGCGCTTTGACCTCCGCCTTCCTCTTTGCCTCCGCCTCAGCTTCATTCTTCCTCCTCCCCTCCTCCTTTGCTGCCTCCCTCTCCAACTCCATCTCCCTGATCACATCCGCGTTACTCTTCTCCACCTCCGGCTCTTCATCATCCGAAGCCTCCAACATGTATCGCTTCGCCGCGACCAGCGTCGCATCCGGGGCGTCCACCTCCATCGGCTCTTCGTCCCTGGTCTCGCGCGCATCGAGTCGGGCAGACCCGGCAAACTGCAGCGCATGCTTGACCACGGGTATGAGTGGCTGCCGATCAACGGCGGTAGACTCCGGACCTTGCGTATCGCGAGATGAGGGGAACGTGGTAATCTCCTCGACCTGTTCGGGTGTCTTCTCTCGGCTGAACGACGACTTGAGTGATGCCCTCGGTCGGGACGGCGGGTCTGCCCTGGGTTTGCCTTTGACGACGTTGGCAGCGGCCTGCAGCCAATCCCAGGGGTTCAATGGTACCGCGGCGATGTGTTTGAAGGAGGCGTTGCGTGCTGATAATCAGCCTAATGCCTCATCTTCCTGTACACCACTCACATCGTTGAGCAGCCTCCATCTCCCGCTTGGTCAACTCTGTCTCCTTCTTGCTAGGAGCCTGTTTATCAGCTTGGACCGCTCCCTTAGAGATCGAGACTTACCTTGATCTGCTTTGGCCTCTTGACGGGTGACATGCTCCCCCCATCCTTGATACTTTCTGCAGATTCCGTGCTGCGCGCTCTTTCCTTCGCCATGTCCGCCTGATCCTCGTCATATAGAGCCTCGAAGAAAGCGTCGCTCTTGGCATGAGGCGCTGGTTCCTCCTCATCCTCTGATCTGGCAAGCGCAGCTACCTGCCGCGTCGAGCTCCCCGCGTCCGATGCTGGGCTCGCCGAGCGCGATCTCGGCGTGGGAGGACGACGACCAATGGACTTGGTCGGTGCGGGCCGGCGAGGCGTTGGCGATGGGGATGATCGACGAGGCTCATCCTCATCGTCGGAAAATGTGATGTGGGATCGCCGAGGAGGGGGTATGGCAGTTCCAGGCTTCCCGGTTGGAGATACCGCATCCGAGGCTGGACTCGCCGAGCGAGAATGCGCAGAAGGAAATCCAGGGAACTTGCCCTTGGCACGGACGGATTTGCGAGGAGAGGGGGTAGGGGATGAAGGGGATGGAGGTCGCGGGGTCGAGTCTTCCTCGTCCGATGTGGTGATATGTGCCCGACGAGTCGAAGCTTTGACCGTCCGAGTCTTCCGCACCGGAAACGTCTCATCCTCGTCGTCAAGAGGAGAGAACCGCGGCGAAATGGTTACATCAGGAACGACGGGAGACGCGGGTGGGGATTGAGCTCGTTCGGGAAGACGTGAAGGGGATGAAGCTGGACCTATACGCGCCGGTGCGACCTTCGGGGGCGACGATGGCGGCAGAGATAAGGAGGACTCCGCGGGTCGCGGAGGCGACAGTGGAAGCGGTGATGGAAGACCGGAGGCCGAGACGCGTGCCGCTTGCGACGATGTGGCAGGGAGGGAGGTGAGGGGCGAGGTGACAGCGTGGGTGGCTGTGTCGGGGACAGAGTCGGGGACGGAGCTGAGGGAAGACGAGGAGGGAGGCATTGCAAGCTGTACACCGAGCCTAGCTGGCACCGCTGCGCGCTTGGCCTTTTGGAGCTTTATGAAGCTCGCCAACTCATCCGGAGTCGGCTCGGACTCAGCATCTGGCTGTAGCCTGCGTACATGATCCAAGAAAGCTGAGCTCCCGCTTTGAAAGCCAATGAGCAGTGCTTTCGCCGGCGAAGCAGCAGGAGTGCGTACGGTCGGCCCGGGACCATCGGACGATGTCATGGCGGACGAGACATCATCTACTAGCTCGGCAGGTCGATTGCGTTTGTAGGTCTTGGGAGGGGGAGCGCGGGGGGCGTTGAAGAGGCCGCCATCGGAGGAGGGCTGACGGGAGTCGAAAGGGTTGTAGGTTTCCGTTTCGGCCATGACAGCGATATGAGGGGAGCTACAAGAAGTGAGAGAGATCAGGGGCAGCCCTATATAGATTAGAGCAAGCAGGCAGAGAGCACAAGACGGGGCAGAGAAAGAGAAAGAGATAAGGATGGATGGATAGAGGCAAAGTTGGACGCGTCGCGTTCCAAAAGTCAATTCACCTTTAAGCTTTCAGGCACACCACGTGGCTGAGAGTTACGTCATTCGGCTACCTGAAGTTCCCGCGAAGCCAACCTTCCTCCTCTGCCTCTCCATGTCCATCTAAGCTACTTTCGAAGCTATACAGAGACTTCGCAGTACTCACGCGCGCAACATGGTAAGCTGAAGATATCGCGAAGAACCATGAGACTTCCTAACTGACTGGGTAGTCTCACAAACCAATAGCAGCGGTACGTCGAGCTCGACCCTCCTTCTGCTCGCGGCCTTGCCCCTTCTCCGCAACTTGAGTTGCATCCTCACTCGAAGCTCTCGCGGTGTCTACATGCATAGTGAAGCGGACGACAGAGTATAGGAGGCCCAGTTCTATAGCCAAGGCGTTTTGAACACTTCTCGCGCCGTCCTGCTGCGGGCTGTCGAGTTGACGCCGTCAATTTCGAGCGGTCTGAACATGAAGCGCTACTTTGGCTGACAATAACAGATGTCGGGTCTCTCGATGCTCGGAGGAGCTTTCGCCTTCGCCCGGACTGGCTCATTCCCATCGCTAGCCGGTAGCTTCACCATCGCCGGAATCATGGCGCTGAGCTCGATGAGAATTCGAGATGGAATGGACTACGGGTTGGAAGGGGCAGCAGGTGAGTTTTTTGTCCTGCCAAGATGGGAGGTATATACCGATCATACAGCATCTTCAACTCTCCTATTCGTGCCAATGATACGGTATGCTTCTCATGCCTCGTGCTGAGCTCGGTGACGTGGATGAGCTGATGGTATAGGCGTGCTTTGGCAACGAGGCGTGCTATCCCTTCAGCTTTGGCGGCGCTGGCGGCTGCCAGTACAGCATACTACGGGAAAGAGACAGCAGAGCATTATGCGTAGGCCCATTGTTCCAGCAGAAAGACAGGGATACCAGAAGGCGGCGTATACTGACCGCACTGATCAGCCTCAACAACGCATCGAGTGTACTTAACGCTAAGTACGCGTATACAGAGCATCACAGCCATACTACACACGGATATCTGTTCATGCCGATAACAGGTCTCCCTTTATACTGCTTCTATCGTTCAACTAACAGACTCTGATTTTGGAAACTGACTTGCTCGCTACTGAACCGCACATACGACTCAAAGTAGGACAACCTTGGGGTAAAGCTATAGAGGAGGGGAGGTGCGGCGATATGTCTGAACCATCAGCTGCGGACAGAGCTCGAGATCCACGAAGATTTTACCTACATAAGCCTAAGCACGACACACTGAACAAGCTGGACCCTCGCCCTCATGAAGCCTGACCTCGACCTGAAGCCGCCGGACCATCCACCCCCACGTCGGCCTCTCGCAGCTGAATCCCTCCACCAGTCCTTCCATCAATATACGCTGCATCTCCCCGAGGGTTGCCGCACTGGAGGAAGGGTCTGCGCCGGCCGGGAGTGGGGTGGTGATGACGATGCGAGATCGATCGACGATGTCCTCTAGCCGGTCGCGGGGAAGGTCCCACGCATCATCGTCCTCGTCGCCTTCGTCGACATTCCCGTCCTCTTGGTCCTTCTCGACGTCTTTCGCCGACTGGATCGAGTCGGCCGAACCGAGGATTTCTTTCTTGCACCGCTCCTGGTCTGCTATCCCGTCAAGACCATAGATGTAATGGTCTCCGATGTTCAACCCGAGCTTGTAATGCAGATTCCAGCTGACCTGGCCCCAGATCCCCTAGCGAGTTGTCCCGCTCGCCGCCGAGGTGGATGTAGGTTGTACTGCCCGGAAGCGGCTCACAGGCCAGCCTGAAGTCACGGGCAAGACACCGTGCGATATCGTCATGGAGGTGGAGAACGGGTAGATCGAAGGGCGTGGTCGAGTGAATGGAGAATTTGATTATGCGGGTGGCGATGCGGAGCAAGATGCCGGGGATCATGCACCATGCTCGAGGCTGCATCCGTTCCATTAGGACCTCGAAGAACTCCTCCCACACTCTCATGGACGCGAAGTAGTTGTATGAGGGGAAGCGCTCACCGACGACGCGTACCGTTTGCAAGGACGGCATCATGAGCGGCGGTAGCGATTCCAATAGGGGTGTGGCGAGCTTCAACGATGTGATAAACTCCGGCTCCGGCCGCAGGACGATGGGTCCGTCGTGGGCGTTGTACCGAGAGACAGCATAGGCTGGGTCGACGATACTGAGGTGGCGGACGTGCTTGAGAGCCGCATACTTGGTGAAGCCGCGCTTGACGAGCTCTTCCGTCGTAAAGCTGGAGAATCCTGGAGGTGGAGTTTCCGCCGTGTGGAGGAAGAAGGAGCCGGCTTTGGCAACGTGAGGAGCTTCATAGAGGATGGGGATGGCCAGGATGAAGAACGTCTGTGCACAGTCAGCTCGCACGTAGAGGGAAGGAAGGCTGGATATCTACTCTTGAGACCAGAAGCAAGTTGTGTCTCGAACCAGGAATGAGCGCGGCTGTGCGGATGATAAGGGCCCTTAGCTCCGCTGGGAGATCGTTGATCCGGAACATGCTTAGGCGGATACTGATAGAGCCAGGCCAAAGAATGAGTGAGAAAGGTAAACAGGGCTGAGAGGAGAAGGTGGAGCTGCATGGAACTTTTCAGAATCAGGTCGATGAGTCCGTGCATTTTTGCCGCTTCTTTATGCGACGAGTCCTTCCGCGACGGTCGCTATAGACCACCTGGAGGCGCTGCAGAGTCGACTACTAACACCAGCCTCCTCGACTATCCTGTCAAGAGAGGTCGTACATATGAATGGTCAGAAGTCAGTACAGTCGGTGCTGCCCAGAATCTGGGTGCCCAATCCGGCGCGGGAGCGGTCGGGGTTGCCTATCAGACTGATATTGCGTACATTGAGAACATTACCGCTTGCTGATGCCACCCCTATCGCCTTCTCCACCTCCTATTTTTCAGTCTCGATACTCCACCATAGCTGTACGTACATCCTCGACGGATCTTGAGGGGCTGCGAAATATCGAAGCTGCGACATGTCAGCTCATCACGCCGACGAATCACACGTACGCAGACTGACTCACTGCCTAAAGCTCTCCTAGGCAGACCGGACAGGCTTCGCCTTCAGAGCCCAGCACCACCTCCACACTCAGCCGCCGCTCCAGCTGCCGATGGTGATCCGGGTTGACCGAGTCCTCAACCATTCCGCCAATCAGAGCCGTCTGCATCTGTTGGCTGATCTGGCTGGAGTCCAAAGACTCAGCGCTCCAGGGGAGCGGGCCGGAAATCGTGATGCGTGTACGAGTCATGACGTCCCGCCGCTCTGCCGACGACAATTTGTAGGTGCGAACGACGAAGCAGTGCCCGATGTCGCGCCCGATCTTTCGGAACCTGATTGACAACTCTTGGACGGTTGGCGTCTCCGGTGTGCCGCGCCCCTCACTGTCGAGATGAATGAAGGTGGTGCCCCCGGTGACGGCCTTGAGGTATTCGTCGGGGTCGGGTGTCGAAAGCCCTGTATGCAGGTGGAGGACGGGCGGAACAAAGGGTGGATGCCGGACCCCGGCAGTGAAGCCGATCCAATGTGTGAGGTTTGGGAGCGTGGTGATGTTCTGACACCATGCTCGAGCTTCTGTCCGCTTGAGAAGTGTTCTGCAAAGCTGCTCCAGAGGGTGTCGGTAGTGCTGCCGATACCATGTGGGATCGGGGTGGATGACGAGCCGTACAGTGTCCAGGTGGGGCATGACACCGGAGGGTAGGGTCCGCAAGGTGCAGCACGCCTCCCGCACGGGTGCGGTGATATTGTAGGCCGGCATGTTGACTGATTCGATCATGGGAGGGATCATGGGAGGGAAAGGAGGGAAGTTGTACGAAGAGTACCGGTCGACCGAGGCAAGGGTAGCGGGGTCGACGATGCTGAGGTGGCGGACAGATCTGAGAGCGGCATACTTGAAGTAGCCACCCCCGATCAGATCTTCCGTTGACGTGTTCCGAAAGCCCGGAGGCGGAGCGAGACCGCCGTGCTCAAAGAAGGAGTCGGGTCTGGTGATTATGACGGGGGAGTGGTAGAGTTCGCGAATGGCTACCGTGAAGAAGTACTGGTGGACATCAGCTTCACAGCCTCCTGACAAGGGACCAAGGGACAAGGGGAGAACGATAGAAGGAAAGAAGGAGAGAAGGCTTCACCCTGCTGACGAGGAGGATATTGACCGGGTCCTCGGCGACACTGACAGCGTGTCGAATGAGACGATCCATGACGTGAAGCGGAAGTGGGCTATCTGTAGGGAGTGGCAGCATACTGGAAGGTCTGCTGCGCTGCTATAGCTGTAGGCGTATGAATAGATGGATGATGGATGGATGGACGATAGACTAGTTTCGCGCTCAATTGACGCACCTGGAATGCCCCACCCAATTTGCTCCCGTAACCTGAAACACCAGCGCCCAGCCACGGGTTTCAAAGTTGGAAGTGGCGCCACGAGGGGCGACGGGGGCGCGATATCTGCGGCGTATGCTCTCATCTGTCGTTGCATCTTGCACAGGTTCAGTAACATATTCGCGTGTGACTTGAGTCACAGCGAGCGACATGGTAGACATGAGTAAAGATCTGATCGAGCCGCACTTCAGGGAGCAGCGCAAGCTCGCAGCGGACTATCTCAAAGCCCCCCATGGAACTCGGCGCTTGCATCCCCGAACGAGCGCTGGCCGTGGCTGGAGTGGGATACTATAGTGAGAAGACACTGTAGTACGACGCCCACTATCGCTCCTAGCGGTATGCCACGATCCCAAACGTAGTGGTGCCTGATGGCGTCTGTGCGCATCTCAGGGCTTCCTCGGTACCCTCCCTGCGAACCGTGGCTTGCTCTTTCGGTACTAGACTCGATCCTCGTTTCGTGCTCTACATCATTCTTGCCCATTGTATTCTATCATTGAGTCTCATCCCTCTTGTCTTTCCCACGGGCCTCAGCACAATGGGAGGTCATGATGAAGCTTGTCGCCCGCGTCCCGGACGTAGGTCATGATCGGACATGTACAGCTGTGACTCTTTAGCTGATGGCAACTAGCCCCTTCCACACCATCATCAGGACACCTTCCGCCCTCTCCATCTACCACTTTGCCCCGCGGCCCCGGGCAGCAAAGCAACATCGGTGGCCACCCGACGTTCTTGCCAATCGCGAGCTTTGTTCGACCACCCTTTCCTCCAACCCTCCCTCTAGCTAGTCCGATGACCTTGCCAGACATGTCTCAGAACGGTTCCTATGTCACGAGGGCCATCCTATGGACACCGGCAGGGTTCTTTCACTCTCAATGATCCCCTTTCCGACGCCCGGAAACGGACTTCCAAGCAGGAGTTTTACCAAGCCGCTCAATAGTATCAACGTGTACGTCGGCTGCATTGCACCTGGTATAGAGAACGCGATACTGATAGAACTCCTCAATGTACGTCATCCTTCCGTCCGTTCAGGTCTAAGCTGACTTTGACGCGTGCGGACCAATCCACGAGCTCAATAGAGGTCGCAATAAAGGGAAGCCCGAGGCGTACGGATTCGTCTCGATCGAAGATCCCGAGGTTGTCAGGCGGTGTATACGCTGCTTGAGTGGTGTGCGACTTCCGGATTTGTCACCGGAGGGGATCAGGGAGAAGAGACCGGCCAAAGCATTGGTGTTGAGGGTAGATGAGAAGGCCATGGCGTTCAAGCAGACGTCCGGAAGTACGGTCGATTGTGAGCTTGTATGTCGTCGTCAGCTTCGCTTATTCCGTCCAACCAGCTCATGATCCCAGGACGACAACACGGCCGATGCTGCCGCACGAGATATCATTGCTGTCATCATCGCGCGCCTCGGCCAAGTCCATACAGCTCTCGCCCGCGAACCTGTCACTCGAGCCTCCGGCGGTCAAACCCCAATCAACGTCATTGTCCCCGCACATCTCCAAAATCTCCGAGTAGGCGACTTGCCCGAAAAACAGCGTGTGGTTTGCCTCGACCAAATCTGTGTATTCCGCGAGAACGCTGCGTGGCTGGACCGAGAGCAGAAGCTCCGGGAGGAACAAACAAAGATGGCCCTAATTTACAATCCCGGCGGGTACAAGCGGCCGCCCAGTCCTTCCGCGTACGGGTATGGCCCGCGGGGGTTTCAGTGGAACGCTTCGACATCAAGCGCATCATCTCAATACCCTCCAGGCGGGCGTGATCGACCCCCTCCACAGATGCACGGGGGAGATCTTACCGCCCGAGCGAAGCGCAGCCTCCACAGTGCTGGTCGCAGTACTCATCGACGTGGTCGTCACTCTCGCCGGACAAAGGAACACCAAGAGGACGTCCGAGATCAGCAAGCGAATATGGTTAAGCACGAGGCGGGTGAGAGGGAGTCGTGGGGATCTGTGACGGAGCAAACGCAAGAGCTGGCTCGGGTGGAGGAGGTAGAGATGCAGCGCGGACTTGTCAGCGACAAAGCCGCACCTATCAACTGCGTAGAGCCCCCCGAGCCGCCCATAACACGCAGACCCACCGCCAGGGCAAAAGCCCGGTTGGCGCCGGCCATCGCTTTCGCGTTCGACGTCGACGACGAGGAGAAGGTTGCCGCGAATAAGCGCAAGCAAAGGTCATTCGTGAGGCTGTACGATGAGCAAGATGGGTGTTGTAGGTAGCCGGGTCGCTCTCAATCCACGCACACGAATAGCCTAGAACCATGTGATCACCTGTCGCTCCTTTCTGGTGTCGTCCTTTCAACCCCTCAAGGTGCCCCGACTCTGGCCTCCAGGTCACCTGCGGGTTGCCGCTCCTGTGTTCTTCTCCATTCCACATCAGACTGACCAGATCCAGCAGTCGCCACCCAGCTTTCACTAACCCACTGAGGCAACTGATCAAGAATGGGTCAGAATCAAACACGTCCGCAATACGCGCAGCATCAGTATGATGGTCCCCTATTTGGTGGACACTACGCCGGAGATTTCTCTCTGAGAGTGGGTTCCACTCTGATCCCTTCCTTGCGCGCGACTTGACGAGGCTATTTACTGATCAGTAGCGCCAACAGGATACCCGAGTGAACACGAACAAGGCTCTACCGGCTGTCCCCGATTCGAGAGGGGTTCGCTTTGGAGCAGCTCCGCCGTAAGACCAACTATCATTATCATCGATCGCTCGCTAACATGTAGCGCCTGGGAGTTCCACCGCAATGCGCCGACGTGGGACAATACTGCGAATACACGTTACTGTAGCTCGGGGAAAGCTGCGCGGTGAAGACCGAGAATTGCGTTGTTGAAACTTGAGAGCGGATGCCGGATCCGTTGTGTCTTCCATGTATTATCCTGCATTGTACATAGATGCTCTCTGTCCCTAACACCTGTTGTATTGCTGCAGCGCATGGACATGGTCGTGCTCGTGCTCATCATATCATGCATGGACCCTCGTGGCTGTATTACGTCAGCTGTTTCAGATATGAGATCCGATGCGGGCCACCACATCGCCACAGGGTCGCAACTGTGTGTATCAATCAACTTTTACCTCGACAGCGCCTTGCCCTCGCATCTGTATAGATAGCTACTCTCATCATGGCACTTGTGGCTTCTTCTTGTCTTCATACATCATACTTGCCATCATGACACTCGCTCAGAAAGCGCTCCACGCGCTCCGCAGCTTGCACTGGAACTTCTTCCGGATTCACCTCGCCTGCTTCGTCTTCGTACCGCTCGTCTTTTCCGGTATCGTATATGCTGGAAATGCAGGTGCTACCGGTCTGGCCGAGGGGAGCACCAGCACTGGGATCCAGAGGTCGGAGTATGTCGACTGCCTGTTCTTGTGCTATTCGGCCATGACGTGAGTAGTTGTTTATCCTGCCATCAACGGGATCGAGCTGATTGACAGTACGACTGGTCTGGTCCCCATCAAGTGAGCTTCATAAACGCTCAGAGCTGATCTAGTCTATCCGCACTTCATCCCTTCCAGCAAGCATGCCTCATCTTCCTCGCTATCATCGGCGACACGTCCTTCGTCGCGCTCCTCATGGTGCTTGTCCGGAAACGCTTCTTTCGCGTCCACTGTCAGACCATGCTGGCGAACGACAAGCTCCACCGCGCTGAGACGCTCGCAGCCTCCAAGATGGGCGTCGAGCAGCACGCCGTGGACCGTGACAAGATCACCGGTCCCATCAACGCCCAGCTACTCGACCACTACATCCCCGATCGCGTTCTGGCGGAATCTCCTACGATCAGCCAGAACACTCAACGGGAGGCCATTATAGGCCAGAATAGTTTCCACCGACGGCAAACTATCCGAGCTCGTACGCTCGGCCTGAATACTGTCGGGTTGGGCGACCGACACGAGACAAGATACACCATCCCGGCACCCGTCAAACCCGCTCATACCGGCTTAGGGGGGTTCCCACTCCTCTCGAAGCTCGGGCATCTCCTCGTCGATACACTCCGCCTACCCGTGCGTTTGGAGCATCCCCATACTCTCCTCACTCGCGAGACTACGCACGAGTCAAAGGACTGGTCCAGCTCGGTCAAGGAGCACGTCGTTTCTTGGCTACCAGATGGATTCGGAGGGCTCGTTATCGGGCGCAACAGCCGATTCTTTACCGAGGAGCTGGAGGATGAACGGTTGGAGCAGATCGGCGGAGTGGAGTATCGCGCGCTGAGGTTTCTGAGCTACTTTGTCGGAGCGGTGAGTTCCAGCTTGACGAAGCTGACATCAGTACATCTTTCTCTGCCAGATCCTCCCATTCGCCGTCCTTTCGATCTACTTCTCCCGCATCAACTACTGGTCGTCCGCCTTTCAGGCCTCAGACGCTGTGCAGACCACGACCGTCAACCCCGTCTGGTCGTCCTTCTACTTCTCTGTCGCCGCCTATACAGGAGCCGGTCTATCATTGGTCGATCAGAGCATCGCGCCTTTCGCAAACTGCTACCTCCTCATCTGGGTCCTCAACTTCGCCATGCTACTCGGGAACCACTCTTTTCCGATGACGCTGCGGATGCTCATTTGGCTCGGGACCAAGCTTACGCGTGATTCCACCCTGCACCAGACGCTTCATTTCTTGCTGGATCACCCGAGGAGGTACGTGCTACTTGGAGCGAAAGCTGACCGTAGATGTTTTCTGTACCTCTTCCCCAGTCATCAGACTTGGTATCTCCTTCTAGCTCTTATTGCCTTCATGTGAGCGATTCTGATCATGGTCGAGGCTGCTGCTGACGTAATCAGCGCAATTGAGCTTTTCAGCTTCCTTGTGCTCAACATCGGTCTACCTGTCCTTGACAGCATCACTAGCGGGTGGCAGCGGTTCTCCGAGGGAGTGCTGCAGAGTCTCAGCGTGCGAGCGTCAGGGTTTGGGATAGTAGCGGTACCTGGACTTGCTCCGTCTACCTTGTGAGTCTCTCTGCGGACCATGTCCCCAAGCAGGATGCCGCTAACGCCCAGATTCCTCTATGTGGTATGTCTTCCATGACCTGACTCGAATCAGCTGATCGCAGATACTCATGTACATCGCCATCTATCGTGCGTCTGCTATAGTGACGTCCCGGTTGGATCCTGAAGCCCATCAGCTGATCAGCAGCGATCGCGCTTTCGGTGCGCTCTACCAACGTATACGAGGAACAAGCGCTAGGGGTATACAACGCGGAGCACGACACGTCCGAGACCACCGAGCCAGCTCCGGACGACAAGAGGCCAGAGGCGAAGACCGAAATCTTCAGGTCCGTCCGTTCGATCCGAAATGCTACTTGGCTGACATTGCAGCAAATACGTCATGTGGCACGTTCGCCGACAGCTCGCATTTGACATCTGGCCACTCGCGCTCGCAGTCTTCCTCATTGCCTGCTTTGAGCGGTCAAAGATCGTCGATGCCGATACGGGGTCATGGTTCACCCTCTTTCGGATCATCTTTGAGTGCACTTCGGCATACTCTATGATTGGGCTATCGATGGGGACGCCGAACAACAACTACTCGTTCTGCGGGGAGTTTTCGGTACCGTCCAAGATTGTGGTGAGTTGGCCTCCTATCCCGGTGGGGAGGGTAGAGAAAATATAGCTAACCGTTCAGCTCATGCTTATCATGATACGCGGGAGACATAGGGGTTTGCCAGTGGCTATTGATCGGGCGGTGATGCTACCGAAGGCGTTCGTCCGGTGATGGTGATCCTGTGGAGAGACCTTGGAACAGTTGTATATAGATGTCCGACATCATAGAGGGCAGAACAAGCGAGGGTATACATGCAGGCCCGGATACTATCTTGCTGAGACGCCTCGCGCGTGAATTTCGACGGTACAATAAGTCGTGGCGGACCTTGTGAACATAGAGAAGCCCACTCACACATAGCCCTGGCTAGGCACAGCGATACGATGCACATAACGTCCTCTCTACCTTCACCAAATCGCAGACCCGTCATTCTCTCCTCATGTACCCTGCCCCGGAGCCCCGGCTCTGTCTCCCTCCGACTCGTCAGACTTATGATTCCTCCTTGATTTGACCAACAGTCGACAGCCTTGAGGGGAGGACCTACTCACCAATGAGGAGGCATGATCCATCTTGCAGCAAATCGGGTGAGTAAATGCTTAGTAAGGTCCGTGTGCTCACACTTGATGCTTTCCAAAGCTGCTCGTTCCAGATAATGAAGATACTCGTAGATCGTCTACTTCTGCGCGTGAAAATCTTCTGCATACACAATGACACTCACACCAGCATGGTCCCTGAGGGCAGCCCGGCCCTTGCAGCAGCTGTCTCGAACGCCAGCAATCGCCATAATTGCACTACGAGGGTGTACGCATCTTCCGCCAGAACCTGAGCGGTGATCGGCTGATACCCCTGCACAGTAGACATGACAAGCACTTACTGATTCTAGTTCGTCTACCACCTTCTGGGGGCTGCTGCGGTCGGCGACCTTTTCCATGACGAAATCTGAGAGATCCTTGTCTACTTCACCGAGATATTCTTCGAGCTTGCCATTAACAAATGAGAGGATTTTGGCCTTGGTCGCGCTCTAGTCTGTCAGCTTACCCACTTTTATTATCAAAGACTGCCACAACAAAAGAGTGACGGCTTCCGCAACAGACGGAAGGGGAAGACAGCAAGGAGGGCGGGAAAGAGTAGGGAACCATCCAAATCCAAGCCTGTAGATTCTGAAATGAGGTGTGGCAGGATTGGGGATGAGAGGAGCCAAAACGATAGAGAACCACGTACCTCGTTTATCGCCTTCCAGTTCAGCTCCATACCCCACAAGGTCCGCTTATCCCTCGGCACCCGGCTCCGCACCTCCAACAACTGCCGATTTCGCGCCACGGCCTTCTCCGCCTCCGCCGTGCTATCCACCACATCCTTCTCGTCATACTCCAACTTGACGAACGTCCGCTGCTTTCGCTTGTCCGCAGCGACCTCCTCCTCATCATCATTGTCAAACGCGATAGCCGGTGCCGGCCGGGCCTTGGCGGGAGCTGGTTCGACCTTTGCTTTGGCCTTTGCGGCGGGTTCAGGCGCGGTCGCGGGTACAGCGAGTGCGAGCTTGACAGGCGCCGCATCCTCCGTAAGGAGCCCGCGCTGCTTTTGCACCTCCTCCATCCGAGCCATCTCTTCCATCTGCCGCCGCATAAATTCCTCCGACTCCTTCTCGAGCGCCTTGATCTCGTCCTGCTCTGCTTGCCTATCTCGGACGTCGTCTTGGTACTCTCTTGTCCTGTGAAGGTGCCGAGTATTGCGCCAGCGGGTACTGCAATCAGCCCAGTCTCCTGTCCAAACGTACCGATCCGCAAAGAACAACTCCTTGCCCCTGTCTGCAACCTCGTCATCGTCAAATCGATCAAGACGCTCCGCCATGGCCCGCCTAGTCCTGTCCTCTGCCTCGCCCTGCTGCCGCCGATGAGACATTTCCCGATTGAGATTCTCCAGGCGGTAACGCTCTCGATTTTCAACTTGCCGCTCGCGCTAAAGAGTCAGCTACATCACGTTACGAAAGCGGCCAGTGTCGAGGCATTGACGGCCCCGATTGAAGCGGGTATGGCAGATGGTGCGGGAGCTGCGAGGAGGGAACACGGGATAATCATGGGCGAGACGGGGCGGTCTCGCCGCGAAGGACTTGACCCACCTCTCTCAGCTTGCCCTCCTTCTCCCTCGCCAGCCTCATCTGCCTCATATCCTCCTCCTCCTCATCCGTCCGACCGCTCTCCACTTTCGCCTCCGCCGCGTGAGCCTTGACGAAACCGACAGGTTTCGAGTACCCCTGGGGTCCCTGCCCATTCGCCTGTAGTAGGGGTCGATCATTTCCGCGCTGGGGTTGCTGGAACGGAGCACTGGGACCCTGTGCATTCGTCTGAAATCCCCGTTGGCCGTACCCGTACTCGGCGGGGTTCGGCGGCCGTTTGTACCCGCCCGCACTGTTGTATTTGGCCATCTCCAATTCTTCCTCTCGGAGCTTCTGCTGCCGTTCCAGCCGCGCAGCATTCTCTCGAAAGACCGAGATCTGGTCGAGGACAGCTACGCGTTGGTTCTCCGGCAGGTCACCTTCCCGAAGATCCTGGAGATGTGCGGGGACAATGACGGTAATAGGTGATTGGCCGCCGGAATGCCGAGCGGTAGGTTCAGGAACGGGGGCGTGGGCTTGGACGATCCGTGCGATGATGGCGGCGATGGTCTTTCGCGCGGCAGCGTCTGCTTCTTCGTCGTCCTAAATCATGAGCTCTGACCGAATGGATCGCAAAGTGGAAGCTCACGTCTGTTCGCCCCACAGTCTGCTCAAACTCGTCCAAGAACGCCTTGGTTTTCTCATCCACCTTCGCCCTCAACGGCTTGGACGGCTTCTTCTCCCTGATCCCCTCCGGCGACAAGTCCGGCAACTCCACACCGTCCAAGCAGCGTATGCACCGCATGACCACCTCGGGATTTTCGATCGAGACGAACCCAAACGCTTGGGATTTGCCGTTGCTCTGACCTCGCTTGAGCTCGTGGATCGGTCCGCAAGCCTAAAGGTCAGCTTGGACCCTCTTTATGGATGAAAAGACATACAGTGAGAAGCTCCATAAGCGTCGCATCGTCTATACCAGGCGCGATAGACCCCACAAACATGTCGGTCGTCTTGAGCGGTTTAACGAAGTTTGTGCTTGGTTGTCTGTGCGGGGGCGTCGGGAGCGCAGATGGGTTGGGAGGGAGCCCGATACCGGGGTACATGGGCCGTACGGGGGAGTTGCCGAAGGGCATGCCTTGAGGCCGGACAGGCAAGGGAGAGCCGTTCTGGTACATGTTCGGCATGGGCATAGGCATAGGCGCCTGGGGGAGGTGAGGAGGGAAAGGCGGCCGGACGAAGTTTGTAAGCGGGGGAAAGGGATGGTAGCCACCGATGTTGCTGGGTCCGCTGGGCGCACCAGGAGCCCCGGGAGCGCCGGGCGCCAGATTTGGCGGGAACGGAGGGAGGTTCCCAGGAGGAGGTCGAAAAGGGGCTACTCCCGTCAGCCGCGGCTCTCACCTTCTGTAAGTTGGTCAGACTCACGAGGACCTCCGAATCCATTATTTGCGCCGTACATTGTCTCGATGTTTCCCTGTCTGTAAGGGTTGTAGACTGTTAACAGATTGAAGGAAGAAGGGCAGCGAAAGTCGCTCGAATTCCTCGAAGCTTGACCGTCGCGCGCCTAGGCCTCCGGCGATCGCCGCTCGAGTTGCCGGTCTGTGCTGAAGCTGCCTATATTAGCTATGACCGGTGAGGGTCTGGCGAGGTCAGGCCAGTAGCACATACAGGATAGCAAGGTGTAGGTATGCATACAGGGAATCGATCATCCCATCCCCTTCCTTCCCATCCCCTATCTCGACCTTCTCTTGCGATCACCACCCCTCCGGGGCCTTTTCTTCTCGCTCGGGCAGCATGAATGCCTACCTTCGTCAGCTTTCCCTAGCAATGACGTCTGTGCTACACTCACCAGCTGTTCCCCTCCCACCGCCATCATCGCATGCCTCGGATTGAACCTCACCGCCCTCGACGGTCCCATCTCGGCAAACATCTCTGGCTTCTTCCGTATCGTTGGCGTGAGCGTCTTGTACGGTATCCTCCCTCCCGCCTTCAATTTGGCATCGTCTGACGGTCTTTGATGAGACGCCATATCCCAGAAATAGACGCTTCCGTCCGCGGAGCCCGAGTAGACCCATCTCGAATCGGCCGTCCAGCCCACTTCCTCCCCGCTTCCCCCGCGCCGTGGTTGTGGCTCTCTTCTGCCATTCCGATCCGTCTCGAGCCCCTGATGCCCGACGAGTCGACAGTGTATGCTGAGGTCGTAACCGTCGACGACGTAGTGCACGTCAGAGGAGGTACCGATGAGGATGAGGTCGCCGGCGTTGGAGAAGGATATCGAGGTGAAGACGGGTCGGCGGGGAGGTTGGCTTGCGCGTTCGAGTTCGGGATCGACAAGTCGGGCATGAGAGAAGGGGATCTGGGGTCAACTCAGCTCAAGAGCAACACTCACGGCGTCAGGCGCATCGGTGCCGTACAGCATGACGACGCCTAGGTCCGACGAAGCGACCGCAAAGATCGTCCCGGCGTGATCAAACGCTGCTATCGTGGATCCTCCAACATTGTTGAGCAGTGCCTACAATCAGCCCACGCTATCTCATCAACATACCTGGCATTTACCCTGCCGAAGATCCCATATCCGGACAGTCCCATCATCCCCTCCCGAGATGAAGCGGTCTTCTGTCGGGTGCATCTGGATAGAGCGGACCCTGGTCGTCAGCCACATCCGTAATCCCATTTCCCTCGGCAGCTCACCTCGCACTATGTCCTTTCAGATACAGGAGGTACTTGTTGTCATGCATGGAATGATACCGGATATCGTGATTCGTCTTGGTCGACGTGTGAAGGACGTTGGTCGGCTTATGAGTCAAGCGGATCTGCGATAATCCATACTTGTGAGATGCATATGTCTTCTTTTTCCTGTCTCGTCAGCAAGGGTCTTGTGATTGAGGAGATACACTTACGTTCCGGTAGTGATGTCCCACCAATTGAACAGCTCGTCTTCTCCTGCCGTGACGCAGCCATTGCCAGTATCGTCAAAGGCGATACTGGAGATCTGGGCTTTCGTTGAGTAGCCATGGTGTGCAGTGGAAACCCAGGGCAGTTTTCCATTTATAGCGTCTTTGAAGAGTCTTGCAGGTGCTAGCTTATCCTGCTTTAATTAGCGCAGGTCCGAGGGATACTTGACAAGGGTCTTACCAGTACGTATGGCTCCAGACTGATCGGTTGTCGCGAGGGAGGAGGCCCAGCGGGATGCCTCGAAGGACCAGCTTGATTCGACATGACAGGCAGCTTATAAGAGGCGGCTTGAGATGGTGAAGCTCTGTGTAGCACTGTTTGACCTTGAGTAGCTATTTGAAGGCGGTTGTTGCAGCTATATGCTTCGTTTGAGGAATGTGTATCTTCGAGCCACGTGGAGAACAACCTCCACTCTCACCGGTCCAGTCAGCTCCACTTTCGCCTTCACTTTCTCACTCCTCGTTGCCAACTCCCCGTACACCTCCCCAGCTCATCTCATTCCCGGGAGCTATGTGGACCCTCCACAAGCTGAACACCCGGGACACCTCCCGACGCGGCCCATCATCCATCTGCGACCCACCCGCCAGGCCATCCGGACCCTCATCATCTCGCCAGACCGACACCTCCGCCTTCCCCTGGGAGTTTCCCGCCGCGGATCTTGAGCGTTTCCCTGCGCTTCGGAAACGGAACTTCTTCTGTATACAGCGACATCAGGCCCGGGCGCTTCACTATGATCTGAGATTGCAGCTGGATGGGGGGACGCTAAGTTGGGCTATACCCAAGGGGTTGATAGGTGCTTCTTCCAAACTCTTAGGGGAAGGGGGTGCAGCTGACTTGGCAGGGATGGATAAGAAGGGGGAGTCCAGTCGGATGGCTGTGCAGACTACCATACATCCCATTAGCTACACTACACATGAAGGTCGGTCCAGCTAATCTCAAGCGACGTACCCTGCGTGGAGGGAACGTTAGCTGATGGACTCAGGAAGTGACGGTACCGGTGAGCTGAGCTGGAAGAATATACCTCGAGGGAGCATGAGCTGAGAAGCCAGTCTTCAGCTCAGGTAAAAGAGCCGGAACACGTATGTCCACTCCCTCCCCTCCCCGGGATCTGCTGACCACGCCAGTACTGTGGGATATAGGCGAGTACGAGATCACCAATTCCAGGCGCTCGGTCGGCTCGGACAGCGAAGATGAGCGGCGAAAGAAACGACGCAAGGTCTCGCCTGAGGCCGAAGACCCGTGAGCTAGATATTCTCGGAGAGCATAGGGTGCGCAGCTGACTTGTGCAGGCTCGGAAAGCACGAAGAGGACAAGTTGCGTGATCGCTTCACCCGGGTCCTTCCTACTGGAAATCAGCGGACCATCCGGCTCACACTGAAAGGTGGAAGGAAGGTATGTCCTCGCGTTGAGGATGTTCATCTGCAGTGGCCAGCAGCTGATAGTCCAGATGACCGGTCAGAGTAAGCTGCTTACCTCCCATCACATCCTCCGACGTACTGACCCTATCAGCGTTTATCTTCGTACTCGACGTCCAGAACTCTCGCTCCTCCACATTCGGCCGAGGTGGAGTCCACAAGAAGACGTGGTTTGTCCGCCTCCCGGCCGATGTGGACAGGTACGACTGGGACCAAGGTGGCGAGGACGGCGAGTTCTGGGGGCGGAGCGTGAAGAGTGAGCTGGCCTACCATCGTGCTCGCGATGGACTAGTAGCTGACTGTCCAGCCGGGAGAACCTTCTTTGAGGTATGCTCAAGCGCCCCACGAGCTCCCAAGATGTTCAAGAGCGAACTGAAGCGGTTCGAGGGGTGGAGCGAGACGGTGGATGAGCTGGGGACGGAGGAGCAGGTGCGGTTCTCAGTCAAGCTCGTAACTGCCGCCGCATGACCACAGCTTCTATCGTATGTATACATCACATCGTCTACTTGTACGTGTCCATGATCATGAAGGGACCGTAGCAGTCCCCCTCAGACGAACATACATCAGCTCCCACCCACTCTGGCCCTTCACTCCCGCGGCGCCGTTTTTCCATGCCTCAGCACCTACCCCAGGCGCCCCGTCATTCCAATAACAGTCCGGCGCAACCAGCGCCTCTACCTCCTTCATCATCCCCTCAGCGTCGTCATCCGAGAAGGTCGAGAAGCAGGTATTGCGGGCGAACGTCCGAAGCCAGCCGAGAAAGTCGGTATCGAGCGGACTGGGGCGGGGGACTAGGTGTAGGTTGGACGGTGTCAGGCCGGCTGCTTCGAGGACCTGGGAGTCAGTTTGAGCCACTGTAGCCGAAATAGCTGCGCGATCTTCGGTCAAGAGCTGGAAGCTGACCTGAGTGTACTGCCTGACGGTGGGGAAGTACCATGGATCCAGTCCGAGCGGGTCATGCCCATGAGAGCGGAGAACTTGATGTATAGCCCCTCGAACACCCACACTGATAGGTCAGCTCTAGTCCCCTCTTTGGTACGTCAGTGGAGATTTGCGGACGTACATGTTCCCAAACCCGCCAAACTCAAACGCGACCCTTCCTCCAGGCTTCAATAACCACTTGATCCCCTCCACCACGCCCGCCGGGTCGGCCTTGCACCAGTGCAGCGTAGCGGACGTGAAGACCGCGTCGAATGTGCCCTTCAGCTTGGGATCTAGGAGGGAAGGGAGTTTCTGGATATCCGCCTCGAACAGGTCTACGCCGGGGAGGGTTGTTTTTGCTTTCTCCAGCTGCGGGCTCAGCTTGCGTTTGGGCCTTAGCGCTAGCGAGGGAGACGTACCATCTTAGCACTAGAGTCAATACCCACCACTCTCCCGCCCGAGCCCACAGCAGCACACACTTTGGCAGTGAGTTCCCCCGTCCCGCATCCTAGGTCCGCGATGACCTCGCCGGGCTGAGCATTCAAGAGGTCCAGAACGGGCGAAGTAAACTTGTCAGAGTAGACGAACGAGGCGTTCTTGTTGTAATTCTCGGGAGTGTGGTTCTTTAGTGACGCCATACTGCCTGTGATATTGGGTTGGGTGAATGAAGAAGGTTTCACATGGTGGGGTTGATGCAATTGACTTCGATAAGAGCTCGACGTCGGCGAGGAATGTGTAGCTGCTGGCGTTCGGCCGGTGCCTCCGTCCATCGGGAACGTCGGCCGGATACGCACGGATGTCAATTCGGGTTGGGCCATATATACCCGGCAGCTTCATCGCTCAACGGTCCTTCTCCTCCAATATACAGCTTGCCCACTATACTACACATAGAAAAAGCACCATGGCCGCATCACTCGCTACGTGAGCTCTCCTGCTAGCTGCGGTGTCTCAGAATGCTGACTTCCGCAGCTGCATCTTCTGCAAGATCGTCAAGGGTGAGCTAAATACAGCGACACCGCTGTGAAGTCGGGCCGGAGCTGACTGGTTTTAGGCGAGATCCCATGGTATGCCTGCCATATACCCGCACGAAGATCAGGCTTGAGATACTGATAGCCCAGTCTCAAACTCATGGAGACCGAGAGCGTCCTTGCTTTTGTCGATATTGGACCAATTGCCAAAGGGCACAGCCTCGTCATTCCCAAGCGTAAGCTCAGACCTGCGTAGTACTGATTCGCACACTGGCAGCTTGTGCTGATGCGATAGACCATGCTGCTACACTGAGTGATCTCCCAGAGTCCGAGATGGCGGACATCCTGCCTGCGCTCAAGAAGATAGCTATTGCCTCGGTACGCTTCTGCTCACTTCACCGTTTAACTAGCTTCGGATCAGGACTCGGCTGATGAAATAGGGCGCGCAGAACTACAACATCCTTCAGGTACCTCCCCTCCTCCGAGACTACTCAGGGAGCAATGGCTGAAGAGTTAGAACAACGGTCGAGCAGCACACCAAGTCGTCGACCATGTCCACTTCCACATGATCCCGAAGCCTGCCGAGGCGGGGGACAAGGAGGGTCTCGTCATTGGTTGGCCAGGTGAGCTAGATAGCCTTGAAATTCTTAGAGGCATAAGCTGACAAGTACAGTCCAGAAGGATGTAAGTCGCCGTGGCCAAGTCGGTGCAACAGGAACGGAACAGCTGACAATGCTAGTTGTCGAAAGATGAGATCAAGACGATCTACGAGGATATCAAGTCGAGGTTGTAGATGTCGAGGAGAAACAGTAGAGTTCAGTAATTGTTCAAGTAGTTCAGTATGCATGACATGGGGACATGGAAGGTAAGAGGTCAGCGCACATACATGTACTCCGGCTGTCGGACCCGGTACCTCGGTCGCCGAACGCGAACCAGACGTCTTGCGTTTGCTTACCGGCCAGCTTCATTTGTATGCTTCATACCTCCATCTCAATCTTGAGGAAGCAGCATGTGTATCGCCTTCTTCACCACCACTCAGCCCGGCTTCAAGCTGTACGTTTCATTGCCGTCTTCCACAGTCCAGCTTTGACAGCACGCTGACTGAGCAGAATCATCGCCTCGAACCGAGATGAATTCTACGACCGGCCCGCTACGCCCGCTGCATGGCACACCTTCGGGCGTGATAGCCCAGAAGGCTCGCGTGAGTTCTTGTCGGGGCAGGACCTGGCGGCGGCGGGAGGGGGGACGTGGTTGGGGATGACGAAAGATCTACGGATAGGCCTCATGTACGCTGTCTAATCGCTTGTATCCCCCATCTCGAGCTGAGTCGAGCAGAACCAATATCCGCGATCCTTCCATCTCGCCTGCAGCAGCCGCTATTCGCCGACCAGGCGCACCATCCCGGGGACAGCTCCTGCGCGGTTTCCTGGAAGCTCCACCCTCATCCGATCCAATACGGGCATTTATGGACGCCACTTCAAACTCGGCAGACTATGACGGCTTCAACCTCTTGCTTTTTCATGTCAAGCAGGACGGAGCGGAAGTAGGACACGTCAGTAATCGGCCTGAAGTACGAGCAGAGATCCTGGACGACAAGAGTAGAGGGGCACATGGGATCTCAAATACACCAATCGAGAAGCCTTGGCCAAAAGTCGTAGATGGGGAGAAGGGGATGGGGGAGACGCTTGCGGAGTGGGGGAAGGCAGGGGAGGGGGAGGACGAGCTTGTCCAGCGCTTGTTCCGACTTCTCAGGTGGGTCCTGCTCCGATAATATGGGTTCCAGTACCAGCCCGCACAGTGCTGATCTCCAGACGCTCCACCGAGATCAAGAGCATAGCGGACGCCCCCCAATGCACCTGTATCCCGCCCGTCATCCTCAGCGATAGTTGGTATGGTACGCGCGTGTCGACTGTGATTCTCGTTTCGGATAAAGACGAGGTGACGTTTGTTGAGAGGGATATAGGCGGACTGGTCGATGGAGAGGGGACATTCCTAAAATCAGACAACAGAGTATTCCGGTTTTAGGCTGCAGCATAACGTGTCATGCGGTGATCCTATGCATACACGCCTGACCCAACAGAACCCAGAGCGAACTAGATGAAGCCAATCTGACAATCAGCGCGATCCTCCAGCAATTCATGATCCAGGACTCACCTTGTTGGCAACCTCCAACGCGTCGTGGTCGGGTGTCAGGCGGACGTACGCCTTCTTCCTGCCGTCTGGTCTGCAACGTCAGCTCGGCCCCTTGCTTATGACTCAATGAACTCACCGGATCAAGGTGTTGACCTTGAGCGCCTCAACATCGTACAGCTTCTTGACGGCATCCTTGATGTGCCTCTTGTTCGCCCTCAAGTCCACGATGAACACCAAGGTGTTGTGCTCCTCGATCTTCTTCATCGCCGACTCGGTGTTGAGGGGGTACTGGATGGTCCGGAACTGGTCCATGCGCGGGAGGTGGGGGACGGATTTGCGGGGGTATTTGGGTTTGCGGGCGAGTTTGAGAGTGGTGGGGCGGTGGAAGGAGACCGTGGTGCGGACCTTGCGGGCGGTGTGCGAGGCCGTACCCTTCAGCGCTGCCTTCTTGGCCGCCTTCGCCTTGGCATCCTGGGGCTTTGCGGCGGCTGAACTGTCAGCTGTGGTTCAAGCAAAGCTTCGCTATGCCGCGAAGACTCCTCCGAATCCAACTCCCAGCACCTCCCTCCCTTGCCCATGAAGCCGATGCCGCCGATCCCACCGGAGCAATACAGCATGCCCCTTCCGCTCGTCCCCGACTCCCCACCCTGAAGTGCATCCCTTTTCTCATCCATGGTCCATCTCTCCAATTCCCTCATCCCGCATATTCCACCTCGTATGCTCGCCTGATGCGATGCTGAACGGCAATTCACCTTTGCCGCCGGTCTTTGTGGTCGAGGGTGCCATTATATCGCTAGATGGATGATATGAGCCAACAGTATCTAGTCTCTCTGTGCACAACTCGCGCGCTGCAACGGAGAGGGGAAAAACGGTAACGTGACGCAGGCGGGATTAACGGAAAACACCGGCGCAGCCAAAAGAGCATTTGGGCGATTGTGGCAGGTCAGGAACGGAGGTAATTTAATCGCCGATGCGGGCGGTCATGCCGTCATATCTGGACCACCTTGCTGTCGCTGCTGCTGGGCTGGGCCTCCCTACTTGTGCAATGCATCATGCATCTATCCCTTCTCATCGATCGATGCAGGTACATCTGGCGCCAAGATTCTGTGAGCAGGCTCCCCAGGCCAACAAGGGCAGATCATTAGACTCGTGCATACGGGAAGCTCTCCCATGGATTCTTCTGAATGCGACCCGCCCCGCAAGAGGCAAGCCTGCCAATTACTCTGAATCTCGTGTGCAGGCTACCTCATCAGAGCGGCCCTTGCGATGCCGTGGCAGCGCCTGAGCGTCCGCTCGTCGCTCATATCAATGGAGCTGCAAGCAGCAGCTGCTGCATGCTCGTGCGACACTTTGAGGCACGCGGGAGCAAATCGTGGCACGGGCTAGAGCCAGCGCCGTCAAGATGACGTACGCGGCGAGCGATCACTCGCTCAGGGCACAGAAGGCAATCCAAGCAGAGCAAAGCAAACCTCCACGAAAAGTACTCTGTCCTTCTCCATACACACCACATACATCTTATCTCTTACAACTATCCCTCAGAAGCCACGCGCGACAGAAGGCTTCAGCAGATCCGCCGCTCATACCCCTGATCATCGGAATCAGAGAAAGGAGGAAGCGCTACACAGCCCTTCCACGTCGCGCTTGCGACACCTGCAAATCCATATCGAATCGATACACCTTCGACTTCTCTTCGCCTCAGCCTTTAGCAAACCCCTCAGGACTCTCCTGCGCTCCCCTCTCCCGTTTTCAGCCAGATAATATAGCAAAATGGTACGTGTTGATTCCCTTACTCAGCTCGAAGTCCCATTCTCCTTGTCCGTGCGATGCACTAAGCCATTTGACCGATCCTTGCTGGAGTCTATGCTGACGACATAGGGTCAAACACTCTCAGAACCAGGTACTGTTGCTCGTCGTGATCTGTAGATGGAAGCATGCTGATGCGGTCTTTTCTCCTACTTGTCTCTGCCTAAACGCACATTCTTTCCTTATCAACCTATCACGCATCCTCCACGCATATCTCGCTTCTAATGAGCAGTCACCGAGAAGCACACCACGACGGTGAGCCGAGGGAAGAAGTACTGGGTAGGGATCTCAGACATGCAGGGATGGCGTATCAGTCAGTATCCTTCTGTTTACTGCCGGAAATGCGGTGCTGGTATCGGTGCTGTTGCTGACCAAGCAGGCATGGAAGATTCCCACACAGTACATCTGTACCTCCCTCCGGCGGACGCAGGATACGTGGCGAAACACCCGGCCGATAACATCAAGCAGCAGCCGGCGGGATGTACGGTGTCGAACGATGATGAGGACGATGAAGGACCGGCATTGTTTGGTGTCTTTGATGGACATGGTGGATCTTCGGCGGCGAAGTTTGCAGGGACGACGATGCACTCGAGGTTGAGGGCGTTGGACTCATATAGTGAGTTCAAGAAGAATGGTAAAAGGAGTGGAGCTGATCAGAACAGAGGTTGGAGACTACAAGGATGCGCTGAAGGAGGCGTTCTTGAAGACGGACGAAGACCTGAGAGCCGGTATGTCTTATCAAGGCCTCTCGTAAGAAGCCTAGCTGATTGCCAGACCCCAACTTCTTCAACGACCCTTCAGGATGCACAGCTGTTGTTGGTGTCCTCGCCAATGGCAAATTCACATGCGTGAGTTGTGGTTCTCATGTGTGCGCAGGACAAAACTGACCATCAGGCCAACTCTGGTGATTCTCGATGTGTTCTCGGATATCGCGGCGAGGCAAAAGCCATGTCATATGACCACAAACCTACCAACAAGGGTGAGCTCATCGCCCCAAACAGGCCGGACTGGAGCTAACAACTCAGAGGAGACTGCTAGAATCACCTCGGCGGGCGGTTTCGTCGAATTCGGCCGTGTCAACGGTAACCTCGCCCTTTCCCGCGCGCTGGGCGATTTCGAGTTCAAGCAAAATTTCGCCCTTGACCCAGAGAAGCAGATCGTTACTGCCGATCCTGAATTTGTCGTACATGACATCGACGGCGAGGAGGAGTTTATCGTTGTTGCCTGTGACGGTGAGTGTGCTTAGTTGGGGAGGAAGGGCTTTGGCTGATTTCAGGTATTTGGGACTGCCTCACCTCTCAGCAAGTGGTTGACTTCACGCGCCGGGCAATTGCGAACGGAGACGATCTCGGCAAGATCTGCGAGGACATGATGGTCAAGTGCTTGGCCAAGGAATCGGAGACGGGCGGGATCGGATGCGACAACATGACTGTCGTGGTGGTTGCGCTTCTGGGCGGGCGGACAAAGGAGGAATGGCAGGCGTGGGTCAAGGAGCGCGTGGAGAAGAAGGGTGAGCTGCGCGTCCCACAACCATGGTGCTCTGAGCTGACTTTCTAGTCGGCCACGACACACCCGAATCCATCCCCGACGTGTTTGCCGCGCTGCAAACTCAGCCAACAAGCGGTATGGGCGGATTGACCGGCTCTGGCTTTCGCGTTGCTGGTGCTGGTGGGCTTGCAAATATTGCTAGCATGCTTGGCGCCTCGAACATAATGTTCCGGCCGGCGGAGGATAGCGACGACGACGAGTCGGAGGCGTCTGCTGCGGCAGGAGAGACGTCAAAGGGCGGTGCTGGTGCCGGTGAGGACAAGGGCAAACCTGTACGTCCGGATGCTTAGCTATGTATCCCTAGTCGGGGAAATTGTCAAAAATGGGGCGCATGCTGAAGCTTTTTGCTAAAGGCTCGAATCCACCAGTTGGACGATGATGGAGATTCTCACATGGACTCTGACGAAGAATCGGACGATACTACCGCTCCCGCACCCACCTCCAACGCCGAATCCTCGTCCGCTTCCACTGGCGTCAAGGTCTCCCCCATCCCCCCATCCTTCACTTCGATCGGATCGCCCGAGGTCCCGACACACCAGGAACTACAACAGATGCGGATGCCTGCCAAGGGGTCTGCGCCGGAACAGCTCAAGCCGACGCCCCAGGGCGATCAGTATCCGGCGGTGGCGAAGGTCGAGGGGTTGATGGATAAGAGCGAGGCGGCATTATAGGCGGTGCGGTGCAAGGGAGAGGAGAACAGCGTGTGGGACTTCACAGAGAATTGTCTAGAGAGCATCGAGGACGATGAGGCGTTAGGCCTTTAAGGGGAAAGCAGGGAGAAGGGACGAATAATTGCAGAAGGGAAATCATAACGGTGTGACATTGTACGAACAGAGTAGGATACCCAGTGGTAGTGTTTATGCATGCGGCCGACTCTAGCTACCTGGTCTATCTGTGGAGCATGTGCATGAAGCGTGAAAGAGGTCCTGCTGTCAGCCAGAAGAGCGGCTGGAAGGTAGTCGGGGCCCGATTTCGCCGGTTACTCGTCTGTCCGTAATAAGCGGAACTCCCCATGCTGTCCCTTGCGGCTCGAGCTCGGCAGCCTACCGACCAACAGGCAAGCTCATAATCATCTGACGTCGCTCATTGAGTCTTGACTCCTCTGCAATATAGTACATCCATCTTACAAGTGACAAGCTTGCCCTATACATATAACAAGAACTAAAACAACACATCAGTACAAGATGCCTCCCCGACCCTTCCCCGATGATATGGATTTGACGAAGCAGGGTGTGGTGAGTGGCAGTGGCTATTCAGGAGCGGCGGAGCGGTTCACTGACAGGCGTAGGAGATCCCTGGGAGTGCTCGACCTGGATGGAGTGGTAAGTTAACTCCTCCATAATTGCTTTGGTGAAGCTGACACTTTCAGGTGTTTGGAGAAACGGTATGATCCTCATCCCGCCAGCACAGCGCGGAAGGCAAGTTGGCTGATGATACAGGTATCTGGGACCGGTCAGTCCTGTACGGCCCTGACGAGCCCAAGTCCCTCTTTGAGCTTTTTGAACAGTGTAAGTCCCGACTGGCCAGCCCTTCGGAATATAAAAGCTGACAAAGCAGCCGTCGCTCGTCACCCCGACCGCAACTTATTCGTGCAGCGCGAAATCATCCCTACCGGAGTCGTCAAGCCCGTCGGTACTATCGAGTACAGCACCAGCCTAAAGTCTACCACATACGCAGCCGTCCAGGCCCGCCGTAACAACCTCGGTTCCGCGCTGCTCGCGCTGGAGCGGGAGGGCCGATTGGGCGGACGCGAAGGCACCGCCGCGGGCGTGTTGCCCGCTGAGATCACGCACCCTCACATCCCGCATTATGGGACGCACAACCGCCGGAAGGTGGGCGCGAGGCGAGGATGGGCGGTCGGTGTCTGGAGCAAGAACAGGGAGGAATGGCAGGTCGTCGACCTGGCGTGTCATGCGTACGGGCTGGTCGGGGTGAGTCTGTACGAGACCCTCGGTCCGGACGTCGCCAAGTACATGTAGGTCATCCCTTGCTCAGAAGTAGAGCGATACTGATTTCTAGCACCAACCACTGCCCGCTCTCGATTGTCTTTGCGGCGACCAACCACTTGGCCGATATGCTCCAGATTGCCAAGGCTTGCCCCACGCTCCGGGTCATTGTCAGTATGGACCCCATGACCCCGACGGAGATGTCGGTTCTGCAGGCTTGGGCGAGCAGCGTCGACGTCGAGCTACTCACTCTGGCCGATATGGAGGTTTGGGGCGCGCAGCAGGGGATCTGGACCGAGCCGGGACCGCTGGCCGGCGAGGAGGAGCTCGACATGAAGCGTGTCATCACTATCAGTTACACCAGTGGAACTACCGGTAAGCTTGACCAATTTCCGAAATGTCGCTGCGACAGGGGCAAAGCTGATAGACAGGCGACCCGAAGGGTGTCGTCCTCACGAGCGAGAACTTGGCGCTTACTGCCGTCTCGAACGCCATGGGCGCGACCGAGATGATGCGGAAAGGCGACGAGTGGCGATACCTCTCCTACCTCCCGCTCAGTCACATGTGAGCTGATCTGTCTCTCCCTGGGACGTAAAGCTGACGATACAGTTACGAGCGATTCATGCAGATGCTGGTCTGGTACGGTGACGGTACTGTCTGCCTGACGACCGGCGACCCTGCTCGTCTGCTCGAGGACGCCCAGATCCTCAAGCCGCACGTTATGGCCGGTGTGCCGAGGGTATGGAATCGGTGAGTAGAGTCATTTAGAGGCATCATGAACAAGCTAATCCAATAGGATCCACGCGGCGGTCAAGACGCAAATGGCAGCTGGAGGTCTCAAGGGCGCACTGCTCACCAAGGCGGTCAACACCAAGCTCGAGAATTGGCGGACCAAGGGCGAGGTCAAGCACGCAGTATACGATGCGCTCGTCTTCCGCAAGGTGAGTCTCGTGCCCAGGCTTAACCCCCAAAGCTGATGGCGGTAGATCCGTAACCTCCTCGGCGGGAACTTGCAATACTGCTCTTCTGGGGCGGCACCGCTCTCGGGCGAAGTACACGAGATGCTCAAGATTGCGTTCGCTTGCGATGTGATCCAGGGTGTAGGTGCTATCCCCATGTCACGAGAGTAAATGCTGATATGTGTAGTTCGGTATGACCGAGTCTTGCGGGACTGGAACCAAGGGGTGAGCATTTCCCAGACTATTCGTTTTGAACGCTGCTGATGAAGCAGTGTACCATGGGACATTACCGCCACCGGGACTTGCGGGCAGATCCAGCCTGTCAACGATGTCTGCTTGATGGATGTACCAGAGATGGGCGTGAGTTGGCCCTGATGAGAGTATTGCGCTACAGGCAGCTGATAAGACAGTACACCAGCAAAGACTCCCCCAACCCTCGTGGAGAGTGAGTGCCTCTCCCCCATCACCAGGGCGAGAAGCTGACCTCACCAGGCTGTGCATGCGGGGCGCAAACATCTTTGTCGGTTATCTTCACGATGAAGTCAACACGGCCAAGACGATCGACCCGGACGGATGGATGCACACCGGAGAGTGAGCTATATCGATTTAGTACATCAAGATGGTAGCTAAAGACGACAGCGTCGCGGAGATCGACTCTTGTGGTCGTCTGAAGATCGTCGACCGTATCAAGAATGTCGTCAAGCTCAGTCAGGGGTAAGTCTACAAGCATCGAGTCTTCGGCTGTCTTGCTGATTGATCAGCGAGTACGTCGCGCTCGAGAAGCTCGAAGGAATGTACGCTCTTGACCCGACCTTTGCCTCTTTGCTCGTACACGGCGACTCCTCACGTTCGTCCCTCGTCGCTATCGGCGTGCTCGACCCCGAGCGCGCTGCGGGGCTCGTCTCTGCTATCCTCGGGACCAAGATCACCGCTGGTGACGTGGCGGGCTTGGAGACTGCGGTGCAGCACCCGAAGGTCAAGGCGGCTGTGCTTGGTAATTTGGCCAAGACATCCAAGAAGTACAAGCTCAACGGGTAAGTCTGCTCCCCCGAACTAGAATGGGATGAGCTGATGACCAGATTCGAGATGGTCAAGGGTGTTCACTTGACTATTCAGCCATTCGCGGAGGAGGTACTCACCCCCACGCTCAAGGTTAAGCGGTATGTCGGACAGTCATGCAGGTGGTAAGTAGGACGCATAAGCTGATGAGACACAGCAACATCGCGGCCAAGAGGTACAAGAAGGAGATTGACGCGGCGTATGTCGAGTCGGAAGCTGCCGAGGCGGGAGGCAAGACCAAGATCGTCCTTTGAGCTTGTTGATATCTAGGCGTTGTAGGAGAACCTCGAGCAGGTTTGGTGCGCAGGGTGGGACCGAGACCGGGGTGAAGGCTTGAATGTATGGTACAATATTGATTCTTATGCTACTGCTGTTGATGGTATGATGTCCGATACAATGTGGTGGATTGATGATGGCCCGGAATGACTCCTAAATGCTTGTGCCCTGTCCCTGTCCTTTGTCCAGCCCTTGTCTCGTCCTTCTCTTCCTCGTTGTCGCTCCTCCACTACCCGATGAAGCGGAAGTTCGAGCTGTGGATAGCGTACTAGACACATCAGCTCTGATAATCAGACTCCCGCATCGCGCCTGAATGACCCATGTAGCTCACCTTGGGCTGCATCCCTTCTCCCTGCTCCGCCGCACGAAGCATAAACATCTCGTGAAACTTCCGTGGGTGATTCTGAGGCGCATGGGTAGCCTGGGCATCATTGAAACCCGCGAGGACGTGTGGACCGTGCAAGACCGAGCCGGTGACGTTGACGATGATATCGGGGGCGCTGGAGGGTGGGGCGGCTGGGTCAAGGACTGCTAGAGTCAGCTTGGCCCGGAAAGAACTCTAAGGCATAGCTCACCTGGTATGGGGTGGCAGTCTAACGTCTGGAGATCATGTCGCGAAAGAGGAACGCCTTTGAGGAACCCCATAAAGTTGGGGAGGTCGGCGGGGACGGGGTTACCGTTCCAGACTACTTTGGCTTGAGGGAGGAAGAGCTGCGGGATTTCCTAGTGAATCAGCTCTGCAGCTCGAGAAGATGTCAGGGCAGCTTCCAGCTGGCAGGGAGGGTGTACTGAGAGCATACCGTATCGCGCCGAGTGGGCTCGTCGTACGCCTCATAGTATATTTGGCAGAACGCTATAGCGCCATGCGAAGCTGCGTCCAGGGCGTGAGAGGACCAAGGACCGATGCTACAGGTGTCAGTTGAGATCTGTGAAAACCAAGCAGGGACCATGGGCTGGTGGGGACATACTATGGTCTCTCTGGCTGCTTTCCCTTCGATGTCTGCAGATTCCCTCGAGCAGCTGGTGCGGGTCCGGGAGCGAGACCCAGCGCCGCCTGACGAGAAGGGTGCATTGCCATATTGCGAGTTGGGAGGTAGGGAGTGGGGTATGCAGTTGTGGGTGGTGGTTTTTGAGTCCAGCTACCGTGTAGTGGCTGATTTGGAGGGGAGGGGCATACAAGAGACTGATATGTAGAAGAGAGGAGACGGGACAAGGGCGATGTACAAAGGTAAGGTGCTGCAGCGGCGGCTGGTTGCTGCTTGAATGAACTTTGGGTGGCGAATTATTGCTGTTGGTTCCGGGGGCGATCCGCGACCGCTCACCATGAACTTCGCAGGCACGACTTGAGACTTGAAGCTAAGCTTGGATCTGGCAGATGGACACACTTCAAGACATAGTCACCGAGACTGATGCATTGTGATCCATACGACAATGATAATGACGATACAAACGCCAGGCACCACTATACATCATCCCCTCTGGGCTCGCACCTCTCGGCCTCCTCCTTGACCAGCCGGAGCTGGACCATCATCCCTGTCGCCTTTGACTCGACCAGGCTTAGCTCGCACCGCTGTGCGCTACCGCACCCGCTGCAGCTTGAGGTGCTGGAGCAGGTACCGAATTCTGCGCCGCCGCCGTTGCACCGCTGCTCGGCTGCAAGAGGTGTTGCATTGAGACCGGCGGTGCCGCGGGCGGTTTCTGACCAGCCTGCTGAGGAGGCTGCTGCGCGACAGAAGGCAGCTGAGGAGGCTGCTGCTGCGCATTCGCCTGGATTGGCGCCTGCCGTGGCTGACTGGCAGAACCGCCATTTGGCACGTGCTGCGCGTACTGCTGAGCGTACTGTGCGGGGTGCTGGGAGTAAGCCGGGTGAGGGGGTGTCTGGCCTTGAGGTCGATGAGCCATCTGCTGGCCTGGGGATGAAGCGTACATCTGGACCGGTCGCGCGCCCATCTGAGGAGGATAGGCGGACGCAGCGGCGTACATGTTGGGCGCATACGCCGCACCGTTCGGCCTCATCTGCGGCGACGCATGATTTGGCTGAGCGTGCTGGATCTGGACCGGGCGCTGCTGCGATGATGGAGCAGAGGACATCTGCGAGCGAGCGGCCGAGGGAGATGCGTACAGCGCTTGCAAATGTGGCGGAAGCGACTGGATGGTAGGATAAGGCCGGGCTTGAGCGTACTGTTGCGGTGCCGCCTGACCGGCGGAGGGATGGGCGTATTGCTGCGGATGCATTGCGTACTGCGGATGTTGGCTCTGCGAGCTGGGGTAGCCCGGGTGCTGCTGAGGGCGGGGGTAGGGCTGCATTTGTTGAGGAGGATAGGAGGGGATTTGACCAGGTGAAAGCGGCCGCGCCTGTTGTCCTGGATGTTGCGGGGTGTGGCGACCGTAGACCTGTGACTGAGAGGGACGGGCGAGTGGTGATGCAGTATGCCCTGGCGCTAGTCCAGGTGGATGGCCGTTTTGGTAGAAATTGGCGGGAGGATGTATGCCATTCGAGCCGTTCGCGATGAGGGGTGTGGAGGCGAGGGGAGAGCTTCTGGGCTCGTGTGACAGGCGCTGGCGCTTTCGAGCGGCTTTGCGGCGGCACTCTTTGCACTGCACAGATCAGCGAAAGCCCTGGTACCGACATCGTAACTGCGCTAGCTCACCTTGAAGTCCACCTTATCCCAATTCCTCCTCGGGCGCCCTTCCGCCGCATCCAGCTTATCGTGGCAATCGGTGTGCTGCCACTTCCCGCAGTCATCGCATGAAACCACATCTTGGTCGTCATCCTTCTTTATCAGCTACAGCTCGGCAATCCTGCATCCAGACTTACGATATTCCACCCCGACTTCCTACACACCTCGCAATTCAATTCCCATCCTTCATCCGAGGCCTTCCTGCCCTTTTTGGCAGGCACGACAGGCGTGCTGACCCGACTCCGTTTAGCAGTCGACGGCCTGACCGATCCCTCGCCCTCGCTCTCCTCGCTCGTCTCGACCACCTCGCCCTCCCTCCTCCTCTGCCGCCTGATCCTCGCTCGATCCGCCTTATCCTTGGCCTTTTGTTCCTCCTCCGCCTTTTGCACTGCGGCCAGCTCGCGCGCCGCTATCCGGTCTTCTCGCTCCTTGACCCGGTCCTCTCGTGCCTTCTCTTGCGAGATCGCCGTAGCTTCCACTGTAGCTTTGGAATTCTCGTCCCGCCGGGACTTCTCCATGCGCTCTTCCATCTCCCGTTGGGCCTTCTCGCGCCGTAAGATCTCCTCCTTTTCGAGCTCTTTCGTCGCGATTCGAGAAGAGCGCTTGCGGTTGTTGATGGCTTCCTGGCGGAGGCGTTCGTTCTCTTTGGCCTATACTATCAGTTCTGAGCGAACGCTGTTGAGGCTAAGGACGTACGAGGAGTGCGGTAATGACAGCAGGACCAACAGCCTGAGTAAGGAACGTGTACAAATTCTTCTCGTCCGGATTGCGAGACTTGGCAAACTGTTCGGGAAATGTGCGCCAGTCGTAGAGGGTCACGCAGACCTGCTCAATCAGTTTGACTCCATGCTGCACAAATGGAAACAGCTCACAGCCTCCCATTCGACGAAACCCTCGGGGATGTTCGCAGCTTCTTTGACCGCCAGCTTGACCTCATCCGTCTCTTCCATTTCCTCCGTTTTCGCCTCTACTTTAGCCTCCTCTTTGGCCTCCCTACTGGCGTCCTGCTTGGCCTCCTCTTCAGCGTCCCCCTTGACTTCTTCCTTGGCATCCTCCTTGTTCCCCTCATTGTCCTCCTCCTTCGCCCCCTCCTCAGTTTCCACCTTTGCCTCCTCAGCTGGCTTCACTCCTGCCACTTCGTCCTTCATCTCCACGTCCTCAGGTACCGCAGTTTCTCCGCCCTCGACTACCTTCTCCTCCTCCCCCTTGTCGTTGACATCCTTGTCAACCTTCTCGGGCCCAGCCTCTTCCACCGCCGTCGATGTTGAAGGCAGATCCGGTTCCCCATCTTCTTCTTCCTCTGGGTTGTCCCCTTCATCTCCATCCTCCACTTCCACCTTCCTCGCACGATTCGCCCTCGAAGCTGATCGCAGCGGCTTGACCGGAGCCTCGTCCCCATCATCTTCATACTCGCTCCCCTCTCCCTTCTCATTAGCCGCCTCCGCCGCCGCGACGACCGCCTCGTCCGCAGCTGCTTCATCCGTCAAAGAGCTCAACTCGCTCTCCTCCTCCACCGCTGACGCCTTTCGCTTCCCTTTCCGCCCCTTCGGCTCCGCCTTGACCGGCGACGCAGACGCCTCGGGATCCAGCCATTCCGCAGGGATAGCCTGCCAAGTGTCCTCCGCGTCCCTCGTCCGGCGCGTAGCTCTCGAACTCCGAGATACCGACGTAGCCTCTGGCGTAGGCTTCGCCTTTGTCTTGGCCGGTGCCCGCGAAGGCGTCGAGTCCGCTATTGGCGCAGCAGCGACAGCAGCGAGACCGCCTCGCGAGCTACTGCGTGTGATCTTGCTACTCGATGGCGTATGCGCAGGTGGCGGGCCGCCTCGCCGTAGCGCTTCGACCGTCTTGAGCGGGTTTCCGTAGAAGGCTACCTGAGTGCGCTTCCTCGGTCCAGAAACGGGCGTATCTTCTGGCTCGGCGAGTGGGGGAGGAGGAGTGAGGTCAGGCGAGACAGGCCGCTTCTTCTTGGCGGCTTTGGGACGTGGTGTTGACGTGGAGCTTTCAGCGGTGGGGCGAGGTTTCTTTTTGTGGGACTTTTTAGGTATGACCGAGGCCTTTTTCGCTGGGCGGGGAGGGGGTGCCCGGTACCGCTGAACCCAGAGACGATTGTCTGAAAGTCAGTCACACGGTTGAAGACATCCTCAGCATGCTCACCATCGAAGAGGAAGTACGTGTTGCCGTCCTTGTCCCATCCGACCGGTTCTATGCGCTACTGTATCAGCTCAGCCTGCTACGATCCGAAAAGCTCAGCTCACCCAAGACACAGCCTCTTCCTCGCTCTTCAGTAGAGCCCTGAAGCGCGCCGGGTCGGCCATCTGCCATTCGCACAGGTCCCATAGTACCTGAACCTAGAGCGTGAGCTCGGAAAGTGGATCACACTACCGCTTCACGAAGCTTACCTTCTCAGACAGTCCCAGTGCGGCCCATTCCCGCGGCTCTTCCTCCGTCCCTAGTACCAGCTGATCCGGAGCTCGTTTGGCGTACTGCTTTCGAAGGTGCTCAAACGCGTTATCCCGGCTAGTGGTATCAGCTGGGACTCTGGCTGGCCGGCTGCACGAGTTCCAACAGCTTACTTGATCTGCCGATTATACGTCAAGGCATATAGCATCTTGGCGAGCAAGTCGGGCATCATCCCCAGCTCATCCTTGTCCAGATGCGCCTCGAGCGTCTGGGAGGTATCAGCTTATGTCCCTTGTCTCATAGATAAAGACTACCCAGCTCACCTCGATGTCCCAGTCCAGCAACCCAAAGGCATCCGAGAAGGTCCATATGAACTGTGAGATGCCGGCCCATCGCCAGTCTGTCCGGAGCCGCTGGACAAGTGGGGAAGGTGGGGGAGGGGGAAGAGGGGTAGCTAGGGGGCCCGCCAGGGCGGCGGTGAACTTTCGGGGCGGCATGGCGCGGGGAGGTCCACCTTGGTATGTGAGGGAGTATACTAGGCGATTGTGCTCCCCGGCTGGTTGGACGACGGCGACGGTGACTGCGGTAACCGAAACGCGATAGAATACCGAGATCTGACGCGTCGAGTTTCAGGTTTCTGCACGGATGGTCGAGTAAGATGTCGACGATGGGATGGTCGGGTAGAGAGCCTCAAAGTTGGTTTTACCGGCTTGTCGAGTAGCTATTTAACCCTCTCTATTGGATGAGATGATGGCTAGAGCTATGTGGCTTGTCCAGCTACTCTATATACCTATACCTATGGTGTACGAAGGCAAATAGCCTGAGCGCGCGAGAGAAGAAGGAAGGCTGGACCCAGAGCCAAAATGAAGCATCAATCAAAACAACTCCCAAAGAGGAAAGAGGCAACTAGCGGGATCTAACTCCAAAGTGGGTGACGTGATTACACTTACCGTAAAGACGCGATTCCAATATTTGTGTGGTGCGCCGCGCTCAACAGCTGCTACTGCTCTGGACTGGACACGCTCAGCTATCTCCCCTCGCAACTCACATTGTACTCTAACCATCCTACAGCACCCTACTGCTCACAGCTCTCTCCTCCCTCACCCCAATCGAAAAACAATGTCTGAACAGGGATCGCCCGCACCGGAGGAGCGCAAGCCCAAGGCCGAAGGTGAGCAATCAATCATGCGTCGCACACTCCTCACGGGCATTTCAGCAGCCAATACCACCTAGAAGATATGCTGATTTCGTTCAGACTCCAATGCGCTGAACATCAAGATCGTTTCGACCGACGGAAACGAGGTCTTCTTTAAGATTAAGAAGACCACAAAGCTCAACAAGCTCAAGGTGGGTTTCCTTCCTTGCAGTGTATTGATGGGAGGGAAAGAGTGAGACTGACATCGCAGGCCGCATACGCAGAGCGAGTCGGTGCCGACGCGCAAACTATCCGGTATGCGCTTATCTGTTGATGAATGACGAGGAAAGAAGGGCTGACGGGATAGTCTGCTTTTCGACGGGAACCGTATTTTGGATGATCAGACCGCCGCCGATCTCGATATCGAGGATGGAGACGCGATTGAGGTTCTGCTCGAGCGTGAGTCCTAATCTATACCGGGAGACGTGCGGGGCTAGCGCTGATGGAATGCAGAGGTCGGTGGGCAATAGATACGACGCGTGAAATCGGCAGAGGGCGTTGTCAATACATGAATAGTGGGCGTGATCAATCGATCAGTGGCGGGAGACGTTTATGAAGTAGGGGCGACATGTGGAGCATCACGAGGGGTCGAGAAGGGCCAAATGGCGGGATGTGCGTCGTGTTCAACAACCTTTCAATGTAACATTGCCTTCCCACTTCTCGAATCCCATTCATCCTCCCTCCAGCCTTTCTTACTTCATCCCTTTTCTCTCCGAAATACCGCATTGTCCGATCGATCTCCTGTCCTCGCTGATGGTACGACACCGCCTCCTCATTCTTATCGCATACCAAGGCTTCGGCTTTTTCCAAGCTTCCTACTCATTGACCAGCCCCGTCCGTTCCTGTTTCATTTGCCAATGAGCGCATTAACATTCTGACGACTAACATGGCTTGGATCTTCAAGGCGATAACAGCCTATGCTGTCCTCTTCCCTCTACCTCTCTCGCATCTTCGCATCCCAAGTTTGTTCACCAGGTCACCAAGCCGCCTCAGGCTCGCTTCGTTCTATACATCTTCGCTGGTCGATACATACTCACACTCCTTCTTCTTCCGGTCTTTCATCACGGTCACTACAATACAACGATGCTTCCTCCCCTCCGCCGTCTCCTCCCCGTCCTCCTCCTTCTTCTCCTCGCGCAGCTCAATACCTGCTCCGCCGCCCTCGCGTCCAATCCCGGAGATTTCAACGTCGTGACCTGCGGTGCAGACAAGGGCATCACAGTGAGTCTCTCTCTTGGCCCTCTGACTATCCCTCCTGCTGCGTCTGAGGGCTGCGGCTGATCCAATCAGCCAGACTGTACCGCTCGGATCTCGACGACCGAGCTTCGAGCTCTTCGGGCGATCCGGATGCGCCTCAAGCTGTTCATCCGGGATCAGTCGGGCCGGGAGGAGGTGCCGCTGACGATGGCGTATGAGGGGATCGAGGAGGAGGGATGGACACCCGAGGTGTCAGGCACGCTGGCGGAGCAGGATGTCTGGGAGTCGGAGGAAGGCGGGCCAGCGACAGAGGACTACACCTACTTTGCTGACATCCGCCGCCGCCCAGACTCAGCCGGCATGCAACACCCCGCGCTTCGCATGCTAGATCGGGAGGCGTATACACCAGACGGCGTCGCGGGGCGGAAAGAGATGCGGCGGTCGAGGTGGAGAGGGAAGAAGGTGGAGCCATTGGATCTGGACGCGTGGTATGCTGGCACACCAATGTCCATGGGCAGGCGGTAGGGGTGTTTCAGAAGAGTGGAGTGGGTAGGGGTGTACAGGGAGAGTTGTGTAGATAGGGGCAGATGGCAAGAGATGGCGGGATGAGCTGAAGGTCAAGGGCCAGCTGGGTGGGCAGGGAAGGTGGTATCTGGCAGGTCCAGTAGTCGGTCATTACATAGAGGAATCTTTCAATCTTCAGCTATTTTCATCTAGTAAATATCATGTATCAGGGCATCTCATCTTCTTTCGGTACAGGCTGACAGACAGTGCATCTATAGAGATAACGTATGGTAGTGATAGTCCCCAGATCTAACGACCACTCCCTATATCCCATTCGGCAAGCTCCCCTTCTCCTCCCCCGCCTTCCCCTCATGTCCCAGCGTCACCTTCTCCAGCTTCTTCTGCACCTCTCCCACATCCTTCCCCTTCACATCCCCCGCAACCCTGATCCCGCCGACTTGCTGCGCCCGGCCCTTGGCACCGTCCGTCACCGCTTCGGAAGCGGGCACCACCATCGCCGATTCCGGATGAGGGGCAGTATATCCTTCATTGTCATTGGCGGCTATTTGCTCGGCGAGGACCGAGCCGCCACAGGCTGCAGCGACGAGGCCGAGGAATGCAGGTGAGGGGTTGAGCGGTCGGGAGCAGAATTCCGGGTGGGCCTGGAGAGCCGTGAAGTACGGGTGGTCTACTCATCAGCTTTTCCCCGCTTTGACGCAAGAGAAAGACTCACCGTCCAATTCCAACATCTGCATCCGCTCTCCCCGTTCATCTTTGCCCACAAACCGCATCTGCCCCTTCCCGCCCGCTTCGAGCCTCTCCACATACTTCGGCTCCACCTCGTACCGATGCCTGTGCCTCTCCCACGCGACTTCCCGCCCGCCATACAGCCGACGCAGCTTGGACTTCTCCGTCCCCTTTTCAAATACCGTCGGGCGCAGACCCAACCGCATCGTTCCGCCCATCTGCGTCTTGGAGATCTCGGGCATGAAGCAGATGACGGGGTGTGGAGTGGAGGTCGACAACTCCGCCGAGTTGGCGTCGGCCAGGGCGCAGACATTGCGAGCGTACTCGATGACGGCGACTTGAAAGCCGAGGCAGATACCGAGGAAGGGAACCTTTTGTTCGCGCGCCCACTTGACGGCGGAGATCATGCCTTCTGTGCCGCGCACGCCGAAACCGCCAGGAACGATGATGCCCCTGCTGATCAGCGATGACCTGACATGTAGAAGCTGAAACTCACTTGGCAGAGCAGACATGCCTCCAGGCGTCATGGTATCGGACCGGATCGTCAATCTGAGCTTGTGGCTCGAGGTCGGACGAGTCGACCCACTGCATTCTCAGCTTGATCTCACGATATCATATAAGCGGCACTACCAGCTTACGTGAAGAACCAAGTTCCGCCCGCACCGCATCGAAGCGTGCTCCAGCGCCTTCACCACGCTCATATACGAATCCTGCAATGACGTGTACTTGCCGATAAGTACAATCGACACCGTGTCGAACAGCCTGTCCCGACTACTGGTCAGCTCTCGTCCCATCTATAATGTGAGATACTTACCCATTCGTGAGCGCCTTCCACCGCTCAAGGAGGTTATCACCCCGCTTGATCATCTCCGGCCCTACCGCAATCTCCCCCAGATTCAGCCGTTTCTGGAAGAACTCGAGCAGACCCTGTTCCCGCAGCAGGAGAGGGACGTGGTATGTCGACGATACGTTGTGGACCCCCAAGACCTGCTTGGGCGAGACATGGCAGAACATCGAGACCTTCTCCATCGTCGCTGAGAACAATGGGTTCTCGCACCGACATGCAATCTGGGGATCAGTTTTCAGTCTGCAGCAGTCTGCAGCAGTCTGCAGCGTCAGAGGGTAGGGAGCTCACGATATCAGGCAGCAACCCCAGACCACGCAGATCCCTCACGCCCGCTTGGGTAGGTTTCGTCTTCTGCTCGCCGCCAACGACGGGGATGAGCGAGACGTAGATGAGTGCAAAGTTGTCGTGTCCGACCCGGAACTGGAATTGTCGGAGTGCCTCGACGAATGGCGCAGACTCGATGTCGCCAACGGTACCGCCGAGCTGGCGTGTCAGCTCAGGGCCAGTACTATGAAAAACGGTCCTAGTGGTTCACCTCGACAACGCAGACGTCCGGCTCCTCTCCAGTCTCATCGACGGGGATCTTGGATACACGCTCTATCCAGTCTTGAACGGCGTTGGTCAGGTGAGGCACGATCTGGACGGTCTTGCCGAGGTAGTCTCCGCGGCGCTACATGATCAGCTTGTGCTTCGCATGCATCCCCTGTTCTGCACAGACTTTCCAACCGATACTCCCTTCCTCATCTTGGCTTCTTTGCTCCTGGACCCGCTCGACGTCGTCCTTTCTTCCTCTCCGCATCCCGCCGTGCCCTCCTCATTCACTGCTCCTCCGGCTGATTTCTCTTGCCCGCTCTTCTTCCCCTCATCCAGCGGTCCGCTCAAGCCTGACTCACCTCCCTGTCAATCACATACTGGTACACCTTCCCCGTCGTCAAGTTATTGTCCTTCCCCAGACTGATATCGAGATATCGCTCGTAATTCCCCAAATCCAAATCCGTCTCCCCTCCATCATTCAGCACATAAACCTCGCCTGTCCCAATCAGCTCTTTGCCCTTTGTCCCAGATCTCGTTCTTGGGCGCAGCGTAGCTCACCGTGTTCGGTCGGTGCCATAGTCCCGGCATCGATGTTCATGTACGGGTCAATCTTGATGGCTGTGACTTTGAGACCGGCGGTCTTGAGGAGGAGACCGGTACTGGACGCTAAGGCCATCAGCGTTCCCCATGCTGCAGAGCAGAGGCGACGTACCGATGACACCCTTCCCGATACCGGAGATGACACCTCCGCAGACGACAATGTACTTGACCATCTTGGCAAAGCTGAAGGGGAGTAGAAGGGCGAAAGAGGTTGTCTAGGTCGAGTGACAGCTGGGGTTCTGAGGTGTCCTCGTGACGAGTCGGAGCCGAGTAGCGATCCTGGTTCTCAGGCCGTCAGATGTCTAGCTCTGGGCTCTGAGTAGTATGAGGCTGGATGAGTCAGAGGCAGATATCGAAGAGAGCAGATGATGCAGCTGCAGCTCGAGTCGCTATCAAGTCGCGTCCAAAATCCAAATTTGTTGACCAGCGCAAATACTGACGTAATGCATCCACGCGACTGTGATTGCTCGCGCGGACGAGCGCGATGAGCATGCAGCGCATGCAGCAGTTCTCGAACCATGTCCTAGCGATGCGCCTGACAGCACTGTATATCCATAGATTGCATGTCATTACTGCTTTCGTCCTTGACTGATGTCTCCCAAATCCCGGATATAGCGTTGTCCTGAGCCCTATGGCCACTGAGCCCCACCGCCACCTCCGCCGAACAGCATCGACGCCGCGTAATCCACATTCCCGCCTGCCGCCTCGAGTAGCGAGATGGCCTGCTGTCGCTCCGCCCCGAGTCCCATGAGCTGAGTTGTCAGCTTGATCGAAACTTCCATAGCTCTCACTCACGGTCTGAACATCGTCCTCTTGGACCTTGCCAGCCCGCGCGGCATCTTGCGCCCCTACCGGCGCCCTCGGCGCACCGCCCTGAGCGGCTCCGCCAAACCCAGACGCGGCAACCGCAGACGGTGTGCTCCCGATGACATTGCCGGACCCCGGGAACTGCGATCCGGATGCGCTGGACGGACCCGCAGCGGCCGATCCTGATCCTGATCCGGAAGCTTGGGACGGTCCAGATTTCACCTCGGCTTCGTCCTGGGCCGCCTGGATCTCCTGCTGCAGCCCGTCCTGGGGCAGTTCGTGGTCTGGCAAGAAAGGGACTTCGGTTTGTTGGATTCGGAGGACGTTGGCCGCGAGGTCGATACTGCATTGATATCGTTTCTAGTGTGTGAGCTGAGCGTTGTCGGGGAAATAGACACTATAATAGCTCACTAGCATGTCGAGACCGAAGAGGAGCTCCACGCTCTTCCCCTCAAGCACAGTGAAAGAGCACGGAAGATGCAGCTCGCCTAGCTTGATCTGGGCCGAGTGGACCCGGCCGAGAATCTTGCCTGTTCCTACACCGACAGCAACGCCAGCAAAGCGTTCATCCAGGAGTCGCATAATCCTGAGGGTAAGCTATGAGCACTAAGCGATAATAGAGACCCGGAAGCTTACCCGCATTTCTCGGCGCAATCAGGCGAGACTGAACATCAGCTATATCCCCGCCCCAACGAGTCTAATCAGGATACTCACTGATAGTCCGCTGAGCGCCGGAATCCACGAAAGCCTTGACCTTATGCCCGTTGACCTCGACGTTGATATACAGCATGGTGACATTGGCGAATGTTTCTGGCTAGAGGCGTCAGCTCAGACACGGTCAGGTCGATACTGAAGGCAGCTGACAGCATAGTCCCATGCGTGCTCCATGTTCTCGAGAACCCGTTCTCGTCTGATCGCTTCTTCGATCTTCTTCTGTGCCTGGAATATCAGCAACAGCGCAAAGAGCTGCAGGAAGCGGCAGGCATACCTCAATGTCATATGGGTCAGAGTTGAGCAACTGCAATGAATCAGCTGACTTCCAGATTTACAATCATCGGCTTGTCAAAGGCTTACCTCGATCTGCCGCTCCTTCTCCGCAGCTGAGTCTTGCACTTGTGACCTCTGCGCCAGGACCGCCGCCTTGAACTGCGCTCCTCCAGCCTGGATGGCTCGATGAAGATCCGGAAGTTCCTATGGTATCAGCTACGGCCGCGGAAATCTACATCCTGAAAGAAGCTCACTCTCTGGACTTGCGACATGATGGCCGGATCACCCAGCATCTGCAGCCTCATCCGCTCATACTCTGCATCCTCGTTGACTGGTCCGCCACCGCCGCGAGGAAGCTGGGATGAACTTGCGCGGGGACTGGAGTGTTAGCTGAATCACACTCGGATCAGCGAGGGGATAGAGCTCACCCGACTGTGAGGTAAATAGTAGCGTCCCCGCCTTTCAGACCATAGCTCTCCAAGCTCTTGTTGGATGATATGAGTGGCGTTCCGGTGTCAGTCGACAAGAGGACTTGATCCGCTGAGAGACCTGTCTGAGGAGTGTCAGCTACTACCTCCTGGCAGTTACTTGCAGCAATTCATTAGAGCTCACTTCAGCCTCGATCAACGCGATCACGTCCTGGACCTCCATGGACGGATCCACTTCGTGCTCATACACCGACTCGTCCCCGATGATGATGAGCCTCATTTTGCTTCGTCCCTCTTGTGGTGCTTCGATATGCCGCTGACTGTGTCGGTGCGGAGTCTAAGAGGTAAAGCACAGAAGCTGAGTAAGCGTTGAATGAAGTCCAAACGCTCTCATCATCGTCGTTCCGCTTCACGACCTTCGCCGACATTCCGCGTTACGCGAGGCACGCCCGTGCGTCATTCAAGCGTTTACGTAACGCGTTTCAGCCTCGCCCCTCTCCGCCCCGCATCGAAATTCTTCCCCCTGGTCTCCTTCTCTTTTCTACATCACGCAAGCAGACGACGCCCAACCCGCTTTCTTACCTCAACGGCGAAGCTGTCTCTCGCCCCCTCCACCTCGTCTCTGACTTATCGACCCGTCGATTGGTGGAATGGAGGTGGGGATGGGGAAACGGCGTGCAGAAGGAAATTTAAAAGGACGCGTCTTGAGTACGCCTCATTCTTTCGTGGATTGGGCGTAATTAGACTGCGGCACAGATGTTCTCGAGGCTGGAGGATTGATGGCAGGAGAAGGCGGGCGAGGAAGGATTAAGAGCGGTCGTGAAGGGAAGGCATGATAGAATGCATATTGAGCGTGAATACAACCTTTCGAACCCTCTTCCGACTGGCTACCTCCCACTGCGTGTATACCTTCTTATTGGGTCTTCCTCTCTCCTCCGTTCCCTATCGCTACAATCCCTTAGCAGCACCTGGCGAAACAACTCGATACAGCGACGTTACAAATCGGGATACTCCCTGCTTATATTAGCAATCCATCCTCCTTTCGCTTTCACCTCCGCCATCTCCACCACGCCCATCCTTATCGACCTCCTCAGAGACTACGACTCACCATACACCTGCATACAACTCATATACGCCGCATTACACATGGACCGACAACCGATGTAGGGGTTGTACGCTTGGGTGGAGGCCGGGGCGAAGGCTAAAGCGATGAGGATGAAGAGGATTGCGAGGGGGAGCGAGGGGTGGAGAGTCTGAGTGTGGGGGGACATGGTGGTGATGCCGAGTCTGTGAGGTTTACAGCCGGATTTGAGCGGTAGGGTGGGGAGCGTTCAGTTCGAGAGGTAGGATTTGTGAGGCGTGACGGAGGATCCGCTTGGTCTGAGGAGATGAGGCCTTGATGTGAGTGGTGGTAGTATATCGGTGGGGTGGAGAGATGACTTGGGCAAAGTGACAGTAGGCTGTAAGCAGATGGATGTAGTTGCCTCTCACTTTCTCCCTACCATCCGACCTATATACTTCGCCCGCCCCAGCTCGCGCCCAAGCCCCATGGCACCATCCTCATTCCCAATCAACATCGCCTCCGGATCCGCCGCTGCCTTTGCCCCGCAAACCACCTGACCCCGAGGAGCCCCCCTTGCCATACACACAAGAGAGGCGTGCGCTAATTTGGGTCAAAGTCGGGCTTGAAACGCCCGAAAAGCGCCAGACAAAGTCCTTTAACTGAGCTCGGTACCAATAGGAAAAGCCTCATTCCCCCTCGTTTCCCCTGATGTCCCCTCGTGGCCCCGCCGGCTCCCCGCTTTGGGACCCTAAGCGAGGTGCGTGGCGTTGATCCGAGACCAACTCTATTGCAGCGGGCCGCGGAGGCGTGTGTCTCGTTGAGCCAATGTAACGAGAAGTGGGAGGCTCGGCGCGCTTGAAACACGGGCATGACGTGAGGTTGTGTTTCTGATGGACGGCGCCGCGGACGCCGAGGGTAAAGAAGGTTGATAGGACGAGGGTAGGCGATCTGAGCGGCTTCTCTTCTCCGGCGGTATCGGACAAGCGGGGTGCGGAGGCGGCAGAGGCTGACAAAGGCATACCATGATACATGAGCAGTAGTCAGGCGCGAAGCTGTTGGATGGTGAGAATGTCAGCAAAATGAGCTTCTGCTTCTTCCGGTCCGACATCGGCTACCCCGAGAACCAGACGGACAAGATTCTCAAGGCTAGGTCAGCAGACTGCTATGCACCGCCAGTCTCTACACATCACATCCCTAGACAAGATCGACATGCCTAGCGGCACCTCATCCTTTTACACTGCCATCCGGCGAGGTTCCCGCCACCCGCCACCACCACCGCTTCAAGATAGTATGATATGTCCCCTCCCTACGCCACTCATTCCCTTCCTCCGCCTCTCTCCTCTCCTAGCACGAGATGACGCAGGCGATACGGACACCGACGCAGGTGGACATACGGACGGGAGTGACTGGAAAGTCAGCTGCTGATTCGCCACCCGCTCCCAATCACATCCTCATGTCTTCTCGCCTCCTTCCCTGGTCTCGTCGACTGCGATCGTCAAGGAGGGAAGGACTTACAGGCGACCGACGCACACATCTGGTACTGCATCTCGCAGTTCTGTCGGCAGATATGCGAAAGCATGAGCCGGGGGTCCATCGCCGCCGCGGGAGTTGCGTTGATGGAGAGGAAGAGTACGAGGAGGATGAGTGCGATGGAAAAGGTGGAGCAGAAGGAGGTAGGGGAGATGGGGACAGAGTACCGGGGAGTGTGGGGAGGAGCATGAGGCGTTGATCGCATCTGTGCATGCAGGGCAGGGACAAGCTCGAGGATGGTAGCTTTGATGGGCTTGGTGGCGTTGGCGCTGGCGCTGGCGTCGACATGGGCCTTGGCGCCGTCCGTGCCTTCCTCGTAGTGTTCGACGAGCATGTTCTACGCCTCTATTCTTTTGGATGACGAGCTTCAAAGGAGTGGATTTAGCGGTGGCGTGCGCTTAGTAAGAGGTATGAAGCCTGAACCAAGCAAAACCTCCCTTCATATACCCTCCCCGACCCCATCTTCCCTGGCAGAGCCAAGTACCCTAGATCAGTACAGCTATACAGTCACCCACCCTCAAAGCGAAAACCTTCTCCTCGGTCAGGCGACCAACGATTCCCATCAGCTTACCCCGTCGGACAGGGGCAGGGGGCACAAACCTCCACTCCCATCCACCGAAGATCGACCGAAAGGACCCCCTATTCCTCTCATCCACACATCATCCCTTGATCGCCTGTGGCGCTGTTCGGCTTCTGCGCCACTGCATGTCTGGGGCTCCGCGCTACTTGCCTGCTTCTGGACGCTAGAAGCCCGAGGGCGGCGGGTGGGTAGCGCTGTGCCTGCGCCCGAGGCCGAGTGAGCTTAACCACACCATCGATATGGAAAGTATAGATCTGGAAAGGGGGGAGCGCTGTCCGCCCGGCCCGCATGGGCTCTATCAGCGATCTGGTCAAGCGCGGTCAGTAGTCAGTGATATGAGCACGATCAACACAGGTAGATCGCTTTTGTCAAGCGATACATCTAGCTCCAAAACTATATTCGTGAGATCTACCGCATGACACCCAAAATGAAGCCTACAAATCTGCTGTCCCCACCCCATAATGAATCCCAGATCTCGCCTCCCCTGATTCGCCTACTTGCTCTTTGTGATGTCCGCCTTGATCCCCCTGAATACCTACATCATCAGCCACGTCCTCATCATGTATGATGATCAACTCACCTGCAGCAAGCCGTGCCTTGCCTCATACGCGGGGTAGACACCGACCATAGCCAAGCCCACGAAGAGCCAGATGAGCGATACCGATACCCAAGCTGTGAAGCCTCCCTTGGGATAGACTGATCGTCAGCTTTGTCCCACCTAATGAGGCAAGTGGACATACCATGAGAAGAGAAGAACAAGGGCAGAGGGATGAGGATCAGCAAGACGAATGTCAAGCCAATAGCTGCCCACGCGGCAAAGCGGAAGGCCTTTTGCAAATTGACGCGCTCCTCCTCGTCCGCGTCCTGGCTCTCCATCTCGTTGGGCGGGCTCGAGAGAGTCGGGACCGTAGTCTCCTTGGACGAGTACTTGTCCTTCTCGACACCCGGAGTCTCGAGGCTGGGGGACTCGAGCGAGGTCTCGACAGTAGAGTGGGAAGGAGCGTGGACGGGCGCGTTGATACGGCGGGTGATCTCCCAGTCAAAGTCGGCAGGGCTGATGAGGGACCAGCCGACGGTGATGATGCCTCCGACACCGATGGAGAGAAGGTTGCCGGTAAGCATCTCGTAGTCGCCAAAGGTGGTGTCGACGGTGACGACCCCGCCGTTGAGGCTGGCGGTGATCCCGATCCAGCCAGCGATGGCGGCGATGAATCCGACGATAGCGCCGGCGACCGCTCCGGTGCCGTTGCACTTGCGCCAGGTGATGCAAAGGGCGATGGGGACGACGGCGCAGCCAATGATCGTGCCCTGTCCATCAGCCACATCCAGCGAAGGTGATAGGGAGAGCTTACCATTAGCTCGTAGAGGTAGCCCATCGAGACACCGATATAGTTGAAGGCGGTGGCAATGGCGCCCATGAAGATAGAGTAGCCGAGAATGTTGATCCGAGTGGCCCAGAGAATCTGCTTCTCGGTCGGGTTGGGGTTGATGTATGCGCCGTAAACGTCGTAGGTGAGCAGCGAGGAGACGGCGATCTGCTCAGCCGAGCAAGCGGATGTGACGGCGAGGAAAAGGAGGATGAGCATGGCAATAGCACCGGATTGGCCCATGAGCGCGGCAGCAGCTGCAAAGTCAGTCAGGAAGCCCAAGATTATGTGGAAGACTCACCCTTGACAGCGGGGAGACCGGCAGAGACCTCGCTCTTGGTGAGTGAGATGACGGGGTTGTCGCCGTGGGCAAGGGCGACAGCGGCCAGACCCATGGATGTGGCGATGCCCATGGGGATACCGAACCATGCGATACCTCCAAGCAGGAAGGCCTTGACAGAGGTGGAGGGAGAAGAGGCGATAGCGCGCTGCCAGTAGGCCTGGTCGTTGAAAACTGCAAATTAGCGTCAAGCCGATAATTGCATACTTGTGAGAGCTCACCGGTACCAAAGTTGCCGACAATGTTGAGAACACCAAAGATCAGCCCCGACTTGCTCCTCATAGTCAAGTAGCTTCCCTCAGCATTGCCAACGACCGGCGAACTGACGCTGGCCTGGTAGAGCAGGTCCCAGACGCGTGCGGGCGAGCCGAGGATGGGCGAGGTGGCATATACGGTGAGCGCAAAGGCGATGAGGATGCAGTAGAGTACAAGGGTGTGCGAGTAATCCGCAATGAGAGTGGCGCGCATTCCACCGGCGAGGACGTAGATAGAGACGCCGAGGGGAATGAGGAAGCAAGCAGCGACGGTGTTCATACCGGAGAGGTCGGTGACGGTCGCGGAACCGCCCAGGATGAGCATGGCTGTGGTGTTAGTAGGCGTCTCGATACATGATGAAACAAGAGACTCACTGGATACGATGATGTTGGTGGCCATTCCGAAGAAGAGGAAGGTCAGGTGAGCGACTTTGCCCCATCGTGCGCGAATGATTTCGAGGTAGGTGTGGCAGTAAGGGGCGTGTTGCTTGAGCTTGCTAGCGATCATGGCGAAGAGCAGGACTGGTGGTCAGCACATCAAAGAGCAGCATATCAAAAAGGGGCATCTCAAAGAGGGGTTCCCCAAAGAGAAGTATCTCATGGAGGAATATCTCAAAGAGGATGATCTCAACGAGGAGCATCTCAATGAAGAGGTCATGAAATGAGAGCTCACTCTGTACAGTCGCGCCTGATGCATACCACCACGGTCCACTGATACCGAATTTGTACCTGTAGAATCAGCACGATATCGCAGTAGATGAGGGATTTTCTGACTTACGCGGTGGCGGAAGATTGCAGGAGGGTTGCAGCCCATGTCCAGGCGGAAACGATACCCGAAGCGACCAGTCCAGGAGGGACGCTATATCATCAGCGCTGTTCGAGGGGAGTATCTCAGGCCTCAGGCATGAGCAGCTCACCTTCGAGATGCAGAAGTGAACTCCTCGGCTGTCAATTTGTGCGAGGTGTATCGGCTCTGAACCTTGGTCACGCTGACCTGTCAGTGCGGATCCCTGACGGATTGTAGGATCACTCACCCAATCATGAACAGCGAGAAGACAAGACCCATTCCGACCTGCAGAGTCAGTGATGAACATACCTCAAGGTGCGAAAGGACTTACGACTACACCGTAGCCGGCGGCTTGGGGGAGGACCGGAGTGGAAGACATCGTGGTAGGTGTATCGAGTAAGAGAGGAGAGCGCGGTCAGAGATAACAAGCAGAATAAGGAGAAAACGGGACTGGGGAAGAGTGGAAGAGTCGGCGCTCTTATACCATCCGCTCATCTCCTCCTTCCTTGAGCCTTCGGAACTCTTCCCCGCACTTCATCAATGAGGCACCAGATCTAAGAGCCAGATACAGTGAGATGCACCAATCAGCGCGTCGCTCCAGACTCGCGCGATAGAGCCGCTAGTCAGTGTACGAGATTGTGCGGCGTAGAGCCTGGCGGGAGATCAGATAAGGATGTACCCCCGCCTCCGCCCGCGGAGAGTTAGTCGGATGTAAGCGGAGCTAGCGTGGGGGTCTCGGCGGATGATTGCGGGATGGAGATGTACAATCCGCCCAGAGACCGCTTTTGGTTGCTTGATTGGCTGGGCATCTTATCAGTGGGCAAGATGAGAGGAGATAAGATGAAAGCGACAAGTGAAAGAGCGCGATGGCGTTTTGTTCAGGGTGTTTACGATAAGGTTCGTCAGGCACGGCTAGTCTTATCTGAGATCCGTGCGTGGCAGCAGAATTCGAGCAGGCAAGCTGAGTTGCGGACCCGGTCCAGCGGGCTGGACACACAGCATAGCACCAGGAAGGCGCTTGCGATCACAGCCCCGACTGGATTGTACTGTCTGTCAGTAAGTCTGCGCGATGCGGTCGGAAGCGACCGCCGGTGGCAGGGGGGTGCCGCTGATGAGATTTTGCCCACTCCCCCCTCTGTTCCACCAGCTCCCTCCGTCCTCGCTCTTGCTTGCTACAGCGTGGCGCACTTGCTGGCACTTGCCAGAACGGCATCAGCCCCATATTGTGTTCGCATCGGACGCAAAGTCTCAGAACCCTCTTTCTGTTGAGGGTATGAGTAGTAGCGGCATCGGGGGGGCCTCAATTCTCCTAGCGCGCCTCGAAGGTCAGAATGGCACTCCTCATCAGCTAAGCAGCACCAGTCATAAGACTTCCGAGTAAATGATGAGGCAGGTTTTGCCCTGTGATATGATCCTCGGCAGCGTTCGGCGGAGACGTGGTACATTGCAAACCCGCCACTAACCCGCCTCATACCTCCCCGCAGGGATGCCTCCGGCCCAGTGTTCCGGCCCCGGGTCTTTATCACGTCATCGACGCCAGGGTCAGCTTTAAGGTTTAAGGGGTATTTAACCCGACGTCCATGTGGCGCAGAAGAACAGTGAATCAAGTAGATTTTCAGTACTTGCAAGTACCATCTACCCTTCATCTCCCTCATATACAGCATCCCAACAGCTCGTCCCTGCTCGAACGGGTCCACATAGGGAGAATATTCCAATATCGCCGGAACCAGCACCCGACGATATTACTACCGGTCCGAGCCCCCGAATGGCGCCGTATCAGCAGCAGGGCGCCGCTGCTGTATCCTACCCAACCTCTAGCCTCCCACTCCCCAAGGCGCTGCGACATAACCGCTCATTCGCATGTCTGGCGAATCTCCTCGGATTGGCTTCGACCAGTGATGCTGAGTCATCCCTGAGCGATGGACGGGAGTCCGCGGGAAAATCCAAGAATGGGGGTCCGAGCGGGAGTGAGCAGAATGGGCACGGTGAAGAGGACGGAGAGGAGGACGAGGACGAGACTGGAGATGTCGATGAGGATAGCCTATTATGGGATGCTCAAGTGAGTTTCGGTACATTCAGTGGGAAGTCGCCGCCAGATTTTGCTAGGTTGAAAAGGGCCAGGGGGTTTCAGAGGTGGCTGGTTGTGATATTACCCTTAGACATGGAATGGTCGCTTATTTACAGACCGCGTTGATCGCACATCAACCCGCGCTTGCTATTCAGCACTACACCATCGCTGCCCTCCCGCCATACCGCTCCTCTCCTGCCTGCCTGGCACTCGGTAACCTCCTCACTCGCGGCTCTGGTCTCGCTCCTGCCCCTCAATCACCCTCAGAACAGACCTCCCGCTTCACCGCCGCTGAGAAAGGCAAAGGCAGAGCTTACTCGTTCGGTCCCATGTCGCCAACTATGCAGACTGGTCCCAAGTCGCCAGAAGCTCGGAGGGGTTCCGCACCTCCGCCAACTTCCCCATCCCAATCAGCCGTCTCCCGCTTTATGGGTTTCGTGTGGCCTACATCACCGCCAGAACGACCCGCGCCTGCCTCTCCGCCAGAAAGAACATACACGGATCTCGTCGCCTCCGGGTGGACCATTCCGAAGGAGGGAAAGCGTGCGGTGAGAGATGTCGAAGGAATGGGCGTGGCGGGAGGTTGGTTCGTGCTCGGTCTGGGATGGATCGTGGACGGGCAGATGGCATTAGGGGTCATCGCGGAGGGCGAAGAAGTGATAGCGTCTCAGGAAAGGCTGGCCGTGCCTGACGAGGCGGACTCGGATGCGCTGGTCATGGGGAGCAAGAAGGGGAAAGCCCGACTCTCGCCCATAATACCGCCCGTCGAGCTCGTCGTCCGCATAGCGGGTGTCGCGACTCCAGGCGAGACAGAAGGGAACGCAGAGAGCAGCTCCGAAGGGACGACACTCAAGACGCCCCCACATGAGCAAGAGGACGGCGAGACTAGGGAAGAGAACGAAAAGACGATCAAATTGATTGTGAGTTGATGAACTGCATTCAAGATGTAGCTGACTAGCAGTACGATCTCCTTCAGCCTCTGCTTCGGCTATATCGCAATGGTCATATCCAGTCCTCAGATCCCGTTTACTTGCCGCCCATCAACTACTCGCAACTACCCACATGTCTGCGTCCGCAGGGCGACCTGCAGAAACGGCGGAATGTCTGGTCGCTCGGCGGGCGGGTGTTGAAGCAGCTGCTGGGGCTCAAGATCATGCGAGCTGGGATGAATGACAGGCGGGGCCTTGTCAGACGGAGGAAAGGTGTAGAGGTTATGGCGAGATACATCGTAAGTCCATATCCCCTTTGTCGGGTATCAAGTGACTGAAGGCGATCCTTTGTTGCTTCCTTTTGATCTATCCAGCTGACATTTGCAGCTGGCAATGACTGGCCCATCTGCCGAGTCCGAAGCGCATTATCGCCAAATCATCTCTCTCGGGCATAGCGGTCTAGAGTACCCCGACGAGATCGTCCGACACGCTGCCAAGCACCTCGACATTATCAACTCCCCGCCTGTGGATACACCCCCTCTCACGCCTTATACCTCCCGCCGCCCAGAATATCCCTTCCCCCACATGGCGCCGTCTCCGGACTTCCTCAAGGCCCCAAAACGCTCCTTCACCTCCCCATCCCGCATCAAGCCCTCGCAAACCCGCGTCTCCCGTCATGTTCAGCAAGCATCCATCTCGTCTATCCGCACAACGTGCTCCACGCGGATTATGGGGACTTCGATCAAGTCGTTCCCGTCCATCCCGTCCTTGGCGGAGGCTAGCAGCAAGGTGGAGGTCAATGCAGTGGCCAATTCGGACGGGGCCGTCAGGGCTGTGGATACGCTACGTCGGGTGCATGCACAATCGGTGATGGATCTGGCCGCGCTGGCCAAGAAGGAAGGGGATGAGGCATGGTGGCCTGCTCTGGCGAGCTGGAGCTACACAAAGTCCAGAGATAAATTCTCGCCGCCATCTTCGCCGCCAATCGCTTCCCCCGATCCGGAAGCGGCGGATGAAGCCAACGCCATGGCGACACCCATCATCGTCTCTCACCCCGGTGCATCACCCACAAAGGCAGCCGCTGCACGGCCCCCAATACCCACCATCCGTACTGTCGCGTCCACGCCGACGTTTGGCTCTCTTCGCCAATCGCCTCACATTCCCAATTCTTCGGGCCATCTCACTCCTCGACCGTTCGACAACCTTCATGCGGACATCAACACCACCATCGACCCGGCACTGGCCGCGGCCGAGCTAGCGAGCACCTTGACTAGGCGCGTCAAGTGTGGCGTATGCCGGACGGAGGGGATCAACTTTCCGGAATGTAGGCGATGCGGGATCGTGTTCTGCTCCAGAGAGTGCAGGGTCGGGGCGGATAAGGCGGGTGATGGGAAGAGGCATGTTTGTGGGGCGTGGGAGGGGAGAAGGGGGCTGTGCGTCCCAGAGAGGGTGGATGGCAGACAGGCGCGGACTGCTGAGGCGCCCAGGCAGGTCATGGCGTGCTGAGGGTTCTGGTCGGACTGAGCGATTGGGTAGGAGGGGGTCGGCGGGCATCATACATCAGCTTAGCCCGACCCGCTTGGTCAATACACGATCTCGAAATCATGGTGTTGTAGCTTATTTTGTATACAGGCATGTGCTTTGCCCCTTGTGCTTCTGCCCTTCCGAGCGCTTGCGAGCCCATCGCCGCTGATATGCTCGGTCTGCACGGGAGCTAGCTAGACAGCTGGAGCCACAGCTTGACCTGCGTGGAAATACCTCGGAGAAACCCGCCGCACTGGCTCGCCCGCAAGCCTCTTCCCCAAGCTGGTTTATCCGTCGCACTCCCTCCTCCACCTTCTTGCTCCTCTCCGGCCCGGTCCTTAAAGCCAGCACAGGAGGGCCGCCACGATGCCCTCTTCACATCAGCTACCCCATAGCTGCCTCTTCACTCACAAGCACCCAAAGATCCAGCCTCGAAAGCAACCAAAATGGAGCGCGAACCCGATCATGTCAACCCGGCGATGGACAGGTCCTTCCTCACGGCCAACATTGCGGAAGTGGTCGAGAAGATGACGACCAACGAGAAGATCCAGCTGCTCGCTGGTGATGGATGGTGGCAGTAAGTCTTTATGCAGACCGAGCGGGGGTCGAGGCTGACGTTGTAGCACTTTTGCTTACCCGCACCTGAACATCCCGAGGTGAGCTTTCACGCGAGGGCTGGACTGCTCAAGCGCTGACGGGGCAGTGTCAAGGTCACGGACGGTCCTGCTGGAGCTCGTGGTGGTTCTGCTTACAACATGAGTGGGTCACTTCCCTCCTAGCTCTCCCGATCCGTCCGGTTTCTGCTACACATAGACACGTTACTAACGCCTCAGCCCCCGCCCTCTCCTTCCCCAACGCGACCTGTGTCGGCGCGACCTTTGACAAAGATCTGGCCTACCAGATGGGAGAGACGCTCGCGGCCGAAGCGAAGGCTAGGGGAAGCGTCTGCCTGCTTGCGCCCACCATCAACATTCAGCGGTCCCCTCTCGGTGGCCGGGCATTCGAGAGTTACGCGGAAGACCCTACGCTCAGCGGAGTCATTGCCGGGCACTACGTCAAGGGGCTGCAGGAGAAGGGTGTCTCGGCTGCTATCAAGCACTTTGTCTGCAATGGTTAGTTTCGCGAGATCCAGAGATGTGGTTTGTGCTGACGGTAAAGACCAGGAGCACGACCGGATGGGCCAAGACTCCATCGTCGCCCCTCGAGCTCTCCGGGAGGTCTACTTGCGTCCTTTCCAGATCGCTCATAAGCTTGCTCAACCCTGGGGGTGAGTGTCTCCAGGCCGACGCACGAGTGTCAAGCTGACCTGCAGCTACATGACCTCATATGCCAAGCTCAACGGTACCCATTGCGCGGAGCATGACTGGCTGCTCAACACCCTTCTCCGGGGCGAATGGAAACACGAAGGCATTGTCATGAGCGACTGGACCGGCACCTACTCTGTCTCGGAAGCCATCAACGCCGGTCTCGACATCGAGTTCCCTGGACCGGCCAAATGGCGCGCCAAGGACCTGGTCAACCACATGCTTACCGCGCATAAGGTCGACATTCGGCAGATCGACGAGCTCGCGACTCACATCCTCACGTGGGTGCAGAAGCTGGCACAGCAGAACGAGGACGTGGTGTATGGCGAGAAGAAGGGCGAGCAAACCCGGTGGGACGCCAAGAAGGAGGACTCGGCGCTCGTCAGGCGGATCATCACCGAGGGGATGGTTCTGCTCAAGAATGAGGGGGATATCCTGCCGGTTGAGAAGGGCAAGGTGGCTGTCATTGGCCCCAACGCCAAGGCCAAGGTCTTTACTGGTGGTGGATCGGCTCGGCTCAATCCCTCCTGGAGCACTACACCCTGGCAAGGTCTCGAGCAGGAGAAGCCGGACGGTATCGACCTCTCCTACGCTGTCGGTACCCTCACCGCCAAATACGCCCCTCTCCTCGACGAGAACTTTACCGCCTCGGACGGGTCGGTCGGGTTTGACGCTTACCACTACGCCGTCACCGCCGACGGTAAGCAGGCGGACAAATACGTCGCGTCCGACGTCCTCACTCGGTCCGAAATGCGCTTCAACAACTTCCAGCGGTCCGGCCTTACTGAGGACTGGTACACCGAGATCAAGGCGACCTTCACCAGCCCCATCACTGGCGAGTACGAGTTTGCCCTTACTTGTACTGGCAAGTTCTGGCTTTGGTTCGAGGACAAGCTGGTCATGGATATGAGCGACTACAAGGTCAAGGGGCAGGCGTTCTACGGGAATGGGTCAGAGGAGACCAAGGTCAAGGTCAAAGTGGAGCAGGGCAAGGTGAGTCAATGTACAGGGCAAGACTAACCAGTAGAAATACCAGTTCCGCGTACTGCACGACACTCGCAGCCCGCCCGTCAAGTCCGGCTCGTCCACACTCACCTACAACGGGATGCGCATCGGTGCCGAGCCGGCGTACGAGCCCGAGCAGGCCATGGAGGAGGCTGTTGCGCTCGCCAAGACATCTGACATCGCCATTATCGTTTGCGGTCTCAACCAGGACTGGGTGAGTCTGTCACAGTATGCTGTTATGCGTAGGCGAAGCTGATCATCAGGAATCAGAAGGAGATGACCGGCCAAATCTCGATCTCCCTATGCGCAGCAACGAGCTCATCGACCGGGTTGCCGCCGTCAACCCCAACACCATCGTCATCCTCCAGGGCGGATCGGCGCTCGCCATGCCCTGGCTCTCCAAGGTCAAGGGGGTCGTACAGGCATGGTACGGCGGCTGCGAGACCGGCACCGGTATCGCTGATATCGTCTATGGCAAAGTCAACCCTTCTGGTCGGCTCCCAGTCACCTTCCCCGCTCGGGAAGAGGATGTGCCATCGTACCTCGCCTACAAGTCGGCGGATACCATCACCCGGTACGAAGAGGGTATCTGGGTCGGATACAAGCACTACAACGCCCGCAAGCTTGTCCCTCTCTTCCCTTTCGGCTTTGGCCTCAGCTATACCTCATTCGAATACTCGGATCTCGCCATTACATCGGTCAGTCCCGCCAAGGGCACGTCAGCGGACGAGTGGGAACTCAAGGCCAAAGTCAAGGTGACGAATACCGGCAAGATTGCCGGTAGTCACTCGGTCCACTTTTACACTCAGCCCCCGCCCGAATTGGCGATGGGTCTCAAGCACCCGGAGAGGGCACTGCAGGCGTTCGGGAAGGTACACAATCTGAAGCCAGGGCAGAGTGAGGTGGTCGAGGTCTCGCTTGACAAGTGTAAGTCTTCCTTGGTTGGCTGGGCGCAGAGCTGATGGTCAGACGCTATCTCGCACTGGGACGAAAGGGCGAGTGTCTGGCGTGCGGAGCCAGGGCAGTGGGGTCTTACAGTCGGGTACGATGCGAGCAAGACGTATGGGTCGGAGAAGTTTGAGGTGGGCAAGGGGTTGACCTGGTCTGGCATCTAAGAGGCGGACGTGTATTTTGGATGTGATACGAGACGATCTAACGCATGAACCATCTTGCTGCTTGTGTCATCTGCATAAAGCGGCTTGCCGCTTCGCATCCCACGTCGCCGCAGCACAAGGTCAACGACTGTGAGCCTTCCGACAAAGCCGAGACCCGAAGCGAGACATTCCGACACCCGGCGATAGCCGCTCGGCACCGTGCCTGATGGCGGCTTCAGCTTGACATCCCCAAATCATTCTGAGTCGACCTCGACTTTACCTTCCATACCTTATCTTTCAGTAGCTTCTATACACTTCCTACCTACCACATACAACACATAGAAAAGATGTCCGCCATCACCAAGATCCACGCCCGTCAGGTGAGCCCTCTTCCTCTTCCCGCTCTGGACGAGAGAGCAGTGGGGGAATATTGCTGAACCTTTTTCCAGATCTTCGACTCTCGAGATAAGTCTCTTCACCTCTCTTTCATGGCGTCTACTTTTGCTTTCTGGAGCGCTGCGGAGCGTCGTGTAGGCTATGAGAGGAGTAGGAGGGCGTGCTGCTGTGCGGCAGCGGCGTTGCTGCCTTTGGCTCCGCGCACGTCCCTTGGTCCAACCCTTTCCTTCCTTCTTCCCGCCCAAGCTCTGTCGTTATTGGCTTTGGCCTGTCCTCATCACCTCCTGACCATTGGCTGACATGAGTACGCAACCCTACCGTCGAGGTTGACCTCTGGACCGAGAAGGGTGAGTTCAGTCATTTTAGGTCCTCCAGATCCGCAGCTGATGAGCTAGGCAAGTTCCGCGCTATGGTCCCCTCCGGTGCATCTACCGGTATCCACGAGGCCGTCGAGCTCCGTGACAAAGCTAAGGAGTTCGGAGGCAAGGGTGAGTTTCAGGCACCTGCCTCTTCTAGCTTCGGTGCTGATGTTTAGGTGTCCTCAAGGCCGTCGAGAACGTCAACAAGATCATCGCCCCCGCGCTTGTCGAGTCCCAGCTCCCCGTCACTTCCCAGAAGGAGATTGACGACCTCATGATCAAGCTCGACGGTACTCCCAACAAGGGCAAGCTCGGCGCAAACGCCATCCTCGCCGTCTCCATGGCTGCCACCGAGGCCGGTGCCGCTGACAAGGTGAGCTCTCCGGCACAGACATTTCGTATGGAAACAGCTGACAGCGTAGGGTCTCCCCCTTTACGCCTACCTCGCCCAGCTTGCTGGTGTCCCCGAGCCCTACGTCCTCCCCTGCCCCGCTTTCAACGTCATCAACGGCGGTGAACACGCCGGCAACAAGCTCGCCTTCCAGGAGTTCATGATTCTCCCCACCGGCGCCAGCTCGTTCTCCGAGGCCATGCAGATGGGAACCGAGACTTACCACGTCCTCAAGAAGGTCATCACCAAGAAGTACGGTCTGGATGGTGAGTATATCTGTACACAGGATATTTGCGCAGAGCTGATGATCAGCCGCCAACGTTGGTGACGAGGGTGGTTTCGCTCCCAACGTCCAGGGCGCCGAGGAGTCCCTCGACCTACTCACCGAGGCCATCAAGCAGGCCGGCTACACTGGCAAGGTCCAGATCGGTCTCGACGTCGCTTCGTCCGAGTTCTACAAGGACGGCAAGTACGACTTGGACTTCAAGGTGAGCTCTCGAACATAGACCTCTGGTTGCGGAGCTGACAGCCAGAACCCCGACTCTGACAAGTCCAAGTGGCTCACGGGCGCCGAGCTCGCCAAGGTGTACGAGTCGTACATTGAGAAGTACGACATTTGCTCCATCGAGGACCCCTTCGAGCAGGACGACGTCGAGGCGTGGTCCAACTTCAACACCAGCAACAAAATTCAGGTTGTCGGTGATGACTTGACCGTCACCAACCCCGAGCGTATCAAGATGGCCATCGAGAAGAAGGCTTGCAACGCTTTGCTTTTGAAGGTGAGCTATCAGGAACAGATATACCGGGTAGTGCTGGAGCTGACATCACAGATCAACCAGATCGGTACCATCACCGAGTCCATCCAGGCGTAAGCTGATTGCTGCGATCCTTTCGATTCGGATGTAAGCTTACATCCCAGCGTCCAGCTCTCGCAGCAGAACGACTGGGGAATTATGACCTCGCACCGATCCGGCGAGACCGAGTCCACCTACATTGCCGACCTCGCCGTCGCTCTCCGCACCGGCGAGATCAAGACTGGTGCCCCGTGCCGATCCGAGCGTGTTGCCAGTGAGTTAGGAGTGCCCCAAGGATGATCATAGCTGATATCGGCAGAGTACAACCAGCTGCTCCGCATCGAGTGCGTAATGACTGCTTTCTCATGTCCGATTGGGGCCCAGCTGACATGTTCAGGGAGGAGCTCGGTGACAAGGCCATCTTCGCCGGCGGCAAGGGTCTCTCCAAGGGTACCACCGCCCCCGAGCTCAAGCTCTAAGCGGTTTTGCGCTTTGTTATCGAAAAAGACTGCTATCTCGGTTATAGAGGGAATGCATGAAATGGTGCAAGACGCTCTGGACCGGCTTACTGTATCTTCACTGGACTACTCACCTTGGCCCTTGACTGCCTCACTATCTCCGTACTGGCTTACTCACTTTCGCGTCTGGCGGTCGACGGTCGACAAGGAGATACGAAACAATGCAGGGACAGATCGACCATCGACTCGCTGGCAAAACACGTCCGTTTCTCTGCTTGCATTATTCTTCACTTCGTAGGCTAGCTAGTCGTAGATATCGCCTCCCGACCCCTCGACGCGTCTACACTACTTAACCAACTCGCCTCCCGCTCTACTTGGTCTTCTTCTTCTTGGACGCCTCCTCGTCTCCCTCGGCGGCCGCCTCCCTCTTCTTGCTCGCCGCGCTCTTACTCTCGGGCTTCTTGCTCGCCTCCTCCTTCTTGCTAGCCGGCTTAGCCTTGCTAGCGGGCTTCGCAGCCGACTCGGCCTTCTTGTTCGCCGGCTTCTTGGTCTTGGTCTCCTTCTCCGCCTCCTCTCCATCCTCCTCATCCTCCGCGATATCCTCCTCCTTCTTCTTGGAAGCGGCCGTCTTCTTGGCAGCAGCGCTCGAGGCGGGCTTCTTGGTCTCCTCCTTATCCTTGTCCGCCGCCTTCTTGGATGCCGGCTTCTTGGTCTCCTCCTTATCCGCCTTCTTGGACGCAGGCTTCTTGCTCTCCGCCGCGGGCTTATCATCCGCCTTCTTGCTCGCCGGCTTCTTGGACGCGGGCTTCTTGTCGGCCTTCTCCTTGTCCGCCTTCTCCTTGGCAGCCGCCGCCGCCTCCTCCTTCTCCTTCTTGTCCGACGCGGCCTTGGCAGCCCGGCTGGAAGGCTTGCGACCGCCGGCCTCCTCCCCGTCGTCCGCCTTCTCCTCGGCGGCCTTCTTGTCGTCCGACTTGTGCTCCGGCGCGCCAGTCTTGGGCTCGTTCTTTGATCCGGCCTCGTTCTCGTACTCTCCGCCCTGGGCCTCGTACTCCTTGGCTATTTTGGATGCCTGCGCGTCAGCTGATGTCCATGTTGACGCGTAAAGTCGCGTGGGAGGGCAATGGGCACACCTTCCAAGCGGCCATCTGTCCTGCGCCCGATCCATCCTTGTTGGTCTCGTTCTTGATCTCTGGACGTGTCAGCCGGGCTCATCAACAATGCTCTGCGATCCAAAAAGGCGCGTCGAGGTGCGTTCGGGCGGGATCAGGCATGGGAGCGGAGCGGGCGGAGAGAAGGGAAGAAAGAACCCACTCTCCGTGATCTCATCGTGCAGCTTGGTGTTCGTGGGCTTTCCTTTGGTGGACGGCATGGTGAGAGGTGGAGCTGGGGACTTTGTTAGATGGAGGTGAGTAGGAAGGTGTAGTTGTTGGTGATATGGGCAAAAGAGAGGGGCATGAGCACAAGGCTGCCCCACCCCTCTTCCCTCTTCCTTGTGGGCGCGGCTTGACGTCACCTGTCAACAAACCGATCGGAAGCGGCCATTGCCGGCTGGATCGGACGCGACGCTGGGGAGTGTGGCGGTGATGTGGCGAGTGTGGCAGTCGCTCTGGAGGGGCGAAAGCTCATGCTCAGTGGCCGCCAGCGAGGCAGAGAAAGGCCAGGTCAGCTAGGCATCGCCGTTCAAGAAAAGACAGGTCATACCGCAGAGTTGTCGAGCACACAATGCGCCGACGAGCTCGAAGTGCAGCTCGATAGCGCGCGCGTGTAGGGATAGAGGCTGCTTCTGTCCCCTCACTAAGGCCCTCTACCGTGCATAACGATGAATGGAGAGGTAGTCGGAGCTGATCGTGGCTATCACAGGGTCCACTCAAAGTGGTCTAGGTAGAGGTATGCACGTAGCCCTTATCTGTCCTACTACCTAGGATTCCCTGCTCCCATTCCGATCTCAAGCGTCCCGCGAAGCCCTTCTGACTCCCGCTTTCCCGCTTCGCAACTCAAGGAGACATACTGCCCTCCCTAGCCCTTTTTGACACCTTCACTCCCCGTTTCTCCAGTATTCCCAAGAACCGCGGACTGCTCATCCCTGCCTGCGGGCCGTAGCGGGGCACGAGATGCCTTGCTTCCCATCGCCATCGGATCTTCTTTTGGGTGCGGGTCTCGGTGAGGGGGTAGGGTGGTGCTCCGGGGTCTCTAGAACGTCAGCTTGGGCTCTGGTGGAGCTCTTGGGTGGAAGTCGATGGAAGAATGAGGGAAGGCCGGGGCAGATGCCGATGCAAGCGTTACTTGCGCAGGCTCGGGGAGGGATGATTGAGCGTGGATTGCCAGAGGGTCCAGGAGCTGTAGTGATTCAAAGCTTAACTCACTCTAGCTACAATGGATCAGCTACTCGTTCGGCTTACGATGGCGAGAAGGACTCACGAAAGCAGCAGACATGCAAGCAAACATTCTCCCCCAAGTCCGGGTCAGAGGGCACTCAAGACAAGAGAAGCTGTCTGCGGTGCGGTGGCAACGAGTGGCTGAGGCGGTAGTAGCCAAGTGTGAGACCGTTTGTTTGGTTGACCAGGCGTGCTTGGTGATCCAGGTGATGATACGCGTATGAGCTGACTTGGTATTGAGCGTCGTATGTTTGCAAACACTGGCGAAGAGAAGCCGGCGGCACGCCAAATCAGCTGCTTATACCTCTCGCCTGCCTCCCTTCAGCGTCAATGTGTCCCAGCACGTGAAGCGTGAAGTCTCCAAGATGAGCACAACGTCAGTCAAGGCCGAACGTGGACATCGATTGCTGAGAACGTTTGTGATGGCCAGCAGCAAGTGAAGTTCCTTTGAGTTATCGCGCTCGGGCTTGATTCCCCGAAATGCCGTGTGCCCGTCCTCATGAAACACAGCCATCCACTCCGTTTCACCTGTGCCGCACCATCACACGTGGCCATCTTATCGGCGCTCCAAGGAGTCTCCGGTGTACCCAGTCAGTAGCGCGCGATGCAGCACAATATGCACATGAGGCCGATGGAACGCTCACGGATGCGAGGTCAGGGTCACGGGTGGCAAATGTGGCAGTCACGCCACTCGCTACGTACAGAAGCAGCGGATGGGACTTGCCTCCAGTCATTCGACAACATCTCATAGTATGACCATAGCATAGCTGCTCGGACGAAGCTAACGCTGTTGTATAGGCGTCGTGGCATGGTATAGCAACTTCGTCTCTTCCTCTCCCCAGCTCCCTGCAGCGCCACACACGCGCACGGGAATGTGCCACACTGGTGCTTCCATCGGGAATTGAGCGGCTATTCCCGGCCATTCCTCGTCGGCCCAAACCTCTCACCTCTCGCTGCATTCTCTCTTCTTCTTCCATCAACCTCTCTATGACTCTGCTCTTATACACATACAAGTGAGCAGGCGAGAGAGATGGCGTCCACTTCCGTGAGTACAGCTGCACGCGATCCCCTTAAGGAACAATCCTCAGGCCATCAGCTGACTTACAGGCCTCTCGTTCTGCTCTCCCTGCGGCTCAGACGGCCCCGCTCGCGCATATTGACGTGAAGCGATGGGAGCGAGCTATGAATGACGCCGAGATCAACAAGTCGTGAGTCGAATCTTCTGAATGTGTTGCGAAAATCTTCAATCAACCCTCTCTTTTCACCTCTTCACAAACCCGCCTTCTCTGATGAGACTTAAAGCAAGTGGGAATCTCTCCGACCAAAAGCTGCGGACAACCCAATCATTATGCATCTCTGATCCTCCTCGCTTCCCTCGTTTGACTGTGCTCTTGGTCCCAACAATCGGATCAGTAGCTGATGGAACAGAGACCTGAACGCCATGATTCTCGACTACCTCCTGCTCGAAGGCTTCCCCGACGCCGCGATGGAGTTTGCGCGCGAAACCGGACTTCCCGCCGAAGTTGACCACGAGGCGATACAGGAGCGGATGGAGATTCAAGAGGCCGTCGAGGAGGGACGGGTGGAAGAGGCGGTAAGGAGGGTGAACGAGCTCGATCCAGAGGTAAGTTTTTCTGTGCTTCGGTTTCTCGAGAACAACTCCATTCCCACCCACCCCAAGGATTATACAATCATGCACCACGCTTAGCCCGCTTCTTGCGCGGCCATGCTGAAACAACCTGATTTACAGACCTGATATGAGGGGCAATCCATTCTACATTGTTTTGATTATTGGCGTCACCATATTTGACACCAAGCTGACATGTAGATCCTCGATACCAACCCTCCACTCCTCTTCCATCTGCATCTCCTCCGCCTCATCGAGCTTATCCGGACGGAACAACTCGAGCCGGCTCTCGAATTTGCGACGAACGAGCTCGCACCCCGCGGCGCTCAAAATCCCGAATTCCTCGCCGACCTCGAAAAGACGATGGCTCTTCTCGCTTTCCCTGACCTCGCCAAATTTTCGGATGATCAGGCTCATCATCCCACTTTGCCACCAGCCACCGCCGAGCTCCTCGCCGACCCCGCCTTCCTCCCCATCAGTCAGCTGATGCGCCGGAGTCAGCGCGTCAAGGTCGCCAAGGAGCTCAATGCGGCCATCCTCGAGTCGCAGGGTCTCGGGATGGAGACGAAGCTCAGTGGGCTCGTCAGGCTTATGAGCTGGGGGGAGGATCGGCTGGAAAAGGCTGGACTGGCGATCCCCGGGGGTGAAAGGGGATGGGCGGATGAGGTCCTGAAGGCAGAAATGAAGTGAGACTCAGTGATTGTATATACCTACCAGGCATCGTTGTAGCACCGTACCAGTTGTCATGATCATGCAGTCCGCTCAGCAGTTCCATCAAGATCATCAACAGATCAACACCGTTCATCATCCAAGTCATTCGGAGTGCAAGGTCGTGCTCATTCGCATTTAATGGATATACGCGACTGACCTCCGGCCCGGTCCAGCCGAAAACGATCTAACGAGATGATTTCGGAGATGTGCTGTGGAGTCGATGCGCTCGCTGATCAATCACACTGCTGTTACCTCGTGCGTTTATGACCCTCTACCATGAGTCAGCGTCGAGCAGCGCTTCCCAAACACTACGACTTCATACCGAATAGACCTCGGGTATTCTCTGAAAATGTCCCGGCCGAACGCTTCACCTCCCATCTTGCCCAAGCAATCCCGCTTGCCATCCGGACCGCTGCCGTCTACAGGCTCGATAGACCATGACAACCGTCTCGACAAGACAACCCAATGGGACGAGGAGGATGGTGAGAAGGCCTTCGGCGAGAAGGACTTGCCGTTACGCACGTTAGGGGAGGGACCCGTTGCGCCCGTGGAGGCTGCAGCGAATGCGAAAGCTGCTGTCGAGATTGAATCGGGCAAAGGCGAAATGGTGTACGTTGAGCCTGGGCTGAAAGGATGGCTAAATCTACTGGGTGTGAGTTACTCAGATCGCTTGAGGAACGGCATCTCGCTGACGGGTTTCCAGGCCGTACTGGTCAACTCGATATGCTGTGAGCTTTTTGCTCTATGCCCTGAACCCCTTCTGACGAAGCAGACGGGATGACCAACTCTTTCGGCGTCTTTCAAGAATACTACACCACCACTCACCCACCTACGATCTCTTCCGGCGCAACTGCCATCTCCTGGATCGGCACCATCCAATTCTGGCTTTGTCCTTTACTAGGCTGCATCTCCGGGCCCCTCTTTGACGCCGGCTACCTCAAGTCCCTCGTCGGTGTCGGGGGCGCCCTCTACGTCTTCTCACTCATGATGACCTCCCTCGCCAAGGAATACTATCAATTCCTTCTCGCTCACGGGTTCGGCGTGGGTATCGGTATGGGCCTGATCTTCAGCCCGAGCGTATCGACGCTATCGCATCATTTTGGGCGGAGTAGGTGGCGGACATTGGCGTACGGGTGTCAGGCGACAGGGAGCAGTCTGGCGGGGATCATCGTGCCGGTACTGCTCAGGCAGCTGTTCCCGGCTGTTGGGTTTGCCTGGGCAATGCGGATATGTAAGCTCTTGCCTCGGTCGAAGTAAAGGGGGTCCTGCGACTGAAGTGTCCAGTGGGATTCATTGTCCTTGTCATCGTGACCTGCGCGTTCTTCTTCCTCTCGCGAGTGCATCCTCCCCGGAAGGAGCTGGCTCTGTTGAGTCCGTCTGTCTGTGAGTGGGCCGTTCATATGTGCCCATTATCCGCTCATACTGCAGTCCGTAACAAGGCATACACTGTCTACGTCATGGGAGCAGGACTAGGCTCACTTGCTATGTGAGCCGTCTCAGCCAATCCGGAAGGTGGCAAGCTGACTTGGTAGCTACGCCCCACTCACTTTCGGCGCCACCTATATGCGAGCTAAGGGCTTTGACCCGGGATTGAGCTTCTACGCGTATGTCCTCGGCCCTCACAACATTCGTCAGGTCTTGCGTCAAGTAGCAGCTGACACCAACAGTGTGGCTATCGGGAACGGCTGCTCCATTTTTGGTCGTATCATACCCCTCATCATCGCCCAAAAAGTCGGCACCATCAACATGTTCACCCTCTTCGCTCTGATAAGCGGAACGATGCTGTTCCTATGGACGACAGCGAGGACTGTAGAGGGCTTCCTGATATACGAAGCCTTCTATGGTGTCGCCAGCGGTAAGTCTTCTCGCTCCTGCCAGGAACGCGCAACTACTGATCCCGCAGGCGCATACGCCGCATCCCTCAATCCGGGCGCAGCCTCCTTTGCCCCAGAGCCAAATCAGTCCGGCCTATACCTCGGGATGTGTTTCTTCACGACCGCATGGTTCTGGCTGCCTGGCACGCCTGCAACTGCCGCCTTGATACAGGGCAAGACGGACTATCTGCCCGCCTCGATATTCTGCGGATGTGCGGTATTGGGAGGAGGGATGATTTTGATAGGGGCGAGATTTATGCGTGCGAAGCAACTGGGGAGTAAGTGGGTGTAGCGATCTTGTAGGATGATCGACTTGTAGCTGTATCTATGTGCTGTATTGACCCTCTGAGCTGCTATGGAAGCCTGGACCCAGCTGGCTGGCTGGTCTCGGAGTTTGCCCCCGATCCGGAGCATCGGAGCCGAGCGCCGGTGGACAATAAATGAGCAAGTAGAAGGGGTTCCACATGTTCAGTCTCATCTCTCTTGGGAGCCATGGCCATACAGCACGACACCGAGGCTGGTCCATCTAGCCCGAGAGCAGAGGCTTCCCAGCAAGCGGAGGATTCCGCAGCGGCCGGTCCAAGCGATAGTGATGCTGGATCAAGGGCGAGGAGGGAGAGTCAAGAGGTCAATTCGACTTGCGACTCTTGTCGCGTGAGAAAGGTGAGCCGGACAATCAGACCTGATATGGTTTAGAGCTGAACACATCATAGGTCAGATGTCTAAGCCTGACAGACAGCGAGGTGGAACAAGCGCGGTCCGAAGGGAAAGGTAGCAGCTGCAGGGGATGTTATCGCAGGAAAGAGGATTGCGTCTTCGAGTACAGGTACAAGAAGCCCGGTCGGCCTAAGGGGTAAGCCAGATAGTGTGCTAATTCGTCATAGGAGATAGTGCTGATCATTCTAGGTCTCTCACGAAGCGCCCTCGCCGGACATCCAGTGCTCAAAGCCCCTCTCGACCGTCCCACTCCCCTTCCATCTCTTCTCGCCCTCCCACTGCTCTTCCCCTCCCACCCCTGAGTCCACCTCCGTCGGCCACACATCAACAGCATAACACGCTCAACTATGCTGAGCGCGATGATGGTACACCGCAAAGGCCCCCGGCCGTCCAGCATCGGTCATACCTCGACGTGTCATCGTACGCCAGCGTGTCCGAACAACCATACGGCCCAGCGACGGGAACGATCTTTGGCTCAGCCCTGACTGCTATGACGCAAGGGGATAGCCAGTCAATCGATATATACGGGACGGGCAGTCGTCAACATGGGTACCCCAGCGGCTCGGGCTCCATGTATGCGGAGAGTCACGCGCCGATACAGGGCATCCTTGGTCACATGGGCCCGGACGTCTCGACGTTCCGTCAATCGCAGGTGGACCCGTACCGCGTCATACCTGTCTCATCTGTCAACACTACGACCGACCACCATAATGACAACTACCACACCTCCTCGAATGGGACCAGGATCGACGACGCCTCTCCGTCGGGCGGTCGGGTATCCGACTGGATACTACCTCGGTCGGCCCATTCGTCGGCTGCATCTCCCGCTGCTCGGCCCTTCGACTACCCCTCTCTCCCGCCTCACCAAACTCAAACATACGCGTCCACTCCTTCCCTACGGCCACCCTACATGTCCCCGCCCCCGTCGGGATCCGGGACCGCTTCAGCTGCTCTGCCCCAGGTACACCCGGCGACTCCGCACGATATACCCCAGATTGAAGCGGTAGCCGCTTGGAGCGATATCTGTTTCTTCGTCAGTCTTCATATGCGGCATCAGCACGGGTTGATGCCGCTTGTGCACAAGCCGACGTTTGCGCAGGATGTGCTGCAGCGTCGGGATGTGGCGGACGAGACATTTAGGGGGTTGCTGTGCAGTATCGGTGAGCTCCTCCCAGCTGGTCCGCCCGATAGGGGTGTTAGGGCTGATGACTTCAGTCGCATACACGTAAGGCTACTACGTCCGAGCTTTGTCTATATAGCCAGATAAGCTGATGAGCAGTATCTGCCAGAGTCCAATCAACATCGTCACCCCGCCATACAGTCGACAAGACCTCGAAGTCATTCTCCGCCGGTGTCAAAAGACAAGTCGAGCTATACAGCTCAGATGGCACATGAGTCCCAGTCTAGAGAGCTTGGCGAGTCTACAACTGTGAGTCCTGCTCGCGGGTGCTTGATAATGGTTCTCTGCTGACCAGTAGCGATATCAATACCGCTCTGGCCGCTACGCAAGTGGATCTCGCGACTGCCCTGATATCGGACGCTCGGCGGCAGGTCTACGCGCTTGGCCTGCATACTGCTCAGCCCAAGGACGGTCTATCTGTCATCCAGCTTCAGATCTGCCGGAGGCTCTTCTGGGAGATCTACCAGAGCGACAAGTAAGCTAGCATCGACTAATTCTTGTGTCTGGCCATAGCTAAAGAGCAGGACAAATGTGATGAACGCTATATCTGCCATCTCGCTAAACGACCTCGAAGGTGTCCCACCCCTCCCTCTCGAGATCGACGACGACTACATCACCACCTCTGTCGCCACTCCCCAGCCTGACGGTCAAGTCTCATACATGACCGGCTTTGTCGTCATTTCTCGTATCTTTCAAATCCTGGGCCAATGTCAAATTCGCCAAAAGACGTTTGCGAATAACCGGGACGCGGGACCACCGAGGGAGAAGCTGCTTATGTGGGTGGAAGAGCAGCGGATCGGGATGAGGAGGCTGCTGGGTGAACTGCCGGGCAAGCTGAGGGCGGAGTGGCGCGAGGCTGGCGGATTCGAGCGGGCGGAAGAGAGCAGTCTGGGAATACAGAGGGCGAACATCCATATCACTGCTCTTTGCGTTGAGTTGGCACTGGTGAGTTGCGATCGTGCATTTCAGTGGTACTGCTAGCTGACTATTGCAGCTCGACTTCCGAGTCCACCTTGATGCAGACGCAGACACTCGTACCGAACGCGAATCGCTCGCTCGAAAGGCATACGCCACCCTGTCCAACGTCCCGATCGAATACCTCGCGAGTAACGGCGAGAGCATGCGCGGCAAGGTACTGCGTATCGTGCTGGATCTGCTGAGTATGACAAAGGACGGTGCGAATGGTGAGGATGGTCAGATGCAGGGAGAAGGGGCCGAGGGGGGCGAGGGTCAGGCGTTTGGGAAGGATGTGTGGGACTGGTGGAATATGGTACGTGTCGCCAATTCCGAACCGATCGTATGTCAATGGGCTGATGGGGTTAGTATTCTAGTGTACAGTTCTTCCAGGTCATCCCGGAGATATCAGCGGGCGAACATCACGTAGGATCAAGGAGGGCCAGTCCTGGTAGATGACGCCCATAATGACTTTGACATCTAGCTATGTCCAGCATGTCATCGGCCTTAACAGCATCGCTCGAAGGGGCTCATGCCCAGGGAAAGGATGTTGCACTCTGGCAGGCTCTATATCTCGCCCTCCCAACCGAGCACCGCATTCCGCTCAAACACGTTGAGGTGTTCACCTCAGAACAGGGGCTGTAAGGATCGCTCTGAAGAGCCGCCAGATCAGTGATAGCGCCGAAACACCACACAATCGCAAATGACGAAGATCCCTTGTTCGTCAGTATGAAGGGGAGGAGAGACACCCCAGTGCTGCGGCGTATTGGGTTGAGTCGCAGCTATAAGCAGCCAGGATGCCGCCTGACCCTGATTTATATGTATTATATCCTACTCACACATCTCTATTTATCTCCGCAGAATCTGCCCCTACTCCGCTCTTTCCATACGCAAGATGTCGTCTTTCACGAAGAGCTCTGTCAGTCCCTTCAGCTCGTACGCCGCCGCCTCTACTGCCACTCGATCCGCGTCCGCTGGGGCTGATTCCATCGCCGGGTCATTCAATGGACCCCTAAATGCCCGGAAGGTGAGGACCGAAGTTGTGGTCGTGGCACCGACGTGCAGCGAAGACCCGTCTACCGCCACGTCGACCGCCGCCGGCACACCAACCGATCAGTCAGCGGCCGATCACGCGAAGCGAGTCCCGATCCACCATTACAAGACCACATCCACGGATTCCGGCTTGGCCTGCACACCCGCCCCAATCGCCTCTACGCTGACTGCTGGGGGCCAAGTCAATCATTCCGCCGGCTCGACAGCTGCGGCTGCAGCGGCACTCGCACTCCTCGTTGCCGCTGCTGCCTGTGAGGCGGCTTGAGCGTGCCCTCTGTGTCCCGCGAGTGCCTCCAAGAGATACGAGTGCCGTTGCGGCGGGAACCTACATGTGTATATCTTCGGTATCTGTCAGTGTCGAATGTATACATATCTACGTCCAGGCATGAGTTCCGAGGGTGTGTACATGGGTATGTGTAAGAGCGCGGTCAGTGATAGCAGAGTCGAATCAGCAACTCGATTGTATGCCGATCAAGACTGCGAGCTGCATGCGGTATGCACAAAGCGCTACACCGCTTCTTCAGCCTGTTTCCGCTTGACATCCACCTGCGAGTTCATCAGCCTGGTGATGTATTAGGTTGGATGTAAGACTCACTCTGACCACCTGGTCTGCAGGCGCGCCTTTCAGCTCTTTGACCTGAGCGCGAAGCATTTCCACCTTGAGCATCAGTATCTGCCGTTCGCATGAAGGTAAAGACCCCGAGGTGGGTACAGCCGACTCACGATGTCATCTCCCACATCCCCCTGCACAACAATCTCATCCTCCCCTTGTGGGTTCTTGCTGACGCTTGATCCCGTTGCGAACTTCCCAGCGAACATCTTGGCCGCCTTCTTCAGGTCGATACCGAAGAGATCCAAGCCGTGGATATGGGTCGCAAACTTCCGCTTTGTTCTTTCGGATCGCTTGATGGTGATCTGGTACATTAGCCATTGCGCACATAAGCCGGCTCATTTGATGGTCGTACTTTTGCAGCCTAGAGAATCAGCTGAAGCTCGTTGTGGTCTGAGTATGTAGAAGAGTCAGTATCGTACCTCTTTCTTCTTCTGCTCGAGCTCGGCCTTCTTCTCGGCCTTCTTTTCAGCCTTGACCGCGTCTGCCTCTATCTTCTCCTGCTTGTCCAGTGACAATGTGCCTATACGGTCTTCAATAGACCCTAGAAGATGTCAGCCCCATCGGTAAACGAGCCTGAAATGACCAGGACGTACCTCCCCACACGCGCTGATACTCGTTCATGTCCTTTCCTTCAAGCCAAGATTTGCATTTCGATATGCTCGGCCCGAACTCGCAGTATTCGGTCGGGAGCGAGCATACACCGCAATAGAACGGGTGAATGGGCTTTGTGCTGGGTCCTGCTACTGCTGAAGCCATGATGACAGTAGAGATGAGAGATGATAGAAGTGTGATAGATGAAGTGGAACTTGGTCGAACCAAATCTCAAGATCTTGCTCCGAACTCCGTTGGCGTCATCGCTCTTCTATCTGTCCACCGTCCATACATCGCCTCCCTTTCTGCGCAGCTCATATAGACGCTTCTTGGACCACCCAGACCTTCAGGCAGGATGCCGGGCGCCGACGAGACCTACAACAGCCTGCTCGACTTTGGTATCGACACTGTCATAGCGAGGGAAGCGTCGAAGCGATACCTGGGGAATGTGGAGGCTGCTGCAGACTGGTGTTTCGGTGCTGGAGCCAATGTGAGTGGGAGCTGCCTGGCCAGCGCAGGCTAGCAGGCGTAGAATGGACGTGCTGATATGTCAGTGGGCGCCGGCCCCCATGCTGGATCTCCCCAAGTATGGCGAGCACAAAGGTCTGTCTTTCCCATGTCCCCCGGGCACCTCATCCTGGATTGACTGACCTCCAGTCGAGCATCACGAAGTCGTGGACCACGGTGGCTCTACAGGTGGTTTGTATGTACCTGCTCCGCCTCTGCCTCCTCGTCGCTCACAAGTGATCAATGTTGGCTCCAACAACCCGTTCTACGGCGCTGGACCCCCTCCTCCACGCGAAATCATCAACGTCGACGATGACGAGGATGCCGATCTCCAGCGGGCTATACGGCTCAGCAAGGAGACGGATCTGGGCGACTCGGCTATGGGGGAGGACAGAGAGCAGAGGGAGCGGAGCATCAGAGCTACTGCTCCCCCACCAAGCCCGGACCGGGAGAAGCAGAAGGAACTGAACGAGCTGGACGAGGAGAGCGAGGTCATGGGCAGCCTCTTTGGCCCGAGCACGAAGGAGGAAGCGGGGGCATCGGCGATGATCACACTGCGAGGAGCAGATGTAGGTCTTCCCCTTCGCGGTCTTGGACGAGCTCACCTATCAGGATAAGCCGTCCAAGGAGGACGAGGACCTGAATAGAGCGATACAAGACTCGCTCATGACCGCCTCTTTTCACTCCGCTTCTGCCGCTCAGCACGTCACACGCCCAAAGCCTGAGCAAAGGAAGGAAGGAGCGTGAGTCATCCGCGTGGTGACTATGGCAGTTCACTGAAAATAGCAGGCCACTTGTATTCTTGTCCGAGTCTGGGGAAGCGGCCTACGGCGCACACTTCCTGCAAGCCCTATACGCCGTTCCGCAAGTCCGCGCAGCGATCCTACACTTCGTCGAGGACGATCAGGCAGAAGATTCCACCCCATCGACTACCACTAGTACGCTCTGCCTAGCACTTGTTTGGCTTGATGACCGTAACAAGCTGACAGGTCTGTAGGCCAATCCTCACTCGAGAAGCTGTTCCAGGCTGGATCCTCCTCGAAGGACTCGTTCGTCGAGGTAGACGAGGTCATCCGCTTATTCGTGCCAATCAGACCTGGATCCCAGCTGCCGCCTAGGGATTCTCAAATTCGTGAGTTAAAGGTGTATGGGTCTCCATGAGCAACTTGAGTCCGTTGCTGAGAGAATCAGCTCTGTTGATGGAGCTTGGCAAAGAACTCGTCAGGGCTATGCAGACAAAGGTGGAAAAATTTCCTGCGCTGAAGGAGGAATCCCCGATTTGGGCAAGACCAGAGCTGTAGGTGTCGACTTGTCTTCGTTGGGCTCGTTCTGCTCAGGTCCGCCGATCAGGTCTACACAAACCTCCTGACCTCAGCCTTTATCTTGACCGTTAGTGTATTGCTGATACGCAGATTGACATGTTCGATCGTCTATCCTCAATTGGGAGATTTACCCAACTACGTCACTTTGGAGCGCAGCGCAGGCATTCCACACAGCATCTACCCGCATCTTGCAGATGTGCTATGGCGGCCGGATGCGGCAGCAAAGGCGATGGAAGAGATTGCCGAGGTCCTGACGGTGTCTCTCATTTGGACATTCGGGGCGGAGCGGACAGTGTGGGAATTGGAAGAGAGGATAGTATTGGGTGAGTCGAGGCTTGTATCATCTTGCGAGGGGCTGTGCTGACGAAATAGACCGATTTATGAAGGAGAACTTGGCATGGGCAACTCAGATTAGAGCACAGGAGGCGGTGGCGAAAGGGAATCACAGGCGGCTCAAGGAACGTCTTGATCACCTGACCCAGTACCAGGTAAGCTACAGACTACAGGATCAAGCCCTTGCAATGGCCTGGAGTATAGCTGATCCTGCCAGGGCAACAATTTCCAAGACAGTCTTTCCGCGTACGTTCTCGAACCAAAATAGATTGTCGTCTGCATCACCGAGCGAACAGACCAGCTGACTGTCCAGGGTTATCAAGCACTACGAAGCCACATCTACCGATAATGACGAGAACAGCTTGGAATTGCAAACGGAGCTGAAGGCAAAGGTGAGCCCATTCGCTGATCATACCAGCAAGAGCGGCGGCTGACCCGCATTCAAGCTGGAGAGCACACTGGAGGCATTGCAAGCGAAATCGACGGCGCTGCAAGCAGACCTCAAGCGAGAAGAGGAGATCATCGGTGGGGCCTTGTTTCAGACGGATCAGCCAGAGTATAATCAGCATGTGGTAAGCTTCACCCGTACAGCTTTCTGGCCATGGGATATTGCTGATCTCGTAGTACACGCTACGCGCTGTTTTGATGCACGACGGAGCGACTATACCGGGCAAGCACCTGTACGCTTATGTCCGGGCCGACAATGGCGCCTGGTGGAAGATAGAAGAACACGAAGCCACCGAGGTATGTCTCGTCCTCTGCTTCCGCGTTCACTCGGTTGTCCTCCCTGCGCGAGAGCTGCCGCTAACCACCTTCAGGTTCAATTCGAGGCTATGAAGAAGGACCAGACGGGCCTTTGGATGGGCGGCGGACCATACGCACTGTAAGCGCTGCCAATCAGATCGTGGATGGCACTGACCCGCCAGGATATATGCAAGGGATGGTCCAAGACCGGTCCGGCAGCGATCGGATCCGCCCGCATCCGCAGAAATGGACACTGTCATGACGGAGGGCGGAGATGCCGAAGGCGCGGGATCGGCAACACCCCTTCAAGACAACACAACGACAACCTCAGCTTCGCTAGAAGCTCCGCCACCACCGCCGCAAGAGGCCGCGCCCACCCCTGTCTTGACCTCGTCGACCTCGGATCAGCCGCCGCAGGACGCAACTTCGTCACAGCCGAGATCAGACGAGAAGAGTACGATGCCTCCGTCCCCATTTTGGACGGATATGAAGATGTAGTCATGAAGCTCCCAGTTGTACGCTGCAGAATCATAGAGCCAGAAGAGCCTGCATGTACAAGCCCTCATCTGCCTATTTCTTGGTAAAGAATCCAGCTAGCGTACTCTGGCCCTTTGGCTTCCCAGCCTTCCCCGGTACATTCTTGGGCGGTGGAGCTGGCGCTTTCGGCTTGACAGTCCCGACAGAACTGCTCGATCCCGCCGGGCCCGTCGATCCGCCCTTCTTTGTGTCCTTCTCATCGTTGATATCTGTCGAGACGGACGAAGCGCGTGATTGCTGAGACGACGTGTTCTTGTTGGCAAGTGAAGCGCTCGAAGTGGATGTGGCGGATTTACGGGGCTTGGCGGCGGTTCTTGATTTGCTGGGTTCGGCGTCCGAGTCGCCAGAATACGACTCTTCCGAGGTATAGTCTCTGGTCACTATCTGATCAGCTTGACCGGTAGACGTGCACAGGAACTTTTAAGCTCACCCATATACCCCTTCTCGTCAATCTCCGTCTTGCTCTTCTTGACTACCCGCCTCTTTCTCCCACTTCCACTCGCCTCCCCCTTCTTATCTCCAGCCTTCTTCTCCGCCGCCTTTGCCTTCGGAGCTGGCTTCGCCTTAGGCGCCTTCTTCTCTACCGTCTCCACCTCCTCCTCTTCCTCCGACATGTCCATGTCCATCATCGCGAGCATCGCCGCGTCGTCACTCGCGCGCACCATGCTGCTCGTCAGTGCCTTCTTGGCTGCTGTTGGCGGGGACAAAGCGGGAGGCTCGGCAGTATCTGTCGCGGGGTTGGAGCCAGGTTCGGACTCGTCGTCCGAAGTGATGATGCGTTTCTTGGAGCGGGATTGGCTGGGCTGGGACGACTTTTTCGCTGTCGAGGTGCTGGCTTTTGACGTAGCTGCAGGTTCTGCCTTGCTCTGTCGCATCAGCAGCAACCACGACCGTGTCGCCCAGGAAGGGCTTACTTTGGCTGTGGCTTTCACCGGCGCCTCCGCAACCGCTTCCTCTTTGGTCTCCTTCCCTTTCACAGCTGGTTTCACCTCCTTCTTGACCTCTTCCTCCTTCGTCACCTTGGTAGCCACAACAGGCGCAGCCTTTCCCTTGGCCTTCACGTCGACCTCCTTCTTGATAGGCACTTCCGCCTTCTTGCCGGACACGACTGGCCCCGACCCAAAGTTCATCCCGCCATCTTTGAGCGCCTTGCTGCCTGAGCCGGAACCGGAGCCGGATCCCTCGGTTGGTAAGTCGCCGCTGATCCCGCCGTACTTTACATCGTTGTACTTAGGGTATTGCCGGAGGAGGGTGTTGGGGACGAGGTACTGCGCAGGGTCCTGCCGTGTCAGTATCAGGTCCCGAAGGTCTGATCGAGAGCTTACGGTGATGGGCGCAGGCGAAAGGGCGTAGATGTGAATGTTTAGTCCTGCAGGCTCGAAGAGTCCCCATTTGGCTTGACGTTATCAGCATCGGTAGAACTGAAGTCTCAGTGCATACTCACTCTCGAGTTGAGCTTGCTGAGTCATGACCACGCCCCATCTGGGCGTTTCCTCGGGCTTCAAGATGGTGTCGGCTTCGGGCTGAAGAAAGTCCGCGCCGTTCCCGGCTATTCCGCCTTCACCACCTACAAAATCAGCTCAGGATGTTACTCGTCGTGCCAATCGAGGTGGTCAGGCTCACCCTTGTCGTTTCCGACGAGCTCATCATCCCCCTCAGTCCCGTCCTCCGAATTCCGCTCTCCGTCCGAGACTTCGTCCATATCCACGATCTTGATCCGCTGGCTGGCCTCGAGCTGCGCTAATGCTTTAGCATCCAGCTGGATACCTTCGCTTGGCAGCTGCGTATAGGCTAGCGATGAAGTGGACAGCAGAGGGCCCGACAGGAGATAGGTGATCTCCAGCGAGGGGTTCAAGCGGGCGTGCTCGAGAAGAACGCTGAAGCATCAGGTGAAAGTCCGGTGAGAGGTGGTACCAGTAGCAAGGTCTCCTTCTATCTATCTGATGGACCGATATCAACAGGGAATGTACTCACTTCTTCGCTATATCGACATGACATCCCACCTCCCGGCTGACTTGACGGAATGTGACGATTTGACGGTCATTGTCCAGCCATTGCTTCAGCTTTCGGGTGATTGTTTTGGTCTGTTCGGCAGATAAGGGCATCTTGATGGGATCCGTGCCGTCTAGGGGGGTAACTCAGAAGCTGTGAAAGGTAAGAAAGCGGAAAGTATTGCAAGCTCAAGTGGGATGCGCGAGATCAAGACGAGATTCTGAGTTCTGGACGCGACTGAGTTTACGGCATGCGAGTGGCAGCTGGTCGATGATAGTAGATGAGGCCATGAGGTGGCCATGGTGAAAAGCCTGCGACGGCTGAAGCTGAGGGGCCGCACAATCGTCGCTGGGATAGACCGTAAGATCAATGTAATCTGAAACGGACGGATATGACCGTGCTATGCGCAATGAGGGCGGGCTCAACCCACAGAGCGTGCAAGAAGGAAAGAGGTGTGGCGCCCTCCGAAGTAACATTTGATGCTTCTGGAAGACTTCCATACGGATCACACAGGGAGCATGATGAACAGCCGTACTCGTCGTAGCCTGACCGAGCCGTTTCTCAAGACATCAATACTGCTGCAAGGCAGGAGGCGGGAAGGTCTGAGATCCCGAGACACGCCTGTGAAGAGGAATGACTCGGCCGAGCCTGGCGCCACGCCAGGATGCTGGTGATTCTTCACGTTCGCCGAAGATGTAGCAGACACCGCCTGCGCTATGCTACCCATAGCTGGAGAAGGTCATGGTAAGGACGCAAGCTGCTCTCGGACAATACCCTCTCGATCAGGAGCCACTTTGCCCTTTTGGAGCCCCACATCGCGTCTTTTGCCCGCTTTTGACGCGTCTAACCAAATTGTACCTGAACAACGCACCAAAAGAACATCTTCAGTCTATCTACATCATACATCTTCTCCACCCGTGAGCTATAGGCAGACCTACACAGCGCCTCGCTACATCCTTAGATCGACCAAGCGCCCCCCCGCCCTTCCTCCCCATCATGCGCTCTTTCACTCCCCTTCTGCTGCTCGCGGGCGTCTCCCTCTTGATCGCGGCCCCAGCTCTCGCATCATCAGGCGACCGCAACCCGACCTATCAGCACTGCCTGAAGGGCTGCGCTATCACCTACTGCGACCCGTCCCAGGTGGACACAAATCCGTGGTACCTCAAAGCGGCAGGCTGGGACTGCTCGGCGAACTGCAAGTACAGCTGTATGCACAGTTTCACGGATAACATAAAACCGGGAAGTAGGTGGCATCAATGTGAGTTTGACTCCTTTCTGTCCCTTGCTGCAACTCAGTCCTCGATATAGGGTGCCATGCTGATACTCAGTCTACGGCAAATGGCCCTTCTACCGCCTCGGACCCTTCCAAGAGCCCCTCTCGCTTATCTTTTCCCTCGGCAATTTCTGGGTACACTACAAGGGGCTGCAAGAGGTCAGGCGGCGAGTGCGGCGAGAGAATAAGATGCGGCGATGGTTGGAGGTCATCGCTGGGGTCCAGATGAACACTTGGATATGGTCGGCGGTGTTCCACGGAAGAGGTGAGCTAAGTTTCGCTTATCTGTCTGTGCCAGAACGCCTTCGGTTTCCTAGAGCAAAGGGCCGAGAACGTTGGCAAATCAGATGGGAACTCAAGGCTGACTCTCAGATACACCTCTTACAGAGAGGCTCGACTACTTCTCCGCAACCCTCACCATCTCCATGTCTCTCCTCTACACGGTCCTTCGGGTCCCATCACTCATCACCCCTACCTCAACTTCCCGGCTCGGCCTGCCCGTCATCGCGGGAATAGCCTTCCTTGCCATCTCCCACTTCACCTACCTCCTCTCCTTCCCCGCCGGTTACTTCCCTTACGGCTACCACACCGCCTTCAACGTCGTCCTTGCGTCGGTCCACTCGCTCTTCTGGATCCTCTGGTCCGCGAGCTTCTACGCACCTCTCCCCTCCCTCAAAATCGGCGGCCGAGTCCTAGCGCTCCAGCCATACCCACCGCAAGACCCTATCCGCGTCAAGTCCACCAACGCATCCACCCCGCTCGCGCTCGTCCTCTTGACCACCCTGGCCATGTCGCTCGAACTCCTCGACTTTGCCCCCTTCTTCCGGCTCCTCGACGCCCACGCGCTCTGGCACCTGTCCACTATTCCCCTCGCGGCGGGATGGTGGCGTTTCCTCAGCTCAGACGCGATCGACCTGGAGACGGCTCAGCTGAACCCTGGTGGATCGATGCCGCTCAGCGGGGGAGCTGGCACAGCTACCAGTCTGGCGGGGTCGGCTACGCCAAAGACGCCCGGTATGGCGAGTAGCGGGACGTTCCAGGCACTGGCGAGTGGGAACTACCCTAGCAAGGGTGGGGCGGGTGTTTCGCCGAGGGCACGGAGCCCAGGTGGGAAGGGCGATCTGCAAGAGTAAGAAGGATCTCAGAAGGGAGGCGTATACGGGGTGCGGGCTACCCTGGTATGGAGATGGACAGATGGCGATCTAGCAAGTGTCAGCGAACTCATACATCTAAAAATAAAATCATTCGGACATGTACATATTTAGAGTCCAGGTCAGCTGACCAACCTGAAAAGGCATTCCTTGATCAGAGGTCCCGGCTGTTTTGACTCGCTTGCGCTGTACTCCCGGCCTTACTGCGTCTTTTGATGATGTCTTGTCTGTTTGTGGCTTGCCGACGGAGGCGTGCTGGCCATTAAGATGAGGTCCATCACCCGGATGGTTTTGCCATGATGGTCGTGACAGCAATTCAGTGATAAGCATTGCTCTCGCTGTGAGCCGCCCCCGGTACTCATCCAGTCAAAGCTACTCGCTGCCGGGATCAAGCTCTAGGTCTACAAGATGACCAGACCGAAGCCCGTGCTTTCGCTTTCGAAGGCGTAAGTCGCAATGATTGCTGGTAACTCTGCCCCCCGTGCAATCAGTGAAACCGAGCGCTGGCCCGCTCTGCTGACCGAAGCCTGCGATTGTAAGCGTTGGAGGGCGAATCCTGAAACAAGGCCAAATTACCCGATAGGGCAACGCTGGTACCTGGTCGCGGCCGAGTTGGTTGTCAACAAATTCCACGCGTTTCTGGATGTTTCCATCTTGACTTGCCCTCACTTCGCGCTCGCGATCCTCTTACACGCTACTGCTCCGTGGAGCGTGGGGACACAATCTGTGGCTCACCTGGATCAACCACGCTCTTGAAAACGAGCATCACCGCTGTACTATCCAGACACTACGGACCTATCGCAATGTCAGGCTACGACTTCTCCCCTCTGTACCACGCCGCCCACCTCGCCTTCTCCCCGGGCTCCACCTTCCTCGCCACAGCTCACGAAAAGCGAGTGATTATTCGCTCCACAAACAACCTCGCCATCGTGCGCGCATGGCACCTCGCCTCGCTCGCACCGTCGGACTTGGTCAGCTCGGTCCAGTGGTCCGATGATGGGCTGTACATCCTCGTTTTCTCGAGGAGTGCAGGAGTAGCTTGGGTGTTAGGCCTGGGAGCTGTCGGAGAAGGGGAGGATGGTGAAGTGGCCAAGATCATGGGAGGTGGTGTAGAGGGGTTAGAGAGGGTCGAGTGGGCCAAGGGAGGGAGAGAGGTTCTTGCGTGGGGAGAACATGGGGTGGGTCTGCTTGCCCGGCCAGACTGATCCTACGAGCCTCAGCTGACGAATCTAGCTGAAGCTTCTGATCTACACATTGTCCACTGGGCAGACCAGCGCCATACAGGATCCCAAGGCTTCCACTGGATGTGAGTCTGCTTTCTTTGCATCGGCTTTTCGTTGCATGTACTTTGGCGGACAATGTAAGCTGAATTGGCAGGTCATAAATACTCGCCTGATCATCGGTATCTTGCTGTAGCCGAACGTCACTCAGGTAAGGAGAGTGTCGGGCTGTACGACACTGCCGATGGCTATGCCCTCGTCCGTGTAGGTCTTCAGTCGTGTCGCGCCGAGGTAAACACAGGGGTGTCGAGGCTGATGTCGCAGAACTTTAGTCTACAAGCTAGCGACGTCCAGAACATCAGCTGGAGCCCATGTGGTCGTTTCATTGCTGTTGTGGATAGCCACTTATCCGTCCGTTTCTGCTCGCTGTCCTGCGATGCCACCGGAGGCGCAACACTGACATTGTAGTATTCGGTATACATCCACTCGCCGATCGGTCCCCTCCTCACACACTTCTCACATCTCTCCCCAACATACTCTCCTACCCCATCAGCATTATCCACGACCCCATCCGGGCCTTCGTCAGCCGCAACGATCATACACGAAGACCCGGGACTGGGTATCCGACACCTGGAGTGGGTGCCTGGAGGGCAGTATCTGCTACTGTTGGGCTGGGATGGGAAGGTGCGCGTACTGGAAGCTGAGGAGTGGCGGTGTATGGCCGTCCTGAATGGCGGAATGCCTAAAGTTGGGAAGAATGTGGTAAGTCAAGTCATACAGTCGCTTGTTGAGGGCAAGAGCTGATGTGGCAGACTGTCTGGCGAGAACCTGAGGGATGGATCAAGGACACGCGGGGAAGAGGTATTGTACAGTGTGAGCTACAAGCCATGGTCGAGATCTCGTTTGCACGTGCTCACTCTCGTAGTTGACCAGACACCTTTCAACTCGCCCTTACCGAGTCCTACCTCATCTGCTGTCGGCGCATATTCGACGCCCTCGTCCCCCTTGCCACTCTCCATCTCACCCTCAGGCCGGCATTTCCTCCTCCTACCGCCCAATCAGCCCACAGTCATGCACATCTACACCCTCATCCCTGCCCCAGGCGCCGCTCCGTCAATCAAGCACAAAGCTGCCGTAGTGTTCTCGCGGAACATACGGAGTGCGCGTTGGGCTTCGGGCGGGAAAGAGCGGGTCGGGGTCGTCTGTCGGAGCTCTGGGGGTAAGGGACAGGCTGGTACAGCTTTAGGCGGGGGAGGCGTCTACATATGGGACGAAGAGGGCTGGGAGAATGAAGGCGAGACAAATGGAGAGGAGGGAGGGGCGAGGGGAGGGGTCATGGAGGGTGTCGGAATACCAAACGGTATGCTCTGCCCGGTCTTCAGGCTTCGATATGTGCTCCGGCTGGGATACCGGGACGAAGACGAAGAGCTGACCCGGTAGGCGCCGGCTTCCACATGAACGGCTTGCAGTTCTCGCCTGACGGAACAACGCTCGCTCTACAGTCAAAGGGAGAGTTCTGCTTGATGTACGATACGGAGGATGACGCCGAGGATGTAAAAGGCGGAGCCAAGGCAGGTGACGATGGCGCACAGAAGGGGTGGGAGACCGAGGGGTTGAGCTTCGTGCGAGAGGAAGAGGAGGAAGATGATGGCCGGTGATACTGGCTTCAACAGCCGAGGTGAGTGACTGGACGCGGATATATAGGTGATCATGCTGATGTCACAGAACGCCCCACACTATATGGCCATTGGCGTGGTATGGCTCGTCCCGCCCCTGTCCCTCTGGGACCTGAACCGCATGGCATTTCGGCAAATCACATGCAAGGGAGCCAAAAGTGATCCGCTTCTTCAGCCAAAGCAACTCGTCGAGCAAATAACGGGAACCACACGAAAGGCAAAGATCTGAAGTCTGAAATTAGCCCGGATCGCCTCTTGCCAACGGTATCTCTAATGCATGTGTATGAAGAAGGATATTAGTCTGTATATGCCGGATTTTCCGAAAAAGAGGTAGAGAGAAACTAAGAAGGGGGTCCGTCCAGTCCAACCCTATACGGACAGAAGAAGAGTAAGGAAAAGGTTGACTGGTCCATAACTGCGACATCCCGCCTGTCGCCTTCCACATGCGCGCCGACATGCTACCCTGATGGTCCTCCACTTTGACCCATCGCTCGCTCGCTCGCCTGCCTCATCCGCCCCGCCCCGCTCACCCACACTCGTCCCTCAGTGCCTCACTGTACCTCCGTGACAATCGCCGTTCCCCTCGGTCCTTGGATCACCACCTACTGCAGTATATCAGCTGTGTCCGCAACGTCTGCGCCAGAGCCAGCAGATGAGACTCACCTTGGACTTGGCGCTCCCCCGGACGCCGTCCGTGCCGTTGGCGAGGGCCGCAGCCTTGCTCTTTGCGCTGAAGGGATCAGCTACGCTCACTGTCGATGTAGGTGCAGAATGGCAACTCACGCCTTCTTGTATGTATTGCGGTAGAAGCTGTGAATTGTCAGCTAAGCACCACGACTTCATCAAAGATGGTGAGGGGAAAGCTTACGCAATGAAGAGGAACAGGTAGCTGGTCAGGAGACCACAACCAAAGAGCGCAGCGCCCTCGCTTCCCGCACAGTCGCCAACAATGGGCAGATAGCCCTTCCCGAAGGTGTAGCCAAAGTGGTTGTATGCTGCGGGAAGATTAGCTTGACCCTTCGGGTGCCAGACTGGGGAAGTCGGAGAGAGGAGAAGGCAGGCGACCGATACCCCAGTAGAAGATTAAAGAGGTGAAACAGGAAGAAAGGGGACGAGTTAAAATGGATCCGCTCCCGGCTCAGGCTTGCGCCCTCGCTAGTAGTACTAAAAGGTGGGGTATGGATTTCGGCCAGCCTCCTCCCCGTACACAGGGGTGGTCAGCTGGGAGACGCCACAGGGGGGAGGGAGAGGTAATCGCGGGCGCACATTCTGGCAGTTTCTCCGACGAAAAGGAGGGAATCAAAGAAGAAGGGAAAAAGGGGTATCGGTCGGCCTTGGCCCGGTAGGTGAAGAGTAACGTGCTTGCGAAAAAGACGATCGAGATGTCGATGATGAATTGTGTTATTTGCATGGTCGTGAGGTAGCGTTTCCACTGATCGGGTTAGCTGATTGAACGGGGAGGAAGGTGAGGGGCAGGTCTCACCCAGATCTTGGCTCCTCCGGCCGTGGCGTAGTAGTAATAGTACATGATGACGTGGACGGTCAAGTTGAGCACAATGACAACCCATTGCTGCGATGTCAGCTTTGCGCTAGGGCGAAGAAGTCGCGCGGAGAACTCACGACCGAGGTCTCGCCCTCAAGCTGGGTGAAGCAGAGGATAGCGGTCGCGGCGTGGTGGAACACGTGGAGGAATTCTGGCAGTCAGCAAGATTCGCAGGTTGTGCAGGAATAGCAACTCACGCAGCGGCTTCTTCTTGAGGACGAGGAAGACGGTGTCAATCAGCTCAACATACTTGATGTAGTAGTTGATCATGTAGTAGGTGACGAGACGCTATCCAGATCAGCTTCCTGCTTCGAAGACTGTGAAAGCAGCAAAGCTTACCGGTGTGAACATCTTGGGGCTGCAGATGGAGTGATACGCGCCATGCTTGAGGTAGAGGGGAAGACTGAGAGTCAGCTAGCCCTCGATGCTGCCTGCAGAGCTCAGCTCACATTTCTTCCAGCATGCAGAGGAGCACTAGGAGCGAGCCGACGGTGAGGTAGATGTTGTGAACCTGGAAGGGGCCGGTGAGCTTAAATGCTGGGCGGTTTCTGCACTGTCAGCTGCGGTACAGAGTTGAAAGTCCACATCCATGACCTCCCCCACTGCCGCGGACCTCCCCACGAAACTCTTGACGCGCTCGGACCTCTTCCGGAAATACCCCCCTACAGACATGCCGCCGGCGCTGTAGAGCGCCAAATCCACGCAGAGAATGATGATCCCTGACCACCCCGCCGAGAGACACCTCCGGCCGTCTCAGAAGACCTCCCGCTAGGTGCAAACCTAGTGGGGGTGAAATTCGGAGATTTGTTGGTGACTGACACACGCGTCCACGCGAACCATGTTGTCACCTGCTTCTCCCGACTATCCCACGCGCCTGCTACTCCGCCCAGCCATGTCTGCGCCATCTCAATGACCTCCTCCTCATACCCGACGCCCGCTAGTCAGACTTACCGCATCAACTCCCTGCCTCCGAAAATAACCAGCAAGTAGGTTCCAATTGCCGCAACCACCTCCTTGTAGGTGCTCATTGGCGACTGTCCCGGTACCCAAGTGATGTACTGAATTGGCGGCCTCGGCAGGCCAAGAGCTGACCATGCGCCGGTGATGAGCGAGTAGACGGGTCCCGGGGAGGGTTTCCAGGCGAGCATGTCGCCGAGCATTTTGAGCTGAGTTTTTTAGGGGAGGGCGGGAGAGGAAAAGTCGGGGCGTGAGCGAAGAGGAGATGGGTAAAGAGCGACGAGAGGTCGGTGGGGGGAGAGGAGGGGATGAGAGGGGATAGCTAGAGTAGCTGCACAGAGATAGAAGGGTGTATGTATGGTCCAAGCGTCTTCGCGTGGGTTCACTTCAGGACCGTTTGAGAATTCAGGTTTTTCGTCAACACACAAAGCCCAGGCTCCGAACAAAGAGTACACAACCGGCAACCGCCGGGACGCGGCAGACGCGTTATTGCGTAAGGCGAATAGCGTAAGCAGCTATTTCATTAGGATTTAGGCAATAGTCATTAGCGGGAGTATCCTATTTCATTAGGAAATTCAACCTAGCTCTTGGCACCCACCGTGGGGAAGGGGGCTCCCATACCTCCCGCTCCGTACTCCGCGGAATAATCCATGCATCGCGTTGCTCTCCCCATGCAAGAGACGCAGAGCCTTCGTCCGGGCTCGGCATCTAGAGGCGATCTACGAGTAGGGGCAACACGAGCGATCAAGCGGCGGGAAGTTCGTATGGCACATCTGAAACCAAGCTGGGGAAGGGGAGCGCACGGTCGCAAAGGCAAGGAATGTCAAAGGACAAGTTGACACATCTTCCCATCGCAAGACTCCAAAGCTCCAATGTCAGCCGAGCGTCATCGCGGTAGCGCTATCGTCGCTGATGCACTGATGCCGCTTGTGGCGCTACTCTCAGCCCCTGCTGCTGTGACTGTGGAACTCAGATGCTGTGCCCACCGCCACAGCTGTGACGTAATTTCTTCAGGAGCGCGTTTCACTTTCGCGACCTTCCTTTCCACGCCTTGAACATCCTTCTCAACTCGAGTTCCATTACTTGATACCCCTACTTCTGCCAGACTTACTCCTGGGCGACACAGAGACATCCTATAGACATCCTTCTACGCGATGAACCCGGGCGATATCTTCCACGACCCGTCGCGGAGGTCCTACGACCCATACGACCCAAATCAACCTCCTCCTCAAAGTCCACCTCGACATGCCGGGCAGCCTTTCCCGGCGGCACCCTACCTCCCCAGCACGACGCCGAACCCATACGACAACCTGCATCCGCAGCAGCCTCCTCAACAGATGCACCACTCCAACTCGCAGCCTTTCGGACAAGCGCCGTACTCGGATCCGCTGCAGGCGCCGGGCGGACAGGGGTACGGCGATCCGTTCCGGGACAACGGTACATCGGAGCAGCAGTGGGCGCAGCCTCCAGGAAGCCATCACTACCCTTCCTACCCACTCATGCCCAACTCCAACTCGGCGGCACCTCTACAGCACCCCTCTACCTCCCTCTCGCCTTCCCGCCCGCACATTGCCCTCGAGCCCGCACGGACCCGCTTCGACTCCAACCCTGCCTTCATCCCCCACTCGGGCTCCTTCAACAATGGCGTCAACATGCCTGATCATCGACTGAGCTCTCCTCCGCCGATGCTGCAGCACACCTCCTCGGATATGCTGTACCCACCAAACCAAGGCGGTCCATACGGAATGCAACATTCCAGCTCCTTTGGCAGCAACCTGGCGGGCGGGCAGGATGATGGAGATCTGAATGACTCGGCGCCGCTGCTGAATCATGCGCAGCCGGCTTTCGGGCCAGGCTCGGCGTCGGGAAGGGGGTTCCAACTGCGAGATGATGGGGATATGGGATCAAGAGGCGGGGCATTGGGCGCGGACGAGGAGGATGTGAATGTGCATTATGGGCCGGTACCGACTAGAGTGGTCAGGCGGAACAAGACGCAGAAGCGGGTCAAGTGAGTCAGGCCGTCATCTGCTGGCATGCGAGGCTAGTGCTGATGGGTCAGGCTGTTCCAAGGGCACTTTGTCGTTGATAACGAAGTCCCCAGCATTCTGCTCAACCAGTGCGCGATACGGGAGGGCAACGAATTTACCCGTATGCGTTACACCGCAGTCACCTGCGATCCTAACGATTTCATGGTAAGCCCGACTCACTCTCGGGGCGGATTTCGTACTCATAGACAGGCCGACCAATACACCCTCCGTCAGCGGCTATATGATCCTCCACGCCAGACCGAGCTCTTCATCGTCATTACGATGTACAACGAAGACGACGAGCTGTTCTGCCGGACAATGCGAGGTGTCATGCAGAATGTGGCGCATCTTTGCGGAAGGGGCAAGAGTAAGACGTGGGGTAAAGATGGGTGGAAGAAGGTCAGCTGGTCCCTCGCCTATCCTCGGGAGCTGGTCAGGAAGCTGATCTTCAGGTCGTCATCTGCGTGGTCGCCGATGGAAGACAAAAGATCAACCCTCGGACGAGGTCGGTATTGGCTGCTCTGGGGGTGTATCAGGATGGGGTGGGGAAGAATGTCATCAACGGAAAGCCGGTGGTACGTGCTCTTTCCTCTCCAGGCTCTACGCCCGCTTGGCGTGGTGTGGTACGCCCCTATCGGTCTATAGGCGTATACTAGGACCTCTCCTGGGCGGCCGGACCTCTTCCACTCTCTAGCTGAACAGCGACTCCCCAGACCCACTTGAAGATCGGGCCGCAGCTGATCATTTCAGCACGCCCATCTCTACGAATACACAACACAATGTAAGCTAACCCGCAATTGCTAGCTAGACCTTGGCGGTTGTCGAGCTGACATATCAGTGTGGATCAGTAAAGATAACAAGATCCGCGGCAACGAGCCCCAGGCTGTACCCGTTCAAATGATCTTCTGTATGAAGGAAAAGAATCAGAAAAAGGTCAGCTGACAGCATATTGCGCCCATGCAAAGTCCGTGAGCTGACCAAGTGCAGATCAACAGTCATCGTTGGTTCTTCAAGTAAGCTCCCTGGTCTTCACCTCTTTCAGACGCGAGAAGCTGACTTGGAAGTGCATTTGGTGCATGTCTGCGACCGAAGTGAGCTGAGACATCCACGATTAAGTTAGCGTAAAGCTCACTCTTCAGCGTCTGTGTACTTCTAGACGTCGGTACTCAGCCCGGTCCAGACTCCATCTACCATCTCTGGAAAGCGTTCGACATCAACTCGTCAGTCGGCGGAGCATGCGGCGAGATTGTCGCCCTCAAGGGGATGTTCTGGCGGAACCTCATCAACCCGCTCGTCGCTGCCCAGAACTTTGAGTATAAGATGAGCAATATCTTGGACAAGCCGCTCGAGAGTATCTTTGGGTATATCACTGTACTGTAAGTTGAGAAGCTCCGTCTCAGAGCGCTGGGAGCGATAGCTGACTCCATTCAGGCCCGGTGCTTTCTCGGCGTATCGTGTGAGTTGCCTCACGCGATATATCCGCATGTCGACCAGCAGCTGACTAGCTTAGTACATCGCTCTGCAGAACGATGAGAAGGGAAATGGTCCGCTCAAGCAGTACTTTATCGGCGAGAGCATGCACGGCTCCGAGGCGGGCATCTTGTTAGTTGCAGGCTAGACATCCTTGTGTAATGAGCAGAAGCTGACACCATCAGCGCCGCCAACATGTACCTAGCCGAAGATCGTATTCTGTGCTGGGAGCTGGTCAGTAAGCGCGCCTGCAAATGGACACTGCACTACGTCAAGTCGGCATACGGGATCACGGATGTGCCAGATGCTGTGAGTAGTGCTACCTATAGCGCTGGGGTAGGGGCAGCAGCTGACTCGCAGGTGCCCGAACTAGTGTCTCAGCGGAGAAGATGGCTGAATGGGTCCTTCTTCGCGGCCATCCACTCGGTCGTCCACTTTGGCTACCTCTACCGGTCGTCGTAAGCTTGTCACTGAAGATCATCATGTGCGAGTTCAAGCTGACCTGTACAGTCATTCCTTCACCCGTAAATTCTTCTTGCACATCGAATTCCTGTATCAGGTCCTCAACCTTGTCTTTTCTTGGTTCGCTCTTGGCAACTTCTACATCGCCTTTGTAAGCTGTCTGGAACTCTACTATGGCTGTCCGAAGGCCGATGAATTCTGTATAAGCTTACACATAGGTCGTACTCACCTCTTCGTTGAACGTCACTTGGGTCGGATACAAGTACATCAATATCCCGCTTCAATTCGCTTACATCGGCTTGTTGCTATTATGTTTCTTACTGTCCTTGGGGAACCGGCCTGCTGGGTGAGCTAAGCTGGCTGCATATCGGACCGACGAGCGCAAGAGCTGACATTCAGGTCAAAAGTTGGGTACACAATATCGATGATTGGTTTTGCGGTCTTGACCGTTTACATGCTCTTCGCAGCGAGTGAGTTGCTTCGTCCGTTGTATCGACAACCAGCTGACACCGTAGTCTACCTTGCTGTCAGGGGGATCCAGAGTATAGAGCAGTCCGGGCCGATCACCGCCAGTACCTTCTTCGGGGACGCCATCTTCCGCAACATCGTCGTCTCGCTCATTGCGACATACGGAATCTACATCTTGGCTAGCTTGTTTGCGCTGGATCCGTGGCATATGCGTAGGTCCCTCTCCGGGTCCGAGATGTGCTGTAGCTGATCAGTTAGTCACCAGTTTCTTGCAGTACATCCTACTGGCGCCTTCGTATATCAACGTGATGAAGTGAGTTGGGTCTCTTCTCGCCGTGGGTAAGAACAGCGGCTCATGTAACAGCGTGTACGCGTTCTGCAACGTCCACGATGTGGTGAGTATCTCTGATCCTCGAACCGATGAAAGAGCCGCCAGTTGACACTCCAGTCATGGGGAACCAAAGGGTCCGACAAAGTCAGCGAAGACCTCGGAGTCGTCAAATCCGACGCAAACAACAAGAATGAAGTGACGGTCGACCTGCCCGTCTTGCAGCAGGATATCAACGCCATCTACTCGGCCGAATTGCAGACATTGCAGCAGAAGGCTCCGAAGGAGGTTACGAACATCAGCGCGGATCAGAAACAGGAAGATTACTACAAGAACTTCAGGACGAATGTGAGCGATACTTCTCATCAAAAGCCGGGCGGTGCTGATACTGTAGGTGTTGTTGGCTTGGACTATGTCGAATGGTGCTTTGGCGGCTGTGATCTTGTGAGCTAGGCACTTCATACCGAGGGAAACGTAGCTGACGACCAGGCAAACGTCGGGAGGGTCAGACGCGATCGCCACGACTTATATGGGTATCTTGCTGTATACCGTGGCTGGACTCGCATGTAAGCTTCCGCTTGAAGTTCTGTGAGGTGAGTCAAGCTGACCTTCGCTAGTGTTCCGGTGGTTTGGCGCGACAGCATACTTGGTCGTACGGATGTTCACGGGTGAATAGAGCTATGCATACAGGTAGAACTACAGACTACATCGAGTATCCCTTCCCCGCAGATGAGACCAGTGCCGATCAACAAGACTGATACGTGTCGACCACTGAACCAGTGCGGGCTGTGTCCCCTTCACCACTCAGCGAAACATACTCCACCTCATCATCTGACTCATCATCATCATCGACCTGATCACTCTTGCTGAGCCGGAACGACTTGAGATAGCGGTCCAGCATGGCCATATCGAGCTGCTCATCGTCCCCGACCATGTCGTCGAGCACGAGCGAGAAGGGGGTGCTAGCGCCTGACGTGGTGGACGGTGGCGTGGTGAGCTGGCGGGTGTCGTCATCCTTGTATAATGAACCAAGGCGAGGCGGGCGGACGGTGGGTTCTGTAGAGTCTGAAGAAGCGAGGGAGGGCATAGATGGCGGGTTGTGGGTGGCTGTGCTGATGTCTGCCAGAGCGACGACGCGTTGAGCTTTGGACCGGAAGCGGGCGCGTCGGTCCATCTCGCGCCCAGTATAGGATCTCAGGCTGACACTGGGATCTGCCGAACCGTTTGCCTTGCTACCCGCGGGCGGGCCTTCAGAGATGGCATCCAGCTTGGCTCTGCCGGAGGAAGGGGTATCTGACGTCTTGGCCAATTGTTGCACCAATTGTTCTTCGTCCCGGATAGCTTTATCACGCTTGATCTGAAGCTTGGCCATCTGTGCGAGGAGCTTGAAGAGGTCATGCTGGGCTGCCTCTACTGTATCCTGGGAGGATGAGGGGAAAGGAGTGATCTTTGGCGCATTGGCCGGGACGTCGTAGGAGAGCCTTGCCGGAGGCTTGACCCCTGAGCGCGGTGGACGAGAGGTTGATGCGACTGCTGCTTCAACCGACGGCTGGGAGCTCGAGGCGGTCCTCGAGGATCCTTCCGCTCGCTGAGATCGTCTCTTCGCCTCCGCTTCGGTAGCTGGGCCGATCTTGCGCTGTGAGCGGGAGACGCGAGGCCCCAATCCAGGAGTTGGCGCCTTCACTGCGATCGTGTTGCCACCAGGGCCATCCTCAGCCAGAGCTCTGGGTTTCTGTATCGTACCCGGTCCGACCTTGGCTGGCCGCACCTCGTCAATACCGAGCTGAGAATCGGTCGCGCCTGACACCCTTTTGGTCTTCTTTGTCACCTTGGCTTCGACGGCTGCGGGCACGGTCTTCGGCGTATTGACCTTGAGGCCGTCTGGTTGCTGATTAGTCGTATCCGGCACTGCAGGTGTGGTTACACCCTTCTTTGCATCCCGCTGTTTCCTCCGGTCCTCTTTCCGAGCTTGTCTTTCCGCCTCATTCTTGCGCAAGGCCGCCTCCGCTTCTGCTCGACCCTTGACTGGCTCGATATTAGTCGACATCGTGTAGACCAATGATGGATCGCGTCGAACATCCCGGAACATTCTCGTCCTGACATGTCAGCTCGGGATCACAAGAGAGTGAGACTGGAGTGGAAAAACGCTCACATATTGGTCACTTCATCCGGATCAAAGTCTGGTAACCAGACGCCTTTCCCATCTTGCCACTTGTCCGGCTCGAGCCTACTTGTCAGCCAATTCACGACCCGCAAAGACTGTGACTCACATAGCTCCTTCTTGGAAGTGAACGATGCCCCGCATCACCTCTCGCATGCCCTTTCGCCACCTCCGCTCATTCTCCGCGTACAGGACCCACCGGCGCTGCTTTAGTCTGACCCGCTCTTTCCTTCTCTCTGGACCAGTCATGTGTGGTTTGGCAGGGACTGGAGGTTTCTGCGGTAAGCCGGAGCCCTTGGTTGCTGGCGTCGAAGTGCCCGGCGTGGGCGGGGGCGGCGCAGTACTCGCCTTGATAGCTGCAGCTCGCCGGGTCTTGATCGCAGCCAAGGATGGCCAGTCAGAGTAATCCTTGATCTCTCGGCCGCGAGGGAAGATCTTGCGCTTGACACCGCGCTGCCAGGTCGTCGGGAAGGGAAGGGCGTAGGTCTGATACCGTAGCATGTGGCCTGTCTCGTCAGTCTTCATCATCACCAAGAGACGGTTGGACTTACCTCGACGACGCGGATCGAGAAGAACCAAGCGCAATTCGGGGACCTGATCTCTCCATTTCTTGAATCGCCTGATACGCCATGTCGGGGCGCTCCCTTTGTCTGCATCGGGGCATGCCGGGGCGAGCTTCGAGCGGGACAGCGAGGGTAGGACGGGGGCTCGATCGGGTGCGCGAGGGAAGAGGATGGGGGAGAAGAACTTTTCGATCTTGCTGGAGAGCTCGGATGGGTGGAGACGGGGTCGATACTTGGATTTGGTGGCCTTGGAGGGGGCGCGTGCCGATGTGGCAACGGGCGTGGAATTTGGGCGACTGTTGGCAGATGAGGCGACGGAGGTGGCGCCACTGGTGACCATAGTGGCGGTGGATGTGGTGCTGGAGCGGGAGGACATGTAGGATATGTGAGGCCACGGGTAAAGTGGCGACAGGGCGGGAGTGGGAGTGGGCGATGGAGGTGTCCTTTAGCGCATAGTCTGTATACAAGTCCCGTGAGAATGATGTGGAGTGGACAGGTTTGGTTGTGTGTGAGTAGTAGCTGATGGAGTTGTAGATGGGTGAGGAGGACGGAGGTGTGGGAGGTTGAGGGGGTGTATGGCGCTGGCGGATCAGGACCCTGCTGATATATGGCCGCCTGCGCCGAGGTGGCCGTCGGGGGGTGTCATCACGTGCCATAAAGGTGTCTCGGTTGAAAGGATGTTCAGGGGCTCAAGCAGCATCTAGTATGTGCCACCCTCCCTGACGTCTTATCAGTTACAAAACCGTGTTTCCAGGAACTGGCCGCGCTAGCGAAACAGCTAATCACGATCGTCAAACATTTGTCATCAGCTGAGTAAGACCAGTCAATGTCGATGAGCACCACGTAGATACTCCAAGCAATACCTGCGCCGTGACATAGCTTGCAAGGTGGGGTACCTACTCGTTATCACTATCGTCCGCGACCAGCCCTCTTCTCCTATTTTCCTCCTCCTCCTCTGCTCTCCGCCGATCTGCTTCTCGCTGCTCACGCGAGTATTGGCTGAAATCGACCTCTGCTGCGCCTTCCTCATACAATGCCTCGTCGGACGTGGCGAGTGCCTTGGACTGTTCGAACAGTTGTCGACCTATACATCAGCTAAAGACCCCAACGCGATAAGGCGAGACATACCACTCAAGCGATCTCTGCGACGTTTCCACTCCTCCTTCTCCTTTGGCGGCAGCGCCTTGACCCTGTCTTCCTCTTCCCTCTCCCGCTTGGCTTTGAGGGCGGCCATAAACTCCTTCCGCCAGTCGTTGAACGTCGCGGGTGTGAGTGGGGTACCTCTTGTCCGTGCTGCCTCTTTCTGCAAAAGTCAGCCGAGAACCCCTCATCAGACCGCTCACTCCGTGTCGAGTTGTTCATCTGCAAGCAGGTATATGGACTCACTTCTTCATACTCCGCTGCCTTCCTGTCCTCTTCGTCCCTCTCCTTCTTCCATCTTTCGCCAACGACCACAGCGAGGATCTCCCTGGCGGCAGATGCAACTGTGAAGGTCATTGCCATACCCAGACTCTCTTCCGCCTGCATCGGGTGAGCCTCGAATACAAGCTGGATGTGACGCAGCACGTACGATAGTCCGCAGCTCTCTCAATATCCGTTCCTCCTCCCCATCCCTCAATTCGCCTGACTCCTCATCTATTGGCTCCAAAGCGAGCTCGGGGATGACATCTGGGTATTCGGCTGGATAGTCGACATTGAGATATAGGGAGACTACTGGGTCAGCTCGGCGGGCTCGCGGCGCTGGGCAACACTGACGTGGATGTGATGCTGATGGCTCTTCGGGCTCGATTCGTATTCTCACGGAAGATTCACCGAGCTCTGCAAGATCAGCCTAAAGCCCAACGTGGAGGGAAAGGAGAAGACGCACTCTCGAGCTCATCAGGAAAGATGGACTCCAGTACCTGACCTGTCAGTCCGCGGCCGCTCGCAACAACTCGAGCTGGTAGATGAACCTACCTCGAATTCCTCCTCGAGTATGGCTTGATTGTCTGGACAGTCAGCCAAGCTATCGCCGCGATCTGGATACAATTCAGGTTGGGACACACCTGACATGATAAAGTCGTGTCTCCAGCGGACTGTCTGTCGGCGGATTGAAGTTCTGATGTATATTGAGCAATGGATGGCCAATATTATAGCTAGCTGCTGTAGCTGTACTCCGTGCGCATGTCTCACTTGGATTGGCGCAGTTGGCTGGTGTGTCTCACTACGGACATTGACGGCGTTGTAGAAATCCGCTGAAATTGGCCTGGAGCCCCACCCATATAACGTAATTTCGGAGAACGCCCGCGTATCGGCCGGGGCGAGATTTCTGCACCTCATGGTGCCAGCTATCTATCTTTGTGCACAGGCTCATCTCTACCTCATCTTTCTCAGTCTGGACGTGGGCTAACCAGATCGATAGCTCCCCAAAGGGTTACATCGCGCCTCATTCGCTTCTCGCAGGATCAGCACAGCAACACGCGTGAAGGCGACACTCCGCGATGTCAACCTTGACGAGCTGGAAATGCCAGGCTATCTGGGATGGTGTTGACTTTACGCCATGCGTAAGGCAGCGGTGAGTCCTGCCGCCTGCTTTACAGTCATGGACCTCGCTGACAGGACAGCTATCTCGCCAACGCCGGTCTCGCCCTGATACCCCTGTCGCTCCTCATCCTGCTCATCTCCCGATTATCTCGCTCATCGAGATATCGATCGCCTCTATCCCCGTCCCGCCTCACCTCGCCAATAGGTGATCTGAACCTCATCAGCTTAGAGTCGGATACTATACTATCGGCTCTAGCGGCGAATGTGCTGCCAGCACCGCGGGAAGGGGAGGTCGAGGCTAAGCTGGGGGGAAAGGAGGCTGCGGAGGTCATTGAGGACTTTAGCAAGGAGGAGGGACCGTCTGTGAGGCGATGGAGGAGAGTCAGGTGGGCGGCGGGTGTGACTGGTGCGCTGGTGTGGCTGGGGACTGTGGCATGGGGATGTGCGGTACAGGGTGATTGGAAGCGGATCGCATTCCCAGTGAGTTGAGAATTGCCTTGATCAAGGGTACATACTGATATGAAGATATACGTCGCCCTGTTCTCACTTATGCCTCGACCTACCATCGCGCCCCTCCTCATCATCCATCTCATCCCGACTCTCCTGCTACTGCGGAGCAACGTCCTGCAGAGCGCACACCCAGCATTGGCAGATATCCTTCCGACTGTCGTCGAGGTGGTGTACTGGCTTATGCTCATGAGCTTGCCGTATGCGTCAAGAATGCAGGGACTGCTATCGGCGGGGAGATCAAGAGGAGGAGGTAGTCTGGGCAGCTACGGGACAGACCTTCCACATCACATCGAGGAACCAACTTGTACGTTCATGACGCGGACACAGCTCATTCTCAGCCGCTTTCTCTCGCGCGACCTACGTCTTCATGCTGCCTTTCCTGGTGCGACACTACAAAGAGACGGTTACTCTAGGCGATATTCCCGCACTGAGGGAGGACGACGCAGCGGTATCCGCATTGGCTGCGTTCCGGGCGGATCAGGCGTGGTACGACGCGCAATGGGCAAAGAAGCATCTGGGAGAAGAGAGGAAGCGAGATCTGGGCTGGAACCTGTTCAGGTTCTTCATCCCAGATATTGCCGCGCAAAGCGTGAGTCTAAGAGAGGGCATCGCTAATGCCAGATGTGGGCTCTGATCTTTGTCTGCCTTCAGTACCTCCCACCTACCGGACTTCGGCTCTTGCTGCAGTTTGTCAGCGAACGAGAGACGTCCAACACCCCTGCCCATATCGCTTATCTCTACGTCGCCATGATGGCCGGCGGTCAGTGCCTCGGTATCATTGTCATGGGTCAGTCGCTCTTCCTGGGGCGGCGGCTGTGCATTCGGATCCGGGCCATCATCATCACCGAGGTCTTTGCCAAGGCCCTTCGCCGTCGTGACACTGCTGGGTCGACCAAGGCTAGTCCTACCGGAACGGATGACCAAGCGGCAACCGGTTCCAGCGATGGCCGTATCGCAAATCTCGTCTCCAACGACGCATTCAACATCTCGGAAATCTGCGCCTACATCCACTATCTCTTCTCATGCCCCACCGCTATCATCATCAACGCCATCCTCCTTTACAACACCCTCGGTCTCGCCGCCATCGCCGGCATCGTCGTCCTCCTCATCTTCCTACCCATCGGCGGCTACGTCGGGCGAGTCTACTCCGAGATTCAGCGGACCTTCATGGGCGCCACGGACGCTCGGCTTGAGGCGGTCACCGAGGTCATTAGCCATGTCAAGTTGATCAAGTTCAACGCATGGGAGGGCAAGTTCTTTGATCGGATGATGATCACCCGGAACAAGGAGCTGGCGGTCTTGGCAAAGCGATTCGCTATCGCCGTGCTCTTCCAGGTGCTCGTCTGGGGAACGCCAGTCATTGTTACCGCTTCGGCGTTTGCGGTGCACACTATGGTCCTCGACCAACCCCTCACTGCCGACCGGGCCTTTGCCAGTCTCATCCTCTTCAACCTCCTCCGCGACCCTCTCGCTCTCATCCAAGACACCGTCACTCGGCTACTCCAGGCGTACACGTCGTGTAACCGGATCCAGGCGTACCTCGACGAGCCTGATACACTCAAGTATCAGCAGCTCTCGCGCCCTGGGCCTGGCGACCCCGCTGTCGGCTTCTCGAACGCCGTACTCGGATACAGCTCGGACAATGACAAGCCCGAGTCGAACGCTTTCCAGCTCGGTCCGCTCAACCTATCCTTCCCTCCGTCCACCCTCAGCATCGTTGTCGGGCCAGTCGGATGCGGAAAGACCACCCTTATCACTTCTCTTCTGGGCGAGACGGATCTCATCGGCGGACGGATCTTCATGCCTGACGATCGGGCCAATCGCGACATTTGCCCAAAAGACCCCAAGACCGGCTTGACGGATACCGTCGCGTACTGCTCGCAAACACCATGGCTGATCGGGGCGTCGATCAAGGAGAATATCCTCTTTGGGTCGGTCTTCAAGCGGGCTCGGTACGACGAGGTTATCCGCGCTTGTGCACTGGAGCGGGATCTGGAGATCTTTGAGCTCGGAGACGAGACTGAGGTCGGAGAGAAGGGAACGACCTGCTCGGGCGGCCAGAAGGCCCGCATAACCCTTGCTCGCGCCGTTTACTCGTCCGCCAAGACGGTCATCCTAGATGATATTCTCTCGGCCGTTGACGCTCAGACCGCCCGTCATCTTTACAACCAGGTCTTACAAGGCAAACTGATGGCGGGTCGGACGGTCATTATGGTCACACACGCGGTATCGCTCGTCGCCCCTGCGGCCGGCTACGTGGTCATGCTGGAAGACGGGCGGGTGACCGCGGCGGGACCACCAGCGAAACTCCTGGCGGATGGTGTACTGGAGATGACGGAGGAAATGGAGACCCAACAAAGCTCTGCATCGGCGTCGATCGCCGAAACGCCATTCGCGGCGGTCATGGACGGGACTACGGGGATGCTCGGCGAGCCGACCGATGTGATCGAGACGCAGCTGGACGGGGTGGAGGGAGACGCACTCGACACTCAAAAAGCGGTCCTGGCGGTCAAAGCGCACGAGAGCGCTCAACAGTCGGCGGAAGAACGGTCCAAGAAGAAGCTGGTCGAAAGCGAGTCCCAAGCGTCCGGCGCGGTCGGTCTCGCCACGTACACCTTGTACTGGTCATCCATGGGCAAACTACCATTTTGGTTTATCCTCTTTACAGCCCTGATCGGCGCGCAGGTCGTCCAGGTGGCGACCAACGCGTGGATCAAGGAATGGGCGAATGCGACGTCCGAGAAGGCTTTGGCTGCTGCAGGTCTACGCGGCTGGGCAAGTCAAGGTCACTCGACATTGTACTATCTCGGGATCTACGTCGCTCTGTCGGGGGCGTATATCCTGGCTATCGCTGCAAGGGTGGGGATCAACTACTTTGGGAGTCTGAGGGCGAGCCGGAGCTTGTACGACAGGCTCTTGAAGCGGATTCTTGGCGCAAAGATGAGGTATGTTGACTGTAATCGCAAACGGGGCCTACCTGATGGTCCAGGTTCTTTGATGCTACTCCCTCTGGGCGGATCACCAACCGGCTCAGCAAGGACATGTACTCTATCGATACTGAGGCCGGCGAGAGTAGGTCCATCGGATGAATCGCTTTTATATCAAGCTGATCAAGCAGTCTTAATGTACTTTGTCAACTCCATCCTGTCGGTCCTGGCTGTTCTAGCAGTTGTACTATGGTCTACTCCTGGTGTGTACTTTGCCTTTCGATCAGTGTCTAGCTAACCACCCAGTCTTCGCTATCGCTCTCATCTTCATTGTCGTCCTTTATTGTATCGTCGGGACACTGTACATCACCACCAGCCGAGAGATCAAACGTTTTGACGTGAGTTGGTCATATGCCACCAGGTTCCAAGCTGAAGCTGATCTCTGCAGAGCGTGACCCGATCCCCCATCTTCATCAGCTTCTCTGAGGTACTGGTCGGCATGTCGACAATCAGGTCATACGGCGACAGCGCACGCTTCATGCGGAAGCTCTTCCACGAGATGGATCAGAACTCGTCAGTCCCCGTATGCGCCCCAAGCGGAATTGCAGGCTGACTGAATAGACGGTGCTTCTGGTACCTGTGGCAATGTAACCGAGTCCTCCACAACTTCTCCAACTTTATCGGCTCGCTCGTCACGGTCTTCGCTGCGATCTTTGCTCTGCGCTCCCCCGGGATGGACGCTGGAGCTATTGGTCTGACCATGACCTATGCTTGTGAGTACCTCCTATCACTTGCGATACACTAGCTGATGTAGCAGTATCGTTCACCGATTTTGTGCTCTGGATCGTGCGGATGTATGCCTCGGCCGAGATGACGATGAACAGCGTTGAGCGCGTCGGCGAGTGTGAGTGCAGTTCCTACGATTGAGAATGAAGCTTACAATCAGATCTGGATCTCGAGGTCGAAGAAGAGAAGGGCAAGGCTGGAATCGACCCACCAGCGTACTGGCCTACTCGCGATGGGAGCGTCGTCGTGTCAAACCTCACCTGTCGATACGCGCCTCAGCTCGACCCTGTTCTCCGGGACGTCAGCTTTGAGATCGGCCCGAGGGAGAAGATCGGAATTTGTGGCCGGACAGGAAGTGGGAAGAGCAGTACGTGCATTACCCCTCACGACGATGCTTGGCTGACGTTCAGCTCTTGCGCTGTCCTTCTTCCGATTTTTGCATCAAGAGTCCGGGTCTATTGTCATTGACGGGCTGGACATCAAGAAGCTCAGTCTTGCAGCTTTGCGTTCCAGGTTGACTATCCTGCCTCAAGGTCTGTTTGTCCTTTCTCAGCGGGACCTAGGCTGATCCTGTGCAGAAGCCCAGCTATTCTCGGGTACCATCCGGGACAATCTCGACCCCTTCGCGGAGCACGAGGATGCCGACGTGTGGGACGCCCTGCAGAAGTGCGGCCTGTCCACCACCGGCAAGACCCCTTCTGGCTCTCGCGCGCCTACGAGGCAGGCGAGCCGGAGCGGGTCCAAGGTGGATCTTACGGCTTCGAGAGGAAAGGAGGTGGATTTGCGGATGGCCGTCGGGAAGAGTCTGGTCAAGGGGACGGTGGATGCTATTGGCGGAGATGAGGCCGACGACGAAGAGGTGGAGGAGCGGGTGACGATCAGGAGTCTTGATGAGAAGGTGGCTGTGGGAGGCAAGAACTTCAGTACGTCCAGCGGTCGTCCGTGTCGCCTCCCAAAGGTGCTGATATATCAGGTCAAGGACAACGTCAGCTCTTGGCCCTCGCTCGCGGCCTGCTCAAGCTCCGACACTCGTCGTTCTTGATCATGGACGAATCTACCGCCAATCTCGACCACGCGACCGATCAGACCATCCAGAATGTCCTTCGCACGGGTCTAGCAGACACCCAGATGCTGGTCATCGCCCATCGTCTCATGACGGTATGCGGTCTTGACAAGTAAGTCTACCATATCCGTTCGATTGTCAACATAGCCAAGCTGATCAATCAGGATTCTTGTGCTTGACCATGGCAAGGTGGTCGAATTTGGAACCCCATGGGATCTTATACAGGCCAAGGGGCCATTCCGGGAGTTGGTCAAGCAGAGTGGAGAGGAGAATACGTTGATAGAGGTGAGTCATGGCGCCCATACCAGATACGAGTCTGAGCTGATCTTCTCAGCTAGCACGGTCTGTCCATGAGGAGAAGACACGGGCATAGGAAAATGCATCATGCGGCAGCCCGTATTATCAGATGGAAGCCGCTTATCATACCTCATTTGGATCGTCTCATATGAAAACTCTGAGCTTGACTACATCGTTGCCTCCGGATTGAGATCACCTCAGAGCAGAGTGCAAGGCGGCGTTATTGCCGACCTCATCACGGCGCTTCGGGCCCGGATCTGTCGGAGCTTTAGGGGGGAAGATCTGATATGCCGTAACGATGATGATGCTCTTCCCGCACAGCTTCGAAATTCTGAGACACCTTCCGCCTCCTCCCTTACCGCCCTCTCCCGCTCTCTCCCAGGCTATGATTCTAGCTCCAGGAAGCTAAAGGATGCTATACAGTGTTTACGTCTCCATGCGGTAATCAGGCGTCTAAAGGAGGGTATGCGGTGTGCCTGGATCTCCCGCTTTCAGCCTTTTCCGACTCCGCCCCGCATGCTCGCCGCATGATCCTCCGCTCGGTCCTCATGCCCTCGTCAGCAGCTTCCCCACTCCGAAGCATGACGCCCTGGTCGTCAAGCTGCACAGGTCAGACACAGCCATGGCCGGCCAGATCGCCGAGCGCAAGGCGGGGACGAGGTATATAGCCATCACTGACAGCTCTCCTTCCCCCTCACCTAATCCTTTCACTGCTCCCCTTCGCACATCCCTTCTCCTAGGCTCATAGCTCTGGTCATTCTGATCACGGCCTATAATACAGACACTTCCAGACCAGACGGAGTACACATCCCCTAATCCGCATTCGCTCAGTCACCTAATCCGCATTCGCTCAGTCACCTATTACATCAGCCACAACCATCATGGTCGCACAACGATCAACACCCGGTCTCCTTCCCCTCATCCTCCTCGTCCTTACCCCTGCCGTCCTCGCCGCTCCGGCTCGGATCAATCGCCGCGCCATCCAGCCCATATACGATGGCTCGCAGGTCTCAGGCAAGACATACGATTATGTCATTGCCGGTGGAGGTCTGACGGGGTCCGTGCTAGCCAGCAGACTTTCGGAGGACGAGGGCAAGTCGGTATTGGTGGTAGAAGCGGGATACGACGAGGAGCAGAATGACAAAGTCACAGGTCAGTTCGCCAGACCGCACAAGCGAAGCAATCAGCTGACTTTCAGATGCCAGCAAGTACCAGTCAGCCTTCGACACGTTCCTCGACTGGGCGTACCAGACCGTCCCCCAGACGTCCGCCAACGGCCAACCTCAGACCATGCGCTCTGGGCGCGGTCTCGGGGGTAGTACCATCATCAACGGTATGGCATGGAGCAAGCCACACGATTTCCAGCTGGACGCTCTGGAGGAGCTGGGTAATGAGGGCGTAAACTGGAACAGCTTGCAGCAATACGTCAGTCTGGCCGTCAGCACCCGGGCGGGATGCAGCTGATCAGCAGATGTTAAGGGCCGAAACATTCACTCCTCCCTCTTCTCAACAAGCCGCGGCCGGAGTCACCTCGACAGGCAGCTGTCACGCCTACAACGGCCCGGTCGGAATCCAGTACGACCCCCAGGCGCTCCCGAGCGACGTCGAGCGAGCCACCAACCAGACTTTCAAGAACGCTGGTCTGCCATACGCTACCGACCTGACCTGTGGAGATCCCGCCGGTGCCGCTCCCATCGCCAACACCCGCAGTGGTAACACCAGGAATGATGCTTGTGAGTGACCCCCCGCCTAGCTTAAAAAACTTGGCTAACAGACAGACCGGGCCTACTTGTACACCAAGACTCGCCCCAACCTCACCATCCTCACCGGAGCCAACGTCGGCCGTATCACCCTCTCCTCTGGCAACAACCCCCGCGCGACCGGTCTCGAGTTCCGGGACGAGAAGGGCAATACCTACTCTGTCAACGCCAATCTCGAGGTGATCATGGCGCTCGGATCGCTCAAGACCCCCCTCATCCTCCAGCAATCCGGCGTAGGACCGTCCGACGTCCTCGCCGCCGCCGGTGTCCCTCAGCGGGTTGAGCTCCCCGTCGGTCTCAACCTCATCGACCAGACCACTACGACCACCAACTTTGCCTTTAGCGGGAACCGGGGCGCCGGCCAGGTCATTGCCTTCCCTAGGTTCAACGACCTGCTCAAGGACGATGACGCCAACACCATGCGTCAGATGCTGCAGAACGACCTGGCATCGTACGTCCAGGACGCGGTATCGTCTGGATCGGCCAACTCTGCCTCGGCCGCCGGTCTCCAAAAGGTCCTCGAGATCCAGCGAGACTGGCTGCTCAACCAGAACGCGGCCATGTCGGAGAACTTTGACTACACCTACGGTACTACCCTCGGCTACGACTCGTGGAACCTCATTGTCATGGGTCGCGGTAGCGTCAAAATTACCGACAATCAGCCGTACGGGAACAACCATGCCATCGACCCTCGGTATTTCTCCAACCCCTTCGACCGACTCGCCCAGGGCGCTACTGCCCGCTTCACTCGCCGAGCCTCGGAACTCCCGCCCTTGTCTCAGTATGTCTCGGGCGAGTCTGGACCGAGCAACAGCTTGTCCAGCAGCGCCAGTCTGGAGGACTGGGCGCAATGGGCGGAGAGCAATTACCGGAGCAATTGGCACCCGATCGGGAGCGCGCCGATGATGAGCCAGGAGCTGGGCGGGTGTGTGGACTCGAACAACAAGCTGGTAGGTCTTCTACCCCTTATTAACATCATTCCAGCTGACTCTCAGTACGGCGTATCAAACCTCCGTGTGGTCGACGCCTCGATCCTTCCTTTCCAGGTATCTTCCCACCTGATGTCGGTTCTTTACGGTCTCGCCGAGCGCGCCAGCGACATCATCCGCGCCGCCCACCCTACCGGCTCGTCTAGCTCATCCGCTACCCCTACCTCATCGTCATCCTCCGTCTCCTCTTCTTCCACTCAGCCACCTAGCAGCACCGCCATCCCTATCCACCCTCGCTCGGCCCCCTCCAAGTGCCTCGATGTCGTCGACGGCAACTTTGCCAACGGCGCTCAGGTGCAGATCTGGGACTGCAACGGCAAGGCACAGCAGCAGTGGACTCTTACTCCCGGCCAAACCTCCATCAAGCTCGCCGGGACCAACTTCTGCCTCGACGCCGGCTCCGCCTCGCCCTCGGACGGTACCCAGATGAAGATCTGGACGTGCTATGATCGGACACCGGCGCAGACGTGGCAGGTCGGATCGGATGGGACCATTGCGCTTCAGTCGGTGGCGGAATGCTTGGACTTGACGAGTGGGAGCTCAGCAAATGGGAATAGGATCCAGGTGTGGAGCTGTGCTGGGTCGGGCAATGTCAACCAGCAGTGGACGCGGGGATAGGCGGAAGAGATAAGAATGACGGAGGGGGTGATGAGGACACTCAGCAGGACACTCAAGTATAATCGTAGAAGGGACATTTCTTCGGGCCCGTCGTACCTGTAGCATAGAGCTCGAGCCATTATGATACTGTCTATATAATCAATCATGAACGCCCCCGCTTCACAAATTCTAAGTATGCCGCTACAGCCCCGAGCTGAGGGAAGACAATCACCGTATGGATCATATGAGCTGGATACCCCCCCTTGATCCTGCCCCGTCCCTCCCCCCGTCCCTCCCCTCCTCCTGTCCCTCCCCTCCTCCTGTCCCTCCCATCCCGCTCTCATTCGAAGCCAGAGGTTGAGCGCGAGAGTACCTCGAGTCCGCCGAGTCTGATAGCATCCGAAACGCGAAACCCCGCCGGACCAGATGACGTCATCGAAACCTCCGAGGTTTCAGGTTAAGATCCGCAATTTTGTCATTCCGCGTTTGTCAAGATCGCAGAATGAACGACGAAGCTCCTCATTTCCCCGCTTTACTAGCGCATATGACAATTAGAACCGCGTGCACTGCTGCTCACTAGCTCCGCTTCCAAGGTGAGCTGGTGCACGAATGTCCGGAAAAGGCGGCAGCTCCTCTTCACTTTATGCGGTCGGGAGGCGGCGCGGCTTCGCTTTTCGGGAGCTTCGGGCGTCGTGTGACACGTCGCCATTTTGTGCTGATGTACTGCATGGTATCATCGGCTTCATGCGACGACAATGTGGTTCGTGCTGTTGTGGATGACCAAGAGGCGAGGGGAGATGGCGGTTCTCTGTTGTACATTAATTCATACAATCTGACCACCCATCTCACTTGCTCGTCAATATGGAGCTCGTTCCAAACTCCCATGTTATGGGCCAGCAAGGGCTGGACCCTGCGAATCCTCTGACTGAGAAGCAGCAGGTCGTACAGATGCGAGATAATGATCTCATTGACCGTAAGCTATCTGCTATAGCAAGTTACACCGCTGATCGACCAGTCACTATCAATACTCAGCCGCTTGAGGTGTACATGTACTACGCAGCTATCGAACGAGAGCGAGAAGACAACGATACTCGTCCGGTTCCAGATGGTCCATGGGGCGTGCTTATCAAGACATTGACCGGGAGGAAGGACAAGATCTGCTCGGTCGATACCCCAAATTATGATGCGCCGATGCCTAGTCATATCGACGCGGAGAGGGAGGCCTCGCCCTCTCGGACTGGAAACGAGAAGAAACGCAAGGCATCGGATGGCGCGACACTGGTCGGTACGGGCCCGGTCGATGCTGCTTCCCAGTCAGAACGGCGGTTGGCGTATCGCGCATTGCGGACTGCGAGTTGGCAGGCTGTTTTCTACCTCATGTGAGCACAATTCGATCTACCATAGGCAAGGCTGATCAAGTAGCACTACCGATGTCCTTGGCTTCTCCTCCGCTCCTCAAGCTTTTTCTCAGCTCGGCTACGGTCCGGGCGTCCTCGTATACACATTCTTCTACCTACTCGCCTTCTTCGCTGGCCAGGTTATCTGGAGACTGTACATGTCGATGGACTCGGAACGCTTCCCTGTCAAGTGCTATGGTGACCTAGGAGAAAGGACATTTGGGCGTCCAGTGCGACACCTGTTCAACATCCTGCAGAGTAAGTCTACATTAAGGCGCAAGGATTTAGTGCTTATCCGCAGGTCTACAAATCATCTTCAACGTGGCGATATTGCTCATCGGAGAGGGGAGGAAGCTGGCCTCGATCATCAACTATCAGCTGTGCTACATAGTCCTTACCATCGTATGTCAATTGATGCTCCGAAACCCAACTCAGCTGACCGGCAGCTCTTCATGTTGGTTGGCCTGGTTGCCGGTCAGATCCGTTCCCTCCGAGGGTTCTCCTGGTTCACCAACGTGAATGTATGGCTCAGCATAATCGTCATGATCCTCACGATGGTCGGCACTGGGCTCTTCGATCCCGTCCCCAGCCAGTCCGGCCACGTCGACCTGTCGGAGCCGATCATGCGCGCGGGATGGGTGCCAACATACACCGTCGGCTGGTATCAACAGGTCTCGGGAGTGCAATTGGCGGTATTCTCATACGGTGGAGCAATGATCTTCACAGGTACGTCTGTCCATTATGCACGATAGAAATTATGCTAATGAGGCAGAGTTCATGGCTGAGATGCGACGACCGAGGGATTTCTGGAAGGCTGCGTTTGGAGCTCAATGTGAGCTGCTTCCTACCTGCCTGAGATAACTGCTGATCATTTCAGTCTTCATCTACATTATCTACATGTTCTTTGGGCTCTTCGTCTATTCATAGTGAGCTTCGATTCATACTGCTAAACGCATGGCTGATGATTACAGCCAAGGACAATACACCGGGATCATTCCTGCGCTCAACTTTGCCAATCGCGCTCTGTCGCTTGTTACCAACATCATCAGCCTCGTCACTACGGTCATCGCGTCGGTACTGTACGGCAATATTGGCGTCAAGGTGCTTTATGAGAACGTTCTCAAGCCTTACTGCCGGGCGCCGGAGATGATGACGCCTAGGGGAAGATGGGCGTGGGCATTGGCGGTATGCGGGTACTGGATCATCGCTTGGGTTCTTGGTTCGGCTGTAAGTGCCTTATAACAGCCTTGGGACGTCAACTGACGCTTAGATCCCCAATGTAACTGCTCTAGCTACCCTCATTGGTGCTGCCTTCATCCTTCAATTCAGTTTCACTTTCCCGCCATTATTGCTGGTTGGACACTGGATGCAGAAGGACGCGATCGCGGGCGACCGGCCATGGGAGCCAGGAATGGTTCCCGGGTCCAACAGAGTCGATACGTGGAAACAGGCGTCAAGATGGAGGAGGGGCTTCAAGCCTTATTGGTACATCAAGACGTTCCTCGTGAGTACTCATATGCTCTTCTGGGCATAATGTGAGCTGATCTCCAGATACTTTTGGTACTGGCAGCGATAGCTTTGGCCGGTCTTGGAATATACTCGGGAGTGGAGGAGGCTATTGCTGCGTATCAAGCCAAAACCGCCACGGCATTCTCGTGTAGAGCTCCTAACCAGCCGTAGTACCCTAGTCGTTAAACGTCAGACGAAGTAGAGCTAGTCAGAAGTAATATCATCCAAGCGTTATTGGTCAGTGACCGGACATCCAGGCGCGTCCCAAGCCCCGCGCATTCGCGGTGCGTCAAGCACGAACTAAGCGGAAAGGGAGTGGGCTTGGGTCGGGCCTGCCGGACATCGTCCTCCGAATATAAGTAGTACCGGCAGCCCTTTCACCATTCATCTCCTTGTCTTGATATACATGGCGGTCCGGACTGTTGTACGAAGAGGGTAACAGCGGTAGTTCTTGCCTGTCGGTTGCATGCAGCTTATTGCAAAGCCTTGTCGTGGAGTTTCTGGACTGAATATTCAGCTTATACTCAGGATAGACGGAGGATACCACTCACACTTGGTCTCATATCCAGCACGCATAGCCTTCTTGTACGCCTTCTCCGCCGTCTTGCTCACCTCTCCCCATGCCTTGACATCCGGTTTCTCGCCAAGTAGCGCGATGGCCAGCCAGGCGGGATGAGTGTCGATGGCGTATTCCGGCTCGGGTGGCGAGACGACGGGGGGCTTGGTGCTGCTGCCCCAGGAGAGGCGGCGACTCTTGCGATCCGATACGGTCGGAAGGGAGAGTAACGAGGATGAGGGAGAGTCTGACATTAGCACTAGCTCGACGGGGAGTTGGAGGACCTACTATTGCCTATGCTGAGCGAGACCTCTTCGTAGCTGGGCTGGATGAATCCCTTTGGGCTGAGATCATAGCCTAGGGGGTTCATGTCGCTCGTCGGCCACTGCTGACTTCCGTCCAAGAGCGTCAAGATCGCTGCATCCATCACTGCCATAGGTGACTTGTGAGTGACGTAGTTCATGGCGGTTCCGCACACTCTGGTGATGGCAGCAATGAGGACCTCGTCCGAGATAGGTGAGGGGTGGATGCGGGTGAATTCGGGTCGGGTACCGAGCCGGTCTCGCCAGAGCAGGGCGCGGGTGATGAGTCGGTCTCTGGTAGCTGCGAGGGTGGGGATGGGGATGACCGAGGCAGGGAAGGCTTGATCGTAGATTCGCTCGATGTCGATCATCTGAATGAAGCGCCTGAAGTCTCAGCTTCGGACAGGAATAGGTGGATAGTGCTTACCCTCGCCCGTCATGCTCTCGCACCTTCAAAGACCGCATGAATCCCTCGAACGGCGCCATGTGTGCATCAACCAGTCCCCGGAAGTTGGGAATCTCGAAGGAACGCAGGACGTTCGCTGCCAGCGCCCAGGCACTGAGCAGACCCGAATTAGCGCCTCTGCCAGGCCAGCTAGCTCGTCAGCTTCACCCATAAGTCACGAAGATCCAGATACGCAAAAATTATGCTGAAGAGTCGAGTCGCCCACAAGGACCATAGGGAACGTCCCGCCTTCCCTACCCTTCTGGCTATCCTTTGCCACCCACTTGACCGTCTTAGGCGCGGATGCCAAGGAAAGTCTGAAGACATCGATGCGCTGGTCGAGTACCGTGCTGATGTCCATCCCATACAGCCTAAACCCTGCATCGATGAGCGCAACGACGCGGAGGAGAAGCGGGTCTGTCGCCTCGAGCAGCGAGCCGAAAGTGCGCTCAGAGGGCGGAACGGCTGCGAGGGCGTCGTAGAGATCGGTCGAGAGACGGATATTGAGGAAGCCGAGCCCATTCGAGGTCGAGTTGAGGAGATAGATGGTCTGACTGAGCGTGAGGAAGACGACTTCAGCTTGAGTGGCTGTCGGGATGGCCTGCGGGTCAGAGTGGCTCACGAAACATGAGGTATGGGGTCAAATACTCACTTGAATGGGTATCCCTAGAGCTCGATCCGTCTGCTCCGCCTCCAGGATCTCCCGCTCGAACACCATCTTTCCATTGTCCTTGTAGTTCACCGTGAATGCCTTGCCGCTGGCGCCGTCTGCACCAATAAAAAGGTCGGTAGTCCCGCGGAGGCTGGCAAAGATCTCGTCATTCATCCTGATCATCAGCACGAGCCAAGACGCAAACTCACCTCTCGGGAACCAGCTCAATCATGCTGGAGAGCAAAGGATTGTCCCTGATCTCCCTCAACAGCCTATCCTCCACATCCCTGATCGGCGCCTGCCTACTGTTCACATACACCCGTTCCGCTCCCTTCCTGGTGTCTATCCCGATCTCGACCTTGTCCGCTGGCCAGACAACATCTGACCATCCCATCCCGACCGCCGACTTGAAACCCTCGTCCAGCAGACCGACGACATAGTCTTGGAGAGTGATGACCTGCCTTCGGCGCGTGTTGACTCTGAAGTCGGTCTCGTCTCGCCAGCGGAGGGAGCGGCGGTTTTTGGGTTCCGGGATGATCCAGCGCTGGTCGTAAAGCTTGATACGGACAGTTGGGAGGGCAGCCGAGGTAGTAGAAGCGGCGGTGCAGTGGGCGAGAAGCATGGCCGTTGTGAGACCTGGGTATCAGCGCGGCCTCTTTTTTTGCGGGACGGTCCACTCACCCACGGGCCCGCCGCCAGAGACTACCACGTTAAACTTCCTATTCGACTTTGGCGCCCCCACCTCTGAGTACATCAACCTGGAATCGATGTACCGCCCGCCCCTAGCCATCCACAAATCATCCGCAAACCTCGGCGCCGCCTTGCCGTGAATTGCGGTGAGAATGTGCCTGGCAATGTCCTTGACCGGTCCGTTGATGAGCGACGGCTTGGACTCCGCCAACTCGGCGTAGGCCAACTCGGCGAGGTCGCGCCATGCCTTGGTCGAAGTGAGACTCTCACGCATCGGCGGGGAGCCGACGTGCGGAGTGTACGTTGTGAGGGGGAGGGCGGTGAGGACGGAGTTGACGTAGATCTGTTCCGGCTCGATGTCGAAAGAGAAGGAGCGGTGGTGCTCGTGGGTGGGGCGGACGGGCGGATGGGCTGCTCAGTCAGCTCATGGTGGATGCCAAGGTTGAAAGACTCACTCAACCATTGATGCAGGATCAACATGATCATCCGGATCCCCTCGTCTTCGTGCGCCTTGTCCACTTCATCCTTCTTCTTGGTATAGTAGCAGTACTGGCCCTTCTTGGGGGGCGGCGAGTCGAGTGGCGGGACAGCACTGTAGTTGCTATCCTTGTCGCTGTCCGAGTCGCCGAGGAAGGGAAAGTAGGAGGACGCAGCGGAGGACTTTGTCGTTGAGAAGGAGGGCGAGGGTGACTGTGGGCGAGCCTTGAACATCTTGCGGGAGGTCAGAATCTGAGGAGTCTGACAGGATGATGATGTATGGTTAGTACAATGAAGAAGCGAAGCGGTGAGATCTGAGAGGTTGAGCGAAGTCCCTACAGCCACAGTCAAAGGGGGTCCGTTTTTGTGTGTGTGCGGGCTGTGTAGATCAGGCGGAGTACGAGTAAGCTTTCGTCGTGAGGCAATGAGACCATGTGCTCAAGTGTCCGTGCTCATCGACATCGCCTTTGCTCTGAACGGTATGTTCTACAGCACCGCCTTTGGCGGCCAGTGTGAAGACAAGTCATAGCGATGATTTGTATGCGGATGAGACATGCTGACCGCTGCTGACCGTCAGGAACGCAGCTGGGAGGGAATTTCGGAGACCTGATTCCGGAGGGTCGAAGTTCCTTTTGAGGTCTTCCTGCTGTTCGCGCTTTTTCCTCCAGAGCAAGGTCCCTTTGATCAGTTGACCGTGGGGCCGTTGTGAGCACAGGCACAGTGCGCATCTCGTATCCAAGAATGCAACATTATAGGAACGAAAGTATCTATGCCACCCTAGTCTCAGGCTACTTGAACCGCTCTCCGTTCATCAAACCCCTGTTCCCGCCCTTCCCCTTCATCTCGTACTCTCCCGCAGCCTCAATCCCGCTCCCCTCCCTACTGCTGTTCCCCGTCTCGACATCATACCCCATCTCATGCGGATGAGGGTTCACCTCTGGCACGCCCCTCGTCTCCAGCCCGATACCCAGCATCTCGCGCATCCGATCACGCTCATGCTGCCTCAGCTCGGCCGCAGCCCCGCCTGACGCTTGGGTCATCTGCCGGCCCTCGAGGTGGCGCTCAATCTCTTCGGGGGTGTAGGCCCAGAAGCGCTTGTTGCCGGTGAGGAGCTTGCGCATCCAGGGTGGAAGGACGGCAACGAACTTGGACGAGTGACCGTGCGTGTCTTGCTGGCGGACCATGGCCTTGACGTCGTAGGGCTCTTTGAGGTCATGCCATCCTGGAGGGAGGAGGCGGGGTGAGATCTTGCCGAGAAGGGAGGGGATGTTGTGGATGAGGATGAAGATGATGAGGCCGGCGATGATACCGTATGCAATGTTGTCTGCTGATCAGCGCAGCGCCCGGAACGCAGGAATAGACTCACAGGTGAAGGGGATAAGAGCAATGGCGACGAAGGCGGGAATTGCGTCTCCTGGGTAGTCCCAGTTGACGTTGACCACATTCTCCATCATCAATGCGCCCACCACAATCAAGACCGACCCAGTCGCCCACGCAGGGATGTTGCTAAGCAGCGGCGCGAAGAAGATCGAGATGAAGAACCAGAAACTGGTGGCGATAGCAGTAAGACCCGTCCGGCCACCCTCGGCGATACCACCTGCTGAGTCAGTGCGTGGCTTAGGGGGCTTTGCGGCTGTAATTTACTCGCGCTTTCGACAAATGGAGTACAAGGAGAGGTGCCAAAGAAGAGACCAGAGATGGAGATGCACGCCGAGTCGACGAGGAAGGCCACCGAGCTGCCCTCAAAGTCTCCGTCTCGAGAATCGAAAAGGCCAGCCTGCTTGGACATGGCCACCATCGTTCCGGTCGCATCGAGCAGGTCGACGTAGAGGAAGGAGATCTGCTATCAGCTGGGAACTGTGCGAAGAGTCGAAAGCTTACCAAAGCAATCCAGACCTTTCCACTCTTGTAGGCGCTCCAGTCGATATTTCCGGGACCCAGCAGCGAGAAACCGCGAGCCGAGACGACGTTCTTGAAGAAGTCGAAGTTGGAGTCGCCGACAGTGTTGTAGGGGAACGCAGTGACGGCGGTGGTACGAGGCCAAGAGATGATAGCGACAAGGAGGATAGGCCAGAGCAGAGCGCCTACTATCAGCTTGGTTTGCGCACGGACCTAAATCCGACTCACCCTTGACTCGGTAGAGCATCAAGAAGATCGTGAAGACACCTCCGACGAACACGCCGACCCACACCTTGGGATCCTGGAGAACATGACTGTCACAGAAGCCAGTCACGGCATCCTTGTACTGCGCCGGACAGCCTGCGAGCTGGAGTGGGGTCGCGATACCGCCCGAGATGACGTTCAGCCCGCTCGAGGAGAGACCGATGATAGTGAGGAAGAGACCGATACCAACACCGATGGCCGAGGTGATCGACCGGGGCATCAGGCGAGCGAGCCATTGACGAAGACCAAAGATGGTGAGGAGGAAGAAGATGACGCCTTCGAGGAAGACGGCAGCGAGGGCTTGGCCATAGGTGATGGGACCGGTTCCCTATAGGTCAGCGGAGCTCTACCAAGGCAGAAAGGGACATACGTTGAAGCCGACCTGACTATAGGCGAAGTACGCGTTGACTAAAGATCAGCGTGATTCACGATTTAGGCTCTTGTGGCTTACCTCCAAGACCTGGGGCGAGACCCAGTGGCAGATTCCCGAAGAGACCCATCGTGAAGGTGGCGATCAGAGAGATGGCCGAAGTAGCGACGACATAGTCCCGCCTGAGCTCATTCTTGCACAGGGTATAGGCAAGGTTGGTAGCGCAGATAGGGTCGGCCGCGGTACTCGCGCATACACAAGGTCCACCAGTGTCCGAGAGGATGGAAGCGTTGACGCTGATGATCTGAAGGTCAGAAAGCATCTCATGAAGCTGAGCAGGTACTCACGTAGAGCATGGCAGCAGCCGTGACAGTACCCGCCCTTATCTCAGTCATGAACTTCGACCCAGGCCTCTCGAGAGCGTGGCCGCTCCCCTCGAGTCGGAACCATCTCCCTGCGAAACTCTTCGCGACGCGCTGGTTAATCCCTTCGGCGGAGAAGCGCATGATGATAGCTATGCGTAGTGAGTGTCCAGGGCGAACCTATACACAGAGGTGAGAGTGGTGAACAGACACGCTGCAGCTGGCTATTTTGACCATTTTGACAAGGCGTCCAGGCTGCTGGAAAAAAAGTTCGGCTCGGATAAGCTTTACGGAAGAGGCCGGTCCGGAGCCAAATTTTAGCGCGGTTTGTGATTGGGCGTGTCGCGTGAGCGATAACGATAAGGATCTTATCTCCGCTTTTGGCGGCCAAGTCCAAAGTACTGCCACAACTAATCCCCCATGAAAGCGGATTGTCCTCGCTGGCTATAGAGGAGCTACGGACACGACATAGACATAGACATCACCTCGACGACTGGCAGCGCGCCCTTTTAGCGCAGCCAAAACTCGGACACCGGGCAACCTAAACCCTCACTCACCTCTCAATCCATACCCCCTTTCCCCAACCTGCTCTACCGCCCATCCCTTCCCCTTCCTACTTACCAGGGACAGTACCGTCATAGCGGCTCCGCGATCATTGCTACTACCCCTTGATATCTACTCCAAAAGGCCGCGCCTCGTCCAGTCTGCAATGCTGCCCGATCTCACCATTCCCCGGACGTTCTGGCTGTGACGATTCTACCTTCACGTTTTATCCACTGACTTGGGGACGATGCGATCGCCTCGCAGTCGGCTCATACTAATAAGGATTACTCGACAAAATCGCTGCAACATATTTAGCACCTTTATTGCTCCATGCCAGTGATCGCCTTCAACAGGTCGTCGAACATGGACGGGTCGATACAGATCCTCCCATACGGAGACTGCGGCAGTCCCCTGATCCTGTCCACGATACCCGATGCCCTGAACTTCTCCCCTTCCCCCTTCTCATCAATCAACTCCCGTACCTCCGTCATCGCCTCCTTCAAGACCTCGACATTCTCCGCCACCATCTCCCGCAGCGTCTCATTCGGGCACATGATACACATGGTGCTGGCGCGCACCAGCTCGGAGAAGGCGTCGTACCTCGTCTCGTACATGTCCGACTTTTTCAAACCCTGCTCAACAGCCTCGACGAAGATATTCACCCGGTTGGCCATCGCGTCCGCCGCGTCGTCCTCGGAGCTGTATTTCTTGTACCAGTTCCTGATGTTGTCGTACATGGGCTAGACGTATTCTTCGAAATCGATTGGTGTGGCCATTTTGCGGGTGGGGCAATGAAGGGGAGTGGTCTAGTCAGGGGATAAGGGGGTGGGGAGAACGGGGGAAAGCTGACGCTTTGTCAGCTTGGGAGCGGGATGTCATCGGGAGGGAGTCAATTACTGACAGGTTGGTTAGGAGATAGCACCGCGGACTTCTAGATCCTTTAGACGTCTCCGTCTCGACTGCAAGTATGGCAAGAGGTCTGCAGCGGATATTGCTTGAGGTATGGCTCTTCGGCCAACTGACCTTTTGCGCCTGACTTTCTAACGGTGTGCCCGCTTGCTCCCGCACGAGCGGCGATGACCGGGTGGGGCTCCCAGCTTCTATGACGTGATTAATGACGATGCGCATCCGCTCTTTTGCTGGAATCGGCGGGATCGACGCGGCCGACAGCTTACGGTACTGATCGATGTCGTGCTTCCTTGGCTGCATCTGGACCCACCGCCTTGCAGCCCTGGAGCCCACACTGTCAGCCAGAGTCAACGCTGTCAGCATCGAACTGCCGCTGATGATGATGAGATACACACAGGCACAGCAGTGCCGAATCGAGAGCTTCTCGGGGCATCATCGGTCTACTCCTTTATCTCTGTCTCCCATATCAACACGACCTCCAATAGCTCATCGCTCTTCCCATCACCTGAGTGCAACGCGATCTCCTCTCATCTCACTGCTACTCCGCCGGTCGATCCCACTCACAACATCTCCCTCTTTCTCAGAGCCAGGACGCCATGACGGTGACGCTCACCTTTGATCCGCAATCGGTCCGCGCATCCCTCCATCTCTTGTTCCCCTTCGCCCTTGCCCTCGCTGGCGTCCACGCCGTATACGGATGGTTCCAGCTACGTCGGCATGCTAGGGTCAAGACCCGATCGGAGGAGAGTAGGAGCCCTGCAAGACGAGGGAGGACAGTGGAGCGGGGGCTCGAGCTGAATACTGGCGTAAGGCGGGACATCAAGGAGAAGCCGAAGGTGGAGGAGGCATCACCCTTTCCCGATCTTGTCAATCTGGATGTCAGCGAGGAGGACAAGTGCCAGGTCAGGGAGGATAAGAAGCTGTATCACATGCTCCAGAATATCGAGGACTACCCAGGTGAGCAGCCAATAATGTGAGATGGGCGCCTACTGACTTAGCAGAAAGCATTGTCCTCGCACGGACTCGCCTAAATCAGCTACTCGACCAGACCACTTCGGAAGCCCTCTCTTCATCTTCATCTTCCATCCTCTCGGTCCCTTCTCCCGCCGGTCTCGAGCCCTTCTTTGCGGCCAATCACAAGTCCGCTTCCTCGCGATATCAGGCGTACCTCGCTCGGCGGAAGCTCGGCTCCCCTCGTGAGATCTTCCCAACACGCGAGTTTGCGGTCGAATGGCTCAAGCTCGCCGCATGCGTCAAGTACGTCGACGGCTCCTGGATCGCCAACTCGGTCGGCGCTGGGCTGCGCTCGCTCGGAAGCAACGACAACGCGGACATCCACTCGTCCCGGACGGAACGGGACCCAGCCAAGCTCGCATGGCAGGTCATCTCGGAGGAGTTTGGGGATGGCGATCTTCAAAAGAACCACGTTCACGTCTACCACCAGCTCGTCCAGTCCCTCTCGGCTGGTGCTGCCAGCGGGGACGTAGCCGGGTTTGACGGTCTGGCGGGGGATGGCGGCTCCCCTCGCTGCTGGTCCGCAGCGGTCGCGCAGCAGTGCGTCGGCCTGCTCGCCGGGGCAACAGAGGGTGACTCATTTCCCGAAGCGCTCGGCTTCAACATGGCGTACGAGACCCTTCCCTTCCACCTCCTCGTCACCTCGTACGAGCTTCGCGAGCTCCGGATCGATGACTACTACTTTGCCCTTCACATCACCATCGACAATCCCGACTCGGGGCACGGCGCAATGGCTAGGCTGGCAGTCGAGCAGTATCTGGCAGGCGTGGAGAAGCGGGATGGGAAAGAGACAGCAGAGCGGATGTGGAGGCGGGTCCAGGCGGGAGTTTTACTGGCGGAGGGTCTGCCAACTACCCCGTCCGGACCGGTCGAGTATGGGTGGGATCAGGGAGTTCATCGCTGGCGTCCCATCCCGGCTGTGTCTCCCGCACCTGCCCCTCGGCCCGCCTCGTCCGTCGAACACAACATGGTCGAACTTCTTCACCGTAAGGCCAAGGCCTCGGAACACATGCACTGCCCCTCTCGCCTTCAATTCGCCGGTCAGACACTGGAGCAATGGCTCGACCCCATCGCCTGGACATCGGAGAGGGGACTCGCTTTCCTCAGGGCGCTGGCGGATAAGAGGCCGTGGGTGGTCAAGGGGGATGATGCCAAGAGTCGGCTTGTCAGGGAGCTGCAGTGGGGAGGGAGGATGTTTGGCGCATTCTCAGACATGGAGGTCAAGACTCTGCGGAGCTGGATAGTGGGACTAGGGGAAGATAGCGAGCTGTCCACAGTCGGAGCGTATCAACGATACATCGGCGAGGCGGTCACTCTTACTTCGAACACCAGTAGCGCCCAACTCACCGTCCGCACCGGCGATGCCCTTCACTCTACTGCGCCATCTCGCTTTTCCCAAGCTGCATCGACTCTCCTCCCGCATCCTACGGCCGAGACTCTCGACTTTGTCCTCTCTCGCCTCACATCTGCCTCCTCCCTTCCACCCGTATCGTCTCTCCCGTCGCACCTCCAAGCCGCCCTCCTTCTCACCTCCCTCTCCTTGCTCGATCTCTTCCCTCTCCATCCCGCCAAATTCGCCTCTCCCGTCGGCTGCACCGTCCTCCGCATCATTCGCGCCCAACTCGGTTTCCCCGCCTTGCATCGTACCGAGGATATCTGCTCGGGAACGGACGAGGTGGATTTGAAGGGATTGTGGGAGGTGGCGGAAGAGCACTTCAGGTCGGCAAGGTTCACTCTGCCTGGCTCGCTGGTCGAGCTAGCTGCTGTGGTGGAGGCGGATCAGTCGGCCGAGGCGAGGGAGGTGGCAGAATTGTGCGCGGATCTGCTCGTCCTGCGTTTGCACCCGTACAAGCAGGCGCCCCTTCTTCTTGGTTTCACGGCGGGGATGACGGGTATGTGGGATGCGGTCGTCGGCCAGGTGGCGATCGTCAAAAGGATACGAGGGGACATCGAGGCTGCGAGCATGCAGTATGACGCTGAGCAGCTGAGTGAAGGGGACAGGGCGCTATTCGAGGCGGGGAAAGCGAAGTTTCTGGGATGATTTGTAGCATATATCTGACTGGTAGGGTTTTCATGTGTATATTTAGCTGGTATCAGTAGGAAAGATGGATGGTATGAATTGCCAGTAAAGTGCCCATAGGACACTCATAGGACGTGCAGCAGCCCACCTACCACCTCCACAACACACCCCACACACCTCCACCTGGGACCTCCACCGGGCCGGTCCGGCCCCGCCCATCGACCAATCGCCTTCCAGGCTGTTCCATCGGTGGAAGAATGTCCCGGCTGCGAGCTTTTGCCACGCCGGAACGTTGTTTGACCGAAGATAGCTCGGTTATGAAAGCGCCCGGCTTTTGGCAAGATCCGGTGACTTGGGTCCTTCCATACCCGCGTCCCTTCCTTCTGTCCCTTCTTCGCTTCGCGTCCATCCTTCCAATTGGACTTCAGTCTCGGACTCCCGTCGACAGCCGTGTCTGCAACAGTAGGATACAGTGCGCCGAAGCCGCGGGGGCGGAGCGGGGGCTCCGGCCCGATCGACTGAAACAGCGGGGCATGTCAGGGCAGTCAGCTGATAGAACATCCAAAGTCCCTTTCGTTTCCTTTGTACCTCTTTGCGAAACAGCCTAAAATAGCACGATCGGCAACAGCAGGGGATGCATAACAGTGGGCCAGGGGCAAGACGAGAGGAAGACTTTGAGACGGGGCACCGGCTGAGATCCAGACTCGCCCGAAGAAGTTGAAATACCCGGTTAAGAGATTCCCACTTTGCAGCTGCTTACATGACCGCCGACGCGACTATATAACGGGCCCCTCTTGGCCCCGCTACTCCTTCTGTCCCGCTCACAAATTACATTCTTACCTGCGTTCACCATGTCCCACCACGACATCAAGGCTGACCTCGCGCACGATGAGGCGGCATACCCCGTCGCCAACAAGGCCGGGTCCGATATCTACGTCGATACCTACGTCGAAGGGACTCCCGAGGAAGCCCGTCTGCTCCGGAAGATCGATTTTCATGTGAGTCTTTCCCTCTGACGGGGTTAGATGCGATGATAATGATCTGGGCTGACGTCAACGATGATGCCAATGCTCTGGTAGGCCAAAATACCTATCCTATGTCGGTCTGGCCTGTGCTAATGTACAGGTTGATGTACATCCTGAACTACATTGACCGAACCAACATCGGAGTGAGTCTATTCTGATTCGCCCTCTTCAACCGCTGACGGGCAGAATGCCAAATCAGGCGGAATGGAGAAAGACCTCAACCTCACCTCTTCCGAGTACTCCCTCATTGTCTCCATCTTCTTCGTCTCCTACCTTCTCTTCGAGGTCCCAGCCAACATGATCCTCGCTCGCAGCCGACCCTCCATCTTCCTTCCCTCCATCATGTTCATCTGGGGTGCCATGTCTATCGGTGTCAAGGGTGTCGAATCCCTCGGCGGTATGGTCGCTTGGCGGTTCTGCTTGGGTATTGCAGAGGCTGGATTCTTCCCCGGTGTGATGCTCTTGATGTCATGTTGGTACAAGGTAAGTCGTCTATCGTCTCAAGCCGAACTCCGCTAACGGGGTGCAGCCTGCCGAGCTTTCCAAGCGCGTGGCCTTCTTCTACACTGCCTCCCTCCTCTCTGGCGCTTTCGGCGGTCTTCTCGCCGGCGGTATCATCACCGGTATGGAGGGTCTCTCCGGGACTAGGGGTTGGAAGTGGCTCTTCATCATCGAAGGTATGTTCTGCTCGGCTGGATCTAAGCGGACATCGCTGATATTTAGGTGCTGCTACCGCTCTGGTCGCCGTCGCGGCCTTCTTTGTCCTTCCCGACTACCCCGCCACCACCAAGTGGCTCACCGAGGAGGAGAAGGCTCTTGCCATCTCCCGCGTGTCGACTGGTCTCCAGGCCGGTGGCGAAGCCGAGATGGACCACAAGACCGCCTTCTTCGCCTCGGTCCGGGACCCGCGCACCTGGGGCTTCCTGATCGGCTACAACTTGATCACCTGCGCCGGCACTATCAGCTACTTCTTCCCTACCCTCATGGGTGCTCTTGGATACACTGGTTCTCAAGTCCAATGTGAGTCCATCATTGTCCAGACCGCGCAAGGCTGACGAGCGCCAGTCATGACCGTACCCATCTACTTTGTCGCTCTGGCCATCGCCATGGCTGCCGGTTTCAACGCGGACCGTACGGGACAGAAGGCCTACCATGTCATGGGCGCCTGCGCTGCGGGATGTGTCTCATTTATCGTCTGTTCGACAGTCTCGGACTTCAAAGTGAGTCGAACGGAGCGAAGGCACACGCTGTACTGGTCTACGTCTAGATTTAGCTGACGCCTTCAAGGTCCGATACGTTTTCATCTGCTTCGGTGGCGCCGGGATCTGGACAGCCGTCCCCATCTATTTGTCGTGGGTAGTAACGATGTGGGTTCCCGTTGATATCAGGAGTGGAGAACCGAGAACCATGCTGATAATTGAAGGTTTGAAGGTCGGGAGAAGCGCGCCATCTCGATCGCCCTCATAAACGGCTTCGGTAACCTCGCCTCCGTCTACGGATCGTTCCTCTGGCCCTCGTCCGACGCCCCCACCTACAAGACTGGCTTTGGCGTCACCACGGCTCTGCTCGGCAGTGCTTCCCTTCTGGCGTTCGGGCTCAAGTGGAAGTACGGGGACAGGGGTGTCATGGGTCGGGCGGCGCAGCAGCAGTAGATTGTAGGCATAATTAATCTGTTTATAGGGTCATTTGAGAGGGATGTATCTATCTGAGGGTCTCTTCTTGCTGCGGTGCTGTTACCACCAGATACAGATGGTGGTAGAAGAAGGTGTTGGTGTCGGAAGGAAGCACTGAGGAGATTTGAAACCCGTGCGTCGGATGTTTCACGTTACGTCACGTGTTTCATATCTGCTCTTTGCGTTCCTACACCTTTCAGCCGAGCATCCGCTTGTGCATAGCCCAGACGAGATCCCTCGATGTCCCCTCCCGTACCATCAGTACCTACAGCCTATACTGCCAACGCGATCACGCGAGAAATGGGAGACGGGTCTGCCTTGTTCCTACATCCCATTTGCGCACCTTCTCGCGATGACGAGACCCCCTTACAAATAGCGGGGAGCTCTCATACAAGGGAAAATGGATATGGCTTTACACCGGATACAATATGCCCAAGACTCATGCGCCGAAGGCCGCCTCAGCCGAGGCCTTCTCCGCCAGACTGCCTCTCGGCTCCCACGCATGTCCCGACTTGGTCTTCACCGCCCCCGCCTCGTTCCTCCTCTCCCCCGCTCCCCATGCCCCCCCTCCAGGCGTATGCAGAACCAACCTATCCCCAGCTGTCACCTTGATGCTCGCCTTGCCCCCGAGATTAACCTTGCGCCTGACCACCCCGTCCGACTGCTTCAGCCAGGTGTTGACGCCGACTCTGCCCTCGCCACCGCCGTTCAGGCCGTACGGCGCCCGGGACCGCCGTTCGGTCAAGAGCGAGACCTGCATGCCTTCGAGGAACTCGATATCCCGGATGACACCGTTGCCGCCGTGATGGAGGCCGACGCCGCCAGAGTCAGGACGTAGACCAAATTCGTGCAGAATGACGGCTAGATCATCAGCTTGCTGGTTGGAGCACGAAAGGAGGAATCTCACGGTATCGGCGTTCGAGGATCTCGGGATCGGTAATACGCTACTGTTCAGCTAAGTACCAGATCATACAGAAAGACTGCTTACGGTGTTGGTCATGTGGCAACTAGCAAGTCAGCCGGACTCCCCTGTGAAGCTGGATCAACTCACTGAACACCTGATGCTCCGTCCCAAGTCGGTCCCGCCCCACTGCCACCAGCGATGGTCTCGTAGTATCCCCATCCCTTCTTGACCTCGCCCGTTACCGCGTCCTTTCCTCCAACGCCGAAGGACAGATTGTTGCAGCATCCCTGACTAGCGGCGCAGGCCTGGAAGGCGAGGAGGACGACATCGGTGATACGCTGCGAGGTGAGGACATTGCCCGCGCAGACGGCCGCTTCGGGCGAAGGGTTCAAGAGGCATTCGTCCGGGATGACGACTGCCAAGTCAGCTCGGAGGATACAGGTGTAATCAGAGACATACTGGTCAGAGGTACGAGACAGCCGGCGTTCAGGGGAATATCTTGGTTGACCATAGCGCGCATACTGAAAGTCAGCACCTCCTGCATGAGTCACAGACAGCAGCTCACCAGTAGATTATCGCAGAGTGGACGACCGAGATAGGAGCGTTCAGGTTTCCGTTGACCTCTGCGCCGGTCCCGGTAAAGTCGAAAGTCGCATCGCCGGTCTTCTCGTCAATCGTGATGGCCAGGCAGATTGGCGAGCCATCATCGAGGAAGTCTTTGCCCTGAAGATCAGCACCGCCAAAAGGGGTGAGAGCTGGACTCACGTGCAAGACGTTGCTCCCAGCAGACTTGGCCGCAGCGAGCAGCATGTTGCGTACCGCTTGCTCGGCGTTTCTGTCCATCAGCTTGTGCCCCGCGCTCCCGATCAACAGACTTACTGCTGGATGTATGACATGTAGCCGTGTACGACAGGCAGGGTGTACTCGCCCACAAGCGAGTGAAGGAGCTGAGAGCCCTTGTGGTTGGCGGCAATTTGCTGCTAGTCAGCGGCATCCCCGTAGATTGCGAGTGACTCACCGCTTTGATGTCACTCTCAACATCGCGGTAGTTCCTACATCCGCTACCACCTGGGAACTTGGCCGGCTCCTCCACCAACAGCCTGTACAAGCCCTTGGCGTCGAGCTTGCCGCCAGAAACCAGCTTGAACGAGACGATCTCGGCGCCCTCCTCCGCCAAGAGCGTACTCGTAGCTGGCATGGACCCGCCGGTGATACCGCCGATATCCGAGTGGTGCGCTCGAGAAGCAGTAAAGAAGATGATGTCCCCTTCCTTGCCTGGTGTAGGGTCAAAGATAGGCGTGATGACTGTCAGATCGGGCAGGTGAGAGCCACCGGCGATGGGCGAGTTGGCGAGCAGCACGTCTCCTGCCTTGAGATCACCCTTCCATCGGTCAAGCTGGAACTTGACGGCGAAAGACATGGAGCCGAGATGGACAGGGATGAAGGGCGCATTGGCGACGAGGTCACCGGTATGGCTGAACAAGGCGCACGAGTAGTCGAGGCGCTCTTTGATGTTGGTAGAGATGGATGTCTGCTGCAGAGACCGGCCCATAGCCTCGGCTACGTTCATGAAGCGGTTCGCACTGCAGGTTAGTCTGCTTCCTTACCACATCTTGAGTGACTTACAAGAGACTGAGCGTGATCGGGTCATAGGGGATGTCGGACTGGATGACTGTCATGGTGGCGGTGGACGAGGAGGAGGTGCAGATGGGAGGTATAGGCGGTCTACTTGTTTCTTTTCTCTTGACACGACTGAGTGATGAGACCTCTGTCAGATATGGTCAGTCAGTGGATCATGGCTATCGCTAGCTGAGCATGCTATAGGCCGCGGAAGATGCACGATAGCTTGCTCCGGTCGTCTTCCTGGACCCTGTTCACAATCTTATCTTCCGGCGCCGAAATGATTGGCAAATACCTCTTCACTTCATCTCTGTTCCTCTTGGATAGCATGGCCTATGTATACTATCGCACTAACAGCTAGAGCTCCTAACCACCCATATCGCTGCTCTGCTTCCACACGTACAGCTCACCCACCGACGAAATGACATTTACACTCGTTCCCGACCACTCCATCCGGGTCGCTATCGACCGTGGAGGAACCTTTACCGATGTCTATGCGTGAGTCACCAGGAGAAACCCTGCTGATCTCCAGCTCTTGGCCCGACTCAGCCCGGCCTGACGGTCCGCGGAAGGAGACCATCACCAAGTTGCTGTCGCAAGACCCTTCCAACTACCCCGACGCTCCCACCGAGGGTATTCGGCGGATCCTCGAGACTGTCACAGGGAGGACGGTCCCTCGGGGAGAACCTCTACCCGTCGAGAAGATAGGTGAGATTAGTCGTACCCCTCATCTCTTTCCCTTAATCTGGTAGTAACGCGCTCCTGAGGTGCGCAGCTACTTGTCGCGACTCGGGCTTGGCTTCCCAACCGGCCTCCCCCTCGGAAGTACTTGACGTGCTGGAGTTGCGCTTATAGGCAGATACCGTCCGTCTCAGTACCACCGTTGCTACCAATGCACTACTGGAACGCCGCGGTACCGACCATGCCCTACTCATCACCAAGGGCTTCAAAGACCTGCTCGAAATCGGCAATCAAGCTCGCCCTCGCATATTTGACCTCCACATCAAAAAACCATCTACATTGTATGGCGACGTTGTCGAGGTCGATGAGCGCGTCACTTTGGTCGGGTACACGTCGGACCCGGAGCACGAGGCCAATGCCATCAAGTGGTCCGAGACCGGGGTGGAGCGACCCTATGGAGGCGAGGGGATGCACAAGGGCTTTGGCGGAGAGGGCATGGAGGTCAGGAAGGGTCTCAGTGGGGAGGCAGTCCACATCATGAAGCAGATCGACGAGGCTGCAGTCAAGGCGGACCTGCAGGCGCTGTATGAGAAGGGGTATCGATCCATTGCTGTGGTTCTTGCTCATTCGTAAGTTCGCTGCTGTCTTGTGGATGCTTGCGCTAACGTCCAGGTTTACCTTCCCCGACCATGAGCTCACCGTCGGTCGTCTCGCTCAAGAGGTCGGCTTTGAGCACATCTCGCTTTCTTCCCAACTACTCCCTATGATCAGAATGGTACCTCGAGGAGTGTCTACTACTGCCGACGCGTATCTCACTCCGGTCCTCGGTGCCTATCTTGACGGCTTCTACGCTGGATTCAAGGGCGGACGGAAAGGCGGTCTCAATGTGGAGTTCATGGGGTCTGACGGGGGGCTGGTCAATCTTGATGTGAGTGCTCTGCTGCTGGGGTGGGACGCGACTGACATACAGAACTTCACTGGGCTCAACTCCATCCTCAGTGGCCCAGCAGGCGGTGTCGTGGGCTACGCTCTGACGAGCTGGGACGAAAAGGAGAGGGCCCCGATCGTCGGGTAAGTCCACCAGCCTTGATCAGGACCAGGCTGACGGCTAGCTTTGACGTCGGAGGAACCTCGACCGACGTGTCTCGCTTCGACGGCAGATACGAGATCATCTACGAGACCACCACCGCCGGCATTTCCATTCAGAGTCCACAGCTCGACATCAACACCGTCGCTGCTGGAGGTGGATCCTGCCTCACCTTCCGGAACGGCATGTTCCACGCTGGCCCAGAGTCCGCCGGTGCTCATCCCGGTCCCGCGTGCTACAGGAAGGGCGGACCCCTGGCACTGACGGATGCGAACCTCATGTTAGGTCGGCTTGTCCCAAAGATGTGAGTTGGCTGGGCCTATGCAGCTTCGAGCTTGGCTGATCATTCAGCTTCCCTCAATGCTTTGGTCCAAATGAGAACGAGCCAATCGATCCGTCAGCCTCGCTCAAAGCATTCACTGCTCTTCAGACACGGATTGAGACCGAGACTGGCAATAAGATGTCCCTCGATGCTATGGTATGTCCAGCGCGTCCTGGGCCCAGACTGCGGCTGATGACCAGATCTACGGCTTCGTCAAGATCGCAAACGAGACCATGGCTCGTCCCATCCGGACATTGACTGAAGCTCGCGGCTTTGCTACCTCCAAGCACATGTAAGCCTTTCCCTCGATTGATGTGGCCCTAGCTGACAATAAGTCTTGCTTCTTTCGGCGGCGCAGGAGGTCAGCATGCTTGCGAGATAGCAGAGGTGAGTCCTCTATTCCCGATCAGGGACGGGAAGCTGATCGCTCAGAGCCTGGGCATCACCCGCGTGCTCATCCATCGATACTCCTCTATCCTCTCTGCGTATGGTCTGGCCCTTGCTGACCGGTACGTTCTCAAAGCTATTTCAGAAGGTAGAGCTGACATCGCAGCGTGTACGAAGTCCAAGAGCCCAGCTCATCCCTGTACAACTCTTCCACCACCTCTTCTCTCCACTCTCGCCTGGATGATCTGCAAAGCAGAGTCTCGACCGAGCTCCAGCGACAAGGCTTCAAGGCGGAGCAGGTGCAAGTTGAGAGACTACTGCATATGCGCTTCAACGGCTCGGACACGTCGCTCATGATGTGAGTAGCTACCCGATCAACTCTTTCCGCGCTGACCTGGCAGTCCCCAACCAGAAGGAGCCGACTTTGCCGAAGCCTTCAGAGTGGCGTACAAGCAGGAGTTTGGGTTCTTGTTGGAGAGCGACATTGTCATCGACGATATCAAGGTCAGTGCCACGCCGCCATCCCAAATGCTGGGCTGACATGATAGGTGAAGGGAGTGGGCAAATCAGCATCCTCAGCAGGTGCCTCGGTCTTTGAAGAGCTCAAGTCTCTCGAGACCAACACGGTCGACAACACCCTCTTCACCTCGTCTGGCGGTAAGGTCAGCAGCACGCAGGAAGTCTACGTCTGTCCCCCGGGCCAAACCTACGGCGAGCGGGTAGACATCCCAGTTTTCCAGCTGGAGAAATTGGACACGGGGGATGTCGTTGTCGGACCAGCGCTCATCATTGACGCTACTCAGACTATCTTCATCAACGCGTAAGTCGAGCCCCCCGCTCTCTCCTGATACGGGTGAGGGCATCGAGCTGATGGGACAGGACCTGGAACGCTGTGGTCACCAGTCGCCATCTACTTGTCTCGCGCTAAGTATCACAGTCAGATATTCTGACTTCACTTTGTAATAAATGCATGAATAGACTTATCTTGGAGGTGGCTACGGTCTCATGAGACGCTTGTTATCGGCTGAGAACTTGAGCGCCGGTCCTGGCGCTGTCTTCTGAGTAGACGAACTGCCACAGACCGACAGGATAGCTTGTAGCGGATCTTTTGCCAATCATCGACCGGGCCGAGGAATTCGTCCGGAGCGCTCATCTTGCGGCCTCACTGTACCTTATCCTACTCTTATCTTGTTGATAGACCACTTACTCATGCGCGAGCAGGTAGCATGTGCCAAGCAGCAGTGGCCAGCTTGACTTTGACTGACTCGACTCATACCTCTCAATTGCCGCCATGACCCTCCTCAAATCAGCAGACCTTCAGAATCAATCTGGTCTCGACGTCCGGCTCGCCTGTCGCTCTGGCACTTTTACAGGACCCACTGCTGGACTCTGCCCAGCGTACGTACAGGCGAACCTGATCGTACTGCCTGCAAAATATGCGGACGACTTTCGGGGGCTGTGCAGACGGAATCCTACGAGCTGCCCTTTACTCGGCGAGAACAGGGCGCCGGGGGATGTGAGGCTGCAGCAGCATCTGGCTGAGGACAGCGATATACGGCGTGATGCTCCGGGCTATAACGTGTGAGTCCTTCTGAAGGAAAGGATCTCAGCAGGCCTAGACTGAGTTGCAGATACCGGGATGGCAAGATCTTCAAGCAGAATGTCCACGATGTGAGCGAGTACTGGGAGGAGGACAGCGTAGCTTTCCTTAGTGAGTCCCGATCTCAACATGACGGTGCTGAGGCTGACTATCCAGTCGGCTGCTCATTCTCCTTTGAGCAAGCTCTCACAGCCAACGGTCTCATCCCGCGCCATCAGCTCCTCGGCCGTAACGTACCCATGTACAAGACCAACGTCCCGCTCTGTCCATCCGGAGGCGAGTGACGCTCCAGATCAATGAAAATCCGCTGATTTTGCAGTCTTTGGCGGGAACACTGTCGTGTCTATGAGACCTTACAAGGTGGAGGATATCGAGCGAGTAAGGGATATCACAAGACCATACATTGCGACCCATGGCGAGCCTGTCGCATGGGTGAGTCTCTTTGTGTGACACGGCGATTCCGGCTGACAGACAGGGAGCCGAAGCTGCAGCTCGACTCGGCATCGCCAACATCCTCGAGCCCGAGTTCGGAGAGGCGCCGGTCATCGAGGCGGACGAGGTGCCAGTTTTCTGGGCGTGCGGAGTCACCCCTCAGCTAGTTCTCATGTCTAGTCCAGCGGCGCAGGGGATCAGCATCGGCCATGCCCCAGGAGGAATGGTCTGCTTGGATATGAAGGTAGAGGACATGCTTGCGGCGTCATGATGGATGATACATATTGTATGGGTAGCTATTGAGATACGTCAAAGTTCCATGGCCAGATAAGCTCCTGATCGTCTCCTATGGGCGCCCCAGCGTTCGCGGCATCCGCCCAATTTGAAGGTCCTGGAGCAATAGGGTTCGGCGCCGGCTGTGACGAGAACGACCAATCTATTTCGTCGATTGCTTGGCTTGTGGGCGGAGGGAGAAAGGGGGTCGTGTTGGTGTTGGAGCCGAGCATGGCAAGGAGGGTTTGTAGGTAGTTGTCGGACGTGTCGGCACTGAGGGATCCGGGATGACCGAGAGCGATGTTGCTGGCGGTCCCTTCTGGAATACCGCGAGCTGGTCTACTATTAGCACTCCTCCTACATCCGACTCACATATTGGTACCCCACTCAGACGCGGGATTGGTGAGAACCCCAGAATTCTGGATGGTGGCAGCAAACCAGTCTAGCCCGCCCGCAAAGCTATCGGCGCCGATCATAAGCGTAGGTGCGGATGGCGGCTGGGCGAGGGGAAGTGGTATGGGTGCGGAGGAAGGTGAAGCCAGCGAGGCCGGTGCGCCGCCTTCCGAGGGTGAAGTAGGGGCCCGCTTCGGCTTTGGGAAAGGTCGGATCCCGCCCACTGGACTGGTGGGATCGGCGTACTCCATGACCAGAGCGTTGAGGATGTCGGCCTTGTGTCCCGCTGCGGGCCATGATTCTGCGACCAAACGTAGGAAGGTGACGCATTCGGTCGCTTGCTTGACTGCCGCAGACTTTGCTGAGGCGGTCCGATGCCAGACAGCAGCGAGCAGATGAGTGGTGCCCGCCATAAAGGCGATATTGAACAGAGTGGGGGGTGTATACCGCAAGCCGAAGCGAGAGTGGTATGTGCGAAGAAGGGAATTGATGCGGTCCGCAGATCGGTCGCATCGCTGAGATCAGCCCAAGAACAAGGTGTAGCTCACCGTTACTGCCGTTCCTAAAATGGTATCAATGATGTCAGACCGACCGTGTCCCGAGATCGAACGGTAGTATGGCCGGTAGATGAGGATGGTGAGCCATTCCTTGGCGAGCTGAAGGGCGATAATGTGAGGCAGGGCGTTCTTCTGGGAATGTCCGTTGAGGATGAGGGCGGCGGGCAGCGCTTCGTTCCAGGAATCAAGAGCCACACTGCGAGTCAGCTGCGGATCCACATATCCGTGGCCAACTGCATCACACACCTGAGCTCGCTGACTTTCTGCTCGCTGTGACTCCGACCGTCCGAGGTGGGCGAATAGCTGAATATCAGCACAGCCCATCTACTTCTACCCACAATGCCGTCATCACTTTCTGCATGATCACAGTGAGCTTGGCGGTCTCTGCAAATGTGGTGCTGTACATCGAGGGCTGAGGAGGAAGATGCCGGTCGGGAACCTCCAAGTTGTGCCAGGTCCAGGGGAGGTCGTCAAGGGTAGGGTCAGGAACTGGCAGGGGAATACTGCGGGTCAGCTCCACATTCTACTTCACCTACTTGTAATCTTGAGCGGCGTGGGGTCTACCGATATAGACAGCCCAGCATTGCTCTTGGACGAAGATCGTCCAGAATGTGTTCCGGCGCTGAGCATCAGCTCGACAGCTTGCTGAGACTTACGAAGTCCATCTCAGTCGCCGACATCTTACCGCTCGTAACCAAGTCCGCGCAATTGACATTCAGGCCGACTTTGGTCAGCTTTGCCATACGATAGACTTACGCGACAAGCACACCCTCTCTGCCATCCCAAAGTACGCCCAGCCACTCGTATGATCCCCCAGCGTCGAGTGCAGGCTCGACTTGAGCGCCAATCCCTGCACCGTGGCCAAAGTAGGTCGAGCCAGCTCCGCCGACAGGTATCGCTCAGCCTGCTCTGCGAATACCGCCCGAGTATCGGCATGCGAGAGGTGGTCTTCGTCGGCCCACATTAGAGCTATCGACAGGATAATGTTGTGGAGGAAAGGCGAGTAGTGCGAAAACCTCGCAGGCGGCGTATTCGGCGGTAACATGACCGCGCGCATCATATCTTGCTTGAACAGCTCTGGGGACGCCCGCATTCCCCATGAGGCAAAGAAGCGGAAGAAGCGGTCGAGGATGGTCGAATGTTGAGCCTGGGTCAGGTCGACTGAGCGAGGGAGGTATAAGCGGTAGTCGTGAGGTCGGTCGGCGAAACTTTCGAGCCGGCTAGTCATGGGCGAGCTGCTGATAGGCGGAGCGTGGGAAGAATGAGCGTAGGCGCTGGTGGGACCGTGGTAATGGACATCTTCCCCAGCATCGCTCATCTGGAAATCAGCGCGCGCCGAGGCAGGGAGTCTAAATTCTCACCCGTAGATGCAGCATAGTCGACGCCAGTCCATCATGCTCCGGTTCGTCATCCTCCTCCTCATCCTGGGCATCTGCCTGCGGTACCTCGCCCCCGCGTCCCTTTAGCGCCGCCTCGAGTATCTTGATTCTCTGTTGTAGGGCGTTCACATAGAGCCTTGATGCAGGTTTGCGAGCATCATCATCTGCTCCCCATACGCATTCATCCTGTTCGTCAGCCAAAATCACTTGAACAATCTGCTTCACGACTAACTTTGAAAGCCAAGCACGTCTCGCAGGTAGGTGGACTACCACTGCATCGACTCTTCCTACTACTGTCAGACACTGCTCTTGTCCTTGTTCAACGTTCAAGCTCTTCATCGCACCTGCGTCGACATGGCAGACAAGCCTTTCCGGCGGCTGCCTTTCGCTTTGCTGTTCCCGAAGATGGACCCGGCGTGGCATTTGACATGCTGCCTTTCTCGTCTCAGTCAAAGCATACAGCGAGCCGGAGAGTCAGTGCCAGTCGTTGATCAGTATGATCGACTGCATCAGGTGCATAGGTTAGGGAGATAGATGGTCGAAGATAAGGCTGGTCAGCAGGGCTACCGAGATCCGGATCATGAAGCCATATGCCATGCCGAGATGTGAAATTACCCCGCAAGACCTTTGATCTGCCCACCCCGTTCAACTTCCGCTGCTATCTACCTTCATCCAGTGAAGATAGCGAGCTGAAGGAGTTGTATATATCATGCGAGAGCTGTTCTGATACTGACGGACTCGCTTTCTTACCCATCTTACCGCTGCTCATCCCGCCACCATCAACATGAATCACTCAGACAACCTTGTAAGCGGACAGACTTATTCACTCCGCGCTCGAGTTGACATCCCAGGACGGCGAGAAGACTGGCGGTACCTCGGCGCGGTCACTCCCCATCGATAACGCCGAGTACGATGCGGTCGTCCCGCTTGACCCGAAGGTCGAGAAGAAGTTGCTCCGTCGGATCGACGGATTCACCATCTCCATTCTTGGCGTGAGTTGATCCAAGCTAGGTAGAACTAAGCTAATGAGCAGGCGCTCTATCTCATGTCTTTTCTGGACCGAGGAAACATGTGAGTACTCTCTTCCAGTCTGATAGCAACACTGACAAGATAGTGGAGCAGCCAACGTCGCAACTCCGTCCATCTCGCAGGCAACAGGACTAAGTCGTGAGTGTGGGAGTCCGACAGCGCTGACTGTCAGCCGAGCAATATGGCGCTGTCGTTAGTGTAGTCTACGCGACGTGAGTCTCGGCCCAATCCCATCTGGCGCTAGCTGATTAGCAGGTACGTGGTGTGTGAGCCAATCTGGGCCAACCTGCTCAAGATCCTTTCTCCCAAGATTGTTTGTAAGTTGAAGTGCTCGTCAACTCATGCTGACGTCTCAGTGAGCGGAACGACCCTTGTATGGGGCGGTCTCACTCTTGGAACCGCATGGGCCAAAAACTACCAACACCTCATGGCAATTCGAGTGCTCTTGGGTGTCTTTGAAGGTATGTCCGCTGATTGACTACGCTGACCTTCAGCTGGCGTCTTCCCCTGCATCACAGTGTAAGTGACCTCATTGGCTGGGTCTGACTTTCAGATACGTCCTCATGAACTATCGACGCGAGGAGGCTGGCCGTCGCATGTCCTACATCTTTTCGTGTGCTGCTTTTGCCGGGGCGGTCGGAGGTCTGATTGGATTCGGTCTGGTGCGAATCGAGACTGGTGACACGGTCGGCTGGCAGTATCTTTACATCGTAAGTTTTGCACTTGAGCATGTCCCCAGCAGCTGACATATTAGGTCGAAGGCTGCTTGTCCCTCATCCTCGCGCCCATTGCCTACTTTTGGGTCCCGAACCGCATGGATAAGGCCTGGTTCCTCAACGCCAAGCAAAGAGAGCAAGCCATGGTCCGATACCAAGTCAACAAGGCCGACTACAATGAGGAGGAGCAGTTTGCTTGGGCCGAAGTCAAGAAGGCGCTTCTCGCGTGGCCGGTGAGTCTTTCTATGACTGGCGGGGCGCTTGCTGACTATCAGGTGTATGCTGCCGGTACCATCCAGTTTTGCGCAGACATCACTCTCTACGGTATCTCGACATTCATGTAAGCGCCTCTCATCTTGCAACGGGCCAACTCTGACGACCAGGCCTCAGATCATCCGAGCCATGGGGTTCAGCAATGTCAACGCTCAGCTATTGACCGTACCTGTCTATGTCTGGGGCGCGTCAGTCTTCATGTTCGTTGCGTGGTTCAGCGACAAGTACCGCATGCGCAGTCCATTCATCGTTCTCGGCTTGTCCCTCAACTTGCTCGGTAAGTGCCATTTCCACGTCATTGGGGATTCGCTAACGCCCAGGCTACATCCTGCTTGCGACCATCGAGTCTGTTGCTGGGCGATACACCGCGCTCTATGTCATCTCGGCCGGGATCTACATCACACCCGGGCTCAACGTCACGTGGATAGGTGAGGACTTCGTACACGGATCTTGGCAATGCTGTTGCTGACATTTAGGCGGTAACACCAGGGGTCACTTCAAGCGTTCGACAGCTGTGGGTCTCAACCAGCTCATCGGTAACTCAGCTGGTGCCGCGTACGTCACTCGCTAGTATCGCTAAGCGTCGCTGACCTTGCAGTATCGGAACGATCTACCTATCAACGCTTGCCCCGCGCTACCTGCAGTCGATGTACATCTCCATGGGCCTCACCGCAGTGGGCATCGTCACCGCTGTCGTCTTGGTGAGTTTGGGGAACCTCGGCGGCGTCTGACCTAGCTGATCAACTAGGGCCTTCACTTTAAGCGTCAAAACGGGATCAAGCGACAGCTCGTGGCCGAGGGGGCTCCGGACCAGCCTGAGCTTGGTGACCACAATCCCCATTTCCAGTGAGTTCTGCTCCACCTTTAGCCTACTTACTATTGCTGATGGAGCTAGATACATGATCTGAGCCGGACTCTGGGTATCTGTTTCAGGAGGGCAAATATAGCTTGCTATATAGAGAAGGAGAGAATGAATCTTGTATATATCTGCGGATCTATGGGCCTGTGCACCACACCGAGGCTTTGAGTAAGGTCGACCCAAACTTCTCGCCTCACTTCACGAGCAGGGCAACCTCGCCGAAGTCGATGGGAAGGCTTGGACAGCGCCTAGACTTCGGGAAGTATGGGGCTGCCATGCGCGCTGATTGAGGCTGAATACCAACGCTCATAGCGAGAATACCAATCCGCTGCTTCGGAGAAACCCTGCGCCGACCCGACCGGCAAATAACGGCCCGGAAGCGGACTCCGGTGCGCCAAGGTCCATCGAGCAGCTCGAGAGTAGAGGGTCTGGACTACTCCCTACTTCATCCCTCATCTAGTCAGAACATCATGCAGTCCGCCGCTACTCTCAAGAACGCCCTGGCCAAAAAGCAACCCGGAATCGGGTTTTGGCTCACGTTCGTCCCTTCCGCTCCAGCTGCGGACTTCCCGCTGATCACCCAGATTCAATGCCCCCTCGATCTGCAAGACCATCCTCGCTGGGGGCGGGTTTAATTGGGCTTTGATCGATGCAGAGCATGGTCAAATCACTGACTCGGACTACTACGCCGTGAGTAGCAATCTCCTTCCCAGGGCACCGAGGATGAGCTGACCATCCCAGCTCACCAACCTGGTCGCTTCCTCAGGAGCTAGCCCGATCATCCGCGTCCCCTACGACCTGGAGTGGATGATCAAGCGCGCGCTTGACTCTGGAGCTCATGGTGTCATGACACCGATGTGCCACTCTGCGGTCCGTTACACCTCACGCTCTAGCTGCGCATACGCTGACTTGTGCAGGATGACGCTCGTCGCATCGTGCAGTACTCCAAGTACCCTCCCCGCGGAACCCGGGGCTATGGTCCCATGTTCTCAGCTCACTCGTTCGGCTTGCAAGAGAAGGAGTATCCCGCTGGAGCCGATGACAACCTGCTCGTGATCGTCCAGATCGAGAGTAGGAAGGCGGTGGAGAATGTCGAGGAGATTGCAGCTGTGGATGGAATTGACGTCCTCTTTATCGGTGAGTTACCCGGTCCAGTCACGCATGTACACAGCTGAATCATACAGGCCCCTATGATCTGAGCAAATTCCTCAATGTGCAATTTGGGTCTGAGGAGCACGAAGCTGCTATCCAGCGCACGCTCAAGGCAGCTAAAGCAGCTGGCAAGACCGCTGCCATTTTCTGTGAGTTACAGTCCCTGGCTGTATCTTTCGAGCTGACTCTTCAAGGTACCAGTGGGGAACAAGCGAAGATGCGACTCTCGCAAGGTTTCGAGATGGTCTCGATCGTCACGGATGTTGGCGCTCTTGCGGCGGCGTTCGACCGGGAGTTGGCAGCCGTACGGGGCGTGGAAGTGGGGCAAGCGAGGAGTGCGTACTGAGTGATATGCAATAGCAGAGATCTGAGTGAGATACACTTTGCCTACGGAAGATGTGGCACGAGAGGCGGGTCCGAACGTTGCGGGACCTAGGTGAGAGGCAGCAAGGGGCAGGGAGTCTTGATGAAAACAACCATCTATATCTTCTACATGAGACTGTAACGTCAGCTCTCCATCTCCGTTTTTGAGATTCGACTCACCTTATACCAACAATTTAAGCAGCGACGCTGATTTCTTCTCCTTCGCTCAAGGCCCTCGCTCCATCATTGCCCCCCCAACGCTCCGTGCGCGATATCCCCAAACGTGAAAAAGTCCCACTGATTCCCTTCATCCGGCGCATACCCCATACTGAACATATCAGAGAAGATGTCAGGTTGCCGCTGGCCATCTGGGGGAAGCTGGCCGAAGAGTTGTTCGATATCGGTGAGGGTGGGGTTGGGATGGGGCTGGGCAGGGAGTTCCGAGGGTTGTGCAGAAGGGGAGTGGTGTCGAGTACTGACGCGAAGGTCGTTCGCAATGCCGCTAATGAATGCCAATTGCAAGGCGACGTTCATGGTGATGCGGTATGTCGGAGCGAGACGGGTTTGTTGCGCAAAGGATATGAGTTGGGATGTGGGATCCCGCAGGGCGGCGGTGGTAGCATGATCAGGTTGCCCTAGCGCGTGTAGAGAGGATACCATGATGGCGTGCTGTATGGCGTAGAAGTCAAGCCAGACCGACCCTTCAAGCATGCCATTATTTGCGAGGACAAGGAGCTTCTCCACCGATGCCTGCGCTGCCGCGAGGCACAGTCCAGCTACCTCGTCTATCTGCTCCGGCCTCCCGCTATGCTTGATGTCTTGATTGACCCGGCAAAGCAGGAAGGGCCGGCAGAGGACAGACTCGAGATAGTCTGCCCAGACGAGGAGAAGGGTGGATTGCCGGAGGGGAAGGAAGGGTTGACCGCTTGTCAATTCCGGCTGGTGGACCATGCGCCATGCCTCGATTTGGCTGTGTATGGCCATGACGGCTGGATACCACTCGAGCAAGCGGACCGGGTCCTCGTAGTGAACCGATACCACCGCGACGGCCTGTTTGATCCGGACGATGACGCGCGAGAGCGAGACTTGCCTCTCAAAGTGATGGGTAGGGAGACCGATGCTGGATTCGAAGGAGGGTTCTGGCATACCGGCATTGACGTTGAATGCGTCGGTGAACGATGGACGGCCGAGAGCGAGGGAGAGGAGTTGTTCGAACAGGTGCAGAGTCCACCAGACGGTACGACGGATATTGCGTTCAAAGGGGTCAAAGTGGTTGTTCTCCCCATCCCGGTGGAGACCGAGCGCGACGCCGGTGCGGATAGCCTGGCCGACGAGGATCCACGCCGTGTTGCGCTCCCCCGCATTGTGCTGATACAGCGATAGTAAGAGAAGCGCCTGGACGTTGGATAGGGTCGAGGTAAGGACGAGCCGACCGAGACCGTCCCGAATGACGCTGGAGAGGTATTCCTCCTGCAATTCCCTTGCTCCCGCCATCTCCCCCTCCAGCACCTGTGCCCCGAGCGTGTATACCATATGTAGCGTGCAGGCCCAACCTGGCTCCTTCGGTATACTGCCAGGCTGATATCCTCCCTCAAATTTCACCTGGAATGCGCCTCGATGCAGGATGGGCAGATTGGCATGTACGCGGTCAAAGTACGCCGCGACGAGTCGGTCGGCGAGGGCGCGCTCGAGCCGCTGGCGGCCGAGACCGTCCCGAGGGGATACGCCAGCATCTATGGTGGCCGAGGGAGAGGCAGCAAGGGTGGCAGGATGACCCTGGAGGTTCGCCTCGATGGTATGGCTGACCTTGTAGGTGGTGAACTCGGTCGCCTTGAGGTATCGCCGTAGACCCGCCTCGTCAAATGCAGGCTGATTGAGCATGTTTGACTTGCCGATGATCTCGCGAGCGCACCGCGCGAAGAAGACGAGAGACGAGGAGCCGACATAGTGATGACCGCCTCGTGGAGCAGGAACGAGCCATCCCTCTGGGACCTCAGATGGCTCTATTAATGGCCCGCATATCGCCTCACTCCCTTCCCCTAAGTCTGAACCTGCTTTCCCCTCCTCCACACCCAGTCTCTCCGCCAGTGCCGCCAGTCCCGCCAGACTATCGGTGTCATTGTCGGGGTAGGCCTTGCGGACAATGCTGTCGAGGAGGGCGTAGCGAGCATTGGATTGGGATGCGGTCGGGCGGCGTTTCCGAGGTAAAGTGGTCCTGCACTCTGTCTCGGCCTCCTGACAAGATGTGCATATGGACGTCTCGGACGCGCGTATACAGCGGCGCTTGCGCGTCTTGCAACGATCACAGCTGGTCTCGATGCGCTGGCGGAGAGCGTCAGGGACTTTGCGGCGCCGACTCGTCAAGGCTGTTCGTCAGCCATATTCCCGCCAGCAGAGAACGGCAGACCTACTCAGCTCCGATGTGTCCCGCGAGGATGACGCTTGGGGTGTCGCGAGGCCGTCCGTCGACATGATTGCCAGTGAGGCGGATTGACAATGAACAAGCAGTCATGATCAAGAGGGAGTTAGGATGGGAACTTCCGGAACGATCTTGGCGATAGATCAGGCGGATAAGTACTATGCTCTATCCGCCTCCGGTCTAGACCTTCCCCCGCCCAGACTGGTGCATACAAGTATATAGCATCAGGTACCTGCATACTGACCCTGACCCTCTGATCCGACTTACTCACTACACCTCACCGTCATGCACGTCCTGGTCACTGGCGCAGCCGGTCTTATCGGCTCGAATGTCATGGTCGCACTCCTGAGAGCCGGTCACAGTGTGACCGCGACCGACATCAATCCCCTCCCTCCTGTGGTCTCAGAGCAGGTCGAAGCCTTCGCCGATCGGGTGCTCACCCGCACCGGCGACCTCACATCCATCACTTTTGTCGACGAGCTCTTCGCCAAAGCGTCAAAGCCTTATAATGCAATCATGCACATCGGCGGGATCCGCAGTCCAGCAGGGCTCGACGCTCGGATCGTCCACAACGTCAATACGGTGGCTTCGTACAATGTGTTGGAGACAGGAGCGAGGTTGGGGGTGGCAAGGATGGTTCAGGCTAGCTCCTGTAATGCGTTGGGACTGAGCTGGACGATGGCTGAGCATTGGGGTATAGACTATGTTCCCCTGAACGAAGAGCATCCCATGAGACCGGTAAGTACTAGCGCGCTGTCTCAGCGGACTGGGCTGACAGTACAGGAAGACCCCTACAGCCTTTCCAAGCTGTGAGTTTAGTCTATATCCAGCTGACTCCAGTGCCTGCGAAGAGCAAGCCGCAGCTATCTGCCGCTTCTACCCCAAAACTCGTATCGCCTCCATCCGCATGCACTTTACCCGATCCTCCATCAACGAAACCACATCCAGCGTCAAACACACCGGCTTGTGGTCATGGTCATCCGTAGATGCTGTCGTCCGGGGCTGCGTGCTGGGTCTGACGTCGGAGGGGTGGACTGGAGCGGAGGCATTCCACCTTGCAGCCAACGAGATCTTCTACCCGGCCTCGTTGTCGGACGGCGTGGAAATTTCGGCGCTGAACCTGCTGGAGAAGCACTGGCCTGGCAGGGTGAAGGTCGTAGATAGGAGCTGGTGGGATGGGAATCCAAGGAGATCCTTCTTTGATACAGCGAAGGCCCAACGTATGTTGGGGTGGCAGCACGATCTGTGAGATGAATGTTATTTGCTACAGCGAGCCTCGAAGATATCGATGCATAGATGCTTACAACAGCTCGCGGTACACCTTATGATCCATACGCCCTGAACCCCCACACCAGATTCTCGTAGATACAAAACAGGACCGCCGTGCCTGGTAATATGCGAAGCGCGTTCGTGCCTAAACCCTTGTAGAAGGCGAGGAAGCCTTCATTGCGGTATGTAGCGGCGATGACGGACGGTATGGTAACGCGAGGTTGGGATGGAGACGGTGAGGCGTTCTGCTAGGATCAGATATGGGCAACGTATGAAGGTAAGAGGTCTCACTTGTATTCTTGCTCGCACCACCTGGTATGGGTACGTCAGAGCTATAGCTACAGTCTTGGACGCGCCAGACGTCAAGATGTATTCTAGATTTGACTGGTCTGTCAGCGATATGCCGTGCGTGATATCCAAGCACCACAAGCAGCGAACACACCAGCTTCTCATCCTGTATCCTGAATTCTTTCTCCGACTTCTGAAATTTCCGTCGCTTTGCTTCTGTACGCCGTCGCTTGAGATCCTCGTACGTTGCGAATTGTATAGAGCCGTTCGATACCCCCACCAAGGCTAGTAACGACCCCTTGTAGAGGCCCCTCATCCCCTCGGTGCGGTAAATCCCGGTCAAACCATCTAGCGAGTTAGCTTTACCGATATGAGATACGGGCAGACCTACCCCATAATCCCTTATAAGCGGTACTGTCTGTTCGAGCTGTCCCAAATACTCTTGTCTTGACTACCCATATCGGATTTGTGAGCATGGCCACTGCCGCACCTGAGGCATCAGTCACTCGGCCCACATTGTCGTCTGCCAGCTCCAAGACTCACTAGCTTCTGCAGCAGCGAGAAGGTGCTGTCCACCCGAAGTCCTGTTATTTGGGTCGCGCTGCTGCATCTGCTTCTTGATCGTGTTATAGCTGCAAGGTCAGTCATCTTGTTTGAACCCCATCAGACTGAAAACTCACAACAAGAAGTACAGCCCCCAGCTGCTAGCGCTGCCTACCAAATTTGGCGATAGTCCCCTATACAGCCCTTTCCACCCATCCGCTCGGACCGCATCTTCTAAAGCGCCATACACCGCCCGACCAAATCCAGGTCTTTTGCTCGTCATTGAGGACGAGGCTAGCGTATTTCCAGCCAATTGGAAGCGGACCTTGATCAGGTCTAGCGGGTGCATGATGAGGGTGGCCACGGTTCCTGCTGTGAAGCCGGCCACAGCATGATCCTGGATCTCTTAGCTCCGAACGCGATCGGAGTTCAGTGGCTTTGAATACTCACGATTGAAGGGTCTCCGAAGAGGCTCGGGGTCACCGATAATGGCTGTGAGACCGACATGCTGATACCAAGACGAAGAGGTTGAGAGCGAAGAGCAAATTCGGGTGAAATTCTCAGCTCGCGACCTAAGTTACGCACGGACATCAAACAGCTACGGTATGCATATGATGAAACACAAGGGGTACTGCCGCCTCGCTTCCATGGCTGATACGAGGAGCAAGGTGACCTTTGTGCGCTAGGACGGGTAGTCAGGTCCAAGGAATTGAGCGAGAAAAGACGACTCTGGTGCTGTAAGACATTCAAAAGTTACCAAGATACAATGATATCAAACTCCCGGCCTCCCGTGAGCGATCCCCATCCGTAGTCCTTCCATGCTGCACCCTCTCCATCCATTCCAGCCCCTAGTAGACGTAGACGAACATCTCGTTGTTGAAATCAGTCCTATCCTCCTGCGCTTTGGCATCCGCCTCCGACAGAGTAGATGGCTCCGCCTGGGTGTACTTCCGATCCATCGAGGTGTCGTGGATCTTGCGAGGCTTGCCCAGCGCTGCCCGCTGCGCCTCCTTCTTCTTGTTGAAGGTGTAGAGGCAGAAGACCTGAGCGATGACCGCGGCGAGAAGGACCGCTTGAGAGATCATGAGGGACCGAGCCCCGGGGAGGTACCGAGGGGCGTCGCGGGCGTCGAGCAGGAGGGGACCGGTCAACTGACCCGTCGCTTGGGGTCAGCAACTTCCCCGTGATATGTATTAAGAGGACCCACCAGTGGCGCAGTTCATGAAAGACAAAAGAGTAGACTTCTTGGTCTGGCCACCAACGTTTGCGATAGCCCAGGAGTAGATGATGGGCGACGATCCGAAGGAAAAGGCGAGGAAGTAGTACCCGGTGAGGGCGAGGGGACGGTTGAGCTCATCGGGGAGGTTGCCAAAGTAGAGCATGAGACCTCCTGCCAGACCGAGGAGAGCGAGGGTGACGACCATGGCGGACTTGATCTTGAACCGGGCGGCGGCATAACAGCCGAGGAGGATAGCGACCGCTTGGAGGCAGCCAAAGGGGATATTGAGGAGGGTGGCGTTGAATGAGTCGTATCCCATACCCTTGATGAGGGTAGGGCCGTAGGTGTTGGCAACGTGGGCGCTGATGTTGGGGATGCAGATGAGGGAGGCAAAGAGCCAGGACTTGGGGTCGAGGAACATCTCACGGACTTGCGCCCACTTGAAGATCCTCGAGCCCTGCCCAGTCTGGTTGGCCCGGAGCCGCTCGATCGCCTGGTCCCGCTCGTAGTCGTCCTTCCAGAACCGAGCGGAATAGACATCGTTGTCCAGACGATACCAGACGATGGGAGCGGTGAGGACCGTGATGAGACCGGCGGAGAGGTAGAGACCTTGCCAGGGACGGAAGCTGGAGTTTGTGTGGCCACTGCGATGTCAGCTAGGTTAAGACAGAAGAAGGGTAAATTGAAACTCACAGTCCATAGGAGACGAGGGCGGCCACGATAGTAGCAGCCGAGTTGGTGATGAACCAAGCGCAGACACGGAGGGGTTGCTCGTTGCGCCGGTACCAGGTAGCGGTGAGCATTGAGAAAAGGGGGATGTTGGCCGCCTCGAAGAGACCGAGGAGGAAACGAGTGGCAAAGAGACCGCCCGAGTTGGTGACCGCGGACATGCAGGCCGCCGAGGTGCCCCAGCAGAAAACGAAGATGGTCATGAGGTACCGAGGAGGAAAGCGGACAATAATGAATGCCGAGAAGGGTTGCCAGCAGAGGGTAGCGATGGAGGTCATGGACGAGGCAAGACTGTAGTCCTGCTTGACGAGCCCGAGGTCGGTGGACAGACCAAAGGTATTGCCGTAGCCGAAGACGGTCTTGTCGTAGATCTGGAGGAAATACACCCAGACGAGGAGGGTGAGGATGTACTTGTCGGTCTTGCGTCTGATCCGGACATTCTACAAGTCAGCTCGGCACAGCTAAAGTGTACTGGACACTCACATCCTCCTCCGTCAGCGTAACCTGCTCGACGACATCGCCCTTGACGTCCTCGGGGTCCTCAACGTGCGCGGTATGCGCCTTCTCCTCAACCAGCATGGGAGGTGCGGCAGTGATGGGGTGGATGGGTTGGCTCATGTCGGCTGGGAAGGATGGTCTGGGGTATCCTCCGGGACCCCGGACGAGCAGTATATATATGATCTGCCAGGGGTTCTGCGGGGAGATTGTACGCTCGCACGCCGAGGTGGAGGAGTTCTCATTTGAGAGCTTGGCAGAGGGCATGCGGGCGGATGGAAGTCGGCGCCGACACGATGTGGTGAGGCCGACATAGCAGCAGCGACAATTGCGCCGGAAAGGTGGATGCTCGCTGTTGTCGGATCAGAGGTTGCACTTACCCGCAGCCTCACGGAGCGGCTGTCTGTCTCCTTCGGATCCCTTCATCGTTCCACATCCGCCAAGATGCAACCCGGAAAATCCTCGGATGTGAGATCAGGGTGCCTGAGACACACTCCTTACGGTACGCAAGCTAAAGCTTAAGCTCGCCGCGCTCACCGGTCACCAGCCTATGCTGGCTGTGCCGTCGGGCGAAGATGCCTCTATCCGCCTTGACATGCTCATCACCCGCCCTAGCAGGGGCGGCTCGGCGGCTATTCAAACGGTCAGTAGAATGATTGCTGATATATAGACAGCATTTAGGATTGCTCCCCCTTTTGTCGCTACACCACCCCTACCACCACGCCCTTGAGCCTATAACCACTGCCCACACATCCCTGCCTACTTATACACACAATCACAATGGCTATCAACGGTCTGAACGGCTCGAATGGCACCAATGGCCATGGCGAAATCGGCTTTGACCTCCGCGGTGTGTCCCCCGCCGCCGTCACCCCCTTCACTCCCGAAGGCGCCATCGACTTTGATGCCATCGACCGGATCGGCAAGTTCTTCCTCGGCGTCCCCAATATGAAGTCCATCCTCGTCCTCGGTCACGCCGGCGAGGGAACGGCGCTCACGCAAGAGGAGAAGGTGCAGTTGATCAAGGCGTTTGTCAAGGCGGTAGAGGGGCGGATTCCCATCATTGCGGGCATCACCTCGGAGGGGAGCTATGTGGCGGGGATCGAGGCGAAGGCGGCGAAAGATGCAGGGGCTTCAGCGGGTCTCGTCTACCCCTCCCACGGCTGGCTCCGATTCGGCTATCAGAAGGGCGCCCCCCAGCAGCGGTACCAGGACATCTGGAACGCCTCTCACCTCCCCCTCATCCTCTTCCAATATCCCCAGGCCACCAAAGCCACCCTCGACCTCCAGACCCAGCTCGACATCCTCTCTCAGCCTTACGTCTTTGCGCTCAAGAACGGCGTCCGTGACATGACCCGCTGGGACACGGAGGTCCCCATCCTTCGCAAGCGGTGCCCCGGCAAACCCATCCTCACTTGTCACGACGAGTACCTCATCCACACCTCCTGGACCTGCGACGGCTACCTCGTCGGTTACGGTCAGATCGTCCCCGAGGCTATGCAGGAGCTCCTCGACGCATGCCTGGCCAAGGACGTGGACAAGGCGTACGAGGTCCACAACCGCCTCATGCCCCTCACCAAGGTCGTCTACCACCGTCCGAGCCACATGGAGGGAACTATCGCGCTCAAGCACGGCCTCATCTCCCGCGGTATTCTCTCACACGCTACCGTCCGAGGTCCCCTTCTCCCCCTTCCCAAAGGCGCTCATGATGATGTACACGCGGCGATGCAGGCGGCAGGGGTGGTGTAGGGAATGCGGGATGAAGGGATGGTAGATGGGGAGCTATTGTGGCGGTAGATGAAGGTACCATCTGGGAGGCGATGGGGGTGTAAGAGAGGGGATTATGCGCAGGGATAGCAGAGTGGGCACAGGGAGAGGGCTAGGTAGACTCGCTGGGTAACTAGCCTGTAACTAGATTCGGTAGATTTTGCTCTTGCCTGCTCTTGCCTCATTGTAGACTTTAACATGTACACCTTTCTAGCTCTCAATCACCTTCTCGACCAGGCATCATGGCCCCTTGTCGGGCAAGAGGGATCCGATCTCTTGAGCGGTGAGCCGAACGGGACCGAGAATGACCTCATCAGTCTGATGTAACACATATGAGGAATGAGGAGATCGAGTTTGACATAAAAACTCCCGATCGGGCGATTTTAACCGTCCGGCGCAGCATGATAGCCGGTCGTCCACGCCAGCTTGCACCAACCATACTCAAAAGAGAGACAGATCATAAAGCCTACCGTCCTTCTAACATCACCGCTGTCTACCAGAATGGCAGAAACGCTTAAAGAGAGCATCGCCGTCACGCCAATAGCTGGATTACCTGGGAGTTTCACCGCTCCTCCCTTCTTTGAGCGAGCCCGGGCTGGAAATTCGCAGCCCATAGCGTACGTCCGATCGGTCCACAAGGAATCTAAGCTGATTCGTCAGCTTTGGCGGACTTGCATTGTCTCAAGCCGTCACTGCCGCCTTCCACACGCTGCCCCCACCCAGTAGCTCGTCCGGCCCCGACTTCCACCTCTTCTCGGTCCAGGGCTCGTACCTCGGTCCCGCATCCACAGATGTGCCCACCACCTTCACCGTCCAGGAGATCCGTACCACAAGAAGTATGGTCACTCGTCTGGTCACTGCCAGCCAGGTCATCCCGCCTAAAGCCGGCTCCTCCTCGGCACCCGCAGCGCGCAAAGTCCTTATTTGCCTGCTCGACTTTCACCGCCCCGAGCCGGCCTTCCTCACGTACTCCCGACCACCTCTTCATCCTGGCTCTTACGCCTCCCCATCCACCTCAAAGCCAATAGAAGAGGTCCTCGACTCGCTGCCTTGGGACCCCAAGGTTTACCCGGTGTTCAAGAAGCAGTTTGAGCTTCCGCTCAGGATGTTTGAATACCGGCCGGTCATCTCTTCGTCTGGCGCGCAGACCAGCTTGGGCTTTGTCAAGGTCAAGACGGCTCAGGATAATATGGAGATCACGAGGCGGACAGCTTGTAATTGGATAAGGGCGAGAGGGGAACTGTCGAGCTACGACGAGCGATGTGCCGCGTTAGCGTGAGTCTGCCTACTCTTCACGGCTGATGTCCAGCTGGATCATGGATACTACCCTCTCTTTCCTCCCCCTCTCCCTCTCGAAGATTCCCCTCACCATCGCCCGCGCCGTCGCATCACTTGACTTTTCCCTTCGCTTCTTTACCCCACCGCCCGCTGCGATCGAGCAGGACTGGATGCTGCACGAACAATACACGCAGCACGCGGCTGAGGGGCGCACTTTCAGTGTAGGAAGGATGTTTACCGAGGCTGGCGTGGAGATTGCAAGGATGAGCCAAGTCAGTATCTTGCGGGGACCGGAGGGGCAATCTGTGCAGATGGAGGGAAAAGCCAGGCTGTAGTCTGTAGATTTAGTCATCTGGATTTCTTTCTAGCTACCCAGGGTGTTCCTCACCACCGCCCAGTACCGCTCCTTATCCGCCCTAGCATGCGCAACATGCCCACTCCCCTTCCACAATTCCCGCCTCACCGTCCATCCTGCCCTCTCACTCTCTTGCGCGTGTTGCACCACCGCCCCTGCTGGCACCATCACATCCTCCTCGCTGAAAATGTACGCCCTCATCCCTCCCCTCCGTAGTAAGCGACCATCCAGCAAATCCGCCCGGATAGATGTGATCGGATCCACCCGTCCCGTCCATCGCAGCATGATCCGATAGAGGACGAAGAAGAGCTGGATGGTGAAGATGACGAACACGCGAGCGGGAGCGCGACGGAGGAAGGGAGGGATGGAAGCCAGTATAGCTCGCTGGCCGGAGACGAGGTCCGCGGCCGATCCTGGTGCAGAGTCGAGCAGGAGTCCATCGAGCGGTAAGGGGCGACCCGTATGCGCCGCGTACAATCTGGCGAGGTTGGTGAGGCCGAACGCACCGCCGTTGGAGTAGACAGCACCGACGATCTTACCGGTGGTGGCTTGCAGGAGGGGAAGCGCGGGGAGGAGGAAGGACTGGTAGGTAGACGTGGGAGTGACGAAGATATCCGACATCTTGGACGTGAGGAGGAGGATGCGCGAGGTGGGGAGGAGCTGCTTGTATGATGTGACGTAGAGGTTGATGAGTTTGGGAGGGGCGCCCATCCATGTCGCGAGGATGATGAGGTCGGGCGACGCAGGGTCTGGGTTGGGGGACCTGGTGGGAGTGTAGAGGTATATAATAGGAGAGAGCCGTTGAAACGTGGGGAAAAGCGATGGAGAGGCCATCTCGCTGGATTGTCCTGATGAGCGGCACTGGTGTGGTCGATGTCTATCGCTGGATGAAGATTGGATCACTCGCTAGATGCTTCTCAGATGTGAACAGTTGGTCGAAAGGAGGGTCCCCGGGTTGCAAAGTTCAGAAGCTACTGTAGGGGAGGTGCGGGCCGGGAGCAATCTTCATACCTCTTCTACGCCACAGCTGTCGTTTCACCTTGTTTCAGACCTCGTGTCTAGTGACCCAAGACATAGTATTGGCCACGGCGAGGTGGGCCAGTATGTAGAGCATGATCTACTTGCAGTTCTCCCTTGTCCAGTTCACCAAACCCTTCAGCTCCTCCCATTGCTTCTCCCTCAGCCGCTGCTTCTCCTTGTCCCCGTCCCCCTCCTTCTGAACTGCCTCGCATGCGTCCACAAACGCCTTGGCATCGCTCAAAGACGGTATGGTAGGATGAGATCCGACACGCGAGAACCAGTATTTCGAGTTCCAGTAGTCGGCTTCTCGGCGATGTAGAGTGGCGTGGAGGAGGTTGCCTGTTGCGTCCTAACTTAGATCAGCTCTGGACCACGGATGGAGGGTATGTCGTCGCACGATGACTAACCCCTTCATTGTCCTGCGCAATCAGGTGTGCGCGATGTATGTCGTCGTTGGCCAGATGAAGCGCTGGGATCAGCAGTGCGTGCGCATACACTCGTCTTATTCTACTCACAAGCAACGACAAACATATGCTCTGGGAGCTTCGCTATCCGATCCACCAGACTCTTATCATACACAGTTGTACCCGGCTCCAGAGGCGGCAAGGGCCTGTCAAACAGCTGCTTGACGATCGCATCGGTGTCAGAGCCGGTCATCGTGGCGAAACTGCGAATGACGGTCGATGGAGTCGCTGGGAGTTGGGAGCGATACAGGCAGCCCGTGAGTCTTTTTATGATGTGTCTGCTCTGAGCTGGGGAGAGGACAGTAGGCATAAGCTGTGTCGCAGTGGTGAGGCGAATGTGAAGCACAAAAGGCAGCGGAAGAGAAGACAAGCTGACGATCTCGGCGGACGGAGCTGGACGGAGATGACCGAATAATGCCGGCATCCTCAAAGAAACTGATCCGTGCGTCGTATTTTGGATTTTGTGCACGTTCAAGCTGTTCAGCTGGTCTTTCAGCTCTGTACTTCGTCCTCACCCGAGCCGATCCACGAGATCCAGCCCTAAGAGGCCAAAAGATCTCTGTACAGATCCGCTGAGAATGGCACCAGCAGCGCGGAAACAGCGTGCGTGCCGCAGGTCAAGGAGGTGTAGAGGAGTCAAGCTGACTTGCAAGCGACTCGTTCCGGACCTGCACCTTCAGCGAGCAATACGACTCCAGCTCAGACAGCACGGCAGCATGATGCCATAACGGACTTTCAAGCGAGGCGTCTAAATCGTCGACTCGAAGATCTCGAGGTCGGTCAAGGGCAATCCTGCCCTTTGGGAGGATCTATAGCTGACGGGGCAGCGGACCAACCCGACCGACATCCCCGCTTCGTCTTTCGTCCCATCTGATTCGAAAGCCAAAGCTGGGGCCGAGATAGGCTTCGGTGGAGTGGTGGTACCGCTCGCTGTGGATAAGGGGAAGAAGAAGCAATCTGGGAATGTCAGGAAGATCTTGTATGCCAAGAAGAGCCTGAAGGACTGGTTGGAAGAGCTGGTAAGCTTCAGGCCTCGGTCGTCCCACGTCGGCATCGTAAGAGCCCAAAGCTGATCATTCTGCCCGGAGACCCAATACCGCCGTACCTTACTGCCGTCGCGCCCATACCATCCACCCCGCCCCGCAAACTCTGCTCGTCCTGCGGCTATACCGGCGCGTATCGGTGTCCAAGGTGTGCAGAGTGGAGCTGCGACAGGGAATGTCTGGGGATACATGAGCGAGATGGAGGATGTGGCGTCGGCGGATGAGCTGGACATGACCCGCCAAGAGTCCCCTGGACCAGGCAGACATCGCTCAACGCTCAACAACGTCGATATACGGTACGGCGTCGCGACGTGCCCTTGGGTCCGACAAGAGACCAGGTCACATCTGCTCTTGCCTTCGCTGAGAACAGCTTGTAGACCCTATGCGCTTGAAGAGGAAAGAGGGGGAGCAGATGGCACAGGATGTACAAACATGTATAACCATCCATCCATACAAAGACCTGCTCACTTTGGCGTCGATGCTGCAGCTGGATCGGCGTAGAATCCCCGCTCTTTCAACTCCTTCCGTACCTCCGGCGCGTCCTTCTTGACGAGGTAATCCACGTACTTGCTCCAAATGGGTACACCAACCTGCTCCGTCAGCTCGGTTCTTCACATTTTACACTGCAAGTGGCAGTCAGACTCACCAAGGCGATAATAAGGTAGATCATGTCCATAAAGATGTTATTGTACGGCGCGTTCCCCTTTGACAAGACGCGCATCAGGTCGGTGACCAACACATTCGTTATCTGGTAGTATCCCTTCTCTATGCCTGTACCTCATCAGCCTTTGCCTATTCCGCAGACGCTAGGACTCGACTAACCAATGATGAGACTCTCAGCGACATCCCCAGCAGGCAACACCTCATCCCCCTCTTCAATCTGCTTGGTGATTCTCGGCTTCCGCAGTTCTTCATTCTCCCAGCCCTCGGATCGGATACTGGCGGGCATGAAGATATGGACCGAGATATTGTGAGGGACCAGTTCCGTACGCAGCGTATCGGCTAGTGCTGGGTTTGTCAGCTGGGTGCTGTGGTCGATGACAGCGAAGAATGTACCTCTTAGGGCGTACTTTCCCGGGGCATATGGAGAGTAGCCGGGGAAGCTGATGTACCCGACAAAGGACGAGACGAAGACGATTTTGCCGTGCACGCGTTGGGAGACCATCATCTTAGTTGCCGCCTGAACCATCAGCTGCTTCTCCGCCAGCGCCTGCGCTCCCGCTCCCACCCGCCCAAAATGAACACCGCCAACACGTCTTGCGCGACTGTCTCCGCCTGTACACTCCCTTCCCACGGATCGAGGCAGAGTCCAGCTTCATCCTGATTGGCCACACGTTCCCTACATTCACATTGTCCGCCCACCTTCTGCTTGACCCTCAACTAGAGGCCAGGTCACGCTCATCTCCTGCTGCTTCCCCGATGTTGTCAAGTGTACTTACATGAGCGGTGTAGGCCGACACCCAGTATGTCTCATCCAGTCCCTACAGACGTCAGCGAGGTCCGATGTGTCAAGAAGACGTGACGTACAGACTTGAGCTCCTCCGGCGACGCATCGATGAAGAACTGAGGCAGACTGTGGCCCGCACAGAGGTAGATATGTTCCGGGCATTTCCCGCCGTGCGCCTTCACAGCCTGTTCCAGGGCATCGCTAGATGACGTAGGAGACGTGAGATCCGCCGATATGGCCTGGATGATCTGTGATGGCCCCTTGTGGGTCTGCACAGTCAGCCCCAGCTCGAATGTTGATGTAAACATTAACCCACCTCGAGCTCCGCCTTTACTGCGTCGAGCCGTGCTTGACCTCTCGCGATGATAGTGACGTGCGCTCCGCGCTTGACGAGCTCCAGAGCGAGTGCATGACCAAGACCTGAGCTTCCGCCTGTAATGTAGCAGTGCTGCAAGTCAGGTCAGCACGAGTTGCAGTTCGTGGAGCAAACGACGGACCTTGCCCTTGACATCGAGGCTTTTGCGGAAGATGCCCATCTCGACGAAGAATGCGTGTGTCGCAGCGAGGGAAGCGAGGGCGATGAAGGCAGCTACTGCTCGACCAGGCTGGAGACGCTGTAATGTAGAGACGAAGACTGACATGGTGAAGCGTAGATGAGCAAGGGCAGCCAAAGGACAGGACGAAAGCTAAAACCAAAAGTCGGTTTCAAGATTTCGCAACTCCTACAGTCTCCACCTCTTTCACTTGCACTGATGACTACTGATCTTTCTACCGAATCATCACCAGCCGAAGGGTCTCAGACCGCTGTCAAAGGTTCCGAGAGGCAGAACCGAGAGCCGAAGCTTCCACGGCCGGTCAAGGCGAAGGCACCGCCCAAACCTAAGCCCGAGCCCATTCCATACCGACCCACCTCGAATCCGGGGGAGGACGAGCAGACAGCGGTGCATGAGGTGTACGAGGCGATTGCACCGCACTTCTCGCAGACTAGACATAAGGTCCGTCTGACTCCAGCATGTCAAGGGGACCTCAAGCTGACACAGAAGCCGTGGCCGCTCATCTCGACTTTCCTCCACTCACTACCGCCCAATTCGGTCGGTCTCGACTCGGGAGGCGGGAATGGGAAATATGTGCCCACTGCCCGAGAAGCGGGGGTCGGTCTGGTCGTGATGGATAGAAGTCTGGGGCTGCTGGGAGACGCAAGGAGACAGCCTGGTTTCGGGCTGGGGAAGGGGAAGGGGAAGGGGAAGGGGAGGGAAGTTGAGGGGGATGTGGCAGCGTATGAGGTAGCTGGGTCTGATGGTTCTGGGGAGTGCGTCAGGGGAGATCTGACCTGCGAGGGATGGAGGCGAGGGGTCTTTGTGAGTCCTCAGCCAGGGATCGATATGTACAGTCAGGGGCAAAGCTAATGGTCAGGACTTTGCCATCTCCATTGCGGCCATACATCACCTTTCTACTCCCCTCCGACGGCGTCGCGCAGTCCAAGTGAGTCTGCGGCTTTCACGACATTCTCATACTCGCTGATAGCCCCAGGTCTTACTCCAGCCCCTGGTTCACGCCCCCAAACCCCCCTACGCCCGGTTCATGATCTACGTCTGGGCATACGAGCAGAGCTCAGGCTCCAAACGGCGGATGGGCGCTACAACTGGTCCTCCTGTTCCTCTTACTGCAGAAACAGCAGCTCGCGAGTCAGCCGGTACCGGCGAGCAGGAGCCTGCGAAAGTCCAGGACGTCCTCGTCCCGTGGGTGCTGCAACCACCGAAAGCCCCAAGAACGCCAAGTACAGGCGAGTCATCGGGAGCCGCCCAGTCGGATGAGCCAGTACAAGTGCCGGCACCGGAGCCGCAGGTGCTGCATCGGTATTATCACCTGTTCGTCCAGGGGGAGCTGCGGGACCTGGTCGTGTCTGCGGCGAAGGAGGACGGGTATCGCGTGTTAGGGTCGACGGAGGGAGAGTCAGGAGAAACCGAGGATGAGTCGGCCAGTGAACCGCTCAGTAGCGATACTAGGTGGATCAAGATACGAGGAGTAGGATGGGAAGCGGATAATTGGTGGATAGAGGGGGAGGTGGGGATTAGACCAGTTTCCCTACCTCCTGTATGAGCGGGATCCTGCCAAAATTACTGTCATAAGGCCGATACAGATATGCAACCCCTAGATATAGCTACAACAAGGTCGCCCGCGTCTGCTTCGACCTCTACATGTCTGTCAGCCCCACATCCTGTCCGTCACGATCAACCACCAAGCCCCTTGCCATTCCGTCTTTCCGCCTTCCACTCGCCATAGACAGAACGTGATGAGACCAATACAGATATGCAACCTCTAGATATAGCTACAACAAGCTCGTCCGCTTCTGCTTCGCCCTCTACATGTCTGTCATTCCCATTCTCCCGCTCAAGATGGACCATTGCGCCCCTTATGACTCCTACTTCCCGCCTTCCACTCGGCATAGACCGGCTCCATCCGCTCGCGCATTTCTCGCTGCCATCCTATGACCTGGTGATACCCGTCCCGATCACCAATCTGGCGAAGGGCCCGCAAGAGGTCGTTTGCAAAGGGGCGGACATGCTTTGTGTAGGAGAGTGTGTGTCGGTAGGGGTACGAAGCGGGGCCAGGTAGGGCCGGAGTGGTCGCCGTGGTAGACGGCGGCGCAGTAGCGGGGCTCGTCCCTTCCTCTGCAATTGCCGGATCGCTCGTCCCCTCTGAGGTCGGTCCCAGTGCCAGCTGCTCCTCGAGCCTCCGCTCAAACAGCACCTTGACAAACGCAAACAGCCCCCTCAACTCCATGCGCTTATCAATCTCCGCCTCCTCCCCTTCCCCTCCTTTCCTCTTCGAGCCCGCCCTCCACCCTTGCCCACCCGCCATCAAACAGCTCATCCAGCACTTGACGACCAGATTCGCCGTGACCCAATCGGGCCGGAAAGAGCGATGCGCTTCGAGCCTTTCAATCTTTCTCAGGAGCTGGCGGAGCTGGCGCATCCCTCCCGATGGGCGCTGGAGGGGCTGTATCGTCGTGAGTAGGTTGTTGAGCGGAGAGAGGGGGTTGTTCGATTGGGTAGAAGAGGAAGAGCGTTTCTTGGGCGAGAGGAGGGCGCGGGTGAGGTGGGAATTGTAGTTGGCAGTGAGGGATGAGAGGGTGGAGGAGGAGGGTGGGGGGAGGGGACGGGCCGCAGCGCGACGGGGGATGAGCCAGGCGTTGGGGGCGTGGCGGAGCGACGATTCGGATGGGATAGGATGGGTGGGTGGCCGATCCTCCTCGGAGGCGCCCGCATCCGATGAGTCCCTAGGTAGGAGAGTACCGTCCCATCCCTTCTCTAGCCGACTCGCCAGCTTTCCCGCACCGCCCCGCTTCAAGTATTCCGCCACGCGATCCAGGAGCGCCTGATCCACCGCATACTCGGGCGTCTGGAGGAGGTGATACACCGTCAGACGATAGAGGCGGGTTCGTAGCAGGGAGTAGATGACCAGTGGATATTGGGTAAAATCGGGAGATAAGATGGGTTTGTCGGGATGGAGTTGGGGATCTGTCACTGGAAGCTCAGGGCTAAGCGGGGATACCGGCGGTTCGGCGGAGGATGAAGGGGTTACGTCCAAATTGGGCGATTGAGACATCTCCACCAGATTAAGCGAGTCTACATAGTCAGCTAGGTAATCAAGCCAGCAGTATAGCAGCTTACTCTCATCCCTCCGTGCCTTGCCTGTGTTCATTCCTGTCCTCCCTTCCCCCATCTCTGTCTTCCCCTTCACAGCAACCTTTCCTTCTTCCGCTTCCCTGTCCAGCAAATCCTCCGGGATGGACGCAATCTTTTCCAACGCCATCAACAGCGTCGTCTTCCTTGCCCCTTTGAGCTCCTCCAAGCTCTTGAGGAACGCCAGAACATCCCCCGAACCTCCCTGCTTCGGCAGAGGAGTATACGGTATGGGCAGGCGTAAGCGAGCGCCCGGCCCCGCCCTGCTCCCTCTCTCGGGAGGATCGTGACCCGTGTTATACCCGACCGGTTCTATGGGCGGGACGTAGTCCCATCGCCTTGATGAAGAGGCATGAGTGACCGAGGTGGAGGAAGAGGAGGGGTCGGTATTTGCCGGAGCTCTCGCCCTCGGGATATTGGACGAAAAGAAACGTGCGAAACGGGCTGTAGTAGTTATTGGTCGCTGTGCGAGGTATGGCAGTACTATCTGCTGGAATATAGATGGGGGCATGGCAGCCCTTGCCTAGGTAAAGAACAAGCAGCGAGTATAGCCTATAGGGCGAGATTTCAGTTGAAACCAAGCTGATCTGCACGTGATCTAATTGACGCACGGATCTGACTTTATTTGCTCCCACCGATAAAAGTCTGGCCCTGACGGCGGCAAACTCCGCCTTCTCCTCTGCTCTACTCAGCTACATCTCCCTCATCTCTCTCTCTCTTTTACCTATACTCTACTAGTCTTTAAACATCCTTCTGGCTTCAACAAGGAAGTCACTTGGGAGGCTAGCACACACACCTCCGAAACAACCAAAAACAAATCAGTCAAGATGGGTGGAACTCGCGCAGAGAAGGAGGTCTACTTTGAGAAGCTCAAGGCTCTCATCGGCCAGTACCGTAAGTCATGTCCCGTACAGTAGAGACCCCTAGCTAATCCCCAGCCTCTATCTTCCTCGTCAACATTGACAACGTCTCGTCGCAGCAGCTGCACATGATCCGTCAGACGCTCCGAGGCAAGGGTGTTGTCCTCATGGGCAAGAACACCATGGTCCGCCGTGCCCTCCGGGTCATCCTTCCCGAATTCCCCCAATTCGAGAAGCTCATGCCCCACGTCCGCGGAAACATCGGGTTCGTCTTCACCTCGTCGGACCTCAAGGACATTCGGGAGATCATCGTGTCCAACAAGGTCGCCGCTCCCGCTCGTGCCGGTGCCGTTGCCCCCAACGACGTTTACGTCCCGGGTGGTAACACCGGTATGGAGCCCGGAAAGACATCCTTCTTCCAGGCTCTTGGTATCCCTACCAAGATTGCCCGTGGTACCATCGAAATCGTCGGAGACGTCCAGGTCGTCAAGGCCGGGACCAAGGTCGGTACTTCGGAGGCCACCCTGCTCAACATGCTCAACATCTCCCCGTTCACCTACGGTATGACTGTTGTCCAGGTCTACGACAACGGTGCCGTCTTCCCCCCAGAGATCCTCGACATTGAGGAGAAGACCCTCCTTGACGGCTTCATGTCGGGTGTCAAGACCATCGCTGCCATCTCGCTCGCGATCAACTTCCCCACCATCGCCTCGGTCACCCACTCCCTTGTCAACTCGTACAAGAACCTCCTCGCCGTGTCGCTCGCGACCGACTACGAGTTTGAGGGTTCCGCTAAGGTGAGCTTTGGGTTTATTTGGCTTCTTTTCACTCTTCGGATGTTACAATTCTTTACACATTTTGTTATGTCTACGGACTTTGAACACAAGCTTTACCTCACTGATTCTTTCAATCTTTTACCTCTTTTAGTCTCTGGAGCTCAGCTGACATTCCAGCTCAAGGAGTACCTTGCCAACCCGGACGCGTTCGCCGCTGCCGCCCCCGCTGCTGAGGAGTCCGCCCCGGCCGCTGGAGGTGACGCCCCCGCCGCTGCCAAGGAGGAGGAGGAGAAGGAGGAGTCTGACGACGACATGGTGCGTGTACTTTCTGTCGCATGCGAGCTACGCTGACATTACAGGGCTTCGGTCTCTTCGACTAATCGACTCGCCCGCGTCTTTCGGATAGATGGAAGTAGACAGCGTGTATCCTATGCATGTCTTGTCAGGTCGGACAATCCATGGGTATTCATTACTCCGTCAGAGGTTGTACGCCACGCGATTATCCGCTCGATACATATACCGCGCAGTGATCTGCGGTCCGCCAATTGCCGCTCTGATCATTAGCTCTACCCCTGACCACTGATTTGCTCAGAAGCTCACGCTAGCAACGCCGCGATTGTCCCGCCTATCCCCATCCACAGCGCCGGACCATAGTAAGCCGCTGTGCCCTGCGCATTGAATCGGTTTCTAGCCTGGACAAAGTTGATCAGGGCGAAGATGGTAGCGAGGAGGGAGAAGGCTGTGCCTAGGAGCTGGGGCGTCATTTAGGAGGAGCAATCGAGTGGACATGAACAGCGCAGGAACTTACAGCCATGGAGCGGAAGAAGATGGGGTTGCGCATGATGGTCCCAAGTTGGAGGATGGAGAGGAAGAGGGCGATCAGGGCGAGGAGCATACACAGAGCAGCTGGTATGTCAGCCCCTCTCCTCGAATATCGTCAGTGGTACGTACCTAGCCCGTACATGATGTGCGTTCTAGTCAGCCACTCTGTGAGTCCAGGTCCGGAATAGCCTAGCACAGGCTTGATGCAGCCACTGGAATCGACGCAGTATCCGAAAGCGCCATATCGGATCTGGGAGGCGTACAGGAAGTAGATGGAGTTGATGAAGGGCGTAGAGAAGCTGATGAGCGTGCTGTCTGTCAGCGGAAGATAGAGGACGGTGAAGATATTACTGACAAGAGTAAGCAAGAGGCGAGGGAGAAGAAGAGGCCAAGCAGGACATGGCCCTCGAGCGCTTCGTCTCGTCTGAACATGGTGTTTGTAGGTGGATGATGCTTGTGAGATATCTTCCGGTAGATGAGAAAGATGATGATACTCGTAGACTATAGAGAGGAAGTAAGGAGAACCTGAGAGAAGGTTGAGTGACCGATCTACGGCTTGGCCATGACGAACATACACACCGGGCATCCTTTGAGCGCCTCATTCCTCCGCCTCATGTTTCAGCATGTTCTAAAGCTGAGACCGTCCAGGTTCAATTTTCCAGTCGCTCTACACGGTCAAAAAACATTCATATCCCATTCAGGTGGAGCCATATACAAGAAAACTGAACCAAAGATCCCATCTATTCGAATCCCAAAACCCAAGACTACCCGCATCTGCGAGACTACAAGATGTAGCGGAAGGCCCCCTCGATCCGCCCGCCCTGCACCTCATCCAGCTTCCGGTTGGCCCTGATGAGGAGAGAGCGAAGAACGAGCGTCGCAATGATTGCCGAGCTGATCAGTGCCTGGCGGTCAGCCACATCCTCCTTCGTCAGTGGGACAGACTCACAATGCTCAAGCTGAGACCTGTGGTATATTTAGGAGCCTCCGCGCCTAGATAGACATTGGTTCCCACGATCGTAGATATGCTCCCCATAGTACACGTGATCGCGATGGCGATATGGCGCTTCCCGTTCGATTCGGCGTTGTTACTGACCCAAGTCAAGTTACCGGGGTAACACAGCTTGCCGCCGGCCGAGATGAAGATACAGCCGAGGTAGCGGGGACCGATGAAGCGGGGCTCGATGGGGAAGGCGAATACGAGGATGAGACCGATAAGGACCATGCCCTGGCCAAAGAGAAGACCGGGGTAGCGCTTGCCGATACGGTCGCTGAACCATCCGGTGGCAAAGGTGAGGATGCAGCCGATGACGTGGACAGGGACGGTGAGGAGCTGAGCACGCTCGGCGGCGAAGCCCATCTGGGTGAGGATTTGGGGGAATTGGAAGGCGAATCTGATATCAGCCGAGTCCGAAGCGTGAACTTACCCGAATCCCACGATGTTCGATACCATAGCAAGCCACGTAGGGATGAGGACCTTGTAGTCTGATCGTTAGCGAATAGCCCTAACCTGCGGCCAACTCACCCTTGAGGCATTCTGAAATATAGTGCCACTCGAACTTGCGCGCGAGGGGGTCCGCCGCCGTCCCGGCCGACTTGCGATCCCAGATGGCCGTCTTCTCCTCGGCGTTGAGCCACTTGCAGTCGTCCACTCGGTTCGGGAGGACAAAGTATAGACCGACGGCGAGGACGACGGTACACATGCCTTCGATGATGAAGAGCCTGATATCAGCTGGAGCGAGGGGGTTGGACGTACCATCTCCAAGAGGATAAACCACCGGCGCCGTTCATGTAATTGATGGCGTATGCGAGGAGACCGCCGAATGCGCCGGAGAACTGACCCATGGTGTAGAAGAAGGCGATGCGGACTTGGAGGTTGAGGGGGTGATACCTGTCGTCAGCTGGAGACAAGGGGGATACTCACCAGTCACCACAGATAGCGAGAGCAGCAGGGAAGAAGCCAGCTTCAGTCACTGACGTCAGCTCAGTAGAAGATCTGACTCACCTCCAAGGAAGAATCGCGCGGCCATGGCACCTCCAAAGTTCTGTACCAAGCCCGAGAGGGTCATGGTGACACCCCATGCAAAGCCCATGACCGATATCCAGGTGTGAGGGGCGATGTACATCAGACAGATCTGCGAGGGTACTTCGAACAGACCGTATGGCTGTCGTTAGCTCAGCTCAACTTGGTACTCACAACAAAGAAGATGGTGGAGATCAAGTTGTACTCGGTCTGGCCGATACCGAGGTCTCGCTGGAAACCAAAGATGCTGGCATTGGCGAGAGCGGTACGGTCCAAGTATGAGAAGAGGTACCTATCATCAGCAGAGCTATATAACACACTCACAAGAGACCTAGGCCTGGAAGCAACCGATAGTCGACCTTGCGGATGAGCTTCTTGATGTTGATCCTGGACTCGGCATCCGAGTGGAGCTGGTCATCGTAGACGTCATTGACAGCGACATCAGTCTCGGGTCGCTTCTCATCCTCGGTCGGCGAGGGTTCGCGGTGTTGGTAGGCTGGGGCAGACATGGTAAGAAGGCAGGGGCGATAGCGATTCTCGTTCTCGGACGACCGAGATTAAGTAGCAGATCAGCATACCTCATCTCAGATCCACCACGGCATTTCGAGCCGCCTTATCATGGACTCGCTCGCCAAGAGGTACCAATCTGGGCCCGGTATCTCTACTCTCGATAGATATAAGCGATTTTGGCGAGACCCTATCAAGGTTTTGCTGCAGAACTGGCGCTGGCCGCGGCCGATAGCTGGCCGTCCGCTTGTCTTCCGCGCCTCCTCCGGGTCCTCGAGATAAGACATCCGGAACGATACGACAAGCCCAGCCTGGCACGCAGCGATAACGATACGCCTGGCTTGCAACAGCTGCCTTACCATTTCCGCTCTCACCATCACCAAGTACAGCTCACACACAATGACAATCCAACCGCAGACATGGGACGAGGTCGCTCAGCAGAAGCAGGCGGCCAATCTCGCCCTCATCCCAGACGAATGGCGTATCAAGACCGCCCAATCCGTGCACGTCCTGGATGTTCCCACGACGTGCGGAGTACTCAGCGTGGCAGAGCTCGATATCACCGAGACCCCCGCCGCTGAGCTCGTGGAGCGGATGCGCAAGGGGGTCTTGAAGGCATACGATGTGGTGCTGGCTTTCGCAAAGCGCGCTTCGGTGGCTCATCAGCTCGTAAGTCCAGTTGTGGCCAGAGCTTAGACAGACCAATTGCCTCTCGGAAATCCGCTTCGAAGCCGCCCTCGCTGAAGCTGCGGCACTGGACGACCACTTCGCCACCTCCGCCACACTCAAAGGACCCCTACACGGCCTGCCCATCTCGCTCAAAGACAACTTCAACGTCGAGGGTCTCGACACCTCCGTCGGCTTTGTCGCGTGGTCTAATGACCCAGCGACCAAAGAGACGGAGAGTGAGCTGGTCGGTACGCTGAGGTCCCAGGGCGCTATCATCCTCTGCAAGACGTAAGTCCCTGTTTTGCCGAGCTGACCTCAGCAACGTCCCTACTGCAATGATGATGCCCGAGACCTACAACAATCTTTTCGGATACACCTCCAATCCTCACAACACTCGCCTGAGCAGTGGTGGATCATCGGGCGGAGAGAGCGCGTTGCTTGCGCTGAGAGGTACGTTTCACTCCAAGGCACGAGCTGAAACATAGGCACCCCCTTTGGCGTGGGCACGGATATCGGCGGGTCGGTCCGTATACCTGCTGCGTTCACTGGGATCTTTGCCCTCAAGCCGTCTTATGGGCGCTTCACCACGTAAGTCTCCCGGCTGACTGAGCTGATATCAGGCATGGCGCGCGCTCTGGACTTCCAGGTCAAGAAGCCGTCCGCTCCATCAACGGGCCGATGTCGAGCGATCTATCCTCCCTCGAGCTCTGGACCAAGGCAATTGTCGGCAGCGAGGGGTGGCTTACGGACCCCAGCATCGTACCTATCCCTTGGCGCGAGATCACACTTCCCCAGAAGCTGTGCTTTGGGCTGCTGGTCGATGATGGGGTAGTAAAGCCGCTCCCTCCTGTCCTGCGCGCGCTGGAGCGGACTCGCAAGGCGCTAGAAGCTGCGGGCCATACCGTGATCGAGTACACTCCGTGAGTAGCCTCACAATCCCGCTAATATAGATATGAGACACATCTCTCTATCGATATCATCACTCGCCTCTTCCGCGGAGACGGCGGCGTCAAGATCGCCACCGTTATCGCCCAATCCGGCGAGCCGTGGCCAGAAGGACTCGAGACGTATCGGGACACGTACGAGGCGCTCAAGTCGACACCGCCCACCGTCGAGAAGCTGTGGGATACTCAGATGGTCCGACAGCTATTCGTCAAGAAGACGCTCGAACATTGGATGGCCACTTCCGGACGCACCGGTACGGGCCGACCCATCGACGGTCTCATCTCCCCCACAACACCTTGGGCGGCGTGTCCCAAGTACGGCTTTGATCTGCATCTCCCGTATACCAGTACTTGGAACCTCACGGATCAGAGCGCTACCGTGTTCCCAGCTGGATTCCAGACTCCGGAGGATGTCAACGCGGAGGGGTATGTGGGGAGGAATGAGAGGGAGAAGCGGGTATGGGCGAAGTGTAGGTTGGCATAGGGGACAGAGCTGATGTACAGATGACGCAGAGGAGAGCGTTGGCGCTCCGGTCGGGCTCCAGCTGGTTGGCCTAAGGTTCGAGGAGGAGAAGGTGCTCAAGCTTACAGAGGTGGTGATGGCGGCGCTGGAGAAGGCATGAGGGGTTCACTGGTAGCTTGTATATCTGGGTTTGGAATTGTGATCATTAGATGCATCTTGTAACAGCGTTCAGGCAAATCGGCGGGTAGACTTCAGCCGTAGGTTATCAGTTCATGAGATAGGTTACAACTCGTGCTCCCCACCCGAGTGTGTCTCCTCCCGGACATGCGTAGCGAGCGCGAACATCTCCGTGTAAACTTCAGCAGTGGCTTATCAATACATAGAGACAGGTCACAACTTGTGCTCCCCACACGAGTGCCTCTCCTCCTCCTCGACATACGCAGCGAGCGAGAACCAGCCCATCTCCGGCGTCCCCATCTCCGCCTTTGTCGACGCAATCTCGTCTGGACCTGCCTGGACGATAGGGTCGGTCGGTCTACGCGCCGAGTCGGCCAGTAGCTGAGCTTGGCAACACATCTCAAAGTTGATCTGCCTGGAACATTAGCTTCAATCTGTAAGTGACGCCCAGCTAGAGTACTCGCCACCATGCAGCCTCGTCGATAGATAAGCGGCCAAGCGAGATGATACCGTGGTTCTGCAGGATAGCGATCTTGCCCTTCCCGACTAGCGAGGCGATCCGCTCCCCTTCCCTATTGTCAAACACCGCGCCTGTCATCAGCGATTGCCAGCCAAGGACTCACCTCCAAAGGGGACCAGAGCTTGCTCATCGTGATAGCAGCACGCGTCCTGGCTGATCATATCCAGCGTCCGCCCTAGACTCGAGAACGCCTTTGTATACGGTCCATGTACGTGCACTACCGCCTCCGCCCCAGTCTCTCCCCGTCCCAGTGTCTTGTAAAGTTGCGAGTGGATGCTCGAGGCGGAGGCATCGACAGGAGAGACCCCCTCAATCATCCGTCCGTCAGACACCGATAAGCGGACGAGGTCGGATTGCTTCATGAGTGCGAATGACTTGCCCTGGGGATTGACCCAGTAAGTATCCGGCTCGACGGGGTCTCGGACACTACAGTGACCTGGGATCAGCGCGAGATAGCCTCAAAGAGAAACAACTCACCTGCAATGCCTTCTGCTAGTTTGAAGCGGTGCATGATCCGGAATACCAATGCGAGGTGCTCCTTCCTGTACTTCCGTTCCTCCATGAGACTGTCAAACGCAGGAAGCATCGTCCTTGTAGGTCCCGTCTGGACATCGTGGAAAGGGGACGCCGCGATATCGGCGGTACATGGGAACGAGGCAGTTGCGGGAGAGGGGATGAGCTTGGGATTGCGGAGCTTGAGCGAAGCGGTCGACGAGGGTTGAGCCTCGGAGATGGTGGTGGTCGTGTCTGACATGGCTGCTGTATTCTTGATGGGTCGAGTCTACGGTCAAGGGTCCTGGCGACACTGGTGCAGTGGCTGTGATGTAGACGCCATGAAGCGACGCGAGGAGGCGGGTCCGGACGTGCGGAGATCCGTCAGTTGACCCGAAGACGTCGGAGTCTTGGCAGCTGGTCCTTATCGCAGTGTTGTCGGGAGCGCTCCCGACCTAGAGCTGGATACGCGAGGTGATAGCGACCCGTCACAAGCGTAGTCTAGTGTATCGCTAAAAACGGGTAAATGGAGACCTTGTTGTATCTTCCGCACCTTATCGGCATCGACATTCCTCGCGCGGGTTGGTTCATAGTCCGATAAGAGAGTCCGGCTTAGCTTGGCTCCTCGCAACCGCCCAGACTGCTAGCCTACCACTCTGTTACCTCAGCCTATCTAGATCATCAGGCGCAGCGTAGAAACTACCTTTCTCAGACTGTAACCTCATGCATCACATCTTTGACCGGTTTATTGGTCTCCAAGCTTTCAGATGAGTCCCGGAAGCCAGCAATTTGCGAGTGCCCTTTTCAAGAATCTGCCATGTCAGCCCAGATCGGAACGCACGCGACATCGACCCCAACGTGACCCCGGACGTACATTACAGCTGAGGTTCGCGGTAGTAGCGCTACACTTTAGGACCTCTACCTCGACGAGTATGTCCGTGCCTCTATTCTGTCAGCTACTGCCAGAGTTGTGCGGATAGATCTGAGGACGAACATTATCGCGGGATGATAGTAGGTCATGTTGATATTGAGTGACACGCCAGCTCTCAGAGGAGGTCCCCAGAACTCATCCGTCGTATGTAACAAGATAGCTGCCGAGGTGCAACTGTCGACATCAGCTTGTCCTCAGCTAGGTGCGGTAACTCACACGTCAACGAGCCAAGCTGACTGCGCCCCGTGCATGCTTCCATTCCCATTATCCCACTCTGGAGATCAGATTCAAGACGTGTGAATGGGCAGTCTGGCCTACCTGGAGGTATCTTCCCTTCCCAGTTGATCTTCCACCCATCGATCATCTTCCTCCCCCTCTTGTCCGCGACGGGGAACTCGTCCAATTCCGATATCTGCAAGTACTTCACAGCGCTCGAGTTAAATCGCATGACCTGTGCGAAGGCCTGCCAGGCGGCCTCGTGCTCTTCCGTAGGCTTCATCGCGCGCTGATTAGGTGAAGCACAAAGAGAGGAGACGAGAGCAGAGAGGACATCTACCGGGTAACGCGGTTTGCCGAGACCGAGCGGGGTACGTGATGATGCCGTAAAGTCAAACCCTACGGTACCTCCGAATTCCGAAGGAGGCGATGCAAGGAGGATCATTCTGTGCGATACGACAGAGCTGCAGCCCGCTGCATGTCCTACGTACTCCTGCTGAGCAGCCGCGAAGTATCCGACAGTGGGTTTCCTCCCGTGCGGCCGTACTCGCTACAACTTTGACCGGAGCTTAGGTATCCACGCCTTCATATGCGTCCCAGAAGCGAGCAATTGATGGCTGCTCCTGTCAAGGATCTAAGACAGGTCAGCCACGGCTTCGCAGCATGAGGTTCAGGAAGGGAGCTCACGTTGCAGATCAGGTTGGCAGTCGTCGCGCTGCACTTCAGAACCTCGACCTCGACAAGAATCTCCGTACCTCTGGCCGGTCAGCTCTGCTAAGGCGATGAAGGGCACCACGCACATCTTTGCTGGATGTAGGTACGTCATGTTGATAGCAAGAGATACTCCAGCGACCAGCGGTGGACCCCAGAACTCCGAAGTAGTATGAATCATGATGGCTGCGGAGGTGCAGCTGGGTTTTATCAGCTCTGATACCAGTCGCAGGGAAGAGCTCACAGGTCCACAATATAAGCTGCGGCTGCGCCATGCATGTTACCACTTCCATTATCCCAGTCTTCTGATCAGCAGGGTACGCGTGCCGATACTTGCGAATACTCACCTGGAGGAATGGTGCCCTCCCAGCTCATCTTATACCCATCAATCGCCTTTCTTCCCTTCGCATCCGTTTCTGGGAGCTCGTCCAGCCCGAGCAGATGCAGGTGTTGGATGGCGGAGGAGTTGAAGGGGCAGAAGCTGCTAAAGCTCTGCCAGAACGCTTCGAGACCATCGTTGGACTTCATCTCCGATGAGTTGTTCAGATGGGGAAGAGAGGTACAGTAGAGACATAGCTGGAAAGGAGAAAGGGTTCCAGTCAGAAGACTAGTTGCCCATGTGGAGATAAGATTGGCCTGCCCTTGCCCCTTTATAGCCAAGTCTCTACGATGCGGACGAGAAGCGGACGTACAGCGTGGGAACCATCCTTCTCCGTCGCTTTGATACAGCCAGCTAGCCACACACCGCCGCCGCGTCGAGCCATGTGATCGCCGAGGCCGAGGTAGTTACGGCATGAGGACGTAAGACCCAAAATCAACCATGTTGAGACGCGTCCCCTTTCGCGTGGCTGAGAAGATCCAGCCCTCCTCCTCTATCTTGCTTTCCTTCATCAGCATACTTATAACATCCCTTCACAAATCCGACGATAGTGAGGCACACCATCGTCACCTTTGGCAGCTAGATCCGCTTGCTCGGGATGGCCCCCAGCGGTCTAGTAATCACCAAGCTCGCCGCTCAAATCTCCGCAGATGATGAGTTGGCGCATACTCTGCTCTGCCTAAAAGTAAGCTCAGACATCGGGAACCTCAGTGTATCGCCTTGCTCATGTTGCTAGATCAGCTTACCCCGCGATGTCGACCACAAACAGACGGGTCGATGGGTACTACTCAGCAGTATGTCTACCCCCCTCGCTGCTGAATGGATGGAGCTGATAGCACAGGTGGCGGACACAGGCTCGTCTCTGAGCCACAGATCCATTCCCTTCCCCTCGCACCTACAATCGTTTTTCAGGCAGACCAGATACGCACCGCCGCCCTCCTTCTCTCCCTTTCACCCGAATCGTCAAAGTCACTCGACCAGCCTGGTACCCGGCCCGCGATAGACATTGACGCAGCGAGTGGTCAAGTCTACATCTCGGTCGATCATCCGGCACCTCGAAGAAGGCGAGAGAGCGTAGCTCTGGCATCACCTGGCGTATCCGGAGGAAGAAGGGAGTTCCTGGTCGTTCTGGAGCTCGAGCAAGATGTGGAGGATGCTGGAGGCTGGTTGAAGGTGAGTGAGCTCCAGCAGCCATCATCTTACTCGGGGAACCGGTCTGACCAGTAGCTCAATCTGACTACACCTAAATGTCTTGACAACATCCTTCGCTTCCAATGCCTTCCCCCACGAGCGTCCTCGTCAACATCGAATGGCGAGGTCAGCATCGTCACCGAACCGAAGATCCTCCCTGTACCCGCCTCAACCTTCTCGCCAAGCTCAAAGTCAAGGCCGACACGCGCCAGGAAAGTAGAAGAGGACGAGTGGGAGGATGGGGAGTCGTTGGGTCCGGAGGATATCGACAGCGATAGTAGCGAGGAGGAAGGGAGCGGGAATTGGCTCGAAGGCAGATTCCAAAGGTGGGTCTCTATCAAAGAGGTATGATCAACGAGGTGACCGTCAGCACCGAGTCTCTACGCCTGGAATGGTCTTTCGGATCGACACTCTCGGCCATACCATCTCTACACCTTCTACACCTTACTCCCAAGTGGGACACCCGCCATCCCTATATCGAAGTCGACTATCAAGCGACGCTCTCGCCAGGATCGTATCAACCCTTCGAAGTTGAGCTTCCCAACGGGTGGGGCTGGTCGGACCTGCAGATCGAGGGTGATGGTCTCGCTGCTTGGTACTGCCGAGACAGCGACTGGTGGGATCCGCTCCTCTGCGCCGCCTCCCCCGCAGCAGATCCCAACCTGTCGGACACAACGGACCGACCGGACGAGGACTCCTTTGCCACTGTCCGGGCTCGGAAGAACCTTCCTCTCGCTCGGACACTCCCCTCTCTCTCACGCTCAGGCTCAGGCGCAAGTCTCATGCGCCAGCCCCTTCCTCAGCCTGATCCTAGCTTTGACGAGTTCTCCTTCGAGCTCAGCAATGCGCCGGCACCCGTCACGCCGGCGAGTCTGCGCAAGAATGCCCTGCTCTCTCGTTCGGTCGACAAGGCCCCGTTGGCGGTCTCGCTTGCTCGCCCGGCGCCTGGTCGGTCGTTCGAGCTGGTTTTCGCGGAAGACACGGAGGAGGCGAATATCAGGATATCTGGAAAGCTCGTTCCGCTTTCCAGAAATCTGCTCGTGTCGCCCTCGGTCCCCATCGCCGTCCCAGTCTTCCACATTGGCGAGCATACGGCCCAATGCCATTTGACCTACCCAAACGCGGCGGCACAGCTCATCGGCACCCAAAGCTCCCCCACCTTCTCCTGGCCGGACGTCCCTTCACATCGTCCCCTGCCGGTCCAGGGAGAAATCGCCATTTCGCTCCCCTTCCCGACCACGTCAGCGTCGACGATGACGGTGTCGTTCCCTTGGCCGAAACCGGCGACCGAGGTTGGGTTCTTCTTCGCGTCCGCTGCAGATGCGGCGGACGGGGTCAAGATCGCCAAGGCGACGATGAGGGGCCGGGCTCTGCCGCGGGCGGCGGTGATGCGGAAGGATGGAGTGGAAGTGCGGATAGGCAAGGGAGAAGGAGGTGTAGAGGGGGCCTGTGTCGTCGTGCTGGAGATACCGAGCGAGGGGGTCGAGTTGCCTGTATTTCCGGGAGCGACGGGGCGGATGATGGTGGATCTCGCAGGTCGGAAGTGGGAAAGTGAGTCATCGCCGTGATTGAGCTGACTTTAGCTGTCGCGATCCACTCCAATCTCATTCGAGATACGGCCGCATCATATTCTGCCATTCTTCCCATCGCCCATCCATATCTCACATACACCCATCATACACCCACCATGGAACAGGCCCAACCCGCCAAGTCAGGCCCATATCGCGCCATCTGGTCCTGGTCGACCCTCATCAACATCTTCATGCTCTACCTGCTCCTCTCGCTCGCTCAGCAGCTACAGCGGATGCGGACCGAGGTAGCGTTCATCACGGAGGAAACGAAGGATCTTCGGCTGTACCATACCTGGAATGAGGAGCGTTTGCGCGAAGCGGCATACACGCCCAGATGGGAGCAAGGGGCGGGTGTTGGGCGGGAGGATACTACGGTGCAGGGTCCGGGCAGGAAGGTGGCGGAGAAGCTGGATCATATGGGGGACGATCTGAAGTGGGATCGAGGTCAAGGCGGAGCTTGGGATCGGGATCAGCAGGATACATCTCTGGGCAGGGTGGTTGTCGGTCATACGGACTGGGTATGGGCGCGATGGGTCAGACATCCAACGTGAGCACTTCCGCATGGGATATCGAGTTTTCAACTGATTTGCCAGTGTGCAGACGCTCAGCAAGAGCTTGGGGTGGATATGGCACTCGCTGGTCTGGACGCTTACTAGATAGCCAAATGTGTATCGATGTCATCAGCGGGATAGGCTGATGTATGTATACCTATTCATACTGAACCACAGATAATCTAATGTTTCGATGTCGACTGAGATACTGAATCTACACCCCCCTGTCCCCTATTACCAGTCTAGCTGCCGAGGATCCCAGGCTTTTTCGTTCCGCTGATGACAGTACACGGTTCTTCAGGCTCGTGTCAGCGAGAAGGCCTCGGTGCAAGTTTATTGTAAGTGATAGGCAAGTCGGGGCGATCATGCTGGCGGAACAACTCCATCCTTCGGAGATGAAAGACAGCACTGCCGACGTAGACAGAAGACAAACAGATCTCGGCATGCTCGTTCGTCGCGTCTGCGACTTGGGTTGAAGTAAAGACTAGTGTCATGTCCCCGTTGGGCTCATATTGGGCCGGATGACAGCAGCTGCCAGTAGGTCAAGCTTAAGCGCTATCCAGACGGCATGCGGCGAGCGAGGCAGATTGCTGGCACATAGAAGCGCCGTTTCAGATCTGCCACACCTACTCGTATCGCAGCATGCCCAGCGGGATCAATATTTCGGCATCCTCTCACCTCCACTAAAAGAGCGACCCCTTACATCTACCTCTTACTTACTTACCATCTCACCATGAGTCGCTACGCTGCTCGCATACTCACCGAAACGGCTGCTGCCAAGTCTGTGGTCAACGCTGCGCTACCGCAAAGATCGCTTTTCTCGACCGTCTCAAAGTCAAATCCCACTTCTGCGATTCGTCCATCCTCGCACAAGCCTTTGCGACAGCAGGCTGCATCAGTCGCTGGGCCATCGCATCTTGCCCTCGGACAGGGGACAGGCGCCAGGTCATTTTCTGCTAGTACTGGTGAGTCTTGCCGCGTTGGATAGCTCGGCCGAAAACCGAGAACTACGAGGAGGGGAGCTGACGTTTCAGCCCGGCAGCATGGCGATCTCGTCCGACCGAAGCCTGGAACAGGGTGAGCCTGACGCCCGACCTGGGATGGAGCTCAGCTGACTCTTCAGGATCAAGGTGACATTCCGGGATCACAAAGGGAACGATATCAAGACGATCGAGGGGAATGAGGGGGATGATCTGTTGAGTCTGGCGCACGAGTGGGATGTGGACCTTGAGGGTGAGCTAGTGTCCCCTTAGAACCCTCGCTGTTTTCTCACTGACATGTTCCCTCATTTCTTGCTGGACATGTAAGAGGCAGTTGCTGACTTTACAGGAGCATGCGAGAAGTCGCTAGCCTGCTCGACATGCCACGTCGTGCTCGATCCCGAGATATACGACAAGCTGCCCGAGCCGGAGGATGAGGAGAACGACATGCTGGATCTGGCATTTGGGCTGGAAGATACGTGAGTCGCGATCTCGCCCTGAATCCCAGATGCTAGTCAGCGCTGACGCAGCAAGCTCCCGACTAGGATGTCAAGTCTTGCTGACCAAGGATCTCGACGGGATGATTGCCAAGCTTCCGTCGGCTACGCGGAATATGTATGTGGACGGTGAGTGTTCCCAGCGAGCATGTTAAGAGATACAGAGCAACAGGCTGATTTTCCAGGCGCGAAGGCGAGGACTCATTGATAGTCGGTAAAGCAGTATTAGCAGCTCTAAGACATGTATCTACCTACACTCAGTTCTAGTAAGGCGATGGCCTCGCACCTGCCTAGATCGTATCTTATGGATCAGCTAAACTTACAAGCCCGATAAATTTCTGCGTCGTGCGGCAATGCCTGCCCTGCGATTGGGACAATATTAAGAGCAGAGCAAAGCGAACGTAAAAGTGCATAGCTCATAATCACAGTGGACGTGAGACGTGAACTCATTCCCTTCGGACACTTCCATCTCCTTGCTTCTCATCTTGCTTCTACTGCCTTCTCGCCATTATAATGGTTCGTTGGTATCGCGGGACTGAGCGTTTACTCGTCACCGACACGGATGGCACCGTAGCCACCACGGCCGTCGGCAGCCTGGCCCTGACGGGGGCTGACGAACCAGTCGGGGACTAATCATCAGCGTGCTTCCAGTACTGCGGCAACATGGTTACTCACGAGTGTAGGTGTCGTCATCGCCGTGAGAGTGGATCGAGAGGAGCATGAAGGTGAAGCCGAGCTTGGCGGCGACGTCAAGCACACCGTAAGCGATGATCTCAGCGTCAACCGAGATCTTGTTGGCGCCCTCGGTGAGACCAAAGACGATCGGGTAGGCGGTCCAGAGGACGGCGGTCATGCCGGCAAGGAGGTAGAAGAGACCACGGGTCTTGCGGGGGCGGAGACCAGCGGCTGCGAAATCAGCTCAATCCTGATGTAGCAAGACTAGCAACTCACCCTTGACACCACCGGTGATGAGGACGTAGAAGATGCCGAGGAAGAAGGCGCAGCTGACGGCGAAGAACGACCAGCGGGCGACCTCGCCATCGTGCCATCGGGCGGGGGTAAGACCACCGAGGAGACCAGTGACGATCATGCCGAGGTCAAAGAGGATGGTCAGGACGGTGTCAGCGGGGGAGAGACCAGCGAGGAATGCGAGCGAGACCAGGAGGAGGGGGGTGGTGAAGAGCCAGTCGATGTAACCTGAAATCAGCTCGATCCCAGCGGAAGATGCCGAGAGACATACGGGCGTAGTACACCTCCCTGAAGAGGATGTGGCGCTCGGGCGCGTGGCCGTCCCAGTGGGTCTTGACCATGTCGACACCGTGGCCGGTAGCCATGGCAAAGTACGAGATCATGGCGATACCGAGGACAGTAGCGGAAAGCCTAGGAATTAGCACGGGCCATAGCATTCTGCGCTTTGACTTACCAGTGGAAGAGCCGAGCCTTCTTCTCGACCCTCAAAGCCATGAGCATCGAGACGACAAAGCCGACGGTGAAGAGGCCAAAGACGATCCAGAGCGCCTTGAACCCAACGTGTGTGGCGGTCGCAAAGTTGAAGTCGATCTCGGGCTGTTTCGTCAGCCCAGCCATGAGACCAAGAAGACAAACTTACGTGGGGGAACCCAGGCATGGGGTGCGGGTGACCGTGGTGACCGTGGTGGCCAGTCCCGCCTGGGGGGCTGACCGAGATGGTACCGGTGGGCTTGAATTGCGGGATGAAGTCCATGCTGGAGGTGTGAGCTGGGCCTGCTGCTGGGAGGTTGAAGGGAGGGAGACTTACTTGATTATGGATTGATGTAGATGTATGAAGTAGAGAAGAGAGACGCGCGTTGAGAAGAGAAGGGATAAGCGAAGCGAAGGGAAGCTGCGCGAAGGTCCGGTGCAGGGTCAGATGATGCTGGCTGCGTGAATAACCTCCCTTTGATCTCAGATTTCAGGGGCAATCCATCCAAGCAGCGTCATGTGGCATGGCGGCGAACAGTGCGTCATTTCAAACCGTGCCTGAATCGAATCGACCTCCACCGGCCCGGTCCGCGTGTGGCGGTCAATCTCGGTCAGTGTGGCAGATGTGTCTGAGTGCGAATTGGCTGTCGAGCAGTGCTCGGTGAACCGCTACATGACTCTATACCTTCTCGTGAGTTCGACATGTGCTGGATGAATGGCTCATCCCTCTTCCCGTGATCAAACATCTAGGACATCTCCTCCTATCTTCTTGCCCGGGAGGTCCGTGCGTGGTGGCGGCACTGCATGTTTCACTTCCTCATCATGCTCTCCATCCTCTCCATCCTCATACAGCACACTTCCTAGCTTCATTCATGAGTCTTACGACCTACATCCCTGTGACAACCTTATTCCTTGACTCTCCTGACCCTCACCTCGCCCTGGAGTCCTCCAGATGTACCGCGCCCGGCTTCCCCTTGTCCATCCCATCCCCATCCTCCATATCCTTGCCCATTCTCGGCTCGTGCGAGTGCTCGATATGCTGAAGAGCCATCTGACGTCCTTCCTTCGTACCATAATCAAACATCAGACTTATCTCCTCGATCGTCAAACGACGGGTTTCCGGGAAGTGTAGATAGGCGATGACAGCGATGACGAAGTCGATAGCGATGTAGACGGCGTAGTATCGCCAGGAAATCGCGCTGAGAGCGATCGGGTTCACGAACGGAAGAATCAGCTGAGTAGCTCGGCATATGAGACACGGACTCACCTGGTTGAACGCGTTCGACAGGTTGTTGAAGGTGATGCTGGACTATCAGCTTTGGACATGTCAGCGGAGAGAAAAGGCTTACTAGATCGCCAGACCCTTGGTTCGCAAGTTGTACGGCAAGAACTCTGCGACGTAGGTGTAGTTGAGGCAAATCCCTGAGTATCAGCCTCATTCAGGTTGGTAAAACTCAGACTTACAGGCAAGATCATAGAAGCCTGACTGTCAGCTAAACCCCATGTTGCCGCATGACTACTCACCATAGACGATGAAGATGAACGGAATGACCGCAATCCCCAGTGCCTGGTTCCCCGTATTGGCGAACCCAGCCGCAAAGCCCATAATGAAGCAGAACCCAATGCCCATGCCCGCGTTCGAGATGATCCACATGGGTCGACGGCCGATACGCTCAGACTGGGATCCGAGACCGAGGGAGCAAATCATGTTCCAAGCGGCAAGAGCGGCGTTGATGGCGGTGATAGTGAGGGGGTCGGTGATGCCGACAGTGCGCAGGACGGGAGCGAGGTAGCTGCTGTTAGCGAGATCGTTGAATGGACTCACTATCCCAGAATACCGTTTCCGACCCAGTTGGATCCCATGCCGAGGACGACAGTCACCCAGAGCCGCTTCCTGTTCCCAGGCGTCTTGAAGAAGTCGATCTAAGATCAGCCGAATCAGTATGACGACTCACGTATCGCGACTTGTTCTTGTCCTGCTCCTGCTGCAGCGTCGACATGATCTCCCCAAACTGCCACTCGACGAGCGGGTCCTCATCATCCCCGTTCGCATGGTGCTTGACGAGGACAGCGCGGGCTTGCTCCGTGCGGCCCTTGCTAGCGAGCCATCGAGGCGACTCGGGTGCAAAGATCAGGATGGCAAAGACAATAGAGGGACCCATGACTTGGAGCAAGCACGGCATACGCCAGCGCCACTCGACGTTGGGAACGAAAAGGCCGGCGACTGCTAGTTTAGCGGGTGCCCACAGAAGATCAGGAGGGGCGACTTACTGCACATGATAGCGGAGATGGTTCCGCCGAGATGGTAGAAACCGTAGTACTGCGGTATCAGCTGAAATTGCCTGCTGTGACACCTAGCTTACGATGGTACCAAAGGTAGCCCTCAGCCGCGGGTGGGCAATTTCATGCAGCAATGCGGGCGCGGCGACCTTGGTGATACCTCCTCCAATCCCGACAATGACGCGAGCTGAGATCAGCTCTGGCCATTTCTGATCTGTGCGTAAACGACTCACAAGCGATAAACTGTCCGACATCTCGCGAAAGACCGTTAAAGAGTCCACCTCCAATGATCAACATTGAGCCAATGTAGATGGTAATCTTCCGACCGAATCGCTGGCAGAGAAAGTCGCCGACAAAAGAGAAGACGATGGCGGGTAAGAAGAGCGAGGCGGTGATGATACCTAGGAGGCTGGAATTGGGCGAGCCAAAGTACCTGAATGTCAACTAAGGTTGTGTGATCAGGTGCGAGGACGTACTGGCCCCAGGCGGGGATAGCTTGGACACCTGCCAGGAGGGTTTGGTCATCTACTCATCAGTATCCGTTCATATAGGCGGAGGCGATGATAACGTACATCCCTGTCCCGTCAGCTTCGATCCGAGAGACGATAAACAAGTTGGAGCATACTAGGTAGAAAGGGCAGAGACAGCATCCCATACAGTGCAATACGTTGATCCGCAATCCCGGGTCTTTCCACCAGGCTGCCTTGGTATTGTCTGCTCATCAGCAGCAGTCCGCGTTGCCTGACCCTGCACTCACTTGGGATCCGAGCGAACGACGTCTCATTATCAGTGCTGCCTCCCATGTTGGCGAGCGTGGTCTGTGGTAGTACTAGTGGGAGATTGTATTGACAGCGGGGAAGCCGATGGACGACCGGCTATTATATTCGGATCGGCCTCACCCCACAGGGTCACCTCCACTACCGCAGATGTGGAGGCTTGGGCGCTTGCCCGCTGCCCAGTACTTGGCACATACGGCCCGCCCGGCAGCGTTCGGCCCGCCAGTCGAATGACCAAATCAGTGTCGTTACCCCGGAGTTATGGGGCAATGCGGGGTGATCTTGGGTGATGAGCGGGACAAGACGGAATGAGGAGAGAGGCGAGTTTATCCGCGCTATGCCGGCCCGTCTAGATCCGCTTTGGGGAATGTGAAGAGTTGGCAAAAATCTCAGGATCAAGGAGGCTGAGGTCCCGCAGGGACCGAAGCTGGGAGAGCTCCGCAGGAGCCCGACAGCTAGTGGTAGAGCATTGTGCTTATGGGTTAACTAAATGGATCACAAAGGTCGTGAGTTCACACCCTCACCGTGAGCCCTGACCCCCATTCTCCTCCCAGCGCATCTTTGACCGGGCGAGATGGGATCTCCTGAAGAGCTTGCATCTCAGCTGCGTCAGGAAGAGCCCCCACGCCTGCTTTGAACGTCGAGAAATCCGGTAAAATCTACCAAACATGTCCAAAATCTGTGCAAAAATGCTGCAGGAAAGCGCAGAAAGTCGCCCCCGAAGCCTGTAAGAGACAAAAAGTTGCCAAAAAGAGCAAAACTGCTCACGGTGAGGATTGAACTCACGACCTTTGTGATACATTTAGTTAACCCATAAGCACAATGCTCTACCACTAAGCTACACGAGCACTTTGCAAGCCGGTCGATCAAAATTGATAAACCTTTCCGTATCCTGGCCCGTTCAACCCCCCGCGGACACCCCGCAAACACGCAAACAGCATCAAGGCCCCAGCAGCACCTGCAGTCTGTGCTCCATCATCCTCGAGGGTCGACTACTCTGTACATGGCGTTGCCAACCCCACACCCAAGCCCAAAAGGTCACCCGCACGGAATGTCTCAGATTGAGGAGGTCAGTCAGTCTCAGCGTAGGCTCCTGTAGTGTGGTGATGTCGATGGAGCGCCCGATCGGTATCAGTGGTAGGCCCACCGAAATTCATACCAAATACCCAAAAGAGACCCATATCCAAGCCGCGTTACAACCGTCGCGCAATGATCTCGAATCCGCCCCTCTCCCTACGTGTACAGCAGTTCTGGTTCTCGTCCTCGCAGAGCCTCGTCTCTTGTCTGTTTCGATCAGCAAGCAGAGAAGCCGAGACATACCAAGTTACGAGCCTCCTCTGACAACCCTTGATAGGACCCCGTCATCTGAGCTCGCCTGATCTCCACGTCTAGCTTCGCCTCCCCTATACCTGCCTAGAATGTGTCAGCGTTGCTCAACCTCAGAGGGCCAAACGTACCTTCTCATCATATAATCCTTCTCCCCCCTTCCCATGAACAAGGGTAGAGCTCAGACCTCCACATTCCGCCAAGGTATGGCTGGTATCGCGCGGTGTTGGCGGGCGGGAGTGGCCTGGGGTATAGATAGCCGCGCCCTGTGGTATCGGCGGCGACAGTGTCGGCGGGTCAAGCATAGCGGCAAAGTCTCGCCGACTGGATGGTCAGCTCGACGTCATCGAAAAAGGGTACCACTCCACTCACGTGCGTAGCGTCCATACCACCGCAAACCAGTAAAACACCGCCTGGAGCGCCGCGATATTGCGAAACCACGATCCCGGACCTTGGGTATTGGAGATGATGACGGCGGCGTATATTGCGGACAAGACCATAGGTGGGAGCCTGGCATCAGTTTTGCCCAGCCGCGAGAGCTTACATTGTCTGTGTGATCATCATAGCAAAGCGGTTGATTACGCCCTTTGTACGATCGAGGAAGGTCCGCATGCGCAGTAAAGCAACAATGATGGATAGGCAGATCATCACTATTATCAGCTCGTCCAAAGTGGGACTCACAATCACACACAAAGCTGACCATACCCCAGACCACCTGTACTTTGGCTCTCGGACCGAGCAATGCGCTCCACCATGACTTTACGGCGTCCAGCTCCGCCCCGGCCGTCCTTGCGTCCCACTTTGGCTGTGTCAAGCCATAGATGTCCAGCCCGACTTGGGAGAACAGCGCCAGATGTGCTGTAACGAGGAGGGGGGCGACGCGGAGGAGACGTCGAGAGGTGAGGACGTATGCCCGGTGGATGAACAGCAGGCGAGATAGGTGGGTAGCTAGTGCAGTAAGGAAGAAGGTACAGATCAGGGAGATCTACGATCAGCTGGGACGACGGCGAGACTCACGGAATCGCCGTAGTACGCGTCAGCCATACTGTCAATATGCGTTGAGAGTTGGCGGAGGTTGACAGCGAGGACTATACATGATGACCTGACCATCAGTGCTGCTTCAAACCTAGGATGGCAAAGCCACTTACATGCTCAGTACTGCTACCGCGCATAAGAGGGCTTTGTGTACCCCCTTCTCCCTCTTCCGCCTAAGATAGCCGGCGGACTGCTCATCAGCTCAGTCCTCGCCTAGCCTTGAATGACCGAGCTCACCAGAACCAAACACGCTCCACAGCCAATCATGGTAGGAATGACTCCTGCTAATGTGGCCTTTTCGTCAGCTCAATCTGACCGTCCGGGGTCATTTGAGCGACGACATACCTGCAAGATCTGCACTGTACTGCCAGACTACATGATCAGCAAGGTCCTCTACACTCATTCCGCCCTACACCCACCCTTTCCAAAGCCATGGCCAGCTCCTCCGCCGTCCGAGCACCTGCTACCGCCTCCATTCCGGCTAGGTCGTCGAATGCAAGGCGCGACCCTTTCGCGAGCAGACAAGGCGGAGCAAAAAGCAACCTCCACTCCGGGTAGGCGATAGCTTAGCGGAGCTGAAGGCAATCTGCGGGACTGGTCGCTCGTTGGTCCGAGTCAGCTAGCACCGTCGCTGCCACAATGGTGACCGCTGAGGTCAGTACTCCATCAGATAAACGAGAATTGAGGAGTGGTGATTGATGAAAGAGGAAGGATAAGGTAGCAACACTCTCCAGAGTCTCCAAAGGTTGGACATGATGTTCAGCTTCAGGCTTCGATCGACGACCTTGAAACTTGAAAGCGACGACGATCTCCCAACAGGCAAGACAAAACAGCTTTAAAAGAGGCTTTCGGTGGCGTGTTTGAGATCCCGCCGGAAGCTGCATGACCCCGCATTCGGCGTCCGCGGAATGTAGAGTAAGAGGGAGCAAGAACCGAGCGAACCCAAGGCGGGGACTAGCAAGGGAACAGCAAGATTGGGACGGCCACAATGACCAGCGGGAGATTACCGTAGTGATGATAGCTTGATGGGGTCTAGTATGAAGGCAATGGTCGGAAGGCTCGCGCTCGTCAAGCCCGGGTTTGGCTTCTCCTAAGGCCTCAAGCTTGGTACCAATCTCATGTAAGTCAGATTCCCGCTTGGACTCTCTCGAAGCATTCTGTCCAGCCTGCATACAGAACCTCAGCTAGTGTACAAGCCTCCGCTCAAGCCTCCACCTCAACCTCTCGCTTCTTCAAAACCAGCGGCTCCCCCTTGACCCGCTGCCACACGTCAAACACATCCTCCACGACCGTCTCAAAGTGCGATGTCGCATCGTACGACTTGGTGATGAAGATGTTGTCGGCAGTGCCGGGGGCGGTGGGCTCGTAGAGGGGCGTGAGGGAGATGAATCTGGGGTCAGCTTGTCCATCGCCGAAACTTACTTGTCGACGACATTGCCGAGCAGCTGGAGACCGGGAAGAATCTCGCGCTCGGGAACGCTGGTCTCGACGATGGTGGAGACCATGGCGATCCATACGTCCTTGGCGGCGACGTTGTGCGAGGCGGACACGGCGGCAATGTAGATGTCTAAGAGTCAGCTCTGCGCGAACTCAAGAATGCTTTGACTGACCGTTCTTCCTGCCAACCTGGTTCTGGGGAATGATGATCTGACAACTGTCCGCATCGTCCGTCCCTGGAATCGGGTGCTTCAAGATGCAGATCGCCCTGACCACCTTGCCCGTCTCAACCACGCGCATCTTGCCGCCCTCTCCAACATCCTTCCCTGCCCCAAAGTAGGACGGGTCCCCAATGACTCGCTTGGCCTTGACCGTCTCGCCGCCGGATGTCACACCGACAAACTTGCCGTCCGCGTCGACAACGATATCGTCAATCTTCTTGTCGAGCATGTAGGTACCGCCGTAGATGGCAGAAAGTCGGGCGAATGCCTGTGGGAGTTCACCCAGTCCGTAAAGGGGGTAGATGTAAGGGGATTTGCCGTACCGCGCCATGGAGCGGGTGTAAAGGATGATCCGGTCGATGGTCTCGCGGGCGGGACGGGTCTTGTAGCTGATATCAGCTATGCCTAGCGATGACCTACTCGTCGTCAAGCCAAAGTGCCATGGCGTGGCCGACAAAGTCCTGCGTCCCAGCTTCCAAGCCAAACTTGGCATACACATCCTTCATTGGGATCTTGTTGATGTCCATACCTATCATCAGCTCGGCCTGACTCCGACTCACCCTGGTGAGTAGCGGGATCCTCTTCTTTCCATCCCTGAAGGAAAACGAAAAAGTTCCTCGCCCGCCGCTTCTCAAACATCCCCATCAACGGACTCATTACCGCCTCGCTCTGGTTACTCGGCACCTTACTGACGCGTCCATCGCGGTAGACATACGACCCAGCGATGACCTTGAACTCGAGGTATCGAATGACGTCGGTATGGACGAGCATGCGGGTGAGCTCGCCGGATGACAGGATGAACTTCGGGATGAGGTCGACGGCGTAGTCGCGGTCTCGGCCGAGGTTGAGTGCTGCGGGCGGTTCGGACTGACGGAACTTCTGGTAGAGCTGGCCATGAGCTATAGCTCGTGCGTCGTGCCGATCTCCGTACCTGAGTGAGGTTCAGACTCGCACTATCGCCTCCGTAGTAGTCATTTCGGTCCATGTGGAGGACCTTCTGGCCGTCTACCGAGAGAAGACCCGAGAGGATACACTCGGTAAGACCGGTACCCTGTACTGTAAGACTTGTACTGGCGGAGCGGCGCGAGGGACGAGCTCACGAGAACGATGACCTGAGGGGTGAGCTGTAGCTCTTCCCGGTATCGCGGAGCCATGCGGCTCCAAACTTGATCACTCACATCATACTCTTCATCCATGTTGGTTGCTGATATCTGTGTATTGAGGTAAGGAGTGAATGAAGCAAGAGATAAGGTAGTCCAGCGGACCTTTGACCTCTTGGACGCGTCATAACAGCGTGGCGGCGCTCGCGGGCCTATTTGAAAGTAAAGCTTCTCCGAGTGTGGCGTTTCACCTTCCTGCCAAGGAATTAGGCGCAGTACAGCTTCTCCAGCCAAGCGCGTTGAGCTCTACCTCGCTCTTGTTCTATTGCTCTTGTACATTAACAGACCAAGATACCTCATGCTAAGCGCACACGATACAACAGCAGGCGATACAGAAGCAATGGACGCAGCTCAGGACTTTGACGAACCGTTCGGTGAGTTCCAGTCAGCTCTGCCGCGGACAAGCTCGCAATTGTTGTCGACAAGAAGCTGACACTGTAGACTCGTCTTCTCAGGCTTCCTCCACTCAGACCTCGACCATCACCTGGATAGTAGGATCCCTCACGTCCACTGGAAAGAATTATAGCTGATGAGAAGAACTGGTTCACCTCCCTACCTGGACATGACTATTTCTGCGAGGTCCTGGAGGACTTTATCGAGGATGACTTCAACCTCACAGGTCAGCTGTCATCAGCTCTCTTATGGCGATGGCGGAAGCTGACAGTCTAGGCCTTCAATCGATGGTGCCATTCTGGAAAGAAGCACTAGAAATGGTGCTTGATGTTGAAGCAGGTAAGCTTCCCACATTGAGAAATACCTTCCTTCCGCTTGTGCTCTGCTGACCAGCCAAGAAGACGACACCGCCAAGATACCCGACGTGACGATAGTCGAGAACTCGGCTGAGCTATTATACGGCCTGGTCCATCAACGATTCATCTTGACTAAGCCTGGATTAGCAGCTATGGTGAGCTCCTTCCTCCGTGTTACATGATTGCATTGAGACCGAGCTCATTCTTTAGCTTGAAAAGTACGAGCAAGGCCACTTTGGAGCCTGTCCCCGAGTCTTCTGCCACGCGACACATGTCCTTCCTTGCGGACGAGCAGACATGCCCGGCGTGGACACCGTTAAGCTCTACTGCCCGAATTGCGGCGACATTTACTCTCCACCAAGCAGCAAATACACTGGCATCGATGGTAAGTCGGCCTTGTGGGCGACGCTAATGTCAGGCGCCTTCTTCGGCACGACCTTCTCCCCCCTCTTCTTCCAGACCTACTCGGAACTCCTCTCCGCCCCCTTCTGCCCTCAAACATCTACCGTCTCCACCCCCATCCCGCCAGCCTCGGCATCCGGGCTCGACTCGCGCGATCCATCCCCCGTCCCCTCCATGTCGGCGCGTCCGGGCGGAGAGACGTATACCAACCCGGACCCGCACGGTGGGCAGAAGAGCGCGCTGGGCAAGGTGTACGCGCCGAGGATATATGGGTTCAGGGTGAGCGAGCGGGCACGGAGCGGGCCGAGGATGCGATGGTTAAGAGAAAGACCGGCGGCGTGGGAAGAATTGGATTCGGTGGATCATCGGGGGAGGTGGGTGGGGGCAGGCGGTGTAGGGGTGAAGGAGGAGGAAGATGTCAAGGGGGAAAAGGGACGATTGTTTGATGATGACGATGAGGTCAAGGAGGAGGACGGTGCCGAAGAGGAGGAAGAGGAAGAAGAGGAGGGTGCGAAGATGGAGGTGGCAGAGCCGGTGAAGGAGGAGAGGAGGATACCGTCCATGCCGCCAATGAAGGTGACCAAGCCAAAAGGGTCCCCAGGGGGAAGAGGGAAGGCGGGTGGGTCAAGATAGACATGGCGGATACGCGTGTTAATCACCGCGCCAGGCAGGAGTCGGATGTATATAGCTGTGTTCCGCCTAGCTCGCCTCGATTCACTGAAACGTCAAGCACATCCGCCAACTGCGTCTCCGCGATCGTCGTAGTCGATGACATTCTCAACATACTGACAAGCTGCCTAAGCCACCCGCCCTTTCTCACCACTTCCCGCTCCTTTCACACCATTGACATTGACTGACCTCCTCTGAGTGAATGTGGGCCTTAGCGAAGCACCATGGTGTACCGTAGCTTGTCCTCGGCGCATCGCGCGGCCGACAAAACAGCGCTTTGCCGTACACGTTGTATGGCATTCAACCGGGATCGACATGTACTACTATACTGAGGCGAGACTCCGAAACCGCTGCCCTGCGTGTGCACCCTGTCGCCTTCCATCTACCCGTCCACAACCGCCTCCCACTGGCTCGTCCTCCGACCGCCCCGCTCTCCAATCTGTGGCCAAATTACTCCGATTCACCACCCACCATCACTCTCATCCCCCTGTCACTGTCGGGCGCGGCGGGTGCGGTCGCTCCAGCGGCGGATCCTCGCTCTCGCTATCATCATCATCCTCACTACTATCGGAATTCCACGAACTTCCGTCTGTTGGGTCCGGAAACCACCAGGTGCGCTTTATTCCCGCCTTGACCCTCTTTTTGACCGCTTCCTTCCTCCATTCCTCCGACGTCCTATCCACCGTTGGCACAGATGGGAAGACTGGGCCCGCCGGCCAAGCCCCACCGTCAACCACCTCCCCCAGTATTCGGTCCAGCTCGCGATCCACCCTCTCGGCTTCGAGGAAGGGGTCCCAGCGCTCCCCCACGCTCCCCCCTATATTGTATTGCACGTGGCAGTAAAGCATGTGGGTCAACCATGCGGCGGCCTGTGTGCGGAAGTTTGAGTTGCGAACCACGATAGCGGGCTTGTTTGGCAACCATAGAGTAGGTTTGATATCCGGAGGACAATCGAGTATGGCGGCCGCGAGCCCGAATGCCAATACCCGCCGCTTGTAGTCGACCTTTCCGATGATTGGGAACTCCCTCAGGCCGCACGATTTGAAAGAGAGCGCCATGTCGCCCTCGATGCGCGGATGACGGGTTGGGGTTTGGACGTCGTAGTAGAGGTCGTAGGAGGTAAGATTCTTTAGCCGGGTGGAGAGGCCCGACCGTTCACCGAAAGCGACCGCCGTATCCGTGGGTAATGGAAAGGGTGAAAGGTGTTGTAAGCGGCGCACGGGCGGCCAGCTCAACCGTCCCCATTTCGGCCCGTCATCGCGCGGATGATTGAGGACGCGGATCAGAGCCTTGGAGCTTCCGATAAAGACAATGAGCTCCGGTGCCCATCCGTCACCGAACGACCTCCCGTCCGACTGCCGAGGATCGGCGGTTCTGGGATTGACCTCCGACCGCAAGACCAGCGTCTTCATGTTGCGAAGCGGGTGGGGTACCGCTACCAAGTCCTCCGAGAGCGGCTGGACGTTATTGGCGATCCGAAGGGCTGCCTCCTCGGTGATGTCCAGCACCTCGATCATGGCAAGGAGTGCGACCTTGGTAGCGCTACCGACGCCCGACTTGGTTGGAGGGTTCCCGGACAGCCACAGCTTTTGGCTATAAAAGGCTTCGACAGGAGGTAATGTGCGCCGTCCATCTCCGATGGTGTTGACGGTGAGGTACCGATAGAGCGCTTTACCGGCGATGTGGAAGCACTGCTTGTCGACGCGAAGCATGCGGGAGAGGGTAGGAGGGGGAAGGTGGGAGCATATTGCGGTGATGATGAAGGGGTTTCCGGAGAGCGAGGGCGACATCTTGCGAGTGGATAGAAGGATATGCGGTGCCTGTCCTCATCAGCTCACTTGCACTCTCAATCAGGTCAAGGTATCGCCTCAGAGACCAAGATATCTGTTGATATATACGCTTCAGCGCTCCACTCACGTTTCAGCCTCGTCGCGCGCGTCGGACTGGGGGGGTAGGAGAGTGCAACGCAGGAAAAGGGCAGCCTTCTGCGCAGATCACTGAGCAGAGGCGACAAGACGCAATCGGTAGATGAAGACAGACGGTGCTGATCTGGCTGAATGGAGCGGGTATGCGGATCATCATAGCAACTCAGCAGTCACTCGTGCACTCTGATGGCTGGTGCGAAGGGTTGCCGGCATGAGGAATGCGGAGCAGAATTCGGTCCCGCTGATGGGAGTGTGGCGGCGGATGACCAGGTTCTCGAAGCGAAAAGCCGCGACCCTTATTCTCTGCAATACGAGTAGTGTAGATACATACTCCTCCCCTCCCAGCTCCACACAGATCTCCGATTCCGCGCAGCCAATGATCTCCTCCCCTCGCCCGCCCTGTCCCGCTCCCATGCTATGTACTCGAGCGTGTATCGCCGCCTCACATAGCTCACCCAACCGCACCCCGCCGCGCGACACGATAGTGGCGTATCTGAGCTCTAGGTCCGATCCACCCCCAAATCCACACGTCCATCCGCCATCGCAATCCATTCCTCCTCCTGTTCCGGCGAACAAATCTTGGTATGTTGCAGCCCCGCCACTTGATACGTGACCGCCGCCTCGCTACTCGGCCGCCCTCCCGTCTCGCACGAGATGAGCCGTCCGACCAGGGTTGGGTCGTGGAGGATAGTCCCGGTCGAGACCGGCAGCCAGTAGGTGATGGGGCGGAATTCCTGCTTGGACGCGACCGAGGAACCGGCCGCCGACGCCAACGAAAAGACATCATGGCTGGAGATGTTACCACCTAGGCACGCATCGCCGACGTCGTCACCATCGCGGGCAGAGCGACGTGAGCGCGCGTCGAAATCGTAGAACATGTCGTACGTCTCGAGCGCGGGGAACGCATCCATCCGCCCCCAGACCATGGGAAGACCTTGGAGAACGCGGTCGTACCGATTGTCATTGCCAGGGCAGATATGTACAAAGTGCCGCACCGAAGGCCATGGATCGCGATCACCGCGGTCCCTTGGCTGGTCCGTCCACCGGTGTCCGAGAAAATGAACAATCTCGGGCGTACTTCCGACCAAGACGAGCTCGAGCGGTTCCCAGCCGAGTGCGTAGAGGGCGTGATCGCCATGAACGTGTCGAGTGCAGAGGCTCAGAGGGGAAGGACATGCAGGGAATGATGGTTCGGGGGAGGGGGACGGGTCAAAGTGTCGATAGCGGACAATGAGCCGTTTTAGACGCTTGAGGGGATAGGGTCGGGTACCGGCTGCATCGTGTCCGTATGCGAGAGCGATGGTAGCTGGTTCGCTGATGTTGAGTGATTCGACCATGTCCAGCAAGGCGGCCTTGGACTGGGATATTGAAACGTCCCCGCCTGGTTTGGCGCCACCGGGATACGCGAATGTGTCCAAAACTCCCGGGACGGTTTCGTCCAGCGGCTTGATGCTGAGGTGTCAGCTTTAATATGGTTGTGTAGAATAAGAGCTCACTTGACTACCAGACGGCGATATAGCAATCGCCCAGCAATAGGGAAGATCTCCCGACTGACCCTCAGCATTTGCGATAGCTCTTGCGGCGGGAGGTGGTCGCATATCGAAGCGAGGACGTGGGTATGCCCCGCGAGCGACGGAGTCATCCTTGAGTTCTCTGAAACAGGACTGATTGGTGCTGTAGACGAGTGGATTCCGGGAGGGGACAAGGCGGAAGGGCAGGTGCAGGGAGAGGAGGATTGGTAATTGAGTGCGACTTTCTTGGATGGTTCTTGCATGAGGTCGATCTCTAGTCATCAGCTCGGGATTCTCGACTACAAGTCGGTTGATAGCTCACCGACCAGCTCCAGAGTCGAGGTTCCGCGCGATGGCTAGGCGATGAGTGATACAAGGAAGCGAGAGAGGTAACGCCAAGATCTCCAACTCCACATTCCTCATAAATTACTCATACAGTATTTTGCCTCTTCCTCTTGTCGTCGCTCGGCCAGCTACATGATGACCGGCCTTCCCTCAAGCCTGTCAGAAGCAGCCACCGAGGTTCTCCTTGCTGACCTCCTGGATCGGCCTATACTGACATATGATCACCTCCTCTACGCCGACTTCCTGGTCCGTATTCCTCTGCTTTCCCCACTCTGAGCCCGCTGACCCGCCCAGAAGAATCACCTTATCCCGAATACGCCCTTCCTCCTCTCAGCCGCGGCCACATCTTCCTGGTCATCTCGTCTCGAATGGACGATACCGACGACAAATGCCTCGGCGGGCCCATCCCGCGCGAACCTCACTGCGCTACGGCGGTACGGACACCACATCGTGCCAATAGCCAATACGGCGCGGCGCGAGTACTCCGAGTTTGAGCGCACTGAGGGACCTCTCTCCGAAGTCCTGGATATCTGGGAAGGTAAAGGCAAGCACGAAGAGGCCGGGGGGAAAGGGCTGTATGTCAAGGATTGGCATCTGCTTGAGGAGGTGGAAAGGGCCGGAGGGGGCGCTGGGGAGGTATATGAGGTCCCAGAATGCTTTAGGGGTGAGCTGAGATGGCTACTTTTGTCGCAGAGATATCATGGGACCATCATAGAGCTGATATCCCAGAGGACTGGCTGAACCCCGCTTACACCCCATATCCCAGGTCTAGTCTAGCGACTCCAGGCCCGGATCCCGCTTCCTCACCCACAGCCTCCCGATCCGACTTCCGGTTCACCTACCTCGGTCCCGCAGGCACCTTCACGCCTCTCCATCGAGACGTCTACGCCTCATACTCCTGGTCCGCCAACATCGTCGGAAGGAAGATATGGTGGCTCTTCCCGCCGGATCCAGAGGTATGGCGGAAGCTGGGCATACCGGCGCTTGGAGCGTCCGGGAACGACAGTGGAATGGAAAAGATGGCTTTCGACGTGAGGGATCTGGAGGGCGATGTTGGCGGGATCAAGATATTGCAAGAGGTGAGTTCTGGTGTGAGGCTGAACTGATGAGTAGGAAGGGGAGGTCATTTTCGTTCCATCAGGATGGTATCACCAGGTTGTAAATCTGGACTTTGTAAGCTCAGCATAGTGAGAATGTAGCGCCGGGGCTGACTGCGCAGTGCATATCGATCAATCACAACTTCATCGCTCCCGCTACCCTGTCCAAGGCTTACGATGCCCTCGAACATGCTCAAATGGCAGTCGAGGAGAGTATCGCCGATGTGAAGGACATGATACGATCTAGACTCGGCGACAAGGGAGAGTTCGATGTCGGTGGTGTTCCGGAATGGGAGAAGGAATGGGTCGATGAGGTGCAAAAGCTGTTGGAGATGGATGCCGGGTGGGGATGGAGGGGATTCTGGTTATGCGTCCGGACAAACATCAAGGTGTGTTCACTGTTCTTCGACTTCGGCCGCGCTGATTCCAAGTCACCGCCAGCGGCATCGTCTTGCTCGACTCCCACCGGACTACGGAACAGGTACGTCATGCAGGTAGTGGAGCGATATCGGGCCAGGCGGGAGTGGGTAGTCCTGCCAGCGGTCCGAGCTATTGTCCTCGAAATTGAGGATCTACTGTTTCCATGACAGCTGCATGCATCTCATTACAGCTTCAGACCCATTTCCCAGAAGTCCCGCTCCAGCCTCACGCACTCCTGCCATATCTTGGTCAAACGCTCGAGCCTCGCCGGACTTGGCGGATCCGCCGCAATGAGCTTTTCGAGATTTTCTGCCAGTCAGCACCACCCGGACCTTAAACATACCTATGCCTCGATCGACGGCATCCAGGTACTCCTTCCCTGAATAGTCCTCCATCCACTTGGCATACAGATTCCCCTCCTTGTTCCCCCGTCCCGCCTTGACTTCCTTTTGCAGCCACAGCCCCACCTCGCCATACCCAATCAGACAGCTCGCCACCGCCACGTACAAATCCAGGATATCCCCCTGCGCTCCGACGTCCAGGATGTATCGCGCGTAAGCCGCACATGGAGCGGATTCGGTAGTTTGCTCTAAGGTAGCCAAGGAGATACCGAATGATTCGCAGTAGGCGACGTGCATTGAGGATTCGCGAGCAATATGCGCGGCGATAGAGGTGAAGTATGAGATAGACTCGAAGGTGGTGGATTTGTAGGCGCCAAGAGCGTGTGCTCGTGCGTCTGCGAGTCAGCTTGGATGTGGGTAAGACTGACAGTGCTGCAGATATATGTAGTCCTGCTTGATGTAATGCTCAAATGACTCGCGAGGGAGGGTACCGTTCCCTAGTTGGATGACGAAAGGGTGGCGGACCTACGGGGTCAGTGGTACATCCACTCAGGAAGACTTTTATCTGTCCTCACGTATGACTTCCACAATGGCAAGTCAGACCGGATCAAGTGCGAGACAAAGGGGTGGGGATTGGAGGGTGTGGGTCTAGATCGTGAGCTAAGAGCTAGACCGTATCCAACTGCCAGCTTACGGAGGAAGAGCTCGGCGGTATGACATGTGAGCGTGATTCAGAGGGCCATGCCCCTTACCAAAGCTGTACGCCGATGCGATGGACGACTTGACATATTCGATAGCTCGCTGACAGATCGCTTGTGCCGAGATATCAGCACCTGTAGATCAGCACAAACCCTTCCATAGTATTGAGCAGACCTACCAGACTCGGCTGCTAGCGCGATCGAGCAAGCGAGAGCCGAGCTCAGTGTACAGCCCGTCCCATGCGTGCTCGAAGACCGGATATACTTGCTGATGAACCAGGTGGTCCGATCCGAATCCCGCTCCTGCAGCAGATCGACGACCATCTTTTCGCTCATGTATGAGTTGTCGTCTGCATCCTCTCCTGATTGCCGCTGCAGCACTTCGACACAATCGCCCCCCTCGCCGTCATCCAGCCAGACCAGCTCCACCCCCGCTTTCATCGCAGCGCTGGCGAGGCTTTTGACTTTCCGGCGGGCCCATGGCTTGTGTCCTCCCTTCAACAGCAGATATGGTGCGTTGTATTTGACACTCAACTCGTGGGTGATGTCCATCATGTCGAAGAGGGACTCGACGTTCATGTCTCCCTCGTCCGCCATGTCGGTCAGAGCCATCGCTTCGGGAATGTTGGGCGTCAACCAATCGACATGTTGTATGAGGTTGTTCCGGATGCTCGCCATAGCTTCGTCACCGACCAGCATGTGCCCCGAAGTAGAGATCATGACGGGGTCGAGCACGATGATGGGCTTGCTACTCGAAGCATTCGGGAGGCGGGCAAAGTAGGTGGCCAGGGCGTCTACGGTAGATGCGGAGGTGAGCATGCCGAGCTTGATAGCTTGAGGTGGTCCATCGTCCCACACAGCTTTCAGCTGATGGTTAGCCACTGTGCAAGGTGAGGCACCTGTCAGGGAGCTTACCTGCTGCATCACAAAATCAGTAGGGACTTGATGAACCGCCTTAACCCCCGTGGTATTTTGGGCTGTAAGACCGGTGAGAACGGAGGAGCCATAGCACTTCCAAGCTTCGAACGTCTTCAGATCGGCCTGCGATGTCAGGTGCTGACCTTCACCGTATGGCGTTGCGTGAAAGGCGAGGGATGTACCTGTATACCAGCTCCTCCTCCCGAATCACTTCCTGATCACAGGTCAGCTTAATCGGAAGAGGATCACCGAAGACTTGGCAGCTCACCTGCGATGGTCAAGACATGCGGAGGTGTTGATATTCTCTTATCCGGCTGCCACGATTCCATGATGCTATATGACTACAAGGGAGGTAGAGGAGGGGGAGTCGACTGCCATGTTCACCTTGCGCCTTGCCTTGCGCAAGAGAAGTGCTGGAGAAGCGGATCCAGGCGGAGCTCCGCGTTTCATTACGGCATAGCAGATCGTTATCTTAGCTAATTACCCGAGCTGAATACAAAATGATTTGATGCCGCTAATGAAATACATACCCCCACTCTTGTCCTCGAGTCGGGCCGAGTCAAATAGCCAAAGATTTCCGCATCTCCATCTGTCCACCTTCAGTCACAATGGCAGCAACACCAAATGGAGACAGCGAGGAGGCCAAGCTACAGCGATGGGCAGATAGGCTGGCCTCGCTCCCGAGCTTGGCGCTACCTACGGACTATCCCAGGCCATGTCCGTCAAATAACCTCCAACAACCTGACTTGAGCTGATCTTGCAGCTCCATCCAAGCTGGTCGAGTCGTTCCAGACCATGCCTCTCCCAGCCTCCCTCACACCGACCCTCCTTCGCCTGACGGTCGAGTTCTCGGCCATCTTTCCCAACTCCCCCTTCCCTACGCCATACCACCTCATCCTGACCTCGTTCGTCATCCTTCTCTTCCGGTACACACCGGACCCGTCGCTGGTCGTCTGCACGTCCGGGCAGGGAACAACTATGCCGCTCCTCCTCAAGCTGGATATCGCAACAGAGAACACCTTCTTTGACGTGCTTCGGCAAGTGATGGAAGCTGAAGCTCTCGCCGAAGGGGATGCTCTGCCCATCTCCAAAATCGTCGACAAGATCAAGCCGGAAGGTCCGCTCTTCCGCGTGCGCTTCCTGGACTCTACCCAGGTAGAAACGGATCCTACCACATCTCTCACTACGGATCTCACCCTCTTCCTGCTCGCGTCGCAGAATGAAACGCCCCTTACCCGGACGTCCATCCCCGCACTCTACCTTCGCCTCGCGTACAACTCGCTGCTCTTCACACAAGCGCGCATCACCGCTATCCTCGAATCTCTTCAACAGCTCCTCACTTCTGCCGCCTCCCTCGGTGCCGCACACCCGATCGGGTCCATACCCCTCCGGACCGTATCGCAGGTGGGCACACTGCCTGACCCCGCGGCAGATCTCGACTGGTGTGGCTTTGTCGGAGCCATCCCGGACATCTTCTCGGCGAACGCTGCGGCGCACCCAGAGAGGATCTGCGTGGTTCAGAGTGAGCTGGAAGAGGGACAAAGCGTCATGGATGGGCCAAGCAGGGGAAGGAGGACGTTCACGTATCGTCAGATCGACGAAGCGAGTAATGTGCTCGCGCATGCGTTGCTGAAGAATGGGCTGGAAAGAGGAGAGGTGGTCATGGTGTATGCGGCAAGGAGTGTGGAGATGGTGGTCTGCGTGATGGGTATTTTGAAGGCTGGAGGTGTATTTTCTGTTGTCGGTAAGTCTTCCCGAACCTTTTGAAGGACGGTACTAAGTAGTAGACCCTGCATACCCTCCATCTCGCCAGACGGTCTACCTGGAAGTTTCCTCGCCCCGAGCACTCCTCGTCATCTCCTCAGCGGGCGTCCTCGCCCCATCGGTCTCAGAGTACATCTCCACCAAGCTCTCCCTCCGTCTACACGTCCCCGCCATTGCTCTCTCAGCCGACGGCATTACCGGCTCCCGGTCTGACGCTTCGGAAGACATCCTCGGACCATTCCAATCTCTATCGCAGACCCCAGCCGGTGTGGTGCTCGGTCCCGACTCTCCAGCCACGCTCAGCTTTACCAGCGGAAGTACCGGTATCCCCAAAGGTGTCAAGGGTCGGCATTACAGCTTGACGCACTTCTTCCCGTGGATGGGCAAGCGATTCGGGCTGGACGAGAACTCAAAGTACACCATGTTGTCGGGTATCGCCCACGACCCTATTCAGCGAGACAGTGAGTTGGCTTCGAGACGAAGCTGATAACAGTGTTCACACCCCTTTTCCTTGGCGCTCAGCTGCACGTCCCTACAGCAGACGATATCGGCACGCCTGGCCGGCTCGCCGAATGGATGGCCGACTCCGAGGTCACCGTCACCCACCTCACTCCCGCCATGGGTCAGCTCCTCTCGGCGCAGGCCACCCGTCAGATCCCTACCCTCAGGAACGCCTTCTTCGTCGGAGACGTCCTCACCAAGCGGGACTGCACTCGGCTGCAATCCCTCGCCAAGAATGTCTGTATTATCAACATGTACGGAACGACCGAAACCCAGCGGGCGGTCTCGTACTTTGCCATCCCGAGTGTCAACGAGGACTCGACCTTCTTGTCTACCCAGAAGGACCTCATTCCTGCTGGACAGGGGATGATCGATGTTCAGCTCCTGGTTGTCAACAGGACGGATCGCAACGTCCCTTGTGCGGTCGGAGAGATGGGCGAGATTTACGTCCGATCAGGAGGACTGGCAGAGGGGTACCTCGACCCAGCGGCGACGGCCGAAAAGTTCGTCAAGAACTGGTTTGGTGAGGGCGTGGAGCGGGAGGATACGCTCGTCAAGTCGAACCCTGCTGCTGCCAAGCACTGGTTTGGGATCCGGGATCGGATGTACCGGTCAGGTGATCTCGGTCGATACCTCCCTGACGGGCGTGTCGAGTGTACCGGTCGAGCCGACGATCAAATCAAGATCCGAGGCTTCCGCATCGAACTCGGCGAGATCGATACGCATCTCTCGCGTCACCCGCTTGTTCGCGAGAACGTTACGCTCGTCAGGCGTGACAAAGACGAGGAGAAAGTGCTGGTCAGCTATTTCGTCCCTATCGACGGGGACGGGCTGGACAAGTACATGTCTGCGAGCGAGGGCGGAGAGGATGAGGATATGGACATGAAGACGGAGATGCTGCGTGGGGTGAGACGGTATAGGCGTTTGATACGCGATATTCGGGAATACCTGAAGAAGAAACTCCCTTCGTACGCGGTCCCGGCCGTCTACTTCCCCCTATCGAAACTCCCCCTCAACCCCAACGGCAAGGTCGACAAGCCAGCGCTTCCCTTCCCAGACACAGCGCTCGCGCCTCCCGTGGCGTCAAAAGACCTCGCCACTCTCACTCCCACCCAAAAGACAATCCACGATATCTGGCTCAAACTCCTTCCCTCCCCACCGCCCGCCGTTGCCATCGACGAAAACTTCTTCGATATGGGCGGTCACTCTATCCTCGCCACTCGGCTCATCTTTGAGATCCGCAAGACGTTCGTTGTCAATGCACCGCTTGGGCTCGTCTTTGAAAAGCCAACTATCGCGGCGCAGGCTGCGGAGATTGACAGTCTGCGCCAGGTCGACCTCGGCGCGGGCTCAGCACCGGTCAAGCAGGCAGCACCGGAGACTCCGTACGCTGCGGATGTCGAGATACTGGCGAAGCAGCTTCCGCAATTCTCCCCACTCCCCGCCGACTTTGGCAAAAAGCCGATCACCGTCTTCCTTACCGGCGCCACGGGTTTCCTCGGGGCTTTCATCCTTGCCGATCTACTAGCGCGGAATGTCAAGAAGGTCATCTGCCTTGTTCGCGCCAAGGACGCGTCAGGTGGGATGGCGAGACTCAGGGAGTCTGGAGAAGGGCGGGATGCTTGGGATGAGAGCTGGGTGACAGATGGCAAGGTAGAGGCGGTCGCTGGGGATTTGGCGGATGAGCACTTTGGGCTGGATAAGGCGACTTGGGACCGGATCGCCGGCGAAGCCGACTCGGTCCTGCACAACGGTGCCGTCGTCCACTGGGTCTACCCCTACGCCAAGATGCGCGCCGCCAATGTCCTTTCCACCCTCACTGCCCTCCACCTCTGCGCCGAACAACAGCCCAAAGCCTTCTCCTTCATCTCGTCCACCGCCGTCCTCGATGCCGAGGGGTTCAACCGGAAATCGGATGAGTCAATCCACAGTGGCGGAACGGGATTGATGGAGACGGACGACCTGGAGGCGGGCCGCACTGCCCTGGATACGGGCTATGGCCAGTCCAAGTGGGTGTGCGAGAAGCTCGTTATGGAGGCTGGGAAGCGCGGCTTGTCGGGATATTCACTCCGGCCGGGGTACATCCTCGGACACTCCCGGTCGGCCGTCACCAATACGGACGACTTTATCTGGCGTATGGTCAAAGGCTGCCTTCAACTCGGCCTCATACCAGATATCAACAATACCATCAACCTCACCCCTGCCGACCACGTCGCGCTCCTCGCTTCTCTCTCTACGCAAATCATCGACCCGGCACAGCCGTTCAAGATCATACACGTGACTGGTAATCCCCGGATCCGGTTCAATGACCTCCTCGGCTCGCTCGCGGTCTATGGCTACCCCACCCAAAAGGTCGAGTATGTCCAGTGGCGGACCAAGCTCGAGCAGCACGTGCTCGAGACGCAGGACAATGCGCTCTTCCCTCTGCTGCACTTTGTGCTGGATGATCTGCCGACCAGTACCAAGGCGCCCGAGATGGACGATGCGAATGCGCGGGCGCTGGCGCGTGCAGGCGGCGAGAAGGAGGGAGCAGGGGTGGATGAGAAGCTTATAGGGCTGTATTTGGCGTGGTTGATTCGTGCGGGCTTCTTGGAGGCGCCGTCGGGACAGGGGGAGAAGACATTGCCGGAGATCCAGGGTGGGGCGATTGCGGCGATCGGACGGACCACAGCGGGGAAGTAGGTAATGCGTATCTAGAAGGATATCTGATGGTAGAAAAAGGTACATTTGCATAGATAGCTTGCCCAAGATGCGTATTATAAAGCTTGAGACTAAAGCTACACGGTAGTCCCCTCCATCTCCCTTCTTGCCCATCTTTCCTGTGTACGATCGAACGCCTCGAGCTCGCGCTCCCCTACTAGTCCAATGATAACCCGGTGCATCTCGTTCAGGCGGGACGTGAGGTGGATGAGCGCGACGTTGGCCGTTGCGTAAATGGCGAATTGCTCGTCCTGCTCATCAGCTGTTTGTCCACTGGCCGGGGATGAAGGCACTCCAGCTCACCTTGGCCATATCAAGAGTCATCTCCTTCGACAGATCCTTCACCACGCGCTCTTCCTCCTGGTCCACTCGACTCTTCTCGGCCGCCTCCTCTTCGGTCTCGCCAGCCCGCGTATCGTCAGACCCGTCTTTCCCATTAGGCGGCGTAGCCGTACCCTCTGTCGACCGGGCTGAACGGAGCGCATGCCGCCATGCTCCATCTCGAGACCCCGCGGCTTGATGAAGGGAGTGATACCCTAGTCTCTCGAATATAGGCATCATGGGCGGTAACGGCTGGCCATTATGCAAAGATTGATGCAGGAGCGCAAAGAGGGATAGGATATCGGCAATCTACGGATCAGCTACTGTCCTGTGGACCAAGGAGGTGACTTACAAAGGCAGGCCGCATAATGTCGCTTCGCTCAGCTAGGCGTTTTGCCCAGTTATGGTCTAACCGATTGAAGCTTCCGGCGAGAACGGCGAGAGAGGAGATGAGCTGGATCTCGAGCGAGTGGAGCTCTTCGTAGGCCGCTTTCGGCCATGGTCCTTTGAGACCAGGCTCAACGCTGCCTGATTAGCCCTCGTCTGTCGTGAATCGGCCATAAACACCTACCTGGCGAATTTGACCTGGGTGCTGAGGGTGCTCAGCCGTTCCTTTACCGTCAGCTGCGTGTCTTACATTGGGTCGAACAAGCCAGCTCACCATGATCTTCACGAAGCGCTCAGTGTGCTGCGCCATTCGTTCGGTCTTAGCCTTCTCCAACTCCCCATCCTTGTGCTTGTTGTCGTCCCATTCGCTTTCCTGTTCCACACCGCTGATAATGGCCGCATAGAGGTCGGATATATCGGCAATATTGCGAGCGATTGAGCGGCGGACGATCAGTCGAGCGGAAGTGGCTAGGCATGTCAGCTGTAGACGCCGTCTATTGACAAGAAAGCTTACGACGAGGGAAGAGCATGACAATGAAAGCAGCGGTAAAGCCTGCCAATCAGTAAGTCGTTCTCACTCCTCATCATCTACTCACCAATGATGACCAGCAAAGCTCTCCGCCAGGCCAGCTCGGCCCCGCTGCCCTGGTTGGCGGTCTGGTAGATATGCTCGTCGACCCACGAATAGCCAACAACGAACTGAGCATATCAGCTCAAGAATCTTGGTTATCAGACCCTCCTTGAGCTCACCGTCACCGTCACGCCGGTCATCAGAGCCACGATCATCGGAGGACTCTGGAGCGGCGCAGTGATCCGTATGAAGAGCGGCACGGCGATGATGACCATCTGACAAGGTCAGCTCTGTTGACCCGTTCGCGAGGAGCCACGTGAGCTTACTGTGGCTGCAGCGATACCATAGGGATTCCCAGGACCGAGCTGGGCCCCGATATACCAGGCCAGCATGCCGAGCACGAGACCCAGAACTGTTCCGGCCTACTTCCGTCAGCTGCAATCGGACTATAGACACATTGGGCACTCACAAAGCGCAAGACGAAGGACGAGATCTGTTCGCCGGTGAAGATACCCATTCCTGTTTGTGCCTAATCATGAGCTCAGACTAGATTAGATGGATGCTGAGCACGCACCATGATCAAAGCCCAGAGACCACTACACAGCGTCAGCGCGAATCAAGGCTGAACAAAAGGACATACCGATTGGTGTACCTGCTCGTCAGCCAAGAGTTCTATATCACACAGCTGGGACCACTCACGTGAAGTACGCGGAACTCTGGATAACCTGCGGCACCCATAGCGCCATACTGACGATCGCGTACTTGAGCGCAAAGATTCCATTCACACCCGTCAAGGCTCGCCAAGCGACATGTATCGACCGCCCAAACCTCTGGAATCCGTTCCTTGGATCAGACGCATCTGGGTCTTTCTCTGCCCAGTATCAGCATCGTCCACGTCAGAATGGATTTCACTCACTCCACTTGCGCGCTGGCTTCTTCTCCTTCTCAGCCCCCGGCTTGGCAGCTTCCACCAACGTCTCTTCGCTCCGATCATCATGTCTCCCCAGATCCAGCGGATTGCCACCGGAACCCTGGTCTCCGGCATTCTCCTTGACGGCCGCGGCGACCTTTTTGGGAAAGTTCCACTTGTTCTTTGGGTTCTCTCGCTCGATCTCCAGGAGGAGCTCTAGGAACTCGATGAGCTCTTGGCAGAAGTAGGTGAGGTGGGTGGAGAGGAGGAACGTGGTGAATAGGTCGCGAGTCGAGAATCGCAGATGACCGATCTTGGCGGGGATAATGTGACCGTCCGCGTCGAAAGCGGTTTCGACAGGCTCGAGAAGCGCATGGCGACCTTGAGAGCGGTATAGCTCCAGCTCGGTCTTCAACGCTGACAGCCGCTCTTCCCGAGCCGAGATGGATGTGGCCTTCTTCGCCGATTTCCAGCGCGAATGATTCACCTCGTCCAGCCAGTTCATCGCCTCTTCGATGGCCTCGCTAGCGGAAGACCGCAGGGTAGAGGTGGATTCACGAAGAAGCGGGATGAGGTCGTCGATGGCCGTACCGGGATGCCGATTCTTCTCCTGCAGTTCCAGCATACGTTTCCGGTGGGGCTGGGGGTGCAATGTTGACCCGTCCCCTTCCATCTTTTTCCACGCCGTGTTGCGCTCGTCCAGTGTCATCTACGGTGTGAGCTGTTATCGCCTCTAGATATCGTTGACCAGCTTACGACGAAAGTGGCCAATCCGAAAGCCCTCTGTCCCAAGACCTTCTCCTTCTCGACAATCCGCTGCAAATCCTGCGCTCCAAATCGACCATGCGTAAACTCCAAACTCAGGAGCTTCACCTGTCCTCCGAGAGCCGTAGCTCCCATGACGTGCGCTTTCCGCAGTCCAGCAGCTTTGGTAGCCAGACCGCTCCACTTCTCCTCGTCGGACGGAGACGCATCGAGTACGCTGGTTTGGAGGTCGAGCAGTCCCTTGATGGGAGTGAGGCAGAGCTCGTTGAGCTGGGTGAGAAGAATAGAGTGGAGCGACTGAGGGAAGATGAGAATGGTGCTGGCGAGGGCGATGGCCAGGAACACAGATGCGGGAAGGAGGAGATTGCTCTGTCCTGTTAGCATCTAGTCTGAGTGGTCGTAGGTAGACTTACGGCGAGGGTGTATTGTGCAATCGGAAACAGAGGCCCGTAAGAGCACATCACTGCTGGTCAGCTTGAGACTTGTCCGTCTCTGCGGGCACCCTCACGGTCAAGACTGAGAACGTCAGCCAAGCCTTCGAACGGATCTAAGGAGCAAACTTACATGATAGTCCCAAAGATGGCGCCGAGAGTACTTCAACATCAGCCTGGGGCACATGAGCCCGCTCGCGAAGACTTACAGTCTGGGGAACTTCGCACGGACAAAGCCAAACGCATAAGCGCCAAAGAAGAAGAAGACCCCGTATACTGTCGACGAGGCCGGATCCAGGAATGCACCTCGGAAGATAGACTGCTGGACTGTTCAGGGTCAGAAGGAGTAGGTGAAGTCTAGCGTCTGGAAGATGGCTTACATTGCTGGTCCAGATTCGAGTCTGAGGTGTAGCTGCCGATCAGCCGGGTCCAGCTAGACTGCAAGCGCGCTCGATACTCACGTCGCTTGCTCACGAGTCACATCCTGTTGCAGCAAGACCTGACTCCGAGCTCGAAGAGCCGCTGCCATAGCTGCGACACCCCATGCCCAGCCTGTACAGAGCCCAATAACGAGGGTGAGGAAGGCGAAAAAGTAGACCGAGAGCGCCATTGATGGTGGAAGCATTTGCGACATCTGCTTATGAGAATGGCCCTCCTCTCTCAGGTTGATGGCGTACAATCAGGCCGAAGAAAGCTGCTTGACCGAGGACTGTCAGAGCTAGCCTGTCAGCATACATACCCCACTAGAGGCTCAACGCAAGGACGTACACTTCTGCGCCAGCATGACCACCATGGCCGCCAGTGTCGCAATCATACACCTAGCGAAATTCTTCCACGTCCGAGGCTTCCCGATTGCACTGCTCAGCCATGGAGGCATCTTGTCCTTGAGGCTCGACATGGCGGTCATTTTGGTACCACCAGGATGGACTATATGTCAGGTCGAGCAAGATTCCTTGGGCGTCGTGGTCTTTGTTTACACAAAGATTTCGATCTGGACCGATGTTTCGGTAGACAACGAGGTTGGTCTCTTCGGCTCCTGCCTCTAAGATCTGGAGAGGGTATAAGAAGAAGGAGCTGGCGAGAGGACGTGGGGCGTAGCAGCGTGCGTCGTATGTAGATGAATGTACAGTCAAGAGCATGGTTGTGACGAAAAACAAGGCGGCCGCAAGAGGCGGATCTGCTCTGCGTGGGGCCCCAACAGCTCGGCCGCCGGGACCACAGGATGACTGGCTGAAGCGCTGAAGCTCAGAGGCGGACACTCTCCAAGCATGCTTGCTCTAGGGCTATGCTACCAGTACAGTCAGCTGCCTGCACCGGGCGACGATAGCTGCAACACGATTGTACCTACGAAAGATGACTGACCCAACGCTACAGCAATCTAGCCATAATATCGTCTATATCCTCCTGCCCTCCTACCCAAAACGAGTGGCTTCCGACCTTCTTGAACCCGCACTTCTCATAGAACTTCACCGCCCGCGTGTTCTCTGGGAGCACGCCCAGCCATATACTTTTATACCCCTCCTTTCTGGCTGCACCGTACACCTCCTCCGCCAGCTGCCTTGCCAGCCCGGCACCATGGTGCGCCTTATCAACGTAGATCCTTTGCAGTTCCACCGGATTCGGCCAGTCCGCTACTGATGGCTCGGACGAAGAGGTTCCCCGCGCTATCACCGCGAAGCCGGCGACCCCAGCCGAGCCGTCTGCGGCGTGGGCGACGAGGTACAGGCGGTCTGGATGGGAGATTTCTTTGGAGATGAGCTCGGCGGTATAGCTTGCGTCGAGGTGGACGAGCATGTTCTCAGGGGAAGTAGTGTGGGAGAAGGTCTCGAGCCAGACTTTGCGGCCGACGGCGACGATACCGTTGACGTCTGACTGAGTTGCCGGGCGGACGAGGTATGAGGGGGAGGTAGATTGTGTCATTTTGGAAGGAAGGGGTGATGTGCGGGAAAGGAATTGATTTGCGATACGGTCGAGAGAAGGGATATATACACAGCTATACACAGGGGGGAGAACGAGAAGGCTATATCCAGTACGGCTACGGGTTACATGAGACCAGAAATGGTAGATGAAAGCAAACATCCAATAGATGATCTCGACTCAAATATAAATATGGACCAAGAGTTGCACACGGACTTGCCAAAATCACGATCGAAGAGCATCGATCTCACTTAGTACAGCATACATCTCTCAGCACAATCACAATGCAGTCAAAGCCCTTCCCCACACATACATCTACGCTCGTCATCGGCGGCGGGCCAGCTGGAATCGTCTCGCTGAAATACGTTCAGGAGTATGGGCGGAAATTCGGCTTGCAGGGGGATGGTGATGGGGAGGATTCGGTCCTGGTCGAGATGGAAGCTGAGATCGGGGGGACGTTCAAGTGAGCTATGCCTGTTTTAGCCCATGACAGGAAGCTGATAAGTTAGATATCGAGCCTACCAAAATGCAGAGCTTGTCAGCTCCAAGCAGTTGACCTGCTTCTCTGATTTCAGGTAAGCCGATCAAACAGAAATCACAACCATGCTAAGTTGTAGGTATCCCCTGGACGCGCCTGACCATCCTTCACTCCCCAACTTCGTACAACACCTGAATGACTATGCGACGCACTTCTCGCTCTGGCCTAATATCCACTGCCGAACCAAAGTGGTCCACCTGGACCGGATCGGCGCCAAGGAGAATTCCGGCGGATACCTCCACCGCGCGACGCTGCGACGGGTCGATGGCGAGGGCAAGGAGACCGGCGAGTCATTCACCATCATCGCCCGTCGCGTCGTCATTACTACCGGACTGCATGTCGAGCCAAATATCCCCCTCATCCCTGGTCTCAACTCTGAACCTACGCCCAACTCCCCAGAATGGATCCACTCGTCCTCGTACAAATCGCACGATCAGCTCCGGGGCAAGGAGGTCTTGGTCCTCGGTGCGGGCGAAACGGGAATGGACGTCGCGTACGAGTCGGTCATCTCGCCCGCAAAGAAGGTCTCGATGGGCGTCCGGGGCGGGTTCCTGTCATTCCCCAAAGTTCTCAATAACTTTCGGGTTCTCGGCTCCACGTTCGACGGCAACTTGCCCATCGATGGGTTGATCACCAACCTCTTTGAGACGGCGTATGTTCATCCATGGGTCGCAGCGAGCCATCTCAGGTGGTTCGTCTCGGATTTCGTCATCCGGCGGGTACTCTGGGTCCTCACTGGTACCCAGGCGGGATGTAACCAGTGGGCAGGTGAGCTTCCTCCAGAGCGGCAAGGAAGGGCGTATGTCTTCCTCAACAAATCGGCCAAGGCGATGCAGTTCATCAACCGCCCTTACCGCAAGATGTCACGGCTGCACCAGCTGCTCGCGCACTATATCGACCCACCCGTGCCGGAGGGCGTCACCGACCCGACGATCCACATGGTGCCGTTCCCAAGCAAGTTCGATTCGGAGGGAAGGGCGGTGTTTCCCCGTCCCCCGAAGCACAGGGAGAAGGAGACGGGCTGGAAGGAGGAATGCAAGCCGGACCTGGTCGTGCTGTGTACTGGATACAAGCAGGACTTCAAGTGGCTCGGAGAGGGATATCCTAGCGGGCCGGAGAGTGTGGATGTGAGAGGGGTCTGCTCCAGCAAGGACACGAGTGTTGGCTTTATTGGGTTCCTCAGGCCTGGAGTCGGTAAGCCCCTTCTTTTTGCAGACTATTGCTGAGCTGACTCTCAGGCGCCATACCGCCAATGGCAGAGATGCAAATTCAGCTCTTCCTCGCCCTTACTGCCAACCGCGTCCCCATCCCCTCTTCACCAGAAACATACCACCTCCTGCACGCGTCGACCGGTCGGATCCAGTATGGAGTCGACTATAGCACATACCAGGCTCAGTTGGCGCGGGACATCGGATCTGCGCCCACTCTGCGCGAGCTGTGGAGGGAGCATGGGTGGTTTGTGGTTTTCATCTACTGGTAAGCCTACGCATTTCGATATCAGACGGAGTACTTTGAGCTGATCGATTAGCTTTGGCGCCGCCTTCCCCACTTTTTACCGCTTGACCGGGCCCTATCGATCCGCGTCGGCACCCAAGATTGTTCGGACCGAGCTGTGGGACACCATCAAGCGTCGCGGGGTCATCGGCAACATCTTTATGGGGGTCATTCCGATGGTAAGTTCAGTGATCTTCCATGAAGCGGAGGAGTTTGTGCTGATCGACAGGCATTCTACGCGCTTGTCAACCTCACAGCGTATCTTCTGGAGATGGTTTGGATTCTAGCGGCGCCGCTGTTCGGATACAGGTAGCCCGCGCAGGAGGCAAAATTGAAGACGATTTAGATGACGGCTTTGCGCAGAGGAGGGGTGCATCGCGCTAATCAGGAGCCTCAGAGGCAAGTTGTACATATGAGCTCAGGCTATACAGAGATACTCGATGGCTTGGAGGTATGCCCCTGATGCTGATGCTTGATCGTCCCGTCTGGACATCGTGCGTGCGGGATACACTGAGACTGCCACACATGCCGCTAATCTACCGGCAGGACAAAGGAGGTTATATTGGGGCCTGAATGGAAGCTCACTCCAAGGATACCCCGCGCTGCATTCCTTTGTCAGAATCAGTGGGGGAGAACATGACATCCATTGATCGTCCCGGATAGCTGCACCTAGACGTTCTGGCGCTCCTTTGTCCCTGGACTGTCCATACGAGTATTCTTGGGATAAAGCAAGTCTGCGTTCTATGACGTGCTCTTCCGCTCCTACCCACCAGCCTGCTATACCCTACTTCGCTCCTATCACTCGCGCTCCCCCTCCAGCTGTTCTCATCCTGGCATCGCCACTACTTATCCAGAACCCCACCCGCCAGCCCACTCCAGCCATACCCGCCTCGGACGAACCATTCCTTCTGCCACTTCTGGACCGTTCTCTACCCGACCGTCCAGAACCGGCACGCTCGTGCATTATCCGCGTGCCACACATTGCCGCGGCCGCAGTGACTACCGCCGGTCCCGCTCGGAGAAATCGGAGGCGAGATCGAATCTTTGCGAGACATTTCCGCTCGGGTGGCAATGAACCGAAATCCGGACCCCTCCTCCGGAGAAGACGTCCACATGGCAAATGATCATGAAACGCTCAAAGAAGCAGCGTCGGTGCGTCATGTTTCAGACCTCGGCCGCATCGGCGATGACGGTGACGCTGAGTCAAGCTCGGCTCACGTGGAACGGATGAAACAGGACCAGGAACAAAAGGCGTTCGCACATTCCTCCGGCAATAAGCATAACCGTGCTGCCCTTGCAGCTGCTCCGCCGGCGCCTTTTGTCTCGAGCTGTCACGCACAGGGATCGGCAGCTGTGCCTGCAGCGGGACCGTTGCCCGAATGGTCGGCCTTAACGGCTTTGGCGAGTCTAGCCGCGAGTGCGGCGCCTCTGGGTCGAGAGGCAGGAGGCGAACAAGGAGGGATAGATCGCGAGTCATCCTCCTCCAATGGAAGCGGAGGGTTCAGAGAGGCTGGTCAGTCACGGGGAGGTGTTGGTGGCGCGGATGACAGGACAAGGGGTCATCCTCATCAGCGACCCGTTGGTCTGCGAGATGACGAGCCTGTCAGATCTGCTGTCTCTTGGGTCAGAGGCGCAGCACCCAAGGCCCCGAAACCCGATCTTAGACTCTATACTTGGCAGCAGCACAGCGTACCTCGCCAGGCACAGCACGCTGTACGAGCCCGGCCAGCCTAGCGGAGGGATAAATCCAAAGCTCTCGGTGAATGAAGAACAACCACAAGGAGAACAAAGGGCGGATGATAGGACACAGCGTGAAGCGGTAGCGGCGCCTCTCATTCCGGACCTGAAGACAAGGACAAAAGGAGATACTTCGGAGTTGGATCGTGCCTGGCCACCCCTTGTTCTCCAGTCATCGGAGGCACCTTCATCTTTACATTCTCATCAAGGACACCCTATACCCCTTGTTACCCCCGTGGCACTGTCTCTCACACCTACACTCTCACACCCTACTCCCTCGCGACCCTTGCGCCGCCCTTCCATCATACCATCAGTCGGAGGTCGTCCCGCGCCCCTGTCTCTAGCCCCTTCGCCGAGGCACTCCCCTTACGCTTTGACTTCGGCACGTCCTGTCCCTACTAGCTCGTCAGACACACTCCGGTCCGCCAGGCAAAGACTAAACAATCTCGCCATGTCTCCATCATCTTCATCTCTCGAAACAAACCAAACTACCCCTCCCGCACGCTCGGTCCCACTTTTACCGTCCACACCTCCTCAACTCTCTTCGGGCGGATCGACCCCTCTCGCATCCCCGTCCGCTTCGCTCTCCATGTCGAAACGTCGTCGCGCACCCGAATGGCCCTCGCCACGTAGTCACCACTCTCACCCCTCATCTCACTCCCACACCGCAATGGACGCGCCCCAGTCCGCCTTCTCGAAAGATCTGGCGCAGACACTCCGCACACCCGCCGTCCTCCGCGTCCCTCCTACACCGGACTACTCCCCCGCATTCTATCGCTCGGGCTTTGCATGGCAACCACCTGCACCCGAACCCACCCCATCCCTACTCGGACCGGGTCGCGCCCCCAGCCGAGGACCCCTCGATCGGCGTCACTCGCCATACAGCTCCGCACCAAGCGCGTCCACACCACGGTTGGCAGATGCGCCGCAACTCCCTTCGGATGAAACCCCTATGAATGCATCGGCAGCGGCGGCCGCAAAGAAGGAGAGAGTGAATCTTATGGGTATACCGAAGGGATGGGTGATTGAGCAGCTCAACAAGCGGGCAGCGCAGTACTGGCATGATCCGTCGAGCTCGGATATTCGTGTCTGTAAGTACATCCTACTCGATGGTAGAGTTTTGCTGACGAATCAGTGGTTCCTGTACCCCGCTCGCGCATCCCTCACATGCCAGGCAGCTCCGGTACCCACGCCACCACTCCTCTTCCTACCGCACAGGACTCGGCCCAATCATTCCACTCAAATCAGCCCTCGCACGCCGTATGGCCCGCTACGCCGCCTCTAGCCAATCTGGCCCCTGTAGGCAAGACCGACTCGGACCAAGGGCTGCTGGGTCATGTGCAGCCTGGAATGTCGAGCCAAGGTGCAGTTGCTAGCAGCAGGAGAGCAAGTATGCCCGCCCAGGACGATGTCGTCGTAAGTCTACCCACTTGCATACCGTATGAAGCTGACCCTCAGGCATTGGTCTTCCCCCTGCATCAAGACTACCTCATCACTCAATCTTCGCTCTTCCGCACTCTGTTCGCCCCTGCCCCCGGCAACCCCGACGCCCCCTCCAGTTCGCGTAGTATTAAAGGCGCCCGACGACTTCCTACAGCCCCAACCGCGCCTCCGGCCGTCCTTCTCCCTCTTCCCGACCCGACGTCCTTCTCTGTCCTCGTCCACTGGCTCTACTGGGGCGACATCACCGCGCTCGAGTCGGCACTCAGCAAAGGGCTCGTCGAGTGGCAGGGCGTCGTCAAGAATGTGCATTATCTGGGCATGGATGATAATGTCAAGAGGGTGCTGGGCAAGTGGTGGCGCCGGTGGATCAAGACGGATGAGGGAAGGCAGCGGAGTGGGATGGCAGGGGGTCAGAGCGCAAAAGAGAGGTGGCCGCTGTCGGATACGGAGGATGAAGAGGGGTTGAGCGATGATGATGATGATGACGATGATGAGGATTTGAGAGACGAGGGAACGAGGCAGGGCGAGATGGAGGTAGAAGGGGGAGCGGCAGGGCCGGCGAGACATAGAGGAGGAGCGAGTAGCAGAGATGTGGACGATCATGGCGTGTCGGGATTGTTGAAAGCTTTGTAGGCTTATAGATGGTGTATCTTAGCTGGATCCGTTTCAACGAAACTAGCCTTGCGAGCTCTTCTCATGCGGGCTTCGTACATCTTTCACAAAGCTACATGCGGCCTGACAGGGCGATCGTCTCAGATGCCCGTGCTCTCCGCTGTATATAAGCTTGGCGAGAGACCGCCTCGTCGAGCGTCCAAACGCTGTCATCTGCTCATTGAGAGCTGGACAGCGGGTGGGTGTATACGCCGTTGTATCGGTCCCCCGTTCGATCACCCCACCACCCGTATTCCCCTTCTTTTCCGCCAAAGTGCCAGTCCAGCAGCCAGCAGCGCCCGATCTGTACCGCTCGGAGGTACGAGCTGCATCGTGACGCCTAGCGATTCCGTCTCGATATTTCGGTGCTCGTCATCGAAGAATAGCTGTCCCGTCAGCTTGCATACGTCTGGGCGGCAGGTTGGACACGTACCATTTGGTCATATGGAATCTTAGTCTTGCTATGTATGGAGCGGAAGTGCTTCAGCTTTGAGCCTGGTGTATCAGCTGATATCCTAGCTTGCTGCCGCTACCGGGATTCCTTCGACTAACCAGGGTAGATTTCCATGGTGTTGAAGTATGACACGGCCTTGACTGTCTTGCCTTCATCGTGGAGTAACATCATGCCCAGCGCTTCTCTCGCTCTGCATATCAGCTATGTCACAGGACGAGCGGGGCCGGCAAGCGGTGCACACGTACAGCTCAGGAGCGGACGTCCGGGACGCAGCGGCGATGTGGATGTTCCGCCTCTTTAGCTCTGATAAGATCGACGGAACTTCAGCATAGAACTCCAAAGGCTGTCCTCGACTGTTTGATCAGCTCATAGCCTGTCCAACAAGGACCAATGCCAGCTGACTGACCGGTCGATGAGTTGGTTAATCGATTCGCCTCTCCGCTTCAACGGCGGTGAAACGTGAGTCTAGTCTCAGTCAGCGACCATCTGACCAGTGCTAAGACAATACGAGACCAGTCTCACATCTATCCAGAGGTCCCATAGGGTGTAGCTGTCGAGGTCAGTCGGACCTCTCAACGGATCAGCAAGGGGCGAGCTCACTCCAGGTCGAAAGCGATGAGCTGCGGCCAAGCCTCCGGACTATCGACCGGAACATCTCGATAGCCTCCAACTGGTTCTGGTTCTTCTTTCTGGGCTGATCGTCTGGGCATGCTGCGGGTCAGGCTTGATATAATAGCTAGCGTGTAACGTAGAATGTGTAGCAAGGAGAACTGAATTTCTGGTTGGCAAGCTCGCTATGACGCACCAGGTTCTTTCTTTCCGTCGGAACTAAGCATGCTGCGGCAGCGTCATAGCCGCCCAGGTCAGCCCCGCTACCGCTTATTACACCCTCTTCTTGCCCTAGACCTCTTCGCTATAAGAGCAGCCAGACAGCCACAGACCTCCTCATACTCATCACATCTTAACTGATCTATCTCACGATCCTGTCAGGAAAGAACTCATCGAATCCTCAGAAAAGAGGTCAGCCCAAGCGACGAGATGGCGCCCAAGGAAGCTCAAGAACGTGGGTCGATCTCTGCCTCCGCACAGGTAGTGGGCATCAGCTGAACTCTCAGCCATCCCTGTCGTGGAAGACAATGTTGAGAAGCAGGACGATAAGGAATACAAGGTATGTTCAAAGCTCCTCGCTCAACAGTCAGTCAATAGGAGCGCTAAGCTGATCCTCAGGACACCGCCGGTGCCGCCAAGAACGGTGCCGCACCCCCACCTGCTGCGGCAGCCCCGGTTGCCGGTGGGGAGGATGACGATGAAGAGGACGACGAGGACTACAACTCGGAGGACGATGACGAGTACGACGTAGCCGATTCGGAGGACGACGAGGTGGCTGGTTCGGACGAGGACGACGAAGATGAGGATGAAGACGATGATGAGGATGGCCCGTCGGCCGCTGCGGGGACGAGGGACAAGCCGATGACTGATGCGGAGAGGCTGAAGCAGTTCTACTTCACTGTGAGTACCATCTTATACTAGAGGAACGTGGTCGGAGGATCTGACTGATGATGCAGGAGCAGGCTGATGACGACGAAGAGGACGTCGAGGACGCGGGTGCAGAGGGAGATGGCTCGGGCGCTTTCAAGCCCGAAGGCGAGACCGGGAAACGCAAGGCCTCGGGCGAGGAGGATGGAGGAGCGGTCAAGAAGACCAAGGCGACTTAGGGCGAGCAGTGATGGCTACCTGTCTCTTGCTATAATTGTCTTATCTCTTGGACTTGGTTTCTTAGGTTGGTTGTATGCGCGCATGGATCGTGTGCACTGGGAGGCTGACAAGTTTCGCTGGGACTGATGGCGTTTCTGATGGTGTGACGTGCCGAGGGACTAAGTCTAGCTGTCTGACTCTCCGGTGCTGCTCCTACTGCAATCTTACTGATCAGTCTCTCTGCTTTCGGCACTAGTACTGATATTGCATTCTGCACCTCAGATGAGCCTGATCCCGAGCTTTAATCGAGCCACGTCCACCAATTCAGCCACCTCCTGTGGAGCGCCCCAGCTCTGCTGGAACCTGCGTCAATCAGCGCCTGCGCTCGCCTGTTCGAAGCACACCAAGGAAAACAAGCTCACCCTGCAGACCCAAAACCGTAGGCATGTACGATCCGCATGCCCTGACTCGGACACTACATCTCGACTCTCGCACCTCCATCCCTCGCAGGTCGCAATCCCACATTATGACGCACCACCTCGATCTCGGCTTACCCGTCCGGTCCTCCAGTTACAGATGGCTTGATAAAGTCCTTCATGAGAGCCTTGTACTCTCGGAGGATGCGCTCGCCCGTCGCCGGGTCTGTAACCGTATAGTAGTCATCGCGCAGGTATGTCCCTCCAAGGATAAACATAGGCTCGGGTCCGGGTCGGGGGATGATATATGCTGGTTCCGGTAATGGCTCTATCGCATCAGCATCGGCCTCAGCTGGTTTGTTATGCTGACTACTCACGACCAGGTTTCGGATAGAACCCCTCGGTATGCATCACGCAGACCCTCTCCCACGCTTCCGCTCGAACAAGCACCGTCTGGCCCCTTGCTGGATGCACCTATTCATCCTTCACGCCCTTGAGCCACCTCGCACCGAGTCCGGAAGCATTGACGAGCACCGTCCCCTGCCCGACCTGGACGCCTGGGAGGCTGTGGATGTCGTCCAGGCTATCAAGGGTCGTACGGACGAAGAGGACGTTCTTGACCCGGAGGACGGATGCGAGATGTAGGATGTTATGAGGCGCATGGAGGATGAAGGAGGTGTACCGGTGGCCGTACGTCTTACCAGCGGGTATAGGAGCCTGTGGGAGTTGATGCTGAGGGTACATATCAGCTCGGCTCGGCCGGGATTATAGGCCGAGAATACTTACATCGCCGACCAGTGGGCCATACCACCCTTCGACCTCTTCAGTGGGCTTCGGATGGTCCCAGACCGAGTAGAACGGGATGCGCTCGCATAGCTCCGGATGGTTTTCGCTCAAGCTGACGAGGTAAGGGAAGGTAGCGGCTTCGCGGATCGAGCCTGGGGTAGACGCGGACTGCTCAAAAGGGGACCAGTTGCAGCCCTGCTTTTCAGCTGGACAATCATGACAACACGGAGGCAGCAAGTGGGAAGTGGAAAGGATGTGGACGTACAGCCCACGGACTGGCAAAGTCGGTATTATCTTGATCCTCCGGCATGTCCCTTGCGACGATTCCTACTCGGTAGCCTCTTTCTTGGAGTACGAGCGCGCATGCGAGGCCGATCACTAGGTCATCAGCGTGACCGGAGAGAAGAAGGTGTAGGTTTAGGAATGATGAAGAGGGAGATATCTCAACCCGGGCACGCTCGTAGCTTCATTGAGGACAGGAAGAAGGGATGGGACGGACGCACCTCCAGCGCCCAAGATGATGACATCGAACGTCTGTGGCTGGTCAGGCTCATTCATATCGAGGGAGAGGGTCTTCGTATCAGTAAAGAGCGATATCAGGTGGTGAGTAGGACCGAAGGATAGGTGAGAAGAGGAGCAAAGGCCTTCCCCTTCACATCGAAGCTGCAAAATCTGATTAGGTTCGATGCTCCGCCAGATAAGATTCCAACCTAAAGGGTTGGGATTCCTCGACCAGCGCACTGAAACTCGACTTGAAACACGAACCTGGCCTCATCGACCATTTTTAGATGACAAGCACACTGTAGGACAGCGCCTGCCGAGTCCGAACCACACATCCATGTCCAACCCGAGCAGTCGCATAGTGTTATACACATATATACCCAGAAATCACCTACAAACCCCATTCGGATCCCCGCCGGCCATCAACTCGCTCAAGCTCTCTACGAACGCTCCCAGATCGCACAACCCGTCTTCATCCTCCTTGCAACCCCTGATACCCGTCAGAGGCACCACCCCGTCATTAAGCACAATCCTGACTTTTCGCCCTTCCGAGACGTCCCGCCTTCGCGATCTCCTCCCAGAACCGCCGGTTCCCCTGGTCCCTCTCACAGTCTCGCCTTCCTCCTCCTTCTCCTCTCCTTCGTGCTCGTGTTCGTGCTCCTGCTCGTGCTCCTCCTTATCGTCCCCATCTTCAACCTCGCCCTTCCCCCGGGCGCCGCAAGTCAGTACCTGCACCTGCATGTTGGTCGCGAACGGCATAATCTCGGATGAGACGAATGTGCGATGTTTGGGGATATGGTCCGAAGGGAGCGGGCCGGCTTCGGCGAATGTGGTAAGGTTGAGGGTAGGGAGGAGTAAGGAGAAGTGGGCGTCGTGTGTAAAGTCGACGTACCTGTCTATCAGCTCCCTACTCAAGACTGACGAGGGAGAAGCGATATGGAAGCTTACAGAGAATCATGCAATGGGAACTGAATATCATTGTGGAAGCTCGAATTAGTGGTCGAGTTGAACTCTGTCAGGCGAGCTAGAAGTCAGCCTCTCCCGTATCCTGTCAGTGACTGGGGTAACTCACTATGCGTCAACCTCGATACCAGCTCCTGCACCCAGCCCCTCCCCTGCGCTCGGGCATTCTTATACCCAAACGCAGAAGAGTACCACCAAAACAGATCCCAGCGATACTCGTACCCTTTCCACTCTTTCTCAGTGAACAGACCGCAAAACTCCGAGTAGCCGAGCGCGACGGTCTCGTAGGGGCACACATCCATCTATCTCGTCAGCTTGACTGTGCATTGCAAGGTACAATACGGAGAAGACTGACCATTCGCCTGACGTCCAGGAGTGTCAATTCCATCCCGCGGAGATCTTTCTGTAATCGCTTGCGCGCATCCTTGAGGAAGATCTCGTCCCATTCGTGTAGCTTGGCGTTGACGGTGGTGTAGTTCCAGCTGCCGCGGTCGCACTGTAACGTCAGCTCGACACATCAATTGTGCATAGACCAGCTTACAGTGTTCCACGGCGCCAGCGTATTGTTGAAACCGGGCGATTCGATCATTACTTCGAGATTGTACTGCTCTTCCGCAGGTATGCCGAAGAAGCCTATACCGAGTCAGCTTGCTGCGTCCCTCGTGTATGGTGTCAGATCCAGGTAGACTCACCGGCAGCAAAGTTCTGAGCGGACTTGAGCATGCGACTATAGGGGTTAGCTTTGCTGCGAAACGAAGCTGAGCAATGGCTCACTCTTGGCTTTCCGTCCGGAATACCGGGAGTCTACCCTTCATCTTATCGAGTAGGAACCCATACTTGACTCTAGCGGCGACACCGAGGTCGACTAGCTCCATCAGCCAAACTCTCCTTGATCATCTCATTCCAGTCTGGAGACTTACACAGCTGTTCCCTTCCAAACGGCGTCAACACCTCCGCCCCTAATCTCCACTTCCACTCCTCCAGGAATCTCAACTCCCCACTCGCCTTCCACCCCCTCATCGCCCGCAACTTGCCCGCCAATTCCGCCGGCCCGCCTTCTGACGAAGTAGGATACCGCGCACCGTGCCTTTGCAACCAGTGCAGTTCCGTCAATTCACATCCTGCCGGTATGAGAGCGGATGTATCGCCCAAGCCGTGCGTGACGGAGTGGTATGGTGAGAGATTGCCCCAGAGGTGTTGGATTGGTTTGGACTTGTGGCTTGGGTTGTGGGATGTGGGGGGGAGGAGAGGGGGGATGGCTGTGTGCAGAGGGGCGTGGGGGGCGGTGAGTAGCATCGCGGGCCTGAGGGGTCAGCCGAGACCCAGTAGATCAGGGTAATAGGCTCACTCCTTGCCTGTGGGTGTAGGTCCAGCGTAGCCGATACTGCTCATCAGCCAAGCTCCTTTGTCAATCATCAAGGAAGCAGAGCACCCACTTCGTAGGGAACATCCCTGGATCCGGGCGCTCCAAACCCCCTACACGCTCGCCTGGAACGACCTTATCCAGCCAGTCCTTCACATCCTGAGGCACAGCCTCCCAGTCTTTGATCCCACTGACCCAATCCCTCCCTTGGCCCGTGTAACACCCGAACAGCGCCCCGCCCAGCAACGCAGGGACGACCAGGGACCATACGATCAGCAGCGCACGGCACGTCCGTCCCGACCGCTTCTTGTGCGCATGCTGAGGTTTGCGGCCAAGAGTGAGGGGCGGCGAGGACGATCGGGGGAGTGAAGACGAGTATGAAGGGAGGAGAGGGGACGATGCGGAGTCTGACGCGGGCTGGAGCTCGTACGCTTCGAGATCTTGGATTTGGCTGGGCATATCGAGGTGAAGTTTGGACATGGGGGGTATGAGGAGCGAAAAGGGGGTCACCCGCTGCTCTTGTACTATCTGAGCGATGGTCGATAGACGGGAGAGGACGGGAAGATGCAGATGCATGGCTGAAACCTCTTACGGCAGACAAGGCCACAAGGCCGAATGCCATTATAGACATGGCAAGGAACTCCGCCAGAGCGATAAGAGCAGCTTTTGAGGCGTTTTGAGCTTGCTAACTCTAGAGCATGTATGCAGGCAGGCCTGAGAATGGCATAGGAGCTCACAGCGAAGCGTCTGTATGGTATGCATGCGACCAGAGTAGTGTGCATATACAGTAGCTGGAATCCCCTGCTGAGCCGAAACGACGAGCCATTTCGGGCCCGGACCTGGCCAAAGGTTACTCAACCGCGCTCCCTCCGCGCGTCCCACATTCCTCGACCCGTCTAGCCCATCACCTTCTCTCTCCTTCCATCACTCTTTCATTTTGATCCATACCCCGCACAGGTCTCGTATCACCATGCCTCCCAAGAAAGCAGCTAACAAGCGCGTTCTCCCTCCCTGGGAGGATTTGTGGGCCGCGTGGAGCGCGCTGTCCGAGGAGGAGAAGAAGGCTGCTGGGAGTGATGCGGGCATTGATGCCAAGCTTGAGGGTTTGGATGTTGCGTGAGTCATCTCTCAACGTCTATAGCGCTCCACGGGACGACATCCACTGTCTATTGAGGTCTCGTCGGCGTCCAGTACGATGCCATCACGCCATGAACCAGAATCGGAATCAACGCAGATGCTGATCCCCAAATCCAAGGCCTCGCTCAAGGATCGCGCCGACCTGAACATCAAGCTCGATATCTACAAGGACCTCGTTAACCTCTTCGCCGAGTCCCAGGATGCCAAGGAGGACCGGTTCGAGAAGCTTCTCAAGGAGTTGAAGGGGGTCGGGATGAGGGCTTTTGATATTGGAAAGCGGTTCGAGCGGGCGAACGAGGGCAAGGAGGCCGCCAACAAGTGAGTCTGAGCATCGGCGTCGTGGAAGGGCCTGTCGGTGGAGGGTGAAAGCGAAAAACGGGAATCATTGAGATGGCGTCAGCCGGTATGGCGCACCCAAATTTCGGGCTTCATGGCGAGGAAATGTGGATTGGTTGGGTGATGGGGATTGGCGGAATAGTAATGCTGCGTCACTGCATCATACCTGTCCTGTCCATCTACAGCACGGACTGAGCTGACGCCATCAGGAAATACAAGGATGGCAACTGGTTCGGTGCCATGTACACCTACGCCATCGCGTGGGGATGCCTCGTCCCCTTCTACCCCGGTGCCCTCCCCGAGTCGGACCAGCTCCGCAAGGACATCGAGAAACTGTACGTCTGATCTCTTTCATTACGCCACTATATACAGCTGGAACACATCGTCTTGTACGTGCCTAGAAGCAGCTGACACCTCAGCGAGCTCGCGCTGTTCTCCAACATCTCCGCCATGGCCGTCTCGGGCGCCGATGACAAGACCATCAAGACCCCCAAGCCCATCAACAAGGCCAAGCTGTTGCACATTGGTCTCCGCGCCTCGGTCTACTGCTTGTCTCACGCGAATGAGACCACCCTCGGTATTGTTACCAAGTCTTGTAAGTCCGTTCTCATCCTCAAAACTCATTCCCCATACCCCAACCTCCCCCTTTACCTTCGCCCCGTCGTCTCCGTCCATGTTCCTAGAATTTTCTTTTCTTTGCAGGCACGAGCTCCAGCTGATATCCAGGCCGCCGCGCCCAAGACCTCTCCGCCAAGCTCACCTCGGCGCACAAGATCAAGCCCGCGCCCGCCGCCAGCCTCGCCCTCTGGAAGGCGCAAGAGGACGCCCTCGCCGGTCTCGCCGCTGCCAAGACGTACGCCGAGCAGCCGGCCGACAAGAAACTGTTGACCAAGTCGCAAAAGGCCGGAGAGGCGGATTGGAGGGTGTTGCAGGGGTTTGAGGTTTACAGCAAGTAGGCGACGAATCACTGTAGAGGAGGGAATGAAGGGGATCCTGACGGCTGTGCTGTCGGTCTAGCCGGAGTAGAAGAGGAAGCTTTGGAAGTCTTTATCTGTATATAAGAAATCAAACCTTGGATGCAGACATGCGCTGGTCTGGTCGTGAGCCAGACAGGCCAAACTTGACCGGGGAACCTCTTGAATGCCAGCTTAGCGAATTGCGCAATTCAGTAGAACCACCGTTAGTACACGAGCATCAATTCAGCGGGCACTTCAACTGACAGTCGATACTCGACGACCTTTGACAATTACCGTACATCGCCTCTACATATGCCTACGAATAATCCTGAGCGTCCAACTCGCCCAGCAACAAATTCGTATCTTTTGATCCAGTCAGGATGATTGGTTCTCTTCATGTATCAGCCACAATATTCTTCATCTTCCAATTGGCACGATCCGGTACTTGCAGACTCACCTGGGATGAAAGTCCACGCCCGTCACTGTCCCTTTATGTCCCGGCAGCTTATACGCCACTTTTCCATCAACGACATCCCACACCGTCACGCTCCGATCTCCTCCGCCCGCCGCGATACGCGATCCCCCGTCGTGCTTGCTCCATGCGCACCGGATGAGGTTGCCCTCGAACCCTGCTGGTGCGCCCGTGAGGGAGCGGTAGACGCGCATATGCTCGGAAGAGAAGGGGCGGACGTCGTATATGAGCAGCGCCGAGTCGAGGGAGTAGGCCGCTAGGTAGTGGCCTGAAGGGGACAGGGCGAGGGAGGCGATCTATAAGTCAGCCTCGAACGCGATGCCATTTGGCGAAACGCCGGCATCCTGACTCACAGTATCCGTATGCCCATGCAGCGTATAAACCACCTTCCCACTCCTCAAGTCCCACACTTTCACCTCATTATCCACACCGCCCACAAACGCCTGATTCCCATCCTTGCTCCACTCGACCGCCGTCACCGGACAATCCCTGCCGTCGTCAAACTCCATCACTGGCTCTTTGCCCTCCATGCTCAGATCCCATACCCGGGCTACACCGTCGTCCCCGCCTGTGAGCACCAGCTCGCGCCCGCCAGAAAGGGCGACGGCGATCGAGTTGAGGGGGCCATAGTGCGCCGAATAGCGCGAGAGGCGCTCGCCTGTTTTGAGGTCGGTAGATATTAGTTGGCCCTCTGCGCCGCCCTGAAAGTCAGCTCCACGACCCCACACGAAAGAGGGCCAGACCGCGAGCTCACGGAATAGAGGACTTCTGAATCCAGGGAATAGGCGATATCGAGGATAGCCTGTTTATGCACATTCGGCAGTATTCCGTAGTTCTCATGTGGTGGGTAGGTATTCCACAGTGCTATCAGGTCAGCCTCTAGCGTGAAAACGTCGCACACTACGGCAAGCTCACATATACTCCGGTCGACTGAAGCGGCTGCTAATGTCCGTCCTGATGGATCGAATTTGCAGGCCGTTATTTCGCCCTGGAGGGTCAGTAAAGACTCTTGTAGGAGCGTTCATCGTCCATATAGCTGTCTCCACGCTTCGGAGAATCCTTCGCTCAGGTGAGCAGGCAGGTGCGCCTGATCACACGCCCAAATGAATATTCCTTCCCGATCTTATCCCTCTCCTCCAGCTGAGACGTCCGCCTATCCTATTTTCTTCCGTGTCCGCCTCATCCTCATCCTGCCAAGCCGACCCAGCTCCTGTCCTAGCCTTTCCTCTTGTCTGGTCCTCCCTCGCACCAATCGTTCGGGTAAAACCCTACGCTTCGAGTCCAAATCAACTCACCCCATGTGCCCCCGCCAGACTAACAATGGGCGCCTCCAGCCCACTCGTCCTCTTCACACTCCTGACCAGCGCACTCTTCCGCTGCCCCTCGCCCGACGACGCGACCGTCATGAGCATCATGGACGGGTCTGCGTCCGCCTCATCGTCGTCTACCCGCGCGCGCTTGGTGAGGGCCATTCCTCCGCCTGCGCCTGGACCGGACGCGGAGGGCGGTGGGGATTTTCGGACCGACATGGCTGCTTTTGGGTGTGCTGAGCAGGTGTCGGGCAGCTGCGGGAGGAGACTGTAGAAGGAGCGGTGTGCAGATCAGGGATGTATAGGATGTGTATAGTAAATAGAGGATCTGCGGTTGACTTGGTGGTGAGAAAGCTAAGGATGACGTGGCACCATCCCACCGGAACTAACCCCTTTTTGATAAGGATCGTCGGCCGGCGGGCAGGCTAGGCAGCCCAGCGACAACACAGAGGCATCCAAGGGCAGCAACAACGACTAAAGAGGCAGTCTACTAGCTAGACGCTCTCACATACATACCATCCGCCGAGAACACAGCAGAAGCACCCTTCCGGCAATGTCGATATAAGTCCCCTCACGCACCGTCGAAATGTTACCTCGGAGCCGTACCCGCGCGTCTTCGTCGCGTGCCGGATCGACCGCCTCGCACACGCGTACCCCTTCACGCGTCTCCGCGTCCGAATTGGTCGGCAGCCCCTCCAAGCTTCCTGGAGTCAAGGCGAACGGGCATTATATCTCGCCATCCTCGCATCGAACGGGGGAAGTACCGATAGATCCAGAGCTGCTCGCTATGGATGTCAATACGCCCTCGGTTGCGGTCGCGGACTTGCCTCTTCCGCTGGGGACCAACGGCGATGGCAATGGGTACGCGGGACCAGGGTCGGATGCGGATGCAGAGGGAAGTGATGCGGATGCGGAAGGGGAGGCGGTGGATGAGGCGATGGACTATGATGGCTGGCCGGTGATGCAGATGAGCCGGGTAAGTCCATTTCTGGTCTGTCAGTAAAGGCTAGGCTGATGAGCCAGACGAACAGCGGTCAGGGGCATATCGAGGCTATACCCTTCTACGCTGCATCCCAGCACTCCTCGTCATCCCGGAACGACGCCGGACCTAGCAACTCCCGCGCTCCGGTCCATGACCTCACGGCCACGCTGCACGGGCACGACTCCCTCTCTCCCTCCTCGAGCACGCCTATGCCTAGCAATAAGCGAGCTCGTATACCTCGTACCTCTACATCTACCTCCATCCCCGCCCACGCCAACGGGCACGCCAATGGGAATGGGAACGGCCTAACCCACTCCGCCTCCGCACCCGCCATCGCTTCCTCCTCCCTCAAGGTCAAAATCAAAGGCCCGCGCGGAAACGCCGTCAAGTCCAAAGGCAAATCCCGAGCGTACGACGACCAAGGTCTCGTTCTCCCCGACCCCTACTGCTCCTTTTGCACAGGCACCAAGGCGGCCAACAAGCTGGGCCGGCCGGAGAATATGGTGTCGTGCCATCTGTGCGGGAGGAGCGGGCACTTTAGCTGTCTGGACATGACGAGTCCAGAGTTGATCAGTATTGTCCAGTCGTATGCGTGGACGTGTATTGAGTGCAAGACGTGCGAGGAGTGCGCGTTGAAGGAGAATGAGGTGAGTCGATAAAGTCAGGATGAGAAGGAGGAAGCTGATGGATAGGACGAGCTCATGTTCTGCGATGGATGTGATAAGGGATGGCATTTTGCTTGTGCGAGCCCGTGAGTATATTTCCCGTGGAGCGCTCAGACGCGGTAGGACTGAGCTGATCTCGTAGACCACTGAAAAGGTTACCAAAAGGTAAAGCTGATCGATACCCGGTTTGCGACACGGGCGATAGCTGATTCATAGGTTCATGGCGCTGCCATCATTGCCGAGCTCGACTGACCCATCCGACCGCTCACTCCCACCCAGAATCTACACCCCACCCCGCGCCCTACAAAGGCAAGGGCAAAGGCAAAGCCATCGAATTCATGCCTTCCCACCTCGAACACCTCCCCTCTTCTTCCCGAGAGCCCCCAAAGGCACGGAAGAACGACCACCCTCATCCCCCTTCCGACGTTTTCGACTACGCCCAATCGCCCCTTTCACAGCCCAAAAACGGCAGGAAACCTAAGATCAAGACCAACGGCCACGGTCATGGTCATGGTCATGGTCATGGTCACGGTCATGCCCACTTCTCACCGACACCCGAAGTCGTACCGCCTCCCCGTATCAATATCCGCCTGCGTATACCGAAGCGGCATACCTCGGCCGAGCCCGAGGAGGCCGAGGAGGAGAAGGTGCCGTATGGAGGTGTCATAGAAGGAGCGGATGCGGATACGTCCCGCACGACCATCCTCGAGAGTGATAAAGAGGCGTTTGAGCGGAGTCGGCGGGTCGCGGAGGATAAGCTGGGCGGACCGCCGCCTGAGGCATCGACGACGTCTGGAGGAGGGACGTGGGATACGCCAGGATACGCTAGTCCGACTTCGACGCCCGGGCCTTCTCGGACCAACTCTTCCATGAATCTCACGCCGGGTCAGAAGGCGATCCAGCAAGGAGGAGGGGGAGGAGGGGCGGCGCACTCCCTCTCGAGGTCTTTGCGGGATAGACTGTTCACTCAGTCGAATCCGTCAACTCCGGATGGACATGGCCATGGTCATGCCCAGCACACCCCGACTGGGGCGACGGGCGGACCCATGACGAGGGACAGTACCGGAACGGGTCCGAGTCAAAAGATCAATAAGATCAGGTTCGGCCAGTTCGATATTGATACTTGGTACTCGGCGCCTTATCCCGAAGAGTATCAGTATGTCCCCGAGGGGAGGTTATGGCTGTGCGAGTTTTGTTTGAAATTTATGAAGAGCGGATTCGTGGCGGGACGGCATCGCGTGAGTATTTCGCTGGCCTGAGCGGGAAGGGGTGGGATCGGGAAAGTAGCTGATATCTTCAGATGAAATGCAGAGCGCGTCATCCGCCCGGAGATGAAATCTATCGAGATGGGACAGTCTCGGTATTCGAAGTAGACGGGCGGAAGAACAAGGTCATTTAGCTACTGAGAGCCCTTTCGATGGAATGAGATCGAAAGCTGACCATCCCAGATCTACTGCCAGAACCTCTGCCTCCTCGCCAAGATGTTCCTCGACCACAAAACCCTCTACTACGACGTTGAGCCATTCTTGTTCTACGTCATGACAGAAGTGGACGACCTGGGCGCCAGATTCGTCGGGTATTTCAGCAAGGAGAAGCGGAGCCCGGATAATAATGTTTCGTGTATTATGACATTACCGGTCAGGCAGCGGAAAGGGTGGGGACAGTTGTTGATTGATTTCAGTGAGTCGCATGAAAATCTTCAGAAGGGCGGAGCTGACGAGTCAGGTTACTTGCTTTCAAAGAAGGAAGGCAGGGTTGGGTCGCCCGAGAAACCGCTCAGTGGGCTTGGGGCGGTTACGTACAAGAAGTACTGGCAGTTGGCGGTCTTTGCGTATCTCCGGGACAAGACCGGTACGGTCACTATAGACGGTAAGCTAAGACGCTCCTCTCGTTTGACAAGAGGCATAGCTGATAGCTGACTCTTAGACATCTCCGCCGCAACCTCTCTTACCTTCCTCGACGTCTACACCACCCTCCTCGCTGAAGATTTCATCCGCGTCCAGACCACTGCGGTCGTCCCCCTCCGCCGATCCACCCCTTCCCGCGGTCGAGGACGCGGCAGCCGTGGTCGAGGCTCTCGAGGCCGAGGCTCGCTCCTCCGAAACTCCGGCAGCCAGACGGATATCGATGAGCCTGAATCCAACTCCCACGTCGACCCTCCTGAACTCAAAGTACCAGATTCGGGAACTTACGAGATCGTCTTTGATCGAGACTATGTCGAGGCGGTGCTCAGCAAGCATGCGAGCAAGGGGCTGCTTGAGCTTCGACCGGAGAGGCTCAAGTATCACCCGTTTCTCGTCAGTCGGACGGGACCGCTCAAGCCTGGTGCGGCTGACGGGGCGATCGCAGCTCTCGCTGGGGCTGCGGTGGATGGGGATGGGGTGGCGGACGCGGCGCCGGCGGCTGTTGATGATGGCGAAGCCAATCCCGTCGACCCCGTGCAGGATGTTATCCTGCACGGCGAAGACCCCGAGACGCTCGCTCTTGTCGCTGCGTTGGCGCATGAGGAAAGCCCCAAGCGGAGTCTCCGGAAGCGCAACAGCGTGAGCGAGGAGGTCGCGGAAGGAGGGACGCCCAAACCCAAGCGGGCGAGGAGGAGTACGAGGCCGGCGCCGGTGGTTGATCTGTCGGGGCTGCAGAGGCGGGCGAGTCGGAGGCAAATACCGCCAGCGGAGGAGGCGGCACCAGCGGTGGCCGTGCCCGTCTCTGAGGCGGAGACGGCGATCGTAGCGCCTGCGTCGGCGGAAGAGTCGGAGGTGGAGATGGTGGAAGTACAGGACGGGGACGAGGCGACATTAGTGGCGAAAAGGGAACAGCTGGATGGGATGGAGGCTCAGGAGAAGGTACTGGAAGAATCTACAGAGAAGGAGGGGAACGAGAAGGAGAAGGAAGTGGAGGTGATACAAGTGGATGATGGGGAGGCGGATGCGGAGGGGGAAGAAGAGGATGCGGATGCGGAGGGAGAGATAGATGAAGATTACGTCCAGTAGAAGGAGGGGTATAGGAGGATACCAGGGTTGCTACATTATCTGATGCATAAATAGCACAGGCACGAGAAGCTCAGCTATCCGTTGCCTCTACCTATGACTGTTGTTCCAGCATGTCTGTGCATACACCAGTGGGGATGTCAAGCCCAGGGGAAGCCTCTGGAGCACCGAGCTGCAGCTGAGCGCTGAGCGTGGGCCCCATGGGCTGCTTAGTCATCCCGCTTATTCACCGGGTATACGAAACGTTAACCGAGACTTGCTTTCTTGCTTTGTTTCTCGCTCAAGATTCAGAATCGAGATCGACATCCTTCCGATCAATCGTACTTTGCCTTCACAACATCGAGCATAGAGCAGCTCACACCGACACTCACTACACCCCTCAACATAGACTACCTAGAATCATCAGTACGAAAATGGCGTTCCCCCGCCCAAAGCCCAACACTGTAAGTGTCTTGGCACCGCTTCCCAGTAAGATAAGCGCTGACAGAGCCAGATGGAGACGCTCGCCTCTGAGCGTGCCAACCACCCCTTCAACACCCGGAAACTCGCCATCGCACTGCACGGGTCCGAGCGCGACCTCGAGCTCAAAGAACGATTCATGGCTGAGATTGCCCGACACCCCGCCTTCAAGTCATCCGATATTCACGATCTGAGCAAGGATGAGATCCGGGAGCGGACGATGGAGAAGTTTGCGAGTATGGTGCACTTTGTGACTACTGAGAGTCTTGAAGTGTTCAATTTGCGGATGCAGGTGAGTGGCTGTGTGGCGGAAGTGTGGCAAGGGGAAGAAGGCTGATAAGCGCAGCTGATTGGTATTGCGGACCCCGCATTCTGGACACGGTTCGGTGTCGCCTATGGGCTCTTCCTCGGTGCTGTACGGAGTGGAGCTACTCCCAACCAGCTCTGTAAGCCACTTTCGGCCCATCTAGGCAAGATCATGCTAATTCTCAGCCTACTGGATTGACCGCGGTGTGCTCGGACTCAACGGCGTTATCGGCTGCTTCGCAATGACCGAGCTCGCGCACGGCTCCAACGTCGCCGGGCTCGAAACGACCGCTACGTTCGACGAGGAGACTGACGAGTTCATCATTCACACCCCTCATCTGGGAGCAACCAAGTGGTGGATTGGTGGAGCGGCCAGCACGGCTACGCACGCGGCGGTATTTGCGCAGTTGATTGTCAAGGGCAAGAAGCACGGTGTCAAGACCTTCGTGACCCCTTTGAGGGATGTCAAGTGAGTTACATACTTTTGATAGTACAGAAGGTAAGAGCTGACGGGGTAGGACGTTCGACCTCCTCCCTGGTGTCAATATTGGGGATATCGGAAAGAAGATGGGCCGGGACGGTATCGGTGAGTTGAAAGTGGAAAGCAGTAGCGGACGCACAGCTCATAGGCCAGACAACGGCTACATCCAGTTTACTTTTGTCCGCATCCCCCGAGCGCACATGCTCATGAAGCACACCCAAGTCTCGCGCGAAGGTGTGGTCACTGACCCAGTAAGTTATCCGTAGACGGGTGCTCGCTGCGCAGCTGACACTTCAGCCACTTGCTCAATTAACGTACGGAGCTCTTATTTCCGGGCGGACGTCCATGGTTGGTGACTCGAGCAACACAGCCAAGAAGGTAAGCCTAGCTTGGAGTTGGACACCATGCGGGAACTGGGCTGATTCGTAGGCTTTGACCATTGCTGTACGGTACGCTGCGGTCCGGAGGCAGTTCAGCAGTGGCAAGGGAAAGGTACGTCGTGCTCTGTCCGAGTGCAAAACGCCATCCTGATGATCTAGCTCGAGACCCAAATTCTCGACTACCCTATTCACCAAAGGCGGCTTATGGTGAGCTGCCGCGCCCAGAAGACTGGAGCTCAGCTGATAAGCGTAGCCACTCGTCGCTCAGGCCGTCGCTATGGGATTCACTGGAATGAAGCTCCAGGCCATGTACAATGATATGTCGGCTTCTCTCGATGTCTTGGAGCCTTCAGACGTGAGTGTTCGACGCACTCTTTGATAAGATCGGTAGCTGACAGAACAGCCCAACCTCGAAGAAGTCCTTGATAAGCTCAAGGAGACGCACGCGACCTCGGCTGGTCTCAAGGCGTTCTGTACATGGGCTTGCTTGGACACGATTGAGAAGTGCAGGCAGGCTTGTGGAGGGCACGGATACTCTGCGTAAGCTAGACAGCCCGCGTCTACCTGGAACAGGGATGTCCTTGATAGCTGACGTTTCAGGTACTCGAATCTTCCCGCCATGTATGCCGACTTTGCGGTTCAGTGCTCTTGGGAGGGCGATAACACCATTTTGAGTCTGCAAGCTGGACGAGCGCTCGTTGGCGCTTGGGGTGGTGAGCTACAGTCATCACATCTGTTCGGGCAGTAAGCTGACTTGTTAGCGGCCTCGAAAGGCAAGAAGCTCGCTCCCGGCGTGGCCTACCTCGGCAACCCCGCTACCCGGACCGCCAAGTCCGACGGCTCGCTCAACCACATTGACATTCAGCGCGGATTCGACTGCGTTGCCGCCAACGGTATCAAGAAGGCCGCAGAGGAATACGTCAAGCTGCTCAAGTCGGGCAAGAGCAAGGACGAGGCCATGGAGATGTGCAGTTCGTCCCGATTCGTCGCGGCCAAGCTGCACACCATGGGATCCATGTTCCGGATGTACCGCGAGGCGGTCGAGGAGATGCCCGAGACGGACGAGAGCAAGGTGTTGAAGACTGTGTGTACGCTCTATGGGCTTTGGCAGATGGAGGAGCTGCAGGGTGCTTTCTTGAAGTGTGAGTTGCAGTTACAACATCTTCGTTGGTGAGACTCAGCTGATCGTCCAGATGGCTACTTGACCGCCGACCAGCTCGACAAGGTTTCCGAGCAAGTCGACGCCCTCTGCCTCGAGATCCGTCAATACGCCGTCCCTCTCATCGACGCCTTTGCGCTCTCGGACCACCTCATCAACTCACCTCTGGGTAAATGGGACGGATCGGTATACGAGTCGTACTTTGCCCAGGTCCGCGCGTCCAACCCCCTCCCCAAGGTCCACCCGTACTTTGAGCGCCTTATCCGCCCTCTTCTTGAGCGCAAGAATGCGGACTTGCCGGATGTGGAGAAGGATATGGGACTGGATGAGGAGCTGGCAGAGATGCGCGCAGAGATGGCCAAGGGGAATCAGAAGGAGAAGAAGGTGCAGAAGAAGGGGGCGAGCGCAATGGTCAAGCCGGAATGATAGATGGATTGGGATTGCCTGGACTTGGTTGATGACTCATTTGTTGGCTATGTATGTGTCGCGATAGCTTTGCGAGATGGACCTTACAGTGACGATGATACATAAACAGGATACAAGCATGGAACCCAGAAACCGCACGTACTCTACATGTATCCAAGCCATATATACCCCTTGCTACTTCGTGCTCTTCTTGCACTTTTTCTCCCTTCTTATGCTCCTGCCTCGGACGCCTTCGTCTCCGCCCCCTTCGCTGCAACTCGAGCTTCAGTCCTTCCCCTGATGAAGCTCTTGATGTCCTTGATGGGCGCACGGTGCTGGCGCTCATTCGGCTGGAGCAGCTTCGAAAGCACCGACAGCTGAAGCCCAATCTTGGTATCCGCCGGGTTGTACTCCGCCTTGATTGGCAGCCGGTAGGTATTGACGGTGAGCCGAGAGGCGTCGGCGTGATACGTGGGGGGTGGGAGGTGCTCCTCTGCATGAGGGCTATCTGGGGGAGTGATGACGATGCGGGGGATACCGAGCGGGGCTAGTCGGTTGTCGGCGTGGACCACGGCGGGCGCGGCTGTGGGAAGTAGGGGCCCAGGGGGGAGTTCCTTATCGGTCTTGGCGGGAGACAGCCACTCGAGTATTCTCTGAGTGCGGAAAGGGTAGACGTCCTCTTGTTCCTGGTCCGCCTCATACACCTCGACAGCGGGGAGGGGCTCAGCCGTGCGCGTGGGGCTCTCAGGGCCGATGGTCGACTCCGAGTCGGTATCGGATTCCGCGTCCCAGACTGCGTCCGCGTCCGACTCAAAGCATCGTGTGAACTCGTCCACCTCAGAGTAGAAAGGTGAGATATCCGAGCCGAAGGGAGGGGTAAGGTGATCGGTGAGCCCGGTGGCGGTGGGGGTGGGGAAGGTATTCGAGGAGCTTTGGCCGGCGGAGACGTTCATGATATTAGAGGACGTGTGGTTGGGTGATGGGGAACCAGGCCGACCGCTTGTATCAAGGAGGAGATGGAGTAGCTGTTTGAGGCAGGGAGGATACTGGAGATCAGTATATACTCAATAAGGCGACTCGGTATGGAGAGAGGGGGGCGGAAACGCTTACTGTGATCTGACTGGTGAACGTCGAACGCCGAGCTGAGCTTAGGGGTGATCAAGGAACAATGACGACTCAGAAAGGCAAGAGATGGCAAGCCTGGCTATCAGTCAGCTTCCGTGCAGTTCTCCTCCCATCCAGACCTACCCTATAGCCTGGCGAGGACGCTCAGAATCTCAAGAGGTTCCGAGGGGGCGTTTGCCGCTCAATACCAGGGCTCCGACAGTGCAGTGTAGCGCAGCCTGTCAGACTGTCAGCTCCAGTACAGTCCCTGAGCGATGGAGGCTCACTATGTGACCGATGCGTATGGCTCAGACGAATGAGAGGTTTCAAGGAGCGCCTTGCCGCTCAGGCCAGGGAGGGGAGACTGATGTCTGTCGGGAGCGGCGAGTCGGGACTCGGATCCGGAGGAGGTAGATGGTTGGGAAGACAAGAGGAGGCTCCTGAGCTTACAGGTAGCCAGGGCAGTTGTGCTCCTGTGACAAGAGCGGAACAAGGATGAGAGCACAAATGGAGAAAGAGAGGACGACGGACATAGAGGCTGGCCGCCGAGGAACTCCTTAAATACTTGTTAATGTTGATCGACGACGGGGCGGGATGTTTGGGTGAAGCACCTTTTCCCCCCGGCTATATGGGTGTAATGTCCGATGTGTGAGATGTGGCAGTATCTGCAATGTTCCATGGAAGTCCAATGAGAGCTGCGGTCAGCCCAATATTGCATCGCCAGGATCGAGAGCAATGGGGACAGTAAGCATCGCGGACATGCCGGATCCGAGCGCCGAGGAATGCGGTGGGAGCGACAACCTCACGGCATAAGCTGGTCGAGCTCGGTGGTCGCGAACGGTGTGATTCAAGGGGTAGGGTATGCAAGTGCTACAAAGCATTATAAGAAGTGGTATGTCTGAAGTACAATTAGGCAAAGTGAAAGGCTATGACTACCGCAACAACAAATAAAGAGAGAGAAAACTGGCTATGATGAATCTGTCTCCGACAGACTGCTTTCGCGCCGATATCCAACCCCTCCACCCACCCACTCCGCTCCAGTCCCGCGGTCCATCGCCCCATCCCCAACCTCTCCTAGCTCACACCTAGGACAGAAACCGGACCGTTGGTGCCGAAGGCCAACCCGCGGCTGGCCGACTGAAAACCACCTCGCGCCCATCGTCGACCGAATGATTGCCGCCAAAGGGTTCACGCACTTGCTGACCCTTGACGACGACCATTATGACGCCGACTTTCGCGGGGCCCTTGTTGACTCGGAGCTTATCGCGACCGTGATACTCCTTGTAGTGCTCGACGATGAGGGGTAATTTGGGTTGGACGGCGAATTTGGTAGGCGTATCGTCGCGCCGGGCCGTGTGGACGTGCGGTACGAGGGGACCGGAGGTGATGCAGCGATGAGGAGAGGAGAGTAGCGTCAGACAGTCGAAGCATGGTTTCTTCCGCTCCCGACGGGAGGAGATGGGTGTGACCCACATGGTCTCGATGTCATCCGTCCAGCATCGAGCCTTGCCCAGCAGCTCCTCGGAGGTGAGATTCCGGGTCACCCCTGCGCCCCGCTGCGGACTGTCCGGCGGGGTCACGAGGGTGCTGTCGGTAGGGCTATAGGCGCTTTTGGATAGCCCTGGGACTGTCTGTTGGCTGAGGCCCCGGTGAGCAGCCGACTTGGGTGTGCGAACCGGTAACGTCCGAGGGGGAGCATAGGGAGCGCACTTGAGATGCGTCCACTCCGTCTCGCTATCCGACGACGAGTCGCTGTCATACTCGCTAGCGAGCTCCTTGATGTATTCGCTAGAGCTGTCGCTAGCGGCGTTATCGTCTCCGCCGCCGTTGACAGTGGCATGAGCCGCGAAGGCCTGGACCGTGGGGATAGAATCGCCCTTCTCGCTGACTGCGATCTCGTTGTCCGAGTCCTCGACGATGCTGGGAAGCACCGGGCAGCTGTATATGGGGTGCATGACGAGAGGATAGGGTCTGCCGAGACGCCGTGGGGGCGGGAAGGGTCTGGGGATGGTCGGGTCCAGACGCGGGAGGAGGGCGAGGATGGTGAGTTGGAGGCCGGTCGCAGTGAAATCCCTCAGCGACATGGTGAAAGGTAGATGGAGGGAAGAGGTAGATGCGTAGATGACGGCGAGGGCGATGGATGTCCCAGCGAGCTGTGAGAAGATGGGGCCGGCGAAGTGGCGGAATGGACGATCGGCCAGGATTGGCAGGTCGTGCAGTGAATGTGGGTACCGGGGGTGGATGTAGAGGGAGACGTGGGGGTGGGAGCACTCTGTGGTATCAGCTGAGGTCCCTGGCAGACGATGCTTTGGGCACTCACCGACTCGATTGTTGGAGTCTTCTTCCTGTCCAGCCACCGGCTATCGGACGGCCGAATTGGGGACGTCGAGTCTGGGTAGCGAGGAGGACGTGAGATCGGGTCCTGGCGTGAGGACGCGTGTGGATGGGATGAACGCGTGGATGTACTGGCTGAGACATCAGTCCGAGCTCAAGCTCGCAAGGGAGGAGGGGGTGGCAATACGGCAACAGCCAATGAATGGAGGGGGGCGAGAGGAATACTCACAGCTCAACAGTCCCTAGTCGTCCAGATGTTCCTTGGGTTATTGCTGCGGTCCTGTCGATGCGCGGTCGATAAGGAAGGGGTGGATGGAGTAGGGATAGGAAGTGGATGTGCAAAGAGGTGCTGTGCGACTTATGTGATGACCCTGGAAGGTGGCTGGGCGCTGTTTACTCGCGGGGATATGGGGTGTTGACAGGCTGAGATGTTCAGCTCAAGATTAAGCTAATGCTGGTAGTATAAGGTATAGGTCGTCTGAGGAATGAAGGTGTTGGAGAGGTGAAGAATAGAAGGAGAGTAAAAGAGTAGGAGATGATATAAGAAGACTCACCTAGCCTAGTAGGAGGCGAGTAAGACAACAATCCCCCGATCCTCGCAATCATGATGCGTCACCTGAAACAAAACCTGCCTGGGCGTGGAAACACAACATCCCAGCGACAGGGGCCGAGAGTCGGTACGGCATGGGCTGCGGTCTCATCGCCCAATTCCCATTCAGAGAGAGAGGGGGAGCGTATCGGAGTGAATCATGGCGGTGCTGATAGTGAGGCCCGGACGAGAGGGACGAAGGTTGGCTGATGACGATGCCATCGAAAGATCGCCCGCCGTCCTGATACTTCGCAATCTGGCTTAGGACTAGGGCAGCGTGACCACATGATAGGTATGGCCAAGCATGGGGTCTGGGCCGGCGGGCGGAGCATGTTTGTCAGCGCGAGTAGTGAAGATGAAAATAGAGAGCAGATATAAGGTTTCGAAAGTCAACTTGAGCGCTTGAGCTCTGCTTTGCGCCTCATTCCTTAACCGGCCTTAACGCCGCATCTGAGTCCAGAGGCCTGAGGTTGAGGTCAGGCTGCATGGGTACTTACTGCATGGGTAGACTGGATTGCTCGCACACTACATACAGTCAGACCATTTAAGCAGTCTTGTCGATTACGCACCCCGCATACGACTATAGATACAAATATGGTCCATAAGTCAGACCTCGCCACCTATCAATCCTCAAAGAACGCCACCATCTCCCTCATATCCCTCACACTGAGCCCGTTCTTGGGATAACAGATGTACACTGACTCCCCTTGAGCGCCAAACTTCTCCCTAAATCCCGTCTTCTTCCGCAGCCCCATCGTACTCGCGATACTCGCGTACGTACGACTCATCATCTTGGCCCTCGCACCATGCATCCTGAATCCGGGCTGCAGGCTCTCGCTCGCGCCCGCGCCAAACGTGACGGGTCCAGTGATCGCCTCGAGCGCCTTGCCGACCGTCACGTCGATCACGCCGGAAGGGGCACCGGGGAAGTCGAGGGCCCATTTAACTTGGTGGCCGTGCGCCGGGCTGAGCTGGGCGAGAACGACGAGCGAGAAGATTTGGTCGTCCTTCTCTGCGGCAAAGTATCGCCGATGCGCCTGATCGACGAATGGTCGCACCTCCGTCATGTACATTTGCTTTCCCTTGTGCTTTCTCTCCTCCGTCCACCGCTCGATCTCGCGGTTGGCACGCGAGATGAAACCCTCGTCCAGCGTCACCTCGTGCACCTTGACACCGTCCCTCTCCGCCCTGCGTACCGCCTGCTGATCCACCTCGGGCGGATTCTCATCAACGTCCAGACGCTGCTCCTCGGCACATGTAAATGTCCGCATATTGTGCTGACGCGCAAGCACCTCCTGCACGCCCTCGCTGACCAGCATCCATATCGGCGTAAGATCCTGCTCCTTCATTTCCGCCAAGAACGCCGCGATGACCTCGGGGAATTGCGAGCGATCGCACAGCGGGTCCCCAATCATCATCGCCAGCCGCCCCTTCTGCGGCGAGTACGCAACCGCTGCCCCGTTGTAATGCCGCCAGATCGTCCACCGGTCCGCATCCAGCCAGCCGGTATTGCTCGCGTCGCCGTAGTTGTGTATGAGCGCCTCCAGCGAAGGTGCTTCCTTCCCCGTCCGAGGCCGAGTAGTGTCCGCCTCGGGATGAGGGAGGGCTGGTGGCTTCTCTGGGAGCGACTTTGGATCCCGGTGGAAGAGGGTAGCGTACCGGACGTCCCCGAGGTTGAGGAGGAGGAACACAATCCGCTCCAATCCCAGCCCCGCTCCTCCATGCGGCGCCACCCCCGCATCAAACGCGGCAAGGTACTCATCCATCCCGTCCATCACCCCCGCGGTCTTCATCTTCTCCCGTAGTTCCGCCGGATCCGTCACCCGCTGCCCGCCGGTACAGATCTCTTGGCCCCGGAAGAACATATCGAACGAGTTGGTCCATTTGGGATCGGACGGATCGAGGTGGGTATAGAATGGCCGAGCGTTCGCTGGGAACTTGTCGAGGACGTACAGATCCGAGTGGTATTTGGCTCGAACGAGCTCGCCGAGACGGATCTCGTCTGGTGTCGAAAGGTCCTCCTCGGCCACCTCCCGCCCGTCATCCCGGAGCATCTGGAGACCTTGGGTGAAGGGGATGATGGGAACCTGGTCGGGGAGGAGGAAGTCGTCCGAGGGGAATCGCTCCCGTACGACCGCGAGCTCCGGCATGGACTGCACCTGCTTGATGATGGCGACGAGGACGGTGATGAGGAGGTCCATGAGCTCAGAATAGCTCTCCCGGATCTCCATCTCGAGGTCGAGACCGGTGTATTCGGCCAAGTGACGATGGGTATTGGAGTTCTCCGCGCGAAACACCGGACCGACCTGATATCAGCTGCAGCCACGTCTCTACGCATAAAAGACTCACCTCATAGACGCGCTTCATATCCGAGGAGATAGCCATCTGCTTTGCCAGCTGGGGCGACTGCGCCAAGAACGCCTTCCTCCCAAAGTAGTTCACCTTGAACACCTCCGCCCCACTCTCTGTCGCTGCTGGCTGCAACTTGGGTGTCTGAATCTCCAGGAAGTCCCTCTTGTCCAGCTCATTCCGCCACACCCGGATGATGGCCGCCCGAATCCGGAAGAGCGCGTGGTTGGCCGGATGCCGCAGGTCTAGGATACGATGCGCGAGGCGCTGCTGCATTTGCTCGGGCGGGCGGTAGTTATCATAGTTGACTGAATGAGCCGGGGAGAGGGTATGTAGGGACTCGATGTGGAGCTCGAGGTTGGAGATGGAGGCGGAAGAGATGGGTGAGGGTGGGCGGTGAAGTGTTCCGGAGATCTGGACGAGTGACTCGACGGATACCTGCGACGCCCACTTGATCATGTGCTCAGGCACGCCGTCGCCTTGCTTCAGGACGCACTGGATGGTGTGTGTCGTATCCCGGATAAGGAGGAAGATGAGCGTCGGCGACGTCTTGCGCTGATGTACGATCCGTCCGCGGACCGTAAACCTTCCGGACCGCTCCGACTTCTCGCTCGCTAGCTCATCTAGAGTGGTCAACTCGCCATCCCGCATATCCCCTTCTCCCCACCTATTTCGCTCATCCTCCGTCTCCTCCTCTCGCGCCGCCCTATCTGCCTCCTCCCTCTTCTGCAGCCGCTCCTCCTCTTCCTTCTCTAGCCGCTCCGCCTTGTCCGCCTTCTCCTGCCGCTTGTCCAACGCGCCTTGCGAGATACCGCCCTGCTCGCTGTCGGATGATTTGCGAGAGCGGTGGGAGGAGAAGGGGTGCTTGAGAGCCTCTGTCAGCCGTGTATGAAGAGGCTTCGAGTGGTTCTCGTCAACGGGGTGGCCGTGTTCGGTCATGACGCGCCGCAATGTGGGGTTGTAGAACCAGCACCGGGAAGCCGTGATAAGTATAGAAGCAGTTGAGTGGCGAAGTGGATAAGCAAGGCGCAACGGCTTCAAGAATAGTAATCAGACTCGTACCAGGGGAGTGATGCAATGACCTCGTCGATAAGTCAAGACCGACGTCGTTAGTGAGCGGAATTCGGGCTGTCTTTCTTGCCCTCGTAGCTCCCCCTGTGCGGCAATTGACTCATCTTGCTTGGCCAGTACGCTAAAGAGGCCCGTATTGGAAGGTCGGCTTGCTCGAGGGCGTCCTTAGGCCTTATCCGTCATAGGAACATCGTAGGGCGACGTCAACATGAGCGAGAGGCATGGAGCGTCAGCAAATTTGGCCGAAGACAGGCGCAAGCAGATAACGTCATACCGGTTATGACGTAGCCGTACCCACGTGGACAGGCCTCAGCCAAACGTCCAGCTGCTTCTTCTGCCCCCATGGCCATATGTACGTCGTCTGGACCTCTCATCTATCTGTTCACCGCACCAGTCGACATGCAGTCCACCGCACAGACTACCGGCGAGGCAGCCTCCTCCGCCCCAAAGCCCTGGTTCTACTCCCGCTGGGGCCTCCACGCGAAGGCACGCACAATCCGCCTCCTCGGCGCCCCCGCTTTCCTCCTGCACAATGCTGCCCATCCTGCCGCTCCCGGTCCTGACCAGACCATCTACATCGACTCCACCCTTGGCAAATCGCGCGTCAAAAACGCGATCGGGATTTCCATCTACCGTCCCAAGTCCACCGGGGCGGTAGCAGGCGCAAAGCCGGGCGCTATGATCAATTACCACGGTGGGGGGTTCACAATCGGGTCGGCGACGGATGACTCCCGGTGGTGTAGGACGGTGTGTAATGAGCTGGGGATGGTGGTGTTCTCGGTGGAGTACCGGATGGCGCCAGAACAGCCTTTCCCTGTTCCGGGGGAGGACTGTGCGGATGCGGTCCTGGCGGTCGTAGGACGGGCGGAGGAGTTCGGGATCGATCCTGGAAACATCACCCTTAGTGGGTTTTCAGCCGGCGGGAACCTCGCCCTCACCTCCTGGGTCCTCTGCCATCAGCCTACCTCGGCGCACTGGTCCTACCCGTCCCTCCAAATCCCAAGCGGAGCTATACGCGGCCTCGTCCTCTTCTACCCCGTCGTAGACTTCTCCAAGCCCCGCGCCGAGAAGCTCGCGGAGATCCCATCCGACTATCCCGTCCTCCCCGCCTTCCTTACTCAATTATTCGACCAGTCCTACATCTACCCCATGCAGACGAGGGAACAGAGGAAAGACCTCCGGCTCTCCCCAGGCCTGATGGACGAGGCGTTACTGGACAAGTGCCCGCCGGTGCATCTGGTGGTGTGTCAGCATGACATGCTGGCGGAGGAGTCGAGGGTGTTCGCGAGGAGATTGAAGGAGAAGGGAGAGGGGAAGGTGGTGCTCCGAGAAGTGGAGGGGGAGGCGCATGGGTGGGACAAGCCGCCGGTCATCACCCCCAAACCGAGCGTGATGGTCGAGTATGGGGAGGCGGTGAGGAGTATGCGGGGATGGTCGGCGTAGGTACTCAAAGTAGCACGAGATTCAGTGGGTGTTATGCTGTTGGTATGATATAGAGGATACGGACAGTTGATAAATATGGCCTGTGTATAGATGACTGAGATAGATGTAATGTAGTAGCATGTACATAGGCCGTCTGCGCTACTACCATCGCCCGCGTGACTCCTCGTGAAAAGTCGTCAACTACCACACCGACTCGGCCTGCTCCGTCTGACTTGCCCTATCCACCCTACTCGCAAACACCCGCTTGTACACAAATCGTCGGTCATACTCCCGCATCACCTCGGCAGAGAGTACCATCCGGTCGCGTACGAGCTGGCGGAAGTGCTGCGAGAGGTACGAGAGGAGGAGGGCGGATGTGAGGTGGAGTAAGGGGGTGAGGAGCGGGTGAAGGGGGGTGAGGAGGTGGGTTTGGAGGGGGGCTGTAGGAGGGTAGGCGCTGGACTGTCAGCTCGGATGCGCAGCCCCATCGCGTCCATCAGCTTACCAGAAGAACGCAAGGCAGAAATCTGGGGGATCCCATACTCTCAGCGACTGAATGCGGTCTTCGTTTGCGTATCCCTGGGGCGGACCGCTAGACGGACGACCCAGCATCGAGCGGATGGCAGCACTAGATGTCAGCTGAGGCAGAGCGTGAACATCACAGAGCAGCAACTCACTATGAACCCTTGACAAGGAAGACTGTGACTTTCCAACCTATCCTGGCGACCTTCATGCCAGGTGTTTCATCCTTCCGCTCGGCCGGTGTGTCGGGGGTGAATGGGTCATCGGAGGATGTGGATCTCGGGGATTTGACACTTGAAGCATGGGGAGACACGGGCGTCTCTTGAGCCTACCCGGTCAGCTTTTGTCTGTCATGCGATGACAGGCAACCCAACTAACGGAGCGGAGCTGCATATCGTATGTCCGGAAGCGCGAGAACAGGTAGATCGCATTTGCCGATGCGAGCGCGAAGAGGAGCAGAGTGAACACGAACACCTGATATGTTAGCTCTCCCGAGTCCCGAGTCTCAGCACCCTCAAGCTCACCCCCCAGCCACCAAGGAACCGCTGACTCCGCTGCTCGTCCTCCCATTTGCCCCACCTCCCGCCTACACCCCGCCGCTCAGCACTCGACCGGAGTATACTCGTCTCCTCGGCTTTGGACGTCCAGAAAGACGCCGTACATAAGAAGTGGACAGCCTGTATTCCGAGCACGATGGGGTGGGCGTACCGCTCATCAGGAAGGAGATCGAGCATGGAAGTAGGGGAGAGGAGGAGGAACATGTCGACGACGTGTTGAGGGTAGTCTGCGATTCTGCCCAGTCAGCTTTCTGCTCTAGAACATCATGAAAGCGAAAGCTTACCGCTGGAATATAGATTTCTGACGGACGAAGCGCTTCTTCTTCTCGCTTGGTCCTGCGCCGCCATCTCCGTCAACGCCCATATCCCGTGTGGACGAAGACGCCGCAGCTGTCCGCGCAGCTTTGGCACTTGCGGCCATATCGAACGGTATACTCGCGCTCTTGCTCAAACCCGCTGGAGGAGTAGATAGCGCCTGCGGAGAATAGTAGATAGGTGTCCGGCGAAGATTGGCTTCTTCATTGTACTGCAGCCGGGCGGGAGGCGGGGTAGCGTATGACGTGGAGTTGGACGTGGAGGCGCGAGGAGCTCTTCGTTCTCGCTCAGAGTCGAGAGGGGCATCAGAGTGAGAAGAGGAGGGAGTGTCGGTGTCTGGGACTGGCTCGGCGAAGCGGGACTTGCGGGCCCGAGCGAGAGAACCGAGGTCTGACGAAGAAGCGGGTTTGGAGAGTCGAGAGGGAGTGTGCGCGAAGGCTGGGAGGGACCGGCGCGTTGAGCGCTGCAGAGGTGATTGTGACATCTCCACACCTCTCCTTGAGGGTGGTTGATGTGCCTTGTTGATGTGCCTTTTTGAGGGAGTTCGGCTCTGCGAAGGACGATGTGTGAAGGGAAAAGGACTAGCTGGACGTGCTCGGGCAACGATTGACTTTTGGATGACGCACGGACGTCGCGAACAGTGATGACGGTGACGAAGGAGGGTAAAGCGGTAGCGTCAAGCACCTTTCTGACGTTCTGTACATATCACTGACACTTACTCACTCATCGCTTGGCTTGCGAGCTTCACCTGCAGAGATAAGTCTGTTGTAGCCGGTACTGTCTGGGGACAGCGACCATGGTATGTCCCTCAGCCCCCTCGTCCATCCCCTCCCTCCACCTTTGTCTAGAGTACAGCTCACAACAACAGTCCAACTTCCTCCCTCTCCCTACGAAGCGCGCCACGCCTATCCCGGACCTAGGACCCAAGATTCTGAGCTACATAACCAACAACTTCCGGGATGCTCACCCCGAGGCGTTCAAGCGGGACGTGGAGCAATTTGTGGCGCTGAGGAGGGAATGGGTGGAGGGAAAGGGAGAAGCGCATCCGGAGGGTGTCAAGGGGCTGATGAGGTGAGTCCTTATCTACACTAGCTGTGCCAAAGCGATACCCGAGGGGTAATGCTGACTCTTTAGATATCACGCTCAGCTGGCTTTCCTGGTCACCAAATTCCCTCGAGATGTGAGCTGAAAGCGTCGTACGACTGAGAGGTCAGACCGGATCAAGCTCATACGTACAGATTGGCGTCGCCTTCTCTTATCATACACCCTTTCCCCCTGCCTTCTCCATCACCCCCGACGCACCCATGCCCCTCAACTCACTCACATTCGAACGAGCCGCGGTGCTGTTCAACGTGGCCGCTCTTTACGCTAGCATGGCAGCCGCGGAGAGACGAGCTGAGCTAGAGGGCATAAAGCGGGCACTGGGGTATCTCACGGTCAGTTGAATGACCCGCGTGTGTGTGAGAGCATGGCAGCATAGCTGACATACCATCAGTCCGCAGCCGGCGTCCTGTCGTTCTTGATCACCTCGGTGCTCCCTACACTGAAGAACGAGCTTCCGACCCCAAATGCTGCGGGATACGATATGACCGAGTCATTCCTCGCTGCTGTGCGGGAGTTTATGCTTGCTCAGGCACAAGAATGTTTCTGGCAACAAGCAGTCATGCGTGAGTTGGCAAGGACGAGAACTGAGCGTGGCGTCTTCCAGCAGCTCACTCCGCGCAGAGGGATCGTACAAAGATCCGATAGTCGCAAAGCTGTCGATGAAGGTGAGCTTATCCTGCTGCCAGAAGTCAGTGAGGACAGCTGGACTCATGTTATAGGTATCGGAATACTATAAATCCGCCCTGACATCAGCCAATAATCCAGAATACCCATCCGCAGCCTTCTTGCCAACAGTGAGCTGCCCATTTCGCAAGGCTCAATCCTGAAATCAAGCTGATAACCGAGAATTGGACCACCCACATCACCATCAAGCAGCTCCATTTCGAAGCGGCCGCGCAGTATCGCATGTCCAAGGACGACGTCAACAAATCGCGGTATGGGGTGGAGATATCCAGATTGAGAGTTGCGGAGGGATTGGCGAAGAAGGGATTGAGCAATACAAGAGGAGTGGCGGATTCGGTAGTGAGCGACCTGAAGGTAAGCTGCTTCGTCTAGGGTACATGGGCAGACACTCGAAAGCTGACTGGATAGGATCTCCAAAACGCAGTCAAGACCGCTCTCGAAAGAGCAACACGAGAGAACGATCTGATATACGTCTCGCCCGTTCCACCTGCCAACCAGCTCGACCCGATAAATGGCGCCGGCATGGTCAAGCTCGCTACGCCACACGAGATCGCTGAGCCGGTCGAATGGTTGATGAAAGGCGGAGCGGGGATCGGACCCTTGTTCAGTGGGCTGGTACCGTACGGGGTCCATCTGGCGCTCAGTGAGCTCCTTCGCTCGGATTGCTTCTGCGGAGAAAGCGCTGACACTGTAGGCGTTTACGACGATCGGAAAGATACGCTCGTCCGAGAGCTCGATAGTCGGCGAGAAGAGCTGGATGGCCTAGCAGCGAGCACACTCCAATCGCTCAGCCTACCAGGGACGATCCAAGCCCTAGACAGGCCGGTCGGACTCCCGCCTAGTCTGCTGAAGAAGGCGGAGGAGGCAGATGCTGGCGGTGGCACAAGGCGGATCGAGGGGTTGCTGGATGAGGTGGCGAGGCTGTCAAAGGCAAACCGGAAACAGCTCGAAGAGGTCAGCTTTCCACCCAACATGGTAAGTTCTTGGCAGCGAGCTGACATCCTATAGGCCATGGACATCCTAGATGAGGAGGCGACAGAATATGATACCCTACTCGAGCGACGACCTGACATGGCCAACTCGAGACCGCCATCACATATTGCTAATTCGGGGTTGATCCAGACTGCCCAGCAGTACGAGTCTACGATGAAAGCCGCTGGGGATAGCGATGCGACGGTGAGGAGGAAATGGGAGGAATGGGAGTCGAGAATAGCTGTATTGGCAGACGAGGTGAGCTGATAATGTTCCTTTGACCATGCACCACGCGGTGACCACAGGGCTGTAGCTGAAACAGCAGGACGACCTGAAAGACTACATCCCCTCCACGACTTCGCCTACCTCACTCCCCTCGTCTGTCCGCCCGCTTCGTGCCTCGCTCGAGGAGCTAGACGACCGAATAGCGAATCGACTCCGGATCATCCAGGAGGCACGAGGCCTGGCGCATGGGGACGATATCAGACCGCAAGTACTGGCTGAGGCGAGCCGGATGGCGCATGGAGGTAGTGGCGATGTAAAACCCGAGTGGTTTGAGGGCATATTCGAGAAGGCTTTGGAGAAGTATGAAGGAGTACGAGCGGACATGGCGAGGGAGGGTGGGAAGCAGGAGGCTCTGCTGGAGCGAATCAGAGTGAGCTGCCTAGTCTTGCCGCCCGAGTATAGTGCAGACCAGCTGACAAAAACAGGTACAAAACGAGACGTTCCTCTCTGAGCGGAAAGACGACCCTCGCGTCCGAGCTCGCGAGCAGGCACTACAAGAGATGGATATGGCGTATTGGAAATGGCGCGAGTTGATTGAGAATCTCACGGAAGGTGTGGGGTTCTACAATAATCTGTCAGAGATATTGAGGGGGTTCAAGGTGGCGTGTGGGCAGTTCTTGAACTCGCGGAGAGCGGATGTTGGGTGAGCTACGATCTCTATAGTCCATGGGCTCATTTTTGTGTTTCGAGGCTCTGAGAGTTTAAGCTGACTCATGTAGGCAAATCACGAATGGGATGCAGCAGATGGGAGTCGGACAGCAACGTCCTCAGCAGCCGCCTCAGCAACATCAGCAGCAACAGCCACAACACCATCAGCAACAATATCATCAGCAACAGCATGACCAGCCATCATATTCGGATCATCAACAGCCCTCACCATCACGCCATGGACAATATCAGCCGGAACCATCCTACCACCAGCCTTCAGGCTACACCTCCTCTCCCCCGCCATCCCGCGCTCCCCCTCCGCAAAGCCACCACTCCCCGCCCTCTCAGCAACGCGCCACTTTCCTCCCCCATCCCTCTTCCGCAACGTGGCAGGACGCACCTGACTTTCTGCCTCCACCACCACCGCAACCTATCCTTCGATCGGGCGGGATACCTGCAGCTGCACCATCCAGGCATAGCTACGATGCGCCGGCCGGTCTGGACACACCGAAAAGGGTTACCCGGAGTCAAGCGAGTAAAGGTCCAATAGGTGATGCCGAGCGGAATCCATACAAGGGGAACGCGACGAGTAGGAGGGGCGGGGGCGTAGTATAGGCCTAGGCCGTAGATGTTGGATGCATGTCACCCAGGAGCTGAGCTAGGGGGAACATCATGTGCTCTACGTCATTGTCTGAAACGCGTTAAAAGTGCCACAAAAGGGAATCGAGAGAGCTTAATTAGCGAGGAATGCACCGACGCGTTGTGGGACCCTCTTCCTCCCATCTGGCACTCTGCATTGCATATAGCTTATCTGCAACGTAACAACAAGGAGGCCCCGCTAGTATCGCCTATCTCTTGCGCAGGACTGCGCGAAAAGGAAGCATAGAAACTGTCCACTCGGACCTCGTTCCCCCGCTCAATACCCCTTCCCCGCCTAGCGTTCCAGGGCTCCACTTCTCATCACCCATCCTTCCGCATTCCACACCTTTCGACCGCACACTATGTCCTACCGACCCCAACAGCAACAAGGCGGCCAGCCCGGGCCCTCCTATCCGACCTCACAAGCGCAGCAGGCCCAAGCGCAAGCTCAAGCGCAAGGAATGGGCCGATCGTCCCCGCTCCCGCCCCTCCCCCAACTCGCCCAGAACAACCTCGGTCAACCCGGCTCCAACACCGGCGGCGGTAACGTCCCCTCGTCACAGCATCAGCAGCAGCAGCAGCAGCAGCAACAGCAGCAGGGAGGAAGTAGTAATGCGCTCCATCCCTCAACGTCTGGTGGGTCCGTGTCTGGCGCGTCGGGCGATAAGGGCCCGGACTATGTGTATTTCGAGCGAAAGCCGGCACTGTTTGGGGAGAACACGGCTGGGAAGGCGATGGCGGCCAAGATGAAGCTTGAGCTGTTTTATAAGGAGGCAGTAGAGGGTGTAGTGGGCAGGAAGGAGAGGTGAGTTCGGGTCTACGTCGAGTGCGGAAGGGCGTGTGCTGATGATGTAGGCGTACGACGCTGGATAAGCAGCTAGCCGCAGAGGTGTCCACGCCTGATACTCTCAAGGCGAGGCAATTGCTAGCTCTGGGAAGAAGGGAGAGCAAGTGAGTTGAATGCCGTGTTGTTATCCCTCGGATGTAGCTGACCGTTTCAGTTATCTTCGACTCCGCCGGACCCGTATTGGACTCGAGGACTTCAAGACCGTCAAAGTCATCGGTAAAGGCGCCTTCGGAGAAGTCAGGCTCGTGCAGAAGGCCGATACGGGCAAGATCTACGCCATGAAGACATTGCGGAAGAATGAAATGTTCAAGAAGGATCAGGTGAGCTAGTCAGGCGCGCTGAGAGCCTACGAGCCGTAAGCTGATACAGGCAGCTTGCACACGTACGAGCCGAGCGTGATGTCCTGGCTGAGAGTAATTCTGCCTGGGTCGTTCAGCTTTACTACTCGTTCCAGGACAGCCAGTACTTGTACTTGGTGATGGAGTTCTTACCTGGAGGAGACTTGATGACTATGTGAGTTGACCAATTGACAGCAGGGGGCTCTGCTGCTTCAATATCGCAAGCTTAAACTGGCAGGTTGATCAAGTACGATACCTTTTCGGAAGACGTCACTAAGTTCTATATGGCGGAATGTATCTTGGCCATCGAGGCGGTCCACAACTTGGGCTTCATCCATCGGTTAGTCAGCTGGCGGCTTTGGATTGCGCATTGCACAACCAGATAGCTGACCATTTCAGTGACATCAAACCCGACAACATCCTCATCGATAGTCTCGGCCATATCAAGCTATCCGATTTCGGCCTCTCGACCGGTTTCCACAAGCAACACGACTCCGCCTACTATCAGCGCCTCCTCGGCACTGGCGACCCAAACGCGACCACCAACAACCGCGCTTCGCTACAGCAGAGCGGGACGGGTGTAGGTGGCGCGGCGGGCGCGCGCAATAGTGTCATGGTCAACGCCATCAACCTGACCATGACGAGCAAGAACGATATTGCGACTTGGAAGGCCAACAGACGGAAGTTGGCGTACTCGACGGTCGGAACTCCAGACTATGTCAGTTGGATACCTTGTTCCGTCGATAAGGTGAATAAGCTGACAAGCCAGATTTCACCCGAGATCTTCTTGCAACAGGGCTATGGGAAGGAATGCGATTGGTGGTCTCTCGGTGCGATCATGTTTGAATGTCTCGTTGGTGAGCTGGATAATACCGTCTGAATTCTTTGAGAACTACAGCTAATGCAAAGGCTACCCCCCTTTTTGTTCCGAGAACGCGCACGATGTCTACCGCAAGATCATCGAATGGCGATCTCACCTCTTCTTCCCGGATGACGTTCATCTCAGCCGGGAAGCAGAAGACCTTATTCGCAGGATGCTGTGCGAGGCAGACAGGCGATACACCGTGGAGCAGCTCAAGGCCCATCCGGTAAGCTGTCAGACGCACAATCAGCAGCGGAAAGCTGACTTCATAGTTCTTCTACGGCGTAGACTGGGCAACGATCCGCGATATCGATGCCCCCTTTGTCCCCCATCTGCGGTCCATCACCGACACCTCCTACTTCCCTACAGACGAGCTGGACCAGGCATCCGAGATGCCCACAGGCCCAGAGTCGGGGGCGGACGCAAAGAAGGATCTGGCATTCTTGGGGTATACGTGAGTTACGCATCTCGTCTTTTGCAGGAACGTGAGCTGATATTCGTGCAGGTTCAGGAGGTACGAAATGTTGTAAGGACTGTTGCAGGACGAGCGAGACCGATGGAGGAGGAGAGCAGTGGTGTACTTGAGGCTTACGTTTGGCTCAAGCCTGGGATGAGATGCATCGGCACAGTGCCCATTTCCAAGATCATACGTCTCCATCATCCTCATGTTCCGGCACCTGCGGCGCATCCGCCATCCTTCCTTGTCCCACTACCGCCATTGGACTACCTGCTTGCGCGCCGACCATGACCGTCTTTGGGGACGGAGGGCTCTCGTACAGACGTGGCGAGCTGAGCTGGAAGGGCGAGCTCACGCGTTCGACGTTGCGAATCTGCACGAGACGGGCGATGTTCGGGTCCGGGCTTGAGACTTGTGATGACCTGGAGCTGAGATTTGGTGTAGCGCCCAGGCTGGTCTCACTGTACGAAGCCTGGGATGGAGGGGCAGCAGTACCGGGTACTTCTCCTCTTTGAGACGGGTCTCGTGGTGGTTGGCTAATCTCGAAAGTCGGTGCAGACTGCTGTGCCTCCCCTTGGACGATTCCGACATCTGCAATGGCTTGCCGTAGTGCCGCACCGGACTCGTCGATGGAGTGCAGGAATCGGAGGAGCTCCTTCGAGAGATGGTACTCCTTCGCTTCGATCGCTAGGCGTAGAAGCCGGATTGCATCCTGCAATATCAGCCGAGATATCTTTTTCGCTTCGCACAGAGTGTAGCTCACCTTGGCATCGTCCAGCTCCTCCAAGTTCTGCAGTACTAAGAGGTAACTCGCAGCAGTCCGCCACTTTCCCAACTCCAAACACCGCTCAAAGAGCTCCCTCGGACTCCCGACAATCGCAAACAGCTTCTCCCAGCGGTCGACCTCCGTCTTCCTCGCACACCCTACCACAACATCCATCGCCTCGGGAAAGTGATCCAGAAACTCGATCGTGCGTCGGAGCTGTCCCGGAGTGCCGGGAATATCCACCTCCGCGTTGTCCAGCTCATCCTCCAAGACCGAGTGAAGCAGGATTTCGAGCGAGTGCGCAAAGTATACGATGGACGAGTAATTGGATGCGAACGTTAGAGCGCGATGTAGCGGGGAGCCGGAGGTATTGGAGAGGTGATATCGCATAAATTGGGGTAGGAAGAGGTGGGTTCCGGTCTGGATCTTGAAAAGGTTGAAGGGGAGTGACCGGGTCGAGGTCTCGTAGTCTACGCCGATGACTATTCCCTTATCCATCAAAATAGCTGGCATATGATCAGCTAACGCCCCTACAAGGTCTCTGTGAAGGCTGCAACTCACAAAGTGGGTAAAAGTCCAAATCTAGATAGACACTCTCCTTGACCGTCTCATACGCGTCCCTCCCTTCGTCCAGTCTCGTTCCCTCAATTGTCAACGCGTCTAGCCATACCCGCATTCCCTTGCCGTCATAGCCCCAGAGCGAGTTCTCAAGCGTCCCAATCCCGTGCAGATGAGTCCAGTATGACTCGATCCGATCCGCCAAGACTTGGAGGTCGTATCGCACTTCGTCATTGCCGGCTCGCCTGGGTCTGAGGAGGACTAGCCGACCGTCGATAAGGAAGATGATGGTCGCTACGATCAGGTCGTCCACGGGATCGCCCAGACCTGAGAGCTCGGTCAGAACGTCTCTTCGGGCACGGAGGGATCACACTTACGTTTCTGGGCTTCTGGGATCAGCCAAGACAGAGCTCGTACCCGGCTGGGCACCTGGACTATGCCAGCGAAGGATATGCTGCCGCAGAGGTGTACCTTGATCGTGTCCTTGGTAGGGACGATCAGAAAGTGGTATAGTGTGTTGTCGGCTGTGTAGACGAGGAGCGAGTTGTCCAAAAGCGACATGACGAGCACGGGCGAAGGTAAGATCTGCGAGTGTAGAATGTTGACGTCTGCCAGATCAAAATCGCGAGAGAAGAGCCGAATCTGATCGTCAGCGCAAAGAAAGGGCATACTAGCGGGGAACTCACCTGGTATGATTTGTCTACCTCGATAGCGGCTACTAGGACGTGGTGGAACCACAGCAGCCCACCCCGGACGACAAAGTCTTTTTCTTGCCTTTCATCAGCGAATAGCTTCCACCTGCCCGAGACAGTGGAGTAGTTGGTCAAGCCCCTTCGACCGGCGATGGCGATCAGCGTCCCATCTGTCGATATGGACGCATACCGGATTGGCCAATTGATCGAAATGTAGTCGCTTGGTATCTGATCATCAGCTGTCTGGCTAGCATTCCGGCCGTTTGAGAACTCACCTTGATATGCTGCCAAACGTCCGACTCTGGGTTGATTACGCTCATGTCCGGCTGATCTGCGCCTCGATACACCAGGACCCGATCATCCATCTGCAAGAAGGCATAGCGAGTATTATCGGGCGAGTGCTGACCGGTTGTCGCGCTTTTCGCGAACGGTATTGAATAGATTTGATGAGGGGGATGCGCGAGGGCGAAGAGCTCGACATTTCCTGGTGCCCAGAACTGTCATCAGCTTCATTGTAAGGGATGGACCTACGATATCCAGCACACCGCCCATGAATCCATCATCCACCGCATCGCTATCCAGGCTGAGACCCCAGCCGTTCAGCCGCCCGCTGACGCTCCATACCGCCCATCCGTGCTCGTACCCCACAGCCAAAGCGTACCCATCCGACGTCCACGACAGAGACGTGACGCCTCCAGGAGACGTGTGAAGGTTTGCTGCGTGCTTGAAATCGAGGGTATGTGATGCTCGAGGAGCGGCAGGGAAGTTTGGGAGAGAGATGACGCTGATGTTGCCTCTGAATGTCAGTAAGGGGGATGCACATGAGCTTACCCAGCTGTACCGACTGCTACCAGACCAAATTTCCCGTTGACGGCGGCAGTCACAGCCTTGTCTAGATCTGCTGTAGATTGAGCAGCCTCGGCGTCCTTCTCGTACAGCCCGAGGGCTTGCAGACCGCTTGCGGCAGGATCCTTGCGCGGTTGAGGGGGATATATCGCGACACCGGTGAACTTGGATGACAATGGTTGGGAGTGAGACGCTGCCGGTGATAGGGGTAGTGTATTCAGTGGGCTAGATATTGGCGTACTCTGCACAGTCAGCCCGAGTATGGTGGCGTCCCGAGGGATTGAACCTACCGCTTTCCTGGTCACCGTGTGCATACCCCATACTCGCCCATCATCCATCACCATCGTGTATAGGACCGGCGTACCCGGCGTCCTCGAGAGCTTGATAGAGAGCGGTACCGGCGGTGCCCCTTGACACTGCATCCACTCCTTCGCCTTCACCAGATCCCAGATCTCGCACTCGTCCTGTTCCGGCCCATCCCCGTCCAGCGGCGGAGGCGGGAAGTGAGAGTTCGGTGGTGCGATAAGCTGGCTAGGGATAGGGTAGGGCACGGTGAGGATCGAAGGCGGGCTCTTGAGAGTGATGAGGAGCGAATGTGACTGAGCGAAGAGGGATTGAGGGTGGCCCATGATGAAAGCTGCACCGAGGGAGCGCAGAGTCCAGCCCATGAGAACATCGCCTTCACCGGGACCGCCGTTGGCCGGGAAGAGAGACGATGGGGGATGAGCGTAAGCAGCTCGAGCAGTCGGTGTGAGCTGATACAACAGCAGGTGAGACGTAGTGGTCTATGAGATCAGCTACGAACAAAGCCAATGACACCTTTAGATGACTGACCAGGATGAAAATGCCTCGGCCGTCATGCGCCCAGAAGACGTCCTGATTGGCGCCCCACCGCTCTAGGCTTTTTGATGAGCGTACCAGACAAGCCTGTAGGACCGTAGGCTGATGATTAGCATCAAGCTCCCTCGGTCAAGCGAGCTGCTAGTGCTCACTCGAACATCCCAAACGCCTAGACTCGACTTTGAGAGCGAGGCGAAGAAGTTCCCCTTCCTGTTTTGGCGAAGCTGTATTACTGGCTCATGGTCCAGGGGAGCAGGAAGACTGAGTAGCCTTGCCGCTGTCACTGGCCAGTACATGCTGGTGATACCAAAGTAGGTGGACAACGCTATCTTATCACCTTGTCTCGGCTGGAGCTCGGATGACCCATGCCGGCATCGCAGCTGTAGCAAGGCTATGGCGCGATGGCTCTTCTGTGGTCCAGATGGAAGCTCGTGACCCACCACAAAGAAGGGCGTGAGCGCAGCTCATGACTAGCATTACATCTCTGGCCATGGAGCCTACCCAAACGTCTCACGAAATCTCTATTGCTCCGGTACGCCCAAAGACGCCAACAGAGCCTCACATTCCGGCGTGAGCTCCCCCGTCAAGCACTGCATCAACTTCAATAGCGCCGCCTCATCCCCATCCGCCCCGGCATTGAGAGCAGCATCGATCACGCCCAGATCCGTGTCCGTGCTCGTATCTGCCGGGGCAGTACCGTCGTCCGCCGGTGCCGTCGCTGTCGTGATGGACACGCCGAGCGAGTCGATACTGACGAGGGAGAGCGAAACCCGAGTTGAAGCGTCCGGCGGGGTGGAGGAGCCGATAATGTAGTTGCTGGGGTCGATAGAGAGGTAGAGAGGGGATGAGGTCTTGAGGGCGGAGAAAGACCCAGTGAGGGCTCCCGGAATTCCGGCGTAGGACCATATGGTCGTTTGGGTTTGATGGTCTGCCGGCGAACCGAGGTCGCTTGTCTTGACGCCACGAATGAGGAAAGATCTGCTCTGTCAGCTTGAGTACCTTGCCGTTTGAGAGACAGTACTCACGATGATGATGTGGTACTTGACGGCCCGCTTGTTGCCCCGAAGTAGTATAGTCCATCCGAGGTATACAGCCGGACCTGAGTGGATACCGTCGTTGACGCGGGCACCGCGAAAGTGGCTGCCTCTCCCACGTTCTGCTTGATTAGCTCGAGATCACGAGCATTCGTTCGATCCAGCCGCAGATGGAAGAGGCTCACGGATGTGACTCTGAACGCATTCTTCCCAGAGTCAAATGCGATATACGTTTCGCCTGCTCGCCGACCCATACCGCCTAAAGTCGCCTGCATGACAGTGTTCTGCGTACCGCTCCGCTCGGACGCGCGAGGCTGAAAGGCATCTGACAGTCAGCTACTAGACTACCGTTCTCAGCTGGAAGGCACGAACGATATCTTGGCGTCCCTATTCTTTCTGGCTGCTTCGGAGAAGAGGCCTGTCTGACCCGCGCGCCGTTTGAGATAACCTCTACGTTCGAGGTGGCAGTGCCGAGCGACAATGCTAGGATGTGCGACGAGGCCAGAAGGCAGACCGAGTACCATAGTCGGGCCAGCATGTTGCTTGAGGTCGAGTCGGGTGGTGCAGAGGCGACGAGGGGTCAGTACGGGCCAAGGGGATTACTGGAGGATTGTGAGTGTGAAAGTGAACAGCTATTGGTATAGTCCGCTATGCAGCGCGATCTGTCGACTCTACTGTCATTCTGCCATCCAGGCACCATCTCATGCAGGTCGTAAGGCTCACAATACGTTCAGGAATAGGAAGATGGGGCATGTCATGTTCAGGTAGGTTCAACAGATCTGGCACCAGCCAAAAGTTCGCGTTTCACATGGATCACATGGACATGCCGTAAACGATATCGGACGCGTCTCTTGATCAGCTCTCGATGTTAACTGCAGTCTTGCTGGCCCGATGCTGCAAGTCGTAGCGCATGTCTCGCACCCTCGTAGCTCCGAGAGGGCTGACGCTATGCGCTATGAGCTACAGGCTGGAAGGACCGCGCTTCTAGCTGTACGTTTAGAGAGAGGGCTGGGAAAGGTAGTTCGCCTCACGCCACTTAGCCAGACGCGACTGATTTTCGTCACGGTCTGCCAAGCACGCGTTTCAGATCAGGGATGTTCAGGCACTATCAGATCGCCGCTGGCCAGCATCAGATCCGCCCAATTTATGGCTGCACGTCGTAACTTTGGCTCGAGGTCTTGCACAGGGGAGCGAGCACTGATGCCTGAGCAAGCTGACGGCTTCTCGTCTGTACTCTATCTCGCAAATAGTATAGCAGGTCAAGCTGTCAAGGCTGCTTTCGCCCCCTCTCCACCTCCTTCCCCATCGGCGCCGGCTCGCCAAACACGCTCTTTTGCTACCACGCTCTCTCGTGCCTGCAACGCTTCCGAGCCAAATCCGTCCGCACCCTCAATCTTGACCTTAGAACACATCGACGAACTTGCACGATATAAACGACTATAATGATATCCCTCCCCCAAGCGCTGTGCGCGATCCTGTCTCTCGCAATTTCAGCTCGGGCAGCCGGTGCCGGCGGCGCTGTCATCGCCGTGCGACCAGAGTCAGACGAGTGAGTCTCTGGACTATCAGATTTGCTCGAGACACCCTTACCGCGTAGCTGACATGCCAGACTCATCGCTCCCAATCGGTACATCGTCGAGTTTGATACATCGGTGCATCTCCAACAAGCTGGTCTTGCCAAACGGGATCACGACGTGAGTCGGCCCGTGTTTCTGGTCCGTAGACCAAACATGAGAATAGCTGACCTTCCAGCCACACGAGCGCTTCTACCAGCACCTGAAGGAGCGGGATGTCGCGTTTGACATCCACGCCGAATACAAGAGCAAGGGGACTTTTGTGGGCGCGTCGGTTCAGGTAGCCTCGGCGGGCGATCTGGACAAGTTGTCGTCGGCCGAAGGGGTTCTAGTGAGTTCATACCGGCAGATCTGGTGTCTTCGAGACGAGCCAGAAGTGACGCTGACGCGCTAGAACATCTATACTGTTTCTCGTGTCGACCTTCCATCACCCAAAATTCTCGACATCTCATCGTCCTCAAACCCGGTCCCCGTTTCCGCTAAGAACTCCTCTGCGTCCCTTCATTCCCGCTCTACCGACTCCGGCCACTACAGCACCTACTCCCAACTCCCCATGATCCAGGCGGACCTTGTCCACCGCAACAAGAACACCGGATCAGGCATCAACATCGCCATCATCGACACCGGCATCGACTACAACCACCCCTCTTTCGGCTCCTGCTTCCGCACGCCTGGATGCAAGGTGCAGAAGGGGTACGACTTTGTTGGGGACGCCTTTACGGGCAGCAACACCGCCGTGCCGGACGACGACCCGTACTCTACCTGCAACTTCCACGGCACGGCGGTGGCGGGGCTGCTGG